TAGATGTACAGTTTCCCAGGTGAGACAAAGTCATATGAGCATACCCAAGTATCTGTATAGACGTCGAATATCGTCAGTCTTCTTTCGTTTTCTCGTCTTTTCGTTTCATTATAATATAGTATGTCCAAAAGAAGCGACAGTGTGCTTATCATCCACCCCTCGCCCCTCATGACCTCCGAAGACGAGGTTATTCCCGAGATTGCTCGATGACCTAAGTGAGAACGAGCCTAACCCCTCTACGTACGAGAAGGGTCAGCCACTGTTCCCAAAACGTTTGCGGTGTGGCCACACCGTTTATTCTGCAGACGAATCACCAATCAACTGCCATCACCACTTCGACTATACTTGATGAACTCCCCACACCATCCTAAGACCTCGTCAAATACCAAGATATCTACCACCTACATATGCATCGGTTTGCGTATGGCGCCCCGCCGTCCCGTTGATTACCTAGGTACCTAGGTACCTACTAGGTAGTAGGTTAGACCTAATACGCACGGTACCCGCTCATTCTTCAGCCCAACCTACCTACCTACCTATATCTACTACACATACCTACCTAGCGGCCCAGTACCCAGTACCTCCTAGGGTAGGTGGTTACCTGCTGCGTAGTAGTTACTAGGTACTTTTCCTCGTGTTCAAGGTTGTGTTGCCGTCTCTAGGTACCTAGTTCGATGTACATGGATGGATCATGGCCTTGGAATTCTCCAACTATGCTGTTGTCTTAACCCCAATCAGCTAAGCTTCGTCAGCCGAACCAATCATCTCTCGTGGACGACGTCGACTCAACCTACGGCGGACGTACTTCGTACAGTAGGTATGTATGTATGTACAATATCTCGCTTAGAATATAGACTAGGAGCTAGGAGCCATACTTTCTAGAACGAGATTCAGAAGAGTTATTCCAAGATATCAGTTCAAGCCATATGGTCTGAACCCCTCACCTCATCTACACGATACTACCAAACAGTTCGCCATCACCTCAAACATAAAGAGCCCCCATCTTAGACCTATCAGACGTATAGAATTTCACCGAGGGATCGTCAAGCCATTACCACTTTCGTACGCCCCAACCAAAGCGCACCTCAATCCCATGACGCCGTTGTCTTATGCTTAAACATCCTAGACACCCTTTTCTCTCCGCTGCAGTGCAACGAGACTAATCCTCGTCTCCCGACCATCCGAGCAGGGTTCGGTTCTGCAAGGGTGCAATCTGATCGACTGTCAAGGTCGTCGAGATCCTATGATCTGCGAGATTGCCCTCTTGCGCACAGCCTGGGACCCTTACACCCTCTCGAGCTTGGTCTAGCTATCATGGGATGCGCCATCCCCCACACCAGCCCTCCATCAGCCACCGCATGCATCATGGACGCGATGAGACATACGCAAGCGCTTGCACCCGTAGTTTGTGCAGCACGCATTTCCACTTTCCGTCATATCTACCCACAGTCCGCCGTCTAGAGCATTCAAAGACGTCTATTAGAATCCATACCTCCAAGGTCATCTAGGTAATCAATAGGAAACTAGGCTGCTCCGAGCTAACCTCCCAGGCCTACGCTCGCCACAGGGTCTACACCGGTGACATCCGATAGTTTCGCTTCTCAGATGCAATATCGTATGTCTGATACGTCTAGTATATCTGGCATCTCTGTAGCTGATCGGTACCATTTTAACACCGACTTGGGATCATACACAACTCCGGTGTAACTAACACCGATCGATGGAGATATGGAGATGGGTAGGTAACCATTAAATATTCACTAGTTTGGCAGATCCGTACGTTTCTAAAGAGAGATTTACATACAATGCATACATACCCCAAAGGCAAATGTTCGACGGCAAGACGGCAAAAAAAGAAAACAAAAAAAGACACTACGGCAATCGCTGCGGGTCAACCATGACGTGCAGCTGTCGTTATGATAGCGCGTCCGGGAGAAGAAGGTGGGCAATCATGATCTCGTATGAAAGGAGGCGGATATGTAAGACCGGCGGAGTTGGTGAGCTTCTACCTGCCTATTCGGAGCTCATTCTCGGAGATCATTTAACAAAATATAAAAAAGGCTACGAGCCCCGGGACCGTGAGGAACGTATGATAATGACGATGGCGCCGTTCGCGATCAACGCCGCCATCGGACTGAAAGGGCGTCCGAGAGGTGAGTATCCCTACAAGCATTTATTATGCATGAAGTATCTATATTTTATTTTACAGACTATTAGATTGACGAGGGTAAGGCGGAGAATAGAAAGACCCAAAGAAGAAAGAAGATATTATGGTCATTGGTTAGACGATAAACTAGGCATAGTCGGAATACAACGATCCTACACAGCATAGTAGGACCTAAGTTACAACATACCTAGAATCCTAGATAGGTTCTAGGCATTGGCGGATCCTATTCCACTTTTTGAGGCTTCTCAGACTCAAGTCGCCTGTTGTCTGAGTGTAGCAATTAAAGCTATAATCCCAAATATCCCAGATATCCACCCGGGCAGCTAATAATTCAAACGCATAAACTCGATCTTTGCAAGGCTGTTCCCAGAAAATGTGGATATAGATTTCGAAATCTCGCTTCCCCGGGCCGTGCCATCTCACATCTTCTACACCCATGGCGTCCACGGTTTCGAACTCTGCCTTGCCTGCTCTGTCTTGTATTTATACGCATGGTGCTGTAGTTGCATGGAGATTCTTGAAATTGGAAATGGGAAAAGTTGGAGATGTCAGTTTATGACAAGGACCTCTGTATATGTAGGTAGGCTGAATATGCTGGGTATGCTGGTACAGGTCGCAGGCCTTTTTATTGTTCTTTTAGTGGGACGTAAGTGTTAAGCAATAACTTGAACGTAGAAGTATCATCATACGACCATGGGCAGGAAATAATACTTGTTAAAGAAGTTTCTGCTTAGCAGATATACCTCCACTAAAAGAACAATAAAAAGGCCTGCGACCTGTATGTAAGTCGGCAGTCGAGTAATCCCTGTCCGCTCCTCCTCCACTTCTTCCTTTGACCCCATTCCGTGCATTCATGTGTGCGTCTGTGTGTCTCCGGGGTATACCGGCATACGTACATAACCTATATACTAGGTAGGTAGCTACATACATATTTGCTTCTATACCTAGTAGACAGCTGCAGCACTTATACCCATACCTGCATACCTGGGTATACGCCTACATACACTACCCATTACCCACTATACGCCATGCCATGCTCACTACACTATCCACTACACTACACACTACCCATCCCATACCTACCCACCACACCCACAGCGTACGCACTTAATTACTTAACCCCATGGGTCCTGCGCCCCTTCTTCGCGTCCGCGAGACCCCATGTGACCTTGTTCGGGATGTGGATTATTAGTCACTGCCGCGCCGCGTGATGGTTGCCTGCCGTTCTATTCTCTCTCTCCCTACAAAGTACCTAGGTATGCCCTTATAGAGTATGTACATACAACGTGCTATGTAATCTATACTCTATCTATCCGCGGCGTCCGTGTGTTCCAATAGTTCCAATACCCAATCGCGCCTAACCTTCATGCCGTGTGGGTCGCCGCCGTCTTGACCTTCCGGACCCCCCTTTTTAAATCCTCCTGCCCTCTTTTCAATGTAGGTAATATCTGAGTTTTTAATTGCATTTTCCTGCGCGGAGGCTCGCGCGCGTAGGGTATGTGGTTTGTGTTGTCTGATCGCGTTCTCGTGGGAGGATAGGGGCGACTTGTGGGCAAGAGAGAAGGGGATGGAGGGGTTGTAGGTAGGTAGATTGTAATCGCGCTCGTGAACTCGGTCTGACGTCTTTGGTTGTGGCGTGGGAATTTTGCCACCCTGGGCAGACTAATAGAGATAGTGGGTGTCTGGTTGAGTGGGCGTGTCTTGATTGCCCTGCTATTTGGGGGGAGTTTCTTGGTTTGTGGCTTCAGTAGCCAGATAAGCTGGTAGCTACAGAACAGTTCCGTTTCGTTTTTGCTTGATTGTCTGAGATAGTTCGTCATCTCGACCATTGTTGATTAACTCTGGCTGAGGCGTCTGAGACTAGGTAGGTTTGGAATCAGCTGAGCCTTCATCTAGGTGGTAAACATACTACTCTCCGGGGGTTATGTGACTTTGCCTCCTTGCGCCTATGTTTTTTATTTTGTCATGTCTCAAAACCTCAAAGTGTTTAAGGCGATATCTGCCCAGTGCTAATAACTCGTATTCCCTAATGTACCTATTGGAATGTTCGTGATAGGGAATTGTGATGGTTGCCCGGAAGCTAAGATGAAAGTCGAAAAACAGGAGTGGGACCTTCATGAACCTCCAAGCTGTCTATGAAAGAGTACTGTCATATCTCTAGAGATTTCTCACTATCCCCTGAAGAACTTTTGTGTACACTAGCGCTAGATGACCAAGTTTAGGTGCTTGAATCTCCCTCAATATGCATATTTCTCTTTTCCAGACTTTGAATTCTGGTAAGCCGATTTATAGGTCTCCTTTCTGGATGACAAATCCGAAATGATGTACCTTAACTAGTACCTACTAAGTAACTACCTAGTATCATCTCAAGGCTACCTACACGACCTAGCTTGTAAGTCTATCATAGAGGGATGTTGACGGCCTAGCTACACTTACATAGCATGTTAAGACCTGGAAGTTGAAAGGTTTACGGGGATTTTAGTTAGACAAGGAGGAGATATGACTTCATAAAAAACTTGTATGAAGACATTACACTCATGGAGCAGCAGCATCACATTCTCATTCTTATTTGAACGGAATAAATATCTTTATGTTGGCATATATCTCACAAGACCTGATTGTAGTTGTTGTATTGCTATAAATCTCATCCTTTTTGAGATTGACATAACCCCCCCCTTTTTTGGGTCTCACGAGCATGTTCACCCCTATAACAAAATCAACGATGAATGATACAGATGTCACTGAAGTATGGTAAATTCTAATCGGCGACATGTATGCTTAATGATTTCTATCCTATTCTAAAAAGCATTACTACAAGAACAGGCTTTGAGACGGGCCTTGTCGTAATCTCATGCAACCCCAATCTAACTCATTCTCAACTCATCCCACAGTCCTAAAATCGATCCCAAATAGCATGAACATGATTTAGCAGGTCAACTAGAAGGAGTTAGTTCATTGTTACTTTCAAGTTTGTCACAGCAAAGCTTACGGGGGCGGGGCCAGGAACAGTGTAGCTGTTGAAATTGGAGTAGATCTAGCAAACAATTAGTATCAATCAAGCTCATCAGATTGTAAGCATAAGCAATCGAAACTCACGTTAACAGTGTATCCCGGGTCGGTGTCCTTGAATGCGCCAGGGATTAAGACAGTCGCGGGGTTGTAGCTACCGCTTCCACCCGAGACCTTGACCTGTGCACAGGAGATGTAGAACTGAGGGATTCCCGACGGCCAAGGGTTGTGGATGGCCAGAGACTGGACTCTTAGGAGGTACTCGCCATCCTCGATGCAGCTGGGGATGGTGTATGTGTAGGAGCCGGACATATCCCATACTGCTTGTCCGCTTGAGAAATCAGGGGCTGTGATTTTGAGTTAGCAACCGAGGCATTTGGAAGGCAATCCGGTGAGGGCAATTTACCAAAGTCCTTGATTTTGAACCATTCACCGCTGCCATCGTATTCCGACGCAGCACCTGGGGCCTTCGACATGTAAAGGGAGATTGGGCCTTGGTGATACACCGGCTAATCAATAAGTTAGTGATGACAGATTAAATGATGTACTTGTAAAGAGCATATGGGTCACATACAGTATCGAGAGTAAAAGTGAATTGCTCGCCGGCCTTCACATCTACCGTCTTCGTGCTAGCTCCCTCTGCGCCGACATTGCACCTCAGGTCATTCGACTTCAAATCTACGCTGGTTAGTGAAGATCAATAAGAAGCATCGTGAGAAACTTACCCGTAACTGGAGAGTTGTAGTTGCTGTTCTGTCGAACTGTTGAGGTTGAGATTGAATTAGCACTTATTACCCATCGCCCTCCCAATATCACATAGTGATGTGGTTTAATCATGACTTGGACTCACTGTACTCGAATGGCCCATATTTGGTAGCATCAAGAGAGAGTTGCTGGAAGATATAATGGGCTGAAGCACCATTGGCTGCGAGAGCAGCAACAGCAACGTTGATGAAGTTCCTCATGATGGGCAATAAGTGATATTCAAGCCTCCGAGTATAGTATTCAGCAATTGAAGTGACGACACAATGAACAGAACGTTTCACAGCATCGCCAAGGCGAGGAGGCTCTCTATATATATTACTCAATACCGGCCCAAGGGTACCATGATGCGCATAGAGTCACATCGTTGTTTTTGATAATATTTCGCACAGAACCAAGGATTATCACCTTGCTTCCGTGCGCTCCACCACCTGAACAGCTGTCTTGGACTTGGGGTTTCATAGAAAGCGCATGCGGACCGTCGTTCCATCGTCGGCGATCCTAGCCACGACGAACTAGGTTCCCTGAATAGGGAAACAAGGAAGTTATCGGTACGCTACGGACGGCCGGGATGGACATCGTGGGTTTTCGTGGGGAGGTTGTGGGGAAAAGGAGGCCGTGAGCTGTCCGAAAATGGTAATACCGGAAGGACGTTTAAAAATAACACCCATTCGGCAGGTCAATGCAACATCTTTTCATATACCAAGAAATGCCAACTACCGCATCCCACCTCGCTGGGAATTTTAATATAATAAGCGCCGCGCCGAAAACCAGGGCAAACACTGCGGACGAAACTAGAATAGGAGAGCTTTGGAGACGGACAGTTACGCGTCGCGACCAAATGTGGACGTGACATCTGTTCTGGACTACCTAAGTATTTGAGAAATAAGCCAGGTATCTCCAGAATGTATGGAATAGAAAGAGGGCAACAATGGACAGAATGGGAAGAATGGACTAATGCCAAAGACTTTTCATGATACCAAGAGATGATTCTATTTTCGTTATCTCGTGAGAATATATGAACTAGACACCAAGTCATCACCACCGACAAGAAACTTAGCTGAGAACGTCATCACGGAATTAATCTCGTCATATCTTCGGACCGAAAGATCGTTTATATTCGCGCAAACCATCATTGATAACCTAGTTGGTATCGAGATCGTTAACTTCATAAGAGAAATTCCCTAGACACACCTCCCCCCATCAACTTCGATATTGATTCCCGTGATGAAGACGGCCTCCTCACTAGCCAAGTAACAGCAAGCGTTGGCGACATCCTCTGGCGTAGAGCCTCGCCCTAGAGGTATTACAGATTCGAAAGCCTTGCGATTCTCGGCTGTGTCTGGTTTTCCGATAAAAAGATGCGTCATTCCCGTGCTTCCCACTACTGGAGAGACTGCGTTGAACCGAATCTTTTGGGGTCCATATTCGACAGCCATTGTCTATCGTAAGGATGCGGTTAGCATTTACCTTCGCGACATTGCGCATGCTCTTAGACATTTCCAACTCGATTAAACCATAGGCCCCAACGAAAGAAGGACACATAGCCCTGGAGAATCGCATACCTTTGTGGCATTGATAACAGCAGCTTTGGAGGCATTATACCAAGTAAGTCTCGGACGTGGTCGAACACCTGCGGTAGAAGCCACTTGAATAAAACTACCAGGCCTTTTCTTCTCTAAGAAATAAGGTAGAAGAACGTTGGTTGAGATGTAGATCGACTTGACATTGACATTCATGACGAGGTCGAAATCCTTCTCGGTCACATCTTCGGTAGGCTTATTGACGTACGTGGCGCCGGCATTGTTCACCACGATATCAAGCTGACCGTAAGTATCCAAAGCTTCCTTAAGAAGATGTTCCCAATCTTCTCGTTTAGTCACATCCGCTTTCGCGAATTTGCACGATAACTCTTGAGCCGCTGCTTGTCCAGCTTCTTCCGAGAGATCGGCAATGATGACTTTTGCACCTTCTTCCGCGAATTTGGCTACGATGCCGCGACCGAAACCCGACGCGCCTCCTGTCACGATAGCGACCTTTCCATCTAGGCGGGGTTTAGGAGACATTGTTGTAGGCTTCTGACTTGTTTCTCGCTGGTGCTCTAGTGCATAAACCGTACCCGGTGGAGACTAGTGACTGACGTCAGAGCATTTTAGAAGAATGGTTTTGGTCGTAAAGCCATTGATCTCATTATAGCGATCGCTAAAGGAGGCGTATAGCGTGCGGGGTACTAATTGGGGAGGCCGATCCGGGCATCATCAACCTCGGGTTACACGGGGTTTTTATTGGAGATCCCCTCATTATTCGGAGTAGTTACCAGTAGTAGTAGTCTCGAGATTATGTGGCTCTTACACCTTGAAGTAATTGGGATAATTAAAATAATTAGAATGATAATTGTAATAAAAATAGTCGCGTTATGTTTAGTTTATGTATAAATGATCTTAGTAGTTTACCTAACGAACCAATTAGGCATGTTGTAATAAATAAGCTTGATGTTGTAATGAAATTACCTACTTACTTATCTAACCCCATAGTACATCATCGACGATGCTACGCTATGTACACGTACATTCGAGATAAGCAGAAATTACCAGCTAAGATATACCAGGAAACGAAGCCGTGAGCTACACTATTTCGAGACTAGCAGAGAATAATGAAACGATCAACTATGAAGAATGGACCGCTGATAACTTGAACTAGGATATCCCTTCCAGTTACGCAGTGTATATCTGGGGATTTGTAAGTATTAAAGTAGTACGAATGTACTCACCGAAGGATCGACTCAGAGATAAGAAACTTGATGTTATCAGCGCCCTGACCGGGGAAGTCGCGTGAGGACCTGCCAAAGTAGAAGTAGATACCTGTACATATGTATTGTCGCTTCCTTCTCACCCGTGTCGCTGATTTCGATTTCTAACAACTTTCACAATCGATCGCCAAATCAACGACGATGGGAAGGGAATCCGTTACGAGCGTCACCCGGCGCAAGTCGGGTGAAGTGACAGCGGCTGACGATGCGCTCGCCAAGATGGGTTACAAAGCTGAGCTGCCGCGAAGCTTGAGTATGCTTTCAGTACTTGGTTTATCCTTTGCAATTGGTACGTATGAAAAGAGAATATCATCGATTTTTGGTAGTTTTTGAAAACTAATTTGTTCATAGTATGTGATATCTTCGCCTCCAATTCAAATTTTCACTTGTGACTCATTAAACAATGATAAGATCGAGAATCGACTGGAGAATCAAGATGCATCTCAGGGACACAATACTAACAATTGGTAGATGGCCGTTCCTTATGGTCTCAGCACGACATTTTATATCTCGCTCTCTAATGGTCAATCGGTCACCATCATTTGGGGTTGGGTTCTACTTTCTCTCCTGTCGACTGCTATCGCCGCTTCGCTAGCCGAAATCTGTTCTGTCTATCCTACAGCTGGTGGTGTATATTATTGGGCTGCCTTATTATCGACACCTCGCTGGGCTCCTATCGCTAGTTGGATCACTGGCTGGCTGACTCTAGTTGGAAACTGGACGGTTACGCTGTCTATCAACTTTGGTGGCGCTCAATTGATTCTCAGCGCCATTTCGCTGTGGAACGAAGACTTCGTAGCCAATGCGTGGCAAACCATCCTCATGTTCTGGGCCGTTATGCTCCTCTGTTATTTGATTAACATTTTTGGTTCAAAATACCTGGATCTCATCAACACCGTTTGCATATATTGGACTGGTGCATCGATTATCATTTTCTTGGTTGTTTTGTTGGTAATGTCGCCGAGTAAACGAAGCGGCGAATTCGTGTTCGCGCACTACGACGCCTCTGCTTCGGGGTGGCCGCTTGGCTGGTCATTTTTCGTCGGGTTACTACAGCCCGCGTACGTGCTTACGGGATACGGCATGGTTGCAGCCATGTGCGAGGAGGTACAGACGCCTGAGCGGGAGGTGCCTAAGGCCATCGTTTGTGAGTATTCCTCCTTCCCGAAACCAAAAAGAAAAATACAGCAGCCTTCCTCCATAGTTCCATAGTTTTTAGTTGCGAGTCACTGACCTAAGGTATTACAGTGTCTGTTGTGGCGGCTGGCATCACTGGCTTGGTCTATTTAATCCCCATCCTTTTTGTACTACCGGACGTACAAACTCTTCTCTCAGTCGCAAATGGACAGCCAGTTGGTCTCATATTCAAGACAGCAACCGGCAGCGCCGGAGGAGGTTTTGGATTACTATTCCTGATTTTGGGTATCTGGTTATTCGCTGGTGTTGGTGCCCTAACTGCCTCGAGCCGATGCACCTACGCATTCGCACGCGACGGCGCAATTCCTGGTTCTGGCCTATGGAGCAAAGTCGACAAACGATTTGACATCCCGCTCTGGGCCCTTACTCTATCGGCAATTGTAGATTGTCTGCTAGGTCTAATCTACTTTGGCTCATCAGCAGCATTCAGCAGCTTCACTGGAGTCGCCACGATCTGTCTTTCGACATCATACGGTCTACCGATTTTAGTCTCAGTTGTTCGAGGTCGAAAACAATTAGAACATGCTTCGTATTCCCTCGGTCGTTTTGGTTTCGTTATTAACATTACGACTCTCCTATGGATTGTCCTTGCAGTATTCCTATTCTGCATGCCGACCAATCTTACCGGACTTGATGCTTCCACCATGAATTATGCGAGTGTGGTGTTTGCTGGTTTCGCAACCATCAGTCTTGCATGGTATTTCATTTGGGGTCGCAAGCACTTCTCCGGTCCTCCGGTTTTGAAGACGGATTTGGCCGATCATGGTGTAGGCGTTGTTAGAGGTCAATCTTTAGACGAAGAATCAGGAAAGGAAGTAAGTACGAAAGAAGCAGCTGAACAGAAGGCTGCAGAATAATTGATATTTTTGTATATTGAATTTTAGATGAATAGAAACAAGATCTGTCGTTTTCGTGTAGATAGTCCGAATATCCGAGATCAAATTGGGCGACTACCTACTCTTCTCTCGCTTTCGATGCTATATGTGAACCAAGTTTTCATTACACTATCGTCATAAAACAAATTCAAGCCGATCAAATCAAGATACTCGCGAGCCAAAGAAGGTCTATTCATCAATCATTCCAGTCTATCTCCAAACCCAAACCTCCATCACCATCATCCCATCTACATCGTCCTATCAAAGTCCAACCCAAACATATCCCGCTCACAAAGCCTTAGCACTAATATGTTCAATCTCAAACCCCTTAAGCCCCTTCGCCGCATCATGGAACTCAGTAATAGCAACCTTGAACGCATCCGTATCCCTGGCCGTCTCATGCGCCTGCACGCTCTCCCATCCCAACAGCACAACCAACGCACGCGTCTTCTCCCCCTTAAACACCACGTCCTTCTCCACGGACCATCCCACAGCGCTTAACCCAGTCGTCCCAGCAATGTCCGCCGCAGTCAACTTCTCCGCAAGAACCTTCGCCAAAGCCAAAGTCGCGACTTCATCCGCGTCAGGCGAGAAATACACGAGGAGAACCTCCGTCACGGGACTCTTATCCAGGACGACAGGAGGGAAGGGCGTGAGCTCCGCGTGAAGGATCTTAGACGGGGCGGTGGCGTGCGGAGCTAGAGAGGAGAGGTAGGCTTTGTAGCCGTCTGTGGCGCGGAAGGCGAAGTGCGAGGAGATGGCGTCCCAGTCGATGAGGAGGCGGATCTGCGAGGGGTCTTCGGTGGTGGGTGAGGAGCGGACGGCTTGGTTGCCTGGTTGGGATTTCAGGGTTGCGAAGATGGGGTTGATGGATTCGGGGGAGGAGGTGGGTTTGAGGGTTGAGAAGACGAATTCGGTTACGGGGGCCATGGTGGATGGGTTTGATTTGTTTGTGGTGGTTGAGATAGTAGTTTGTTGTGTTGAGATGTGAGTGACGTGGTGTTGGTGTTAGTATTGGTGTTTGGTATTGGTAGTAATGATAGTGATGGTGATGGTGATGATGAGAAGAATTTCAAAGTTACGAAAGAGGGCTGAAGCTTATCATTAAATACTACTCCCATGCATACCGAGATAGTCCGTCGTGATATCGCGTTTGTAATACCCTTCTTCTTTCTACCAAACTATCAATACATGTCGTACCACTGATACTACCAGCTCCCACACTTCTGAGCTATCACATACGCGCCAGTACATCCTGCGGGATAACTGACGAGCCGGCACCGTCGCAATCCATCCCGCATATGATGCCTAAGAGCTGACTTCCTAATAAGGCTGTAAGGCTATGCGAGATCGACACCTTCCTAAACTCGATAAGCACGAAACAAACATCCTGGGGTCGAGATAGAAACTCTGTATGGATAGATTAGCGATCTCGCATTGTGCTTCGAGGTTGTATTAGGTAAGTGATTAACTAAGGAATCCAGCTTTGCTGACGTGAGCTGCGTGAGGCATCTGAGAGTTTGAGTTTCTCCGTCGATGAAAAGCTTCGGATATCGTTGTCTAGTATATAATTGGTGGTCTTTTTAAGGGGATGTCTTACCGTTGTTTATAACGAATGGAACGAATATCTTCCACTGGAACAGGATTTTAATGCGTTATGCGCCCGGAAGTCTCGGCGACGAATCGAGGTGAAATATCCGAGGGTTTTTCTGATCAACCTATTCAGCTCCGTTCTAGAAATTCCGACAACTCGGATACCGAAGCTATCACTCCCGGAAGATGCCATACCAGGGATCGTGTTCCTTCTCTACGACTACCCTTCGAAAAGACGACAGAATGACGGAATCGACGCAATAGATTAAGTTACATCTTTGCGAAATGTTTTTTCTGGCCGGTCCGCCGGTCTAGCTTGACAAGACGGCTTCGAATTCTCGAGGGTTCTGATGTTTCCACGCCACCTCTAGATAGAGGCTTGCATAAATCCACAACCTCGGACATATCGGTGATCAACAACGTACTTTGCTGACGTCACGGGCGTAGCAATTCATTTCGGTCCTATTACGATGCTGGGTCCATCTGGATCTTCTGATACTACGATGTAAAGAATTCCGGATCAGCGATCATCTATAAAGAATATATGCTTTCATACGTGAAAAATCACGGACTGAAATACCTCTTACTATCGATCTTGCATCCTCAAGCATTTCCATCAACTCACTCTCGACCATTTTACTGAAGTCGTTCGAATCTGAAACATTGAAGTCCTCCAACATGGGAAATATTGTTTTCAGGAGATGAGCGAATGCCTCTGCCTTCGGTCGTAGCTCCTCAATGTCATTTTCGAAACGTGGAATCGATATCGTTCCAATACTGAGAAATCTGAACTGCTTGCCGAACGAAAATCCCATGTCCGCGAACAACTTAGTTAGCCGATCGGAATCGAACGTCCCGTGTATGTCAAGTTCAACTAATCTTTTCCCAGCATATTTGGCGGCAACTAGCAGCGTGACCTCCGTCAAATCGCATTTCAACGATAGCCGCAGGTGCCTTAATGAGCCCGCCCTTTCTAATAACTTGAATACGGGTCTGGAAAATCCCGTTCCGCAGGCTTCTTTACCGGACACCACTAGTTCCTCTATATCCCAACATCGTTTTTGTACGAACTCGAGCATCATCGCCGGGTTGATCATAACGGGATACGAGCATAGATACTCTATCTTTAGAACGCGCAGTTGCAATCGAAATCTGCAGAGTTGCGAAAACAAGTCCAGCGCCTCTTTACCTTTGATGCTGACTTCGAGGTAGGTGAGTTTGGTCAAATGAGGGAGTAGCATCGTTATCGCTGGGTAAGTTGCTACGCAGACGAGCTTTTTGAGATCTGCAAATAACGATGGGTTGGGATTTGATAATCGTCTCCGGTCCTCGAGGGCTCTGCTCATAAGTTCTACATCTATTGTGATGCGGAAGTCGAGAGTTCTTAGAATGGATGACTGGGCAAGAGATAGGAAAACGTTGGCGATAGCAGCATCACCCTTGCCACATCGCAGTTCTAGACTGCTCAAAGATCTTACACCATCGAGATACATACGAAAGCCTTCTGATGAACAACAGGTGTATAGAGGGTTCTCGATTATCAGTTCTCTGAGTACCGGGCAACAGGTCTATGGTCAGTTGACATGTATGTTAGTGCCGTCTGATTAGGGTATCGTATATCACAAACCAGTAACCTCGCAAGAGTTGCATCTGTGATCGGACCGCCATAAAAATGCAACCTTTCCAACTTAGGTTGGAGATACGGCACCAAGGTAAAGTCGTTGTTGTAGCCTGAAAAAGCCAACGATATGGTCCTCAGGTTAGGAAATCTGTAGTGCTCGAATAATAGATGGTGACGACATTCTTCATCGGTAAAGTCTAGGTGCTCTACCGGGTCGAGGTATCTGGTTTGAAAATCTGGCGGTTGGCTTATGGCTACCTCTGCTAAGTCGCATATTGATGGGCTGATTGCTGTCATGGTTATATTATGATGATTAGATGTTAACTTGGAATGATTGGTTGACTAGAATTAGGAAGAAGTGATGTTTTCAAGGCGGAGGACTTTACTAGGTAAGTGCCGAGCCGGCCACCTGGGTAGGTGCCTGCTAGAGTCGCGGTGGCCGAGATTGGAAAGATATCAGGTAGAAGCTACCTTAACTTTATTTGAACGCCCAGTCGAAAGCGCATATGAAAGTGGATATATTCAGGGGTAAGTTCAAACCGACGACCTTCAGGCATGTGATACATGTCTGGTTGGCATACCCTTTCTAATAAGAGTATTCCCTATGCCTCTACTCTCAACCGCCATGCATAGTAATTTTTAACGCTCGGCTGAATCCAGTAGGTAGTCCAACCCATCCTGCCTCACCTAAACAACATAATCATTATCATGCCGCGTCTTGGTTCCGACTACTTGTCTAGACACCCAGACTCTGCTTCTATTCGACTTTTAACAATGTGGCCAATGTCTAATAAACTCCAGCAATCGCTCTCCGTATTAGACAGACATCTTCATCGGGATCGTCTTATGAGGTTCGTAATTAAGCACAGAAATATCTTCTACCTTCCACCCATCGATGGAGCTTCCATTTTCAGGTGATAGCTTCAGTTCGGGGAATGGTCGTGGTTCTCGCTCTAGTTGGACCTTCAAAGCATCGACGTGGTCGACGTATACGTGAGCATCGCCCATAACATGTGTTAAGCTGCCAGGGACTAAGTCGCAAACATGTGCGAGCATATGCGTTAGTAGCGCGTAGCTCGCGATATTGAAAGGGACACCAAGACCCATATCGCAAGATCGTTGGTATAGTTGGCAGTGAAGATGTCCCTTCGACTTCTCCTTATCCTCATCGACATTATCTCGGCTTTGTCTCGGGAAGGATACGTAGAATTGCGCAAACATGTGGCACGGCGGTAGTACCATCTTCTTTAAGTCCGCCGGGTTCCACGCCGATAGGATCATGCGACGGTCATACGGGTTATTCTTTAACTTATGGATAACATCGGCAAGTTGGTCGTATCCTTGACCGGTATAATCGGTCTTGGCATCAACGTATTCGGCGCCGAAATGACGCCATTGGAAGCCGTATACTGGTCCTAGATCACCGACCTCGCGCTGGGTTAAACCTAGGTTATCTAGGAATTCGCGCGACCCGTTGCCATCCCAGATCTTGACATCCTGCGCGCTTAGAGAGGCGGAAGATGTGTTGCCCTCGATGAACCATAAGAGTTCGGCGATCACGGCGCGGAGAAAGACGCGTTTAGTTGTGAGCAGGGGGAGAATTGGTTTGCCGTTGTCGTTGAGACTGAATTTAAGGGGACGAGGGGCGAATATGGAGTATGTGCCAGTGCCTGTTCTGTAATTTAAAGGTTTAAGTTAGTGTCTAGTCTCGTGTATATACCTAGTAATTATTCTTATTGTCTTTGGACAATAAATTTACTGCTTCAACTTACCGATCCGGTCGGCGCTCTCCTTGATCTAGGATTTCCCGTACAAGTTCGAGGTATTGGTGTTCCTCATGTTGTGCCAAGGATCCCATTTTGTCAAGTAGGTTTCTTTTTACGTCTAATTGGGTATTTAAAGTGTGAAATGACTTGACTAAAGCACAGAGGTTGTAGACGGCGCAAACTTGAAGGAAATAATGTTAATTAGCGACGCGACAAGAAACGCGTCTTGTTTAAGAGGTACAATAGTTTTGTACCGGGCACTTAGGGTGGCATGTTATCGATAAACCGCGGGGTCGCATTCGGTGCCGGAGGACGGATGTACGGGATGGATGAGTTGCATTAGCTCCAGTTCGGTGGTCGGATTATGTGATTTGCGCCCCCACTCAGAAACGGATTATATAATCGATATATTGCAAGGTTTACGTACATCTGTATGGTTACTCACATCCAAGCTAATATAACATGAACACATACTGGTCTAAGACATCAAGTAAGATGACGCACATCTAGCCACCCCTTACGGCGCCAATCAAATTGTGATACGCAAGCACCTACAGTACCTAATCTGCTCCAGCTTAACAAGTTAAGACAAAAGGATCAGATCTATACCGCATCAATCGTCAAATCACCGCCCGAGTCACCAAGCCACTATCTATCGATCACCGCCAATAAGACTATCTCATCTCATATATAGCTCATTTATTAGGGAACTGGTCTTCATCCCACTAATAAGATATCAGTACTTGCTTTCGATCTTCAAGAAAACCTCGACGTTTCAGACGAATATGAGGGAGGGTGAGGGGAGCAAGGGTTAGGTATACACTTACGTGTTCAACAATACAGCCTGCCTCCCATCTGAACCGGTCTGTGATTACACCCTTAGGCATGGCATTATAATTGATCCATCCCATGTTTCCTTCGAATTTTTGATGGAGGGGTGTGATCTGTATGTGGTCCCAAAACGTGGACAAGGTAGATAGAGCGATATCAGGACCGTCACCCGGTGAAAGGGGGGAGTGATTCTGTAGGTGACAAGTTAGAGAGGTCAGCATGTCTGCTAATTCTCGACAAAGAGCTTTCTGTTTCTGCTCTTTCTCCTTCCACAGCATATACACCGTCTGTGATTCATGGGCATACGTACTATGTATATTGAGGATACGTATTCGAACGCTTCCGTGAGGTTGTGCTTTACCATGAAAGCGTTGGCGAACTGGTCGAATCGCGTCCGAGTCTCTTCCTCGCTGGGTAGTGGGTTTATGAATGCGCATGGTTGTGGCGTGGCAATGGTTTCTACAGCATCGTGTACCATGTTTGGCGGTTCGACAGAAGGCAAAGCCATGGTACCGCTTGGAGGGTTAGGGGAGTCGGAAGAGGCAAAGACCCCTAGAGGGGCTAAGAGGATGGCGAGCACCGTAATGGAACACATTCTGAACATCTTCAGCGGAAAGTACGACAAATATCTGATCTACAACCTACAATATTGACCTAGATCGAGGTAACAAAGCATCTTTATATAATAGATCGCCGGACTTTCTTTGGCGGATGTCTCATTTGTCTCATTTATATCGGCTACTGTCTCCACCGTTGAGGGCGCCGCTAGTGCAGCTCCCCGTCTCCTCGAAATTGCGTGAATTATGATCGTTCACCTCCATAAACTAACCAAGTATAAGCTGATAAGGATCGTAGTTGTTAGATGCAGGTGTGATGGTGTGAGCTCTACGGGCATCATCACTAACATTGCCAAGGAAGTAAGAACGCCATCGGGTAACACGAGATGGCTGATCTTCTTTAGCTCGGCATGGGTCCTATAACAGCACTTAAACCAGCACCACTGAACAAGCTCAGTGGAAGCAGGGAGGCATATGTAAGTTATAATCCAAAAAGAGGAGGTATATTTGCTCAATTAATTCTCGGTTTCCCGACATGGTGGGTATGTAATTATGAAGCTCCATGAAGCTCTTATATGAAATGTAAACAACAAATGGTAACTGGGTAGGTAGTAGGTAACTAGGTACGGAATAAGCCAGAAGTCAGAACGTCGGAAGCTTACCTAAAATTATTACTTCCTACCTAGGTACCTATCCATGTCATAGATGAGCCTCAGTTACCACAAACACGTTATGGGGGTACAGAACAACAGCTCTTCTTACTTCGTGCAATTTTGACAGGTACCAGGGTAGGATCAAACCAGCGAACGACGTCACGAATAGACGTGAAAGCTGATATCTGAGTTATAGCTCTATATAGGTATAATTCTAGAGCTGCCTCATCCATTCACACCTTACTCGATTTGGTGACCTAAAGTACCGTGATAGTGGCTAACCTATGAACCTAGGCCAAAATCTCATTCTTCTTACCCCTAAAAAAGCCGGTAAGCTTCCCCATCATCTGACCTAAGCCTGCACGTTCGCTCCCCTCAACCAATCCTCCCCGGATCCAACCAGGCAGTTTTCCTTTTATGCGATCTGTACCAAATCGCCTATCGACCAAGATTATGGCGGCATAATCATTACGGTGCCGGATTGCGCGTCCGATGCTCTGGTTTACCGCACGCATACACGCGTTCTCGTAGAAGTCCCGAGCGGCCTGTTTGGAGGCCGCAATATCTTCAGTTCTTGGTACTGACGGGTTCTTGCTTATAGCTTTTAATCGTGCGAGCGTCGTCGACTCGATGTACTCGATCCGGGCTTTCCAGTCCGGGGAGTGGATATTAGGGTAAGGCAGGCCGATAACAACGACGCAGCGACCCAGGCGGTCGGAAAAGTTGATACCCTCGCTCATTTTCCCGCCAACCACGCTTAGTAGTAGCGCCCCGCTCCTGCCCGAGGCTGGGTGGCGTTTTTTAGTATTCGACTCGGCTTCGTAGCCGTCGCCAAGGATGGCGTGCGTGTATTGCTCTAGAACTTCGTCGCTAGAACCGCCCTTAGTCTCACGGAATGCGGCTTTTTTAGTTTGTAATTTGTCCCAGAGGGATTGTGTCTGTCCGGCGCTAGTCTCATTCCACGTAGCCACTACCTCGTCGAGGTATCCGTAGCTTGGGAAGAAGACGACGACACCATCGGGGACGGCGGTGCAGATGTTAAGAATAGCGATTCCTAGGTCGCGAATCATCGACTTATCGCTACGCTTCTGGAAACTGAATTCGAACTCCGTACTCCTGGCGTCTTGCTTCGGCCCCGAGGAGGCCAACGTCCAGACGCAGAGGTTCGAGGTTGGGATTACGTGACCACAGCTAAGAGTTGTGATCTTGGCTTTTGCCAAGTCCGGGAAAAGGTGAGCCGTATAGTCCTCGAAAGGTGACATGGTACCTCCGGCAAGAATCACAGCTCGCGCGCTCGAGGCGACAGACGAGAATGCATGGGTAGGTGATAGGAGGAGGTATGATAACTTTACATCACTCTGCGAAACCTTATGGTAGAAGATCCGGCCTTCCGAACTTAGGTTGTTTAAGGAGACCAGAAACGAAAGGAGAGTATGTAATACAGGCGTCGAGGAGACTTTAACCGAATTATTTTCGGTACCCTGAGATTCGGCTTGCACAACGTAACCTTCGATCTTGTATGCTAGCTTGGAGTCTTGTATGTACTGAATGAGTTTGTACATATTGATCTGGTCGATACCTTTAGATCTTAGAAGGCTATTAGGATCAACTATCCCTTGTTCGTTCTGACATACGTTAGCATGAACTTCTAGAAATGACAGGATTTCGTCTTACTTTCAGTGCCAAGGCATTTTCTAGCCAATCTCTGAGGCCGTCTACAACTCTAGCAACTTGTCCTACCATAACCCGATTCTCGCCCTTAAGTTTCTTTCCAAACTTTTTCACGTATACTCCAAGCATCTGCCGCGCTCGTTTCAGCTCGCTAAGGCTGACTTCGGAAGCGTATACGTTTGCCACCGCGTCCATAATATTGTGGGCTTCGTCGATGATAACTACATTGCCCTCGAGTTTTATTCCGAGGGCATCTCTAGCGGTCTTTTGCAAGAGCAGCGGGTAAGGAAGCGTAATTATCTCCGCACCAGGTACCGCAGTCCTCGAGGCATAATATGGACAGACGTGAAGCTTCTTTCCGAGTTCGAAAAGGTCTTCGATGTCTGGAAGAGTAGCAAGGGCGTTGTCTCGGAACTGATGCGTGAGGTTTAGGTTATCTGCGTTGGGTACGAACTGACATCGATCTTTCGATTTCGACTGTTGAAGTTCACTACAGCGATCATTGATAGCAGCAAGAGAACTAAGTCGTGATACCGACGGGTTGATACATAGACGTTGGCGGGAAGATAACGGAAGATGTTTAATATCTTCGGATTCTGAGTCGTGATCGTCACCTTTGAGAGAACCTGGAAGAGATGCTGGAAACGTTGGTCTACGCAACTCTGAAATGAATTGAGTCAATTGTGAATGTGTCCTCGACGTATAATAGATCTAAGTAAGTAGGTATGATTAGCGGAAGTACCGGGGGTGTTTTGAGCATAGTGATATGGTGGATGTAGTGAGTATATGTACCTTAACCTCGTTTCCCCCTATGTCATCTTCCTCTTCTTTCGCCTGGAGGGTTCCCATGCCTAATTTTCCCATGAGAGCCCTCGTCTCTTTGCTGTAACCCGATGAATTATCGTTACCTTGAGATGCATCATCGTCCTGACCTTCATCTAACAGCCATTCATCTTCGTCATCGGTAGCCTTATCACTCTTTCTGATGCCGCCATCTTCTAGCCTTCTTCGTTTAGCTCCTCGTTCTTCTAACTGTTTCTCCTTAGCTCGGATTTTCTTTAAACGGGCTTCTCTCTCTTCCCATTGCTTGAGCATCTCTCCTCGTTTCCTCTTTAACATCTGATTAATGATCCAATCAGGTTCGTCTTTAAACTCTTTAGCTGCCTCTGCAATGGAACTCTCAAATTTCGATCTCTTATGGTTACGCAGCCAGGTCAGAGCAGCACATATAAGAGATAGGGATTTCCCCTGGGTTTATTAGCATATAATTTTAGTTGGAGCCAAGCATCGACCTACTGTGCCGGTTGGACTTTCGAGAATCCCAACTTGTCCTTCTCCCTGTTCGAGAACTTCATAAACGGTGCTCATAAACTCCTCTTGGACATCATAAGGTGTATAGGGGTGATGGAAGTCAATCTTCCCAACTCCATCTGTAATCTCATCCATATTGACAACTACTAGGTAAGTGTGGAGTTTTTTGGTAAGTCCACGTGTACCTAGGTCCTAGATACTATTGATAGATATACGAAGACCGTTGGAAATCTATGAGGTTGAAATCCTGGTCTGAAGATGTGAAGATAATCAACAACTGGAGACAACCTCGAATTCCATACACCTACGATGTGGACCCCACAACAACATTGGCATCCGGATGGCCGATATATTGTTCATCATGAGCGGAAGAATACTTGATCTAGGGCTCCAGATAGGTATTTTGGCGGATAGTTATGCCGAAAAGGGAAGGATCAAATATGATTTCCGAGATACTTTCACTTTGGCAATTCTATTCTCGTCCTTTCGTCCTTGGTGGTATATTTGTAGACCGTATTTCTAGTCAACCAGAAGAGGTAATCTGATTGATTCTAATTGGTGCATTTCATACAGAGGTCTAACGCAGTAGAAATTGAAGGTTCAAGGTTGAGACCAAAGTGGATCGGGTGGTGTGGGGGTATCCGTTTCCTAACTGTGGCTTGTAAGCAAATTGCTGAGTCATGTGGCTAATGGATTATTTCAAGGTCGCTGAAAATTGTCTAGTGGCTTTACTCCACAACACCAAACCCTACTCCGAAAATTAAACGAAGAGAATTTCACAAACTTCAATACAACTCAAAACCCACCCTACCTTTTTCCGCAACCCTCCTTGAGTAGGCAGTTTTAATACTTCACATCAAGCCACTCAATCCGACAAAATGCCTACCAGATTAACGAAGACCAGAAAGCAGTATGTTATTCCCTATCGAATTTATTTTCGCCATTTTGTCGCTCCAATCGATGTCGCGTCGAATCGCCATTTTCCATGTCATGCTATAATTTGTGCGAAGGTTTGTCGCATCACGAAGAGAAGGAATTAGACACAACAACAACCGAAAAATAATGATGGTTCGAATAATTGTTATAAAGGAATCCCAATCAATTGGGCGACACGAGAACGAGAGGGTTATTATGGCACTTTTCATGACATCTGGCGCGACAAATCGGACGACACTTAACCTACACTCAACTTACACTCGATTTTAATAATTTACCACGTGCGCTATCTTGGAAGAATGATGCTAACAACTCAATAGCCGTGGCCACGTCTCGGCCGGTAACGGTCGTGTCGGTAAGCACCGCAAGCATCCCGGTGGTCGTGGTATGGCCGGTGGTCAGCACCACCACCGAACGAACATCGACAAATACCATCCTGGTTACTTCGGTAAGGTTGGTATGCGATACTTCCACAAGCAACAGAACCACTTCTGGAAGCCTATCATCAACTTAGACAAGGTACGATACTTGATCTACATATCCCCGATCAGCATATGATGCGGATGTTGCGTTTAGTCTGGTACTGCGTATTGGGAATTACATGTTATAGTGCCGTTTCATATTTCTTTGCTAACCTGATATCTTGTAGCTGTGGTCGCTTGTCCCCACCGAGACCCGCGAAGCCTACGTCTCCGGCCAGAAGAAAGACACCGTTCCCGTCATCGACCTCCTCCCCTTGGGTTACTCCAAGGTCCTCGGAAAGGGCAGAATCCCCGAAGTTCCTCTAGTAGTCCGAGCACGATGGGTCAGCAAGTTGGCGGAGAAGAAGATCACGGAGGCTGGTGGTGTTGTTGAGCTGGTCGCGTAAGAAAATGCGCTGGCGGAAGGGTTTCTATTTGCGGTTCAAGGGAACGGATACCTAACGATTAGGACGGTTGTAACTCAAGGGCCTGCACATTATGACAGGTAGTCTTCGGTTTTCTCGAGCATCGCATGGCATGATCGGATTCTACGAATGGGAGTTCAGCTGAATAAAAAATGCATTTCACCCATATCGATAAACTACCCTGTGATTTGGGACCTAATTATGATTTTCAGGGGTTGGACAAGGACTTTGAATGATGACCATATCACCCCTGGTACGGATGTAGACATCTTGGATGATCTTGTTATGCAAGGTACAAAATCGTTGCGAACAGACAAGGGTTTTTCGTTCCGTGATAACTTCCAAGGCTGGAAGATTAGATCTAAGGAGTAATCGGACAATATTCCTTACACCTGGTACTGTGTAGATCCCAGAGTAAGAATAACTGCAATAAAGTAGCTGCGACATTAGGTACCTAGTAGGGAAGAACTGGAAAGACTATCAGGTACGCACTTCGATTCAACAAGATGTCAGCCATTCTACTGGATACATTGGATAGGTTGCTAATGGAAGGCGACTCGGACAATAGGTATGCTGTCGGATACTGATACGGGATGCGGGAGCGGGATACGGATGTCACTCTCATTGCGATTTAAGCATTAGGTCATATGTCTGCTCGAGGTCAGCTTTCCAGATTGTGCAACTCGAGGAATTAATGATCAACGCATTGTCTAATAGTAAGGGACTCAATTAGAGTTGTATAAATGGTATTCAAAGTTCAAACTAATGCCTTGACTTCAAGATGAATTATCTGTCTTAAGTGATAGCAGGTATTTCGCCTTGTTGAAAATCATTTCTTAATCATAAATACAAGTCACTTCTTTTTTTAGAGTTGAGTTGGAGAATCTCCTAGATTCTTATATCACATTTTAGATCTGGCATGTGATTATGAGAGCTCGGGATCATTCGTCTTGTGATCTAAGACGTTAAGGCATAGCGAAGGTCAGCAACTTTGATATGACCCAGTACCTCTTCAATAAACCAGCCAAAAGCCATTATGTCGGGTAGATAGGGAATGAAAAGAAACAACGTTCGTTAGAAGAGTTAGCATATCCGAGTCTAGAACTCTCATTCGACTCAACTATGACTCTGTTAGGAAGTACTTATGATAGATAGAGAATAGACTCTAGAGCGCTGAGTTCAACGTCATCGCGGAAATAATTATCGATAGGGAAGCCCCAGCTGTCCGGTCCCGGTCCTAGCTTCAACTTAGTGGTCCGAGCTAGCCTGAGCTGGCCTATCAATATCTTAATACAACCTGATAAGCAAAATAATGCGGGACCTTGTAGCACGCTGTAGCGTTTGTAGTACCTATCACCTAAAATACGTGCGGTATACATCTGTGAATGCTGCAATGTGATGCTAAAGTTTAGTTTAACCAGGTCTAGGTTCAAGGTTCTGTAGTCCCAGGCTGCCATGTCACACTCGAAAGACAATCCGAAGATTCGTCCAGTGGTCTCGTCGTCCAGTCTGCCAGTTCAGACTCCATCCACATGCACATTTCAAAGTCAACTTAGTCAACTCTCAACTTTCCCTACCTCTATCCTTGGTACTTGTCAGCTTGTCCAATCAACTGATCCCCAGTCCTGATCCTTAATCTAGTCATAAGTCCTTGCTTCTACTTAGTTTGTCCAATGAAGTTTACCGACCCGACTGATTGTTAAGGGTCTTAATGGTCTCAGTACAATACCGATCTAGCATCATTACTTCGTACCTATCCATTATCTGCCTCACTTTACGTCTGACCGTACACGGGATACCGCATATTGCCTACCGCATACCGCATACCTTTCCTTTCCTTTCTCGCTTACCTGCCTACCTACTCTGTTACTCTGCTACATCTACATTCACGTTTGATAGCAATTTATTAATTTACCATCACTCTATTGACACGATTATGCATCTCCATCACTGAATCACATTGCCTGAATCGACAGGCGAGCTTAGGGCTGATTTGGTAAAAGTCTGACGCCTCGCAGAGCCACAGAACCTTTGTCTCGAATCTTCAATCTTGGCGACGCTGCCTACAGCCTGCATAACCGTATTCCTCTACCGTTCGCCTCTCTCCTGTGTAGCCTAAGCCGAGTCACGCATATTCGACGAAGCTAGTACGAAAAGTATTCGAACTTAGTAGTCAATAATACGGCACTCTAACTTCGCCGCCAGCCATGGCTCCCCCATCCGAAGAGAGTAACGCACACCGGCGCGTTAGTAAGAAGCTTCATAAAAGGCGTAAAGACGAACATCAGCCAACTATGGAGCTTCCCGACCGCTTAAAAGATCACGGTGATGATGTGGACGAAGACGTTTTACCTCCCACGCAAGGACCGCAGATGTTCATGAATATGAATCAGTCGATATTCGGATTGATTGCCGCAGCTGGTTCGAACGTAGACTTTAACGACCGATTTGAAGGACAATCTAGTGACGAAGACGAGGATATCGATCGGGATCATATACTAAGGAAAGGAAAGGAAAGGGAACAAATTGCGCAAACCGTGGTACTGAAGAAGGGCTCCTCGGAAAGAGAAAAAGGAGAAAAGCAACGGAGGAGATTATCTGGTCAACTCTTGCGCTCGCTTCCTCAATTACCGCGACTCACAACGCGATCCAAATTTAAGCAATCGAAATCGTCAGGCGCACAACCTAGCAGATCGAATACTGAGGGCTTGAGCTCACCGACCGCCGAGGACCCGCTCTCTCCCACAATCGACGCCACTAAAACCGACTCCGAAGGGGGGCGACTTGCTCCGGTGATGAGTAGGATGCTAGAGGCGAGGATGGAAATGTCGTCTAGGCAAAGTTTCGACCTCGAAAGGTTGTCGGGCGATCATCGTAGAGCTGATGCGGATGATGCTGGGCCAAGCTTATTGGCTCGCAAGCTGAAACAAATATTCGAGTTCGACGAACCTGAAGAAGTGATAGAGGGTATTGTTCCTTTTCCTGTCCCTCTTGTCCTTCTCCTTGTCTATTGCCGAGTTCAGTTGCGGACTGTGACTAACCTTGCTATCAAGAATATCCTTGTTGGTTATTGCAAAGTGTGCTGCTACAAGGTTACATGTATATCACGGCGAAGCACATTTGCTTTTATGCCTATCTTCCGAAGAAAGCTGTAAGTTTTTTTTCTTTTTCTCTCTTGAGTAGTGAATGATTTGGGAATTTTACTAAAAATTGATACAGCATGAGGTTGCCAAGTCAGGTTACCTGTCAAAGAGCGGCAAAAGAAACCCCAAGTATAGTCGTTATTGGTTTCGCCTAAAAGGGGACGTGTTGGCCTACTATAGAGACCCATCTAACCTCTACTTCCCACACGGCCAGATCGATCTAAGCTATGCTATCTCGGCAAGCGTAGACGAGAAAGAAAAAGATGACTTCTCATTCTCCGTCGTCACCAATCACCGGACTTACCATCTAAGAGCTGACAGTGCTCCGAGTGCCAAGGAATGGGTCAAAAGTCTACAACGAGTCATATTCCGATCTCACAATGACGGAGACAGCGTCAAGATATCCTTACCCATCGAGAACGTTATAGATGTAGAAGACAGTCAGATGATCGAGTTCGCTGACACATGCAAGATTCGTGTTATTGACAACGATGAAACATATGCCATCGACGAGGTAAAGAGCCCTATCAGATTTCCCACATTGTGTCGTTGCTGCTTCATACTAATTCTAATTAAAATAGTATTTCTTCTCTTTCTTCAGCTTTAGCAAGGAAGCAATTAATGTTCTCAAAATTCTATTCGATAATGCATCGAAACAAGATTCTAGCGTTGCAGAGTCAAGTCCATCCCGACAAGCAAAACAGGAGACGCAACCTCGGAATAGTTCCATAAATGTCAAACGGACGAAAGGTCTTCCTCAGCTCGATATCATATCACCGAAACTTCGCGAAAATGTACGGGCGACGTTGGCTCCTATGTCACCTAATAGCCCGCGAGAAGCGAGCCCCCGCGCTAGTGGTGACGTTCCTCGGGGTAGCTTTGACGCATTTCGCCAATTCGGACGGCGAAGCCTTGACCTTGATGCTTTGACGCGGGATGCGTCGCCTCGTCGAAGCTTCAGTGCCAGCAGGTCGTTAAGTAAACACCGTAGGAACGAGACTGCGACGCAGCAGGACAAGATGGAATCTTCTGACTCTTACGTGCATTCGATAGAGGATCCAAGCACATCTGCTCTAGCATCATCGTCAAACGAGGATCCTTCTGGCAGTCAGATTCTTCGAGGTAGCGATGTATTTCGTAGGCCTACCATCCGGCGCTCTGTCTCGATCTCGCGCACTTCTCCACGCGAGAGGTCGTCTGGGACAAGTCGCTTGCGCGAGAGATCGGATGAGTCTTTGCCGTATGTTAAGCGCCACGCCGCCACGACAGGTCATGTGAATAATCTCGGATCTGACGAGAAGTTCGATCAAGCATCTTCGACCTCCCCAGGACTTCAGAAAATAGCCAACATGGGCGCTTACCCATTGCAGCGTGCAGGAATTTTTGCTAATTACTTGAATAAAACTAGCCGCCATATGAGCAACCTTCTGGCTACCGAGTCGATGGGATACGTAGAAAAGGTATCGGGAATGTGGAAAGGAGGGCGTAAACATTATCATGAAACTCCTGCTCTTAAACCTGAAGGTGGGGAATTGGACGACGACGACGACGGTGTTGATATGGACCGATTCCGTGCACATTTCGCACTGCCCGAAACCGAAAAACTCCAAGCAACTTATTACGGCTACATCGTTCGTGTCCTACCCCTCTACGGTAAAGTCTACATAAGCAATCGGTACTTTTGTTTCCGCAGCTTATTGCTCGGAACACGAACAAAATTGATTCTCCCTCTAAAAGATATCGAAACAGCTGAGAAGGAGAAGGGTTTCCGATTTGGTTATTCAGGCTTGGTGGTCGTTATTCGTGGTCACGAGGAACTATTCTTCGAGTTCAACAAGGCCGAAATACGTGACGATTGTGCTGTCACCCTACTGCGGAACCTTGAGACCACACGATATCTTCGAGAAATCGGCAAATTAGACGAGGAAGAACAAGAAGACGCAGATGAAGCGATGGCGGAACGTGACGCACTCCACGAAGCACGACTTCAGGATAACAATGAGCACGAGCTCAAGATGCCCCACGAGACGTCTTGTCTCACAGATTCCTCCCCGACGATTCTTTTCGATGATCCTAAGGCGTCATTCCTCAACTTCAAGCCATCCGAATCGATGAGAGTTACCTGCTTGACAATTGGCTCAAGAGGTGACGTTCAACCTTACATCGCACTATGTAAAGGATTAATGGCCGAAGGCCACAAGGTTCGGATAGCTACACATGCTGAGTTTAAGGATTGGGTTGAAGGGCATGGTATAGAGTTCTCCGCGGTCTCGGGCGATCCCAGCGAACTCATGCGCATATGCATCCAGAACGGTACATTTACCTGGGCCTTCTTGAAAGAAGCCAACTCGAAATTCAGAGGTTGGTTAGACGACCTCCTCGCATCTGCCTACGAAGCGTGTAAAGGTTCTGATCTCCTGATCGAGAGTCCTAGCGCCATGGCCGGCATCCATATCGCAGAGGCGTTAGGTATCCCTTATTTCCGAGCTTTCACGATGCCTTGGACTCGCACACGGGCCTATCCACACGCCTTCGTCATGCCCGAACACAAGATGGGTGGTGCATACAATTACGTTACATACGTCATGTTCGACAACGTATTCTGGAAAGCGACGGCGCACCAGATCAATCGTTGGAGGAATAATATCCTCGGCTTGCCTAACACCAACTTAGAAAAGTTACAGCCAAACAAGGTGCCCTTCCTCTATAACTTTTCTCCGGCGGTCGTAGCACCTCCTCTCGATTACAGCGACTGGATTCGTGTGACAGGGTACTGGTTCTTGGATGAGGGCACCGAGTGGACACCGCCTGATGATCTTATGAATTTCATCCAGCAAGCACGCAAGGACGAGAAGAAGTTGGTTTACGTTGGTTTTGGTTCGATCATAGTGCCAGACCCGGCAAAAATGACACAAGAGGTCATCGACGCTGTTCTAAAGGCGGATGTTCGTTGCGTGCTATCCAAGGGATGGTCCGACCGTATCGGTAACAAGGATGCGGCAGTCAAGGAACAAGAATTCCCACCCGAGATATTCCAGATAAAGAGCGCACCACATGATTGGTTATTTGCTCAGATGGATGCTGCCGCCCACCACGGTGGCTCAGGAACGACAGGTGCTAGCTTACGAGCCGGTATACCTACAATTATCCGCCCCTTTTTCGGCGACCAGTTCTTTTTCGGTAGTCGGGTCGAGGATCTAGGCATCGGCATCTGCTTAAAAAAATGGGGTGCCAACAGCTTCGCGAGAGCCTTATGGGAAACCACGCACAGCGAACGAATGATCGTCAAGGCTCGGGTTTTGGGAGAGACCATTCGAAAGGTAGGTTTTCTTAGTCCCTATCTGCCCTATCTACCCTGTCTGTGCGTACTTTGTCTAATTATGTTATATATAGGAAAATGGTGTCGATACAGCAATTCAATGCATTTACCGAGACCTCGAATATGCCAAGAGTCTGATCAAATCCAAGACTGGCAAGAATGCAGCTACAGCTAGCAGCCCCGACGGAACCACGATTGATGACTCGGAAGAGGAGAGCTGGACGTTCGTCGGCGGCGACGAAGTCGACCCGGAGCTTGTCGTTAAGAAAAGCGCGCTCTCCCAGTTGGAAGCTAATATGGGCGGAGTCTCGGGCATGGCTTCGATGGGTACGAGGCTAGCCGGAGGTAGGGGAACGAGCGTAAGCACCTCATCGACCACGACGGGTTCTTAGGGAGATTCCTGTACGGTCGGCTAGTGTCTTGGCCTTTGGGTCGGAATTAAGACTTTACTTAGTGGGGTTTTCGGCGACGACTGGATTCCGACGCGAAGAGCGGAGAGGAAAGGCACAGCAGAAAAGGGGTGAAGGTTAATGATTTCTGGAAACGGGAAGAGAGTTTTAGTGGTGTGCGATTCATTAATGTTTACGATGGGAATTTCATTATGCAAGGCTTGCATAGTGGATAGGGGCGCATGCGCGTGCATAGACTGCTTCACCCTACATTGGCAGCGCAGGCGTTAGATGGGTACTATTTCATCTGTCTCTTTTCGTTCCATCTTATTCAAAGGCCTACCAAGTAGGTAAGGACCTACCAAGGAGAAATACACGAGCTCAGGATTAATCAGTGGCCGCGAACTCGGGGATACGGACAGAGCAGACAGGCAGGAAAGAGACTAGAGAGACTTTTCTAACCTCACTGTATGAGTATTATTAATAGATACTAATGACGACGATGATTACTAGCTCTTGCTTTTGCTTGTTTTTCTGGGGTTACCTTTGGTCTTTTGTCTTTGCCGATTGCTACTTGACAGCTTGTGTATACCTAGGTACCTCATACTATAGAGGATGATACGTACGATGTGAATGAGGCTCAAATGAGATGTATGGTCACAAACTAATAGGTGTGATCAATAGAAGTGATGGTATAGATACAGTAGCATAGATGTGATAGTGACAAAAGTGACAAAAAGCAAATTGCTTCGGACATCTAGATAAACACCCACTGAGATACTAGGCAAACACGCAGATACTAGGTGGCTATAGGTAGGTATCTCTCATAGCTCTGACTTCTAATTTCTACTAGGTAGCTACATACATAATTCTGAGTCACTATAGTATCACGTACAGATTCATTATTCAGGGGCAAGATTGATAGGTCAGGAGATGCACTAGCCACATGCAGAGAGCTTCAGCCACATGTCCTGTCGATCCAATGAAGCTCCCTGTCTCCCTAAGCTCCCCGCAAACGGACAAGGGTCAGCGAGGGGTTGCCTGTCGAAAGGTGCAGACCCAGCCTGTCGCGCTTGCCACCAGGTACAAAAAGGCCCCCTCATCCCCAAGGGATTTTTTAAGCGGAACACAAGCTTGCCCGTGAATTTGAGTGAAAGAGGTGTTTGTTCGAAGTGTCAGTGTCGAAGTGGCTTAGATCCTAGATCTAAACGAACCTTCCTTTATTCTTTCGCTTCCATCCCGTCATAGCATCACCTTTTTTTAATGATTTTTATTTTTTGAACCACCTTTACATTCGGAACAATTCTTGGAAATATTGGAATAAATTTCAACCAACGGTTACTTGCGACTTGCGCCACAAAACATACGCATCACTTTCGAACCATCCATTTCGTCAAGGTCGTTTGACCAATTGGCGCAAAGCAACCCTCCAAATCGTCCTAATCGTCCTAATCGTCTTTACATAACGTGCTATCAGTTACATAACTCCTGCATAAGTAACCACTAAAAGAGGTACTTTATTCGGTACACGTGCAAACTCACGCAGACACGCACAATACATACACAATAAGCCGGTACATAAAACATCAGACATATAGTATGTGGGTCAATTTTCCTTTCTTAATTGCTTAATTGAGGCTTGAAGCACCCGATTCTTCACGTCATCTGATTGGAAGTATTTTTGTACTTGACCAGTCGCCATACAAACAATGCCATCATCACCCTATTTCAAGTGCATGCAAGTGCCGGCTTATCTGTCGTATCTCATTCATTCTTACTAACCAAAGCTGGTCCGGTCATTCACTACATTACTGCGTCAGTCATAAAGGTTGCCTTGTCATTGTTCCTTTTATAAGTACCTTACTACACGGACAGCGGTATATTTCTGTTCCCCATCCACCGACGAGAAGGTCCGCATGTATGATACATACTTGGCAGTACCTATTTATTTTATCTGAAGCTTGGACCTTCCATTTCCTATCCCTATCCATCACCCATTGGAACCAAATTACCCTTACCTAAGCTCCCTTTGTCGCTCTTCGTCGCCATTCGTCGCCATTGACCACTCACCTCGGTCTTGATTGGTTTCACCGAAGTTACTTCCCCAATTGGAACAGTTACACAGGACCGGGATAGCCCGTCCACGTTTATTTGTCACTTTAAATGTATCACAGTACCTTTTCCCCTACGAAATTGAATTTCCCATGTTCATTTAAATTTCGTGACTAACCTTCTTTGGTTCATTCTAGACCCAAACCTGGAAGCTATCACAACGCGTGCACAAGGAAGCATACCTCAGGTAATCACATAAATTCTCCTCCGCACATCAACAACAACGTACATCCCCCTTCACAAGCTTTTCCAACGATTACCGCCACTGCGGCACGACATGAAGTTGTCACACATCTAGCTATCTAAAAACATCTACCCAGTCACATCCACTTGTCTACCTCTCTACTCGTACCGACTACATCTACATCTCCTTTCACGTCCGAATACTTACACGCACTTCTGGGACTTAGCTAGCAACGCTGCTACCAACTTGCGCCTATTACTTCGTTGCTGCAGCATTATCTTAGTGCTTGTGCATTAGCTTCGACGCCTATCGAAAGGAATATTCCGTGCCCAGGTGCAATGGGAAAGGCTGGAGCTCTTGAGCTTGATTCAACTTACTTTCACAGCTTCCGTCATCGATAGGTGTGCCGCGCAACAGTTAGTATACCCTCACTTCCCCTATACCCATATCCACATTTTGCATAATAGCACGCGAACTTTCTTTGTCCTATTTTCCGTGTCTTATACACGATCCGTCGATCATTTGTCCGGATGTCGGTATTCATCGGTTGCTTTGCTCGAGCCTATCCCGTCCCCTCTAACCCCTACCTCGAACCTCTCAAATTCGACAACTGACACATCTCAATGTCAACTTTAACTACGCGTACACGATCTACCCATCTTCCAATTAGTGTTAACTTTATCTCTATCGTCTAGACTATAACGTATTTGGTGCATGACCGTCCTTGCATTATCCGAAACCGCCAACGATGGCCAAGACACTACGACTAGGAGCTAAGCTCCGTTATCCTATCACAATATCCGAATTTCTAAAAAACCACGGCGAAGATGTTACCAAACAACAACCAATTCTACGATACACCTTCAAGTACAAACGCCTCATCGGCGATCCAAGTAAAAACGAAGAACGCGAGATTGAAGAAACAGGTGTGGCGGATTGGGACAGTCCTGCCGAAGGCAAGATCAAGCAATGGCAGGTCAAAATAGGTGACGTGATTAGGCGAGATCAAGACCTCGTTGCTATCGAAGAAACCTGCGGCCACGAGATACAATATGCCGGACTTTGCGCTATATGTGGCAAAGATATGAAAGAGGCGACTTATGCCAGCGAGTCTCTCGACACCGAACGCGCCACAGTCGCTATGGTACATGATAATATCGCTCTTACCGTCAGCACTAATCAGGCTACACGCGCGGAGATGCAACTTCAACGCCGATTACTGAAGGAACGAAAACTGAGTCTCGTTGTCGATTTGGATCAAACCATTATTCATGCCTGTATTGATCCTACCGTAGGCGAATGGCAACGTGATCCTTCTAACCCTAACTATGAAGCCGTTAAGGACGTATGCAGCTTTCAACTCGATGATGGTCCACGAGGAGCAACTAGTGGCTGTTGGTATTATATCAAGATGCGCCCTGGCCTAGCTGAATTCCTAGAAAAGGTTTCCCAATTATTCGAATTACACGTTTATACGATGGGTACGCGCGCGTATGCCCTGAATATTGCCAAGATCGTGGATCCTACACAGAAGCTTTTTGGCAACCGTATCATTAGTCGAGACGAGAACGACAGCATAGTAGCCAAGAGTCTACAACGACTATTCCCCGTCAGCACCAATATGGTCGTGGTCATTGATGATCGAGCAGACGTGTGGCCCCGAAACAGACCGAATCTAATCAAAGTCACACCCTACGATTTCTTCACAGGTATCGGTGATATCAACTCGAGTTTCTTACCTAAGCGTGAAGATCTCGTACCTGCTCCGATGCCACCTCCAGAGCCGAAGGCCGTCAATGGCAACGCGGCGCCGCAACCAACCAGTGATGCTGATACTAGTTCTAACACGGATCAAGCAAAACCATTGGCAAACGGCAATGACGAGAATGCGTTACTCCAATTACAGGCAGAGGAGCAGGAACGTACACTAGAAAAGCAGCTTAAGGATCGGCCGTTGCTTCATCTGCAAGAAGAATTGGATAGGGAAGATGAAGAAGCAGAGAAGAAGTCGACCGAGAACGGTGACAGCCCGGAACCCTCTATGAATGGTGAATCAGAAAGCCCTTCGCATCAACGACACAAACTCCTACGCGACGACGATCGAGAACTCAGATACCTCGAGCAGCACCTTACTACCTTACACCACTCATTCTACGCACAATACGATGCACGATCTGCGCACCTCCACGCGAACGATATCGTACCTGACATAATCCCCGACGTAGGATCAACGCTTAACTTCTTAAAATCGCAAATCTTGAGGGATACGAGACTCGTCTTGTCAGGTCTTGTTCCGTTAGACATTGACGTGCGTAGAACAGAGATCGGAATGCAGGCGGAAAGCTTTGGTGCGGAGATTAGGACGCGCGTGAGTCGTGAGATTACTCACTTAGTAATTAACATCGCCCGCCCGCGAACTCAGAAGGTTCGTCAGGCAGCGCGTATTCCTAGCATTAAGATCGTAAACCAGAACTGGCTAGCAGATTCGATCGCGCAGTGGAAGAAGATGGACGAGGATCAGTATCTTGTCCAAATACACCCTGCCGATCGAAATGCCGAGACGCCACTAGAAGGTTCTGCCTCGCCGCCGCGACCGAAAAGAATCACCATCTATACGTCTGGTCAACAATTTTTCGAGGATGATCAGGACGAAGAGGATGACGATGGTGATGCAGACGGCTCGGGAGATGAGGAGGAAGAAGATGATGACGATGAAGATGACGAGTTAGAGGATAGGTTTAATGTGATGCCACCCGAGCTTATGGACGGTGAGCATAGTCCTATAGAGGATCTCGGAGGAATGGAATGGGGCGATGTCGATAAGGAGCTCGAGGAATTTATGGGATCGGATATCGACGACTCAGATTTTGAAAGCACACAAGGCACGGACCACGGTACAGATACGGAAACGGACGAGCCGAAAAGCCGAAAGCGCAAGCTGGGAGAGGATGGTGACAATGACGATGACCTGGGAGAATCAGCTACGGGAAGCGTCCTAGCTAAGAAGCAGCGCATCGCAAAGGCGAGGACTACGGGTCTTCGCAATGTAAGGAATGCTACGGATGAAGAGGACGCCGAAGGTAGCGGTCTCCCTACACCATTAGGCACGGGTGACGAGGATGCGAACGGGGTTGGGGATGATGATGACGATGATTTTGCCGATCTAGAAGCCGAGCTAGAGGCCGAATTACGAGCCGAAGGCGAAGCAGGTTGATCTCGTCGTCTACTACTTACCTTACCTACTACCTTCTAGGTGAAATATCTGGCCAAGGAAAATTATTGGAGGAAAAGAGAAGGAGAATTGTTCTGTTGAGAAGTTGTCTGTATTATGAATGGATGAATGCATGACCTGGGCGGCGCATAAAACAGGCATATTAAGATCTTCATTCACCGCAAAGGGGCATATATTGTGGCTCTCGGTTTAATCGATGTTTATACTCTTTTTTATTACGTCTTTTACCTACCTACTCTACATCTTTTCTTACTTCTTAACCGGAAGGCGTTCTTCAGTTCGCAGCCCGGCAGGTAAAGCTGGGCTGGCGGGTAGGCACACGGAATGATACCGGGTAAGGAGGTTAGGTTTGGCAGTTTTGGTTGCATAGCGATTAGTGTGATTAGTTGAGTTGAGCATGGGACAATATACGTCCTTTCTTCGTGTATGGTTCTTAGGTATCGATTTGTGTGATTTGAGCTGTGTTTGGTGAAGTTGCTGTACTTGAAGATATTCCTTCATGAATTCTCGAATGTGTAAGGAACGGGATGCACGTGATCTGATTACATAACACTCGTCTCTCACGTGTCTCCACCTTTTATTATTTACGACAACCAATCAATGGCCCCGAATCTCAACCCCCGACCGGTCGACAAATCAACCGTCATCAATTGGCCGAAGCTTCGATTCAATCGATTGATGTTTCTCAACACCGCACCACTATCACGAAGTACCTAACCCCGAGCTCTACGATCCGCGAGCTCGACACGTTGGTCGGCGACCTACCGAGCGAAATAAAAATAGACGGTTAGAAAAACGAAAAGAAGCCAAAATGCCGCAGGATATGCCCCCCACCGGGGGCTACGGCCCTGTTCAATACAAGGTTAGTTGTGTTTATTCGAGCTGTTGTATTTTCCCGAGGGCGCTGGCAAGGACAGGAATGGTAGGGGATTGATGAGAATGGGAACTCGGAATTGGGCGAGTTGATTGAGTCTGAGTCTACGGGACAGAAGAGGTGGATTGGGATATACGGATTGTGCTGTGGGGGAATGGCTTGCGGCGATTGGGTTATGGTGGTGTTGGAGCGGTCTAAGGTTTGAGAGAGTACCCTGGGGAGTTCTTCGTTTGAGCGATAGCTTCGCCAGGATATGGTGTACGCATTCGACTCTCGCGCAAGACTCATATGGCCGGCTGCATAGACGACTTCGTCTGCAATATACGATATCCCGCAAGCGTACCAGTTCAGTCGACATACGAGAGGAAGATAGAATAGGATAAACGGGGAATGAGGCGATATAACACAACTGGGCGGAACTGCTGTTCTTATTTCAGAACCGGAAGCTAACTTAGACCATAGCGCAACCTCCCGGCCCCAGGTTTCCGCCCAGCAACCCTTCTCTTCGGCATGGGCGCCATCATGCTCTACGGCTTCTACAAACTAGGCAAGGGCAACAAGGAGCAGAAGTATGTTTCCCTCCCCCCCAGTCAACCCTTTTATCCAGTCTGGTATAGCATAGATCCAACAACACTAACTCCAATCCCAGCGAACTTGCCCGAGAAAAGCTCTGGTCCCGCATCTACTTAATCCCCCTCCTACAAGCCGAGGAAGACCGCGACCAAGTGCGCAGATACCTAGCCGATCAGGCGCGAGAGAAGGAGCTCATCGGCGAGAACATGAAGGTGTATAACACGGATCGGTTCGTGAGACCTACGTATGCTGTTACGCCGGCGAATATTACGAAATAAGGGATGGTGGTGTGGTTATGGGGGCGAGATGGATAGGAATACACTGGCTAGAGTGGAAGAGCTCCCCGTGTCAGGGTTGGGGGGTTGTATATACATATGAAGAATGAAGAAATTAAGATCGTGAAGTCAAATGACTTCGATTGGATGCTAGTGACTCTTATGTGAGATGATGTCTACATGTCTCCCATGGGCTTGTGCTTCACGCTTGTTCAATGCAGGGCGATCCCGTACAAGTAACCCCAGCTGACCCCGAGGACTAGGTATGAGGCAGATATAAACTTGAAATTCACATTACAAGGTCGAAAGAAATATCGATCCAACATAGTACAGAACAATTACCATCCATCATCTCATTGAACAATCATCATTCATTTCATTTCATTCAAAACAGTACATCTCACGTAGCCGCTCAACTTATTTGATCTTGACCAGCAACGCCGTACTCCTTCCATCGTCATCATCCCAACCAAACCGTATTATTCATACGGATGTTGCTTAAACCGGTCAGTACTGTAGACAAATATCATAAGAGCCACCATCGCCATCCAGTCTAAGCAGCAGCATGTATAACCTTGAACCCCTCGCTCACGACCTTGGTTATTTCTTCGTTCTTGTGCTGGAGCAGACCCAGGGCATACGCGACGTCGTTCCATTGGCGTTCGGACTCGCAGCGGGGAAGACGAGCGGCCAGTTTCTCGGCGAGCTGTTTAGCGTGCTTGTCCTGTAGTTTATTATTGTTAGCAAGGCTAAAAATCTGGTAAAGCATAAGAAAAGGACAGAGGGAGGAATACCTTCTCAACGAAACCCAACAGGAACCTAACGATCCTCTTGAATGACTCCTCTTCCATCCTCTGATCCGCCGATAACAAGCTGAACATATCCACGAAATGGTTGTATACCGCATTATCCTTGGTACTCAGCTCCGTGAAGAACATGCGTGCCAGATCCGCGATTCGCTTGTCCTCGTCCTCGAGACACTTCGCCATCTCGCCTAACTGTCCCTTGACCTTGACCTGACCAGCCAAGATCAAGAACGTCAGCGTCATGAGACACGTTCGCTTGACGGAAAGATCTCTGTCTGCGAGTCGGCGGTATAGGAAGTCGGTATTCTCGTCGATGAGGTGGTTGAAGCAGACAGCCATGTCGCCGAGAGCGATGACGACATTGGATCGCACTGTCGCGTCGGGAGATCGCTCCATGATAGTGATGAGTAGCGGTAGGTGAGCCTCGCAGTACTCGCTGCTAACACACATGAGTTTCGCTAAGCACAATGTCGCGGCTGCTTGTAGGCTCTTGTCCTTATAAATATCGCTGCGCGAGCAGATCTCGGCTACCATAGGTCCATAATTACCCAGTAGCGATTGTGGTCCAAACAAGAGTTCTTGTTCACGAATATGAGCCATGGCCTCTGTGAAATCGTCTTCGGTTGTACCACCAATTAAATCGAGTTCGTCGCCTGGATCCTCTGCAGCTGGAGCCGGTGTCTTGCTCTTACGACCTACGGAAGGTCTGGGCTCGGCGGGTTTAGCAGCGGCCTCCTTCTCTTTCTCTTGCTTCCGGCGCTTGAAGTCGAGTTCGCATAATTCGAGATGGACGATCTGCTTGATAGCTACATGGCCAACGATGAAGAGAAGCTGGGAGAGCGCAATCGCGGCCTTTTGTTTGGGTTCGGCTGGTGGTTCCGGCGTTAGTTGGTTGATTGTCTGAGTGGGAGCGTCGAGATTCATGGTAATCCCCTGTGTCATTCCTTGGTCGACCGCAACGGTAGCGGTTGGGTCGAAATCGCGCGACCCCGGACGCGATGCGTAAGGAGATTTTTGCTGTGCCGCAAATACGACCTTCGTTCTGCGTCTGATAATCTCGGTACACAATATGTCGGGGTGTTTGGCGAGGACATAGATAGCATTGATTGCCTGCTCGGCCACTCCAAACCACTCCTTGCTATCGCTAGGCACCTCGGTAATTGCTGCTAGTTTCGCTAGAACGGCATGTTCGTTCGGGAGACGGCTGAATTTGACTGTCGATTCTTTCGCTTGTCGGCCGGTAGGGTTAAGCCTTCTTAAAGCAATGCATGTAAACTTGGCCAGCTGAAGATCGGCTCGTCCGTGAGATCCAAGACCCGTTCGTAGCATTGTCTCCATCTCGCCGACAACGATCTCGGGTGAGGCCGTAGCAAGCATGCCAAGCACAATGATCGCACCTCTTCGTTGAGATCGGGATATCTCTCTCTTGTGGAAGCCGTATACCTCCCAAAGCTTCGTAACGACTCGGTCGGAAATCATGCCACCTTTCATCATGGTCGCTAGGAGTTGTTCTAAACTTGTTAGTTCCGCTGGTGTCGTACCCGAAGTAAGACTGATCATGTTTCTTGCGATGTAGATGGCGGCATCGTTGGGGGTGAAGCTATCTGGTGCCTCGAAGAATAGTCGTCTATAACAGTCGATAAGATGCGTTTGTACACCCTTCCCTTCATCACTGTTGCCCTTCGTCCAGATGAGACGCATCATTCGTCGAATTCCAACCATATTATCTTCGATGTTGTATGCATTACCAATCTCTAGGTAGTCCATCGCCTCGATAACCTCAGACTTGTTCTTGGACCCGAGTAATTGGCAGACGGTGGATGTAGCGTCGTGAAGGACCTCAATGAATTTGAGGGCATCAGTATAGTATCGCTTCGTTAGGGTCAACTTCTCGATAGCTTCCGATGTGGCGGCATCTTCTTGGGCCTTTTGGACAGCCGCTATCTTCTCCTCGTCGGTCATCTCCTTGGGCTTCTGAGGCGATTCTAATTGTGTTGGCTCGTCGACTAGCGCCGTACTGTTGGCCTTGTCTTCTCCTAAACCTGGCTCTCCTGCTGGTGGCTTCAGGGCATCTAATTCGGCATCAACCTTGTCTAGTCTTCCTTGCCAATCCTTGCGACTCAATTGGGCTCCGTGCAGCACGGTGAAGGGGTGCGTCTTGATTAGGGTCCCTAGAAGTTTTATGGCGTTTCTCCTGACGTGGCTACTCTTGTCCTCGAGACTTCGACAAGCTAGCTCAGCTACTTTCTGTCGACGCTTAGGGAATTTCTGGTCTAGATCACAGAGTCTTGTGTAGACTTGCATGGCTCTGCATCGGCAGTAAGGATTGATGTCGAGGAAACGTTCCTCTAACACATCGAAGAACGCATTGAGCTGCGATTTGTGGTTTTCACTACGCTCTTCCTGGGTGGTGAGATGAGCAATCATGTTGCCGCAGACTTCGATTAGCGAGCATCGCAAAGTGTACGACTGGAATATGTTAGGTTAGTTCACTGTATCATTGGAGTAGACATACCTCGCTATCCAACTGTTTAGCCAACATCGTCATCTGCTTGATCACTAGCCGGGGAACAAGTTCTGAAAGCTTAATAATGAAGGATGAGACTGATTTGGGGCCCTTCGTGTCGTTGGTGTTGAATTCCTTATTACTAATCTCTCTCAGAATCTCATCGGCCAACTGTGGGTAGTCGTATTGTTCCGCTAAAATGTGTAAGAACTCGGCCATCGGTTCGGAAAGATGCTCGAAGTAGGTTAGATTCTGGACGATGGAGATTTGCGCCGCTACTGCTGTGTTAGCCTTCTCACCAGGAAGATATCCCTAGACATAGTCGCTCACCGTAGCCGTGACCATGATGTTTCACGGCGATACAGAGGACTTTGAAGGCATGCATTTTTATGGCAGTGTTCTTGACCCTCTGTTCGCTCTCCAAGACCATGTAGACAGGCCTCGTAAGAAGGCCGATGAAGGTATCACGTTCGCTAGTTGTCAGGAAGATCTTGCCCAACTTCATTTTAAGAACCTTGGACATGACGTCTAGAGCCGACTGCAACTGAGCGACGCTATCCCAGCTACCATCTTTATCTTTGCTCGCGGCAGCCTTCGACTTGGCGCCCTTACCCCTGGCACGCGATACTGGAGCAGAGGAAGATTTTTCGGCAGCTTTTGTCTCGACGCAAGCGATAGTCCATTGGAGGAGAAAGCCGTATATCTCAAGTAGGGACTTGTGATGGGCAATCATCTCTTGTTCCTCGGGATTTTCGAGGTCATGGTTGATGGTATCGGCTTCAGCTGATAGGCCGCTCATGATCAAGTCGAATATCTTGCTGAGGGCATGTGTGGGCAGGAACTGCGTATATCTGGATTGTAGGAAAAGCTTAGAATTTTGTTCTTGTGATTTCGAAGCTGGATGCTGTGAAGTCTGAAGGTCATCAGGGGGATCAATGGAAGTGGGTGCACACTTAAGAAGGAATTGCAGCGAATCGAAATACGAGCTGCGCATGATGGCATCGGGGTTTCCAGCAACAGCATCAATAATAGGATTTAATATCGGGTTGAGGAGAGAAACGTTGGATAGAGATTCGGGGTCGGTTTCGCAGTCGACTAAAGCACTATCTGCTTCCGGTGTGGCGATGGCTGCAGGATCACTCATATAGTGCTTGAGCGCCTCATTTATATCGAAGTTGACCTGATCCATCTTCGCGGTTGTATTTGCGCCAGGTCAGCGCAGCAGATAGAGGATAGAGGCAAACGGAGAATGAGGAGGGTCGGATTAAATGTGATTACGAGTATACACAGAGTTAGAAAATAGAAGCATGAAGGATGTCATTAAAAGACATTCAGTAAGAAGATGGAAGAAAATCTACTGCGCTTGCAATAGGAGTATGGGTATCTCATGCGTATTTCTAGCTGTATCGCGAAAAGAATGAGGGGATCAACAATAATGACATGGAGGTGTAGATTGATACGTTAGTGACGATGCGGTGGGTGCGGGATGTGGCGTAGCAACCGATTTGTTTTTGTTTAGTTACACGCTCACGCTTCCCATTTTGTATTAAGGTTTGCTTCTCAACCAATCAGAATTTTGTGAGGGGATTGTGGGACATCCACCCATTTAGCACCGCTTGTGGCACTATGCAGGTACCTAAGTATTGTACATCCACAGATATCTTCCACCATCATCGTTCTCTCAGGATGCAGTTGTAGATATTACTTTCGTAGGTAGCTATTTGAATCATGAAAGAGATTGGAAATGGGAATATTCATCGGTTATTATTGTCAAAAAGTTAATATTTTCACAGTTGCTTCTTATATCTCTTTCTTGTGTTTGCAGCAAGTTTAACTTGAGAGGTATTCTCATATCAATGTCTGCTGTGATGACCTCTTGACTTCCTCTACTTTCAAATCTGTATAATTTCTTCCTAATTTATCGAGTTACTTTGTCGTAGACCCCAGATGATCACCAAACGCATCCAATCTTGCACTCTATAGATTCGCACTGAAGTGTTTTGATTAGTTAGCATAGGGAGTCGACGGACTTCCACACTAGTTCCAAGACCATTGATTCGCTCATGCAGAGTCAGACCATGCAGCTGATATAGAGCTAAATAACAGCCGGACTTTCATTCACAGCGGGGTTAGCTCAGCTGGGAGAGCGTCAGACTGAAGTCCAACTTCAGGATTCTATAATCTGAAGGCCGTGCGTTCGATCCGCACACACCGCATCAAGAATATCATGAGGATCTCAAGATCCTCATCCTTTTGTTCGAGTTTCCTTTTTTCAACTTGCTTGTTTTGGGGGTTCGAACAGTTCAACTTTTTGCCGTCCGTTTTACAAGTATGGCACACACTCTTTTTAGTTACTTCAACAGTCTGAATTGAAAAGGTTCTTATGTCAGATGCCATATTTTTTTTAGCCTTCAACGTTGAATCTACAGTGTCGTCCTTGGATTAAGTACAGTACACTTATTTTTGCTTTTGTAGAGTAAGACAGAAAGTGCGCTAGGCGTTTCGGAGTTCTGATAAACTTCAAACTTAATACGGCCTCTATGGAAGGATTCAGTTGTTCTCATTCAATCAATACTAAAAGGCAGCTACATTCTTGCAAGAATATCTTCAAGCAGATACACTGCTTCTGCGAAGAAATTGCCCCGCGCTTACCTCCAGCTAGCAGTAGCTAAAACGCGTCGAGCAACCTTCCGAAGAACCCCCGGCGCATTAATTATAGGTACCTGCAGGGCCTATGTTTTTATTTACTTCGATTACCTAACCAACTGGAATTTACGTATAGGAATCACCAAAACCACCGCGATACTTTCTTCAATTCATAATCATAATCCGACTTGATCATAATTCCTTTGACTTACTAGGAACCCTCCACCAATTGGCTTCTTAACAATACATACATTTGGCTAATTACATCGCTATTATTGCTTTAATTGCGACTTGGTTGCGAGGTGTCTACCGCCCCTCATTAATTCTCACTCATTGCCAGATGATAAAGTAATAGAAGGGGATTGAAAAAGAAGAAAAAGGCAGAAGAGGAAATAATATTGGGGTGCAGTCTGGGGATGAGATTAGAGTGCTAGGAGAAGTTATATATTCTAAAATTCGGGACCATGGCTGCTACTAGCCAACGTCGAGTCGCTAAGGAACCATTTCGAATCCATCGCGACGAAGCCGTGGGCGAAACGTCAGATGTTGAGGAATCCGCACAAAGGCGCACTCGACGAGCTGAAGATGACTACGAGAATCACGAAAATCACGATGACCATGACGAACACGAAGATCCATTAGAAGAGGCTGAAGAGGAAGAGCAAGAGAACCCTCTCATCGACGACGACGGCAGCGATACCGAATCTGATGATACCGATGATATCGATATGAGTGTCCAACATGACATGGACAAACTTCAAGCTACATTTCCCGATTTTAAGGATAAGTATCGCCTAATAAAGCGTATCGGCGAAGGAACCTTTTCTACCGTCTACAAGGCCGAAGATATCCAGTATCATCAGTACGAGAATAGTTGGGATTTAGACGCTGCGGATAATCAATGGCGACCTCCCCCTCTTAGAGGTGCTTCTCGTTCTCGATCTCGATCCGGCTCCCACTCTTCCCGTACCCACCAGAAGCCAAAATTCGTGGCAATCAAGAAGATCTATGTCACGTCTTCTCCCGCCCGTATTCTCAACGAACTCGAACTTCTCCATGACCTACGCGATTCCAATTCCGTATGTCCCCTTATTACAGCTTTCCGACACGCCGACCAAGTTCTCGCCGTCCTTCCATACTTCCGTCACCAAGACTTTCGAAAATACTATCCCCAAATGACTGTATATGATATGAGAGTGTATTTTCGCTCACTTTTCACTGCTCTTGCTGCCGTCCACGAGAAGGGGATCATCCATCGCGATATCAAACCTACCAATTTCCTCTACGACCCGGATAAGAAGCGGGGAGTCCTAGTGGATTTTGGTTTGGCAGAGCGAGAAGGACTAGAGACCAAACCGTGTCTCTGCCAAGAAGATCAAAAGATTAGGAAGCAGAGATTGCAACAGTCCGTTGCTTTTAACTCTGCCCAGGCAGGTCCCCAGCTAGGGTATCCTACAAATGATACACGACCCTCTCGTCGGGCAAACAGAGCTGGTACACGTGGATTCCGAGCTCCCGAGGTGTTGTTCAAGTGTACGGAACAGACGACCAAGATCGATATCTGGTCCGCGGGCGTCATCCTTTTAACTATCCTCTGTAGACGTTTTCCCTTCTTCAACAGCGCGGATGACATCGAGGCCATGATCGAAATCGCCACCATATTCGGCTCTAAGCGCATGAAGCACGCAGGCCAGCTTCATGGCTGTATGTTTGAAACTACTATTCCGACCATTGGTGAGAGAGGCTTTAGTTTTGAGAAGATCATGCTGTGGAGCACATGTCGGAGCGACGGTGGCAAGGACGGGAAGTCGAACACCCTAACCGAAGAAGAGAAGGGGGCTATCGAGTTCTTAACGAGATGTATGGAACTGGATTCAAACAGAAGAATCAGCGCAAAGGAGGCGTTGAGACACGAGTTTTTGCGAGTGGACGAGGAACCCGACGTAGAGCCTGAAACGGAGGACGACGTAATGATGTTATGATAGCTCTTTGGAGATGTGGTCGACCTTGACAGTGTTTCACGTCGCGCGATTAATGAACGCCCTCGACTTTCTAGCAACGCCACGATTTCGACGAACTTTCACCCCTGCGAACGATTACCATAGTCAACTATACGAAGTAGACACGAGCTATGCCTACCGCGATCTACCACCACCGAGTGGCAGTAACCACTTTGCCCCAATGCTACCTTGTACATAGCTAGGAATGGTATTTGGCATTTATGAACAGATCTCGAGGGTATACCGCTCATCTCAGATCACCATGTACCATACTCATTGCGGCAAGAGTCGTCAATCAAGCTCTCGTATAAGAAGAGCGAGCATCATCGGTGCTCATAAGTCTGGTTGGGCAATACCATCCAGCATCCGTACAGTATAGTATAATATACTATTAATTCGATATAAATCATGAAGTGTAAAATGTGCTTAATTACTATCGTCTCATATACTGAAAAGGGGCTCAGGTTTAACCACGTGTAAACCTCTTACTAGGCCACATAAGGTAGTAGGTTGTGCCCAATATGGTGTATGATTAGCACCTTTCAGCTTGTCATGTTAGGCGTTAAATTTATTGAAAATTTGAGGCTGTGAGGTTACCTAGCATATTTCCTTCATGTCATAACTGGGAGACGATGGAGAATGTCTTCATGAGCGATGTAACGTAAAATAGCTAGTGGTTACCTCATATGAAGAAGGTAATGTGGAACAATTACGCCTCGAGTACATAATGGATCTATAATCTATATTTTCCTCTTCAGATTCGGTGTCTACCTAGGTCTATTTTTTTTTTTTTTGAAAAAAAAGTCACAACTATGGAAGAAGGTATCGCCATCTATGAAGATGCTGTCCTTGATAGTCCTTGTAGTTATTGCAAACTCCTCGAATTTAACGATCTCCAGCAAGGCGGCGATGCTCGAGTATCGAAAGATGGGACTCCGTTTGTTTACTTTGGGGTTATTCAAGATACGATGAACAACATTCTTGGAGGAGGAATAATGCATCCACAATCGCCCGAACACGAAGAGAAGAGGGATTTTGCTAAAACGGAATTTCAACTTGGATATCACAGAAGCGATACCTTGCCAGATCTGCCTGAAATGGCTAAAACTGCCTCTCAGGGCTGTACGTTCTGTTATATGCTAAGGAAAGATATCTCATGTGTGTGGGATAAGAAAATTCGAAATTCGTTGATTTACAATCTTCCCGAGAACGAAAAGACCGATCGTGCAAAGCTCACCATCACAGATATTACGTATAAATTCAGTGGCGGTAGTCGAATAGCAAATGGGAAGGGTGGCGAGGAATTCGATATAAGGCCCTGGCTTGATATGTTAATGGTCTACTTCACTGTCAAGTTAGAAGGGGGGAAAGGAAACGACTTCTCGTTTCATTACAACTTCCATACCCAGAGTTCTGGTAAGCTTGAAGAAGCCCTCTAAAACAGAAGCCAATGCTGAAGAGAAGTAGATCCATCTGCAATATGGCTTAATCTCTGGCGTCGACCAATTCCTCTGGGGGGCTTTTCGGCAGCCCGCCTTGAAAGGTTGAACGAACTTGTCCACCGGACTCTCATCGAGTTCCCCTCTTCGACAGAGGATACGTACTTACCAACACGTCTGATCGATGTCGGGACGAAGACAACTGAACATCTAAAATTAATTATCACAAAAGAATATCAACCTTTGTTGGAGGTTGAGGATCATGAATCTCTAAGATACGTGGCTCTAAGCTATTGTTGGGGTTCAGGGGATAGTGCAAAGGAGCAGCTGAAAACAACCAAGGATTCCCTTGAGGATCACCTCCAAGGAATCAAGCCGGAGACATTACCCAAGACTATAGCAGATGCTGTTATGATTTGCCGGGAGATCGGGGTTCGATATATCTGGGTAGATGCTCTATGCATCATCCAAGGCGACGAAGAAGACTGGACGAGGGAATCATTCAAGATGTCTCAAGTTTATGCCAAAAGCTTTCTTACGCTCTGCGTTCTCCGAGGTGACTCCTGTTCGAGTGGGTTCTTAGGGAAACGGGTTTCCCAAGCAACACTACGCATCAGCTTCCGTTCTACGCTCGATACCTCGATCTCCGGTAGTTTGTACCTAAGCATGTCTCAACCACCAACGGACAATCTCAAAGAACACAATCAGCTTTTCGGCAGGCCCACGGCTCACACAGATCGAGTCGCGGAAGTAGAGTTTCGGGATTCTACCTGGAATTCTCGAGGATGGACCTTGCAGGAAGCCCTCCTTTCACCCCGCAAGATCTACTTCGGCAACCTCATGATGTACGCGACCTGCGGAAAGTTCTGCGAGTCGGAGGACGGAACGCGGTTCATGAATTGGACTCAGTCTAGGGCGTTCCCGTTGCCGACGGAAGAGAAATCAACCGTGCTCTGGTCTTCGCCATGGTACAGTGTGCTTTCAGAGTACTTTACCCGGAGCTTGTCGTATAACCAGGACAAGCTACCCGCTATTTCCGCGTTAGCGAGGACCTTTTCGCATATGTACCCAGGCCAGAGGTATCTAGCTGGACTATGGGATTCCGATATCGAAAGCGGGCTTCTTTGGACTCCCAACGTAATAGAAGATGCTCATATTTACTTACAGAAGCGTAAAGATGAGTATATTGCGCCTACGTGGAGTTGGGCATCCAACCCGAAAATGACTCGTTGGGTCTGGGGCGTTGGACAGTCAGACCACTTCTTTATTAAAGAGTTTGAGCTTCGAGAGTCGGAGATTATCACGCAAGAGATGAACCCCTATGGAAGGGTATATGGTGGACATCTACTACTCCACGCAAAGACATCTCGGGTGCCACTCGGCGATGATGACAAACCGAATGTTTTGAGGGTGGAACGTGGCGATAGTTCCGAATACACATGGTTGGGTATCATTTTCCCCTACGGTCTCCGGTCGAAAGACGGTGAATATATTGCGTATTTACAGTTTGATTGGGACATGAACGGATACAAGAATACCGATAGATATCCTGATGGACCGATAGATCGTCTTTCGATGGTGTTACTTTCAAGTTGCGGTCTTAATCGTGTAAATATGAATTCTCGCAAATATCTCAAAGACCCGGAGATAATGCTTGGACTTTTAGTTATGGAAGCAGATGACGGGGGAGGATTTGAGAAGGTCGGACTTTTCTATTCTGAAAATAAGGGCCTAGGAGGGAGGAAGTTTTGGGAGGACATCGAACGGCAGGAAATCAAGCTCGTATAGGTAACGGGTTAAATATCAATAAAACGAGGTTTGTGTACCTAGGTAGGTATTGTTGGAACATGATATTAAACTAGGTGGCCGTCCCCAAACCTTTTGCTAGTCACGTCAACGCCGAAACTCCTATTGCGAGCCCATAATTAGGTATATACGAGTGTCGCGATCAGGTTACCTTTTATAGCCCATAGTCCTCCAGAGCGATGAATGCATTTGATTCCCTCTAATCTGATCCATTTCCGCCACCTTTCTTACATCCAGAGACACAGCTTTCCACTACCAGTTCCGCCAGCCTATAACATCCAGAGTTAGTACCAAGCATCCATGCAATTTTAAGATCAAAAAGGAATAGTGAGCAGTCTTGAAATATACGTACCAGCCAATTCAACGTAGGATGGAATTCCGCAACAGCAGGCACGGCGGTAATACCCTCACCATCCAGCTGTCCCAGCTGCTTCCCCTCGCTATCATAAATATCCACGAACCGGTTCATGTTCGCGATGGCAAACTTCTCTACGCCGTCCGCTGGTTTGGTCTGCCATTGCGGCTTGAGAATCGTCACCCAGCGGCCAGTTTGATTGTTATGTGGGATCGAATGCGTCGGCGTCATCTGTTTATCGGACAGATCGTGGCCAGGCTTCCATTTCATAGAATCTGACATGTCGTACACCTTGACCGTGTCGTCATAGGACGATGTTGCTAAGTATCCACCACGACTCCAGGAAGCATGCGAGACCGATAATCGTGATTGGTGCTCGCCAAGCAACGATGGGTGGCGAAGTTCACCTTTTCCCTTGATCATTCTCAGATCCCATATCTTCAAAGTCCGGTCGAGGGATGCCGTTGCTATGAGATGGGGTAGTAACGGGTTTAGGGAAAAGCCACCGATCTTATTGTCGGACAAACTCCACATATCTGCCTTCTCCTTCGAGCGTCTGTCTAACCTTCCTATATACCCATCTAACGTCGAAAAAAGGATGACATCTTTGGTTTCGGGTGATACATCGATACACGAAATGCCCACGTCTACGGAGTCGTCTTCGGGTTCCCATAATTGCCTGCTGACCTGGGACTGCAGATCTAGACAACGTATTGAGGAGTCATAGGAGCTGGTAAGCACCGAATTCGGATCGAACATGGGTATTTTTATGGACGAGATGGTCCTACTATGCACTTCGAAGGCACCAACTTGGGGAAGAGGGATCTTCACATTCTCGTCCTCGTCATCTTCGTCTGGCTGGGCAGGCGTCTCTTGTGACGCATCGAAAAATCCTAATGTACCCTTCTTGTCACCTGCCAAGATGATTGGTTTATCCTGAATAGGATGAAATGTGAGAGCATAGACACGTTCAGGGGTAATCTTGATATCTGCGTATGGTTAGTGCTACGATCTTACAATGGTACAATGGATGCGGCTATAATCCGTTTACTAGCTTACCGTTAGGTACCCAGCCATCGTACAGCTTGAGGTCGCTCATCTCCTTTCTTAAGTCCTTTAACTTGCTATCCGAGGTATCCTTGATATCATCTTCCGTGAAGGTCCGAACACCGGGTCGAGCGCCCTGGACAAATGAAGCCAACGCTCCGGTGCTTGACCATCTCTGCCCTTCGACTTGAAGGTTTGTGAGTTGCAAGTCGCCACTTGTGCGAATGCGCTTGGGCTCGGGTGGCTTCAACTCGGCGGGGATATCCTTTAGTTCGAGACCATCTCCGTTGGTATCCGAACCTGCTCCCGCCAATCTCGCGCTTTGACGGGTAGGCATCACTCTTGTGCGAGGAGCTGGTTCGGCAGCTTTCCTCTTCTTGGAAGCAGAAGCCGCCCTCGGGGGTGGAGCTGCGGCCCTGCGCATTTTGGCTGCGACTTCGGCCGAGTCCTTTAACAGCTTGGCATTGTTCACCACGTTTGCTCTCCTCCGTGCCTCGAACGTGCTTAGTTCGGGGGCCATCGTGGATGATTCAGGCCCAATGAGCCTAGGGACTAAAAGTGGCAAAGCTCGCTGGCTAGGGTTTGATGTTGTTGGTCAAAATTGCAGAGAACAGGTCTAAGGAAGGAGTGTGAAAGAGAGTGAATGTGACGTGGAGTCCAGTTCTTTTCTTACTTTAGTTAGTCGCTGAACTAGGGACTTGAAGTGAGTTTCTAAGGTAAATTTCAACCGGTGATACGGTGGAAAGTATTGAATTTCAATGCTTAAGTGTGATATCCGAAGACTGACGCTGTATTACAGTCACGTAGATATTAATCGTGGCGGCGATAGAAGAATGAATGACGAAAATCACTTAAGAATTTAAGACGCGTTAACGCGATCGCGTAACTTTGATTACATAACCGAACAATGGCCGGGATTTCAGGTTACGTAATTTCATTATATAAGCAAGAGAACTACGTCATCGCCATTGGCGAATAAAAACCCAGCCCCTTTCCACTGTACTTCCAACACTACCAACATTATTCAATCTACATACATATACCAAGTCAACATCCCATAAAGACTACACAATATTTGTTTTCTATCCTATGTAACATTGAATTCAGCCTGAGTCATTCACTAGCTACTTTTTAACTGTACAATAGCTAACTTGCGGTCTATTCTTCACACTTGTAAAAGTCGACTTTGTTTTGTTGGGAGTATCTCGAATATCCCTTAAATCCGCTTGAATCACATGAATAGCATTGCCTCCTAAACTCTGCCTGACGTTGGAAAGCGTGTATACTAACTTACTCCCTTGACTGACTAGAACAGGAGGCCCTCAAATGGTCGTGAAATCATAGGCCATGAAGAAAAAGAAGGCTTATTACCTATCTGAAATCACCAATTGTACTTGCTACTGTGTACCTATTAGGTAGGTAGGTACTAGGTAGGCTACTGGATAAGTCAATTTACTCACCGCCAACGTCACACAATCTCAGCATAAGTCTCATAACTTGGCCGACTTAACTATGGAGATCTTAGGCAAGTCTGATGATTTATAACCCCTTTCATTCCCTCTTATTCTATTTTTCTTGTCTCTAAAGCCTTACTCTTGAGCTATAGAATCTTCGCAACTGTGCTACTCGCTAACATCATGGAACAGCAACCTCCTCTAGTTCCTCAGATTCGGTTGCCTGATGGATGGAATTTTAAGTCTCTTGGTTCACCGAACACGGCGTCTCGAGATACTCGAAGTTCCTCTTGCAAAACTTGTGGTTGGAATGGCGATCCTCTAGAGCTCCTTAGGCCACGTCGCCTCCTTCATGCCATCAGCTCGAGGGATCTCTCTAGGAATTGCATCCGCTGCCAGATTCTAGCACTTGTCATCAAGGCCCTAAAAGTCCATAAGACGGGACTGCTTCGATCTCCCAATAGAGTTTCTTTCTGCGGCAGAAATTATATTAGGGTCGACGATGAATTCTCTTCGGCATATGAAGAGGTGTTCTTGTTTATTTCAGCAGATTCCCACGGACCTGAAATTCCTCGTGGGATACCAAGGGGCCGACCAGAACACATCGATACCTCATCAGATGCCTCATTTTTCTGGGCACAAGAACAAATCCAAGCTCATCAATATTGCTGTCAACCTGTCAACGCTAGTTCATTTGTTCCGACGCGTCTCATTCGTGTCAACCCGAGAGGTCTCGGCAAAGATGTTGTTCTCGATGACTGTGTTCCTAAAGGCACTCGATACGCAGCCATTAGCTATTTGTGGGGCAAGAAAACGCAACCATGTTCAACGACACCTTCGACACTAAGCGACCATAAGAAACGTATAAAATGGTCCACATTGCCAAAGACTACTCAAGATGCCATAGAATATACACGTCGGTTGGGTATCGAATATATATGGGTCGATTGCCTTTGTATGATACAAAATGACCGGGCAGACTGGGAACGGGAGTCGGGACGGATGTCCGATATCTACAAAAACGCATATGTAACCCTGACGGCTGTTTGGGGCGACGATTGCGATTCTGGGCTTTTCTCAAAGTCCGAACGGTTCAGGTCGACTCCATTAGCAAGTTTACGCTTTAATGATGAGGACTTCTCCCTTTCCATGCGACGATTTCATGAACCGATTTCTATCCGGGGCCGGCATTCTAATCCTGGGCTTCCCAATCCAACCCCGTTATTCGATCGGGCCTGGACTTACCAGGAACGATTGATATCGCCTAGAGTTTTATATTTCACGAAAAAGGAATTGGTTTTTGAATGCTTCTGCGATACCGCTTGTCAGTGCTGTCTTACGCAACATCGACTCTTGGACTATGATGACGCGGAATGTCCCAAGAGGGTCTTTTATAAGGTTATTAATCCTACGAAGAAACTCACGAGTTCGAGTGCACAAACCAACGCTGTCGCCGTCCGAGCCCGGGAGTCTGGTAAAACGCCTACTAAAATTTATGGTAACGAAATAGCTCTAAAACCAAACCCTTATGACCCTCGAGAGGCGTGGGCGAACATGGTTTCGGAGTATAGCCTGCTAAATTTGACTAACCTGGATGATAAACTCCCTGCCATCGCAGCCATGGCTAGACAATTCCAGACAGTCCGCCCTGGGGAGCGTTATCTTGCTGGTTTGTGGTCGGGTTCTTTGTACCGAGATTTACTATGGCAGACGTCAAGCCAGGATACCCAGAGATTAACAACGGCACCGACGTGGTCTTGGGCTTCTATATCTAAGATGCCTATCGCATATCCTGCAATTTCAATCGATCAATTAACCCCTTCTGTCAGAGTTGTAGAAGCAATTTGCCGCTACGTCGATAATAACCCATATGGGGTTTTCAAGACTAGCTCTCTAATACTACGAGGCCGATTAATTTCGTGCTGGGTCCGTCAAAAATCTGGACACAATTTCGAGTTGACGCACTTGCGTTCTGGACTGAAAATCGAATCATTGGTGTCTATAGATTGTACCGATGTGTCGTTTGGTAAGGTTCCGCGAAAAGTCCACTTGCTTGAAATCGCGAAGGGACTCGGCGAACAATCAACGAACCGCCACTTTTTGATTCTAGACCGGGAGAGTAGGTCGCGTCAGATATTTTCTAGAGTGGGTGTTTTGCATTTTTCTCCGAGTAAAGGAAATCACAAACAGAACAAGGAATCCATGAACATGGTATTGAATGGATTTAGCTCAACGGAGACGGTTACCTTAATATGAGGATATTCGGAGGATCCATCATATCTTTAGGGCTGGCGGGGCGTAGTTAATAGGGGGTGCTTGGGGTACTTAAAAGTTAATAGGGGCCTGTATATATTGCATTTTAGTGGGGTATGCCCCCCTCTTATCGATAAAAATAATGTGTACCAATACCAAAATTTCTAAACTCAGCTAAGAAAACATTTATCGATCGAATTTGTACCATCTCACCACGTCGCTATCGTTCGAAAAAAACAGCAAACCAAGAATGCCGTCGACATCCCTACCGTTCCTGTACCATACGAGGACAATCCTCCGTACCAACCCTCGAAAGGCCGTAACCTTCGCCCGCGCCCTACATGCTACCAACCGACAATGCGTCAAAGGAAGCGATGACATCCCCTTCGTTTTCAACTCCGAGGAAGAGGAAATCCTCTCAACCCCCCCGCCTAAGCCGCCTCGTCGCGCAACCATCACCCCCTACGAGCGCCAGATTTTCGAGCGCATCTTCGCCGACATAAAAGCCCGCGGCCTCAAACCTAGCTACTATAAGGAAACGCCGTCCGACCGCTCGACCATGCTTATCATGCAACAAGCCGCCCAAGACGCAGGCCAATCCCGTCCCGCGACCGTCGCAGCCCCGGGCCTCCTCGCAGGCGCCGCTAAAGACCGCCAGAAGGCGCTTCTCCGATTCCCGGCCGAGTTGCGCGCCGCGGCTAGTCGGGCCCTCGATACGATTCACGCTACGGCGCCTCCTGGCGAGGAGGACTCGTTCACGGTTGACGAGGGTAGGAAGAAGGCTACGGCTGATGAGGGCTGGAAGACTCCGGCCCATACTATTAATCGTACTCTGGAGCTGGAGGCGAAACGCCGTCCTGAGCGCGTTCGTGTGGAGGGGTTGATTTTTAATGCGCGGACTGATTTTGAGCTTTGGGATGTTTTGGAGAAGGAGGTTTTTACTATGCCGGCTAGGCTTGGGATTGGTAGGAAGGTTAAAGTGGATGAGGAGGTAGAGGAGGTGGTGGAGGTGGTGGAGGAAGGGGAGGATGTTGCGGTTGATGAAGTGGCGAGCGAGTCCGAAGAAGCTATTGATACTCCCGAAAGTAGCGAAGTCCTCGAAAGCGCACTAGAGGATAACCTGGCAAAGGCAGAGGATGCGCTGGAAGCGACAGAAGATACATTGGAAGAGACAGAAGATGCGGCTGCCGATCCGATCACTAACAACAACATCCCACCAGAAGAGTTAAGTCTCTATATCTATGGTCCGCTTTACCCGGCCTACCTTCTCCTTGCCCTCCGCCGTCTGGATACCGCCTTCAGCGTGCCCTCTCCACTGGTATTTTCACTCCTTCCACGGATCAAGGAGCTCGGACTAGAGTCATATATCCTCGGCGTATCAACACCATTCTACAACGATCTCCTAGAAATTCACTGGAATCATCACGGGGACTTGGTTGGAATTCTAAATCTTCTAGAGGAGATGCGCTATTGCGGTCTATACTTCGATGAGCAGACTGCGTCTATCTTGAACCAAGTCGATGCCGCGGCGACTGGATTGGCTACGAAGGTGACTTCCGGTTCCTTTACGAGGGCTCTGATGACTATGCCTGATTATGAGCGGTCTGTTCGGGATCGCCTTAGGCATTGGCATCGCATTGTGGACTTGTCGATTAAGGAGAAGGAAAATGATATCGGATATTAAGTCTATGGTCGTTTATGGGCTGTTGATCTGTATCGTAGCTGATAAATAGTAACCCCGCTCATAACGTTAGGGTTTGTATGAATGTATTATTGTATGCTTTACCCCTGTTTTGGTTGCTGAGTGTTGCCCGCGAGTTCTTTGTTACTGACCTAAATATCCACTATCTACAGGTGAGTTATGCCCTACCTTCACTATAGTTGGGGTACATTGGGGAGGTCGGTTATCCCCGGCAGCGGTTGAAGAGAACTGAACCCCTCCATTGATATCGCAAACAATTCATACCGTAACTTTTCAACATCAACTCATTCCGTCTCACCCAGATGGATTTTGATGAGACCTACGACGTTGTAATCATCGGTGGTGGTAACGCCGGGTTCTCTGCGGCCACCACCGCAGCACAGTTCGGTGCCCGGGTCTGTCTAGTCGAGAAAGCTCCGTTCGAAGATGCGGGCGGGAATACGTTCTACACGGCTGCTGCTTTCAGATGCTGCTTCGACGGTTTACCGGACTTGCTGCCTCATATATATGGGGATGATGGCACGAAAGGCCTGCCAGGGGATTTAGTCAAAAGGATTGATATGTCGCCCTATACGAAGGATGATTTTCATAGAGTGAGCTGTGATAGTGATTTTTATTAGGTATGATGAGACAGGGCTAATTGTTAGGAAGGATATCCTTCGTATTACTAAAGGTAGGGCGGACCCGACGCTGGCTGGGTTACTGGTGGATAACTCAAGGGAAGCGGTGCAGTGGTTGATGGATAATGGCGCTCGCTTCGTTCTTTCGTTCAACCGGCAATCGTACTTGATCGATGGGAAGTATAAGTTTTGGGGTGGTATGGTGTTGACTATGGCTGGTGAGATACCTATTTGAACTTTGACTTGCTTCAGAGGTTTTTCTTATGCTTACCAGTGTCGATTTAGGTCAGGGAAAGGAGTTATTCCAATTTCATCTAAATACTGCGAAAAAGTACGGTGTAATGATTCACTTCAGCTCTCCGGCAATCGATTTGGTTGCTGACCCCACGACAAACGAGGTAACCGGCGTGAAAGTATTTAGTGAAGGAAAAATGAGACTTATTGGTGCTAGGGGCGGAGTTGTATTGGCGAGTGGTGGCTTTCAAGCCTCCCCAGCGTTACGCGCTCAATATCTGGGCCCTAATTGGGATCTAGCTCATGTTCGTGGATCAAAATACAACACGGGGGACGGTCACGCCATGGCGAAGAAACTCGGTGCGAAGCTGGATGGCAATTATTCGGGTTGTCATTCAGTTGCCTGGGACGCCAACTCGCCTCTTGCGTCCGGAGATCGAGTAATGACAAACAGATACACCAAGTCAGGCTACCCATTAGGCATTATGGTGAATATCAACGGGGATAGATTCGTCGACGAGGGATTCGATTTACGCAACTTCACCTACGCCATTTTTGGGAAGGAAATCCTCAAACAACCTCAGGGCATCGCATTCCAAATCTGGGACGCGGAGGGGAGCAAACTTCTACGGCAGGAGGAATATGCCGACGATGTCACCGCAAATATAAAAGGCGAAACAATTGGAGAGCTTGCGGATATGCTCAAGTGTGAGGGGCTTAGGGATGGTAGACGATTCCTGGAGACCATTAATCAGTTCAATGATGCATGTAAAAGCTTCCAGTTGGAACATCCCGAGAAGGAGTTCGACCCGAGTCAAAAAGATGGCATGTCGACGCAAGGAATACGGAGGTCATTGCCCATAGGCAAGACGAACTGGGCCATGCCTATCGAACACGGCCCCTTTCAGGCTGTCGAAGTAACTTGTGGAATCACATTTACGTTTGGTGGGCTGGCAGTTACGTCTAAGGCGGAGGTTGTGAGCGAGTTTACCGGGAGTAAGATTGAAGGTCTCTGGTGCGCGGGCGAGTTGCTGGGTGGTTTATTCTGGGATAATTATCCGGGAGGTAGTGGATTGACGATGGGGACGGTGATGGGGCGGATTGCGGGGAAGGAGGTTGCGAAGAGGGCGAGAATTCGTAATGATAGTTAGGAGTGACGATGAATCAACTTATGGTCATGCTTCTATAGGAATTTGCTGCTGGATGAATTGCTTGACTGTCATAAGATACATAGGGGCAGTTTTTGATTGGGGTGTTACGACGTATACCGGACTTAATATCGACGAAAAGCCTCCATAGTGGATTTCCAGTTATGGAGTTCTCAGTGTAAAACTGATCTTACTGGTGACTACCCGTGCCACGTCCTATCGCGATAACTGCCTGTCTGCGGCACAATGACCCCAATATTCATCACCATACGGCATCTACGACCTATCCTTACATTTCCGTGTCAACTTACCTACTAAGTATACAACACGAAAATGTCTGAGGCGCATCTGGAAATATACAACCCGACTTACAACAATGAAGAGAATAATTTCCCACTATTCCCACTACTCCCCACAGAACTTCGTCTGCTAGTATGGCGACTGTCACTACACCGTCACCGCATCATAAGGATCAAGATACCAACCCGACCATGGCATTCCCAGCCCGATACGCAAGAGGAATTCATCGCCGCCATGCACAACGAATTCCCCGTCGTCCCGGGACATCAGGTCTTAAGCAAACTCCTCCGAGTGAATAGAGAGTCAAGAGAAGTCGCGCTTCAGTTCTACAGAGTGCACATGCACTGCAACCTAAAAATCGGTGAAACCGTCAAAGATGGAACGCTGATGTACAACCCGGACTTCGACATAATCCACGTCACATCCGAAGTAGGCACGAACCGGTTCGCCAACCTAATCCACCACCTCAAGACCATCGATCCCGAAGGCGTCGGCATCAGGAGGTTAGCACTCGGTGCAAACGACGTGGACTGGATATGCTGGCGAACCGATATCGCGACGATGGCCACGCCCGTCCGTGAAACGTTCGTGCAGACACTAACGCAACTTGAAAGCGTGTGGTTCGTGCTCACTGGACGCGCGGGACGCATGTGGGACCCGACGGGCACGGGCACCGCAAGCATGATCGGTAAAGTCGAGTTCCACCGCTCCGCGCCCATCATGTCGAAGATCCCGTCCTTCGATCTCCTCCAGCGCGACCCTCGCCCTATCGCGGACGACTTGCGCGTCGTCTATGCTGGCTCCCAGGACTGTCGCAATATGCTTGTTCTCTGGAGACATATCCTCGATCGCTGCGGCATTGTGCAACCGCCGTTATCGCGATATAGCTTCGTGGTCGGGGTCACAAGGGGCTCGTCGAATAAGGTGCGGGATCGCGCGCATGCGGAGAAGTGGTTATGTGAGGAGGATGAAGCTTGGTCGGAGGCGCTAAAGGAGGTTGAGGAGAGACATATTTCGCCTGGGTCGCTGATACGCGAGCGCCTGGAGAGGATTAAGGCGGATTATAATTTGGAGAGGGCGTCGTCGCCGAAGAATGCGGTTGGGTTTTGGATTTTTCCGGCGGCGGCTGTGGGGACTGATGTGGATGATGATGGAAAGTTTGTGAGGTGGGATCCGGTTTTGGATATGTCGGGGCATTGGCCTGCTCTTGGGCTTTCGTACTTGCCGTAGTTGTGTTTGGCTTCTTGCTGTAACTACCTAGTTGAGGTTATTAGGTCCTGGAATACGCCGGTATAAATACAGTGCGAAATGTTGATATTTTACATGGAGATAATAGTGTGCACTGTACGGAGTCCAAGACCGCGCCGATTCAAAGAACGAGAAAACTTTTTCCTTTCGTGGCGATTACATCATTCCGAGCTGGACCCGGGAACTCCCCTGTATTCGGCTTTTGGAAGGCTTGATCCGCTGTTATCGAATTACTTGCAGTTGCACATGATGGCATCCACTTGTCGGCCCTTCTAAAGAATTTCGCGCAGATAAGATTCTTGCAGCTGTCGTGGGTTGTTGGATCGTGACTACAGCAGCTCTGCGCTATCGGCTTCGAGGAGTCAGCTTCCTTGTTCAAAGGTTTAAGGCTTGGATATCCAATTTGACTTTGAGATATCGATTCTTTTTAGTATTACCCGAGTGCGCATACGCATATCTTAGATCTACCCTGCCTCAAGACTACCAGGATGTCGCAAGATCATCAGATAAGCGAGAATGAGGTGACGGTAGTTGGGAAGAAAACGGAAAAGGTAATTGGACAGGCCGATGTTTCTGAACCGCGGGGTCGCAATTTGATGCAAAGCCTCCGAGGGATTATATCCGAATTTATCGAAGCCAGCCCGGTCGAAGAACGAGGAGTCTTGCCGGTAGCGTTGGAAGACCGTACCGCTACCAACTACTTTAGTTACTTTTGGATATGGGCTAGTATGAATATAAACCTCCTGCCGTAAGTTGATCACTCATATTCCATTGGTTAGGAGACGATGAGATGAAGGTATGCTAATATTCCGATTAGCATCACATTCGGCATGTTGGGTCCGGGTTTTGGCCTGAGTTTAAGGGATTGTGCTCTGGTTATCATATTCTTTTGCCTCTTAACCGCTGCCATACCAGCATATCTCGGTACTTTGGGTCCAAAGACTGGCCTACGGCAGATGATCCAGGCTCGTTATTCCTTTGGTAGATATCTCGTCTCCGTACCGGTCATCTTGAACCTAGCCACCCTTACAGGCTTCTGTGTCGTTATCTGCGTCATCGGAGGCCAATGTCTATCTGCCGTTGCTGGTGGTTCTCTTACCCCAGCGGTTGGGATAGTCATCATGGGTGTGCTGGCTCTTCTCATCTCCTTTTGCGGTTATGATGTGCTACACCAATATGAGCGTTTCGCCTGGATCCCGGCTTTGATAGCCATCATCATCGCTACGGGGTGCGGAGGCTCTGATCTTGCTAAGCAAGCACCAACAGAACCTGCAACAGCTGGTGGTGTCCTAAGCTTTGGTATGATCATGGCTTCTTACATGATCCCATACGCGTGCCTCGCTTCGGATTTCACGACATACCTAAACCCCAAGTTCTCATCGTGAGTCATCTCATCTCATCTTCGTGCAACCTCTGACTAACCGAATCCAAGTTTGAGGTTGTTCTTGTATGGTTTTACAGGTCTTGTGATCCCATCGATGTTGCTGATGATTTTGGGTTCTGCTATCGCAGGGGCTATAAGTAGTAACCCCGAGTGGCAGGAAGGTTACGACGCAACACAAGTCGGTGGAGTCTTAGCCGCAATGCTCTCGCGCGCTGGCGGCTTCGGCAAGTTTGTCGTTGTGGTACTCTCGTTGACCTTACTCGGAAACTTCGCTGCGACGATGTATTCGATCACACTGAATTTCCAGATTTTAATCCCACAGCTGGTCGTGATACCACGCTATATGTTCTCGGTTGTGGTCGCTGCGATTGTCATACCGGTCAGCATTAAGGCGGCAGAAGAATTCTTCTCTAGTCTCGAGAACTTCGTGTCTCTGATCGGTTACTGGTCTGCCGCGTTCGTATCGGTGCTCATCGTCGAACATAACGTGTTTAGGAATGGCCGATACGATACGTACGATCAGGATAGTTGGAACGTGGCATCTCGATTGCCGTGGGGAGTCGCAGCTCTGGCAGCAAGTGCGCTTAGCTTTGCGCTGGTTATCCCCAGCATGTCGCAGGTGTGGTTTCAGGGCCCAATCGCTAAAAAGTCCGGGGACATTGGATTTGAAATGGCGTTCGTCGTAACCGCGGTTCTATATATCCCTCTTCGGTTATTGGAGAAGAAATTTAGCGGACGGTAGATAGACTTGACTAAATGATTGGATACTGCAAATAGGTACATAGGTACCTAGGTATAGATAAAACATAAGAATAAAGTCATATACACAATAAGGTCATATGGAATGTCTTGAAGCTCGACAGTTTCATCAATTAGCGACATGAGCACTGAAAATGAAGAGCAAATCGGTGAAAAATCAGCCCACAGACCTAATTTTGATCCATTCGGGCTTCTGTAAGTACCCGTCAAGCCACTGCAGAACCCCCGAAGAGCCCGAAAAAGCAATGTTCTAGGCAGATGTAATTTTATTGAGCCTGCTGCCTGACACGAATTTTCAACTTTTGTTACAAAAGAATCAGTAATTGAGGTCGACAAGTCACTCAAACATAGCTCCACGACACATTAGAGCTAGGCATGCGAAGCCTTATCGATGTACCCTTTCGGAGTCGTTTGTGGCACGCCTAGAAGAACTGATGTAATATCATAGAGCTTTTCATATACTGTCTAAACATTCTAAATAAGAACAGAGTTGTCTTATTTTATACACGCTCCGTACGAAGCCGAAGCCAACGACTCGGTCGAGTTTTTAACAGCCTTTCCAAGCGCACTGGTTCCGCACTTCAACCCCAAGACGAAAGATCCAGCCATGACGTTAGCCATAAAAGGGCCAGTGTGAGTGTGGTCGTTAGGATAGTTAGCAGTGACGGTGGTAGGACCGAGGTTCTTCATGACCTGAACTGCGTATTGCTTGTGAGGTACGTGATAGACGTTAGGGCTTGCGAGGTCGATAGCCGCTTGCCTGTGGGATTATTAGTACAATAGTTCACAGATATAACCCTTTGAAAGAGGTTTAACACTCACTTCGCGTAGGTATCGAATCGAGAAACGTCGTCGACACATGTACCGCTTTCGCAGATGTTATTCGGAGTCGGCGAGTTTAGGATAACCTTAGCCCCCTTTCCGAGGAAAAGGTTGGCCGCGTTCTTGTAGTACGCGGGATATGTCAGAACCGTCTCCGCGACGCCGTTATACGTCGTCTGGCAAGTCTGGGCTCCGTCTCCGGGACAGTCGGTACGTCCATTGTCGGTGCTTAAGCTGCCGCCGTCGTTGTGGCCGAATTCGATAACGACCCAATCGCCTGGCTTGACTATGTCGGCGACCGCTTGGAAGCGTCCTTCACGGGTATATGACCTTGCGCTTCTTCCACCGATGGCGGCGTTGCGGACGACGTAGTCTGAGCCGAAGCTGTATTTGAGGTACTCGCCCCAACCCTCGGTCGGTTTACCCGATGCTCCTCCGCCTCCCTTTGCCATGGTCGAGTCACCGCATAGATGAATCGTGGTAGCGGCAGAGGCTGGTGCGGCTGCGGCGGCTGCAGCCAGTATCCACCAGAGACTTCGGAATCCCATGATTGAAGGTTTAGCGAGATGCTTCTAAAACGATAGACGGTCAAGGGAGGCTTCGCGGTGTGCAGGATGGTCCTGGTAACTGGATCGACATAACGCGGCTATGGCTTTTATATAACGTCGTAAGAGCTATCCACCGGGACCACTGATTATGCATGGTTACCCAGGAGGTAAACATTCGATTCCCCTGGATCATAGATCTAGATCACGACCCGCATCGTGATGCTACCGTTACTCGCAATCCCGGGTTAACGGTTGTTGCATCTGGAATAATTTTAGTATTTTTCATCGCTAATTCTTCCGCATCCTACCAAACTCCGCATCTTAGTTCGCGAGAAGATGTTTGGAGAAACAGAGTTGAGAGGGGCTCAAGTCGACAAGACAATTTGCCGGGAGTTCAGCCTCCGTAAATTCAGGGCCAGTTTCCTAAACGGGGTGTCTAGCTACTTCGACTTCATCCTTCTCCAAATGTATGTCTTGGATGAATATTTTGTTGGGTTTCATTGGTGGCATTCACTTGTTCGATTGCCGCCAATGGTGGTGGATACGATGAGGTAAGTAGGAGCGGCGCCAAGATCTATAACTTGGAAGTTAAGAAGATCACGAAGGTCACGCGAGCTACTTATGAGATGATGTTATTAATGCGTGTAGCAATCTCTACTATATAACCATTCCCTTAAAGCTATCATTTATAGATGGTATTGTTGTGATCGTGTTCAAAGCAAATAGCTGCTCCTGCTTAATATGACCACTATGCATCGTATGACAGTGACGCCAAGGTCGTTTATTCCTCGTTAGATTAGATCTTCGACAATCCGCTCTGATGTAAGACATCGCCATGTAACTTCAGACGATATAAGCTTCTGTCACAATCTATTCTATACGACAGCCATATGAATCTGCATCCCGTGCTGACTCTCCCACTCGACCGGAACACCCGGCGCAACGAAGAAGATAAAACCCTCCTTTAGCTGATGGTATCTTTCTTCGGCATACATCACCCCAGACCCCGAAGTCACGATCATGACGCCCGGTCCTTCGCTTGGGATGAGCTGTTCACCCTCTCCCGCACCCAGATCTGTCTTGAGCATGTCGAATTCGCTTATCGGCGGCCTGTATACTACCGTCTTCCCCCTTTTACTTTTTTCCGACTTCTGGCTCGGGAGACAGACATCATCCTTACTGTGAGCCTTGAAAGTTAATGTGTCCGCGAAGGTGTCGGCGTTGTTACGATCACCTGGAGGACAGAAACCGGCGTTAAGTACATTATTGCTTCGAGCCATGCACTCGACGATATCACCGGCCAAATATGCATGGATACCGTCTGCAGGAATCCATACCGCGTCCCCGGGACCGAAAACTAAGAAGTTCATGCATAACAGGGCGACTAGACTGCCTGCATCTTCTGGGCCGTATTGGTCTTGAAGCCGAGGAAGAAGATCTAAGATGTAGGCGGTATCGCCTAATTGGTCTTCCGGGATCTCCGACAACTCCGTTTGAACCTTTTTAACCGTCTCAAGGTCAGATTTGAGTAAATTTCTAGTGACTTCCCGTAGTGTCTCATCCGTCCGTTCGTCCGGTTGCTCCGGATTGAACTGCTGGAGTGGTTGCAGTTTAAATAGGGGCGCTATCTGGTCTAGAGGTTTGAATCCAGCGAATAGCTCGAATTTGGATAACGCCACCGCAATCTCAGGTTTGTGATTAGGGTCCGTAAAACTTCCCGGGTCTTTCTCATGAAGTTTACTAGCGAGTTCCTTATTGGGATGTAGTTGTAAGGGAAGGGCTTTCGCAATTGACAAGATCTATACTGTCTTGTGAGTCTACGAACAACGTCACTTTCCGTCGTAGATGGATCTTACCTTGGGCAAGTAGGGCAATTGACTGTCGAGCCCCGCGATGACCCTTTCCCCCAAGAGTTGCTCCTTGTTACGCTGAAGAACGTCACTCAATAATTCGCCGGTATCTAATTTGCGGGCTGGGAAATCTGGATAATCCCCAAACCACATCTCCGAATAGAATTCATCGTCGTTGATACGGAAATCGATGCCGGGAGTTTGAGAGCATAGTTGTGCAGCTAGAGACTGGTTTCCCTTCTTTCCCCAGGGATAATTGTTGCACGTACCGGTCAACTGGAATACGCGTGGCTGCGACATCTTGATGGTTTGAATGAGTACTCTGGATTCAGTATCTCTATTGACTAGGTAACTTTCTATATAGCTTGAAGATTTAAACTTGAGAAGATAATTAATATAATCGCATTTTTGGTCAATAATATCTAGTTCCAGGTTGTTGCTTCTGTTTACATACCAAATTCGTTCTTGTGATGTTTATATGTCGTCATAGAAGATGCCTGTGTTACAGGTACATATGCCGAGCAGCTGCAGGGTTACGGGGCTTATTATGAGAGCCTGTGCCCTATATTGTACGTGTACGTACCTAAACCTGGCACTAAATAAATCTAGCAGCTACCTGGCAGCCTGGCATTTGCTGGCGCGGCAATTATCTTTTTAACTCACTCAATTCACTCACTCAACTCACTCACCTGCTAAAATGTTGCGCATATTCCAACTTATCGCTTGAGAAATTGATGTCAATTCTCGGCTCGTTGACTCGTCCCGGCTATTCGGTAACTTTGCTAGCACTGCTCATGTCTCCGATCGATCGATCTTAGTTTCGGTTGAGAATGGACTTAAATGAAGTGAGGACAGATTATTGGTCGCGGTGTTTAGGATACGGCTTCTCGCGTGGCGCTAAAAAGGTCCGGCATCTACTATGTAGATTATCACCGCCGTCCTACCCATCTTTGTCCTTCGTAGAACTATCGACGTCATTGGCGCAGGTAACCGGAACAATTTCAAACAGGAATCATGGAGACCTTGACAAGATTCATGAGTCTTGAAGTGGGCTTCCCTCTTGACACATGCGATTCGACTTTGTATTTAACTGGGATCGTTCACCTCCTCATGAAATTGGTCATTGGAAGACAGTCTTTGATTTGCATGAAGCGAAATGACATTCGATGAAGAGAGAAACCGAAGAAGTCCGGATGCGGATGGAAATACTATTAGTAGTAAGCTAGTAGATATTCTTCCCATCCCACCAACGATACAACCTGTTAGCGAACCGGAGAAGTACGAAACTGCAAACAGCCTCACTGAAGAACCCACACTCTCTCATAATCTAGCAGCGAGTGACCACGAAGAGAAAGGTTTGGCCCAACGAGAATATGATGAAGAGGTAGCGGATTTGGGATGGAATGAGACGAAAGACAGGATTGCTGAGCCACTGGTCGGGAGGTTAGGGAACGAAGATTTATGGCTTCTCATTCGGAGGTTCAACAAGGTAAGATCTTGTTCATTAAGCTGTTGATGGGCGGAAACTAATATAATTGACTTATGATAGCAAATATATCATGTTAAAGAAGTCCCGACTGTGGTTCCTGGGGATCTGGATCTTAACATTGCCGACGAGGAGGAGTTCTCTCCTGACAAACTGCGTGCGAATGTCGAGCGATTTTATATGACCGTCATAGTTGGGCTGCTAGCTGCTGTTAAACATATCGCGCGACTCCGATCGTGGCGCGAAACCCGACGAACATCGTGCTTTTGCGCGGTAAGAACACCTGCCTATTACCTGGTGTTTTAAAATCGATGTTGAAGTCATACTGACAAATACCCAGGTTTATTTCGCTGCCTGGATATCCGACTTTATCGTCCCGCTTCTTTCCCTGACTTTGATCACTCTAATCGTTTATCCGCGATCAAGAGAGGTCCTCTTCCCGCCCGCGCCTCTCGCATTGGTAGACAGTAAATCCGGCGGCATTCAAAAACCCAAGTCTGGCGTCCTAGGTAGTACAGACAGTTCAACGGGGGCACCGCAAAACTTCAAAGGAGAAGCAGTTGAGCAGGAAGCTAGTAACTTCGTCAATGGCTTTGCCTCGATCGTTGTCACCAGTGCCGCGGGAAAGAATCCTCAGGCTGCGCCTTCGTCCGAAGCAGGTTCCCCTGATGATGCTGTACCCGACCCTACCGGGTTAGCTATGGCTACTGCTGAAGCTAAGGATGTCGCAGCAGGAGTCAAAACTGGGCCCAACTATGACAAAACCAAGGTTCCTGTCGAGACCGCAATGTGGACGAAGATGAGACCCATCATGCATGGTATCGCCGATGTATCCGATACTTGGGAGCGCTTCGTAAACGCTCTGTCGCCCACACCACCGTTCCCTAGAGACGTCTACAGGCTGAGACTTGCCATCTTAGTAGTCCCGCTCCTCCTTATCTCCCTTTTCATATCGTCATACATGTTTACCAAGGGCATGACTTTCGGAGTGGGGTTCGGTTTCTTTGGAGATCCTATTATCAGTCGCGGATTGAAATGGCTCAACCGTAAATTTCCACATTGGCAGAAACTTATGGAACTCCGTAACACGATCCTCAAAGGCGTACCTACTAATGCACAGTTGACTCTTACCCTACTTCGCATAGGGGAAGCGAACAAAGCCCCTCTACCTCCCCCGCCTTCCGCTAGTGAACCGCCCCCTGAGAGACCCATCGAAATCACCGATGTCGAATTAACAGCGACCGGCGCCGAACCTCCACTCAACGCTACCGATGAGGAACTCCGCGATGCCATAGAACATGATCCGCAAGTCGCACGTGAGACTGGAGGGCCGGATATCGATGCAGCTAAGAGTTCGAAGCATGGAAAACACGGAAACAGGATTATTAGCTTCTTTAAAGGGACGACTAAAGGCGCCGTGAAGACGGCTATCGGCACTGATCACGCTCGAGCAAAAGTCGGCTCTCATCACGCCAAGAATCGACTAGGTGCCGTACCTCGACCAAACACCAACTATCTCACCGGGCCACTCGACTTCAAAGGTCGGTATAAGGGTCAAAAAGGCCATATCTATATCACGACCAAGTCAACGATACCTGCCATGTCCTTTAGCACGAATCAAACAATAGAGAAGATCGGATCTGAAGAGCGAGAAGACTTGCACCCTCTGTGGACTGTAGCCATCGGTGATATAGCCGAGATTAAAAAGGTTGGCGGCTATGGGTGGAAAGCTAAGATCATCGTAGGTTGGTCTATGGGCAGGGAGGTAGCTGATGGTCTAGAAATCACGGATAGAATAGGTAACGTTTGGCGCGTGACGGCGATCCCGATGAGAGATGAGCTCTTCAATCGCCTTGTGGCTATCGGAGGACAGAAATGGGAGGCTTGGTAAGGTAACGCGACAAGTAGAGATGTCTTGGATATGTGCGTATGGATGACATTATTCAATTTATTACCTATATTAATGTCATTTCATTCGAGAGAGTTTGATCTTACCCTCTGACATATATATCAGGTCAGTAGAGCTACAATGAAGCCCCTGTCAGCGACGATCGATAGTGACGTAAATCCTACAGCGATCATTGCTAAAATCCTTTGATAACTTCTAGCAACGAAACAATTTAGCCATAGAAAGATCTCGACACTAGATTAATTATCCGCCACTCATTCTCGCAGCATGCAACCTAGACGACGTTGCGTGACGTTGTAAAAGCGACCAGCCCATCGGTTCGATTTACGCCTCGATGCCTCCACGAACTATTTACAGGCACAAATCGACACATCCTCGGGGAAGCAATATAACATGTCTTGTTCTGGATCAATTTAAGCTTATCGAAGGAATGGGGATTGTTAAGGCTCTGCTTGTCGGCTATGCGGGCTAAATTAACGATGCGACGGTGCGCATACGGAGTGTGACATCGTAGATGAAGATCGCGGGCTGGAAGCATGCTATGATAACATGTTGCGACAAGATTTTTCTACGTATAAAAGGGTGGTTTGGACCCATTAACGCTAAGTGATTAGATCAATTGAAAGAGATGCCACTACAAAGGACAAACGGGTGTTTATTCAGTATAGATACATCTTTAACACCCCAGATATATCCAAAATTCATCTAAGTCACCACCATGCATCTTCTCCCCCTCCTCCTCTTACTCCTCCTCCCCACAACCCTAGCCCAAACCTCCGGCTGCGTCCAAAACGAAAACTGCACCTCCTGCGGCTGGTACTGTAACCAAGGCTGCGACGCCCTCCTCGACCGCGCCGAATGCAGCCGGTGTCTGTACTGCCGTCGCGAAAGCTCTTCTTGCGGCTTCATCGATATCGCAGATACGTGGACTACGGACCCGCCTAGTGCAGAGATGTGCGAGGCTTGTGATTTGGGATGTTGGTGTCATGGTGATTGGTATTGTATGGATGGGACTACGGAACCACCGCCTGGGAGCCCGCCTACGGAGACGGATAGGGTGGGGTGAGGGCTTGGGAGGAGTTAAAAAGAGGTTGCGGTGTGAGAGGGGTATACTTTAAGTCGTTTAGACGATATTCGAAATGAAGGGGATAGGGCTAGGTGTTTATGATGGGCTGAAATATTGGATATGCCGGAAGAGGTATTTAATTATAGTTATTGTATAATGGATAACATCAAGTTGTGAAGGGTTGGGCAGCTAGAATTGGATATATGGGATTGCTGTTACCATCTCGCTGAATCCATCTCACGAAGAGAGCTATGTGTGCAGAATAGGTAGGTAGGTGTTATGCTCCTGCGAATACTCTGTTGTTGAGCCAAGTTATAGCCCATTCCATAGGAAGTATATTGAAGTTATCTACCGTATCTACCCAAGTAGTATCATAAAAGAGTGTTATAATATTTCTATGCGTGCGTAAACGAGTGACTTGAATCCTTTGATGAATGGAACCCCGACCCAGCTAATACCGAATTGAATTGACCTCCTAGTCCTCGTCTCAGTTTAATCACCTTTTACGATGAATCTAAATCTCAGGTTCAACGCCGTCCTTGCAGCATCTATAGGCGGATACTTTTCCTCCCAGATATTAATCTCGTCTCTCAAGGTCTGCAGTTCATCTTCCGTGAGACTGTTGGGCCTATACCCCTGTCGTAGGATCTCTTTGGCTTCATCTAAGTTCATCTTGGTAGATTCAACCATGAGCTCCCAATCTACACCTATCTCGGTGATGCGGACGTAGCATCTACCGAATTGCAGGGCCCTTTCATATTGTGATACCGATGGATTCACCCTTGGATTTTTAAACTGGTTGACGAGATCGGGGAAGAGGTCGACCAATTGGGTTGACTCTGCGACGAGGGAGTTCAGGTAATCGATTTTGTCTTGCATTCCGGTCATCTCGCCAGGCGCTGGCTGTCGCATCTTGGTTTTAGGCGGTAGAATACTACGATAGTATGATTGGACTTCGTTTCGTTTTACGAAGTGGAGAATCCCAGGTGCGATGCCAGCTTCTGCAAAGACTGCAGAGTACAAGTCTTCCAGTGTCATCGACGATAAGGGCTGAGGTTGAGCCATGATGATGAGAAATCGTTATGAAATTAGGTGTATCAGGGTGTAGGTAAACGGTTGAGTTGTGTAGAAATGACGAGAAATGAAGTAGCTGCTAACGTCGAATTTATATGGTTTGGGGTGTTTGAATTCTGTCGAATATTCGAGGTAGCGGTGAGGAAGATGGACTGTCAACTGTGGTGTCTGTATTAGTTGATAGTTGATGGAGGGCGTGTAGTTACGAAGACTGGTTAGGAACTGGTAAGGATTTGGTTTGAACTCAGGAAGATCACTTAGCCAATCGGTATTGTATTGTTGAGAACTATGGGTGTGGCAGGTAGAAAAAGGCGGAAGGGAAAAAAATAGACAAATAATCCATATCATGGATGCATTGCATTAAGCTGTTGAGAGTTTCGCCCCTGGGAGAATCAAATCAATGTAATGAAAGTGGATAAACCAGACGAGATATGCGTCTCGTAGTTGTGGAGGCTCGAAAGCCTGTCTTCATAAAGGTGGTAAAACTCCATGAGAACTTTTCTAAGTGGCTACTTCCGATGTTGTGATAACTTCAAACAGGGATTGCTTGGGTGCTGGTTTCTAGGCCAATCCGTTTCGTGGAGAACGTCGTATCAGCAATGTACCTACTAGGTAGATACCTCTTGTCTAGGCTACTAGGGACTCGGGTAAGAGGTAGAAGGTACCTATCCATGGATGTACGCGTGAGAGCTAGGACGCTAAGTCAAATGGTAGGGGTTGGCTGGACGTGGACTGGAGTTGGATTTTTGTTGAGATGTTACTGGCATGTTGTTTGATGCTGGTCAAGTCGATCGAGTCAAATATCGAATTGGGGTGTATGGGGCGGGTACTGGATAGTAGAAATTTAACATACAGATGGGGGTTCATCTATACATCGAAAGACGCCTGGGTACTTTTATAAGAGGCCTATGAAAGTAAAGAGGTTGGTCTCAAGGGTATGACGCCTGGCAGCTAGAATGGGTTCAATAACTTGACTCAAACATGAGACTTGAATGGCTTGGGGTTGTGTGATAAGCGACGACACTGTTGTAGATATTGAAGCAGTTCTATGCTATCATACCTTTACAGTACCTCTCCTTCTCTACCTTGACGTTGCTCATTTCACTCTGTAACCATATGAAGCTGTATCATTCATTCCCTAAGAAACTGAAGCCTGTCCAAGTAATTAATTGGTAATTAATCAATGATTAATTCGTGATTAATCTGTAATTAATTCCAAGGTTACCTAATAGTTACCTGGACAATATACAGTACCATCTTCTCGAGTCTAATCAGTTATGAGAAAGGGGGACTGTTCCTATAGAACAAACCTTGAGTGTTCACTCTAGAGTACTAGACACACTAGGTAACTGGTTATTCTTACGGAGCCTACTCAGGGATATATACTTGCGCTGCATCATACGAGGTAAAGGATATAGGAGTTGAGAAGTCACTACCTAGATAGCTAATTATTTACGTAGAAGAGTTAATAGGTCTCGATAGAATGGGACGCATAAGCTAGCTGGAATTCGAAGAACTCCATGGACTGACCGAGTTCTCAGAAACCAAGCCATTCTTAGATATTAAATATCATCTACAAAACTGCGGGTTCTAGAATAGCAAACCGATCCTTCTCCGAGTCAAGCTCAGCTAAGGTATCGAACGGCAAAGTGACCATCGGAGTAGTATGACCAATATCCACATTGAATAGAATCGGGAACTTCTTCTCAGCCAGAGGTCCTTCACATAGAAGTCCTTTAATAACACCGATATATTCGTCCCTCATCTTCTCGGAATCATACCCGAATGGCCGTCCAACTACCAACCCAGCCGCGTCGTCAAACACGCCCTGCGCTATAAGGTCCGCAATGCCCGCTTGTACCCGGTAGATTGGGTTACCGGAGGCTTCATCCTCGCCTATAGCCGTCTCGAAGAACACTATCTTGCCTCGCCAATCAGGGACGATGCTGCGTATTCCGGCGAGACGCGCCACGGCGGTTAGACAGCCACCAAAAAGTCGTCCTTGACTCTTTCCGGGTCGAATCCATATCCAGCCAGGGGTAGGAATAATCTCTGGTGGCTTTGGGGTATCCGAATTGTCGAATAACGCCGCAAGCTTGGGTGCGTATGTAGGAGACCGCTGAATATCGCCGATAGCTTCGCGGCTAGTGATAATGCGGAAGAGATTCTTGACGCAAAATGAAAGTGGTGTGGTCTCGTCGTCGACAGAGTTAGCTTCGCCGAGCTCCGGCAATGCTCCCGGACCGTAGAATGTGCGGAGACCGGTGAGCGCATGTAAAAACCAGTGTACCCCGGTGATATCGGAGAAGCCCACGACGATCTTCGGGTTGGCCCGGATGACGGAATGGAGTTCCGTGTCGGCAACTAGAGCGGGGAGCAACTCTGTGAAGTTTGATCCGCCGATGGTGCATATGATGGCGGAAATAGACGGGTCGGAGAATGCGGCCCGTATCTCGGAGAGACGGTTGGCGATGGATGATTGGATGCCCGTATCGGTATTGAAGAATTCGCGGACGTTATAGCCTTGCCCCTTTAGCACGGAGGTCGCCCGTGTCATGAAGGCGGAACATCGGATATTCAGACGAGCTGATGGAGAGATAAATGCTATTGTTGCGCCGGGCTCTAAGGCCTTTGGAATTACTGCTGAGGGCATCTTGGGTTATGGATGAGAATATTATAGATATTGAGCGTTTGGTTCTCGGTTTTAGATACCTTGTATCTTGGTATTGATATTTATTCTTTCTTACACGAGGACCTCACTTGAGTTTTTATATGCTGGCATGCTGACAAGCTGACACTTGTGCACAGCTCACGCCCTTCCTCTTGTAGACAGCGATGAGGGGCTTCTAAAACAAGGGAGAGGGTAGGATTAATCATCACGCCATCTGCCCGCGTTTAGGCAGAAGCTTTCTCTAATTCGCGACCTGGATGCAACGCGGTGACTCGTAATTATTGTGTAGATTAATCTGTAGGTAGGTATGTTCATTGAAATGAACGATACCATCCTGCCGTCTTAGGTTGGCCTCAATTCATAGATTTGAGCGTTCTATGGTTGAGGCTGGAAAGAGGTTCTGCTCGAAACTTTGAAATGGTCTCGGAGATAAGTGGCACTAACGCCGCGAAAACAAATTCCGGCGCTAGCCCAGAAAGGGAATAGGCTATATCAAACTCGTGCCGGGGTGGAAAGGGACGTGATATACGATCGATCATCGGGGGTTCGGGGACACATAAGATCATGCAAACAGTCGAATACGGATCTATCATTAATGTACTTACCTTCAAGAAGCGCAAACGGCGGATTCGATTCCTATGAGTTCTTATGGGCTTCAGAGAGTACCGCATGCCTTGAGAAGTACTTACCTACCCAAAGTCCTTACCCCTGAATGTGGTGACGAAAACCTGAGACCGACAGACCAGCTGCACGCTGTCATGCTGTCATGCGGCCTACCGTGAATGTGGCGCTGAAAATGAAGTTTGATTCCTTCGCTTCGTCTTGAGTACCTGCCAGGTACCTACCTGGTACTAATGCGGGGAGGTTTAAGCTTGCCTTGATACCGTTTGCTAAATGTAGCCACCCGTAGGACCGCAACCCGCGGAATGTCGGCGATTTGATATGTACGATTCCATCGTGGCGTAACTAGCGCCAGCGCTGTCTTAATTGTCGACGTGCCGCTCAATGTACCGGTACTTGGTAAGTAGATCAATCACCGGCATGTTGATCTGTCATGTGTGGCTTGGAAAACAAACGCCATCACCGGCAAGAATTATCATCACGGCCGTGCATATCCGGGTTCCGGGAGGCTGCTTTCTGTTCCTTGACAACAATGTTGAATGTACCTAGATCTTCAACGGAAATGAGCCGGTCGTTTACCTGCCTGCCTGGTTAGATGCTTGGTAACAAACAGCTGTATGAGAGCTGGTTGTAACGGCATTGCAGCTCTCAGTTTACCGAAGAATTAGACGAAATATATATAGGTATATATCTATAACATTCCCTTCGTTCGACGACGTGTTGCTTTCACCTTCATCACACCCTCCATCACACACTCTATCACACCTTCTATCACAAATTCTCACAGCTTCTATTACAGCTTCCAATATTTATCTTACTTCTCATTGCACTATTCTGCTTTGGATTTATTGTATCCTTAATTATCTCTATCTAATCGTCGTTAATATGGCGACTGCCGAAGTTGGTTTGGGGAATCAAGCCGTACTCAGCAAGATCGACAAGCTGAGAGAGCTGAGTGTTGGTGCGATAATCCCTCTTCCCCAGGTGAGTTAATACCTATACTTAATCCGCAAGTTAATCGGTTGATATCTGACCTCCTTGTAGCTTATTGTTGTGGGAGACCAGTCCTCTGGAAAGAGTTCTGTGCTTGAGAGTCTGACTGGGTTCTCCTTTCCACGTGCTGCTGGATTGTGTACTCGATACGCCACCCAGATAACATGTAGCCGTGAAGCGCAAAAGAGCGTCAACGTGTCGATAATCCCTCGGCCAGACGCGGATGAGGCACTCAAGGCTCGCCTTCTTGAGTTTCATCGTCAGATCACCACCATGAACAACAAGCGTCTTACCAAGATATTTGAAGATGTTCGTTCTCTCATAACTCCAATTTGATCCCGTTTCTCTGACTGATCCTTCTTAAAGGCAAATGAGGCAATGGGTCTCCGGATGAGTCAGACTGATGGGGATGAGGGTGCTGGGGCTTTTAGCCAAGATATCTTAAAGATTGAAATCAGTGGTCCCGACGTGAGAATCTCCACACTTCATGGTATCGTCCGTCAACTGAATCTTTGGTAGCAAGCCCACCTCACGGTGATAGATGTCCCTGGGATATTCAGAGTTCCAACACCTGGTAAGTCACCATGAGTGAGATACCTAAGAGTCTATTAACAGTTACTAGGACTCACAACCGAAAGCGACGTTACCATGGTTCGAAACATGGTCAAGTCTTACATGGAAAATAGCAGAACCATGTTTGATCCCAAACCCGACGTTCACCTTCCCGACTAACAATTTGATAGAATTCTGGCTGTTATGCCTTGCAATGTCGATATTGCTACCCAGGAGATCCTAAAGCTCGCCGAGGCTGCTGATCCAGATGGTATGAGAACTATGGGCGTTCTGACGAAGCCGGATTTGGCGACCGAGAGAGCCACGCAGGATTCGGTGATCGACCTGGTTCTCAGCAAACGGAACAGGCTGAACCTAGGATACTGTGTTGTTAAGAATCGTAGTGCAGATGATAGCACGTCATCGATGAGCGATCGGCTCGCTGCGGAAAAGGCGTTTTTCATGGGACCTCCTTGGTCGTCGGTAGCAGACCGTTGTGGCATTGCATCTTTACAGATCCGCCTCAGAGAATTGCTCATGGACATTTCTAAGCGGGAGCTCCCACACGTCAAAGCAGATATCGAAAAACGTCTGCATATCCGCAGGACTGAATTGGAAGCTATGGGTCCATCCAGATCTGACCAGAGTTCCCAAAGACTTTTCCTAGGACGAATTGCTTCAAGATTTCAAGCAATCACACAGCATGCCATCAACGGATACTATACGGCAGACCCGATATTTAAGTTGATGCCATGTTTGAAGCTCTCGACTCGGGCTATCGAATTAAACATGTCTTTGTCCAAGAATATCTTGACAAGGGGCCATAAACGGCACTGCGGCCCTGAGCGAAGCAAAAAAAGAATTATTACGTGGCCCGAAGCTGATCTTTCCATCAGTATACCTCTGACCGATTATTCGGAGCTGTTTAATATTATTGTCACGGATGAATATAAATGCCCCGAGCCCTCAAATGGTCCAATCTTAGACCATGTGATGATGGTTTACGAGTCTAGCCGTGGCCCGGAGGTTGGAACTGTGAGTGCTTCGTTATATAATTTTATCAAAATACCAGGTTCTTACTAGGGTTTTATAGTTTGGAGGGTCGATACTTGCAACGGTGTTTGAAGAGCAGTCGGAAAAGTGGGAGCCATTAGTCCTCGCGCACACCAGCAAGGCTATTGTGTTGGTTCACGATTACATCTACCAGCTTTTCACGCACCTTTGCCCAGATACCAAAGTGAGGAACGAGTTGTGGAACGGATTTCTTCTTGATAAACTGCAAGATAGGTATCGCCAGGCTATGAAGCATGCCCGATTCCTCCTCTCCATCGAGCGTCGTGGCAGACCGAGCACATTTAATGATAGATTCAACGATATTCTACAGGATAAACGCAGCTCTCGCATGACCAAGTATTTGGAAAACCGGGAGGAACACCTCATCGGCAATTCGAGGCAAGTGTGTGAGGATATTGTAGATACTCTCACGAGTTATTACAATATATCCCGTGAGAGGTTTGTTGACTCTATCTGTCAACAAGTCGTGAACCATTTCTTGCTCGAAGGGGATGACAGCCCTCTGAAAGTCCTCAGCCCGGAATTTGCGATGGCTCTCGATGCCGATGAACTCGAGATGATTGCCGGCGAGGATTCGGCATCGAAGCGGCAACGCCAAGCCCTGGCCTGGGAGATAGAGAGCTTGGAGGAAGCTACGAAAGTTCTGAAAGGATAATCGCTATGGAGTCATGATATCGTGAATTCTTGATGGGGCTATGGCTGTATCGTGTCTGTTTAAATTCCATAGTCTCGTGTGTATTATTACTTGATAGAATGTGAAGGAGAAGGAAGTTCAATCGAATGAGATTATTCAGCCATTTCTTTAGTGACCCCTCTGCCCCTATCCGGTGACGCGATTCCTCCGCATCCCCAACAAATTTCCCCGCATGGATAGCTTTACGCCCTGTGTCCCTGAAAATGGAATTAAGATTTGACGCGTGTACCTATCTACATGTACCTAGAGACAGCAAAAGTCGAGTACGATTTCTGAAATGGCTTCAGTAAGCATACTGTCGCATTGCCACGATAGGCGGGCGGACACTTGTAAATAGGGATGTAAGAAAAAACCTCGGATTCGACCAAAGTTGAGTTTTTTCGGAGGTGTCGGGAATAACCTTGACACAAGGCGGCTAGGTACCTATCTATCGCCGTTTATCACCATCTATCGTCTCTATCGCCTCTATCATCTATCACACCGTACCAAGCTCATCGGGCACATCATATTCCCAGGTAGAAAAGATCGTATCAATTCGTAAAACATCCCATAACGAATAGCATTTTTGTCATTCTCCGCGTCTAATAATATTAAGGCAAGGCCGTAGCCCCGATTCCAAGCACTCACTCATTCAGAAACCTCAGAAACCTAACGTACAGCAATACCGCCTACTTGACGTCAGCGGCCTTAAACTTCTCCAATTTTTCCCCAAACAGGTGGCTTGCATCAACAACTACTCCACTCTGGCTCGCTTCTTAGACTCACCATTACCGTTGCCGTTCTCACCCGTAGTAGAGAAATATTCCAGGCTTCCCTTGGGGTCGGCCTTCATTCCCTTGCTGCCGTTCTGCCATCCGGCGGGGCAGACCTCGCCGTGTTCGTCGGTGAACTGGAATGCTTGGACGAGACGGATCGTCTCCTCGACGTCGCGACCGACCGGTAGGTCGTTGACGGTGATCTGGCGGAGGACACCCTTAGGGTCGATGATGAAGAGGCCACGTAGGGCGACACCTTCGTCCTCGATCAGGACGCCGTAGCTGCGAGAGATCTTGTGGGACTTGTCAGCGATGAGGGGGAGCTGTAGGTCGGAACCCAAGCCGCCTTGCTTGCGGGGCTTCTCAGTCCAGGCTAGATGGGTGAAGTGGGAGTCGGTCGAGACGCCTAGGACGGCGGTGTTGATGGCGCGGAAGCGAGGTAGGGAGTCGTTGTACTGGATGATCTCGGTCGGGCAGACGAAGGTGAAGTCCATGGGGTAGAAAAGAAGGACGACCCTATTGGCGATGGTCAGTTTGACACGCTTCAAACCCATACAAAATGGCAAATGGATGTAGAATGAAAATGAGGAGGGGTGAGCGATGTCGGCGAGGGAAGGGAAACTTACCATTGACCCAGATAGTCGGTCAAGGAGATGTCCTTGAACTCACCACCGGGGAAGACGGTGGTGGCAGTGAAGGCCGGAGCCTGGCGTTGGACAAAAGCAGTAGACATTGTGGAAAATAAAGGTGATGATGGATTGAGTGTATTCGTGGAGATGTTTGGTTGTTTCTTGATGATGGGCGTGGTTGTTATAGTTTGGGATTAGGCCGTTTAGATTTTAGTGAGAAAAAAGGTCGAAACGAAAGAAAGGTCTAGAAATTCTTATCACCGCTCGAAAGCAAACAGTAACAGGGAACTACGATGGGTCGTGCGTACGGCATCTGCCCGAGTCTGCTAAGTTACCCGGGCAATCTCCACCGGTTGCCCAGGTCACTCCTCCTTATCATCATTTCGCTAATCCCAACTTAGCCTTTCTCACCATCGCGTGATTATCGTCTATCGGCCTGTCTTGCCTGTCTCGCCTGCCAACGCGTCTGCCCCACTTGCTCTTTCCTTCTCAAACTCTTAAAACTCCTCGATTTTATCGTCCAAACCGCGTTGATTGACCAATCACACCATTTCCTCACCTAAGCTTGGCGCGGGATGAAGAGGATAATTCGTTATGCCGTTAGGGGGAAATTTAGAGAGGCTCTAAGTGGGTCAATTGTGCCTTATGTATGCTATATACGGACCAAATAGGTAACTATTTTCTTCACATAGTCCCTTGCATTCCACTTTTTTTCGCCGTCCTTACCTCATTTTAGAGCGCAAGTAATGACTAAGCAAGCACATGTTTCTATCGAAAGGAAATATTCGCACATATTCGCACATTTTCGACTTCAATTCTCTCTCCGATCTCGGAGTGGATCTGTATTATCCTGGTTCAAAACGCCGAATAGCGAAGTGTTGCGGCTTCCCAACTGAATGGGACTGGGTTTTTAGTATCGAACTTTGTGCGATAGAAATCGATTTAGCTTGACTAAACGCTAACTAGGGTTATTAGTCACTGGAAGGAACTACGTCCTTTAGCGTGGTATACCAAGACATGGATACGAAGCTATCATCAACCTGTAGCTTACAATTGTGTTGAGGGTGAAGACGTCATTATATGATGCGTTGAGGATATCTAGGTATCTACCTACTCAAGCACGTATCAAAGAGATCAGAACCATATGATGAAAGCCTTCTCATACATGAGCTGCCTACTAGGTCCCCGTCATGTGAGTCAGCCCTTTAGAGTATGTATTTAACCAGGCGCTAGATAGACGGATTCTGCAGCAGAAATTCCTGGAGAGTTGTAGTCCGCAACCCTAGCTTCTCATTATCGAGCGTCTTCAGGGTCCACGTCCCATCCACAGTGAAGAGCTGATAGAACCAACCAATATAAGACCAAAAGTTCCGTCGAGATCCCTCGCTTCTCGCCTGCAGCGCTCTCTTTCTCAGCTCTTCTACAGTTCCCATAACCTCAACGTCCAATTTGATCCCTCTAACAGCTTCATACGCAGTGGCGATCTCCCTTAGGGTGTTCACGCCCGAGCAAAGACGCCAGAACCCCCCTTCAGCTGCGTCGTCTCTCTGAACGATCTCGACCGCAAACTCGGCCGCATCTTTCTCGGTAGTCCAATGCCAAGGTTCGTTGCCGGTCCCCCATATCTCGAGCCTCTTACCCTGCGGGTCCCAACAGCCGTGATTCTGAGGCGTGAAGTCGCCGTGGCCGGGAGTGGCAAAGAGCACTTCGGCAAAGACACCGTTGAGGATGTAGATCGGTCGGATGGTTGATGTCAACTCGACGTGGTTGTGGAAGGCGATGAAGGGGTCGTAACTCTCGTGCTGCCCGAGCTGAAGTGCAGTCCAATCGTAGCTCCAACATGCTGCGACGAATCTCTTTACGCCGGCTCGCTCTGCTGCGCGGAGTAGGAGTAATTGGCCTTCGAGCGTGAGTTCTGGTCTCCCACTGTAAGCGTTGATGATGGCATCGACGCCGGCGCAACCACGGTTTAAAGAGTTGATGTCGTCATAGCCAGTACTATGCACGATACCTTCTAGGCGAGAGAGGATATCGGGTGATAGCTTAGAAGAAGCGTTGCGAGCGAGGATCCGGACTTGGTGGCCTCTAGCAAGGAGGCTGGTAATGGCATAACGGCCGATGTTGCCCGTAGCACCAGTAACAAGAACTAACATGGTGCTGGATGGGGTATTTGGTTTGGGATATTGACATGGAAGGAAGAGATGTGAGTATTGTACTGGATGGGATCATTAATAATGGCATTCGGGGCTCGGCGTAATATCATAACTTATGTCCGATTCGTATATCGTCATGTCGCATTATGCCCTCATCCTTCGGGTCGATAATTACGCTTACAATATCATTCGGCATCCATTATATTGTGATTGAGAGGTATTGGCCATGGCCTCTTCCCCCTTACGTTGCGAATATACTGCTTACGTAATTTATAAATGCTGCTACGTCCGTCTCTAGAATTGACAATTCAGTCCAAATCTGCCTATTCTGATCAATAATTTATACGAATCCTCTTAGTGTAGAAGCCATACTGTATGTTTATGAATTATATCCAGTCACTGGAAACAAGAAAGGGGGTAAAAGGGGTAGTTACACAAATGCTTTGTAATACACTCAAGATGTGCTTATTAAGCATTATTCGAGCTTCCACAGTTCTGTGCTCAAGTTGTCTAATTCACCACGCGATCGAAATAACTTCAAGATGTTTTGTCATTAAGCTATAGGTAATCTCAGACGCCTGGGTCACGGGCCAATATATAGCAGACAAATAGAACCTCTGTTTGGATTATGATATATTTGTCATCACCAGCCGTCGTTTATCATACATTTACCTAAACCGACCTTATAAGACAATGGATATCAGAAGTATTAGATATAAACAAAGGGAATCAATCAATGAGCGGTATTCAACACTAGGTTCAGTTGTCCCTATACTGGTTGCTTCGCAGCTAACAATAGCTGCTTACCCTCTTCCCAACCCCGGTGCTCGGCAATCTCGACTATCGTCATTCCAGAATCGTCCTTAGCATTTAGGTCGACACCGGCCTTATCTATCATGAGCTTGAGCACGGCAGAGTCACCGTTCTCGATGGCCTGGATGTAGGCGTTGTGGCCGCGGTAGATCTTGTTCGGGTCCGCGCCGTAGTTTAGTAATAATTCGACGATCTCCGTGTCTGCTCCGTGAAGTCGTCGTAGGGCCTTTACAATTGGCAAATGTTCGCCAGGTGAGTTGACATCGGCATTGGCCTCCTCCTATATCACAATTATGTTAGTCTCACATCCAGCTTCATTTCGATGGGTTCATCTTCTAGGGAGGATGGTCTTACTAGTAAGAAGTGCACAATTTCCTTGCGGTCTTCACGGATAGCCGTCGTCAACGGCGAGAAGACACCTCCGTTACGGTCTTCCACACTCACACCAGCCTTCAAAAGCAACTTGATGCTTTCCAACTGGTTGGCTACAACAGCCATCTCCATCACACCCTTGAAAGCGCGTGGTTCAGCCAATGCTGGTAACAGACGCTTCAAAATCATAGGTTGGCGCACGGCCATGCAGACCGGCCAGTTCTCTCCTCGGACGTTAGGGTCGGCGCCGCGAGATAGGAGGAAGTCCTGTTCGGCGCCAGTCTTATTAGCAACTCGTCACTGGTATTCTGGTGGGAAAAGAGAGAATCTCTTGTTTTCTAGAAGTCCTTACCACTAAGTCAGCACGGTTCTCACGGATCGCCGTAGTCAAGGGTGTGGCACCGGTTTTGGGGGTCTTGTCGTTGGGCGAAACCTTTCCGGTGTCGAGTAACCAGTAAAGTGCCTCGACGTTCTTGCACTGAACTGCGGTTTCTAGGATACCTTTGGGGGAGTTCAAGTCGGCGCCCGCAGCTACCAATGGTGCTAGGTATTGCGTTCGGTAATGCGTCACGCACTTAAACGCAGGATATTCAGCGCTGGGTGTGTTGGGGTCTATTCGAAAGCGATCTCGTTAGCCTCGAATATCTTGAAGTCGCATAAAATGACAATACAATTAGGGGCTAGGGACTTACCTGCACCATTAGCGAGAAGTAGCTCGAAGATGTCGGCACGGTTATCTCGAATGGATGAGCAGAGTGGTGTATAGATGCCATCCTTCTTAGCATTGGGATCAACACCTGCTTTGAGTAACACTCGGACGGATTCTTTGTTATTGATGGAAGTTGCCAATTCCATAATTCCAGGGGCTTTCTTAGGATCAGCACCACGAGCAAGCAATACTTCGAGGATGCGAGGTGCTCCAGCCGCCGGCCACAACCTGTGTGCTACACGTTAGTTACCGTTATACAAAGAGGAATTGAGTTCGTGTGACTCAGCCATAAAAGCTTTGGCTCACGAAAAACTTTCGAGTTTCAAATGGAACTTACTACAAACAAGTTAGTGATCAGACTGAAGGGAGATTGGGAAATCGATCGGGTAAATTTAGACGTACCATATGTTTTGGTCCTGGGAGGTTGGGATTGGCGCCGTGATCCAAAAGGCTAGTAACAACATCCAGACGGTTGGAGTTAATAGCCTCGAAAAGGGGCGTGTGTCCTTCCCTGTTCTTGACGTTGGCATCTGAACCATACTCAAGAAGCATGTCAATTATCCTCCTAGTTCGCTTCTTAATGATAGCTGCTAATAATGCAGTATCTCCATTAGCCAAGATGTGGTTGACGTCGCCTCCATAGGTGAGAAGAATGCGGGCAAGATCAAACTTGTCTTCGAGAACTGACATGGCGAACGGTGACTCGGATTCCGGTCCGGCTGTCGAGTTCGCATCCGCACCATACTTCATCAACATGATTACGGCTTCTCGGAACGATTCTTCTACGGATAGGTATAAGGGGGTTACGTTCCGGGTGTCCGGGGCGTTAGGGTCGGCTCCGAAGAGTAATAAGATACGAACAGCCTCGGAGTCGTGGCGTAGAATAGCGTGGTTTAGGATATGGGCGTCGGGGCCATTATTAGGGGAGACACCTCGGTCAAGAAGCTGTTCTAACAACTTGTGATTGCTCGTATCCACGGCAGAGATTAATGATTCTCTCAGCGCGGGAGTATCCGCCCCGGAAGTATTTCGCGGACTCCATCGGGGCATAGTAAGAGGATCGGCCTTCAGACGGATAACCTTATACGGGTCGAACGAGTCCATCTCTTCTACAAGGGTGTCCACCTCCGTAATGTGACCCGAACCCGAAGCAACTGTACTTTGTACAAGAGATCGATCCAGGGTCTCAGCCGTCGACATCACGCGTTCCCGCGCACCACGGGAGGAAGATCCGCTGCCGATCGTATAGTTAGATAGTGAAGGCTCGCGCTGTATTTCGGGAAGAAGCTGAACTCCCGGATTTTGAATGGTTTCTTCGCGCCTTCCAAGAGAAGAGTGATCCCTAAGCGAGGGATGTTCCCTAGTAGAGGAATGATCCGTTATCGAGCCTTTGCTGTGAGTTATAGGCTGTGGCGGTAACGGCCAAACAGCCGGGACCTCGTCTGCTTGGTGACTGACGCCACTATTCGGACTGTTGAGAGACTTCAGTTTCGTGATACCCGCTACAGTCTTTCCTCTATCCATTCGGTCTAGCGCAGCAGCTAAACCCGTGTAGCCAATGCCAACCGACTCATCGATCTTGGCATCTCCGAGAGACCATTGAAAGACGAGGGAGCTCATCCTTAGAGCCTCTCGGGTCTTCGCCAAGTTGTCTCTCATCTTCTCGACGTCGTTATCGGCGAACATCTTGCGCCATCCCTTCTGAATCTTTCCCATCGTGCCCTTCTTTTCATATTCCAGAAGGCGGGTCAACATGTGATCCAGCACCTGGAAATCCGTGTTGGTGGCCCTAAACTTCTTCTCAAGCTCCGTAATCATCTCCGCCGGAAATCTCTGATTGCTCCTTGAGAACTCGGTCAAACCGGCCTCGAGCGACCACATTATTCGGCACGTCTCTAGAAAGTCGTGCGCTAACTCGTCGAATTGGTGCCCATGCTTCTCGACGGTACCCACATACTCGAGCATGTGAATGGATATCTTGTTGCCAAGGACCGTTGCCTTATGGCATTGGGCAACTACCGATTCGATAGAGGGGGCCATGATGACTGACCACTCAAAAGTCGAATCGCTATCTTATTCGGGTGGTCTTAAGACCTGCAATGGTTTACGTCGCGTGTTCCTACAGCCCTACCTAGCAGTAGGAGGAAGTGTTGGGTTGGGGAAGAACGAAATCTTGAAACAGAACTCTGGGACCGTCGTCGGAAAACAGCTGGGCATGATATATTTATGTGATGTGATCGACCGCGCCAGTGATCTAATTCTCAGCTCGTGTGGATCTTCGGTTAGGCACAGAATGGAGCATGGAAATGGAGCACTTTGTATGCAAGCGCTATGATGGAAATCTAGCGTACCAAACAACCTCATCTCAGCCCGATGGTAGCTCATCGACAGTTTGCTATTCGCGAACTCCTCGTCTTCGACCAGTCAATGCGGCTGACTAGTTCGTCTTCGATACAGGTTTGCTCCCTAGACCTCAAGGATAAGGCCTGCATGACTTCAGTTCATCCACCGATCGGATCAAGGGAATCTACCAGGTTTACTGGTGCCGTAGTCTCCGATGCTTGCATAGACTTGTCTACCCCTGATACCCTACGTGCTTAGGCCACTCCACCCACCCAAGCAAGCTGAAGATGCTCAGTCACTACCGAGATCTAATCGACGACTACGTATCCTACCTACATACATGCATACGGTACATCCTACGCCGTTGTAGCCCGAGCGAAGATATCAAGACGAGCTTAGTAATTTACTCGAGAGAGGTACCTGCGCGATACTCCATTGAATAGTACCCGCTGGGGTCCCACGTGGCGATTTTCAACGCGGGCCTACCTAGGTAAGCAAGATACGATGCACTATAGCAACCGTCCATACTATGCGTAGATCGAAGCTAGGGTTAAAACTATTGTGATATAGCATACGGAGACCCCGCGACTATTGAAGGCTGTTTTGAGGCCCCGAATGGTGAACCGGAGAGCTTACATACCTAATACCTACCTAATACCAAATCAAAATCTACCTAGGTAAACACCAATGTTCTGCCCACTGAAAACCCAACTTACCCAAGGCCTCAGCCAACAGAGATACATGTTTATGTCTGGGGTTGGCCGTACTACGCTACTTAGTCGGTTTCAGCTAAGAGTAGTGATTACCTGACGTAGTATATACGATAGTAAATCATAATCAACAACGAGATAGAGGGTAGAAAAAAAGGACATAACCCTAGACTTTCTGCTTAGGTCAAATTCCAGGAGACGGGAGCCGAGACTCCAGCCTAACCATTTTCCTATCGCGCTAAGCATGCACCGGCTTAAGACCCGAGCCCGGACCTGATGGCACCGGTGTCTTGGCATATATTGAAAGGCTAGAATTTTCGGTAATTATTTACTGCTTATGGAAGCGTTAGTCCAGATTTTACATAGTAAATAGCTTCTCTAAGAGTCTAAGGACGGATCCACCCCGTCTCGTTTTCAATTCCCCCCCATTCTAATATCTAGAGTCAAAGCGCTACACTGCAGGTTGCCCACTTGCGTATTTTCTTTGGAAGAACTTAGCCAACAATGGTCTAACGTGATAGCAAAGAGACTGTTAGTCCTCTTCAATCGCTCTAAGCGGTTTGTTAGTCGTCCGTATGAGGGTCTTGCCGAGGCTCAGTTTGTTACATCGTGAACGTACGTACCCGATACAAACACAGGATAGTATCTGAAGATTTTTTACGCGAGCCTCTTTCTTGATCTACGGAAAATAGATTGGAAAAATAGATTGGACCGTTCCCTCGGATTTCTTTAGTCTGTGCAAGGTCGGATTTGGGATTTGGGATTCGGGGATGGAGGGGTTGACGAGGACATTCGATTTGATCATGTTACGTACTGGGAGGTATGGTCAGTATTTTCATCTTGTTTTCTTTTATTCCAACGTACGAAGATATCATAATTAGATGAATACGAAGAGCTGTATATAAACATATATATTTATATTATAGATCAACATATACCATTGCCTACCTGGTACTTATATAGGCACTTGTATAATGAAGATTCGCGTCTTCGGCTTCGTACGAGACAGCTTCAGTTATCATTCTACTATCTTCTACTCTGGGTACCTGCTTGGTATGCATCTCAAGTAGTACGATACTAGGTACATACTTAGTATTCTTGGTAGCCGGGTCGGGTAGGCTAACGAGAATCTATGGTGTTCCATGTTTGTCTTTTTCAACTTTTCCTAATATGTGCGATTCTGCTGACGAATATCCTAGACTTTAGCTACACTTTTTTTATATAGCCCCGGTCACTTATGCCCCACCTATCAGCTGCTGGCTAATCTCGAACGAGTCTCGAACGGGAGATCGACTTACATCATTCTGCTTCTCTTGCATCTAGGCATGTTTCGCTACATATGCAGGTGCATGTCTCTGCTCTGTCCCTGATAATACTGAACGATCGAACCATGTTGCGTATGTTGCGTTTATCATACTGCCCTACACAGATACTAGATAATTATCAGGTTAGGGTCATAACTAATGGGCCATTCTATCGTGTTTGTCTAGAGACGGGCACTTAAATACGCTGTGCTGCGTAGCACACGAGCTTAAGTGTGATCGTTGGATTTGACGAAGCAGATTGGATCGTTTGAAATGATTTCCAATAATGGGTTCTTTATGGATGGGTCAAAGAGTGGATATGGGGTTTATTCCATGGTTTATAATGCTGGTAAGGGGTAGATCACTCGCATTGGAGATTCGAATCTCTTATCAGCCCCCTGACATGTTGTCGTTGACTTGAAGACTTCGTCATGTTTCAACTTTCATAAATGATATTCCGGGATTTTCAAGATCAGGCGATCAATATTGTTGATAATAGTTGATCAATCATTCTCAACCCTTGAATATTTTGAGTCTAAGCTTCTTGATGAAATAAACTCACGATCTTTCTTAGTAAGTTTTAACGAGACCTCTGGTGTATACCATCTAGGACTTACTCGCTGAAGCAATCGGATCAATTCGATGCTCAGCATCATGCATACAATAATTACCTAAATAACATCATTTAGGTATGTATTCGGGGCCATTTACCTATCAAGAGCCTACCTACATGCGCTGTCTTGACGCCTAAGGTTATAAGTCCTGGTTGAAGGATTCTCCCCCAATTCTTCAGTCAATCACTCTTTACTCCGAAGAAACTCTCCACCCTATAAGTAATATCCGACCGTGATAATCCTATATCCGGTGCAAATATATCAAAATAGCGACAGGGGTTCGGACCAATTCCTCACTGCGCTAACCTAATAATCTTCACGATGCATGATACCAAATTAGCATCCAATGCTGCCTAATTGTAACCGTGGGGGAGCCCCTCTCGAGAGAAGAAAACAAAGAAATTCAATGCGAAGTTCAATAGAGAATATGTAAATGAGAAGAACCAGATCGACATGACAAATCTTAGTATTATTGAAGACGGGAGAAGGTGGATAGCCTCCGCAAAGAGGTCGGACCGTCTGGAAGTCGGAGAATGCTGCCCTCGACAACCGTACATCGAGATTCAAATCCCCAAGCTAGCGAGTTCAGTTACCAGGGTGACGATATCTACTGTGTCGCACGATCAAGGTCTAATTTAACCAAAACATTCTCCATAACGATTGGTGGTTGATCAACTGACTCCGAGGACCAGGTTGGAGCGACGAGAAAGACAGATACGGAGGCACGTATGAGAGGTCGAATACGTACTTTGACATTGTCGTCATCACGCCATCATGCCATGATCGAGTTAGATCTTTCATCTTCCAGATGAACGCACATGCGGTTTTAGAGCCACGTCGACATGAAAATATCTGGAATGTGGAATCTGATGATAAAACTCGGTGCGCATGGTTGCAATCTACCCGGGGAGGTGACACCATACAGATTTTTCCGGTAGCAAGGCTTCAATTATGGACCAATTACGTTTATGAAATCGAAGCCAAGGTAGAAGGCGTCTTTCACGACCAAGGAAAGGATCTATCGAGTGAAATCGCACATCTGCAGATTTCGCCTAGGGCGGATAGACTCGGCATCTACAAACCCCTAGAGGAGGCTCATCGACAGACTCGTGTTCTTTCGCTATATCCGGGGAATTTCGAAGACCCTCTAATCTGTAGTATCATGACCGTCTCATTAGATGATCCTGGTCATGACGCATATGAAGCTCTATCGTATTGTTGGGGTGATCTTCGTACGGAAGAGACGATTCAAGTACGGGAACCATTGGAAAATTCGGAAGGCCTTGCACACGATATGGCCATTACTTCGAACCTGTATGAAGCTTTGAAGCATCTGAGACCCGAGAGCGGACCACCACGTAACTTGTGGGCTGATGCGGTCTGTATCGACCAAACTAACTTCAAAGAACGATCTCATCAGGTCGCGTCGATGCCTTCCATCTATACAGAAGCTACCCGTGTCGTCGTATGGCTGGGATCTAATGTTAATTCACCAATAAGAAAGAAGTCTCTTTCAACTTTACGAAGAATAGAAAAGCGTTTTGAAGACGAATACGATGTGTCGAAAACATACACGTCTGAAGAAAGAGAACAATTTGAGTCGAAGATAATCAATGCCGAGATTCAGAACTTGATTAATTACACGATAGATTGGAATTCGTGTGAGTTCGACTGGTTCAGACGAACGTGGGTTCTTCAAGAGATTTCAAATGCGAGAAGTGCGGTTTTCCGGTGCGGATTCGATGAGGTAGCTTAGCCAGTGGTCTACTCGATTATACGTCTTCTGCAAGTTGAAAAGTTAGGCTCAGCTCTTGTGAAAGGTAGTAATCAACCAACTGGTGTTCTAAGATCCGCAATCGTACCGTCGATATGGTTCAGTATCGTGCAGCTTGGAGAGACAAGTCAAGGACCCCACCTCATGGCCTCGGAAGGGATCCTCGAGATTCTTATCAAAGCCCATAGTTTGAAAGCCACCGACCTTCGAGACAAACTGTTTGCGCTCCTTCAATTTAGTAAGGAGTCAAAGGATGTAACGCTTTCCCCTCGCGTTAGAGTAGACTACTCCAAAACTCCTCTTCAAGTCTTTACAGACTTTGTTCGTTGGTGGATCTGCACGCACCGATCGCTCAGGATCCTATCGGCTATCCATACACTTAAGGGTCGGAGTTGGCAACAGCTATACTACGGAGAACCACCAGAGCTGAAAACACTCGAGTATCCTTCATGGTGTTTCTGGCCCGTGGGAGATGATAGGATGGCCAGCTTTATTCTGGGACTGTCTCGGGATGCCCCATATCAAGCCAGCGGATCAACTATACCAGACGTCGAACTTGTAAACTCGCCAGATATCTCGAAAACCCCACACATACTACAACTTAGCGGCCATCGTTTATGTACGGTCACCAAGATCGAACCTTTTCCAATTTGGGCTTTCCCTGACCAGCCTAACGAACTTAGGGATGCATTCATGAAGGTATTCGATCCTGCTAGTTCCGGAAGATTTTTGTTGCCTGGTACAGATGGTCAAGATGCCCAGAAACTCAAGGAAGCAATCCAGAACTTCCTAGCCAGGCACTATACGTATCATTCCCGCGGCTTCAAAGGGTCTATTCCATATGTCCCATGCCTAAGCCCCTGTTTCTTCGTAACCGACGAGCTCGGCGAACAGTGTTACGGATTGTGTCCGCATAACGCGCGGCCCGGAGATATTGTCGTGCTTTTATATGGTGGTCCCGTTCTCTATATACTGAGAGAGGTCAATCCGGGTCCTGGGGACGAGAAAGTAGCTGGAGAAACAACTATAGATGGGAAAAGATATCACTTTGTGGGGGAATGTTTCCTTTCAGGACATATGAATGGGCAAGCTTTGACGAAAGTACAGGAAAAAGGACTCGGAAAGGAAATCTTCGACTTAGTATAGGTGGATTATACGGCTTCGCGAACTTGATGATTAATGATAATGAGAATGGAGATAATCTCCCATGGGTGTGAAATACTTAAAACTGTCAAGTAGAAAAAACGGGTTCCAGTAAACGCACTATATCTTTATCGCTAAATCCCCTATAAGCGCAAGAGACTTTGCGCTATTCAGCGCCTCAATCGTAAATGGGGTTAGTGGCCAACTATAGTGAGCCTTTCAGTGCCACTATCTCAGCGACGTCTTAAACAACAGCTTGAATCAAAGTGTTATCATTATACCTACAATGTAGTAAATAAAATGAAACCTTGCTTGAAATATGTAATTTCAAAAGAGAATTGAATGACATAGATTCTATCAATATCGAATATTAGTAGATGTTGTTGAGCCATTGCTGAGCTGTTGTTGAATAGTGAGCCCTGAACAGCAGTGAATTGCAGGGAATTTAGTGGTAATTACAGTACTTAAGCTCGCCCTAAGTTTCAAGGTTGAATTGATTTGGAGGTGCTAGATATGAGCTATCCCTCAAAGTGCTCATTCAGGAAACCCCGCAAACTCAGATGGGGGTTCTAGACTGAACATATCGTTCAGGGGATAGCTCTTGTGGGTTAAATATCGTGATAAAGAACACGCATCGGTCGTTTGCAAGCCCTTCTAAACGGTCTGTATCTATTTTCTCTTTCACCTGAGTTTTTCAGGCAAGAAAATCTTCGTAAATAGAATTAGAAAAGTAGGAAGGTAATATTTTGGGCAGACTAAAGTCACATGATGACTACGGACAAGTCCGATGACATTTGGCGCCGGTGCGGAGCTTTGCGAAGATAGACTTCCTGTTCCTGACTTAATACCTAGGTAGATATTACATCTTAACTATATCGAATCATATCCCTCTTCTATAGAGTTTTGAGTTTTGATAAGGGGGATCCGGGATTGGTCAACATGGCAGAAACGTATTTGATGTGGGTTGCAGGCGAAGAGAAGCCGGGCGAAGAGGAGTTGTGAGTCTTGAGATCCGACCCAACAGAATAGATGCGCGAAACTGACAATTCATCAGGATACCGATCGAAGATCCCGCAACCGGGGAGATCTTCGCGCAGTGAGTCCTCCTAGACTCCGCCCAGTCAATACATCAATGCATACCTTCACGCTCAGATAAATATAATCTAACAAACCCCCTCCTCACCAGCTGCCACGCAGCCTCCCCCTCCGACGTCTCACACACAATCGCCCTGGCGCAAAAAACCTTCAAATCAGGCATCTGGTCCAAATCCCCCCGCCACCACCGCGCAGACGTCTTAGACCAATGCGCCACCCTCCTCACTGCCGCTCTCCCCTCCCTCATCGCTCTCGAGGTCCGGCAGACGGGTCGCGCGACCCGTGAGATGACCGCGCAGGTGCCGTCGCTCGTGCGCTGGTTCAAGTACTACGCCGCGCTCCTCCGCGTCGAGGAACAGCCCGTGCTGCCCACGACGGGGAAACTGCATAATTTCCTCCAACGCGTGCCTTTGGGGGTCGTGGTACAGATTACCCCGTTTAACCATCCGCTTCTCATCGCGGTGAAGAAACTGGCTCCGGCGCTGGCGGCAGGGAATAGTGTTATTGTGAAGCCGAGCGAGTTGACGCCGTTGTCGACGTTAATGTTAGGACGGATTTTGAAGGAGGCGGGGGTTCCGGATGGTGTGTTTAGTGTTTTGCCTGGGTATGGCGGGGTTACGGGGAAGGCGCTTGTGAGCGATCCCGTGGTGAGGAAGGTAGATGTCACGGGGGGTACGGTGGCGGGACGGGCGATTGGCGGGATTGTGGGGGCGAATTTGGCGAGGTATACGGCGGAGTTGGGGGGGAAGGCGCCACTGGTTGTGTTTGAGTCGGCGGATGTGCAGTTGGCTGTCAACGGGATTGCTTTTGGAAGTTTTATCGCGAGTGGGCAGACTTGCATTGCAAGTACGAGGATCATTGTTGATGAGAAGATATTGCCGCGGTTGTTGGATGCGTTGAGGACGAAGACGGAATTCATCACTCAACGCATGGGTGCTCCGTGTAACCCGGAATCCTCGATGGGGCCGTTGATCTCAGCGAAACAACTTGGCAATGTTGAGGCGTTGGTTGACGAGGCTGTTCTTAGTGGTAAGGCGAGAACGGTAGTAGGAGGAAGCAGGATGAGAGGCGTGAGTTCACTTGATGGGACAGACTTCTCCAAAGGGTACTTCTATCCACCAACGATCCTTGTGTCAAGTGAGGCAGACAGCATTCTCTCAACACGTATTTGGCGCGAGGAGGCGTTCGGGCCTGTTATCGTGGTTGTCCCTTTCAAGACGGAAGAAGAGGCCCTAAGGTTGGCTAACGATAGCGAATTCGGACTCGGAGCCGGCCTCTGGACCCAAGATCTCGCACAGGCTTTCCGCGTGTCTGAACAGATCGATGCTGGAATAACGTGGGTTAACACGCATCATCGAAATGACCCAAGTAGCCCATGGGGAGGTGCGAAGTCGTCGAGCGGTGTCGGAAGTGAAAATGGGATTGATGCGTATAATGCGTATACGACAACTAAGAGTACCATTATCAACTATGCCTCAACCGACGAGTCTCTTGTTACGGATGACTGGTTCAAGGTCGGGGCCGGTTCTGTGAGATATGGCTGATTGTTGTATCGTACCTCGGTATATAATTGAGGTCTTATGTGGTGTGGCAAATAAAATTAATCATTCATCAGGGGAGGTCCCCCTGGACCCCTGGACCATTGCCGGGCTGCATACTCGAATTCTATAAGCTTTTCAACATTGTAAATCATCAGTAATACGGATCCCATTTACCTCATCTTAGACTGACCTCCAATCAAATTAAATCCATGTTCATTTGATTCCACGAGGACCTGATTGGTGGCGTTTTCGCTGTCACCTTATTTTATTCCATTGCTGAATCCCCTGTAAGAATAGGGAGCTAAGGGCCCTAGCGCTACCTCCAGGGATATTCAGCACGACACTTTACAAGGACTTTAGCGTATGCTTTCAGTGGAAGGCCTCGACCAATTAAATTATAGAATCCCCTATTCTTTTCAACAACTGTTCATCAATAATTATAATCGTATTTACAGTGTAATTAATGTAATTAGACCTGAATTGGACTGAAGCGCTTTCTATAGTGAATTGAAAGATATAACATTTACTCATTGAAATGAAGATATACACTTCGTAGCCGTTGTCGAGCCATTGTCGGCAAAAGTACCTAGACTGAACAGCGCTAAATCACCTACTCTTACAGGGCATCGAGCGTTAAAAATACAGCTGATGTAGCCCTATATACAGTATTAATCTAGGTACTATTTTCCAAGGCTCACCTTTTTTTTTTAAATCGTGAACGCCGCTTCAACAACCTACATCAGTATCCCAATCTATACTACCAGCAAATCCCATAGACCAAAACTCACTAGCAGCTAAAAGTCTTTCGTCTCTCGAGCTAGGGGGGTCGTCCCAAGAAACAGTCCCTGTGCCGGCCATCTCCTGAAAAAGGCCGATAGCTTCGCTCAAGGTTTCCTTGCCCTTCGCATCCATAGCCTGCTCAGATGAAGTGCCTTCCATCGCCGCCTCTATCCCGGCGAGGTTTACGTTAACCCAGACGATATCTTTGACATTGGTGTGGCCGGCGTGGATGCGTTTCTTCGTTAACTTCACCGCTTCCCGAAGCAATGTGATTAGCTCGATGCTGCGAATTCTGTTGCCGCTTTGCGTTTGGTTGAACGGCACTACGGTCATCCACGGGGAAGTATCGTTTGCTTGATGTAGCATCGCCGCTAGGTCTGCTGCGATGATCGTGAAGGCTTTCCAAGGTATCGATCTGAAGGGACCGCCGCCGCAGATCAGAAGACGGACGAAATCGCTACTGTGTTCTTCGAAAGGGAGGATTTCATGCATGGTTGCTATGAGAGGGTCTTGGAGAGAGGATGTGAGCGGGAGAAAGAAGGATGCGAATCTCAGAGCTGTGTCCATACAAAGAGTCCGAGAGCGGTAAAATTTGGCCGGGTCTTTCATAGCACGGGGCATGTAGGACACATGGAGGGCAAATATGTAGCGGGTAAGTACGAATTCGCAATATTGTTGTTGGAACTTGGTAGGTGGTGGATTTAGTGAGTGTAAGTGTCTTGCTAAGGAGCGATACTCGCTCATGAGTTCGGAAGTAAGTCTCGTCGTCTCCTCGGGAGAATGATTCACCCTTACAGAATTAATATACTTGGCGATGGAGAGTCTTATGGCCTGGGTACGACCTAATGCAATCTGGATTGATGTATCGGTATACTCTGTTGGATCACGTGGCGCAATCTTCTCGCCGCTGTCAAGATCCAATTCATCATCGTTCAAGTTTGAAGGCAAAATACAGTCGAAATCGTCGGACGATAACATGGGAGGGCCCCCCGCATCAATGCAAGAGTCCAAGGAGAGCTCCATAATCGTTGCCCATAGACGTCGTCGCATCTCGATTTCTGGAATAGGCATGCTCAGCAGCTTCGTCGGGTCCCGATGAAGCCCGACGGACATAGCGGCCCTTATCAAGGCACCGGAGCTGGCCCAGACCTGATGTTCTGGTAGATGCTGGGAAGTTTGCCGAGCCAGTTGTAATAAACACATCGTTTGAACGTCGAAGACGGTTGCCCGAAGCTTCCCTGACGCTATCAGCCAATGTTCTGCTTCTCTCACCCACTGCTGCGCCTGTGGACGTAACGAGAAAACGTCGTCATGGAAGCAAGCGCCGATGGCGAGACAAAGCTGCAGCTGGACCACATGTGCCGAACTTGCCAGACCCGAGTTTTCCCATAAAGCATCATATGCGCGCTTGGATGTAGGGACATGGATGATCCGGTAGACGGATTCCGATGTACGTAAATATGCATCCAATAACTTGTCCGCGACGTTCTTCGCCGGTAAGCTCCCGCCATACTGCCCTTGCGTCCACGGGATAACCCGTCCGGCTTTGATCGATCTACAGAGCAGCTTGCATGTCATTATATCCTGCCAAATTCTCCCTTGGCTTTTGACCTGCTGATCAAGCCAATCCAAAGCATGGGGTGACTATTCAACGCGTTAGTAGGCAAGGGAGGGCCATGTCTCGAAACTGGGGTACTAGATTTGTAATACCAGCGTGGAGCAGAACAGCCAATGCGTCGGGGAGACATAGCGCTTCTTCACTATCAAACCGCTTATTGGATACGTGTCCATATACGGGGATATGTTAGAAGCTGTACGCAGACCGGAAATATTTGGCTGGCTGTTCATCGGGGTATTGTCGCTGTTGACATGAGATGTTCTTTGCGCCTCTCGCATGAGAGAGCTGCTGGGAGCAGAGGTTGCTTCTGCCGAGTCGATGTTACTTCCCGGAGGTACCGTGAGGGCAAGGGAGCCTAGCGACGATGACTGCCACAAGTCGCGCTGCGATAACTCATCGTGTCCGAACCCGACCCCGCGTTCGTCAGTGATGCTGAGGGTAGCACTATTCGGGGATTTAGCTGTAACCTCTTCCCTTCGAAGTTCATTGCGAATAGGAGGAAGCGGTGTAGCGTCGACAGCACCATCTTGATTCCTCGGATAGGTGCACGTCTTGCTTCTTGATCGCATACAATTGCTACAAGGGTGTTGGTGGTCACATCGAAGCTTTTTTCTTCGACACGGCAAACACGCAAGAGCTCTTCGGGGTCGCGGATTTAGTCGGGGTGATTGAATAGATAAATTCATTATACCCGACGGCCTAAGAAATACCCTAAGTAGGCAGGCAACTATGGATGTACGTAGGATTTACCTAAGCACGATGGATACCCAGGTAGCCTATAGTGTATACGATGTTAGTTGAAGGCTACAAAGCAAGAAATGGTGGCTTACCAACAGACTTCTCTCGATTGCTCATGGGACGGATTGGAATTGAGTTTAAACCAAATATGGGACGGGATAGAATTCTTGATCAATCATCGATCGGTCACTAGAGCCCCTGTCTGTATCCACCACCACACCATCCACCCCAGCTGCCCAGCCGCCCAGGCATGCGTCCGACTCCGACCCCGTCCCCGACTCCGTGCATATATTAAAGGGGTCACATCACTGGACGTTGTTCCGCACAGCCACGGCCTTACCATGTTGATGAAATATTAGGTAGTACAACTGCCACGCGTATGAATTCTGGTAATTACAGGTATTCCAATAACCCTGGCCCATTTATTACTCGATTCGTGTATCCGGGTATGTATGTATCTTTCCGGTTTTACGACATCTGCAGCATCTCACAACGGGAATACACTGCGCCTGCAATGATCTCATATTGGATGGTCTGTGTGATGCAACCGAGACGCAGTGCGGAGGGATTTTAGACCCGGCCCCAATACTCGTCGGTGATCAACGGCCACCACGGCACCCGAACGCTAACGCGCGGACTACGAGGAAAAGTATGGGTGAAACAAGCCCCATGGTATGCGAGTAGGTGCCTAGCAAGTACGTGGGTATAGATGTAGAGGTATATATGTATAGAGGTATAGAGGTATCTGGGTGTATATACAGGTATATATAGTCTGCTGGAGTGTACGTGTAAAGACTAGACCTCATTCCCCTTAGCACTGCAGTTCATATAAAGCAAGACGATTTTGATGCGAACTGTGTATTCGAAAGCATTGGATACAACCATATAACTGTGTTACTCGGATTCGATACAACCAGAAATTACAATATGGCGACTGTCCCGATTCCTGAACCACCAAGACTTCCATTTATTGGAAATATCGCCGACATCGACGCCGAAAACTCCATTCGATCTTTCAAAGCCCTAACACAGAAGTACGGCGAGATTTATAGAATAAGTCTCCCGGGTACCAGCTTAGTATTTGTCAACACACGTGAATTGGTCGATCAGGCTTGCGACGAGAAAAAATTCAAGAAAGTTCCGAACAATGTCTTGCAGGAGCTTAAGGCAGGCCTGGGTGATGGACTATTCACGGCAAAGCTCGAGGCGCCAAACTGGGGAATCGCTCATCGTATCCTGATGCCGGCTTTTGGTCCGATAGGAATTCGCAACATGTTCGACGAGATGAAGGATATCGGTTCGCAACTGGCTCTCAAGTGGGCAAGGCAGGGACCCCATAAGAGGATACACGCCACTCAAGATTTCACGCGGCTAACGCTCGATACGATTGCCCTCTGTTCCATGGGATTCCGATTCAACAGCTTCTACTCTGACAAGATGCACCCCTTCGTTGACTCCATGACCGAATTTCTCTTGGAGAGCGGACGAAGAACCCAAAGGCTACCCTTGCCAGCGTTCCTTTATCAAGCGAAGGATAAGGAATTTAAGGCTTATATCGACGTCATGAGAGAGACGGCCGATGAGGTTCTGAAGGAACGTATCGCGGACGTTGATAGCACCCGAAATGATCTCCTCACCGCCATGTTGAAGGGACGTGACCCGGTAACGGGGGAGAAGATGAGTGACCAGTCCATTATCGACAACCTCATCACGTTCTTAGTCGCGGGGCATGAGACTACCTCCGGAACCCTATCATACGCCATGGTGAGTTACTGATTCTTAGTGTTCCTCTTACCTACCATCATGTTGCCTACTAACGCTTCGACCTATCACAGTATCGGCTCATAGCGAACCCAGACGAATATCGAAAGGTACAACGCGAGGTTGACGAAGTAGTAGGCAAGGGGCCTATCACAGCACAACATATGTCAAAACTCCCCTATATCTCTGCAGTACGTAAATCTCTAGGCCATGAGATCCGCATTGTGAATGAGGAACTAACTAATATAGGTTCTTCGAGAAACGCTCCGTCTGGACTCGCCTATTGCTCTGTTTGGTGTCTGCGCTCTTGAGGATACGTTGCTGTCCGGGAAATACCCTGTGCGCAAAGGTGAATTCGTCCAATGCTTCCTTACCGAGTCACATCTTGATCCGGCGGTTTTCGAAGACCCCTTGGTTTTCAAACCGGAGAGGATGCTTGATGAGAATTTCAATAAGCTGCCGAAGAACTCGTGGAAACCGTTCGGTAATGGAGCTAGGGCGGTAAGTAATACTCGATCTTTTAGTATAAAATTACACGGAACGGGATTTTATCTGATCGAAATCGATAGTGTATCGGTCGACCATTCGCATGGCAAGAGGCCGTGCTCGTCATGGCCATCCTCTTTCAGAATTTCAACTTCGCTTTCGCCGACTCGGACTACGAGCTTGCCCACAAGCAGACGTTGACTATCAAACCCGATAACTTCTTTATCCGGGCCATATTGCGTGATGGTCAAGACGCCGTTGAGCTCGAACATCGACTTGCCGGAACGGAGGCACCTTCGAGGATCAAACAGAAAGCATCTTCGGGTGATATCACTCCTAGTAACGGCACTGGCGGTAAGCGTGTGACTGTTTTATACGGCTCTAATAGCGGAACTTGCGAAAATATGGCGCAGCGCCTAGCCATGGATGCCGTATCACACGGCTACGAAGTGAAAACTCTGGATTGCATGGACGCCGCCGTCGAGAGGCTTCCCAAGAACGAACCCATCGTTATCATTACGGCGAGCTATGAAGGGCAGCCTCCAGATAACGCGGCTCATTTCGTTTCTTGGATCAACAGTATAGAAGACAAGCTAGCGCTCCAGGGTTCATCGTATGCCGTTTTCGGATGCGGTCATCACGATTGGGCGCAGACGTTCCACCGAGTTCCAAAATTAGTTGATCAGAGACTCGAGGAGCTAGGTGCGACGAGAATCGCGGATATCGGCTTCGCGGACGCTGCTGGAGAGGATATGTTTGTGTCTTTTGAGACTTGGGAAGACAGCGTGAGTGAAATCTGCTATCCGACACAGCTATCCCGCATCATTTCTAATATCCTGACCTCTGTTTAGGTACTATGGCCAGCTTTAGACGAATTGCGAGCCAAAGAAGGAGGCGAAACGCTACAGGAAACGAAGATCGCCCCCCTGAAAGTTCAGGTATCGAATATGCGCTCGTCCATGCAGAAGAACGAGGTGGAAGAAGGTAAAGTCATAGCGACGCGAATTCTTACTGCGGACGGAGAACCCGTGAAGAAGCATGTCGATATCCGGCTTCCTGCCGGCCTAAGTTACAGGCCTGGGGATTATCTCACGGTCCTACCCGTAAACCCCAAGAACACGGTGCAACGAGCAATGCGTCGATTCGGATTGTCGGTATGTAACCTCTTTTCTCAGCCCCCTTAAAACTTACCATGACTAACCTCACAATTCAGTGGGATTCAACCATAAAAATCGAAGGCGCCGGCACTCGACTACCCACCAACGAGTTAGTTCCTGCACACAGCATCCTAAGCGGCTTCGTCGAGCTCGCGCAACCAGCAACTCGACGAACCGTTCTCGTATTAGCAGACGAGGCCACCAACGAAACAGAACGCGCTACATTGAAGATCCTAGGCTCCGACAATTACGACGCTGAGATCATCGCAAAGCGAGTCTCGATCCTCGACTTACTGGAGACATACCCCTCCATCGATATCTCGTTAGGAAGTTTCCTAACAATGCTGCCTCAGATGCGCGTTCGTCAATAGTAAGTCCTCCCCCTCCTCTCTCTCCTTGTACCACTCATCAAGACCTACCATACTAACCCGCCCTCATTAGCTCCATATCATCATCCCCTCTAGACGACCCAACCGTCGCCTCAATCACCTTCTCCCTAATCTCAAGCCGCGCCAACTCCGGCCGCGGGGAATACCTCGGCGTAGCAAGCTCCTACCTCTCCAGCCTCGAACCAGAGGACCGTCTGCGCGTCTCCGTGCGTTCCTCACACATGGCTTTCCACCTACCCTCCACGCCTGAGAAGACACCGCTAATCCTCGTCGCGGCCGGGACTGGTATCGCGCCGTTCAGGGGATTCGTGCAGGAGCGCGCGGCGATGGTTCAATCGGGGCGGAAAGTAGCACCCACGATTCTATATCACGGATGCCGTGAGCGTGGTAAGGACGATTTATACGCGGCGGAGCTGGTGAAGTGGGAGGAGATGGGGGCGGTGACTGTGCGGCGCGCGTATAGTCGGAAGCCTAAGGAGGCGGCGGGGTTGGGGTATGTGCAGGACTTGCTGTGGGCGGATCGGGAGAACTTTATGAAGATGTGGAGGGCTGGGGCGGTGTTGTATGTGTGTGGTTCGAGGAGGGTGAGTAAGGGCGTCGAGAAGATTGTGAAGGGGATGAGGCAGGAGGATGCGAGGGTTAGGGGGGAGAAGCTCGGAGATGAGGAGGTGCAGAAGTGGTGGGATGAGGGGAGGAACGTTAGGTATGCTACTGATGTTTTTGATTAGGGGAATGGAGATGGGGAGATAGGGAAATTTGGATTGGGATTGGGATATGGGTATAAAGAATGGTAGTTTGTTAGGTTTGGTATAGGGGCTTGAGATTCTCTGCTCTATTCAATATGTATTTCAAGTGTTAGCAAATGGGAAACTTGAGAATGTTAACTGGAAATTAGACTATTCTTTGCATATGTACCTGCGTCTTAGGCGAATGCATGTTGGTGAGCGAAGAGGATTCTGCGTAAGAAAATAATACCTTTATTTTGACGACAGCTTACTTCCTCCCTTCGATACTCTGGTCATTAACGTGAGGCGATATCGTGATTAGATTTATTTGCCTAAGTGATCAGTCATCTACAAACCAACATCGATTGGATTCTATAAAAAGACTGACCGAATGTTGGTTCAGATATGCGAGCACATAATTAAATGAACCAGATATCCGGGTTTGCGAAAAGGATAGAATGCTAGGGACATCAATCGGTGACTGCGAAACGCCCTATTCAAGGATTTACTGACCGATGAGAACAGACTTCGCCCGTAAATAATATGTTCGAAAGTTGTTCATTTAGGAAGGTGTTTCTAGTAGTAAGTATCCACTTATGGCGGCGTTGATATACGACAAATGCGACGAGGGATCCGACCCTGACTTGCTTGTTTAACAAAAGTGTCGTGAGGTCATTGGACAGAACGCGAAGTCTCGCGGGATCGCTAGCATGGGAATCCATACAATGCCGTCCGCCACATCGCATGGGCATGATCATGGGTATATATCAACCAACGTACCTACCTAGTAGGTAGGTAGTAGGTACGTATATGTAAGACATCTGAATCCTACATCTCTTCAATGGTTAGAATAAGTAGAAGCAAATTCTCACTTAACTTTTGTCGTCACATCCACTAAACCACTAAAGTTCTGCGACAATGTTATCCATAACCATGAATGCGATTCCGAGATGGGTCGTCTTGTCCGGCTTGACTACCTCCTTCTACCTCTCCCTAATATCGCCAGCTTCCGCAGCAATCATTCAAAGTCGAGATCCGGCAGTTTCTGCCAATGATTGGGACCCCGTACTTAATGGGGATTCGGGAGCAGGATGTGCTGACCTTGCGGTGATCTTTGCTCGAGGAACTTTCGATGATGGGTAAGATTGGGTACCTAGGAGCAAGCCACAGCGGAGTCTTGTTGGGCTGACGAAAATGATCTAGAAATATTGGCCCTTGGGTTGGTAGTTTATTCCACGATGCGCTAGTCAGCCACTCATCGGGGATCAAGATCGCGATGCAAGGCGTCAGTGCAAGCGATTACCCGGCCGATCTAGCCGGCTATGTCAAAGAAGGCGGATCGAATAGTTGTGCGAAAAGTCTAGGGTCAGCTGTACAGAAATACAATTCCCACTGCCCAAACTCTAAGGTTGCCATCTGGGGATGGAGGTAAGTTCGACTTCATCATCTATTTAATTGCATCATCGCGGGAACGTCGTTAACGTGTTCGGTAATAGTCAAGGCGCGTTGTGTGCCCATAAATCGCTAAGCGAGCTTGGAAACGCGGCGGACAGTGTTATCGCACTGGGAGTCTTCGGCGACCCTGTTGGCATTTGGCAAGATACTGTCAACTATCCCGCGATACCCTCAAACACCAAACTTCTATCGTACTGCGAACAGACCACACCCGATCCTCTATGCACCAGCGTTACAGAAGACTTTCCAAGCAATCCTATCGAGTTCATCAACAGGCTCGTAGCCATATGGAAACAGGTAGACTCGACGCATATGAATGATAGTCAGAAGGCTGCGCTCACGAGCCTAATCACGGAGCTTCCGAAACAAGCCAAAAGCCAAATCTCTCAGCTTGGAAAAGATATTGTGTCGGGTCATCTAAGGCGCTGGATGCTGACACCAGAACACTTTTGGTACGGCAACGACGGGACGGTCAAGACGGCTGTTGGCGATCTGATCAGCGTATACCAGAGTAAGAAGTAGGATTATAAATGGGTTGTATGGGATAGTTAATTGAAGGGTTAATGAAATCATTTGTTTATTCAATCACGATAGCGATAGCGTACTGGCATTATCGTCCTGACGTCATACCTCGGAGTACATACTCGGTACCCTCTCTAGTGATTACTATTTTTAGACATAGAAAGCTTTTATCTTATCTATATCGATAAGAGGACAGGTATGTAGCCCTAAGAAGTAAGCAGGTGAGCCGTGACAGCTATTTCTCCACCTCGCTCACTCATCTTCAACTTCCTAGACACAGTCGACGCCATTCAAGTACCTGCATATGCGGCGACGCCAAAGTGGCGCTTTAAATATTTGATAGGACATAGAATACATCCGGGATTTGAGTCACGATGAGAGCAATAATCGCCGTCCCTGCCACTCTGGCGCTCGTCTACCGAGCTTACTCCCATAACTCGCTTACGCCGCTTGGTATCTTTGCCGCCGCCGTGACCGCTACCGTGCACGCCATCCATCCCTGGAACCTTCCTTTCGTCTTGCTCGTCGTCTTCTTCTTAGCCGGGACCCGGGTCACCAAGATTAAGGCCGATGTCAAGGCGGGCCTAACCTTACACTCTCAAGGAAGTACCGGAGGCGAGGGTCCGAGGACTCACGTCCAGGTCCTTGCTAACTCGCTTATGTCTTCTATCTTAACGCTCCTGCATGCCTACCAGCTTCATGTGCGGCGCGATGCCATCTTATCCCACGGGGAAATCCCACAAGGCTCATTCTGTTATAAATGGGGCGGTGATATTCTCGTTGTTGGAATCATCGCTAATTATGCCGCTGTGTGTGCCGATACATTTTCCTCCGAACTCGGAATCTTGTCGCGTACCAGCCCACGATTGATCACATCTTGGTCTCTCCGAAAAGTTCCACGAGGCACGAATGGTGGCGTCACATTGTGGGGATTGATCGCCGGTCTCCTCGGGTCCATGATTATTGTGGCTGCGTCTCTTATGTTCCTACCCTTCTGCGGCGAGGACACGAAGGGTAAGATAGGTGGTGGTGAAATATGGAATGTGAATCAAAAGGCTACTTTGGCTTGGGGATTAGCTATCTGGGGTGCGTTGGGAAGTCTTCTGGACAGTTTCTTGGGAGGTTGGTTTCAGAGGAGTGTACGGGATGTACGTTCTGGGAAGATCGTCGAAGGCGAAGGTGGCGTCCGTGTTTTAACCGTCGAATCCCACTCGCACGAACACAAGGAGGGCAGTAATACTGGGAAGGAATCGACATCACAGGCCGACGATGGGAAGAATCCTTACGATCCGAAAGATAAACACCGCGCTTCTCATTTCGGCGACCTTAAGCCTACGCGTATTGCGGAGAGTGGATGGGACTTGCTGGATAATAACGACGTGAACTTTTTGATGGCCTTTACGATGAGCATTAGCGCAATGGCTCTAGCCGGTTGGTACTGGGAGGTTCCCTTAGACAGCATACTGAAGGCTTAAACGTGTTTACGTATAACGACGGCGGATAAGTACTAGGTAGGCAGTTAATGGAGTGGAATAGTCTGGTCGGCCCTTAGGTGGATTTCATTTTATCCTCTCATCAAATATACTTCGCCCTTTCTTTTACGCTTGCCATCGAAAAGAATTACGTCTTGTTGGAACTGGATCTAGATTTTTATACCTGGGATGAAAACTAGCTCGTCCGCGTTTCCGAGTCTAACCCCGATTGCCTGAATGGATGTTTACTCCGACCAGCCAGGAACGATTCACGTCTTGAATGTCGTTAATGCAATATCATCATCAATCCCCGGGTATTATTACTAACGTTCAATCTAAGACTTATTGTAAGGCCATGAAGGTCTCTAATAGCTTCGGATAATTCGGCACCCCTAATCCGGTCGCGGGATCCCAACCTTCTACAGCCGGGAAACCCTTGACGCCGCAGATCCCATTATCGCCAGCTGTGATATCCTCGAAAATGCCAGAGTTGGCATAGAGCACTGGGTTCACAAATCCGATAGTGGATTTACCCACGGCGAGCCTCTCTTCGTTAATCCTATTGAACATGGCACCGATCAAGGGCGTGGAAGCAGATGTTCCATCGGCAACGCCTAGCTCACCCAAAACGGCCACAGCCACGTTCCTACCAAGGGCAGAAATATCCGGGAAACCCCTTCCAGTTTTGTTATAAGCAGCGTCGATGCCTGGGTCATGTTTTGAGAAGTAAGTCGAAAGAGCCGTCTCCTGATAATCCGGTCTCGGGAAATACTGAGAGAATCCGCCAGACGTAGCCCAGGGTATATCCTTAACATTGGCAGCGGCTAGGGTACCGTTTGACTGCAGCATTACGCCACCGATCGACGTGATGTAAGGGCAGCTATTCAAATGTGAGTGATTAAGTCTGGTATAAGATATAAGAGAGGGAGCCATACTTTCCGGGGTGGCTAGCGTAAAACGTGCTAAAACTAGAATGATGACATTGATTATTCGCAAGCTGGCCGCTGTCACCGGACGATCCTACAACAGTCACGCCTTGGAGGCCTAGCTTCATCCATCTTTATATTCGTCAGTATCTCGGCTCTCAAACTATATTGGATCACTAACTCGTTGCATTGTCGCATTTGGTACGGGACGCTATACGTAGACTCTACCCTCGAATACGACATCGAGATCACGTTCGTCGGTTTGTATACGCCGCACATACGCTCTCCCTTATAATTTCCAGGGTCGAATGGTACCGGTCTGCCCGGAGCGATGGTAGTGTGGTTATCGGGATAGGCAGGATCGTACACGGCGTTGTCTCCCGTTTCGCCATATGCCGAATAGTTGCAATAAGACTATAGCCACACAAGGTTTTCAGTAAGCTAAGTTATCCTGGGGATCGAAACGGAATAGTAAGAACTTACGCCATCGATAGCATCGAGGAAGGTGTTGAACAGGCCAAAGTATGCATTTGCCGAATGGAGGTTATAGTACTCATCATCCACTTGGTAAATTGTGGCCTTCTGAGGATAGATGATGGGATACGCGACATCGAGGTCTAGGTCTGCTTCATCTGGATAGCTGACGTGGGTATCGTTCTCATTGTAGTGCCAGACAGCTAGGTCGATGCTCAAGTTCTGCGGTCGAGTTCCTTGAGGGATATTCGGAGCGTAGGTCTTGAAGAATAAGTCCAAATCCCGTTCTTGGTACCAAGATTGCTTCTGGAAAATTCCCATGGAGTTGTTGGGGTGCGCTTTATCTGCTGGTGGAATCTTGTAAAGCTTCGCGATGCACTCCGGTGTTGCTACTGCAGAGCAGTTGGACTCTTGGCGGCCTATGAGTTTCCCTGGACGGATGGTCTTGTGCTGTCTTGTTTCACGCTTCCTTCGTCTTGCGAGGCTATTCGACTTCCTACTTTCGGCCTTCGCGACCCCTGGGTAGACGAAATCGACATGCTCACTCAATTGAGCCGGAACATGATATTCATCACAGCCCACGGCGATCTGCCCTTCGTCGCCCTCATAATGCCAGTACTCTGTCTGAAGGAGCTTCTCCGCCTCTCCGACCGTCGCATTGAAAACAAGCCAGCCCTTACTCGCAGCGAGTGCAACACGCTCGCCACCAATCCCCGATGAATTTAACCAATTCTTTGCTTCTTTGACAGCCTCTCCTGCTGGCGCGAACATATGAACAATTTCATCCGGCGTCCAATATTTTCCGTAATTAGGGGACTTCGGATTCGATACATCCATGAGTAGATCATAACCTCGATGCAGATTCTGCTGTTTGAGACCAATGCGCATCTCAAAAACATCGTCGGATGGGGCCCGGTCTCGTTTATTCCAACTTAGTTCGTGGTTAACATCGCGACGCTCATGAAGTATAGATCGTCCCTTTAACGCAGGCGCGGGGCTAGAGGAAACGACCGTGGCGCCTACGGCCAATATCCCAATGAAGGACCATTTCATCGCCATGATGAAAACAAGACGATATACCCAAGATGGCACGGAATCGCAAAGATTCGGATGCAGAGCTTAATCAAATGACCGGCTGGCCATCTTCTTATGCTGCCCAATAGTCGGCCCATGATCACCATCGTCCTGTTATGAGCTCTTCAATGCGCAATCGCAATGGTATCATTAAACAGAGGGCATTTCTCGTATTAAATACCCTTGGAATCTTAGCGTCACGGCCGACCTGCAGATTCGGGATATGTCTCCGGATCGTCAGCAGGGGTTTACTTTGAGTGCCGGTTCTCTCTCAAGAATCGGTTGAATAAATATCTAGAGGCGCCCAATTCTCCATCGTATCGACCATATTTATAGTTTTTATAAAGCTCTAACAGCGATGCAAAGAACTACTTAGCTGTCTCTCAGGTGTCGGAGTCAAGAATATTGGTGATATCGCAGTGTCTCTCAGCTCCGACCCCTCACGAAACCAGTGGACGACAGGGGCTTAATATTAGAGACATGCAAAGCCAGCGATACGAGCGGGATGGGCCATTACAGCTATCCAACACTCATATTTATTGCTACCTAAGAACACGAAGGTGACGATGATAGACAGGAACGTTACCTAGATAAATTCGCAAGGGTTGAATCCACTACGAATGAATCTATAATCGCGCCTATGATAGTCGACCGCGATAGCCTAAGCGCAAACGAAACCGCTATCTACCTATGTAGGTACGCAACTCAGCCTGTCAAATCACGAATATGTACCTACTAGGTAGGTATGGAGGTAGATTGTAGGGCTGGCCCATCAAGCCCCATAAACTCGGGCTCATCAATCCGAAGGATTCTACCCTAAATTCCACGAGTTATCAATCACGAAGCCATTTTCTCATCTCATTCTATTTAGTGAAACTGCATAGGCTATAAGAAGAAGATAACTGGCACGATACGGGCTGAACGGATTTGGTAACATGAAGTTATCGAGAGGTTTGCTGATATTGTATGGATGCTGACTAAGCTTCATATCTAACTATACACTGATTAACAACTCTTTCCTCAATGGACTGCGCCTCCAATGGACTGCATTATGATCCTTCAGCGGCGAACCCTCTTTCGGTTTAAGAGCCGAGCGATAATGTTTTCGTCGACGTGCCTGACCTAGAGAAAGTAGCTCAGGTACTCATTTTACTGGATCATACTGTCATTGAAATTATCCCTTGCGTTACACGGTTGGCATTTATTACCTGTCGCGGCCTGTATACCTTCCTATTTTGGCGGGGAAGGGATATTTGATGCACAGTTAATGACAGCGGGAGAAATGACACTAAATCGCCTAAACAGCCCAGTCAATTAACTGGAGCACTAGCAATAGCCCTAGAGCACTGTCTTGACCACTAAACTCTCTGTAATTTACTGCCAGTGAGGGTTTACTATTGAACAACAGCTCAACAACGGCTCAGCAACGACTACTAATACTCGTTTAGTACCAATATATTCTACTAAATATATTATTCAATTACTCTTTTGAAGGGCTCAATCTTGATCTATTTTATATCATATCAAACTCTCTAGAAGCATAATTATAAGTCCTTTTGGAAGCCGTTGTTGAGTTGTCAGTCAGCCGTTGCTGAACGGGAAGCGAATTAGTTACTATAATTGATCACTAAATTCTCTCCCAGGCCAGCGTTCAGTAGCGCTAATTTCCCTATTCTTACAGGGGCTTTAACGGTAATATGTGTGAATTGATTTCGGGATCGGGTCTTCTTCAATATTAATAACCTTCATGCTCTCACCTCCTTAACAATTCTCATACTTGAGATACCTTCGCTTTAGGGATAAACATATTCTAGACACACGTAAATGCTGGAAACTGGTCGGGAATTTCCAAGATTCAAACAATGCAGGGTGAATGTTCGATTGAAGATCAAGAACTTCACCGTTGGTACCTAGATTGACCGATCGCACTCAGCTCAGTCCCCGAAACCCTGGCGAACTCTACCGGCTACTACCTCCAACGTTCCATCGCAGCTTTTTCATGTCTCAATGGGGCAGCAGATCTCAGAAACCGCGCGGCTTACTCCCACGAATAATTCACTTGAAGACGTACCTAATTATGCTATCGTCACCTCTACGATGATACATCTTGATCGTCGAATATATCAATCATCATGCGTAGTTGGAGGTTAGAGACATCGGCCAAAATATCCCCCTCAACTTCCCTCAACTTGACATTCCCCTTAGACGATTAGTAGGAAGAGTCTATCAACAATACATACCTATCTATCCATGAGCCGATATTAACTGGCTCAAAAGACTTCCGATTTTGGCTAAGAGATGTAGAGTTGCAACCCAAAGCGGTGTTCAAGATATAGCCAAGATGTAACTATGTTCAAATCATATTTAAAGAACATGGCCGTCTAAACCATTTAGCCTCGATCGCCATCTCTTCTATCGTATCAATGCTCTTCTTCGCATTCGAGTAGGCTGTAAATCGTTTGCTAAGACTCGGCGCGATGGTATCTACACGAGTCGCGCTATTGCTTGGCGCTGCGATTGTTACCGTGGGTACTGCTTCTCTGGCCGACTACTGCACGGTTGATTATGCCACAAGTGTGCTCCCAATCCAGGATCTCGGACTCGGGATAACCATCGACACATCATCAGTCTCAGCTTCCCTGACTACTAACAGGTCCGTCAGCTCCGAATGGTACGCTGCCTCCGTGATCGATTATTGCGACGTCACGTTCGCCTATTCTCATAATGGACTCAACAACGACACTGTCCACGTATCGTATCTCGTGCCTACCCCTGAGAGCTTTTCAAACCGGTACGTCTCTACCGGAGGAGGCGGGCTTGCCATCAATTCAGGGGCTTTTTACAGTCCTACCGGGATCATAGTCGGCGCCGTATCGGGTATCACCGACGGGGGTTTCGGTAACTTCAACACGCAGTACAACGCAGCGTTCCTATTAGCAGAAGGCACAGTTAACTGGCAGGCAACGTATATGTTCGGCTACCAGGCCCATCACGAACTCGCCATGCTCGGGAAGCAGTTTACGAGAAACTTCTTCAACGTCTCTGATAGCGACAAGGTGTATTCTTATTATCAGGGATGTTCCGAGGGAGGTCGTGAGGGATGGAGTCAAATCCAACGCTTCGTCGATCAATTCGATGGTCTTGTTACCGGCGCCCCCGCTTTCCGGTTCAGCCAGCTGCAGACGAACCATCTCTCTGGCGGAGTCATTGAAGGGGCTCTAGGTTACTATCCTCCCCCATGCGAGCTAGAGAAGATCGTAAATTTGACAATCGCTGCTTGTGACGGATTGGATGGCAAAGTCGATGGTGTGGTCGCAAGATCTGATCTCTGCAAGCTCCATTTTGATTACAAGTCCACGATCGGAGAGCCCTACTACTGTGCGGCATCTAGCCGTGGTGGAGGTCCCGGCGGTTTGCATCGGCGGCAATTCCCCGGCTCCGGTCCTACTCCAGAGCAAAACGGGACCATCACAGCCGAAGGTGTAGCCGTAGCTTCCGCATTTACAAATGGCCTAATTGACTCAAGCGGAAAGCGCATCTATCTAAACCCGCAACCAGGCTCCACATTTGCCGACGCCATTACTAAATACAACACCGACACTAGCTCATGGGAGCCCAGCATCCCAGGCTTAGGCGGCGAGTGGATAGCGCGATATCTCAACCTTGAGGATAAGAGCAACATCGACAGTCTTACAAACGTGACCGCGGATACGCTTCGGGATTGGATGGCCCTCGGCATGCAGAAGTACGAGGACTCCTTACAGACGACATGGCCGGACATCTCGGCGTTCAAAGAAGCGGGGGGCAAGGTCATCCTCGTCCACGGTGAGGCGGATTCCTCGATCCCGGCCGCATCTTCCGTGCATTACTACGAATCCGTGCGGAATGCTATGTACGGCGACCTAGCTTACGATGAGAGTGTTATCGCTATGGACGAGTTTTATAGACTCTATATTGTGCCGGGTGGCGCGCATTGTGGGAGTAATCCGAATCAGAGGGCCGGTGGGTGGCCGGCGACTACGCTGCAGACGGTGATTGAGTGGGCAGAGGAGGGGGTTGAACCGGATATGTTGGCGAATGAGGGGGAGATTGAGGCGCTGTGTAAGTGGCCTCTTCGTCCGCTTTGGTCGGGCGATGGGGAGAATTTTGATTGTGTCAGTGATGAGGCGTCGAGGGAGTCGTGGATTTATACCTTTGACGCTTTTAAGGTTCCGGTGTACTGAGGATTTACAGTGGGTGAAATGCCTGGAACTGGGGTGCCGAGGTGCCCCGCCAAATCGCTAAATCAATCCAGACGGAGGGTACAATTAGTGGAATTTGCATTATAAACACACTACACTTTCCCCCTAGAGCCCCCTATAAGAATAAGGGACATCCATTGGATGTCTTGTTTAGCGCCGAAATTAGGCAGTCTTAGTGGACGCGGCTGGGTGATTTCAACCAATGAAAACCTAGACTCCACAGAATCTCCTTGGGTCCCGTTCAGGGGCTTTAGTGGTAAAATACAGCGTATGTATGTGGTAATCGCACCATCCAAGACCATGCATGGCATAGCTTTGGCGGGTTGTCCCCCATTAGATTTCATCAGGGTACCTAAGTTATACCATATTAACGAACTCTAACATTAGGAGAATGAAAAATGAGAAATTAGATTCTCTTAGTTGATTAAATCTTAGGTATAATAAATAAGTACTCATGGGTTCCAACCCCTATCTATTCTGCCGCCCCAGCTGTCATAATGGCATCCGCGAGCAAAGCTCCATGCTCATAAAACGTGCTTATCCCTAGATTGCTGATTTCATATATCAAAACCCCTTTAACGTCAACGAGTCTCGCCTAGGACCTCCAAGCTGGTGACGGACATGACTTGATCTTTGGATTCTCGGCCGACGACCCGACTGGGGTGGAACACGTTATACGAAAGTGCCACGACGAACATCGGTAGCGCATCCAAGACATACAAGTACACCTCCTTTGCCTGAAGTTCACCAGCCGAACCCATGACATATTCCGCTACACGATATATAGACCGGACCATGATGAGGGAGCTAGAAACGTACAAGACGATAATAAGTTTTCGCCAAGGGGTGTTAAGGGTTAAAGCAGTCCGGGTAGGTCTTCCAGAGATGCGTCTGTGGAAGACGAGGGTGACGATCATGAAAAAGCCGAAGAAAAGAATCTGTATGGCAAGACCGCCCACGATGATATTTTCTCCTCGGCGCACGTCGTCCAGAGATTTAGCTTGGGTAAGGATACCGCCACCTAGGTGAGTTGGTGTTAGCGCGTGATATATCTGATAGTTAAGATTTGTTAATTACCTCCACCTTGAGCGAAGAAGGATATGAGGTCGCCGAGGACGAAGAATTTCGTCAACCACTTGGGCTTTATCAAAGAATAGGAGTCGGCATCGAGATGTACAACTAGTCGGCCGAGAATCATGTAGATGGAGGCCGCGTAAAGGGTAGGTCCGAGAAGAAGAAGTACGGATTGGATAATATACGGTTTCGTAGTAAAGTTGGGATATTCAGGCGACGACAAAGCACGTCCTATATATCCCACCGTCTCGACTATATTTGAAGGAATTAGTATTTCTTATTTTAAATGTCAGGAGTTCTTAGACCAGAGTTTCGAATTTATCAACGCGGATGAGACAGGCTGGTACGTACAGAGACAACCGATGACGAACGGGATAAAGTACCAGGTTCTCTTTCGAATGAGCATCACAATATGAACCAGAGTAGATATGGCAAACAAGATGATAAATATGACAGCGGCAACCATAGACGGTTTGTACCGATAGAATACGAAGGTCGTTGCTGAGTCGGAGTCGGCCATGCTTACGACGTTACTTGAAATAGGAGAACAAGGTTTTTGATAACGAGTGTCGATGAAAAGAATGAAGAACTTCTGGATGTTATATCATCAAGGTCATGCTCTCTTAAGTACTATTTTGAAAACATCCCGATTCTGGGCTCCTGTTTGACTAGAATATCAAACCTACTCATACCCAGCCCCAGCCTCAGAGGTGGGCTACACAGAAATTCGATCTAGATTACTAGGTATTTCGTATATCGTGATAATGGAGATAGCGTACCCGCTCCCGCATCACCAAGTGCGGCTCTTAAGGAAGGGTTTTCCGTCTTACTCGCAGTTCTACTCGTACTATCATTGATACTCTCGGGTTTTCGTATCTGATTTCGTTGCAAATGTCATGTCAAGCGTGTTGATATTCTAGTGTATTACCGACATAGCTACTAGTCTTACTAACGACACCAATTAACGGCCGTCTAGATGTTTGATTCATGCTATTTTTCATAGAGATGCGCTAGGGAAGAAATTCTTCATACGATGGGCTCGAATATGGATGCCTATTGCTCGCATTTTCGTAGTTGGATGACCCACCTCCTCGGTTTCATAGGTTGAAACAACATCGAGTTCGCATATCTCGTATATCCTCGTAAGAATGACCAGATTAGGTGGGGATGATCGGTAAAATTCCGATATCAAGCTTTTTGCGAGAGTGAACGCGAGTCATTCAACCAAATACCGAGCCTTCGCATGATGGGCAGTATAGGCTACCATGAAAACGACCAATTGCGATTTACCTACCTAGTACTCATCGAAAAGCCATCAATATGAGTGGACCGTCAAGATCTGGAAAGGATAAGGTGTTGTGTGAATAAGCTACGCCCACAATTTCTTGTTATGTCTTCCAGGGCTATGTTTGGTTCCCCTGAAAATGCACGCAATAGATCGCATATCGTAGTTAGCATAGATTACGAATAGACAGGGGTTTCGTTGCGGAACCTTCACTATGAGGAAAACCCTTCAAGTATTATAAGGGTGATCGTTTTCTGTTATGTTGCTGCCTGGTCGTGATTTCTTCTCTTCGTTATCTAGTACCTAATAGTAGGTTCGGAGAAAAATCTCGAATTGAAGCGGAGACTGACCGATCCCAACGACCCCTTGAATTCTGCTCACCGACACGAATTTGATGATGGTTTCGTTCTCATGCGCAATTGAGACCGTCCAGGCAGCCAGGTCACTTTCTTAATTGGACAACGATTCAATTGACAAGAGAGTGATACTTCAGAATATGGTCATTTACGCCCTGGAACCAAAATCATGAAAGGCCGTCGATGTGCTAACCTTACTGTACTGCGCTGTGGCTCAGTCTATCCCCTGTGCCTTTCGGCTAGCGTTTATTACCTGCTACAGCAGGTGTAAGTTGCTTATCTAGGCGGGGCAGGGGATAATGGATATGCGAACCAATACAGCAGAAGCATTATGAGAGGCAACATATAAGAAAAGAAAATATTCTTATTAGAAAGTGAGGAACTAGGGCTCATGCATTAGATTCGGTACCGAATCTCATCGAGACGCCCACGCCACCTACAAGCTGTTCAGGTACGCATCCATTCATCGTCCTCCAAGTCTTGCTGATGTGCGTTGTCTATAGGTGCTTGATTTTCCGCAGCATGTCATGTTCAACACAGCTCGGATCGGCATGAAAATATTTTCACCTTTGCTTCCAATGGACATGGATATCGCAACTTGTAAAATTTCTGTTGGGCAAGCTAATCGTGTATATGCGCATCTAGGAAATGGTTGACACGTAAGGATACTGATCGTGTTCGCTTATTACTGGTTTAGAAGACGTGTCGAACTTGGAGGAACCGCTAGGCTTCGTGCCCTGGAAGCCCGACGACGTTTCCTAGGTAGGTAGATTCGGGGAATTCTGTATTGACGGAAAGCCTTCGAATTCGATTGAAGTATTACTACTCATGTCGTTATTATCCCCTACATGAAATTTCTGGACGAGCAAGTAATTATATTTGACAATTAACGGATGTTCCATATTTTAAAAGAAGCAGTTGTCTGCGAATGAATGTATGGAAAACTCAAGACAATTCTGGTAGAAACCTAACCCTTGAAATAGCTGCATTAAGAGGTACCTGTCTAGTAGCTTAGGGCACCTATGACGTTGGAGGGGTGGGGTAGTAGGTAGGGGTAGCCCCCCGCAATTGCCCCAATTTTAGGCGTGGCAGCTTCTGCCAGCTATGCTAGCTCAAGCTGTACCTGCATGTTCCAACGAATTTACTCCACAATTAAATTGGCGGTGTTGAAGTCTGAAGTCTGAAATCGAAACAGTCCAATGTCTTCATGCCCAACTCCATATTTTATATGCCTACATGACCGCTACGTGAAAACCTTTTCGATAGATCGATAACCGGATCGAATCTATTTTTTCCCTCATAACGATCGATCGATGCCTCGTCCTGTCGAGACACTGGATATAGCTCTTCCCATAGACCACCCGCTCAAACGGCCTGTGTCGAATAGGAATAAGCAGACCGCCCAACGAATCTATCAGCTTTGGAATACCTGGCCCTGGCATCTCTTCCCTACCAATTCCCCTCACCTTCCTACCATATGGACCGATAACTTACTCGACAAGCTGAAGACTATCGCTCTCTGCACTACTCTTCCGCATGCTCAACAACTACTGAACGCCAACGTTCCCGATGGACAGCCCCTCTCACTTGCCGTTCTCAACGCAGTTATTGACGAGTGCAAGGAAGGATCTGATACTCCAGAGAACCCCGCCATGAGGAATAGGAAGAGAAAGCAAAGACGTGCTGCTGCTGCCGAGAGGCAAAGGTTAGGCGAACACCAAACCGAGAGAGGGTCTAGCGAAGGTCTAGACGATAACAACGAAGAAGAGGACGACCCGAGTGCATACGAGCCTGATAACGAACAGCAAGAATTTCAATCAGGCCGACAACCCCGTCCTCTCATATCACCTTCCCGCCGTCTCCGAGGACGCAGCCTCGCTACCAGGAATAGCATGGCCAACGAACCGGGATCGCCAATAACTAAACGCCAGAAACGTCGCCATCACTCATCTATGCCACTCCATTATTCATACGTAACACCCCCGGAATCTACACCCACTTCCGGTTCCAACTCGGACCGCCATGTCCCCCCTCGTTTTCGCTTCGGTGAAAACATGTTACCCTCACCTTCTTCAAATGGTGTAACCACAAATATCGAGTCGGTTATGATTCGGCTGGCTAGCGTCTTTCAGGAACAGCGGCAAAGCTGCGAGAAGGCGGTTGAGGAGACCAGATCAGAACTAGGCGCGGTCAAAAGTCGGTTAGAATCATTAGAGGAGCAACTAGCTACTGTGAGGAGCGAAATAACCGAGATAGAACAACAAAAATCTGAGATGGAGAATACATACCAAGATCTCCTCGCTATCGAAAAAGAGGAAGAAGGATTAGCTGCGCGGCGACGAGAGCTTCTGTCGCGTAGGACGTCAGGCTCGCGGGCACCATCTGTATTCTTGCAAGATGAACCGTCCCCGATGCTGCCACCACCAAGCCGTACTCGCGCATCAGATGAGCTTCGAACCGATATCAATGCCCTGATCGTCGACCAGCTCCAACCCCTACAACTGCGGCAAACAGCACTGAAAACCGATATCACCGGTGCCAAGACTGATCTGGAAGCTGCGCGAGCTAAGATCGAAGCTTCGCTCATGGACCTAAGTGCCAAGTCAGACGAAATGATACGGTTCCGTGGATTTACGAACGATATGCAAGATGCACTCATTCGACGCGGCTTCGCAGAGCCTACGTGGGAATTGGGTCAGAAGAATGTAGACGGGCGCGAACGTCCTAGCACCGCCTATGGCCCCTTTTCCGCCTCTCAGCCTGTTCCCGCGTCTGCCGGATTCGATTCTCCCCCAGACCGCAATCACGACCACGGGTTACGGTCTCTGCTTGTCGGACTGGATTCCACAGACTCGAATAACTTGGAGACTAGTCCTCTTCGCCCACAATCCGCTTGAGACTCTTTTACGCCACGAATGACATTTACCACGAATATATGAGCTACTATTTAATTTATGATCTATGTATTTTGGTTGATATAGCTTCTGTCTGCAGGATTTGAATTTTTAGAGTATTTAACTTCTAGGGATACAACAAGCGGTTCGGATTTGAGGAAGGCATCTCGGCGTAAATTGTACATATACCCATATAGGTACTCGGTCTAGATATTACCATTTGGAATACTATAGGGCAGTTAATGTCACGAAGTAATGATCTGTCCGCTGAATTCTGGTGCATAATCGCTATAGACTAGGCCTGCTTAGGGAGCTTAGCCACTAAAGAAAAACGCCACACCATAGGAAAATTTACCCCGCGGTGTGGCGCCTTTCTTTAGTAACTTTAGTGACTAGGACCCTACGCCGCAGCAGCTACCCACTAAAATGCAACATGTAAATCACGTAAATCACTATCCAGACGCGCTAAACTGCCCTGGAAAAGCCGGCTCAGGCTTAATCCCATAGGGGATAATACGCACCACGTGCCGCCTCTCGCCATCCTTAAAATCCGGCACCGCGCTATGAGCCGCCGCCCTCTGATCCCACACCACCACCGTTCCTTTCTCCCACTTCACCCGACAGCTAAAATCAAGACTCTTAATATGGTCATGCAGGAACTTCAACAAGTGATCCGATTCCTCCGGCAGGAACCCTTCGATCTTCCGCGCGATCGTCGGGTTTACGAATAATGAAGGCTTGCCCGTGACCGGGTGCTTGATGACCAGCGGATGCGTCGTGCTGACGGCTTCTTTTAGCGCACGCTCCATTCCGACGCGCGCTACTTCGCCTACTGAGGCGGAGGTGTGGTATAGGCTTAACCCGCCTAGTAATTGTCTGAATGCGGGTGATAGCGCTTCGTATGCTGCTGTTAGGGACGTGAATGCTGTGTCCCCGCCCCCGGACTCGGGTATCTCGAGGACCCAGAAGAATGTCGTCGATGGCACGTTGGGTGTGAAGGTTTGGTCCACGTGCCAGAGGTCGTAGGTTGTGTGGGGACCTAGTAGTGTACGGAGGTTTCCTCTATCTTTTGGTTAGTGATATGATGGGTTTCATTCTACGCCTTGCTTACGCAGTCTCATCCGCGTAGACAACGTGGAACTCTGGTCCGGTGCCTGCGGGATAACCCATCGTGGGGTGCTTGTGGAGCGGCCCATAGTATTGCACGATATCTTGTTGTTTCTGGAACCCGACATCTGCGAAATCTTGGTCTCTCTATGAATTATTGGTAAGTATGATTTGACTTGGTCGGTATCACGCGAGACTTACGAAAACTAAAACGCCCCTTTCGGCTGCGAGTAGAGCTACTTCGTCGAGTCCCGCGGAAGGGAGTTGGCTAAGCTGAACACCTCTGATCTCTGTGCCGATCCTGGGTGTGATGTTGGTGAGGGATGCACCGGCTTTGAGGAGGGTCTGCTTCAGGGGATCCGCTCTGGTTCCGGGTTCGTCCGCCTCAAAATACGGGACATCTAAAGTCGGCGCGTACCCATCCGGCCTGGTCGGTAAATATGCAGGATATAGTGGTTCGGATGACATCTTAACGTCTTCTCGAGAATTGCTTACTTGGATAGATATTGACTGCAGGACAACCCGGGTTGTTGGAACGAGAGTTCACCCTATATGTATAAGAGAACCAATATCGGATCGTACGAGACCGGACTACGGATCGATATTTCTTTAGTTCATCATCATCGCCGTATACCGGCAGGTTGATTCCGACACGGCCAAGCCCGGCTATCCTTGTTCCTGATAGGAATCGATGTTCAAGTGGGTCATCCACACAGCCAAGTGATAGTCACCAAGGCTAAAAAAGCATCACGACACCAGCGCCGAGAATGACGACATAGCATAGCGGGTATCTCGTAAGATAACATCTTTGGGCTCGCTTAAAGGTCGTTAATGTTTTCCCTTTAGAGCCTGGAGGAAACAAGTTTCTAATGCCATAATTATAGCTTCAATTTCATCATGAAATCGAGCATGGCCAGGTCCTCGGAGGAGTTTTTATATAGGACATCCAATGGCTACCAAGGTAATTATCAGATCAATCAATACTCGCTAACATTAGTCTCAACCTAGAACTCTCTTCAATTTGATTTACAGGTTACGGGTTACGTATATCATTTTTGACGTGTATTCTTCGTTGGAGTGGCTCTCAATGACTATTTTACTATGGTGTTAAATCCTAAGAACGATGATACTAAACAAGCCGAAGCCCATTGCGTGGCAATATACGACGAACAGCCATCATGGCTAGGAAAGATACACCCTTACTTCAGGAACCCGGAGCATGTCGTAGTCCTAAAACTCGACGCCTTCCTACTCTCATGGGCTTTCGTCGCGGGTTTATTGAAAGATATGGACCAGTCAGCGACGACGCAGGCTTACGTATCAGGGATGAAGGAGTCGCTTTCCCTCTACGGGAATGAACTGGTCGAATTCACCACCTATTTCTCAATAGGGTACGCTTTGTTTATTGTTCCAGCGCAATTGATCCAGACAAGAGTTCGGCCGTCGATATTTTTGCCAATTTGCGAAATTATCTGGGGCGCGTTGACACTAGCGACATACAAGGCCCCGAATGCGCGGACTATCTACGGATTGAGATTCTTCCTCGGCGTCTTCGAATCAACCTCTTGGCCCGGGATTGTCAGCATGATCTTCAACTGGTATACGCCGAAAGAACTAGGCAAGCGATTAGCCATATTTGGCGTCAGCGGCGTGGCAGGAAGCATGTTTCTCGGGATTCTGCAAGCTGCCTTTTATAAGAATCTTAATGGGGTAAACGGTCTCGAGGGATGGCAGTGGCTGTTTATCGTATCGGGTATCATAACCATGGTATGGGGAGCCATAGGCTTTTTGGTCATTCCCGATTCCCCCTTGATCACCCGAGCCATCTACTTTAGCCCTTCCGAGCGCAAACTGGCTCGATCGAGGTTATTGGAATACGGAACAACCACTCCAGGACTGATCCCCTTCGATGTCTTAATTCGGAAGATTCGTTCACTACTAAAGAGTCCTTTGACGTACCTTTTCCTTGCCGCCTATCTCCAATTTGCCTGGTCCCAACGCGCAAACTCGTACTTCCTCCTATATCTTAAAGGAATCACAGGTTCGAACGGCAAGCCACTATATTCGACATATACCGTAAACCTCATTCCCTTAGGCGGCTACGCGATCTCTATAGTGAGCAATATCACACTAAACGCGATCAGTGATTGGAAAGGCTGGAGGTGGCAGATATCTTGCGGCGCTGCTGCTTTACAGCTCGTGGCAACGTCGGTTCTGGCTGGATGGCCAAACTCACATCCCACGATTATGGCCTTCTATTTTCTCACATTCGCTACCGCTGCTTGGGGGTACGCATTAATCGCGTGGCTCGCGGAGATATGGCGAAAGGAACCAGAGGCGCGGTCTATTGCCGTGGCGATCGCCGTTACGCTGGTATATGTTGGACATGCCACGATTCCACTACGAGCATGGAAAGTTTCCGATTCTCCTAGATACCCCATCGGGTTTCCGTTAGCAGCGGCGTTTAGTGTAGGTAGTATAATTTCCATGCTTGGAATGCGGTTCTATGTCCAGAAGTATCCGGATGTCTTGGACTGGGGTTTAGATTGGAAAGCGAGACAAGTCGGTAATGTTGAGGAACCATCCGATTCTGATCAACAGACGTAGATGCGAGAATTCAAAGAAATAAGGATGAGAGAAATAGGACAAAGGAAAGGAATAAAGAGCGAAACTGACACGTAGTATGTCTTTGATGTTTCTAAACGTCAAAGAAATGGAAACTTGATTATGTAGCATAGGTCTCTGCTGACATGTTATTACGGCAAACAAAGGAGATGATATTCTACAAAACACACCTGAACATGCCTCAAATGTTGAACTTATCTACCTAGGTATCTACCCATCCTTTGTATCATATTATACCTTATATATATACCCACCTATAGGTAACTATATACAGCTACATCCGGAATTACATATTATACTTTCCCCCTTTTCACTTAATGACGTTTATTATCAAAATGAATCATCTATAGGTACTTGGCAGGATTGGTCCTGAGCCTCCCTTACTATACATAATACATGATGGTCAAATGGTGATGCACATGCTATGGCTCGAATTGACGAAATTGTTATATTTCTTTTTATTTTTTTTTATTCATCTATGAAAGACCAAACGCCGAAGGAAAGCCGTAACGTCCACACTATAGGAAATAACCGAGACTATGAACCAACCGCAGAACCCATACCCAGCCCGACATCCGTGATCTAGTTAACGACGCGGACTTGGTCGTTTACTCTGGAAATTAACACCGCCGAGATCACGATGCAGAAGACATTGACGAAGATCAACGTCGAAAGCCGAAAGAGCCTAGCAGACACGCTTTCGACCTCATCGTATGTCTCGACGGGGGGATAGACTCCACCGACATTGGGACCTAGCTGGGGCTCTACTTCCCGCGTTATATCCACATGCGTTCCAGTTTCGCAAATGTGGCTTAAGTAGGGAGGCCCGAACGCGTGATTGATTCTGGAGTCCTCTACGGCTCTGTCCGTAATTTTCAAGCCGCGTGCACTCTTATCGTCCCTGTCGATAAGCGTTTCCCAGTCTCTCGCTTGAGAAGTGTACCCGTCACGATTCGACCGGACGGTCAACGTCGAGGTGGAGTGCTCATTACGAATGAGATGAAAGACGATGGCGGAATGTCTTTCTTCACCCCCGGCGATGTTTCGTCTCTTCGGGTAGCCCTGTGGCAGAGTGTCGATGGCCCCACGTTCTTTTTCCACCAGGTAGGAAGTCTCTTCCAGTACCAGCACGATCACCTGTTCGTGATTTGCGGCATCCGGAGGATAGTTCGCGGGATTGGGACGTACTCTCAGGTACATGGGGAATATCGTCCTCTGGCAGTCGTCTTTATCGACAGGGGCAGGAGCAGGACCTTCATCGCTGTGATATTCCGAATCTGAAGGCTCTACAGGCTCTGCGGGCTCTGCAGGCTGTGTAGGCTCCGCAGGCCCTGATGGCCCTGATGACTCCTCGGTTCGTACAAATTCAAAAAGCCCTGGCCCTGTGGCCTCTGAGTACACCAGGGGATTCCTAGGGACCTTCCGCGGGTTGTCCGCTTGTACTCGTAAAGGAGTTTTCCAAGCGCCAGACATCTTGTTGTCGTAGTTGAGAAGGTAAAAAGTGAATATTGATTAAAGTAATTGTGATAAAGTTATTAATTTCCTGAGATAAACTCAAATGTCAATTAATTGATGGTTAATTGTTGTTGGATTCTCATTGAAAACTGCGCCCGAACCCATCATTTTTATATCCACTGCTTCAAAAACAACAGGATTGTTGTTGCTAGGTTGATTGCACACAGCGCCTTTGGCCGGTAAACGAGAAAGAATATGTTCAGGCACGGAAATGACATTGTTAATATACCACGACAATGTTCTTGTACAATTGAATACTTTGACAACAGCATCACATTTTATATCTACTACATATACCTAAGCTTGCGCAGTTTATTCCTGCTCCTCACCATATTTCGGTATCTAAAGATTATCGATTTACACAGATAATTCACTCAGCGTACACTCAAGTCAATCTACAAACAAATTTGACATCAGAATATTTTCCTTCATCTTAACATTGAAAGTACAGAAATCTCCACTACACGAAAATTTATCTTCCTCGTACACACAAACACTATCAGGAGGCTGATCTTGGTCCGTTATAAAAATGGCTGCTCACCCTTCCTGGTCTATCTTTAACTTCAGGTTGAAGAACGGCACTAATCAGAAGGTCATATTCGTCTTCCATGGAGACGTTGATGACAGAACAAGATTCACGCCGGCCTCGCTGCCCATATGTTTGCACTTGGGAAACGGGGAACGAACATGGCGAGGCGACCACAGGCCATATCTCCGGGGTTCAAATGCCGACGAATGGGTTGACCGCGCAGTGAGGGCCCGTAATACGATTCGTGAACCTGACGACCCTTACGATCCCGATTTTGACCCCGACTTTCTTAGGGTCCCAGAGGTGCAGGAGGGGGTCGAACCAGCGCCGCCGCGTTGGCCTATAGTTTTTCTTCAACAGAAAAAGCAGCGGGTCATCCGCTGGATTCAGCGTGACAGCGTTTATAATTCGTTGTATGCCTTGACACGGAATATGGTCATAATGACTTTAGTCCTTACGGCCATATTCCTCGTCTCGGTTAACCCGAACACCCCCCAGACTACAGGTCCAAAACGCGTCAAGATTAACGAGGGTCCCATCTCGATTATCACGCAGTACGTGCCCTTTATATCCCATGAGGATTCAGAGGTGCCCTTAACTGGTGAAAATCCGATGGTCACCCAAAATGACGCAGGTTTAATCACTGCAGCGCCGATTCAATCTGACAGCGGTCCTTTTACTGCCGTGCAGACCATGCCTGTCCCACAAAGCCTATTAGACCTGGTATCTCAACACCACGGGGTCATCTACGATAGCTGGTCCTATATGCATCGCGAATTTGTTGAGGATACCAGGTTTCTCGCCAGAAGATTGACGGTGTTTACCGCTCCAAAAATGTCGACAAGTCAATCAAAGGTCGACGAATCGGATGTCTTGAACATCATGACCCGATTGAACACCATCCAAGAGACCTTGAATGGACAGAAAAAGATTTGGAGTCAATGGAATGGTCAGGCATTGACAAACTTGGTCAATCTGGCAACCTGGTGGAGTTGGGACGACAGTAAGTTCGATCCCGAACGCTTCCTCCTCTCGAGAATCCCGGCTAGCGACACAGCTGTGGCCCTCAAGTCATTCGAAAGCACGGTCGTACCTCGCAACGCCCGTGTACAGAAGCTACTCGATCAGGTCGTGTGCTCTGGTAGCGACGGCGATATTCCCTGGGAAGGTTTGCGCGCGCACTATGCCGAAGTCGGTAAAAGCTTCAACTCGGCTCGCGCAGACATGAGGGAGATCGAGGTTCTCGTACAGGAGCTTCGGGGACGGCGGACTGATGGTGGGGCCTTGGCCATGCGCATGGACGACGTCCTGGTCGCTGTCGGAAAAGCCCATCATGTTGCTACTCGCGGAATCAACGCCGCGAAAGCTATGACGGATGGTTTAGAGGCGGTGTGTCTGACGAGTGAAAAGACCGCGCAGCTTGGATGGCGCCTGAACCCGCGTGATCATGAGGATCTGGTGAGGAAGTTCCTACCTCAGAGTCAATCGGGGGTCAGGAACATGCTTCCGGCATTCATGAAAACCGCGGATGCAACGGAGCTATGGCTTTCCAGCGAGATCAGCGAGAAGGCCGTCGATGATGTAACCGAGGCTGCTTGGATCGTCTGGAGTTCTGATGAGAAACCAGACCCGAAGAAGGAGCCGGTTAGGAGGAATAGGTAGATTTTTCTTTTTTTTAATCGGTTTTTAATGGGGCCAGGGGAGCGGAATAATGGGTAAGGATATATCAGATTATCCACATTTAGATTGAGTAGTAATAAACGTTTGGTAAAAAATCATTATGTACTTTTTTCCACGTAGCTATCTACCTATATAATCAAGGAGTGTGAATGATATTATTAGCTGGTGACTTTGATGTGCATAGTCTACCAATGATGACACCCCAGGGGCTACATAGCCAACTTAACCCACAGATCCGTAGACATTCCAACATTCCAACCCCATCAATCGTTCACTCTGTCCTGCTTCATGCTAACCCTCGTGATCCTCACTGGCCACAAACTTGGTTGACGGCTACGCTCTTGCAGTTGCTGCCTCCGTGTTGCCAGCACTGGGATTCGACATAGTTGACAGCCGTGAAGAGACTGTTGAAGCATTCGCTCTTTGCAGACGAGTTCTCGCACTTGGAGTTGCACTTGGGACAGGCATCGGCGTAGGGTCCAGCCTCTTCCTGGCACGTGGTGAGATCGGGCGGGCCAGAGGGTGTTGGTGTAGATGTCTAGGTACGCTAGAGTTAGAGATGGTTCTAAGGAAGATACAGAGTACTCTTGAGAGATCGAAATACCTGAGCTAGGGCAACAGCGAAAAGTCCCATGGAGATGATAGCTGAGAACTGCATGATGGCGGTGATGTTGAACTTGAAGTTGAGTTGTGTGTTAAACAGGGATATCTGATTGTCCAAGTAGTGGCTGACGCTGTGCTGAGGAATGATGAGGGTAGTGATCTCGAAGAAACGAGAAGACTACGCGATATTTATGCTCGCTTTCCGTAAATCCGTTCATCCCTGTATTCCGAATAGCTACATTCAGAGTAGGCAGGCAGTCCCAGGCAGCTACTGGGGTTCTTTGCACCTAGACTGGTCCCGAGAATGCTGTGCCGCAATATGGAGACCTATGAATTTTTTATCAGCCTTACCACGGCACCGATACGTATGGAAGCTTTTGGTAATTTCCAATGGAACATGGGATCGTGGAGTTTAGGCCCACATATGTCTTGTTCGTTTAAAATCTCCTTCCGAATGAAGATCCTGGCTTATTCGCTTCGGGACTTGCGATACTACCTACAATCTTAAGATTTTATGTAACTTTGTAGCGGTGAGAAAATATTATTCAGCAATATACGAGTATTTGAAACCAAATGAGAAACATATACCTAACAAAAGTGATAGGTCAAAATTAGGCATGATATTGTTGCAAGGATCAGTCGGCACTGTGAGAAAGATTGATTAGAGATTCATTCATTAAGCTCCCAAAGTACTCAATTAAAGAGGTCGTGATCATTGTTTCTCTCTTGTTTAAAGTCTTTATAATAAATTAGCTCACCCTTTTGGATCACGTGCGCGAAGGGTTGAGGCTCGGGGGCATCACGTGATATCTTGTGTAACACGGGTCTCCGTGTCTACGGTCTATTTGTCGATTAACGACCGGTACTAGGTATTTAAGGCTTTGGTCCCTTATCTTCTACGATAAATTACATACCCATGTGGGAGTTGGAAAGTACTCGGGTACATTAATCTAGAAATGTTGACGCATCTGAATGTAGCGAATAGAGGAGTCATCAAACTACAACTAGTGCCTAGTACCAACAAAAAATATGTACCCAGTACCTAGGTAGGTACATAGTCAATAGGTAGATACTGCATAGATACAACACAGATAGGCAAACTGCTAGAACCGGGTATATCCGAAAACGCCTTGAAGTCTCTCGATCAATCATCGTTGGGAAGATGGGTGCCGAAATGGGATTCTTGTACGACGATCTGATAACGGATTGCACGAAGCGCCTCAGCGGGCAACAAATCAAGGTTAAGGTTAACCAGAAGAAAGAGGCCGAGTTCGTACCCTTGCCGTCCGAAGGCCCAGCGCAGTCCCAAGAGTTCAGGATTCAGGGGAGAAAACAGAAACAGAAGACCTGGCCAGAGCATTCATAGATTTACGAAATTGTCCCTTCGGAAAAAGGACCAGTGGACGAGAAAGAGTTAGAGGAGTTAAAACCGACGTGCCTGGGGTTGAAAGCGGATTCAACCGAAACATTCTTGACTTTGTTTACAAAGTCAGAGGCTCGATGTTCCATTCAGTGGGCGGCATTTGAAGCAGCGATGGTAGACCTGGGATTCTCGGTCAAATCAGAGTACGGATCCGTCTACACGTTTGCACCCTCTGACAAATTGGCACCAGAAAGGTCTATCAAAATTCACAGACCTCATAAATGTCGCATCGAAGGCCACAAGCTACTCTTTATTGCTCGCATTCCAAATCGCACTTACGGATGGACGCAAGACACTGTTCATGTTGCATAGGTCGATAGGTAGTGAATAAGTACGGCATGGAATATAGCTCCCATACACGGAAATTTGAATATCGTATCGGACGAAGATACCTAAATGTTCTCAGATGTTCTCAGATGTTCTGTTCTTGGGGCCATCCATTGTACGTAGCTTCTAATTAAAACTGTCCTTAACTTAACTTTACCGCATCTAGTGCTTGACACCTTTTGAAGTTTGAAGGACCTTTCATCAACGTAAAACGATTGTTAACACACAGTCCATGTTCAAATGGCTTATCTAATACCCACCAAGACATTTTTTATTTCCTATTTAGGAACGGTCATACAATTCTATTGGCTATCATTTTAGGTTCGTGTGCCACACACATCCCGTCTGCAGATCACAACGAGTTTATTAAACTTAAACTTAAAGAAAGACTAGTAGAATAATGTATGCTATATTGTAACGATCATGGCAGGATCGAACTTGCGGCCGTTCTTCTGTCCCCCCTCAAGATCTTGCTCCGGTTTCCCTTCCCTTGCTGGTAAGACGTACCCCCGCTGATTGGCTACAATCTCGATCCCTCTCCGCACGAACCTCGTCGAGTAATGAGTGTGACCGAACACCCACGTCTTAACGCCGTCCCATCTACCCCGATCCACGAGATCCGTCGCAAAGCCGGACGACCACGGATTATTAGAGTGTTCTGGCCGAGAGGTACCTTTCAGGCAAGGCGCGTGGTGAGTTGCTACTAGGATCTGTCTCGGGGTCTTTTCGTCTTGTGACGCTATTTTTGCGACTTGCTCGCGGAGCCAAGTGACGTCTTCCAAGTGCGCCGCATTGTGCTTCTGTACTGTCCACCCTTCTATCATCTTAAAGTCGTTTATCCTAGATTCGACAATACTACAGGCTTCATCGGGAACCCTCGACCATAGCGTGCATCCGAGAATTGTCAATGTGGAGTCGGGATCATCCCATCGGGTTCTGTGTAGGAGGATCAAGTTCCCGTGAAGTGATGGCTCGTTTGCGAGGCGATGCGCTTCGGCAAGACCGCATTCGTGGCTTAGGGAATAGAATTCGTGGTTCCCTAGTACTAGGAAGACTTTCCTGTACTGGCGAACTTGCGTTTCGAGGAATTTTAGGTATTCGTCGTAGTCGGCGAGGCGGCCAATGTCGCCGCTGAGGAGGAGGAGGGGTGCGGTTTCTGGGATGGTGAATGATGTGTATTGCTGGTTCAGTTCGAGGTGAAGATCGGAGAGGATTTGAATTGGCGGGTTTGTTGACGGATCGCGTCGCTTCTTGAAGGGTTTGAGAAGAGATGCCATTTCGCTTGGGCTGGATTAATTGAATAAATGTATCTGACTAGTAGTGGAAACGCAGGCGGCTATGCATGTGCTGTCGTCGTGTAAATGTTGTGAAGTTAGGGTTAGTAGGTGATCCGCTAAGAATTTAGCAGAATGGAGTGAGAAAGAGAAAAGTATGGTCGGAGCTATCCCCTGGGTTACACAGTTAGCAGCTGGAGACCCACAATAGTACATATAGTTTCCTCATTTAGGCGATACAGGGGATAATTCAGCACATAGTCCGCTACCATCATATGCAAGAAAGGCCCAAGAATTGTAAATACCCTTTGATGATTGTTGTTTTTGATTGAAATATAAGCACATTTGTACTCAGAGGTGAAATCACCTAATACCATTTATGATTCGTGACTGAGAGGTTAACAATGATTGCCCTAAATTTAGATCTAGGTTGGTGACAGTCATCTAATAACATATTTAGGGTATCTGCGGGTTCCAAGCACTTCTATATGGACTAGGTAAGTGCCTGGTATTTTGGTAAATTAATGATATTGACCGATCTTTGAGAATATGACAATATCCATTTTGATCCCCTTCTTCTCGATACTTCACCTGTTCAATATCGATTGATATTGTGGACAGAATATGGTATGGACCAGTTGTACAAACCAACAGGACAATATTCTCTTCTCGTTCACCACCCTCAAAATTCTTACAAACATAAATATTTCCCTACACACAGAAATTAGCAGGACTACTCACCAACACAACTTCAACTTACATCAAAAACCTGTCCCACATGTTCATCATGTCTCAAGAACTCCTCAACGACGCAGCCATCGTGCTTCATCGCATTCTCATCAACGAAAACGTCAAGTATGGTATCTTTGGTGGTTATGCCATTAGTGCATTCGGAGGCCACCGCGTGACTAAGGATATCGACGTTCTGGCCTCAGCCACCAAAGATGAGATCACCAAGTTACTCGGTGAGGATGACGGTTTCGAGGCCCTTGCCCAAAGCCGAGACGATTACGTCGCTTTCCTCTGGGCCGAAAAAGCTGCTCCCAAATTTCAAGTATTGATTGAGGTTTTCTGTGAGAAGTTCACAGGTACGATACTCCATTCGCGGAATGTATATAGTAGATGATACTGACATCTTTAATGTATTAGGCTCTGAGCATACGATGGATGATGTCTCGTTTACCACCATCCCCATTAAAGGCCTTTATCACGGCCCCGGAATCGCCTCCTTCCTCGACCCCATCTATCTGTTCAAGGGCAAGCTCCACGCAGCCGCCACCCGACGCAAAGCCCACGACGCAGCCGACATGCGAGCCCTCGTGAGCAGATACGAAGAAGATATTGCGGATTACGTCGACGATTTGAACATCAAGTACATCGGACTTGCCATTAAGAGACACGCCGAGCTAGCATTTCTGTTCCGTGGCCTCGATGTTGACATTGACGAAGCTGAGCAAGCGATCAAGAACGTCAATCTGAACGATATCCAACAGCCGATAGCTGTCGGATCCGTGCAGTCTGGTATACTAGCGTCGACCATCAAGTATACCACCTCGGCCGCTGTCGAAAAGGAATAGGGGAAACTTGGAAGTGAAGCCCTTGCAGAAAACCACGAGTCATGTACCCACACTTGCCAATGGCCCATTAGTTCATCTAAGAAAAGAAGAGTTTATGACATGGTTAGAATACTAGCGGCTCATTCGAGAGTGAGCCATAACCATTGGTCATCACGTTTTTACATCGTTCTTAAGCCCCACGACTATTCGATGCGGGGGTTATCCTTCTGTGTGGGTGAGACTATCGCCGTATTTAGACGCTTAGACGGACTAGGGTTCTGATACCGTGCGTTTCTAAATGCTTAATTAATTCTAATAAATACGAATTGTGTCTGAAATGAGTGGTAGAATTTGTGTTACGAGGTACTTAGTCGACCCTAGGTTAACAATAATCCTATAGGTGACTTTGCTTGCGTTACGACCCTACCAGTGCCCCTATCGTCTTCACCAATCTACCCAAATTCCCAAAAACATCATACCACAACACTCATGCATTTATTCAGCTGAAAGAATTCAATTCAATACCTAAAAGCTGAGCTCTAATGAAGGATAGCTACCACCGCTCTATTAGACTACGCCTCGATGACCCCCTAAACAAAACACGCTCCTTCCAGCGTTTGGTATATAGCAGTCTTGGGTTAACGAGGAGCGTGAGCGCCGATAGGTCGGAAAAAGATTTTTTTTCGAATATTAAACGATCCGATTGACCTTCTTTTCACCCCACCCCTCCTAGTTAAGTATTTCGCAACGTTTACATTCCGGGCATGGAGGTGAGCCCTGAAAATTGTATGTTAGTTCATGTTTACTTACATATCTGCACAGGTTTAGAATAGAATAGGTTCACTCACATCCATCAATGTCTTCGTTGACGGTCTTCGGGACATTGCACTGGTTCATCTGCGCCACGGCCTGCGACTTAAGCGGGTTTCCGTTCTCGCAAGCCTGGAACATGCACGAGGAGTCCATGGCCTTCTGGAGCGAGTCGCCCTTCCAGCCGAACACGTAGTCGGCGTGGGTGCCGTAGCCCTTGTTGTCGCCGTAGCTGAGGGTGAATGGCTGCGAGCCGTCCGTGGGCCACATGTTGTTAAATGCGGTCGTGTCCCATAGGGTCTCGTACGCTACTTGGGGTACGCGGACGCTTTGATAGGGGGTTTATGTTATTATGGGTGGTCTTTTGGAGAAAATACTGGGCTTAAGGGTGAACTTACGGGTGAGATGCCGGGCAAGGACCGGAGTTCTGGAAGGCATCCTTCACTGTGTTGTACATGTGCGACTGGTGGTCGGGGCTGTCGAGGTTCTTGCCATCCCAGCATCTAGGTACAGTTAGCATATGAGATTACTAACGTTAAGAGGGTTACTAACGCGGGGAAGTGGTGAACAGTCATGATACCGCCGGTACATGGCTTAGTGGGGAAGTCGTCGAGCTCGGGGAATCGAGTGCCCTTGTTTTGGAGGCAGACGAATTTCAGGCCGGGGCCGAATTTGCTGGTTGAGGTGGGTGTTCCGATAGTCATTCGGAAACCGGGCTTGAAGGCGGTGATCTTCTGGTTTCCGTTGGACGAAAAGTCCTGTTGGGTGTAGTATATCGTCATCTATGATACGTTTCAATTAGTTTACGTCCTCGCCGTCCTCTAACTAGTTCATAGCTTAGACATACTCCTCCGTTGATACCGTTAGGCAGAGCAGTGTTCTGCATTATGGGAACTCTCTTGTAGGTTCCGTTGGGGTGCTTGAAGAACATGACCGCAGTCCAATAGTTCGAGAAATCTTCGGAGAAGGTACACGTCGTGCAGGTTCCTTTGTCGCCGAGGTCTCCGGCCGCAGGGTCCATTGACGCGTTGAAGGCATTACCACCGACGATCTGGTGAAGATGAGCAGACGGAACTGCGCCAGGCTCTACGAGAGGGTCGAGACGCTGAATGGTCAGAGTAGAACATCCGAATCGAAGCGCAGCCTGAGAAGGCACGGCCAGAGCCAAAGTGAGAGAGAGCCACTTCATCTTCGCAGTTTTGAGATACTATGAATTAGCGATATCTTTGACGACGACAGCTGTGTCCACGAACGAGCATCGCGGTTCTCCTGGCTACACATATGTATTTCACGATTTCTGGATCCTCCCCTGCCTTGGAGATTTGCCGGCTGCCGGCCACCCAGAATAGGCTCCCGATAGATTGTAAAGATCGTCATATCTCATAAGGTCGCTGCCATTTTTCCGCCTTGTCCAATTTAGGCGCGCATCGAATGTTCCAATTCGGGACGACCACCCCCGCATTTCTCATATTGGATATTCTCTATATTGCCTGGGCATCGATTGAAACGCTGACGCATCTAAATTTATTCGGAGATCTGGCATGACCAGCTATGTCAACAAACATGTGGTGAATTAACGTCGGAATCACTCACGGCCAAGATGATAGTCAGCAATCCCAGTACGTCATCGGGACAATTTGCAGCGAGTGACAAGAGAAGTCGTTTCCAATAGAACCCAGTAGAAAGTCTAAGAGAATTAATACATCTAGTCGTGGGGGTAGTAGGACCGAAGCCATGAAATTCAATCTACACGTGGAATCCGTAACAGCCTTACGAACTGTTGCCCAGGCCGACTGGAACCGACGACGCCAATTCTTGTGTAATTGTAACATATGCCAACCCGGGTTTTACGAGCCAGCCTTGACTAGGCCATTGTTCTATATTAAAAGAATTCCAAATCATCAGCCTCTTAGCAAATTCATCTATGTTATGAACGAGGTTTTAGCACATTACCGAAAATCTGGCATCAATAGTAGGGATCGAGCTTCATTCTGAGTATACCAAGAAACTTACCAACTCTTCACAAAGGATAAAATACACTTGGCCTTTAGGATGTGCCGAGGTTAATGATGATAGGTAAATGTTATTCGGTAATGATACAGGGAATCGATATCGCATAGTCCACGCTTGAATAAGGTAGCTAACCAAGAGGCCAGCTTGTCTTTGAAAATACTAGGTATGGTCATACAGGCCATAACATCTTTAATGAGATGCGCCGTCGACATATCATTATAGCATCGAGGTAATATCAGTTGATCTAGGCCGTCAAATGTAGCCTACCAAAACGGAGTCAGAAGGTCACTCATTAGTCAATACTAGAACAATGGAGTGTATACTTGGATACCCCCTGTTTCGCTCATATAGGTAACTTATACGCATTGTGGTAGATAAAGGGTGCCGTCTGTATAACCTAGGGGATAGTTCTAAGCCAGCTACAGTGCGAAACGGTGCGACTAGCACATGGCTTACTATCACACCCATCAGCCCCTTCTTCAATTATACAGAGAGCTTCATGTCTTATTATTGTCGTTTCAAGTCCTCTAATTACCTATATTCTACAGAAAACAGCCCAATATTAACCACTTGCTTATGATCACTTGAGACAAAGAATATGAAATGCAGAAATACGAGTTTGCTTAGTCAGCCCCGCCTATTGATGCCATCGATGACAACGACAATTATTTCAAGGTATCCGACATGAATTCGTCCGCCAACAGAATATATTATACATGGAGAAGGTAAAGAATAGGTAACCTTTGCAGTACTTATTAGGTACCTTGGTTTGTAGACATAGCCGACACGATTCGCAACCTAGGTAATTACTGGAAAATATCTTGGCATCACGCACTCTGTACTCTCACGGGCGATTCTTTTTATCATAATATACTAATTAACTCCAATCAAGATAGCAAGTCAAATTCAAGAGTACCTACATATGCGGACCATCCTGTCTATTTCCGTAGCAATTACCGACTCATAGATACCTACTAAGTTTTGACCCATCTCGCGTGACATTGATCGGATTAGAGTTAAATGTTGTCGCTCCATCGTTGTTCGGTTCCGGCAGTCCCGATTGACTAATTAAGCTGCCCGGAATGGGTATGTTGCCCGGGGCTAATGTAAGTAATGGTACCCACGATGAATGGAACCCCAGCCCGGGAGGTACCCGCACGTCCCATCCGAAAGGGGGCATCACGGCATGTAACAGCACCATTACCGAACCCACATGATTAGATTAGATCAAGGCGATATGAGACTACTGTACCGTATAGTCTTCAATAGAAGCTGGTACAAACAGGTATATACAGTTGGCATTCTGAACTACGAGTTTAAGAAAACTCTTGTCCATCCTGGGTTCTGTACCTAAACTTTTTAGCGAGGTTGGTCATTATGGAGACTTCACGGAGAAACCTTTAGCGGCATCGCTTCCTCTATTTTTCCCAGCTGAACCTCGCTTACACTCTCCGAACCCGAAAATCCAAGAGATTTAAAGTCCTACATGAAATTCTTGATTCTTAGACGCAGCTTACCTTTTGGAGACACTGCTGGCGCCATCACGAATGCGAGCTAGTCCAGCTTTGAAGAAGTGCGGAAAGTCATGAAGTGGATCTACCGCTAGAATGATATTAACAGGTCACGTAAACATAGAGTGCGGATTAGAAATCAGGTTATTTTAATTATTTGCATCGAAGCCGTGCTATGTTAACCTCGGTTTTCATCCACGATCGCGCCGAATGAGAGACATCCTCAAACGCAATACAGCATCAAACTCGAGCTTCATACTCCATCAGGTCCAGTATAATCAATCTCTCCACAACCCGACTGCACCCAAAGGCCTTGTAGAGGGAAGACATTAGACTGAGTCTGGTACGAGAACACGAAATCGCACGCGGGACCTCCCTCGGCGGCGCCGACGTAGAGTAGACCGCAGAAACCAGAGGGTCCTGCCATCATACCGGCGCATCCCTTGTTGTCCTGGCACAGCTGGCAGCAGGTGCTTGGGTCGTTGTACTTCTCATCCGGAATGTAGATTACCGTGTTGTTCTGCGCGTACTTGCCAGATACGAGCCCGTGGTCGTCGACGCCGGCGATCACGTTCGTCGGTGCGCACTTGGCTGCGTATGTAGTCGTGGTTGTGGCCTCGCAGGCGGTGCTGATGGTAGCGACGCTGGTGGCCATCCGGTATGAGGTTGTGGTGCTCGTGAGAGTCGTTGCCCAAACCGTGGCGTTGTAGAAGTACGTCGATGTGGTAGTCGTGGTGATAGCTCGTATCGTGCTTGTCGGGGTAACGGTCTCGGTGGTGACTCCAGACGTTGCTGTGGGCTGCAGCATGACGAACCATGTTACCCCGGTAGCGCATACCACCTGAGATGGATAAGAGGTCGGGATTGTGGTAACCTGGCCAGGTATGGGCGTGTAGCTACCGCTGTACTCTGTCACGGTTGAGGGGGTGACATCGTTGGTACACACTGTCTTTGGCCAAGTTGCGGTGGCGACGGTGGACTGAGCTATTTGCCATGAAGTGGCAGTGGGGAGTGTTGTCGTAGAGATGCCGTAGACAACAGAAAGCGAAGTAAGTAACGTCGTCGTAACAGGTTCGACCGTGACCTTGACAACCGACGCAACAGTCACCTCCGAGCTCGTGATTGTCGATGATACTGTGCTCGTCGTCCTAGAGGTCGGGAGAGATTGTGGGATTGAACCTCCACTCCCTGATAGTGTCGAGCATGCGCCCTCGGTCTTGAAGGAGTAAACAGTACCCGTGGAAGCCTGGGCTAGGGAGCCGGACACGGCAAGGACGGAGAGAATGCGGCGAAACATCTTGGACCTGCGATTACTTTGTAGCCTTGGTTTTCGATCAGCGACGATATCTCATCACGTCACGTCATAAGACGATCAGGACGTCTAGGACGTATTTATATGAGCTGCCGGTCTTCCCCATAGTAACGTAGCCACGATCCAGGTCTGGTTACCTTCTGCATAGGGCGGCGGCAATGAAAATAAGCGAAGGATGACCGCGCCGCATTATTGATCAATCAGCACGATTCTCACGATGAGTAAGGAGCCGGGCATACATTTGTCAGCCGGGGCGCAAGAAAGAATACCCCCTTTTGGGGGCGCTACCTGACCAAATGGACAGGTCCAGAATCTACTCCTCACAGAACCGATCGCGGCCAACATCTGGGAGCGAAAATTCCACCATGCGTCAAATATAAATTCGGAGAAGGAATAGGCAGGAGGGATTTCGGATCGCCTATTAAGGATTGGTATGTCGGAGTAGAGCCGAAGCATCTGATCAAGCTCCTTACCATATTAGGGAGATCCATCGGCGCCATCAAGGATGAGAATCCTCAGGTACCCGATCTCGCAATTCTCCGAACAATTTCTTTGCTCGATGCAATTTAACAACCTTATTTCAACCTATAAAGATCCATGACATGCCCGAATCCTGAATGTATGGGTGCGAGAACCTCGTTCGTTGAACTTGGCAACCAACAGATGTTGATTCAGACTCCAGGACCCATTTCTAGAGAGGGGCGCGCTGTATTTACAAGGCTTCTTCTGCTAAAACTCCATTGTAATATAGTGGGTCTCAGCGCTTGCCCTCAGAACCTTGGAAGAATGAAATAGTGTCACGTGACATAACCCCCTTTTTCAGGGGTAATTGAATTTCTGGTGAAGGTAAGAAATCTCGATATATTAATTGAAATGACGAGCTGGTTGGCTCATACTTTTGAATCTTGTTATATTTTCTCATGGGCTTCATTGAAATCAGTATTGTAGCGCTTGGCAACTGATGCCATCCACACAACATTGTGTAGTGAGAAGGGGTAAAGACGCCGACATTCAGTGTCATACTCCTGATACTTATTTAGATCTGTAGGTATAGAATGCATATATGGCCTTGATAGTATTCTGGGAGAAATTAAGGTGGCTACTCGTTATTCCGCGTAACTGTCTAAAATAACAGTGATGAGACCAGTCTCACCTTTGTAAATTCTCCTTGGTGATTCGAGTGAATGACAACAACAACAGCACACGTTGCTCAGAAACCTGATCTTGGGGCAGGCCGGTCTTTATCCGAGGCTAATGTAGGCACTGTAAGAGGTAGCTTCTGGTATCCATGGTGAGGTCAGCCAACGTGTTGCCAGAGTTACCAATATCACTAGATTACAAACAATTGTCGCGCTGTAAATATAATTCTATTGACCCGCCTTGCGTCTAAAGAACACGCGTACTACCGCAGATAATTAATTCTTAAAGTTCCCGTCAAAAGCGTGTAGTAAATTCCGTGTCATCTAACCAGTCTATGCTATGTAAGTGCCAGAAGAGTTCAAGTAGAAGCTCACATTGGATGGTCCAGACGTATTATTGAGGTGGATTAGGCGGGGGATATTCTAGAAGAAATAAGAGAGGAGGCATAGAGTCTTTGTACAGGCGTAGTTCGTTAGAGAGACCGGCGGACGAGGTCTACTTAGATGAGAATTTGACCTAGAGAGCTGCGCGAGGCCTGTAAGTAGCCGATCTTGGGGTAGAATAGACACGGGACTCTTCCTGTATGTATAGAATGTTTCAAAATTGGGAGTAGTCTAAAGCTCTTCGCGTAGCCACGTCGCCGCCCCATGGCTCGCAAGTTCCGTCTCATGAAAGTTGTTGTTTTTCCATCTCTACACCCGCCACGCATCGCGATGATGCTAATATGAGGTCAGGGGCAGTCCTACGTATCGTGCTACTGACAGAGATCATCGAGAATGTCTTTAGAGGCTTGCCGGCGTGTCTTGGATGCTGTTTTCCGCCAATATACCTACGAGTCTACTCCAGAAAAAAAGTTGTTTTTCTTAGGTTTTTGGCACTTCGAGCCTCTTTACTGTCCATCTCACCGTAACCAAACCCCGTAACACCATTACGGTCCATCAGCCAATCAGAAGGCAGAATGTGCCCGTGAAATACGCAACTCACTCTCGTCACCATCGCAACCGCGAATAGCTTCACAGATTCCCATAGCAACCCCCTATGATCCACACTTCTGGGCTTCCCTCTATATAAAGAGGGTGCCCCCCCCCAACTTTGGGAAGTTCTGGCAGTCCTTACCATAGCAATACGGTAAACTTTCTCCCACTTAGCGCAACGGTAAGTGCACCGCTTCGCAATTTTTATTTTTCACGGGTTCGAATCCTCGACTTGTCAAATTTTTTGAGCCTTTTTTTTTTACTAACTTTTTATCACAGATCTACACCTCCGATCTCTCTGCGTTTAACAGCCAATCCTACTGCTAACTAGCTTTTACTGATTATCCAGTTTCGACAATTTTATCGCTCTTATTACCATGGCGCCTTCTCAGCAAGTTCTCAGCTCTCCCGAGCTCCTCGACATGATTCTCAGGCAAGTTCCCCGCACCCATTTACTAACAAGCTGCCAGCGTGTCTGCCGCGTCTGGCGAGAGACCATCACCCGGACCCCGGTTTTGAGCCAGCGCCTTTTTCTGAGTGGCGCTTCGATTTCGCCAGTAGTCGGTCGCTATGAGAAGAATTTCCTGGTTGGATACCTTCTCCCGAAGGTGTTTAACCTGTTTTTCCCTGCTCGTAATTTTCCCACGCATACGCAACCATTCGCGATTGAGCCGACATCTCTAGCCGCTGTCCTTCGCGCTGACTAGAGCTCGCAATGGAAGTCTGGCACTCCCCAGTGGGGACAGATGCATGTCGCCCAGCCGCCGGTTACCCATCTGCGATGGGAAGTATCCTGGCACAGCCGACCCGAGGACCTTCCCGAGGACCTTCCTTGCGCCATTGTGGATCTTAAGTTCCCTCAGGGCTTACGCGTGCGCGAGTTGTTGGAGCTGGTCCTTTCGACGACAAGTGCCACCTCCGTTTGGTGGCCTACGATCGACGACAATTTCACGTTCTTGACTCCTGCAGACGACGACCCGATCGAAAAGTGGCTGTGCGACCGAATCCAGGCTGCGAACGATTCCCTAAGCCCGGTCCTCCAACAGCTGGTTCCGACCGAAGAAAGTTTTTTCGAGATCATTCGTCGCCGAACGTCGATTCCTGCTGTTTTGCGACTTCAGCAGTCCGCGCCCAATTCGACACTCCCATGGACTTATGCTCAGGTCCCTGCCGAGCAGATCTCTCCGGTTGTCGATCTTCCCGAGGTCCCCTCCCCTCGCGCCACTTCACCCTAACTTTTCTTTTTTGTCTAGTGCCGAGTTGAGGAATAGGCGTTCTGGGGGCTTCTCCGACTAGTCCCTTGGGCCTTTCGATGTGTTTTTTCGGCTTTCAGTTTTTTGTTTCGCCTTTTCTCTACAGAGTGGAGATGTAGGCGACGACTTCGGTCTTAATGCGTTTTGATTTTTCTTGTTTTTTGCGGTCACTTCACTATTTTCCCTGCCAATGAAATCGGTAACCTAACGGTCGCTGATGGAGGCCCGTCGTCGGAATTCCGGCGGCGGACCAGGACGATAGCCGTGCACCTTTACGTGGTGTCCTGGATAAGTAATCCTTGTTTCGGTCCATAGGGCCGATGCGGGATGAAACTAAGACACGGCTGATAGTATTGTGATTTATTATATATACACGTACATTTCTGTCCTATTCCGTGGATAGTTAGACCTGGACTACCTGGCCTACCTGGCCTTTTACCTTCACATCAGCAAGTTCTCTATGTTTACGTAAGCAGGTCTTTGGTTAGACATGTGGGATGAAGCCATGGGATGCGCGGTTGCTAGTCTACGATACCTTCGTCGCTTGTTTGTATTATCCCTGTGTGTTTTTCCGTTTGTTTCATCAGTGTTGCCCCGGTGTTTGCGATGAAGTTTTCTCTTCCCGCGTCAAGCACGCGTCTAAATGTTGAAAAGCTTACCTAATTGGTTACAAATCTGTCGTGATATCCCCTGGATGACTTACCTAATCAGAATTCTCCTAATTTGGCCGGTGAGAAGGTTGCTTAGGTAACACAAGGGATAGCTCAAACCAGCTCAATGCGCAGTGGCATTGTCGATCTATTTTGACAACCTCCATATGGTTTGCTATCGAGTTTGGACTTGTGCAATCAGCAGTCGAACAAAGGTATATCCTGAATTGCTTTGCAGAGCGCTTCTTCTAGAGAACTAAGATTACATAAATCTTCGCAAGTATGACATAGTTCTGAAATCCCAAACAGTAGAAAATTGAAACATTCCTCAAGATAGGAGACAAATATCAAACCCATGATGTCACAGCTTAGAGGGTTGACGAAATACGTCATTGGGAGGTTGGTGGTCGGAATGCGGCAGAAGTAGTGGAAGATGTGGATTAACCTACATAGAATCCTATCAATATCGTATGTTAACCGCGAAAAGACTCAAAGGAGTTAACGGGACAAGGAGAGGACAATCATAGCTTGTATGGCGATACACAACAACGAAGGGAATGGTCCTACCTACTTTGTATCCTAAATGGGACATACTATATGGCATGGGATCAGCGGTGTAATAGGCATCTTTGCATACCTCTTTTCTTCAACTTTATACCATGTAAAGTACATAGAGGGAAGGGATTAGAGAAATGGTCCGTGTGCTAACGCGACTGCATAAGGCCGCATTCTGGACTATCCCCTACATCACGTAATCCACATCTATGACCTACCAATTAACAACTGATTTACCTAAATAGGTAATAAGAGGGTTAATTCACATACAATTTATCGCTGTGTTATCAACACATGGGTTATACCTTGCCATGTCGCCCAGCGAGAAAAGCATTGTAACTTACTTGTTGGTTTATGGGCATATAAGAGGCTTCGAAAGGCTTCGGTATGACCGTGATATGACCGAAACTCGAGGATAAAGAATTGATCAGCTTCGTCGCTGCTCAATAAAAGACGATCATAGACGGCATAGCCGATCAAGTTTCAAAGGTATGTCATCTGTGAACTATTCTACAAACTTGATATTCTCAGTAGGTTTGGCATAATGTGGTACGAGATTAGAAGACGGTTACTATTCTAGATCCTCGGGAATGGTCTCTCCACAAATCATTATCTTCCTTCCTTCTGACGAATGCCCAAGTCAATATTTTCAACTCTTACAACGTGTTCATGGTTTTGGTCGCTTTGTTTTACTGCTGATAAAATATATTCTATAGGTACGATATTATACATATCATACTTGTGCGTTGTCAAAGATTAATTTGTGTTGAAACGAGCACAATCGACTAGTTCGTCAGTTAAACACAATTTGTGATACTGCCGGTATTCTGTGCACTATCGAAACTCCCAACTATGGCATTTCCGGGTCTGGGATACCATGGTTAGGTGTAACGATGATCAGTCGTTGATCCAATCCATACCCCCTGTCGCACTTGACTCGTCAGCTACCCGTTCCTTGTGGTGCGGTAACTTGGTACCCATAAATGACAGCTCGAAAGCCACACCGGCAGACCGGTCAGGGATGCAAGCCTATGAGGCATTTCCCTGCCGGAGTATTGTGCCGCTCAGATTTGTTGACCGTTATGTCTAAGGACGGCTTAGACAGATGTCTTAGATAGACGGGAGGGAGCATGCGGGTATGTAGGTATTCATCGGGTCGGGTCATTGCGAAAAGCTTGGGCGTATCGTAGCCAGACATTGTGGCTGAAAAAAAAGCCATCAAGGGGGAACCATTCCTAGATCTGGAATGGATCGCAATATGGTTGCCAAGCCGGAGATTTCATTGACTTAGACTTACATTATCCCTGTCAGCACAATATTGATCTGCACGTAAATCAATATCTCATTCTAACTCGGGGGTCCCTATTTGAATGTATTTCCTTGGCATATCCCCGTTACTCTGCTCGATGTTGTCGAGTGTTCGAGTCCAGAAGTGTGTCCCGGACTCTTCCCTACCACGCAAGTATTCTACCACCTTGCCACGCCTCTCACGATGCCGACCCTAGATCTTAGCGAGTTGAACATCGTCGTTTCCATTCTCGGTAAGTTACGAAGAAGCTACTCATGAGATAGCAATGCTGACTATTATCTAAGGTGCATTTATAGTTGTATATGGCCTGGTTGCCGTTAAAATAAAAGGCGTTTGGTATCTTGGGGAAGCATGTCAGTGCAATCCTCTGAATATTCTTCCGTGTTCGCCTACTAACTAAACCGTGTCAATAGTGCCGGCAGTCATCATTGGCATGATCTTGGGCCCTATAGCGGCCAAGTTTCTAGATGCCAAGCGATGGGGTTCAGCCGCTCCAGACCAACAAGATGCCATAACTCTTGGCGTGATGCGGGTGATGATTGGTATTCAACTGTCAGTTCACAAGTGGCTATAGCATGAGACATGCTTCCGACTTTAGGGTAGCCAAGTAACTGACTAGGGCTTCGGCCACTATAGGGTTATCGCTGGATACCAACTACCCGCTAGGTATATCCACATACGTTACAAGGAGTTGATAGTATGCCTCGTTCCTATCATGGCGATGATGTGGTTGGCGACGTCCGTTTGCGTGCTTGCGACAATACCTAAGGTCTCGTTGCTGGCAACCCTTGTCATCGGCGCTTGCGTCACATCTACGGACCCGATCCTTTCGCAGGCCGTGGCAAAGGGTCCCTTCGCCGACAAGTATGTATCCCGACCCCTCCGAGAAATCATCTCCGCAGAGGCCGGTGCCAACGATGGCTTCGCTTCACCATTTCTCATGCTTGCCGTGAACCTCCTACGCCTTACAGAGAATCGCCAACCAACTCTTGTAGAGCGCGGTAGAGGTGTCGGTGACGATACGAAAGACGTCGGCGTCGCCCTAGGTAACTGGGCCATAGAAACCCTCATCTACATTGTTTTATTGGCCATCGTTTATGGTGCGGTTGCTGGGTTCTGCGCAAGGATGGCAGTCCGGTTTTCATTGTCTAAGAGATGGATAGACACGGAAAGCTACCTCCTTTTCCCAACAGCGCTAGCTGTAAGTTCTATCAAAACAACACGCCATTCTTTCTTTTTCCAGTGTAACTAATTTTATTTGAAGCTTTTCATTGTTGGAACTTGCGGGGCTCTCGGCACTAGTGATCTTCTTGCTTGTTTTGTCGCGGGTTGCGCATTGAACTGGGACGGAGAATTCCTTGCGGAGACAGAACGCCGCCACGACGAGGTGAACTCCTGTATCGACGTTATGCTCAATTTCGGCGGCTTCATGTATGTCGGCATTGCCATACCGTGGCAAGATTTCAACCAGCCCGACACCACCGGAATCACCTATCCTCGCTTATTCGGCCTCGGCCTCCTCGTTCTACTCTTTCGCCGAGTCCCTTCTTTGCTTCTTACATATAAGATGATGCCAAATGTAGTCAAGGATTGGAAGGAAGCTATATTTATGGGATATTTCGGTCCTATAGGTGTCGGGGCAGTGTACTATCTGCAGCACACCAAACTCCTATTCCCTAGAGAGGAGGCTGCTAGTGCGGGAGAACGCGCATTGCTCGATGCGATAACCCCAGGTTCGTGTAATCACTTTTATATAATCCCCAACCTCGCAATATACTGATCTTTAAATAGTTGTGTATTTCCTCGTGTTGTTCTCAATTCTAGTACACGGGCTATCGATTCCCATCCTGAGCGGAATATACAGATATTGTAATGTGCGGACAATTACAGAGGATGCTGTCGAGATCAGACGAAGGAGCATATATATGCCCACTCCATCGAATGCTTTCAGGGGCGATCAAGATACATTTATTGTGTACAATCGGTTCTTCCGCCCCCTCGTCAACTTAGGGACATTACCAATTTCGAGGCCCCGCACCCGTAGCGATAACGACAGTATTTCGACGGTAGGAGAAGAAGACAAGAAGCGAGAGCGATCAGTTAGAATTAGTCATGTGGAATCTAGTAGAGGCATCTAAGGCTTCGCGGATTTCATTCTGCTTTTCCTTTTTAAAGAGTGGTTTTCTGAATAGCATTACGGTCAGGAGGTGTAATTGCATTCTTGAATGACATTATGAGGCCAACCCAGACAGTTACATTGAACAATGTAGCTTGATACACCATTTCATTCTCTTTTTTGATTGACTTTGATAAGCATCGCATAAAACATACAACTAGAGCTATAATGTCACTTTGTCTTTTATTCGGCCTCACATACTGTTGATCTCACTTTCGGCATCCTCTGACTCAACGACACATGATAGGTAGGTAGGATTGAATACGTACGTCTTGGTCAATAATCGTGTTCCGATCTTATGCGCCTCTCGAATACGGCAGTGAACTAATACTTACAAGTATAGGACTTCAAAATAGAATGCTACCCCATATGAAACCTATTCATAGGTACCTTGGGTAGGTCACCTTCACCATATATTGATTGTTCACTGTATTACTCACAACCATCCAATGATACCTTCTCACGCTACCTTCTCGTTATATCGCCATACCTATTTACGAAATTCGATGTCCTTTCGGAAAATCCAAGAACCTCCGTCAACAGATACACTCTTATAACCCAGAACCCCTTCTATGAATGATAGAACAAGCATTGGTGACACGAGAAAATACGAGTTCCTTTCTTCCACGGATAATGTCAAGCGGTCGTATATAGGACCTAGACCAAATGGCGATTGATGCAATTTAACTTCCACCGCAGGAGGCTGCATAAGTTAACTGTCGGTAAATATCCTAGGTATGGTGTAGCTTATAACACGGTGATATACTTACACGCGACGCTTGGTGAGGATTCGTTTTACACCATTTCTTGAGGTAATCTGCTAACAACTCCAGGGTCGGACTATGGCTACACTGTATCTCGACATTAGCCCTTCCTGTGTTGTAGACGGCAAGATGGTATGGCGGTTTGAGCAGTAATTGATCTGGGCGCTGTAGAAGGCTAATATCTGGAAATGTATCGGTGGCATGTTGGTGAGGTCCTGTGCTGGTTGAGTTGTGATTTGCATCCTCCTTGGATAAATCCGCCCAGTCATCTAGGGTTGACTGCTGGTCGTCAAAGCATTGTAAACACTTGGCCTTGAATACCGGTTGCAATTCGAACAACGATGGCATTTTACCCTTAGGAAGCTTGACATTAAGACCCGCCTCTTTGCTAGACCAGAACACTTCTGCTTCTTCGGATATCTGATTCCATGTTACATTAGTAGGTGGTTAGTTTTGTTGAGTGCTAGGAATAGGCTTTACCCCTATCAAAAGCTTCAAGCTACCATTGCAACGCTCCAGCAGTGTATCGGTCCATTCCGGATCGACTTCGCTATCCAAGATCTCTCTTAGTCCATTGAGAAATGCCTGAACACCCACTGAGATCGAAGGAACCAATGTAGATTTATCTGGATAGTGTTCATCCAGCTCGACGATAAGGAGTTCCCACTCAACGATGAATACTACATCAATCCCGAGAAGCTGCTTCACAGCGGAACGCGCCACCTGGACGGGCGTATTGGCATCTTCCCAATATTCGCGAAGTCCCAGCCTTACACGGAGGGGTCTATAATCTGGTTAAAGATACAACAATTTTAATTTGAAAGTAAGTAGCGTAGGGCACCTACTTACAACCTTGAAGAATACATGATCACCTACCTAACTAGGTATTTAAATTTTCAGATAACCTAGTGGTTGAACAAAATCTTACCAAATTAGCCACGTGCGTAGGTACTAGGTAGTCTTATGTATCATCGACATACCGAGGATAATATGGTTACCTATCCAGCGATTGAGGCTTAGAACGAAGCAATTCACAGTGATTGAATGTGAGTAATCCTCAGCCCCTGAATGGATTGCCACTAGTGAATTATCCTGAGCTGTGATTGGCCACATGTGGAGAATCTTGCTCCTCAACCAATCAAATGCTAGAATATTCGCCCAATATGGTAAATATAAGCTTGGCCCCACTTATAACTCCTCTGCCCCTCACCCTATTTTCCTTGTTGCCAAGCTTAGCTGAAAACTCAGTGGGGTTGATCGCCATCAGCTAACTCCGCCAACTTCACCAACCTCAACGCATTCAATTTAATAAAAATAGGCCTGCGGAATAAGCATATCAGAACTCTATGATGGGATATATACTCGAGTTTCTCATGATGATGTGTATAGGTATGTCTCCATTGTTAGCCGGTCATTGATTTGGCAACGTCCTTCAGACGTTATGAATGCGGCTAACTACTAAAGAGCCATCTAGTATCACAGAGGGCTAATAGCGTGCTTGGCTAACCGACTAGGTATATTTAGACAATAGGCTCATTTCCGGATCGGAGCCAGTTTAGTTGTTCAAGGAAGTTGCTCGTCCAAAAATCTCAGGGCTGAAGGCAAGGTTGACAAGTCTCGCACGAGGTCCAACAGGGAATGACGACGACTCCATACTACTTACAATTAGTATGCGTTAGCCCAAGGCATCCATCACGATTGAACGGGTACCTGGTTGAATACCGAATTGAATACCGACTAAGCTAGTGGTAACCTGCCACGACGGGCAAGATGAGTGGCGATGAAATATCGTATTCTTCGAATATTTAAAGGCACCATTATGCCCAGATGAGTTTGTGTTCCCCTAAAATGCAACTATTCATATCATCCTGAAGTTACCGTCGCAATTTGCCTCCTTGAGTATCCTACGACCCCTCAACTTACCGATAATATCTTCGTCATGTCGAAATTACCCCCTGTTGAAAAGCTGCCCCTTGCGCTACGCAAGAACAGTGAGTCGAGTAACTCTACGTCTTTGAGTGCCCAGTAGAAACTAATTCGAACAGTTCGTGATGCATGGGATAATAAGAAGTCGGGTTTCGAGCAACAAATCTCAGATATTCTTACTGTGCCCTGGACGATAGACATAAATCCCAATCAATTATTTGCCTATGCAGAAGAGGGTTATGCCAAGGAGTCACTGGGAGATTGCATTGCCAGGTAGGTTTGGGGCCAAAACAGACGTTGATACTTTATTCTTACTCTAAGCAAGTTATATCAATGGCGCGATATACAAGCTCAAGGACTACGTGAGCAGTGGTGGCGACGAAGGCCTGAAAGAACTGAATTCAATTTGTCATGCCCACACCATAACAATGGACTTAGACGATGCGAATCGCGTTACGTACTGCGGTGCAGATGTTCACGAGGGCAAGCTACGAATCTTGTTCGCCCCAAGTCGCCTAGGTACCAATATCGACGATGCACTTAGCCGCGAAGTCCTTCTAAAAGCTCTCAACGAGGCTCCCGCGCCCGAATCTGACGGTGCGGTAACATTGAGCTTTGCAGCACGCAAGGGAATCCGAGATGAGTACGAGAATAGAGCCGAAGAAATTCGGTCTCAAATCGGGAAAATTCTGGAGAAGCCTGATATCAAGTTGACGCCCAACTTCGAGGACACCTTCACAAAGTTACAGCAAGAAAGCAAAGCAGATTCAGGATTTCGGTCTGATTGGGAGAGCATCCTCGGCTCATTTACCTTATTCTACTGGGAGGGATTGATCAACCAACTGAAATCCCAGAAGTTTGACCAGGATGATCTACTGCGAGAGGGCTTCCACGAGGCTGTGGAGAAGGGCGAGATCGCGTTTCGGATTGTTGAGAAGCTCAAGTATAGTTCCTACTGCGAGTGCGATATCGAAGATGGAGTGTTGTACTTACAGGTAAATCGCCTTTCTTTCCTTCCCTGCCTAGCAGTTGCATCGTTGGGTAGGCCGCGCCATGTCTAATCATATGCTAACACATGGGTAGTGCACGAGCAAAACCTGGGGAAGCAATATCGACGACGCTGCTCAGGGGCTGCTAGATCGTTTGTAGGTCTGACATGCCTGTCAACATGGGGTCGATGACGGGGCTGAGATCTTGGCCTCTAGCTTTTTCGGAACATAATTCGTCCATGCTTTATTAGGCTATATAGCAAAAGTCTTCTACACATAAAAGTCCTACGCACCTGTTGTATGATGGCCTTATGCCAAGGATGCGGTTTTTGTTCACATGCCTGAGTCTACCTAGCCAATTCCTTCATACAGCACCCCCTTGAAGACTGCCGGCCACATCACCCTAATCGAGACCGAAGGAGGCTCAAGCATTATCCTTAGTGATAGGTCATATTTCGACATACAAGTGCAAAATTTGAAAATAGATTGCTAAAGGCTTTTAGCAAAGTGAAGGATTCGAAGTCATCATGACTTTTCAACACAGCCTGCCTGCTATATGGGTAGGTAGCCCTAAAGACAGCTGTCAGCTAATGCACTACGACCCTACAATCCTACCCATTCGCCTCATAACATTCGCAAGCGCCATGATCAACCACCTATGATACAGTGTTTCGCACGGGGCTGCTCTTTCCATAAACCATAATTTTTTAATTAAGGTAGATGTCGCGGTAGTGAAGGATCGATTTTCCGCACATTGTTATGAACTCATCTCTGCCCCCACCACCCCTTGTCAACCGACTTTGGAGCCGACTACTATACGAGTATCACCCTTTATTCAGATCGCCGGTGTAAAGTAAGGATTGGAGCTACTATTGTGTGACCGGTGATGTATCAAAGCTACTGAGCTAACCTCGATTTACGCCGAGGAATTACTACCTGTGTACATAATTGCTTCACCTGAATTTGGACCTACATAATAACATCAAATGACATTTGCCTGCTTTGGAGGTAACGGTGGATATTAAAATACGTTCGCTCGCCATTCGAGAATGTCTTGAGCTTTAGAATGATTTACTATGTTCGAAATCCCAGGCCACACCATAGTCTCTGCCGATATCATATTTCAAACTTTATATATACCTAAGTTGATCAGTGCCCCAGAAGTCAAAACATCCTCTTCGGTAACTCTCAAGCATCATACGAAAATTCCTATATTCGCCTGCTATGGACCAATTCATCTATGAGTCGAAGACCGATTCACGTTGGTATATTCAAGACCAGTGGGAGTCGGTAGACAGCGATGCCTTTATCAACCACCTAAATAGACATGTACGACTAGGAGCCCCCCTTTTAACACAGACTAGGTATTAAAATCGCATAGGTTAGACCTCAAACCGACGAATCGGGACAATTCCAAGTCAACATCGTGTACGCAGTCCGATATTACGAACTCAGAGCTCAGGACTAACGAATTGTAGGATGTTAGGGTTAGAAAATAAAACCATAAGTGCCACCCGCGACCACTTTGAATCTCTTCTCGAGAGTCTTGAGATACCTAGATCTGCCACAGAGCCTCTACTTCATAAAGATGGTCGACATTCTCATTCCATTCAATATTCTGAGACTGACTCGGGAGGACACGCCAGTTCATTATGTAATACTTACTGATACCTCCTTGCCCTAACATAATATGCTAACGTGCGGATTGAAGGTGTCTCGATACAAACTCCTTCTTTGGAGATCGATAATGGCTCACCAGTAGATTCGTTCTCATTACTGTTACGGATATCTGCCCAAACAAATTCCGCAGCCTGCGTTATCATCGCGAGAAATAACTCCAGAGCCGACACGCTCGCAAAAACCCCAACTACGGCAGATATAATCGCTGGTGCAATACAGCGTCATTATGACTTGATAAAAGAATGTCCTTTCCAAGTCATTAATGTACTTCTCGAACAGTTGGATAGTCTCAATGAAAGGTATTGGGACGATCGCGAAAGTGCTTTCTTCATGTTGCGTACACACATGGATGTTTTTTGTACAAACCCCAAAGCCTTATACGACGATGATGGTATGGCCGTCTTCGGGGTCACCCACGGCATGAATATCCTGCGTCGCAAATTGATACCTTTAGATTACGCCTTGGAGTTCGAATCGTCTGGACTTCGTTATACACACAACTTAATGGAGGTGTATCAGGATTTGCAGAAGCACGGCAACGGACCTCGATTTTCCCAGGCTGTATTGAAAGTGTTCCACCAAAAAATTCAGTACCTGGAGACAGCGGTAATGTTGCGCCATAAAAGGCGAGACGGATTAGATGAATGGGCACAACTGAATGTGAACATAGTAAGTGAACCGGGATATTACGATCGATCTCTTGTCTCGAAATACACTAATCAGTAATAGCTGCGGAGCAGTAACGCACAGCATGATACCAAACTCGCCCTTGATGACAGCATCGCAGTCAAGACGATATCCTTCGTTACACTAATATTTCTTCCCGTTTCACTTGTAGCAGTGAGTTTTCCATAGTCTCATCCGAGATCGTGTTATTTAACATAGATGCCTATCTAGACAATCTCCAGCAGCAATGCTTTTGCCGTTGAAAACAGCAGCATTGGAAACGGTGTCAGGGTCTGGAATAACTGGTGGATCCTCCTCGTCATCACTGTGTGCCTGACCGGCGCAGTCCTCGGTGGCGGTCTTCTGTATTGGATGAGTAGGCGGCATAACGCGAGACATTTCACAAACTCGAAAAGTGCGAATAATTCATGCCCATTCCCAAAGATCCTGGACATGAGAACATGAGAAGGCTTTGAAGGAGAATCAATCATTAGCTTCGGGGGGTCAACTGTGGTTACAACAAATTGTATTTCCACACCTGTCAGCAGCTAAAGAACAGCTGCTCCTCGCCTACTACATCATATTGATATTTAATTGTGAATGTTCTGTTGGAAACTCTGGTATAGTTCAACGCATCCCTCCCTGAAGATCTTTGAAACCGAATTGAATAAATATAATTCCAAGTTCTGAGATTGCATCAAGCCTGCCTGTGAAGTAATAAAAAAGATACATTGGAGGAGGTGTGCAGCGTGATAGTAGTTGTTATCAGATGTAGGGAAAGGTAATATCTTTTTATCTGTCGCTTCCGTCTCGTGGCATCTATCCATACCTACCTAGATAAATATCTAGGTACCTAGGTAGGTACTAAATTATTAGTAGTATCAATGATTGATTGAATATTTCGAAATGTGCCAATAAACGAATGCCTAGTAGGTAATTAAACTTCATGCTGAGCGTGCTTACCTTGAGTTGAGTTATCAACATTGAGTCTCTGATTCGGTGCTACCTGGAGTAGACGGATCCGTCTGATCTTGTTTGGCACCTGCCCAAACAGATCTTTATATTCCTATTGAGGCTGCCCAGTGTTTATTAGGTACTAGCTACATATGTACGTATTAGTGAAAGGACGTTTGCTACCTACAATAATTGAACCTAGTAGTAGAACGTTGAAGCATTGGTCTTGTTATATGATTAACGTGACTCACATTGATCGGATAGACGACAACATCGCAAATAAAATTGATATAATATAAAACAACAACATTTCACCTTATCCTCCCCTCTACCAAAATACCATTTTTATCATGCACTAGCCAAACCCCATCATCATCGACCAAACTCGCATTGTTAATTGAACTCAACTTCGATAACTTACCTTACTTTCTTTCATTAGATCTACCGCCGTCAAGTATAATCTAAGATGGCATCCGTTAAAATTACGTCTATTGTTGAGCAGCTCTCTGGTATGAGTATTCCATTCAAGCAGCCTTCGGACCCTGACTGGGCTGCTTATTCATCAAGCTTGAACACCCGTCTTTCTTTTACTCCCGCAATTGTCGTTATCCCTTGCGACGTCTCGCAAATCGAGCGCGCGCTCACCTGCGCACGAAAACACGAACTTAAAGTCCAAGCTCGATCCGGTGGACACTCGTACGCCTCCCATAGCATTGGAGGAGTAGACGGTGCAATGGTGATAGACATGAGACGATTCCAATCCACCAATATCGAGGGCAACACCGTCTTAGTTGATTCCGGGGTGCGACTCGGTAATCTAGCTAAAGCTATCTACGATGACTCCGACCAGAAGCGCGCCCTTCCTCATGGTACGTGTGCGGCAGTCGGTATGGGCGGCCACCTCACACATGGTGGATTTGGCATGTTTTCGCGTGCCTGGGGTCTTGCGATGGACCGCATCGTGGGAATGACGGTAATCACGGCAGACGGCAAATGCATCCACTGCGACCAGAGTGTGAACGGAGACCTTTTTTTTGTAAGTTTCCTGTATTTAATTGCGCCTGTGATGAACTATCCATGCTGATGGTCGAATCTGGAACCAGGCTATGCGAGGCGCAGGTGACTCGTTCGGAATTGTCAAGTCGTTTCATCTCGACACAGAGCCCGCACCGAAGTCTGTCTTACACTGGTCTGTTAACATGAACGATGTGACAAAGAGCATTGAGAGGGCTGTGAAAGCATTCCATCATATCCAGAAGTTTGTCCACAACGGCTCTGTCGTAGATCGCCGGCTGGGACTTCAGATGTGTGTTAGCTGGAACCGATTCGCGGTGGATGGAACCTATTTGGGACCGCAGGAGACTTTGGAAACCAAGATCCTGCCAGCGATGCTAGGCAAAATCAAAGAGGAAAAGAAAACGATCCTTAAGGAGTTCGATTGGCTTGAATCGATCAAAAGCCTCAACCAAAGTCAAGACATTGTGACTGACCCCACAAGCACACACCAGGATCGCGTAAATTTTTTCGCCAAGAGTGTCGTGGTGCCCGAGCCAGGGTTGACTCAGGTGGCGATGCGGAGTTTCTTCAAGTACCTCTTTAATGAAGGAGCACGCGCACCCATCAACTACTTTATCTTGATCGACTTGTACGGCGGCCACGATAGTCAAATCAATGAAAAGAGCAGCGACTTCTCCGCATTCTCGCACCGAAATGCATGTTGGGTCATCCAGCTACACGGCTATGTAGACAACGACGTGGCGTTCCCACAGGAAGGTATTGAGTTTATCACAGGACTGACCAACTCCATTACGTCAAAAGTCAGAAATTACGGCGCGTATGCGAACTACACTGATCCCACCTTGAGTCGAGAGGAAGCACAAAAGTTGTACTTTGGGGAGACCAGCAAGATACTGTGGAAGTTGAAGAAGAAGTGGGACCCCAACAACCTTTTCGAGAATCCTCAGTCGATCCAGGCGGATTGAACTACCATACGCAGCTATATCTCAGATTCTCCCCTTTAGCAAGGCGTTTCGGCAGCAGAGTTATAGTTCTCTTGAAAAGGCATCGTCGATGATGACGAAGGATATGAGGGCTTAGGTTAGGGGGATAAATGCGGCGTTTCGGAAAACAAATTTGCGGGAGGTTGAATTCTGCTAATAGGACTTCTGTACCTTAAGAATTGATAGCTTCTAAAAGTCGATTTACATGATTTGACCGGTATTTTTCGTAGAAGAAGAGGCATTCAACGGCTCATGATAAGCGTTGTTAAAAAGCTGAGAAGCAGGGCAGGGCGCTGTTAATGGATGTGGGATTTGCCTAGAATAAGTGGATCCCCGTTCACTGTTATTTGTTATCGATAAGATCGTCATCATCCCGCCCGTGGCACTGCGCGCTTATGTAGACCAAGCTGGCAACTTACTACATTCCTTAGAGATAACATTGAAGCTCTACGTTGGCAATCACCTCTTTAATCCATCCTTACTTCGATCTACGATGATATGGACTCCCAAACTCGTCTCCCCCGACCTATGCGACCGCTTCAGCGGCCTGTATCCTATGTCTCACGAGCATTAACCGCGGCCTCGTATCCTCTACGGGGCATCTACTACTTCTTACGTCATCCGGCATATTATCCTCTATTCGCCCGTCGATTGATTCCGCTCTCCATCATGTCGTTCCTAGTATACGCCATCCTCTTCACGTTTGCATTTTTACCTCAATATGCCTTCTTAGCTATATTTCACGGCTGGGGCGCGTGGATCAACGCGGTGGTGCTAATTCTAGGCGAGGGTCTCGTCATTATTCAAGGTTTATTCGAGGGCTTCTTTGTCGACGAATGCCGCGTAGATGTTTTCGATGTAAGTAAATAGCTACCCAACCCGAGTATTACGCTATTGGTGGAATCTCTAGTTATAGATTAAATACTAACCTTTACCTACCAGGCGACACTTTTGGATAATGGCCTCGATAACCTCATCGCGCCGCACCGACTCCTATTCCCAGATGCGGCGAACTCTGTCAAGAAGCTCGGCAAACCGACTAGCGCTGCTGTCTACCAACCGTGGAGCTTGGTTCAGATCGTCGAATTGATCGTATTTTTGCCCCTCAACCTTATACCATACGTTGGGACCCCGGCCTTCATCATAATCACCGGTGCCCGATTGGGAACATTTGCACACTACAGGTGGTTTGATCTACGAGGCTTGACGAAGAAGGAACGAAAAAATGAGATTAGAAGCAGGATGTGGGATTACACGTGGTTTGGCACCATAGCAATGCTGCTCGAGCTCGTTCCCATACTATCTCTCTTCTTCCTTTTGACTTCAACATCAGGCGCAGCGTTATGGACGGTTAAGCTTGAGAAGCAGACGAAAGCCCCATCTATTCCTGCTGTTCCTGCTGCGTCCACGGCGAATTCTCAGGAACATGACCCTGATGAGCCTCCACCACCATACGTGGATAATCCGGTATGATTATGTAATACCAGATTGGGTTGATTATTGATGAGTTACGTAATCAGGTTTGATTTTTGATAGTTTGGTTCGGGTCAGAGAATGCCAGGTGTTGTGTCAGACAAGCGATGGTAGAAACAACCGATTTAGTGATCGGCTGTCTGTGTAATTGCAATTGTTGATCCCAAAGAGTTGCATTGATGATGCTAAACATTGATCTAGCTACGCTTTACATAGGTACCTAGTTGGTAGGAATGACTCCTCGTCTAGCTTATCTTTTGGAAGTGTCTATATCTGTTTGAAGAGCTAACTCTATTATGAGCATTGATATGTGAGGTATGAAATCCATCCCAAGCAGCATTGTCTTTAGGAGAACCGATATGGTGATTCAATCAAGGCTCATAACTACCTATCTACCTAGGTCAATAGCAATCGATCAGCTAACCTAGCAGTTTCCCCAGGGGCAAAATCTCGATCTTCCAATAAAAGCTTACCTGGCACCTTTTACCCTTTGCCCTTTCCTCTCTAACGAAACGCTTTACGTTGGGTCTCAAATTCTAGCAACACTTATTCCACAGACTTTCCTTGCCTCAGGACGAGACCTAGATGACAGGAAGCAACGAACACAACATCAATGAGTTCATACCTACCTAGTAATCATAAAGTTTCTGTGAAATGGAAACATCGCTCCAGTCTACACACTTTCTGGAAAGTACTAGTTGCCTTCTCCACGTCACAGTCGTACTACACAAACATAGAATCAGGGCACTACTTCCAAGTGAGAGGAAAAGTATCTACCCGTGCCTACCTCCTATGCCCCCTCATATCCCCTAACCTATTACCTCGATGGTATGAAAATTAAGTATATTTTATACCTAGGAAGACACTAATACAATGCCTTGTACATTATTCTCACAGGAGGCGACAATGTGGCATTGGAAATGCTTGTATAAGGAAACCAAACACACTCGAGGCGTCCAATCCCAATGTACGGCATCATGATTGCCACATAGGAGTACCGGTTAAGGCCCACCAACCTTCGAGATCCTATCCCTACACATGCAAGTACTACCTTGCCCTCAGAAGTTATCTATCCATGCAAGAAGGAGCGGAATCAAACAAACTTTCAATTCATTCAGCGTGTACAATGGTAAAACACCCAGTTCTGGAGCGTCGTAGCTGCCCTATCAAGCATATTATGACCAACTATACGATGCTAACCCTAAAACCCATCAGCTCTTTCCATCCCCTTATCACACACAAGCGAAAATGCGTTGAATAATGAGTGGGAAGGCACGACAGAACAAATGTTTCAGGGAAAATTTTCCCTCCAGTCTCTCATTGTCATTCCACTTCCCACAACTTCTCGTCTTCTCATCCTTTTCTCATCCTTTTCTGTTTCTTCTCGTCACTCTGATTCTACCAACTATCGTCATTCATTAGCCGATACCTATTACACCCACCTAGTCAGCATAATCTGGACTGCAGATTATACCAACAATGCGAGTCAACGCCCTTCTGGGCGCCCTAGGAGCCCTTGGGTTCGTAGGATCTACTACGGCCCAGCAGTATGGTAACGGGTGAGTGACTGATTGATTGGTAGACTAATTGACAAGTTCAATTAGCTCTGTATCCTTGCTCCTCTTTGACAACACTAACATTCAATGGCAGACATTCAACCACTGGAAGCGGAAGTGGAAACGGAAACGGCAACGGTAACGGTAATGGAGGTCAGAATGGAGGCGGAAATGGAGCCGAAACTTGTCCTCTTCATGAGACCACTACCGTCTCTGTCACTGTCACCCCTGCTGTTTTGCCCACTGTTGTCTCTACTGTTATTTCTACTGTTGTTTCTACCGTTGCTCCAGGATCTGGCCAAGGTAGTGGATCCGGTCAAGGCGTGCCTGGTGGCTTTGGTTCAAGTTCTGGTGTTTTTCAGCCTACTTCACCAACTGCTTGGAAACCATCCAGAACCATCACTATCCCATGCAGCACTGAATCTTCTGGAAATGTCCCCTGGTCCACTGATTTCCTCACTATCACCATCCCCCCTGCTGGTGAGCCTGGCTCTTCAACTGCTCTCTTCACATACACCATCGTGAGCCCTAACAATGGTTCGCCATCATCTGCCAATGCTCCAGGCAACGGTGGTGCTGGAGGACAAGGTAGCCAGCCAACAGGTGTCTCAGCCAGTTACCCTGGTCCAGGTCCTTTTGGTATCTCTTCTTCACCTAGCCACTACCCCGAAACTGAGACTGTCCCTGGTGGAGGTAATGCAGGCAATGGGGGAAGCCCGCCATTTGGTACCATCACAATCACAGCTCCTGGGGCATCGCCAAGTGGTGCTGGTACTGGCCAAGGTGGACAGAATGAGCCAGGAAGCTCCGAAACAATTGTTGTTGTGTGGCCCTCAGGAACTTCAGGAGGCTCAGCAGGTTCTGGCTCTGGTTCTCAGGGCGGTGGACCAAATGGAGGATCAAGTGGTGGACCCAATGGTGGCTCAAACGGCGGACCCAATGGTGGCTCAAATGGCGGACCTAATGGCGGCTCAAACGGTGGCCCCAACGGTGGTTCAAACGGTGGACCAGGTGGCGCAGGGAATTCTCAGACAGGCGTTACCACAGCTCCTTGTGAATCTACTGGTAGTCCCGGTGGCTCGGGATCGCAAGGCGGTCCAGGTGGCCAAGGAGTCTCCGAAGTTACTATTTGGCCTGCACCATCACAAGCCGGCAGTGGTCCTGGAGGCGCTGGTCAGGGAGGCCCAGGCGGACAAAGTGCTCCTCATACCATCACATTAACTGCACCTGCTGTAACTGGACCTGGAGGATCTGGAGGCTCTGGCCCAGGAGGTGCTGGAAATCCAGGTAGTCAGACCGGCCTTCAAACCATCACTGTGACAGCACCAGGCGAATCACCAAGTAACCCCGCCGGCGGTGCTGGAGGCTCGGGAAGTTCTGGCAACCCTGGAGGTAGCGGAAATGGCTCTCCTGGAAATGGCTCTCCTGGAAATGGCTCTCCTGGAAACGGATCCCCTGGAAACGGGTCCCCTGGAAATGGTGGTTCCGGCGGCGCTGGCGGACAAGGCAACCCCCAGACAATCACTGTGACAGCCCCAGGTGATTCGTCCGGCAACCCTGAATCTTCGCCATGCCCAGAGGGTAGCGGGACCGGCAATAATCCTGGAGGCAACGCTGGAGGTGCAGGTGCACAGGGCGCCCCTCACACGATCACTATAACGGCACCAGAAGGGTCTGCAACCAACCCTGCTGGTAGTTCTGGTGGTTCTAACAACGGTGGTTCTGGCAACGGAGGTCCTGGCAATGGGGGTTCTGGAAATGGAGGTCCTGGGAGTGGAAATCCTGGAAACGGGGGTTCCGGAAATGGAGGCCCCGGAGGTTCTGGGAATGGAAGCCCCGGAGGTAACAGTCCCATATATACCGTCACTCTAACCGCACCAGGAGGATCGCCAAACAACCCTAACGACCCCAACAGTTCGCCGTGCACAGAGACACCTACTACCCTCGTTCTCACCGTCACTGGTACTGGTATTACTCCTGGCGCCCCCGAGACGATCACTTTCACGGCACCAGGCGCATACCCAAGCAACTCCGCAGGCAGTCCTGGGGGAGCCGGAGGCCCTGGCGGACAGGGTATCCCGCATACAATCACAGTGACAGCACCTGGACAGTCAGCGGGCAATGGTGCCGGGCCTGGAGGGGCAGGAGGAGCAGGAGGTAAGAGTATCATTCATTGTTTGGACCGAATGTCATGCTAATAGCCTAGGCCCTTCAAATGTCTCAGGCGGTCCAGGTGCAGGTGGTGCAGGTGGTCAGGGTGCCCCTCAGACCGTCACAGTGACAGGGCCAGGCCAATCAGCTGGAAACCCCGGAGGCGCACAGGGTCAGGGCGCAACACCATGCCCGGAGGGTGGTTCAGGCTCAGGCCCGTATCCAGGTACCGTCACTGTTACCGGTGTCAACAATGGTCCAGGCGGGGCCAACGGAGGTAGCGGTTCCTCGCCAACAGCAATCACTATCACTGTTCTCGGAAATCCCTCTGGAGTACCCGGAAGCAACGGGGGCAGTAACGGTGGTAACGGAGGTAACAATGGAGGTAACGGAGGTCCTAACAACGGTAACGGGAATCCTAATGGCAGTAACGGGAATCCTAACGGTGGCAACGGAAACCCTAACGGTGGCAACGGAAATCCTAACGGCGGTAATGGAAATCCCAATGGCGGCTCCAACGGAAACCCTAATGGAAATGGTAATGGAGGCAACGGAGGCGGGCAGCTGCCAACGCACACTGTCACTGCGCCTGGAATCCCAGAGGGTCCCAATGGTGGCGGCAATGGAGCTGGATTTTCGTCACCACAGGCTACTGCGACAGGTTCCGGGTATCCCGGGGGACAAGGAGGTAACAATGGCGGTAACGGAGGTAACAACGGAGGCAATAACGGGGGTAACAACGGCGGCAGTGGCCCTAACAATGGTGGTAACAACGGAGGTAGTGGACCTAATAACGGAGGTAATAATGGTGGTAGTGGACCGAACAATGGAGGTAACGGTGGACCTAACAATGGGGGCAACAATGGAGGTAGTGCCTTTGAGCCAACCGTCACCGTGTACATTCCCCAGGGCGCATCAGCCTTACCCAATGGTGGTGCAGGAGGGCAAGGTCTCTCGTCACCGAACGGCGTTGGCCAAGGTACGGCTAATCCAGGTGGATACGGAGGGAATCCCGCCGGGCAACAATCCGTGGGCTCCGGCTCCGGCTCTGGCGCAGCAGGATCTGGTGCAGGGTCGGGTACAGGGTCTGGCTCTGGCTCCGGTGCTGGTGCTGGCCAAGGTCAGGGCAGTGGCTCTGGTGCGGGAATTCTCACTGACTCTCCCCCAGCTGGTGGATACGGAGGTAGCCATCCAACACCCCAATCCGGAGCTGGCGTTGGCGCTGGACAAGGTCTTCCGACACACACAGTGACTCTTCCTCAGACAATCCCCACTGCAACTGGTAAGATTAGCTCCACCGTTCATTCATAAGCAGTCATAACTAATTTTGATGTCATGTAGTAGCTCAACTTCAAAGCGGCTCAACTCCTTGCGACCAGTCGGGAGCTCTACCAACCAATGGCGTGCCAAGCAGCGGATGGAACGCAACTCCCACCGAGCCTTCGGTGTCTCTTCCACCCATGCCCAGTCTGCCACCACCTGTTTCCCCAGCACCAATGGAGACACCTACCCAGGTTGCAGCTCAGCCCGCAACTGGAGTTTCTGTAGGATGCTTATCAATGACCACACTAACTATGGCTTCGAGAACATTTTCTTGGTGTGCGCAAGTCGCGTCAGGTCCGCAGGCCACATCGACTCCTTCTGGAGAGTACGCCTTTTCTGCCCGAGACTACGTCGAGTTACCTGGTCCATCTACCTGGTCGACTGTCTTACGATCATCCAGCTCAGTCTCCCAATCCGAGTCATCCACCAACAGTGAGAGTCCCTCGCCATCTGCTTGCGGTAACCGAGCTGATGTGGGTGATTTCACATTCAACGTAAGTGCCTAACGAAGATCTTACTGGCCACACGTTTATATGACAGCTAACATTGTCTCTAGTTCGATGACCTTCCACCTCTTGGATCGGGCTCAGACCCCAACGTTGGGCCAATGCCCTTATTCAGCCCATACCACCGCTTCTACTTCTCGCCAGGATTTTCTGTTCTTCCCCCACCTCCCGCACCATATGACCCTTCTTCCGGAAAGCTGATGATTCAGTTTACACCTCCATCTCTCTCGAATCTATCAGAGCCTGATGCGACAGCACAGATCAGTGTCGGACCCCAGACATCATCGGATTGCTTCCCATTCAACTTCAATGGCTTCAGCCTCGGATGCAACTCCACGGACTCCCCATGTTCGTTCAACTTCACGGGAATGCGCTTCGATGAACAGGCTCAACAGGAGAAGGAAGTTGTCTCCCTGACAATTGAGGTCCCAGCATGCCCTTCGCTGAGCAACTGCAAACTAATCCCAATCGAGTTCACAGGTTTCGAGAAACTAACATCAGTCCTAATCAACCTGAAGGTAGACGACAAGCCTAAGACCTGGTGGGCTGACGACCTTGCTCTCGGATGGTCCGACAATCAGTGTGAGAAGGCTGTCTGCAGATCCAAGGTGCGCGACACAGTTCGTAAGCGTGATGGAATTTCCAGTATCCGCCGGGCGATATCGAGACCATTAGACTTCGCACTGTTCCGTGGTTGAATTACAGCTCCAGCATGCCATAGGTGGAAATTCTGCTGCTGAGTATCTAACTTAATTTGCTACTTGTCAGGAAGTTGCTTGAGATATAATAGAGACCCAGTACAGAAGAGGTTATTGCCTCGGTCTATGGGATAATAGGTATATGGGAGGAGATTGAAGAGATGGGGTCTAACATGATGGCAATTTTGGACGATCGTCTGTCCTAATGTACCATTACGACCTAATTGACTACATGAGATCGTGGAAATGTCATGAGACGTATTCGCCTACAGAGAAAATGAAAGTCTTAACTTGATTGTGTTTTGTCTTTATACCATGACAACTTACTTCTCAGCCAACGACAAGCGGTCCACTTTGAATGAAATGAGATCCAAGAGAGATAGATCTATCAGATACATTCCCGCCTGATAGGTTTCTATCTAGGATAGCACCTAGGTATGGACCGAATAACCGAATTGCCAGCGATATCGGAGTTGGCCAATATCCATCAAGGTATTTATCAGCGAGACGCTAGATAGGTATTCATTGACGAAGAACATAACGCAGAATCAGCTACAGCCCAGATTCAACCTTTAATGACCGCCTAGGTATTAAGTAGGGTAAGCATCCAGGGGTGTTTGAGCCTCCGATCCCCATCGGCCCTCCACTCGTCAATCTCTTTGTCAAATATCGCAAAATCGGATGTGGGGCGGACGCGTTCGGTACCTGTAAGTTTCGGGAATAGCACACCGTTTGTAGATCAGGCGTAGGATTATCTCCATTGGTCATTCCCGCGGAAATAATGATATGTAGGTAGACTAGCTACATGTATGGGGAGAAGTGAGGGAAGATGCAGTTATGTCGCTGACAAAACAATTCAACCCAGGATGAAATAATCCCCGGATTACGGATTCAAATATTCGTGATCTCAGGCAATTGTCGACTTGTATCGATTATACATATTAGGTACTTTATACCGGTTAGAGACCTAAACTTTAACAGATCGAGAGGACGGATGTTACGTCAAGGTTACTTTAAAGTCCCAGCTAGGAACTTATACATAGATGATCGTGCCCATTGAATGTAACGAGAGGCGACTGCTGGATTTTGTAGTTCGTGTATGGGAATGCTATGCTTACGCCCTATTGTCTACATCAATATGCTAGCAAACACGGCATCTTGCCCCCGCTTTACGACCCTTGGATCTATATTACCTTGGTAAGTTCCCACTCGAGTTGTGGATTGCCCGACAGCCGACGGATAGGTCCTATGGCCCAGGGTGGAAATGTAATAATTAATAGGTAAATGCAAATGTAAATGTAACGAGACTTTCTTTCGCCAGATCTATTAAACCCGGTTGTCGCAAGATTTTTTGACGTCTCTTTGACTCATTGACTGTTAGTTCCCGTCTTTCCCATAGTTGTGGATAGAGCTAATAAAGCTTATGAGAAGAAACCCCTTGATAAATATCCGAGCACGGCTTGCGGGTCTAATCGAATTGACTCACCTCCTAAACATCTTGACTAATTGGAAAAATTGGATATCTTTCATGAGTTTTGAGGAACAAAGAAAGGGAAATAAAAGAAAGCAATCATCGAATCGAAGTTGATGATACTTGGCTGGTTAATTGGTAAACCAATTGGGTTATCGGAACAATGCGGCCTTCCACCTCATCTAGCGATGGCGACGGCGAGCTACCGATAGACATAGAAAAGCAAAATAGCCATACTCATTCCAATGGTCGGTGTGAGAAAGGGTGTCCGAGTCGACAAAAGGATGAGGAGCAAAGCAGTGATAGTCCCGCCGAGACGGCAGAGGAATGGCAGATACCGGCCGAGCCTGCACTCGACACGGAAGCCGATGGCGTGACCGGGGCACTAAACCGAGTGTTGAGTAGAATATCGACGAAATCAAGCTGGAACCCCGGACCGCCGCCGGACGGGGGCCGAGTTGCTTGGCTGGCCTGTAAGTCTCCTTTTCTCACCTACCTCCAAACCGCCGTCGTGCACTAGATCTCGCTAATGACCAAAATAGGCCTCTGCGGACATTTAGCCATAATGAACACATGGGGCTTCATCAACTCCTTCGGCGTGTTCCAGACATATTATGTCTCAGCCCTAGGCCGCTCCCCATCAGATATATCATGGATTGGTTCGATCCAAGTCTTTCTAACCTTTTTCATCGGGACTTTCACGGGGCGCATGACGGATGCGGGCTTCTTTCGACCCGTACTCATCACCGGCACGGCGTTCATGACCCTCGGCATCTTCACAACCTCCGCCGCGACACAGTACTGGCATCTCATCCTCTCACAGGGAATATGCATGGGCCTCGGATCCGGGTTCATCTTCTGCCCAACCATATCCACAGTATCCACATACTTCAGCAAGAAACGGTCCCTCGCAATCGGCATCGCGGCATGCGGCTCCGTCTCCGGCGGTCTCATCTTCCCAGCCATGGCGCGCCAGCTCCTCCCCTCCGTCGGTTTCGGCTGGGCCGTCCGCGCAATCGGATTCGTACAACTAACAACTCTCTGCTTTGCTATCGCCTTCATGAAATCGCGTCTCCCGCCCCGCCGCGCCGGTTCCCTAGTCGAATGGCCAGCGTTCAAAGAACTCGAATACACGTTCTACGCGATCGGGATGTTCTTCAATTTCTGGGGGGTGTACTTCGTATTCTACTACCTCGCCTCATTCTCGCGGACCTCCATCACCCCCACGTTAAGCTACACGGACTCGTTGAACATGCTGTTACTCCTAAACGGCATCGGCGTCGTCGGACGTCTAGTTCCGAACCATCTGGCGGATAAGGTGGGGCCGCTGAATATGATGATCCCGACGTGTCTGGCATGCGGGGTGTGTCTGCTCGCGTGGATGGCGGTGCACACGCCCGCGCAGCTGTACGGGTGGGCGTCGATCTACGGGATCGCGGCCGGGTCGCTGCAGAGCTTGTTTCCGGCGGGGTTGAGTAGTCTGACGACGGATTTGAGGAAGCAGGGGACGAGGATGGGGATGGTGTTTACGATTGTTAGTTTTGCGGTACTTACGGGGAATCCGATCGCCGGCGCTATTATTGGGGCGATGGGGGGGAGGTATTATGGTGCTCAGGGGTTTACGGGGGCGTGTTTGTTGGTTGGGATGGGGTTTTTGGGGGCGGCTAGGTTGGTTAGGATGAGGAAGACTGGGAAGGGGTGGAGAGTTAAGATTTAGAGTTGGTGGCGTGTGTGTGTGTTTATGTGCTATTTAATGTCGTGATGGGGAGGGAGGTGAGAATGTGGATGGGAATGATAAAAGGGGAGTGGGATATCAAGACAGGCTCATTATGATAGAACGATTGGATGAAGAATGAAGACTAGTAAAATGTATATAGGAATAAATGGTAATATATAGTTGATATTTATCGTGAAAAGACTTGAACTTTTCGAGGTGGATATGTTGAGACTTAAGCAAGACTAGTCTTAGACTGAGTCCTCGATTGCAACATGAGGGGAGAATCTTGCGTCATTTGGTGTGGATACTTTCGTTGGATGCTTCTGTGCCTTGAGTCTTTATCTTGAATCTTTATCTTGTGAAGAGTTATTAGCCGCACTATTTTTATGAGTTCATCTCATTAGTAAGAGGTAAGATTGACCAAGGTTGCGCAGATAAAGCCGACATGGTTGTAAATAGCGTTGAAAATGGTGATGGTATTCAATGGGGGTAGTACGCTGTAGCATCTCAGCATTCCAGGTAAGCGGGCGGCGGGCGCTACCTAAAAACAGCACTATTTTCGGTACCTAGACTTAAAAAGAATGACCTAGTAATGTCTCCAGGGCTGGTTAGCAGTCAGCTATAGGGGCCCTTTGTAGCACTATATCTTATTGGCATAAGAAACGTTAGGCCAGTAAATTTTCAGTGAATTAATAGCGCATCTATAGTGGATAATTGCTATCCGTGGAGACCGATTGAGGGGAATTTATAGGGGGTTTACAGGGTTTGTAAAAGAATCTGGAATTCTACCATCCACTGGAACCTGGAAGGGTTTATGAAACCTTGCACCACTAACTCCCAGTATACCGAGACAGTAGGTAGCCCTGGAATTTACAGCCACAGGGCTACCTCGGTATGTACGGCGCCTACTAGGTACCTAAGTTACAGGGCTGGGCCCTAGCACCTAGCTTCCCTCCAGGAGTTGCTAACAGTACACCTAAGTCCAGGAAACATTTCGAGCAAAGAAAACCACGAGGCGTTTGGTAATCACATTTACTTTGCTCAATTCATAGTCATTTAGCTAAAGCGAAGTTATCTTTGCGATAACTACCTAGGGGTAAAGGGAAGGGGAGAGTAATTGCAATGCCCGTCATCGCCAATTACTTGGAAGCTCCGATGAAAATTTCCAAGCCACCACTTTTCAGAAATAACATCAACTACCTAGGCAACGTGTTAGCTACCAGATTCGTGATAAAAGGGTGGCTTGGGTTGGCTTACCGATAGACTTCTTCATTCTTGCTTCCATGTAAACCCTCATGCCCTAGGCAGTTGCAACTAACTACCGAAGAAACGACTTCGTCTAGACCTTTTCATCAAGCATGGAGAGCTTCTAAAGGTCTTTTAAATCGAAGAACTTCTGTCTCTTGGTCAATTTGCGGGAAGGACCCGGCTTGCTCGATTCCGCAGGAGCCGCAGGAGCCGTGGAAGGGCCGGAATCGGCACTGGGAGATCGTCGTCGTTTCTTCGAAGGTAGATCCAATGCTCGTGCGAAGGTGCAATGGTATTCGAAATCCTGGCAATCATCCGTATCCGCAAAATCTCCAAGGTTTACTTCGATGTAAGGTCGCGGCGGGAGGAGGTTATTGTTGATAACGAAGGACTCTTGGGGATCATGCATGCCCTTCTTAACCAGATCCTCGTTTCCGGTCAATCGACCGATGTGGCAGTAAAGCACATATCCCCAAAACCAATGTCTAATGCTCTCGTCGAGCAGACCGTGCTTCAGAGAATGGTGGAAAGCATACAACTGATGTTCGTCGGCCGATACCTTTTCTCTGAACTCGGTAGCCTCTTTGTCTCCGACGATCATCTCGACTTCCATTTCCGAGGGATCCCGGATCCATTCAGGCAGCTCGATGTCATTGAACATGGGCATCCAGCATGCCATAAGACTATAGGCTTTGGCGCTATGCGCGTAAACCGACGATGAAGAAAGCTCCTTGATAGTCTCGGTAATGGTCTCGAGCAGAGTCCAATCCAACTTGTAGGTAGACTTCTTCCACGGGGGACTAACAGAAGCGTGAGCCCAATCTTTCTTCTTGCCGGCGACATCGTAAACACGGAGAGCTGGGAACTTGTTAAGATACTCGAGCGAGCGACGCGTTGTAAAATAGTCGCCCCAGATTCTCAAGACACGAAGAAGAGGGAACGAATCCGGGATTGAAGCCCAGTGTCTGATGACCGAGTCATTAACTCGTGGGAAGTGAGCTGCATCCTCAATCGGATGTGGTTGTACGATTTCGAGTACGCCGAGGTTCTTGAGTTCCGTCAATGCTAAGAGTTCGTGCGTCTCGAAATAGATCTGATTGCCAGCCAGAGTAAGATGAACGATGAAGTCGAGAGGCTGAGCCATGAGAGGCTTCGTGAAGTTGGCAAGTGGGCTAGCCGCATTCTTGATCGATCGATGATACTTGAAGATAGCCTTGGGCAACTTTGCCTTCTTGTGGTATGTTCGCTGGTTCTCACTTAGAAGTCGGGAGAGCATCATGAATGAATGTAACGAGATGTGGCTAGTAAATAAACGATCAATAAGTTGCGCGAGTCTAACGAAGGCTGCAAGACTTACACGGAAATACGGTTCAATTCGTCCCAGATGTCATGGAGTAAATGAGGAGGAACCTCGTCGAGAGCATCAGAATCCAGAAGGTGGCTATTCTTCGAGACCTTGGTGACCAGCATATCAACTAAACTACGGACACCCTTCTCGGGAGGACCTGATAAATCGCTGTCTTGGTACAAACGGCTTTCATTTTCCCAGTCGGATGAGCGGAAGACCGGGTGAGATCTTGAATGCTTCCACTCATAATAGGTCTGGCCTGTTTGCGGGTCATAGTGGTGCGCAGGACCCGACGAGCCATCCGCGGAGCCGCTCGACTCATCAATTGACGAGCCGGAAGCCATGTTGGAAAAAAAGAATATGAATCAAATGATTCCACGGTGAGCGTTGAGAAGAAAAAGGAAGGAGAAAATACCGTTTCGCGTCAAGGTTAATGTGACCTTGAGAGGCGGTGATGGTAGGGAGGAAGATGGATGGTTGGTATTTACCTGAGGAGGTTGAGGTGGTTGAGATGTAAATAAAAATCATAATCCTGGTAGAAGGCTGTAATCCCCACCCTAGCCATAAATCAATGAACGGCCACTCCAGTATGGAAAGACCAAGTTTGAGGTCGCCGACATGAAGAAAACACCTTCTCGTATACAAATATAGATCGACGATGATCTCACGCGAAGAAGGGACATTGTAGACATTGACTCATAATGAAGCTACAAATAACTCCGACTATATACAACGGGTAAGACGTTGGAATGACGATCTGGCGCGAAGGACGACGTTCCCATCACCATGCCTCACAACATGGGCTTCAAGTCTTCGGCGACGTGGAAGGGGGCTTCAGTCTTGCTCTTTATCTCATCCACAGTTACCCCGTCCGCAATCTCGATCAACGTGAGACCGTGAGCAAAATCGACATCAAAAACACCCTTGAAAGAACAGGTTAGTACTGATATAAAAGACAATGGTTTGTTGGCGCGTCACATACCAGTTCAGTAATAATCCTAGAGACACAGGCCCGGCCTGTTAAGGGGAAGGCACATTGCTTGACAATCTTCGGGTTTCCTTTCTTATCTGTGTGTTCCATTGTGATAACAACCTTTGTCGAACTCGGATTGCTTACCAAGTCCATAGCTCCGCCGAATCCCTTGACCTTTCCTGGTAACATCCAGTTTGCAAGGTCGCCAGTAGCACTAACTTGCATAGCTCCAAGAATTGTGAGGTTGATACGACCGCTTCGAATCATACCGAAACTCTCCTCGCTACCAAACACCGCAGCACCGGGTTTCAGGGTAACGGTCTCTTTGCCAGCATTGATCAGGTCGGCATCCTCTTCACCTTGCCGCGGGTAAGGTCCAAGACCCAAGATACCATTCTCAGACTGAAGTTGGACCTCGACCTCGGGACCCACGAATCCGGGTGCAAGCATGGGCATTCCGATTCCGAGGTTGGCATACATGCCGTTTTTAAACTCCTTGGCTGCTCTGCGAACAATCCGTTCTCTCTTGGCTGCTGTGTCACCCGAGCCTAGAGCCTTCTTCGCACTTGCATCGTCATCGTCCTTCGACCAGGTAAACTTTTCAATGTTCTTCTCAGCGGTACTCTGGATAACCCTCTTAACATAAATACCCGGTAAATGAATGGCCTCGGGTGGGATATCGCCCGGTTCAACGATGTGCTCAGCTTCAACAATGGTCATCTTGGCATTTCTACCCATTGCACCGTTGAAGTTGTTGGCAGCGAGACGGAATTGGCAGTTTCCGAGTTTGTCCGCCTTGTAAACTTTAACGAAGGCATAGTCTCCAGCGATGGCGTGTTCGAGAAGATACGATTTGCCATTGAAGACTTTGACGTCTTTCGGGTACGAGAATACATCTGGGGTTCCGTCCTTCTTGTTTTTCAGAGGAAGCTCACCAGTCTGCACTACGGTACCAAAAGCCGCAGGTGTGTAGAAAGCCGGAATGCCTTTGCCGCCAGCAGCACAACGTTCGGCTAATGTTCCCTGAGGTGTGAGTTCTAGCTCGACTTCGCCTGTTAGATACATCGATTCGAAAGTCTTATTTTCGCCGATGTAACTAGCGATCATCTTTTTAATCTGCTTGGTCTTTAACAACTGGCCCAGCCCAGAAGAATCCGTGCCGGCATTGTTTGAAACTGCCGTAATACCCGTAATTTCGGGCTTCTTTATCACCTCATCGATTAAGGTATCAGGAACACCGCAGAGACCGAAGCCACCACATAATAAAGTGGAATCTGGCTTCATATCCTTCAATGCCTCGGTGGCAGACGGATATACCTTATTGATCTCGGCCCGCCTAGACGTCGCCGAGAAGGTCCTTGCGAGTATTCTAGCATGCTGCAATTGTAATGAGAATTAGCATTCAAATTTGGTTGTCATTCACCTACATTCGAGCCATATCGAGAGTATGCTCTCAATGTCTTCATACATAATGTTGCAGACGACATGGTGATAGACCGGTACTTAATTCGGCGGGCGCTCCAGGTGAGTTCAGGTGATTAATCTTCAATTCAAAATACCTTCAATTTTGGAAAGAAGATCGGAATTGTTAGGGATCTACATTTAGTTTTACTAGAGACATTACAAAGGAAAGAGCACATTGGAATTGAGGTTCATAGCCTAGGAAGGTATTGTAGAGCTACTGGGTTGTCTCCGCGCTCGGGATCTCCATCGGGAAGACTGTCGGCTAAGAATGGAAGCGGAATTGGTTTAGGTAAGCAATATTTGGGGTAAATTAGAAGCCGTGACTCAATGTCAGGGCAACTGCCGCTTATGTTTACTTTCTTTTCGGATAGCAACGGTAGAAATCATGCTAAATAAATCACCTAAATCTTATTGACGAATTATGTAATCGTAGCTGTCGCATAAAAATGAGCTCGGCAAATAAAATGACAGAAAGGAACATGGATTGTAAAACGGCTCCAGCTTTTCGGTAAATGAGGGGCAGCTGAGAATACGTGCATTCTATTGGCCCGTCACCTAAACCATTAAGTCATCTTATGACAGGGGTCTCTTATCGATATCGTAACTTGGACTTTTTTTTTTCTGTTCCTCAAATTCATGTTCCGAACAGAGGCGCATGCGCATTGACGGACAATAAATAAAAGATCACGAGAAGTTGACTACTAGGTAAAACTAGATCTATGTATTGGATTTCCCACTCCTAAGATCTCACGGAATCAACTATGGATTCAAATACATCAAAACGACGAAAGATAGACCACGAAAATGGAAGTCCGGATTTCGAGGTCGCAAGCACAACCGCCTCGTCGATGGGCGCTTCTGGCGCAAGCGCATTCATCTTGGAGACGGAAGAATTGTTGAGCGAAGTAAAATATGACTATAGCAAGACAAATTCTAGTGTTCAAGATACTCTACGACGGGTCAAGGACATAATCGAAGCTTCGGAACCTCATGAGCCTCATCCTGTGCGTCCAACCCTACACAGATTGTAAAGCTCATGATATCTAATTTGACTTCTTCTAGATTGGCGATTTATCAGCAAAATTCGAGAAATCAAGCCGAATCACTATACCTTACCCCGATCCAGCGCCAGCGAAAGATGCGCCATACAAACTCTCTTTCGAGACACCGGCTCAGATCAATGTTGTAGGAAGTTGGATTCAGAAGACCAACATTAAATCACAGTCGGATGTGGCTATCGACATGATTGTTGTTATGCCTACGTCGATATTTCAAGAGAAAGACTATTTGAACATGAGATATTTTTTTAAGAGGGCATACTACCTGGCGTATATCACCTCATCTCTTCGTCAGGCACTGGGTCCTACTATGGAATTTACCTTTGGTCACTTACACGGAAACTTGCTATTGCCCATCCTTGATGCTCGACCGAAGGACAAATCAACTCCACCAATCCGCATCATTCCGTGCGCTCCAGAAGATTTCTTTCCTGCAGCAAAAATTACTGCTATTAGCAACGCCATCAGACAAAGTAAATCTGAGACTGATGAAGCTAAGACACCTACCCCCTTCTACAACACAACCCTCAAAGCCGAAAGCCAATTCACATCATACCTACGACTACTTCACAGAACCTCCAATTCATGTGCTGCTTTTAACGATGCATGCATCCTAGGACGGATATGGTTACAGCAACGAGGATTCAGTAGTGACCTTCGTGGTGGCGGTTTCGGTCATTTTGAGTGGGCAGCCTTGGTAGCTCTTCTTCTACAAGGTGGTGGCCGAAAGGGCGAGGCAGTGCTCTCATCTTCCTTACACAGCACTCAGTTATTCAAAGCGACTCTGCAATATATCGTTTCGGCGAACTTGCAAAAGAAAGTCTTAATCATTGGCAAAGATGCCCCTGATTCGGAAACTCTCCGTCAGACCATGCCGGTCCTTTATGACGCCGCCCGCGGAATAAACATCCTTTACAAAATGTCACCGTGGTCCATCTCGATGTTGACGGAACAGGCCAAGTGGTCACTTTCCGCCATTAACGATAGCCCGCTCGATCAATTTGACCCCTTGTTCATCATCAAAGCCGACCAGCCTCTACAGATGTTTGACGTGCTGCTAAGTGTAGACATTCTCACTTCAAAAGAAGGGATTGAATCGGTTGATCGCAAAGGATTCGTTTCGGACTTCAGCGTCAAGTTGTACAACACGTTAACACGAGCGCTTGGCGACCGTGCACAACTAATTCATATCCACACACCAGAATCAGCGCCATGGCCCATTTCTGCCTCCATACCAAAGGAAAAGAGGAAGAGCCTTCTTGTTGGAATTGTTATAGATCCCCTGAAAGCATCTCAAGGCCGTGAATATGGGCCTTCATACGAGCAGAAGAAGGAGGCTGCTCGGTTCCGCGACTTCTGGGGCAAAAAGGCGGATCTCTGGCAATTTCAAGACGGCAACATCGTTGAAAGTCTTGATTGGTCGGAGTTTTCTTACCTAGGATCATCTGGAATATGTGAGGGCATCATACGGTATATCCTAAATTTTCGACTTCAGCTGGAGGACAAAAACCTCGAATTCTATTGGCGAGACATTCCTAAGGTAATGGCGTTTACGCCATCGGACAAGTTGGCCTTTGATTCGGCAAAACAGGCATTCGATATCGTAGAGCGAGACATCCGTGATCTAGAAGACTTGCCTCTGCATGTAAAGCAGATGGCTCCTATCTGCTCAGATTTGCGGCGCACATCGCTAAACATACCAGAATTCAATTTCAGACAACCCCTTTTACATCCGATGGAGATTGTGATCTCTTTCGAGGTTTCTGGTAAATGGCCAGAGAGTCTAGCTGCTATCCAAAGAGCCAAGATCGCCTTCTTACTTAAGATTGGTAGTTCTTTGGAGGCTCTGAAGGACGAAATCAGAACACATCTCGGAATCGAAGATGCTGCCCGTGATGATGAGAATTTAGCATTCTTAGATATCGTCTACGAGAACGGCGCTTCTTTCAGGCTTCAGGTGCATAGCGATCTCGAAGAAACGCTTCTCGAGAGAAAAACGAAAGATCAGACAGTCGAACGCCACGTTCGCACAGAAGCCGCCGATCTACTCTCCAAGTACCGACGGATGTATATAAATCTCCCACTTCACAACCAAACCATATCCACATTCTGCACCCGATTCCCCGCGTTATCATCTTCCATCCGCCTCACCAAACATTGGTTCAACTCTCACATGCTATCCTGCCACTTCCGCGAAGAACTTATAGAGCTATTCGTCCTACAAGCATTCCTCAAGCCATATCCATGGCAAACCCCGTGTAGCGCAATGACCGGATTCCTACGAACAATGCTCTTACTATCCCGCTGGGACTGGCGTGACGAGCCCCTCGTCATCGACTCCGCAGACTCTCTCTCAACCTCTCAACGTGTCGAAATCGGCACCCGCCTCGAAGCCTGGCGGAAGATCGATCCCAACATGAACCGCACCGTCCTCTTCGTCGCAACCTCCCACGACGTCTCCGGCATCGCATACACACTACACGGACCAACCCGCGTCGTCGCAACCCGAATGACCAGCCTCGCGCGCTCCGCCTGCAAAGCCGTCCGCGAGAAAAGCGTAGACCTGAACATCCGCACACTCTTCCAGTCCTCCCCGCGCGACTACGACGTCCTCCTCCACCTCTCCCCCAAGATCCTTAAGAGCATCGCGCGGGACGACGCGGTCGCCAGACGCTCGCAGTTCAAGAACCTGGACGCCCCGGGGCCCATGGCAACGCCGCTTGCACTGCACCCCGCGCGCATGCTGCTGAAGCGGCTGAACGAGCTGTACGGTGCGCCGTTACTGTTTTTCCACGGGGCGCCGGACGATGCAGTGATTGCAGGGTTGTGGAATCCGTTGCTGCATCGACGGACGTTTACGGCGCATGCGCCTTGTTCGTTGATTATTGTTGAGAAGGGGGAGGGGAAGAAAGGGAAGGATGGGAAGGATAAGAAGGGGAAGAAGAGAAAGGGGATGGAGAACGCGGAGGAGGGCGAGACCGAAGAGTTATTCGAGGTTAATAAGAATGCGATTCTCGCCGAGATCGCCCGGATCGGTGGGGATGTTATTGAGAAGATTGAGGTTAAGGAGGATTTGGTGGGTTAAGGGGTTAAGGGGTTGGAGAGATGAGGACGTGTTTGTATGTATATAAGGCGTAGAAAGGAGGGATGGGGGGATAGGAGGAAGGGGTATAGACTGTACTGTACTCTTTTAGAAGCTCGTGTAGATGGTGCTTCTTTGGCAATGAGCTGTATGAGCATGGTAATGAAATCGATGGCAATGCTATATATTGTGTGCAGTGCTTCGTGTGAAATGCTCGAAATCGCCTACAAGCGAGCTCCATAATACGCTGTATTTTTATCACTTACCCCCTCATAAGTATTTGGAATCTAGCGCTTCTTAGAACTGTAGTTGTAGGGGGATCTTAGTGGGTAATTATTATGAGATAACAGCAACAACCTAAAAGCAGCTCAAAGCAAAGTCTCATAACTCTACCTAAAATGTATCTTATGCAATGTAGCCTATATATTACCTCGAACCAAGGCGCTTTAGCCAATGAATTGAATGATATTTTTTACCTATTTTGATTCAGGATCTATAACCGTTGTTGGGGTGTTGTTCAATGGTTGCGAAGTAGTGAGCCCTGAACAGCACTAAATTATAGGGGGTTCAGCAAGAAAATGCAATCTGTGTACACTGTAAACGCCACTAATCCCACCCTACTTTGTATTTTCTAAGGTTGGATTGATTTGGCGGTTTGCGATTAAATCGCCCACTATCGGAGAACGTCTTGTCCCAGATGGTTGTATCGTGGCACGTTTAAAAGAAAGAGATAGATATCATTCAAGGAATTATCAATTAAAGGCATAACAAATACTACATCGATCCATATCGACGTCCCCTGTAGCCCGATGAAAGTGTTCGAAGACACCTAGGTAAAAGCGAAACAAGTGATTAAAAGCAATAGAAACAGTAACCATAGCGGAGAGCGTCGTGGAAGTCGTAAAAAGGCCATCTTGTATGACGAGCCAAGTCTAATGTACAGCAAAAATAGGATAAACGTAGACAATAGGTAGGCAAATACAAGAGTAAACGTGATAATTGTGAGGTTTTGAAGCAGACGTAACCTCTAGTCTAGTCCTCGGGGAACATCTCCCTCATATTACTAACGAAAACACCGTTCTCGGCATCCCATCGCTTGAAGAACTTGCCGGCCATGGGCATCAGATCCTTGATCTCGGTTGGGAGAACCTCGGGGCCGCCGCGCAGTTCGACGAGTTCGATATTTTCTTCGGCGATAACGTGATGATCCGACCCATCGGTGCCGACCCTGTAGATATGTTAGCAAAATACTCTCGACACAGGAGTATCTAGTAGTAGGGTAACTCACATGCACCGGTAAAACGGCTGGCTATACGTCGACCAAGGCGGCGATAACGGATTATCCTCCCAAGAAGATGCGCCCTCGACTGTCCACCCGAGGACGATGCCATGGTACTCGTAGCGCTTGTGTTTGAAAACCTGGCCAACACGATACTTAACCCTCGTGCTGTCGCCAAGGGCGCTCCTGCGTCTCGGCGGCTTTCTCGACGCATCTACAAGTCTAATCTCACGGATCTGATCGTGCAGCGGCTTTGAGGGCAGCTCCCCGTCGTTCCGTTGTCTGCGCGACGGTGCGGCGAAGACGTCGTACATGGGACATACGTACTTTTCGACTAACCACGAATCCTCGGGGAAGTACTCGTAGAAGTAGGTGCGAAGATCGCCAACGTCCTGCTGCCAGTCCCAGCGGATCTCGTCATTCTCCGGCAGTACGGGCACCATCATGATACTAGCCCAGATCATGCTATATAGTGCCGGCTGTAGGTTACGGGCCCAGTCGCCGCGGTTGAGCTCGATCATCGGAATAAGCTGGGAGAGCGGACGCTCGTTGGTACGGAAGCTGGTGAAAGATGCGCGGATATTCTGAGCCGTGCGCATGACGATCAGGTCCGTGGCTGTGGGGTTTAGAAGATTGTCATGGCCAGTATGGATGCCGAGTCGGGATAGGAAGTGGTGTATGTAATCCAGAGGAACTTCCTCGTCTGATCCATAGGGGTCGAGGAACATGTTCTCCTGATGTTCCGAATCTTCTACCGGGAGAGGGTAGCCGTCTAACGATATGCCCGGCGGGGATAAAACGGTAGCATGGACGTGGTTGGGTAGGGCACAGGGGTAGGCTTCCATCCCAAGTCGCGATGATATAGCGGAGTAGATGGCGGCGGATATGATTGGCAGCGACGGATGATGGTCGTCTCGAAGAGCTCTACCAATCAGACAATTGCGAAGATAACGATATGTTTGCTCAGTCGGATCATTTAAGCCTGTCATATTGTTCGAATGGAGCCATCGAGCTAATGCGATAGCTTTCTGCCGGGTGCTCAACTCATCAAGATGTACCTGAGTGCTGCGGAATCGTGCAGTGATATCATCCAACATTTCGGATATCTACACATAAAACACACCAAGGTCAGTGATCTAGTTAAGAATAGTGAGAGCGAGATATTTAGACTAACCTCGTCCAAGTCACCATCGTTATCGTGGAGTGTAAACATATCAAAGGCGCCGAGTGCGCGCTCGAGGCGCATGCCGCAGTTCAGTCTTTCACTATTCGGGGTATCTTCGTCGATGCGACGTGATGCGTACTTCTGGTACTTGGCCCATTCGTCTATCGCGAGACTTCGGTGTATACTGTCGAGGGCGGAGCAAGAATAATATCTACAGTTTGTACCAATTAGTCCTATATTGGATACAGTATTTGTACGCGCTCATATAGTTAAATATGCATACCTTCGCGCCAAAACGTCATCTACCGTATCAGGAACCTGACACTGAGTCAGGAGATAGTCCTTTGCATCGTATCCATATTGGCAGATCTGCTCTATCTTCTGCAAACGAAGTACACGAGATTCGACAATCCCGTCGACGAGGCGTGCGATACGAGCATTACGGCCAAGTCGCTGGAGGAAGAGACGTCGCCAGTCTGTATCGTGCAAATTACCCTTTAACCTTTCTTTGAAATGGTGACTCGATTGCCAGTACTTGAAACCGTGTTGACAATAAGACCTCCAGAGGAGAGGTTCATGCGCGACTCGGTTGAAACGCTTCGAAAGTAATGCGATCTTGGTTATAGTTTCTTCCGGAGATACGTAGAGTAGAATCTGATGGACGATCTCGTCCGGCAAGTCGTCGATAGACGCCATCTTTTATTCCTGAATGTTATTCTAAGTTCCAAAGAGATTAAAGTTAGAGGAGGAAAAGAAAAAGAAGTTTAATAGAAGAGGAAGGAAAAGGAAGAAATGCTCGTGGCGCAAAAGTTATCACCGAGACGAGAGTTTGCGCCGAGTTTGGTTAAAGGTCGATAGGGTATGTAGGGGGATAGAAAACTGATGCAAGTCAAGTCTCATGCGACCAACGGAGATGGAAGAAGGATAGATTACGGGTGTGTAATAGGATTTTCGATGGGTCTGATACGTCAACACTAACTTTAAAGTGGAACTGCACATGTTAAGCCACTTAAGGAACTCTATTTTAATCAGAGCCGTGATAGCCGCGCAGTATGGGTGTGGCGTTATTCTCGCGCAATAGTGTGGCGGAAACCTCCGACGGAAGTGATACCTTCGAATGCATATAAATCACAGTAGAACTGGATGTATCTATCTAGCACTCACATATCCACACAAGCAAGTTCCATTCTTTGGCGCGGGGTAATGTGGGGGGAATCCGATTCCATCCCGTCAAAGTGATGATTTGACACCAGCATTTTTCTAATGTTTTATAAATAATAAAGGGTGCTACGGTTGTTGGGCGTCGTATATTCCTTCAGGTGGAAGCGCACTGTAAAACTGCTTCCAGAATCATCAATTAAGCACGGCAGGATGTACACGAAGTAATGTTAGACACTAGGCGTCTATAGTCGTCCCTAAGGCTACTTGGTAGTTAGGCGATATAATTAGCTCTACGACTAAGATAGAAGTGGCAGCAATAGCGTTGAAGTTTGACAAGGTGAAAGTCTTGCAGGAAAGGAATATGCGAAGGGCTCTCTACTTCCAAGTAAAGCAATTCAGGAATTCTGGAATTCTATAAGAAACTTCAGAAGTATCTCCAGGGGGAAACAACCCAACAGGATCTTGGCAATGCCTGTCATCTTCGAGAGCTCTAGCATCGGGGATAAACAAGCCTAGCTTTCTCTTTCTAAACCAGTGGCTTGGTGATTTACCTTTTCGGCCGGCTTGGTGGGAATATTAATCCAGTTATATAAGTAGGATCATGTTCTAATTCTAATCTTGACGCTCGTTATATAATTGAAATCATAAGTCGTAAAGTGACCATATGTTGACCAGAATGTCTTTGCGACAAGAGGAACGGCGAAGGGACAGAAAACCAAAGAGCGCTAATCCCGATTTTGTTTTATCCCACAAAAGTACAGGCCTACAATGACGCTAACACCAATTCGGATAAGTGGCGTTTGCTTGCTACCAATTCGGTGACAAGCTCTAAAGTGTAAGGTCTGGGCAACTTTAAAATATTGCTACGAAAGTAAACATTAGCGAAACGCGTCTTAGCTTTCAGCAAGAAATTCGACGTGTAATTCGTAATTAGTGGTGGATGCAACTTTGGAGCTCTTCCAACACAAACAATTACATTTCAACACTCATTCTTCTCAATCGCTCATACTCATACTCATACCCTTACGCACAATTCAACTACCACCATTACCGTCGATTAACTTATTTCTTTTATTATCGCATGGTTAATCGAATTACACCGCCATCATATCGCGATCTTCAATCCGCCCACCACTTGTACGGCATCACCCTCTTGAGGCTATCCCACCTCTCCCGCCGTCAAGATGGATACACCACGAACCAACCTCGGTGATGCCACCTATCTAAGTCGAGCACCACCCGATTTTGACATGACACAAGAATCATCTTTCCATTCTCCATCTAAAGATAACAACTTATTACAACAATTGCGAAATGGAGGCGGCGTCAATTTGCGAACACCGCGTGGCAGTAACCGCGCACCTCTTGGCGATAAGAGAAATCTGCCAGCCGGGATCGGTGGTGCCGAATTCACTCCCATGCTCAAGTCTGCAACAAGAAACAGCGCGCGTCGATTCGGCAAGGAAAATACGAACGGCATGGCGACACCCACGTTGGGAAGAATCAACGAAGATATGGATATGACGAATGTTCCTGTGGAGTCATCCTTGTTTGGCGCTTCCAGACGCGAATCATACCTCGAAGCCACGCCTTTACCCCAAGTCGAGAGCAGCAGCGTAGCATCCACACCATTGGCCATAGCCCCACGACGAGGTGGTGACAAGGGCCCGTTACAAGACGGGAATCAGCTGTCACTAAGAGAACAAGAGAATGTCATTGATAGAATCGAGAAGGAAAACTTCGGTCTCAAACTCAAAATTCACTTTCTCGAGGAGGCTCTAAGAAAGACCGGACCCGGGTTTAGTGAAGCCGCTCTAAAGGAAAACACGGAACTCAAGGTCGACAAGGTGACAATGCAGAGGGAGCTTCATAAATATAAGAAACATCTAGCATCCGCAGAGAAGGACCTCGAGACGTATCAGCAACAAATCTTGGAAGTTCAAGAGAAGGCCAAGAAGAAGTATGCCGATCAGAGTCAGAAGGCCGAGATCGATGTACTACGACGAAGTCTGCAGGACAAGGATGCAGAGATAGAAGACCTACAAAGACAATTGCAGAGAGGAAACAGAGACCAAGGCAAAATCGACAAGCTCAATGACAAGATAGGCGACCTCGAAGCAGACCTACGCCAAAAAGACCGAGAAATCGACGAACGGGAAGAGGAGGTTGAAAAGTTGAAAAGTAGGCTTGAAGAGGCTGACGAGAAATGGAACCTGGCACAAAGCAAGATTACTCAACTTCAAGCAAATGCGCAACCAACCGAAGACATAGGGAAAATAGAGGAGCTGCAGGATAAGATCCGCTCCCTAGAATCAGACCTACGAGAGAAGGATCTGGACCTCGATGACCGCGACGAAGAGCTGAATGGTTTAGAGACGAAGTTAGCCCAGGAAGGCGAAAAATTACAGTCTGCCCAACAGAAGATAGCCGAGCTCCAAGGCAATGCCCGCTCAAGCGAAGAACTCGACGAAGCTAAAGGAACTATTCAAGATCTCGAATTCAACGTCCGGCAGCTCGAACGTCAAATAGATGAGATGAAGGGGGAACTTAATGCCGCCATCTCAGAAAAAGATCGAGCTGAGGCAGATCTCGAAGAACTCCAGGATGAGATGTCTAACAAATCACTTGTCACCAAGGGTCTTTCCCGCCAAGTTGAAGAGAAAGTTGCGCGACTCCAGACTGAAGTTAACCACTGGCAAGAGAAGTATGGTGTCCTTGAACGAGATGTGTCTGAGAAGGACAGATACGTGCAAGATGTCAACTCCAAGGCCGAACAACTCTTGCAGCAACGGGAGGCTTGGGATCGCGAACGCAAGCTTCTTTCATCGAGACTAGAAGCTGTACAACAAGATCTCTCCACGCGCACAGACGAAAAGAATCTCCTCCAACTACGTCATGATTCCCTCGGAGATGAATCGGCCTCTTTACAACGGGACGTGGCACGTCTTCAAAAGCAAGTTGATGAGCTTGAATTTAGTCTAGATCAGGAGAAAGCACATGGCTTACAAATCGAACGCGACATGAACCGCAATCATCAATCCGAGGTTAACCGTCTAAACGACGACGTTGCGGACCTTCAGGATGAACTGAACCGAGTTCGCGAAGAGGCATTCGGTGGTCAGTCGGCATCTGCATCTCTAGAACGAGAGGTTGCTCGTCTACAAAAGCGTGTAGGCGAACTCGAGATGAGCTTGAGCCAGGAGAAGGCCCGTTCACTACAATCTCTATACGAATCTAACGCTAAACATAAGGACGAGGTCGATCGTCTGAATGACGACATTGCCGATCTCCAGGACGAGATTGCACGGGTGCGTAAGGAAGCATCAGGTGGCCAATCCGCATCAGCATCATTAGAACGGGAGGTTGAGCGTTTGCAGAAGCGTGTCAGGGAACTTGAGACCGACCTTGATCATGAAAAAGCGAATACCAGAATTCGACAAACCACTTCCGGCGATGAGTCCGCCTCACTGCAACGAGAAATTACTCGTTTACGGAACCAGCTTAGCGACATAGAGCTCAACCTCGACCAGGAAAAGAGCCACGGCCGTCAAATCGAGCGAGATGTTCGCAGTCAGCTCAAATCTGAAATCGATCGTCTAAACGATGAGGTTTCTCAATTACATACAGAGATTCGGGAGAAAGATAGCCGCTACGATATTGATAACGAAAAATGGCAGGCCGAAAGACGTAACCTAGAGTCCCAACGAGACCGTCTTGAAGAGCGGGCTGCTGGGCTTGAAAGAACCATTGATCGAGTACGCGACTCCGAGGGTTCTCTATCTAGCAAAGAGACGAAGTTACAAGATGCTCTAAACAGTGAGGCACTACGCCACAAGAGGGAGGAAGCTGCGCTTAGTCGCCAAATCGACGATTTGCGACACGACCTAGAAACTCGGCAATCTTCACTAACAGCACTTCGTAACGAGATCGCAGCCGTTCGCGAAGAACTTCTACAGAGTCAAGCGGCCTACCAATCTCAAGCTGAAGAGATAGAAGCTTTGCAGGACGAGGTTGAGGTTCTTCAAACTACTCTAGACGAAGAATCGGAAGATGCTGCCGAAAAGCTGAATGAGGCTGATCGGATGTATCAAGACCTTAGACGTCAGCTTGAGATAGCAAAACGCGACCAGTCCCAAAAAGCGGGCGATCTTGGAGAGCAATTATTAGAAGCTGAGCGAGTCTCCGATGACCTCAGAAGACAGCTTGAGGAAGCCAATCGAAAGCTACGTGAAGCCCAACGCCAATGTGAGCGTCTAAAGCAACAAGCAGACCGGGAAAGTCGATACGAATCCAACAAATCGGACAAAAAACTAGAGCAAGCCAATCGTGAAGCCGAAGAGCTTAGGCGAGACCTAAATCGAGCAACTAAGGAATCTGAAAAAGCGAATCGCCTATGTGAAGACTTGCGAGAACAACTAGAATTAGCAAGGCAGGATCTAGACTATGCCAGTCCATTATGCAAAGAACTACGCCAGAAATTGGAGCGAGCACGGAATGAACGTGCCGCATACAAGGCGTCGGCTGAAAAACTGAAGGCCGACTGCGAGCGATTGCAGGAGGGCGCGCGGGAAGCGTTGGCATGGATCGAGGCCAAGAACTCCCAGTCCCCTGAGGGACCTTCTAATCCTTATACTCCGCACATTCAGAAGAGGGGCACCAAGGCCAGTTTCCGGTACGGCGACATCGTGATGGACGTGGTAGATCAGCGGGATCACGAAGCAGTCATCCGAGCGGCAGACACGGCAGAGAAGCGACACACCAAGGAAATCCGCGGGATGGCGCTACAAATGCAGTGGATGCAGGCAAGGTGGGAGCGCGAGGCTAGCTTGAGGAATGACGCCGCTTTTGCCAAGAAATTTTTGTCACTCCAATTAGAGATTGCTGATGCTTGGTACGTTTACGTTTCCGTCTCTTATCATCTTGTTCATTTTAATTATGTGGCGCTTGACTAACACCCGAAACAGTAATAAGGCAGACCTACGCATCCTAAAGGGTATACATAAGCAGCTAGGGATAAAATCGCCTGACTCGTTGCTCTCGTCCAGGAAGCGGGGAGTATCCAAGAAACCGCCAAATAACCTAAAGATTTTCGCAAATGTACTGAGGGCGGTGGCGCGCATGCGCATCAGCGCGAGGAACTGGGGGGAACAAGAGAAGACGAGGAAGAAGCTGGTGAACGCGTGGGAGGAGAGCCAGAAGAGGGAGGCAGAGCTCGAGGTGCCTATGTGAACTAGGTGCCGATTGTTGTATTTTTGTTAATGGGCGCCGCCCGCGGATGAGGAGTTGGAGGTTGTCGCATTGACATTACATTGCCCTGTCCACGGACGGGTCCGGAGTTCGTGCGTTTGGTATTGAAATATCGTTTGTTCTTTATCATCACCATCACACCCTTTTCAAAAAAAGAATTGGGGATAGGGGCATGGAAGGGCGGGTATATGGTAGGATAGGATAGGGTAGGGTAGGGTAGGCATGAACGAGAGGATAAATTCAGTTTTGGTTGTGGACTTGATACCTATCAAATAAAACGGTGTGTGATGAGCGAGAACGAGATTACAGAATGCTTGGTTGAGGCTGTCTGTAGATGTTAATCTATGTCTTGACTATTTCGAGTTATTGATATACGTCATGTGCGCTCCTTGGCTATGAAGTGAGTATATGCCCAGTTGGTTATTGCTATTATCTCTGCTTGTATTTATGTTGTCAGTGAGGTTAGAACAAATACTTGTTTCTCCGAAGTCTTGCCAAAGAGATGGGAATAATGTTATCTATTCGATCCCCCAGTACCATCAAATTCCCACTCAACTTACGATGATACATATTGCAGCTTCTTATATCGTCCACAGAAGCTAGGTAAGCAACAGTAGACAACATGTCTCTTACAACCAGAACCCCTACCACCTAACATGCTCACTTAGCAGGTTCTGGTTCTGGCTTATCTACCTGCACTTCCTCCTCCCCTTCCTTCTCCTTTACCTCCTTCATCGGTTTGCTCTTAGTCTTAAGCGCTGCCATATGGATCTCGTGGAGATTATACCGCTTCAACGAATCCCAATCGCCGCCCACAACGCTCATCCCGAAAAACGACTGATAAACATCGATGAGAATAACTTTGTCCGGGGCTGTAAGGTTGACTTTATGACGTGTGTCAATAAATCCCGCGACCTTCTTAATCACATCCTCTCTCTTAAGGAGATTGTGTGCGCGGAAGGTTGGTCGGATGGCGTACTATCAGACCAGTCTGTCAGTACGTCTATTCCCCAGTATCGGACTTACCAGCAAGAAAAAACAGATAAAAACTTACGGAATGGAATATCTCCTTTCCCTCCTCCTCTTCCTTCTTCTCATCTCCACCATCCTTCTCACCTTCATCACCTTCATCACTATCGCTCGCTAGTCGGAAGTGCTCCCCAAGCACCTTTTTCGCAACCTCATCAAGCCCAGCCTCCGTAGCCTTCGCACTCGCCGTAACCGGCGTAAAACGGTTGAGAAACCGGGATCTACGACCACCCTTATCCTTCCCCACCCCGTCCCTCGCATCGATGCAGATGCGATGAGCCAGCTCAACGGGATCGACTGGAGCATGAGTTCGCATGAAGAGCAGACAATCCAGTCCTAACCGGATAGGTTCAAACGGCGCCTCGGTGTCCTTGTCACCGGGTTTGCTAGAGGGTTTTAGGGATTGCACTTCTTTCTTGATAGATGACTCGATGTCCTCGTCTGCGTCCTCTTCATCTACGTCGTCGGAGGTCTTGAGGTTGTAGAGGGTGGCGCCGTACTAGGAGACTTAGCACCGCAGTAAAAGTGAGAGTGAGAGGAAGTTTACCTCTTCGCAGATATCCATCAACTCGTCCAACGCCTGGCGCTCCTTGCCCTTGACGCAAGTAGTCGCCAAACCCACATCACCGGGCTCCAAGCCCTTAGCTCTCAGAGCCTCAAGCTTGGCTTTGTGGTGGGGCGTCTGCCATTTGCCATTGGAACCTCCCTATAAACAATTAGTGATTAGGATTTCATGCAAGGTTGAAACGTGGGATATGGTCCTACTTTGCTTTTCTTAAAAGGACGATCGTCGGATCCGTGGTGCGACTTTCTCTTGCTGTAAGAATCTCTCATGGTTGATTGATGTATGTATGTCGAACTATCGGTGGAGATATAAAAGAACTTTTATTGAGGTACAATGTCTCGTCAATTGAATTTATATATCCCGCTCAATTCGTCAGAATTATGTTGAATTTTGTGTTTATGATTGTTTTAATGAAGAATTAGAATGGCAAACGTTGAACATAGTACATGAAATGAGGCCTGAGTTTTTATAGAACTCACGTGGTCCGTGCGCCACTCGCGGCTTCCCGCTTCATTCCAGGTGCAACTGCCACGAGGGAGGTGACGAGAAATCCAAATGTACAATGCGCTACAGGAAGTTTATATATCGAAAGAACATGATGGCTCATAACAATTGCCTAATGACTTGTTTGATACGAACTTAGCTCAGTTAGAAAGCCGTGTGTATAAACCGCTTGCGGCGCAAGAGGTTAGAACCTCGGTACTTGAGCTGTTGGTTCGAAACGGGTTCTTAGGCACTTGTTTTATTTTTTTTCTGCTTTTCTCTTTTTCTCCTTTTCTCTCTTTTTTTTATTTAATCTTCTCAAAAATTTCAATTCAATATTTTCATTTTCATACTGCATCGCATAGTAAAAGAATTCAATCCTCTGCGTTAACATTCTTAATGTGTATATCTATATTCGTCGTCTTAACATATCAATAGGGATATTAGGGTATTATATTGAAAGTCCTTCAAACCACCCTAGAGGTATAAAATATCCATCCCCATCCTAAAATACACCCAGTTCCATATATTTATGCTACATCTTTAATTCGTCAATCAACCCTTGTGATAATCATCACTCGTCTATTTTAGTCGATATGCTAGTCGATATTATCCTTCCTTCTCCTCTTCGTAGATCTTCACCTTCTCGGCGTACTCCTTGATGTTGCTGAAAATGTTGTCCTCGATCATGTAACCTTTGCCGGCCACAACACGCAGTATCAGCTCGTTAAGCGTCTGTCGCCCTAGAATATCCACATGGTCCGCCGTGTTAGGTCCTCCACGAGGATTAAACCTTTCCGGCTCATGGGGCATTTCAACTACAGAGACCTTGACACCTGCCGGGTTATATCGCTTCATGTGCCAACCCTTGGAACACATATAACCGGTACTTAAAAGATTGACAGTACCGTCACCCTCTCCCATGATAACTCCATGATCGATATCATCAACCGTCAGCCCCGTGTCAATGGTGACATTAAGATTCGTTAATCCAGGAAACTCGGGGGTGCGGTAATAGTACGACCTTTCTGTTGGTTTTCCCACGCCGTAGAAGCAATACACCTTCAAGTTGGGAGCTAGAGGCAACCTCGTCTCCAGAGGATTGATCCATTTGCGATGGTCTAGTTCGTTAGCTTCTACTTCGGCAGAAGTGTGAGCTACTCCACGAGAGTAACTCCTCTGTATCTGGTCTGAGTACCAGTCGTCGGTCGTCTCCAAAAGATACTTCATCGCCTCGCCGACTGTCAAATTCGTGTCCGGCGTAGTCCAGTTAGCACCGCGGCGGAAGTTCAAGAATGAGCCAAACGAATCTTTCTGTTCAGGTTGATCATCCGGCGCCCACGTCAAGTTTCCCCAAATGGCTTCGCCGCCAATTGGTAACATAGCCGATATACCTGGCATAGCTCGGAATATTTCGGCCCGTTCGTCTTTGTTTAAGAATTTCTCGAGTCCATACACCGCAAAGGAATTTAATTGTGCCGTGTCACGCATTTCTCCAGAGAGGATGGCAGTAACATCTTTGACAGCGCCCAACATGCATCCACTAATGTTGATCCAGGCTTCGACATGACGTTCGACCCAATCGTCGCCCCCTTTACCACCTTGTGCCGATGCAACCCAATGGAAGAAGTAAAACAGAACCTGACTACCCATACTGTGGGAAGTGAGGACTACTTTCTGGCCAGAGAATTGGTGTGCTAGCTCGACATAGCTCTTTAATCTCGTGAAGTATTGGTCTCGAAGTTCGAGATTTTGATAGGACAACCGCCAGTCATAAGCGGCCGTGAAGGAATTCGTAGGGTCGTATCCCAAAGACGCGAGGTTTTCTAAGATCTTGCTCCAAATCCAATATCCCGTAATAAAGAAGTCGGTAGCATCAAAACCCTGGGCGGCTCTCAACTTGATGTTGGGAGGATCTAACCCTGTCTTTTTGTCTAACATAATATGCTTTTTCCATATCTCCTTATCCATGACAAGTGCTCTCATCATTGTCCAGCTACCCCAGAGTCGCTTTCGGAAGTACGGTCGGGAAATATTGGCGGTACCCCAGGATTCAAGGCCTGTCGAGATGACGCCAGGGACCATGATGACGGGATGATGGACACTAAGTCCCTCGGACCGGGCCTTCAATCCGACGGAAAAGGAATCGTAGCTATCGACAAAATCTCGCTCGCCTTTCTACAATTACAAAATTCATTAGTTAAGATATCCACGTGATAATTATTATCTCTATATAGAGGAGACATACTACAAGGTCCCTCATATCTTTGACCAACCCAGCAGGCAGCACATCGAGAAAACTGTCCATGCTAAGCTCGCCAATCTCGGGAAGTTCAATTAAATCATTATTTTTAGCTAGAAATCCGGCGCCTACGAGGCCGAACAGAATTCCCAAAAGGAAAATGAAGGTGTTCCGCCGTTTGCGCGTCTTTGGTTGGTGATCGTGGACGATCTTGACCTTGTCGCCCGGCTTCACCGGACTTTCGTCTCTCGGGGTGGGGGCCTGCGATGAGGATTCAGAGTTGTCGGCGCCGACAGCCCGGCGTCGAAGAGTTGATGCCATCGTCGAACAGGATGAACATGACCAAGCACTAAGTGCTGCGTAGGATCGAATCGGGATCGGTGCCGTTTGCGTGTGTTGTCGGAAACTGGGATGACGGACGAGGGATGATCAACGATCAACAAGAAAATGGGGCGAGCTACGTCAAATAGCTATGCTGCTATGCTGTCGTCGTCTCAAAAAGGGATGATTGTGTCATGAATTGGAAATAAAGTTGAGATTATCTCTTTTACTACGGATCCATAGTTCGTGAGTTGTAAACCGTGAGTGGTACCTGATCAGCAAGCCCCAATTGATGCAGGTGCGCGGTGCGGAAGATTGAAGTTGACGACACAAAACAATTTGCAACCTTTTGACGTCAGTCTGCTGCTAGCTTTTCCTTGGGAGGGAAAGCAGGGGCCATCACATCATGTTAGGGATGTTTCAGCCCACCAACCAGTAAAGTTTTAGGGCTCTCATCAACTGGGACTGCGGCATGACAGGCATTCGGACTGCCAGATGCGACGTTTTTTAAACTCCAGTTTAAACTTGAACCTAGAAATCCACTGACCCCGCAGATCCATTGCCGGATTGGTCAGTCCAGGTAGCCTCCCGTTGAAGCCTTCCATTCTTTGCCCTGTAATTATTCTTCAATGTTACGTACTGCGTACCCCAAAGCTGTCCAAGTAACTCCGTACCTACCTCAGTTCAAAGCGGGAACGGGAAAAACGGGCAACTTTAAGTTGCATGTGAAAGCGGGCCGCACTTGTACATAGTCCTACCAAACAGACTCACATATCATAAATTTATTACTGTAACACCAACCCTTTAACTGCCGTCTTACTCAATTCTTCCTACATATCTGCTACTTGCTTCCCTAACCTCTTCTCCCTTTATTAACCATATCTTTTTGTTCCTCACCGCGGAATTCTCCCGTCGATATTCTTATTGTAGCCATTGTCGTAATTGTGACAACGGTGCTTTGTCGAACCCTCAATCCTTGTCGGCTATTACCTCCATGTGAGATCAACGGCGCAGCTATGGAAGTAGCCCGCGATGCCCGCGCAACCCAGCTTCCCGGCGAACTGTTATATATCCAGTACGAACATGCTCTAGAGGAACAGTATCTGCCCGCGATTCGGGCATTGATCTCGAAGGATCTAAGCGAGCCGTATAGTATATACGTTTACCGATACTTCTTATACCAATGGGCGCATCTGTGCTATATGGTGAGACCGGAGTCCATTCTTTTCACCCCCCAAGTAGCGGGGAACTCTTGGCTAAATAGGAATTGTGTAACAAGGCACTTAACCCCGTCGACAAGTCCCTAATGGGCGTCATTATCTGTAAACTGGAACACCATGCGTCGCACTCACCTCCAACACATCGAGGCTACATAGCCATGCTCGCAGTGACCTCTACATTCCGAGGCCACGGCATAGCCACCCGATTGGTAAAGATGGCGATCGATGCGATGGCCGAACGCAACGCCGACGAGATCGTCCTCGAGACCGAAGAGACCAACCTACCGGCCATGAGACTATACGAAAGACTGGGGTTCTTGCGGTCTAAGAAGCTACATAGATACTACCTCAATGGAAACAGCGCTTATCGGCTTGTACTTCTCTTGAAATCGACAGATCCCGAAACAGATTAGCACTCTAGCCATCCGGGGGAGTGGCAAAGGCTGAAGGGGCTGAGGAAAAGGGCGGAACGGGAATCTGAGGGAAAGAGAACATATATCTGCAGCTAGTCTTCGACGTCGAGACTCGTGCAGCGCTGTACATAATTGATTTATGCGACACCCCGTGACCTTTCTTTACGGTGGGTTCGATGTACAGATTTACGACCGGCTTTCCAAGGAATTGGATGTGCAGTGGGATATCACAAGAGCAGGCATTAGGGTTCGAGGTGGTAGCGTGGATATTCATTGCATCGGCGGCGTTATGAGGTCGGCAAGTAAGCATTGAGTTTCTGTTTAGCTTACACACATGAACTACCTAGGCAGTGCCCCTATACTCCTCGAGGTTTCTGATCATACATTGGAAGCGAACTCTTGGAGCGAAGGGTATCTCGAAAATTCAGTTATTCCTCCCGGGAACATTTATATCAGTTTCCACTTTTCTTAAGACTACGTCCATTTCCCTGTCTTTAGCATAGTTTTGGTGTCATAGATGGAAGCTCTAATCTCCCATGGATTTCCATGTGCTATCCCCAAATATGTGTATACGTCTAATTTCGTAAGTCTCACATTAACTAAGAAAGAAATGAGGAACAACTGACCTGGTTTATAGTACAATGGTCTGTCATGGGCCTGAACAAGCCCAAGCTTCTTCAATTTCTCCGCGACTCTCTTGACGTCTTGCGTGTCGCTGAAATCGGCGGTGTAGACACAGATGAGCCGCTCAGTCCTTTTATCGGTTGTCTGTCGTGGCGCGACCTTGGCGCCTATCCCCAGCTCATTATTAATGGTTGCCTTGGCGATGATCTTCCAGATCTCGTTGACCTCGAAAGTGTTGCAGAACAACATCCATTTGCCGCATCTCACGTGGTGGGCTTTCGCAAGGTTGAGGATATCCTTTGCCGCGTCCACGCCGGCTGTCCGGCATTCTCGGGCGATGAAGGCTGGCCCGTTGCCGGAGTTCTTGCACATGTTAATGTACTCGGATACGAAATGGAGCCTCGCCATTCCACCCTCGACAACACGGGGTAGGTCCGCGCCTTCTTCCTCGGGTGCTTCGTCTTCGCAGCCACGGATGTGCTGATTCAATGACTCGCTCTTCTTCTTGCGGCTGATATACGGATTGCAAACCCAAATCCATGGATTCTTAGGAGTTGCGTCAGTAGTTGCTGGTGGAACACGTTCCAAGAACGCTTCGATCGTCTCTGTGAGCTGCCATGCGTATTCCAAGCCGGCATATGGGTTGTGAAGATTGGATACGTCTTTCATTTCAACATCTTCACTCTGTGCTTGGATCCTTAGTGGTGTATTGACATCCCCGTGTTCCCCCCACCAGGTCTCGGGATCGAAGTCTCTCACTTTGGCTTTTAGGTCTGCCATAATGTCGTCGTCTCCTGAGGATGAGTGTTAGTGGCCTGGGCTGACTTATGATGGAGCAGATATTTTCACCATAGAAATCAGAATCGTCGGAACTCATGACAAGGCTGCGTTTTATAAGTTTATCTAAGAGAATGTTTGTATTACACGAAGTTTCTAGTGTGGTACTTAGCCACAAATAGGGTAGTATTAGGTACTAGGTAGGTAGGCTGTGTGAAAATTAATATAATATGAAGTAGACAAATAGAATATCGGTATAGGAGCACGAATAGAATAAAAGTAGGAGATGTAGGACTTCGCAGAAGTCAATCATAATAGGTCCGTCAGACTCGCAAACGGAAACGCTGGAATTGACATGTCGAATTCAAGGATACCGGGGACATTATTCCAAGAGCTTGGGTTGATGTTCAAAGCGTCCGACTTCCCCCAGCAGCCCCAGCTCTCGTTTGGTGGGAACTCGTCACTTCTTCAGCACTCTCAAGGCAGTCCAGGGGTTGTAAGTGGAAATGTTCTTGGATCCAACCTGCCGGGCGCTAGAAATCGACTAGGAAGACCCGCTAATCACAGGGTCCATGCCTAAGTGGGTATAGCGGGGACAATTCCGAGCCGTTCTACGGCACCACACGAATCCACTTTTATCCATGTCTTAGCATGCACCCGTAAGTCTAACTTCATATGGAGCACTTGAACGTAAAAATCGAGGAAGCTACGCGCTACCTACATGTGATACGCATATTCTGAAAGTTTCTTTTCAATCAATATCAAAGAGAATTCTACACAGCTGGATAGTAATCGCTCCATATGACTATAGCGATGCTATAAGACACAGCGGAACACATTGCTGGAGATCTTCTGCCCGTCATATCACGCGGGGGGATACACATGCTACAATATTATTAAAAATTTGCCCCTGTCCAAAAAGCAAATCGGCATGGAGACGCAAGGACGCAGCATCCCGCCGCTGAGGTCATTGACCTTAGACCTCCCTCCCAGCTGTATCGAGTTTTGCCCAGGTCAACCGGAGTATTTTGTAGTTGGTACATACAATCTACAGAGGGGAAGCGAAGATCCCGGCACGGTTGCCGGGGTCGATGAAGAAACCGACCAGCAGGCAACGAAGTCCGTGCAGACTCGGGATGGGAGTCTCATTCTCTTCAAATTAACAGGGGCAGATGAAATGTAAGCACTATTCCTATTTCTATAATAATTCAATATTGAATTCACCTTTAGATAGACAACTTGTACAAACCGTTCCTTATCCTTCTGCGATTCTCGATCTTCACTTTCATCCTGGAAGAGAAGGATGTACTGTTCTAGCTGTGGTCTCTAGTACTGGAACCCTTTCGTTTTTCAGGCTTTCTAGTTCGGAAGGGTCTCAAATCTCTCTAAAGGAGATTATCACACATCGACCACTCGATGTTGAAGAAGGAATCCTCTTCTTATCATGCTCATGGCATCCACATATTCCCGAACTCCTTGCTATTACGACTTCAGACTATCAGGTTCACATCATACAAGTCGACGATTTCTGGAACGTCCACCAAACGAGTACAGAACCGGTTATTACGCATACTTTAGAGGCTTGGACGGTGGCGTTCTCGCCATTGAAACCTAGAGATTTTCAGCAGCTTACAATATTCTCCGGTGGAGATGACTCAAAACTTTTTGCCAGGAAGTATGCTTTTAATCCAAAACGGATTTGTGGCGAAGATGACTCGATCGAAACCCTCTATTCCCCAATCTCCATAAGAGGTCATGAAGCAGGAGTTACCGCTATCTTGCCCCTGGATATACAATTTGACTCGCTCAATTCTGTGGTTATTACTGGAAGTTATGATGACCATATAAGAGTATTTGCCATCTATGACAACGACGTAATTCTTTCAAACGCTGGTTTATTAGCAGAAGAAAACTTACAAGGAGGAGTGTGGAGGCTCAAGCTAATTGACTTACAAAAAACAATAAGGGAGAAAGAGGGAGATCGATGGACAGCTCTCATTCTTGCATCATGCATGCATGCGGGATCAAGAATTCTCGAAATCACAGGTGAGACAGAAACGAGGTCTTGTGATATCAAAGTCCTCGGTCGTTTTGAAGAGCATAAGAGCATGAATTACGGAAGTGATTTTCAGCCAGGATCTGAGAAGGGAGGTAGGAAGCTTCGGTGTATCTCGACGAGCTTTTATGATAGGCTTTTGTGTTTATGGGAATACTAGCATCTATAGATGGTGTTTGGTTGCTGAAAATGACTTCATTGATCTATCTGACATAAGTAGATAGGTAGCTAGATGCCAAGTGCCTTAGGAATGCACCTTTCGTCTTCTATCACAACACTGCGTATATGTATATATCTCCACAATACAAATGACTCATCAAAGTGGTACGATGTGTACGCAGGCTGGCAGGCAAGTTAACCATATGCATAGCAGTTACGTAGGAAACTTCCATGTTCTTAAAAACTCTATTAATATGAAGATTACTCCCTGGAATGCCTAGGATTTTAATATCCTCTACCAGGTATGATAGGTATCTTGCCGATCTGCTGTGAAACATTTTAGGGACTGCGCAGGAACTGATACACGGTACAGGTGCCATAATGCGCTGTAAGGAACCTTTAGAATTGTTCTAGTCCTTCTAAAACAGGGACTTCCGAGGCTAATTCAGCCACCAATTGGTTCCCTCAGCAATTTGAACCTGACCTTGTGGAGACCCTACGATACCTAGTACATCGGAAAGCTAGTGTACGATAAGGTTCGATAACAGAAGGGGGATCCACTGTATTATATGTACGTACTACGTGCAAGTACCTACGTCTGTGCGGGTAGGAGTACTAGGTGGTAGAATACCTGGTAGGCAGGTACCTACAGTACCTTGAATTTAAGGTCATTTAAGGTCGTACCTCCAATCATCGCGTGCAAACCATGCCACCGAGAGCTGAGCAACATTAAACCTCAGCACTGCGTTACTCTCAATAAATTTCCTCCGAAGACACACACGAACTTCAATCGCGACACTCCTACATAAGTACCTGACCTTGAAACACATTCACCCATTTATTACCTGGTAACCTCAATCAAAAGGATTACTTATCAACAAAACAGAATAAATCAATTACTTTCTTTCGCTAAGGTGCCTGTCTTCAAGTTAATCATTTTCCATTCATCATCTATCCGCCTTTTCTATCTCACCTTACCGTGCCTGATGATTCGCACCTAAAAGCGAAAGTACATACCGAACAGCTCCCGCCCACCCCCTCCAAGATCGTCGTCGGCCGACCACGAATTTTCCAGTTTTTCACCAACGATGACTGCACATACCTCGATCAACGGAAACATGGGAACGGGAGGCGTAGGTATTGATTCCGAGGGCATGGCAGTCTTGCCCAAGATTCATAAGGCCTTGGAAGTCATTCATACTCCTTACTCCTCCAACGATGACCGTAAAGATGCACAACTATTCCTCGAAGAAGTAAAGAACGACGAGAAGGCTTCCTTCTACGGCTTCCATCTTGCCGTAGATAAGTCTCAATCTCCCGTCGTGCGACATTATGCCTTATCCTTACTCGAGCATGCGATTAAACATAAGTGGGCTTACTACAATGATGAGGAGGCTGCCGCCTTGCGCAACTGTGTTCTCGAGCTTTCCCAAGGCGTCTCGAGGGATGATCCCATCTACTTGAGAAATAAAATCGCTTTATTATGGGTCGAGGTTGCGAAAAGGAGTTGGGCTGGAGAGTGGATGGATATGGACGCCATGCTCGTCCAGTTATGGCAGGTTCCAGATTCTGCTGTACACAAGGAGCTTGTCCTCGGTATCCTAGAGATGCTCTCGGATGACATATTCAATGGTGACGACACCGTGGTAGCTGTTCGTGAGGGTATCCTTAGTAAGGCATCTGTCGAGATTTTTACTCCTACTGCCGTCCTAGTAGAAACCTTCCCCAATCGCCAGGTAGGTCCCGACGTTAGATGTGGCGACGAGGGTTGGCTCGCCAGAATCACCGATCTTCTAAATCATTGCTTATCCGGTGACGTACAACACAATCCCGAACTGCGAAGTTGTGCCGTTCGAGCTCTTGCCGTACTCTATTCACTATTACCATGGGTCGTCCCGAATGCCGTCACTGCTACCGGATGCGTACAAGTAATGTGTGAAGGACTTCGTGCTTCTCATATTGAAGTCCAAAAGGTAAGACTACAACTAATTACCCATTCATTTATATGAGAAGTATGGTTAACTAATGAAACTTCAAAGGCATCTTTGGAAGCCATGCATTCATTATATGCTCGTACAAGCTTTGTCGACCAGGAATTTTTAGACCTCGTCGTCCCACTGTATGGTAGCAAATACGTTGACCTATTCAGACGACTTTTTGAATGGTCGGTAGTTGATCCGGAGGACATCGATGACGACAAGTATCAATTCTCCAAGAAGTTATCTGAGGTAAGTTAAATGTTGTAAATATTGATACCGAACTCTATTAATGGCGGTATCAAGGTAATTTCGTTCCTTGGAACGTATATGGACCGTCGATTCAATGTTCTACCAAACGATTCGGATCGGATCGACTTCAAAGGATTCTTACAACTTCTCCTATTGATTACCCAGAGCCAGAGTTTGGTTGTTTCGATTCCTGTTCTTGTGACATGGACTCGACTATTGAACAACCGATCCCTTGGTCCCAACATTGCAGATGTGCCAACGTTTATTGGACCACTTCTTGAATGTTGTAGCTCCAGGCTTGTTCGTTATGAAAACCTGCCTGAAGATACTCAGGATCCTACCTTTCAACTACTATTGGAAGATACCGACACGATTCCGGAGCGTCACGCTTTTCTCGGCAACTACCGACGTTATAGTTCCCAAGTGGTTGAGAGCATTGTCCAACTGAAGATCACGGACGCGATGCAGCACATTCTCGGCCAGACGGAGAATGTATTGGAACACCTTTACGACAATATTCCACCATTTGATAGTATGTCTCGATCCATTTTCTGAGATTTGTGATCTAACATGTGATAGTGGCGACATATTCCAAGACATCTCAACCTGTGCTCCGTGTCGATGCTCAGGCGACAGTAATTGAGGCAGCCTTAAAAGGGGTAGGAAAGTGGAGACATTCTAAAGAAGAGCCCCATCATGTGAGTATACGTAATCCTAGATTTCTATTGAAGCCTCTACTAATATTTGACACCTAATAGGAGCAGGAGATTGCTACATTAGAAGAAAACTTGGAGTCTTGGTGTAATCGTCTGCTGGGGATGAAATTCGAGGTAGGTGGCTTAATACCTTAAACCCCTTATGGATGGTGGCTGACCAATACAGGACCCATTGATTAGGAAAAGAATCCTCCAGCTTCTTGTGGCCTTTTCCGTTATGGCACTCGACAGGAACCCAAGCTTTATGCTAAAGGTTCTTGAGCATATTCTAGTGACATGGCCAGCTACACACCCCGATTATCGTGTGTATACGGATGCAATCAAAGAACTTCAAGCCGAAAGCATGGTTGAGCTGCAGAGACTTGCTGCCAAGATGCCGGATCATCTACTTGTGAGTACTCTAATTCAAGCTGCCAAATAGAGATATAAACTAATAATATTTCTAGGATGTTTATGATCAAATAGAGGCAAAGGTGAATGAGATGATTTCTTCGGGAACACTTGATGAGAGACGTCAGATCACCTACCAGACCTTCTTATTTACTATTGTGTAAGTCCAAAAAGGCGACTTTCATGAAAAACACTAACAAATCTAGGCATCGTTCTACCCGACTAGACCAGGCCACAAAAGCACAGAAATTGCGAGGATTCATCGACCCCGTAGTTACCCAATGGCAAAACGACAACTTAAAGCAGGCATTGTCATCATACGCGGGCTTTTGCGAACTTATGGCGCTTGATAAAGCACAGAGTTATCTAGCACGAAAGCAAATGCAGAACATCGCGGATTGGGGCTCTGTGGCACTCGATGCCGAGGGCCAGGCGTTGCAAGCAGAGCTCGAAGAACGACAGACTGTTCTTCCTCTACGGCCCACCAAGTCATTCTTGACCTGCTCAGTTGATAAGGTGGATAAGGAATCTGATGCGTACCAAGTCTCATGTGCCTTGTGGCAGGACGGGTTTCCTGTTATCCTCCCTGAGTTACTCAATTTCTTGAAGTAAGGGTTTTATACGCTCATCTACATACTATCGTTCTAACTAACATATGCCTAGCCACGCACATGCTTCCCATACTGCTGACAATTGGGTGGGATTGCCACCGGAGACTAGGTCTATTGTTAGCCGCGTTCTCACCGACCGATTCTGGCAAGCAGGCATCTCGGAAGGAAGTAAAGACGAATTCTATGCCAGAGTGCTTGATAAGAAACACACTCTAGAAGGACTTGCGTCGACGATCCGAGGAAGCATTCGATTTGTCCGCGAATCTTGTTATGCGATTATTTACTGCATGACACGCTTAGACGTACAATTCTACGGATTTAGCGAGCTGCCAGGACCCTTAGCCCACGCTCTCCTAGCCGACTCTTTCAGTCTCTCGGCCCATCAGTTAATCAATGTCCTTAACTTGGTTAGATATCTGGTGGACAACTGCCCGGTTCCGCTACGAGATCATTTTCTTCCGCCCATCTTGGCCGCTTGCTGTCTCCAGATGAATACTAGGATAAATGCCGAGTGGGAGAAGCTTGATCAACAGCAGGCGGTAAAGACGGGAGGAGATGCTTTGACTGAAGAGATGAAGGCGGAGAGCATATTAAGGCAATTAACCTACGCGTCTGTGATGATGGTTGCAGACTTTCTGGATCCGGCTAGAACTAGTAAGTTTATTTTCCATCTACCGATTGCAGCATATATGTATGTTGTACCTAGCTAACAGGAAACAGACCCTCCGACCTCAAATATGGGAGATAATGGGGAAAGGCAATACCCTACTCTGCGAGAATTCTGTCTCATGCATTCCTCTATCGTGGAGCCCCTGTTGATGTTCTGCGCCCACGCTATCAGGTGGCGAGACTCGCGATGCTGTGGAATAATGCTTAGAGTGTTTCGTTCCATAATTCCGGATTTTGCGCCCGCAGACGCCAATTCATCACGGGCCGGGGGAGCAAGACAACACGTCGATACATCTCCTATTCCCTCGGAAACGGCGGCAGCTATTCGCGAGTATATATCGTCTTCTGTCGTAAAGGCTTGCATAACGTCTATTCACGAACCCTACTTCGTTGAATTGCAGAAAGACTTCGCTTCTCTCATTGCCACGATCGTAGTCACTTACAGCTACATCACACAAACGGCACGAGATGTGCTAATATCGCTTCCCAATATGAAGCAAGCTGATGTTGACAGTGGTATAGAATACATGATGAGGAAGGAAACGAGCTCTCGTGGTCAACGAGCAGTCATCCTACAACTGCTAGGCGATTTGAAGGGGGTCAGTGTATCCGAGATGGGAAAGCTAAGTAAGAGCATCGGAATGCCTTCAACCAACCCCCCTACGAAGAGACCGATCCGCAGCAAAATGGCCCAGCAGTTCATGACGGCTCCAGCACCAAACCACAACGGTTCTACAGCGGGCAACAACACCAACGGCCATCAAGATGGCAATACGGATATTCTAGAAGGTGTTGCTAGCCTCTTCGAATCATAGAATCGACTAATTCTTTCTTAAATCACCATTGGATTAAGAATATGATCAAACATGATCGACTGATGGATCTCCGCGAGCAAATCAATCTCAATTATCTACCCGACCGGTATCCGATGCCAGTAGATCTACTAATCTATGCTTGTCTGGGACAAGCAAGCAACGACCCATTTCAGTGCTGGCGCAGATTCAAGGCAGGATAACATTTATGACAAGGTCAGGCTGACGAGTTTGCCAGACGCTACTAAGGTCATGAGCTAACACACCTTGTCAGATCTTACAGCCAGCTCTGCGCGTACACGACGTAAAATTATTTAATATCGTGCGATGCTTTAGTTAGAGTGTAGCATTCACATGCTTCTGACAGAGTAATGCAAAGAACATAACCACGTGCTTTGATAGATGCTATATTGCAATGTGTAACAACTTGGGTGACTTTAAAAATGTTTATATCCGGGTACCTGCGTAGTATTTGAAGAATAATTTAAATATAACCGACAGGGAGGTCTCCTGATAACGAAATGGCAGTCTTCTGATGTGAGCTTACATATCAATCGCATCCATAGAGCTGCATCTACATATGAAATACATAGGTAATGACGGCTATGCTATATAGGTAGGTAAGTAAGGGATAATGGAATGGAGTAAAGGGAAGCACGTATACTCTAGTAAGACGACGCAGCAATATAGCAGTATAGGTAGGTCCTTCACTAATACCGAGTACCAGTTGCGCTACACAATACTAGATGTAACTGCCCCCGCCTGTAGGTACGCTACACGTTGAATGGATTACCGGGTTTATAGGTACCTGGGTACGATAAACGGGGCATACGTGCAATGAGTTCATAGAGCCAAAAGATGGCCTGTGCCCGATGCGGGGAACTCTCGGCCAAAGCCATCCATAGACCCATAGCGAAAAGGGAAAAGACCTCTAGGTATCCCCTAGGTAGCGCAGGATAGCGCGAGATAGCTTAGGATAACCCTGTAACCCTGTGTTCAATGCCTTAAACGTCGCCTTCTATTTTCTTCCCCTTTAATACTCCAAACGCCAAACGTAAATCCCATACCCATACCAATACCAATCTAATCCAATCCAATCCAATCCGCACCAACGCATACACCATACACGCTTATCGTTGCAGCACGTCTGATCGACATTCTACCACAGCAACGAAGCCGACGAACCCACGAATCCATAAACCCATAAACCCGTAAACCCACAAAGCGCACGCGACCGCGAGGTTGGGACCCAAGAACCCCAAGGTTATGCTTTCACTTCGCAGAAGTCCGACCGCCTATCATCTGTTGTTTTATCCTACCGTTATTCCTTCTTCATTCACATTTGGGCTTCGTGATGAGATGTCGGATAGATTGTTTGGGCTCTAATCAAATATGGCCGACTCAGACACCATCTCCTCGATAGAGACCGAGGAACAATTATGGGATGGTACGTTTCATCTCCGTTTTCATGTCGTTTCCTTTTACTTTTTACAATTTCTTCTTCTTTTTCTTTTTTCTTCCCATATTCAATGGTTTAGTTGCATGCACAACATTAAGCTGACAACCGACGACGGATCGTTTTAGAATTAAATAAAATCGTCGCTATTCAATGCCCCGCAGAAGCCCACGAGACAATCGATGACGCCCTGCGATCATGGCTTTACCTCGCGTCGCGATGCAGAGACGAATTCTCTCAATCCGAAGATGATGTAGCGACATGTTCGCAAACTCTCCTATACGGAAACCTCTTCCGCACCGACCCCGAATACGTGCGCAAACAAATTATCTACAGTTTGCTGCAAGAGGATGAGCCTGGCCCCCTATACGTCATCGCTAGCTTTTTATTGCTGGACGGTCGAGAAGAAGAGGCTACATTTAAACGAATGATCGAAGAGGGATGTTTCCACCGACTGGTGGAGCTAATCAATGGCCGAAAAGACGATGACCCAGGTTTGCATCGATTGCTATTGGAGTTAATGTACGAGATGTCGCGGATTGAGCAGCTCCGCATTGAGGACCTCCTGCACGTCGACGATGGGTTTGTCACATATCTATTTCAACTTATCGAGGGCTTATCCGACGATGTCCACGACCCATATCATTATCCAATCATTCGAGTTCTTGTAAGTTGAGATGCATCCGCCCATCTTTGGCAATCGTACTTTTACTTATCTATGCACAGCTCGTCCTTAATGAACAGTACATGGTTGCATCGACAACCGCCATGAGCGAACCTACCTCCCTAACTGCGCCGTTGACAAACAGAGTCGTTAAGTGCCTCAGCATATACGGACCGAGTTATAAGACATTCGGCGAGAATATCATATTGCTGCTTAATCGTGAGACCGAGACGTCTTTGCAGCTTCTTATCTTGAAGCTTTTATACTTGCTTTTCACCACCAAAGCCACGTATGAATATTTCTACACCAATGACTTGCGAGTGCTTCTCGACGTCATTATCCGGAACCTTCTTGACTTGCCGAATGAGCTGATGGCTTTGCGACATACATACCTTCGCGTCCTATATCCCTTACTTTCACACACGCAGCTCAGCCAACCGCCTCATTACAAAAAGGATGAAGTGCAGAAGTTGTTGAGGATATTAACTAATGCTGGCAACATCCATTTTGCGCCTGTGGATGAGACCACGATGAGGCTTGTGGATCGTGTAGCTAAGGTCAGATGGCTTTCTGACGAGTCCGAAAGCTTCGGAGCCAGTGATGTGGCGCGCAAATTCCTTGGAATAAGCCTTTCGCACAACGACTCCGCTAGCAACGTTAGTGTTGTGCACGTGGCGGCGGTTATGGAAAAACCAGGTGTTCAGACACCGAGTCGGAAGGCTGATTTCAAAGCCGAAAATGGGGCTGGATCAAAAGCCGACGTTAAGAGCGATTTATCGCGCTCAAGTTCCAGCGGACATTCCAAAGACCCATCGAAACCAAGCAGGCCGAAAAAGCCACTCCCCGAAGTACCGAAGCATCGACACGGAATACCGTATGCCCCCACGGAAAATGGTAATGGGAATAGGAGTTCTAAAAAGTTACCACCGAAGGCACCGCCGCCGAGACGAAAGGGCAGGATGAAGCATTCGACCGAGGCGGTAAAATCTATATCGGAGATAGTCTAAGGCTTGGTAGCTCTTCTTCTTGGAGAAGAGCAAGGAACGTAATTCGATTAATTAGGAACAATGGCATTTTGAGATTGGACTCTTCTGCCGCGACCAGCAGAATGGCATTATGAAACTTGATATGGGGAACGGCGTACAGGATGGGACAGCTGATGCTGATGCTGATAATATCCACGGTCCGCAATTAGGATGCTGAACTAGCATTTGCATAAGCAAGGCGTTTTACGGGGTTTGAAAGTTGGAGGGGGGATGTGTGGTGTGGGTTTCGAACCGTGCGTGTGAGCAAGTGAATAATAAGTGAATTAGTAAGTAACTTAAGTAGTAGTGTTTGAATTGTTGTATAAGCATAAGCAGACTATTGTCAGGATTATGAAGATATTAATATAATAAGACTTATGAAGATTCGATTTTGAGAGGATGTGTAATATAAGAGGAGTAGATTGTGATATTCGTGTAGGACCTGGTAAGAGGTCAGTTTGAATTCTCTAACATTTGACCAACAGTAGAATAGCTCTTCATAGATTCCTCCGGTTACATATGACGAGCAGCTATAGTAATAGCTATAAGTTGCATGGATGTTGATCTAGACTTGTCTTGTCTCAATTCTGTATGTAGGTACAATATCGTGGTGCAGGAGACTAAGGCTAACGTGCTGCCGGAAATAGCTGCAAACTGGCGATGACATAATTCGGGCGTTAGCGCTGCAACGACGTTGTTGAAATACTTGATCTTCGGTTTCTTGCCAGGAACAGGGGCTAAATGTAGTAGTTTGATTTACATAGTCGATAAACTATCTAACAGCCGCCTAACTACCACTAATCCTAGAGGTCTAGGTAAGTGCCTCAGCAAGGGAGAAGTATCGGGCTCACATGCCAAATGCTATATCGACGTTTCTGGTTATGACTTGGTATCAACGGCATCTAACGGCTTATAATGTGTTTGTTGTATTCTTGGGTAGATTGGTAGTTGAATAGAAACATCAACTACCTAAGCATATATGTAGGTGACTTATACTTGACAAGCTAGATATAAGTACCTAGTCGGGTGACTCATGTTGGAACGTTACATAAACTCCCAGCATTTTTGCAACTTGCATTTGCTCAATCTCCCAATGTGAGTGAGGTTTGACTTGATGGTTGTGAAGAGAAACATAACGGAGGATCCCGTACAAGTTAGCAACAAATATGCTACGTCATAATATTATTCTAGTGCGACAAAGCCACAAGAGAACCAACCCCACCATTAAATAGATTACCGAAAGCGGATGGTACGATATGCCAACCGGGAAGCCCCATTGGCAGCGGCCACCAGTTCCTCAGGTACTTGGATACATCAGGGAAGCTAATCTTATTCGGGTGATTGGTGTGGACAGAAATGGGATAGCAAGCTGGGGAAGGCGCAAAGGTGACGACAACGCCATATCGTCACTGCACATCCCTCCAACGCTAGGAAGTTATCCTTTTTCCTCTCTTCTGTCTCAGTGAATTACCCCCCTTTTTGCTTATCACCAACCACGATTCCGACTCTCGACGTACGAATTGCATCCGAGTCGTAACTTACTTACCTAGTAAGCTTCTCAAGCTAATACTCTATTTAATGTTAGAGCCCGATCGAGTTGTCGCCTAACTTCGAACGTCGAATGTCGAAAAGACCGAATGACAACGAATACTCTCGAATCGTGTATGTAGAACCCATCTGCGACGACTTCGTTTAACCATTTAAACACCTCAATTGGTGTTGAGTTGCTTTGATTACTCAGACCACCACTCGCATGTTCTCGATACTACTTCAATACCTACATACAATTTACAATGTACATCGTAGCCATATATGTGAACGTTTAGACTAACTTGCTGCCAATCGTGTAGGATCACACTGAAGATAGAAGCATTTGAACATTGAAGCGTCGAATGTGTACGCATAGTACACCCACACCTCTCTAGAGCTAAAGAAGCTTATTCGTTACTCCATCTGCACCTGCCGACTACCTTGAACCCTATGCACTTATTATCTACGAAGCCAATATAATCCCTCCTGCCGTGCCACCTACTTGCCTAGGCAAGCTCTCTAAAAGGATCTAACGTTGAAGGTACGCTAGAGAAACCACAAGACCAGGATTATCAAAGCTGCGGACTTGCCGGTTCATCATTCTTCTCCTGATTCTTCTTAGTTTCAAACCTTATTAGATGTTTAGCTGTTGTTAGTATGATTCTAACCGGCCACTTGAGTGTAGGGTTGCGTCAATATCCGCTCGAGTGCTCCTCCCATCCTCAATTCTAATATGAATCAACCCGTTGCCGCCGCTGCCTTGGAACCGGGAGGATTCCCAAGTAACGGCGGTGTAGGAGGGAACTATTCGAGGCCTGTTTCCGGTAGTTACTTTGCGTACCACCAGCCACAAAGAACGCACGTCGATGACGAAACTCTGTCCAACACTCTAGCCAATTCTTACACTGCACCGCCTCAACCCTCTCAACCGTCTCAGAACAACGACAACCGCCAACCCAAGTTTACCGAAGAGTGGGATGCGAGCGCGAGAGGAAGCTCGGTCGCAGACGGTCCAACATCTCAGCAGAATCATTATCCGCAGTCTACAATGCAGCGCGCCAATTCCGTCTCCTCGCGACAAGACGTCATCACCGGCGACAATGCGAGCGTTCATGGTATGTCCTTATCAAGAGGGAATACTTTAAAGAAAAAGAACTCGTTACGTAGGAGTGGAAGTCTCAAGCGTAGTAGCAGTCGCAGGAGCATGAAGGCCGGTAGTGTTAGGAGCCTCGCCCTTCAGAGCTCTCATGACTCGGACGAAATTCACAGTGCATTCTACTGTCCCGTACCGACCTCGGGTAGTCCTACGGAATTATTATCCAATAGATTTCAAGGTAAGTATCGGTCTTGTATCGCACTGTTTCTCCTCGTTAACGTCGATGTGTAGCATGGAGAAAAACCCTCAAAGATCTCATTGCGTATTTTCGTGAAATACAATCTCACTATGAGCATCGATCTAAATCTCTCCTCAAACTTGCCAATGTCCTCAACAACACGTCCACGCCACCCGGCTTCCTTGCATCCGGCGGGATAGATGATGCGCTCCAAATCCTAAGGAATTATCACAAGAACGCAATCGCAGAGGCCAATAAAGCTCGAGAAATCGAGGAAGATGTTATCTTGGCATTGACTGGTCTAAGAAGCGATCTTAACCAGAAGATAAAAGAGATCCGAAGCTTATCCAGCGATTTTAAGAATTCGGTGGAAAAGGAGATGGATGGAACTCGGAAAGCCGTCAACGCGCTTCAAGAAATCCTAGGGCAAAATGAGTTGGACTCGTCTATGACGACAGGGAAACAAGATCCCTACCTTTTGCGATTGGCAGTGGATCGTCAGCTTGAGAGACAACTCGACGAAGAGAATTATTTGCACAAGGTAAAACCATTCCCGGGTTTTTAACGAGAACATAATCTTACAAATAAATAGGCGTATTTGAACCTCGAATCGTCTGGTAGAGAGTTGGAGTCGATCGTCGTGGGTGAGATTCAAAAGTCTTACAACGCATATGTCGGTATTATCAAACGGGAATCGGACGCAGCTTACAACGCCATCGACGAACTCCGCGCCGGGCCTATTGCGATGCCCAAGGACTACGAGTGGATTAGTTTCATCCAAAGGGACTCGCAGTTTGTGGATCCTGACGTTGCGATGAGATCCGCCGAGCACATTCACTATCCGGGACGAGATCACTTTGCGTGCCAAGAAATTCGTGCAGGTCTACTTGAGCGAAAGAGCAAGTATCTGAAGAGCTACACAGCTGGATGGTAAGGTGTTTCTATTTTTTTGTTTATGGGCTAGCTAATATGATAATAGGTACGTATTGTCACCAACTCACTTGCATGAATTCAAATCTGCGGATAAGACCCAGGCGCCGGTTATGTCATTGTATCTACCAGAACAGAAACTCGGCTCCCACTCCACCGAAGGAGGCTCGTCCAACAAGTTTATCCTAAAAGGCCGACAGACAGGATCCATGCACCGCGGTCACACGTGGGTCTTCCGTGCCGAAAGTCACGACACTATGATGGCTTGGTACGAGGACATTAGAACACTCACCGAGAAGTCTCCCGAAGAACTTAGCAACTTTGTCCGAGGTCATGCTCGCACGTATTCTAGAACTTCACAGCGAACCACGAGCTCGGATGGCATGGTAGACGAGGATGACGAAGAGCCTTTTGCGGTCGACCCCGCCGTCGCTAGCCCGGGCTCTCGCCAAGAGTCTCTCCAGAATCGACCCGAGCCAGGGGGTAGGTTCCCTTCCGACCTTCAGATTAACGCGCAGAGAGGCTTGCAAGTACCGCGCTCCCCCAGTAGTGCCGGCTCGGGGTACCTCGCCAACGAATACACGATGACGGGTGCGAATGCGAACAACATCGTAGACCGTGACGCGATCGCCGTCGCCAATGCCAGCGCGCTACCAGGCAGTGGTGTCGGCGAGAACTACCCCGGAAACAGGGCGTCGCAGCAGCTTCAGGTTGGACAGTCTTACGGGAACACACCGAGCGTGAGAATGGACCAGGCACACAGTCACGCAGCAGTTATTGACCATCAGGCACGAGCAGATGGCGTAAACCCGTACAGCGGAGAACCTATCCTCCAACAGCCGCAACCCCAACGCGGCCCCTCAATCGTAGCGGCGCCGAGACCGAATTCCACGGACACGGCGCAGACTTTGGAAACGAATACTAGTCTCGACTCGGCCGGCGCGTACGAGACTGTGGCGGGCGATTCCCAACAGCAACAGCAGAAGCGAGACTCATTGCTGGTTATTGGAGCTGGGAATAGCTTCATGAAAGTATTGCCTGGAACCGCGGTCGAGGGCGCGCCGTTCGCGACGGTAGCTAATGGCCAGTATGTTGTCCAGGGACAGAGACCGTATGGCGATCGCACGAATAGCAATCCGCATGTTCCGGGGGAGTACCCTAGGAGCACGCCGGGGGCTTGCTAGATTACTTTCGTGGCTTTCGTGGCTTGGATGGGTGGGGGTGTTTGGTTTGAGGTAAACTAGAATGGTTGGTTGGCTTGGTCGTTCTCCGTATACTTACTTTTCTGACGAAGGTGGTTGCTGTTGTAGCGTGTTGAGTAAAAGTAAAAGAAGCGGTTTTTTTCTTCTATTTATACTTACCTACTTACGTCTTGGGGAGATGGATTGTCGGATCCGGTGGGCGAGAGGTGCTTTTTTTGAACCTGTTTTCGATTCGACGTTTTTATACAAGCGATAGATGGCAGTGCTAAGGTATACCTTTTGATATACCGTTTTCTGTCACTTTTAGGGGATGAGTTGCTGCTTTTTTTTCTTGAAGCGTGGCGTTGGTTTCTGTTGCTGTTGAGCGAAGGAGAATAGAAGTGTTGCCATTCTCGTCTGTCTCTTTCCGTGGGGTGGGGTGGCTTAACTTCGCTTTGGATATGGGTAGCGAGGTGAATCTGGACCGGTGGGTTGGGTATAGGGGTATTTCACATTGCCTACCTATTATAAGTATGAGGGATGTGGATAAGGGGCGTGGGTTGGGTGGATATACAGACAGAACAGACAGATTATGGAATACGAATTCTTGCGTGTGGTTTTTTGTTGAGTTGAATTGGTGTGTGCTTCTTGTGAGACTACGTTCGTATATAGTGACTTTTAATGGGAGAATGGAGTAGGGGATACATGCTGGGTGTGTTATACGACGACTAGAGTAGATGTAATATTTAATCACCTAAAACTAAACATGTATTTTCACTTACTAGGGACATTATAGGTTCTGGTTTTACTTGAAAGGACATCAAATTTCTAATACTTGTGTATGTAGATGAGAGCGATCTCGGTACAGTCTCAGAACTGACTATTGAGCTACCATGAATTGATAATGGATATGCTTATGAAACCCTCTCAGCTACGAATATGCTAAGCCATAGCTACCTGTGATCTCTCGTTGAGCTAAGGGTCCTTGACATTGAAACGTCAAGTTCGAAACTCAACAGAGACCGAGCACATAAAAATCACAACTTGAAGACCAAATATAAGCATCTTAATCTTCTCAACATTCTACCATAATCACAGTATATTTACATCTAGCAGCCATCATTCATCTACTCGAAGCAGCAATGCTTGAATTTTTCACTTTGACGCAAGATCCATCTCATTTTTTATCATGGAAAAAAAGACTCGAATTCAGATATCCTCAAATAACGCCGTTCCCGTACCGTATGAACATCAAGAGGATAACGACGACGCGAGGATGAAACCGCCGGAATGTCGTAGAGGGCGTGGAGGGGAAAGCAAAACGGGTTGGGTCTGGTATATCCTGCCCAGCTTAGTAGCGACCGCCGCCCCTGCTGAATCCACCACGTCCCCGACCTCCTCTGTCACCACCGCCACCACCTCTGCTGAATCCACCGCTGCCTCCGCGTCCACCTCCCCTACCTCCGAACCCACCACCGAACGAACCCCTGCCTCCTCTCGACGGGCCACCTCGGCTGAAACCACCACCTCCGCGACCTCCTCGCATCGGACCACCTCTACCACCCCGACTAAACCCACCACCGCCACGACTCGGCTTCTTGACCTTGGGCGCACCTGCAGGGGGCTTAGGTCTCGGGAGGAACTTCTCAAGGGGAAGTAGCTTCTCGCTGCCGATGAAGAACTTGTCGCCGGGCTTGAAGGAGGTGGCCTGGATTCCCTCGGAGGGCTTGATGGTGAAGTAGACCTGGTTGATGGGGCCGAGGACCTCGTCGACCTTTCCGACGGCCGTCTTGTTCTCGAGGAAGATCTGCGCGTTGAAGTGCGGTACCTTCGGGTTGATGCTCTCACATACCATCTCGCCCTCGCACGCGTGCATGAAGCTCCCCATTTCGAGGATCGTGTCGGGTGGTCCCATGTCTCGCTGGCCGAAGCCGCCGCGGCCTGGGAGTGGGTTGTGTGTTAGTTTTGCTTGTTGTGTTGTGCTATATATAATATTTATATGTGTATATGTAGTCTAGATATTAAAAAGAGCTGTACGTACCACCACCTCTGAACCCGCGGTTCCCTCCGCCGAAGCCGCCTCGTCCGCGCGGCGCTCCTCTCGACATTTTGACGGTGTTTTTCGAGGTCAATTGGCCTCTGTGGTGCGTTGTCGGATGTTTCGTTGAGCTGGAATAGTCGATTCTCGGTTTGCGACTGCTAAGTTTTGCACGAACGAATCGAAGCTTTGCAACTGTAACTTGCAATAATAATTTTGCTGGAGCTCCCGCATTTTTTCTCGGTCGGAAAAATTGTTCGGGGGTGATAACATGGTTGTGATAAGATAGGCTTGAGATAAGCTAGTATAGAGGATATTGATTTATTAAGACACTAGTGCGCTTGGTTATGTAAGCATCTATATCGTCCATAATAGCCTATTTCATTAATTTACAGTTTACAGGGGACTATGCAGATTATTTGCGACACCTTCCTAGATTCCTTTTTCTTTTCGATTCTTTTGATATTAACGTGGAGTTAAACGCAGATCTATGGGGCAGCAAATGAGAACTAGAAAAGTCGTCCTACATGCAACAAGATCAATAGAAACGTTCCATCGACAGCGACGCCACCTTTGAATATCTAAAGCCGGGGATTCTATACGAGAATGGAAAATGGCGAATGGAGCATGAATGACATGCCCGCCTTCGGTGACCACTGACACCATCGGCCATGCGGTTCGGTCACACCAAGAGATTACTCGATGAGTGGCGCACTTTCGTGTCTCGCATGGAAACAAGCCTTATTCTAGCCTACCATTCCAAGACAATTACAAGCTTCGAAATGTTCCGAAGCGAGCAGGCGAGTAAGATCAAGTGATTAGCCGTGGGGTATCAGCAATACTATCTAGCCTTTGCTCATCATATTATCAAGACATGCAGACATGCAGACATGTGCTATACCATGATGATGTGAGGCCGTTTTGACAATCATCATGTCTTGTCCGTGTCCGTGTCACCTTGTTATATGAAGACGTCTTGGGACTTTCATGCTTCTTAAGTTCTTATGCTTTCAAGTTATAGTACGTTCTTGTTAATTGTTTGCAACTTCAGCTAATCATAAATTTCAAACAATGTTGAAAACTTGCCAAGATCCGAAGCAAGGAACGACAAGGATGTTTATAGTCTATCTTGAACCCTTAATGCTTTGACAGCATCTGTAGTAACTTGACCCCTAAGATTAGCTCGCTGGAGATATATCGGCGAGCCCCGCCGATCGTGAGAAGCAAGACAAGTGATGGCGAGAAGTCATCGACATATGCTGATATGTAAGACGGCGTCGTACCTGATCATACCTTACCAAAGTAGGTACCTGTCTGTCAACTATCTTGGTATGATGAAACCCAGTGAGCTTGTCATCTCTTTAATTAGCAAGTTTGGGTTAGTATGACGTTGTGTAACCGTGGGATGATATGAAAAGGGTCTTGGGATTTGCCAAGTGTGTGAAGGGCTGAGAAAGGTGGAAATTTTGGGCTGTACTTTTCCGATAGACCTGAGCTGTGCCGCTGTCGAACGTTTCATAAAAATAGAAATGCGGGATGTTCAATGAAATATGAAAATATTATGCTCAGCTGAATTTGACGTAATAGTCAGCATTTACCGTACAGGTTTCCGTTTATTTTTTTATGGAGGATTCTTGTTGGTGGAAGTACATATATCACAACACACCAACCAACAGCAGATTATGGCTGAGGAGTGATGGAATCGTGCAGCCGATGTGATATGGGATAGGTAAGCAGCAGTGTAATGAGCTCGCGCGCCAATATCTTGCTATGAAGCCTGGGAATTTTAGGCGTATTCGAGGAATATGATTCCATAGAAAGGAGCTCTTGACTGAAGAAAAATGTGTCGTTGGCCTCGCTACAATAACCCGCCTAGGACAGTAGAAGAGGAAGTACACAGCTGTTGTCGGCGACATCGTTATAACACGCATCCTACCCTCAACGAGGATAGTGTCTAGGACGGTTGGCGGTTCGTGGTGCTCCGCGTGCCGGGATTGGGGGGAGGGGGAATATCATGACGGTAGTGGGGTGTTGGATCACGGCCCGCCGAAGGTGGTGTAAGGGATAGGATGGCTACGCATCTGCAAATGTTGATCGGGAGGCTATGGAGAGGGATGGTTAAGGTTTCCTGTCAGCCTGTGTGACTGTGTGAAGTTATAAGTTCAGTAGGAAGTTGATGCTTGAGTATAGTCAGATGCTTATTTGAGGTCCTAAGTACGTCATTCTTGCTATGAACGATACATGTTAGAGCTGTCAGGTAAATAGGTAATGTTGGTGGCATATTGAATTGGTGGTCGTCATGATATTCCTCGTCTGCTTGTTCGATACATTTACCGTTTCCCTTCAAAGTCCGTTTTTATACCATGACCGTTTATAAATCCTTATGAATCGTGGCTGAGTAATACGATAGTGGTGCTAGACCAGATACGGCGAAAAGACGCTGTGAACACTTTGCAGCCCGCGGCACCGCGTTCCCCATTGCAGGTGTCTTAGCGTTGTGATATCGCGTGGTATCCGAATCCTTGGGTTAAGCTGACACATCTGGTTGAGTTACAATTACCAGAGACATAGGGCTAGCTTCAAAATCTTGGAACCTAACGAGTCCCGAGAACCCATTATGACTTGGCATACGATTAATAAACTACCAGGTATGCTGAAAAGAGAAAGAAAAAAACTAGCCCCTCTGCCCCTGTACCAGTAAGATCTTGGCATGTGTAGATGATAGTCTAGACCGGAGAAGATGCGCGAGATGAGCGAGACGAACTGGCGAACGAGGGTAGACGAGATATGCTAGGCCACTTATGGCCTCGATTCCAGCATAAAATCGAATGTTGCGCCGCAATACGGTGTTGCGCTGGTGATCAAAATATGGAGGCATATACATAAGCTTTCTCGCGAAAGTTATCTGACGTGCTATTTGCTGGACGATCCTGTCCGCTTGCGGCACGGATGATTCGGATTTCACGCTTAATGGCTTGTCCGTGGCCGAATTCTAGCGTTCGCAACCGGAAGACTGGATGGTCTATCTCCCATAGGTCGCCGCACGTGTCATCGATCTGCTTTCATGCGGTGTAATTGCTCCGGCCAGTAATTACAGCCATCTTGTTCAGCACATTCACCATGTTCCAGGCAGCGACTTTTCAGTGTCGCAATGGGTTTCCAGGGTTGCTGTTGGGTTGTCAGACTCGATAACATAACCAACAAAGAATTTATGATATTTCGTATCGTACAGGACCCCTCTAGTCGGATGGCGCCAGCGCTAGTTTGACCAACACTAATATAATAATAGATGATGCCTGGACTAGCGAGAGTAGTAACAGCCGCAAGGCTCGTAGGCTCGTAGGCTCGTAGGAATACCAAACTACTATAAGCCAAATAGTAGATATGCGAGATCTAGGCTGTTAGCTACATATCCTAAAACAAAGGCTCATTGATTGGTATGGGCCGCATCTCGTATAACAATAACATCCGCCTCTAGAAAGACCGGATATTTGTTCTTAATTCAACCAAGCGTAACACAGCTGAAGCGACAAATACGGCTGGTCGTCCCGAATGGAACTTACCCCGGCAGATACCTGTGTTATGGTATGTATCTATTATCTATGCAGGTGGCTCTGGTTGGTGTTCCGTATACACGACGCCAATCAGCGGTAGGATTTTTGAACAACAGTAGATAATCGCACATAGTAATACGAAGTTGAAGAATTGACCATTCGATTTCCAGGCGACTGTTTTAGTTTTGCCCTTACAGTCCTTAATGATACCAACTGCGGGGAAAGTGTACTAGGTAGTACTAGGCTTAAGAGCACATCGTTATACAAGAATGACAACATGTATGTAGACTCAAGTCCTACACGTGTAAAATAGGCAGCAACATTGAATGGAAGCACAATAGAATTTTAGAAATTAAGTGCACCTTCCCATGTAAATAGCCTCATGTTAGTTGCATAAGGGTCATACTCGGTTAAGTTAGCTGGTTAGGTAGGAAAAGAGAAAAAAAAGCAATAGGGAAGAGGAAAGAGGAGCCACTGCAGAAGCATCGATGACTTAAATGGAACAGTGGCCTAATGTGGTCTAATGTGGATAATGCGGGTCTGGTTCCATCCGTGCCCGCTACCTAGAATAAGTATCTTGGTAACGTTGGAAAGTACAATCTCTAGCAGAATAACCAGAGATGGTACATGGGTGGAACAAGAATGGATTTAGCTAAGGATCCCCTAACTTTAACTAAGCCTCCTCGGCTTCTGTCCCATCAGCACTAATTCTTTGTAATTTGTCTTGGCTTTTAACCCACGACATCCATGGATCTATCATGGATGCGGTGTTTGCAGTCAGTCATGTCCACGGGTATTCGTACTGCAGGACATCACTTATTTTATACCTACCAGGTTACCCTACTTGCCTACAAAAGTCCTCCTACCCTTACATTCGCTCTATTCTAATAACGGAATGATGATAATAATAATAAGCTGACCCTACCTGACCTACCTCATCTACTTGACCTGCCTGAATTGCTGAATCATTGAATTGACAACCTTGTCTGTCAATCATATTTCGCCCCTCTCCTTTATTCGCTTCCCAATTTATGACCTATCCAATCCTTCCTTTTTTCGTTTTTGTTCTTTTTTAATTTACTCGACCACCTCGACGCGGGACAAATTCATAATATGAACCCTTCGCCAATCCTGTCGTCGCCGTCGCTTCCGCTATCCTCCTAACATTCTTTAGAACATTGATTCAACTATCCTTGTCGATTCCCGTGTCAAAGCTACGTCAAGTCACGCGTTGGCTCAACATTAGCGCAACTCCGCAATAGCATCACGACGACGAAGTTTTAGGATAATACCTATTACCTAAGTTTTTTTGCTATAGGATATAGTAACTGGGCAAGCGGTCACGGATACTGTCAGAGTCGATATTCTACAATCATTTGGCCTTATATACGTATAGGCGCATTGGTATATTTCATCAAGTTCTGCGCTAATCGCATACCACGATGAAGGAGCAGTGGGATAAGGACGTCGAGTCCTCCGCTCAGTTGCTTTCTAAGGAGACTCAGTCGCCGGGTAGCGAGGAATTTGATTTCGACGAACCCGAAGAAAGTCAAAATTGGTCGTCGCCGCACAGATCCGATCATAATCCAATATGGCGTCGAATCCAGTCTATTCCGGTACCTAGTTGGTTACCCGTTCGCAAATTTAACCCGAGATATTTCATATTCGCTGTTATCGTCTCCCTACTTATAACCTTATTTGTCTTTAACCCCTATTCTCCCGCGAAACCTACCCAACATCAAACAGATGTTGACGTCTCTCCTACGACGACACCGACGACTGCGGCAGCTCAAATCACATCAACAGTTGCAACTCACGAAGAAAAACCTACATCCGTACCCGCACCCGAATCTGCAAGTGCGCCCGCATCTTCTCCGTCCGAGAAAGTCGGAGAGGGGGCTGAGAAGCCTAAGGAGAAACCGAAGCCCGAGAGCAAATATTGCACGACATGGCCTGTGGATGAACATGGAAATTACAAATTGCAAGAAACGAATCGCGTTGATAAAATTAAGCTAGATAGCATTGCTCCCAAGGGCGGTTGGAAGAAACCGGCTGGCATTAAGGTCATTGGTATGGTCTTCTATGGTCGCAAGAGATATGTAGACCTTCTAGACTGCTACCTGCAACAGAATTTGGCATCCAATGGTGGCTACTTTGACGAGGTTTGGTTCATGGCCCACACCAAGGTTGAGGACGATGTTGAATGGGTAGAAGAGCTCGTCAAGAAGACGCCCGGCTACAAACTTGTTGGCAAGGGAATTTGCGAAGGTAAAAAATACAAGTGCATGTGGAACTACGCGGTCGAGGACAACACCATCTACGTCAAGATAGATGACGATATTGTGAGTAACCCCTCTTGCTACTTACTGCGTTTTGCCTCTATTTCGGGCAAGATCAGAACCAGAGAGTGAGGAGAAGCGCGGACTAACCTTATGACTTAGGTATATATCCACCAAGACGCTATCCCTCAACTCATCCACACTCGTATTGCTCTTCCTCATCCGTATGCGATTTCAGCAAACTTAGTCAACAGCCCTGTCACCGGCATGGAACAGTATCACTATGGCGCTATCCATCCCTTCCTTCCGGATCCGAGTAGCAAGCCTTCGTTCTTCGCAGCGGAATCGTGGCGTGTATCGGAGAAAAAGAAGTATCCAGAAGAGGAATTGGTAGCCGATTATAACCTTATGGATATCAAGCCCTCGTACCGTGGTCACCCGTGGCTCCTCATCTCCGACGACCACTATGATCTCCTGAAGACCCCGATGGGTAAATATGACCAGAACCGCGGTGGTGATCCGATCGCTTTTGGTGCCGCGTGGAAGTCGTGGGCCATTGGCGCGCAGCAACAGTACTCGCTCCTATACAATCTTGAACAGAATAAGATGTATCGTTATTTCTTCGGTAGAAACATTCGCTACCCGGAGAACTCTTCCAAACCGAATGCTACAGCAGTCGTTCTCGGTGACGGAAAGGGTCCTGGTGGCGAGCAGACATACGACACCGGATTCAACCGATACAACCTGAACTTCGTAGCTGTCTGGGGATCCGATATCAGGGACCAACTTCCTATCGCCGACGATGACGAGCAAGATATTACCGCGGATATCCCAAGACGTATCGGACGACCGTTCCTCATCGACACGCGCTCCGTAGTCGGCCACTTCAGCTTCTTCACCCAGCACGACGGCATCACCAAAAGCGATCTCCTTGACAGGTATCGCGCGTTCGCGAACGAGGCTGTCTGTGCGCCGAATAACCAGAAGAAGCCATACGATCCGATGTGCGAGGACTTCCGAGTTGAAGGTGGTCTAGGACGGTAGTAATGGTCTTAGTAGTAGCAACATGAGTTGAGAATTGACGTAATCGGGAAGGGGGGATGTGAAGAGCGTGATGTATCTCTCGCACCTCACATCCTCATGACATTTTTTTGCATGGCGTTCCTGGATACTTGCATACGAAACGAAACCGACCGGGCCAATTCCGTACAAAGGTGCTAAACAGGTTCTGGTTTGGGCGAAGGCGAAGGCGAATTCACGGGAGTGATGCACGCGCGCTGCATTTTGGGTTGGATTTGTTTCTCGCGACGTTTGTTCCTCTTTTTTATACGATACTACGGGCTGGATACGATGGCGAACGGAGGGCGAAGGCGAGGGTAAGGCAAGGCGAGAAGGCGTACCGTAGTAGATATGCTATTTAGGAAAATGCATCCACACACCACACGCATATGTCTTGTATATATATGAATGAATGAATTGCGCCCATTGTCCTTTTTTAAAAAAAAAAAAATCATACTCCGTCCACCGGCTTTACATAGATGCGAGGACGGGAAGTGAAGGTAAATATAGGGTTTTTAGAGTGAGAAAAGGCTAACTCCTAGGCCATAGATAAACCCGGTAATGAGTGGTGTACGCGCGTCCTGGTGTGTAGGGGCCTGTTAGCGGTTGGGGCGGGAGTCGGCAGCCAATGCAGGTGAGATGATGGATCGGATTGGGTTGTGGATTTGCTGACCGGTTGCGATGAGGTACATACGCTTAATACCTACCTATCTTAATATACGATTATCGTATGATTGATTAAATGACGGCTTCTGGGAGGGGAATGTCGGGTATTGACTTCTTAGGGATCTTGGTTTTCTTGGGGGAAGAGAGGGGAGATGATGATAAGTAGGTAGGTACATATATATTCTTTGGAGTCTACAGACACAGACTCAGTATTTTGAGACAGGAATCTTAAAGGTTTAAGGTGTAATAAGACAACCTTTTCGGCGTTCTATCCCTTCACACACATCTCTATTTACAGCTACCTATCTCTGGTAAGGCGTAGTCCAAGTGAGGTCGAATCAAACTCTGATGCGGCTCTACGACGGTGCCGACGGGAAGGTTTCCAGGGATATTGTGCAGCTCTGAGGTAGTATTCGGACCGTGGTAGCGATGTGTTTAACCTAGATGTAGTATGGAAGCCGAAACACGTGCTGTACATGCTCTAAATGTATTTTGAGGGGCGTATAGGTATCGATTAGTTCATCACGATGGATATCGTCGTCTATCTATTTATCTTCTTTTTCCGTTGTCCTTGGCCCTCTCTCCCTCTGCTTCAGACAGCAATTTCTCGAATCTCAATAGCTTTATGCCCAAACATGCGGGCCCAATCGAAAGTTGTGGTTAGGACCATGTTTGGTGATTACCTACCTAGGTACCTACCTAGTAGGTAGGTATCTAGTATTCTAAGATCTTTTCTTTTAAGTAGTAATTTTACAATGTCCTCACGCCCTTTCCGAATAGCGAGTTCCAATGGTGTTGTGAAACCACAATTAGGATTTACTCTATTTGAAGAAAGTAAGATTTCAACGATGGCTAGATCGCTTCCGGCAACTTCTATAGCTGCGAGTAGTGGCGTCTGTCCAAGAATACTCTCCATATTCGGATCTATCGTATCGTCGGCAAGGATGGCTTTGATAATATCTTTGGTTTCGTTTTTAATTTTTCCGCTGTTGTTGGATAAGCAGACCTCCTTGATTAGCAAGAAGGTTTTTTCTTCTGGATCGAATTGTGGAAGAAAATCTGGCAAGAGATAAAAGCGCACTATTTCGGGCAACTGTGGTGAATATTGCGCTAAGCTGTTGGCGTCCTTCTTTTCAGCGTCCCACAGCAAGTTAACAGTGCTCTCGTGTCGATTATCGAGTGCAACTAATATTGGTGGAAGCACGTCTCCGATCCTCACATCTGCCCCCCGGGCTAGAAGTTGTTTGACGACGGCGTCTTCTCCGTTTCTTGCCGCCCACGATAATGGTGTTTGGCCATCTACACCCTTCGAGTTGACATCGAATCCGCTGCACTCATCGCATAATATCCTCACTACTTCTTCCAGCCCAAAATATGCTGCTAGGTGTAAACCGGTGTCTTCTAGGGTCTCTCGAGCTTTTCTATCACTCCCAGACATCAAATATTCGTAAGCTTTGTTAGCTTCACGAAAAGAATACCTCCTGCTGCCCATTAATTCCAGGCATGCCGCCTCGACATGAGCCTGCTTTTGGAGAAATGAAACGATGTTTTTCCAATCGCAGCTTGGGGATTTGCGCGCATGGGTACCCCAATATGCGACCGCGTATTGATAAAAGGGGTGACGTAATAGTCTCTGGTCGTAATCCCATGTGCCTAGTATAGCCCCTTGGTCGAAATCCCCAAAAGATAGATAATTGACACAGAGTCTCGTAAGATTTGCTTGAGCGTTTGGGTACCATTTATTTTCTACTTTCGTGAGGTATTCCTGTGTCGTGTAATGAATTAATCGAACAAATCCATCGTCGTTGCATGTAATCAATCCGGCACAGATGGATAGCAACTTCTTAGGACTGGGTTGAAAACTGGCGTCAAAATACCTCATTCCTGGTTGGATTGCGAGAGCCTGAAGCATCGCCCTTATATGAAGTGGAGTTATGGCATAGACTGCCCATGCAAGGGCTTGGTATGCCAGTTTACTACATTCATCTCCTTGGTTTTCAATCCTTTCCAGGGTACGTTGGTATGCCGAATCTAATCTGTCCGATGCTGTAATAAGGTTGCTTGTCACTTGTTTAATGTGTCCTCTTGTTGGCAATCCCCTTAATGAATTCATGTGAAGCTCAGCAAGCAAGAACCTATCAATGCGTTTTAGTCAGATTTCTTAAAAAGTATTAAATAAATACCTAAGTAAACCCCGGACTAGGAAAGACAACGAATTGTGTACTAAGAGAGGAGAGCTTACATTCCATCGGCTGCCTTGATGACCTTCGATATGACTTCTTCTCGGAATTCATCATCAAACAACCCATCCCTTTCAAGCAGAATCTGACTACGCAAATATTCTTCCATGTCGTGGCTATCCGCAGTCACCTCTATAATGGACGAATTCGCGAGGGCGCCTTTGATCTCTCCAACTATTCGCGAAGTTGCGAATATGTTGATCTGGCATGCTTTCTGGAGGTCTAAAACCGTAGATATCAATAGCCACATACAGTTACCATCTTTTGTACATTCATCTAGGGCATCAACGATGAAGAAAGCCCTGCTGAAATCAGCCAACATAGATTTTAGTACATTGGTGAGTTCCTGATGGGTAGCCTCTGTCTTTTTATCTTTATGCATGCCGTAGAGCGCCTTCACAGTTTTTGGAACAGAGGGCTGTCGTGCGATTAGTTGCCATAAGAGACTGGACAGGTAGCCCTCTATTGTTACTGGTAGTTTATAGTTGCAGTATATGTAAGCAACTACCACGTCTGTTCTGTCTTGGAATTTTGATTCGAGATCGCAGACTATAGTGGACGTAAGCACTGTCTTGCCTGACCCTTGGATGCCTGGGCAATAGAGGGTAGTCCCCTCGTCATCAGTCCACTGTACGAACTTGTCATGTTCTAAGAACCACTGGTTGGTCTTAGGATGCCGTTTCCGAAGGATTTCGCTGTGTCGCGAACCATAATTAAATGGCGCGAGCCAGTTGAAAACCTCATCTTTATCACGCTTAGATCGGATATACGCGACGTCTTCCTTGATTTCGGTAACTAATGATATGTTAAATGAAACACATTATACCCAGAAATATACTTGAGCAGCTATCTTTTAGGTTACTGACTATGACTCACGATGATCTCTTTGGCTGGCTGCTGTTGAACAATATCGCGAAGTTGCACGTATCCCAACAACTCCTTTGCAAATGCTGCACTGATAGCGGCTGCGTACTCTTGCCAGGCCTTATTCTTATGAGTATCCGCATAATCGCAGATTCCTCGAATGACAATGCAAGGGAAATTGTCCATCAATCCGGCCGCTTCCATCTCAACGCACAAGATGTTTCCATCATAGCTCTCGTTGAGAGAGTCTCGAAAAGCAGCATCCTTTATGACACTATTGCCGGATGCAATCAAGCCATAGTGTACTTTTGTTCCTAAAAGTTTCCTCTCAATGGCATGTTTCCTGTCGCAGTGTAAGCAACTCTCCTCCGTGGGATCGGGTTCGTCTTCAAGTCTTTTGGGTTTGTAGTCCGGGCTCTGAACATGGCTGTACTCTGCTTCGAAGAGTATATCCTGGAGTGCATCGGTTCTCATATACTTCGGTGCTGATTTTGGGTATTTCTTTTGCCAATCCTGTAGATATGTTTGCATTTTCGACCCCTCTAAGTCTTGCTCTGCCTGAAGTGTCGATAGCGCCGTGCGAAGGAATACTGGTGGCTTATCCAATGAACCAATCCGTTTAAATCGGGTGCCATCTTCTACTTTCCCTAGATCCCACTGCACTACTCCTGGATAACCATGACCCGGAATACTGACAACGACATCGCCAAGCCTGACAATTGGGGGGATGCCACCACCAATGCCAACCATTAAGCCAAATCTAACGGCTGGAAATGTTTCAGTCATATGGGCCACAACGATTGCTGCAGATACCGTTCCGTACCCACCCATGGGGAGGCAAGCTACGACGACATTATGAGTGCCAATGCATCCTAAGGTGTATGTGTTAGAATCATGCTTCGACTTTTGCATGTCGTGAGGGAGGTTATGTCGTAGATCTAGCATGGCTACAGCTGCTGTTTGCTCCTTCGGAAGTGCGCATACCCATCCCACTGTGTACTCATTGCGACTATAAGTCTCGCGGGACATTTTAGGTTCGATGTTAGGTCAACGAAGGAGGTAAGAAAGCCTTGAGGTTAGTGCATAATTTGAAAAATTAGCGGTAACACCTCTGATAAGCAAACTACTTGTATAAACAGAAAATTGGTATCGAAATGCTTATCTTGAACTCGAGGTTCCATTTATACACCTTTATTCTTATAGCCTACTTGTATGGTATTGCTACGTGATAAGCCTACGAATATGCCTGCATGTATGAACCCCAACGTCATTGACGTTATACTGAGTGGCTATGGTTAGGTATGTTCCAGGCCAGTGCGGACGGCCCATATTTACCTCTGTTATTAACATAACAGCGACTGGGATTTCATCTGTTCTACCTCATTCAATTCTACTAAAATCTTAACTAGAATGAGAGGTGTATAACTCTTAAGGCAATTAATCATTGTTAATTACTCAATCTTGAGTCAAACACGTTTTTGAGTAATAATAAGGGATATTTCCATAGCTGTTATACCAGTAACAGGTGGAAATATGGGGCGTCTCTGCACTGGTCTGGCCCCTATTCCGCCCCCTCACAAGAGCCTACCTTAGATGTACATCAGCCCCCAACTACCCAGTTAAAACAGCCTCCAACGTACCAACCATATTAAGCAAAACAACACCCCTTCACCCAAAGTCACTAATCAAGTATCCTTTTCCCTCAAACTAACCCGACACGGATAACCATCAGCAGGATGTGCGCCCCCAGATTGTGTCTGATAAGCGCGCTCGCCATTGACGCTCTTGACCTTAGTCGTAGGGTGCAAGCGATCCCACTCGTCATAGGCGTGTCTGATATCGAACTCGCGCACCGTAAGCGCCAGCGTGATTTTGATATCGAGCATAGCCAAGGTCTGGCCTAGGCAGTTTCGCGGTCCGTGCTCGAAGGGTCGCCACCCCCCTTTTACGGGGTATAGTGGGTCACCCGGCTCGACCAGCCAACGCTCGGGTATGAATTCCATCGCCGAGGGCCAGTATTTCGGGTTGCGCTGTACCGCGGAGTGTAGGATCCACATGTTAGTCCCTTCGGTTGGGTACCTGTTGCCCTTGTCGTCTTGGAGATATACGCTGGGCTGGCCACCGCGCATAGCGGACGCGGGAGGGAAGAGACGTAGAGATTCTTTGATGACTGCCGTGGTGTAGGGAAGCTGATTGAGTAGATGGGGCTGTTCGCGCATCGTGTTAGCCGTTTCAGTAATGTCGGTACCGAACACGGCGTCGTGCTCAGCGCGAAGCTTGGTCATGGCTTCGGGGTGAGATTGCAGGAGGTAGAAGCAATAGCAGATGGTCGACGACGTAGAATCGTGGCCAGCAAAGAGGAACAGACGTATCTGCACCGTGGCCCAGTCCCTAAAAGTTGGGTCAAGTTTCTTGGAGCGTGGCTTGTCCTTTTGCTGGGCCATGTAACCCGCCAGGACGAGATGGATGATAGAGCGCGAAGAAGCGGCTTTCTCATCCTCGGTCCATTCAGTATAGCGCTTGTCAAGTTCCCGGGCTATGTAGTTGTTCATCTGGTAGCTATTGTACCGCTGCACAATGGGGCGAACTGGGTTCCATCTGATGAGAAGGTTCCACTCGTTGTCAAGGACATGCCAACGAATTTGCCGACGCAATGCCGATGCTAGGGGATTGAACTGCTGTTGAGAATGGAGTCGTGAATCTAGGGTTACGGCGCCAATGACGTCCATCATGTACGATAAAGTCACGTCGTCTAAAGAGAACATTTTACCTTTTCGAGCGTGTTCTCTTAAAACATCGACGTAGATTTCGGCTTCATCTACAACGTGAGACGTCTGCTGTAAAATATAGCTAGCGCTAAAGCCCGAGTTGAAAAGTGCTCGAGAACGCTTCCATTCGGGTCCGTTCATAGTGAACAAGTTCGCGCCACCAGCTAACGGATTGAAAAAGGCATGTAGAATGTGAGGCTTAGGTAAGTCGTATTCCTGGCAAGCTTGAATAGCAAGTACAGGAGAGCAGATCACCATCATAGGGTCAGCAAACGGCCACATGTCTAGGTAGATGATAGAATCGGCATCTTTTTTCTCAGTTGCACGACATAGAGCCTCAAAAGCATCAGGCTGCTGTGTGTCTTCTGGAAGTGTTTTCATAACTGGCGGGACAGCGAGGAGATGTCCTAGGATGGAGTTCCATGGCGGCATCGGCTACACGGCGATCACATTAGCATTAATAAAGGTAAGAAGAGTTAGGCAGCTAGGAAACAATACCACACTTACCATTCCTTTCTGGCGAAGCTGGTAGAATGTAAGTCGGGCCTGATAACCTTTGACCAGAAGATAGACGAAGGTACTGGCGCAGGCAATTAGCCCAGCCATGGCCGCATGCCCCACACTGAACAGCTCGTCGCTAATCATGGTGAAGCCGAGGTTGCGTATAGTGGCAAAAGAAGATGCAATAGAAGCTAATGTTTGATATGCGAAGTAAAAGAATCCTTAACTAGGCATTATTAGTGATGTGTAAAGGTTATAGTTACCCCTATTGTTGGGACATAAAGTAATTGAGGGTGGAGTGAACGTTGTAGAGAATGGCAACAATCCGAATGCTGTGAAGGAACTAAGCCACCAATGCAAAACGGATGAGGAGACTGACGGCTATTACAAAAATGAAGCGTGCTTCTGATTAGCTCGACAAAAGCCATCATACGGTTGATGCAAGGGAGCCTGAAAGACTTGATAAAATGTCCATGATCCCTTCTTGTTATGTGAGTTAGATGTAAGTTACTTATTTGGTTGGGAGATGAGCTTGTATAAGATCCTTGGATGCGGCCATAACACACCTAGCCTTCTTGAGGCGGAGAGGCGATGGCCTCCAGGGCGAAGTTGTTGGAAGTTGTGATCACATTGTGTATAGCAGCGTGCTTAAAGGCTTTGAAGATTGATGATTGCGCTTTCAGGCAGACTTTATTACTGCCTACCTAGATATATATATAGGTAATTTCCTTGTTAGTCTATCGCTTCTTATCCGAGCAATAAATCTTATTTGATTAGAAAGTGCGTATCTTCCAATATACCTATTGTGACCAATTAGATGCCGAGCCGAAAACCTTGTTCTGGTCTTTTGTGAGACACCGTAAGCTGTGTAACCTGAATAGTCTCTCGATTCAGTATATAGTACGTATATTTTATTGATATTACTCGTACCCCATCCCATCCCCATTCACGCCCGTCATGTCCAACTGCATACACTAGCCAAGCCATAGATAGCAGCTGAATGAATGTCCGAATACTCCTTCCTTTTTTACGTTGGTAGAAAAATACGGCTTGATATCAGACAGATTCTGAAAAGTAGGTGGAAAAGGACCGTGGCGTAATTACCTATTCTACAAGGCGTGTGCCCTATCTTTTACCGCTAAATCCCCTGTAAGAATAACCTTGGAAGGGACTCCACGCACTCTTTTTCAACAACGGTTCAGCAGCAGCTCAATAACAACTATAGATCCCGATTCTAGACAAGCAAAAATTATATTATTCAATTCAATATTCGAAGCGCTCTACTTCAAGCTAGATTATATCGCGTCAACTGCATTGTCAGTACAATTATAAGACTTTCTTTTAAGTTGTTGTTGAGTTGTTGTCAACTAAAATGGATATATGGGGTAGTACGCTGGCTGTACTCAGGCACTTATTTAAATAATTACAATAATAGCTTAAGCTTAACAATGTCTCGACGGTTATAAGCACTATTGTTATATTACTAGAATACGTATATATCAATTCCCTTTATGAGAGCTTCAATATAAGCTTACTTACATTGTATAAGATCCACTGGAAATATGGCTATGAAACTTTGGTTTGAGCTGTTTTTAAGCTGTCATTGAGCCGTTGTTGAAAGTACCCGTAATAGAGCTGAAAGGGTACCAACTATTGATCATTGGGGTCACTTAGAATCTTAGCGCTAGGTGGAGCGCTAAGTCCCTTATTCTTATAAGGGGCTTTAGCAGAAAATACAGTGTATATTCCACTGATCGCACCCTATTTTTTCAAAGTTGGCGGTTTCAAGCATTCGCGCACCACAAGAGCGCTGGAATCTGATTGGCCGAGTCTCGTCTCAATATTCTTTAAAGAGCTTTGTAATTGATTATTATTGGTTGATCTTTGAACTATTCTGTGGTGGCTGGTCTGCGTTCTGCAGTTAGTGACGTAAGAGGTAGATTCCCCACCAGTTCCATGTAAAGCTCTTAAGTTAAAGCTTATTTTTCCAATCGCGTCGTTAGAAAAGCTTGCGTTTAACAATATCGCTACTCAATCTTGATGATTGAACATCCACCTCTGAAAACATCAATCTAATATTAATATGAGAGCTCTAAGGACATTCTATTGCTTGCCTCAGTTACTAAGTTATAAGATGGGTACCTACCTAAATCAAGTCTCAAGAATGATTTCGAAGTTAGGTATGCCCAGTTCGACTTAGCTGCGACTAATTTGCTTCGGATGAAAGTACTTAGTCAAGGGACGGAAAAGGGGCAAAATAAACTTTACATCGATCGAATAGCCAAAGCTTAATGCGACACCGAGAGATGGAAGAGTTCGAGTGCTCTTATTTAAGTGGTGGTGGTATCGACGGTTCTTGTTCTAGCCCCCCTTTTAGTCTTGTCTCCCCGTAATGCTCTCTTCTGGCGTATGTGGGTAGTCGGTTGATATTTGAGTAGGACGTTGCACGGGATGTTCGGTAGTTCCAAACTGACTCGAGGTATAGATTATGACAACGTTCACGTATATCCGCATATCCGATCTCTAGTCTAACACATAGCTTTATTAGATTTGCTCATATTCACCTAAATATGATCTATCTCTGGCTGATAGTGGAATTCAGAAATGTCTTCCACTCCTGATCACATTGGGAGGGTGATCTTGGCACGGAACAAGACACTTCATCGAGGAAGTAAGGAAATCAAGGAATCATATTTGGAATATCAAGTCTTCTGTGACTAAAATCTCAATTCTATTCGTCGGTCTAACTATCCCTACTATCGCGATGTCGAATCAACCGGGTCCAGATCATGGCAAAACGTGGGGAATCGATGTGGTCGTCGGGGCCTTCTTCGGCATCGCGGTGTACAACGCTCTTGAGGTGTACATATTGATGTTCAACACCTTTCGACGAAAGAATACGCTTTACTTCTGGACTATACTGGCTGCCAATACGGGAGTCCTATTACATTTACTATACGTTTTTCGTCTCTGGAGTCTGGCGCCTAATTTACCCATGGCCGTGTTCACGTCGATAGGTTGGATTTTGATGTCAACCGGACAGTCCCTCGTTCTCTACTTGAGGTTACATCTTGTTATTCACGACCGGCGCAAACTACGATGGATCCTATCACTCATCATATTTACATTCATCACATTACAGGTACCGACGACTGCGACATTCTTAGCCTTGTGCGCCTCTCCGCCGGACAGCGCAAACGGAAAGAAATTTAAGGATGCATTCGACGTATTCAAAATAGCGCAGCTTGCTGGCTTCCTGATACAAGAAGCTGTAATCTCGGGTATATACGTGTACGCGTTCCATAAAACATCGCGGCGTTTGCGCATGGTCAGAGAGGATCAAGTTAAAAAGATGCTACATGAGCTTATCGCGCTCGTCGTCATTGTTGTCTTATTCGACGTTGCGCTCATCGTGGACGAACTAGTGGGAAATTATCAGATCCAGACCACTCTCAAGCCGGCAGTGTACAGTATTAAGCTAAAGGCGGAGCTGTTCGTATTGAACAACCTCGTCACCTGGATGCAGACACCATCTACCACTTCCGGAAGCGGTGCATCAAACCCAAACGCGCGAAAGCCGGTTCCCTTAGATCGACTATCAAGCGGACATACTCTTACATCGGAAGTCAAGTCTCACCCGTTACATGTTCCCTCCCGCGTTTCCTCTCGCGTCTCCTCACGCGCTCCCTCGTGCGTCCCTTCACGCACTGCCACACCTGATCAAAAGCCTTCCAATTTGGGGAAGAGCGATACAATGGCGGAGAGTGAAGAGAGACCATATCAAAGAAATGGGAGTGAAATAAGCCCCCATTCAATGATGGCGTCGGAGCCGCGAGTGTTGACGGGGAATGGAGTCATGCCAGAACAAAGTCAGCCAACTTTTGAAAAGATAGATCTAGGTGATTGAAGTGATGCCTACAAACACTATAAGTCATATTTGACTAGGATTCGGGATCCAAGGACTACACGAGTAGCTAGTGTGTTTTGGCTGTTCAAGAGATCTGGTATGGATATAGACGACAAATGTGGCGTCGTTGAAATAGAAGGCCCATGGTACTAGGTAGAGTGAGGAATATTGTCCAGATAGAAGCAACGTTGATCAAAAGGGATAAAGGTGAGCATTCCTGAGTCTACCACTACCTTCATAAAATCTAATAGTGCATAGTATTCAGCTGCCTGTGGGGTAGCTCCTTTGAATATCAAGTGGACATTTCATTGTTGCTTGTTTTTCATTCTTGAGTCAATCCCAATGGAACAAATACTCGGATCTATTAAATAGTCATGAGATGTTAGTAGAAACTGGCTCATTTTCCTAGAATTTATAAAAGGTTCTGTATCTATGTGGAGTAAATCGCGGATAGTGCGGTTGAATTTTATATGCCTACCTAGTAATGTCGGTACCCCTTTAAATTATATTAACAAGTCTAATACTTTCTTATACACATATAGATTCAAACAAATGACCCCAGAGGGATTTATGGGTATGGATATAGTGTTTTAGGGAGATTACCCATATTTATTTCAGCACGTTTATGAAATGTTCATAGATGTGCCTGTGTGAATTTAAGGTACCTAGGTACTTAAAAAGGGGCACGTACCTGTTTCCATCCCGACACTCGGCGGCGACCCAACGAAGAAATAGAAAGTACAATTACTGATTCTCAGTTACCCTGGATACGACTCGTATTCTTTGCGAGATTATAGGAGTACATATTGGTCTACTACGGCGTCCGTAAGTACCCTTGACAGGTACCGCCTAAGTACACAAAACGACAAAATTCACAACACTTCACGGTCTTAGGAAAAGCCTCTCGTCCCCCACCTTCGTACGGATTTACTGATTTCGATCTCTGAAGGAATTCTTTATTTATTCCCTTCTGTTTACCTCGACGAAATTCCTTTCAACTTTCATTCACATCTCACCCACATCCCGCCGCCACCACGACCATTTCCACTCACTACCCCCCGTATCTTTCTTTTACAAGCGTCAACGAAAACAATATCAATTATTCTACTATTCGCATTCACTACCGTTAACAATGCCTCCCAAAACCGTAAGAGCAAAGGTGAGCAAGGAAGACGGTCGTTTGTCACAACGAGAAATCGAGATTGTCGCGATGGCGTGGTGTTCAGTCAAGTCCGCCAAGGATGGCAAACCCGTCGTAAGTACCTATTTTCCACTTATAAAACGCGACAAATACAATCGCCAGAATAATTATTTCTCGTGAATCGCACTTCTTCCATTCCCATTCCTACCAATTGATTTTTTTCGCGTCCAATTCGAGAACGTCTCACATATTGCGTCTTCTCAATCAAAACATACCTACCTCATCCCACCTCCCCGACTCCCCATCCCCAACATAGACACCACCCACTAACACGTCCAACAGGTCGACTTCCCCAAGTTCACCAAGATGGCAGGGTACAAGACCGCCGACTCAGCGCGCCACGCCTGGCGTCCAGTCGAGAAAAAACTCGAAGCGATCGCCGCAGCATCCAACGCCCACCCCGAGCCCGACAGCGCCCCTACCACCCCTGTCGCGGGTCCAAGCGCCTCTGTCGCCACCCCGCCTAAGCGCAAGAGCGGTCCTTACATCGGCGACGACGCGACTAGGCAAGGCATCGTCGCGAAGAAGTCGCGCTATGCGCTCTCTCAGGAACCCATGCGTCCCCACAAGAAGAAGGGGACTCTTGTTGCTGCTGTCAAGACTAAGGCTAGGGAGGAGGAGGATGAGGCCGATCTGGCTGCTGAGGATAGCTGGAATGAGTATGAGAGCTTTGACGAGATTGGGGATGGCGAGGCTTAGATCTTTCGTCTGGAGGCTGGTTTCCTCTGGTCGTTTGAGATGATGGGTCGTGGTCGTCGAGGATCCGTTGTGTTGTGTGTTTCGCTTCTCGGCTTGGAGGGTGGATGGCGTGGAGTACTGGTCAAAGGAGTTGGTGGGGATTGCTTTTGCTGTAGGTAGTTAGCACTCTGGTGTGCTGGATTTCGCGGTGGGAATGCGATTAGTCCACATTAAAATGTGTATGTGACGTTGGTCTTTGATTATATTTTGTGATTTGTTAACTCCTAGTATCTAAGATTGCAAGCATGAGTCTTCTACTGATGCTTGATGACTCGCTCGTATTAGGCATCATACGTAGTTGAATATGCCTATACCACATTGTTGATATCAACTCGCCGCGTGTAAATCTCCTCTTTAGTCTACATTAGATGCTACCTTACAGCCTCAATTTGTCATACTTCTCTATGGGTGATTAATCATAGAAATGTAACGGTACCGACTTTTAAACTGGGACAGTGATGACGCATGTTTAGTATAATGCTACTTATATCATCTTCCATCGTCCAATGAAGTCCAATAATACACCCAAGTCAGATAAAAGAACATATAATTTGACATAGGAGGTAGGGACTTAAGGAGGCAAGGGGCTAATTTTGGTCGCCAATATTACATGCATTACGCGCTTTCTAGATATAATTATGCCTGATATCCTAATTGGTATAGACTCCCCAATAATAGGGTTACAAGGTGATAAACATGGCAATGCTTTATTGGCAATTGTGCATGTCTAGCGGCCTGAGATGGAGGCCTAAGATTTTGGGATCTAATAGAACAATATGTAAAAGTGACAGGAATTGTGATGGCTCTCTGCTTTATCTTTTGGTCGGCTGACAGAATGAATTGTCATTAGGAATCCTCTTTATGAGACTCTGAGAATATATTGATAGCAAACGAATAGTTGTTTAGATCATTGCGCTGGGTAGAGATTGGGCGCTCACAGATAGGGGTAAGTCCGTTGGGCTGAAAAAACCCAAGGTATCTGGATTTTTGCATTATTCGAAAACTCGTAAAATGAGTCATTCAACTCGATCTAATTTTTATGCACATTAAATCACGCTTTTGCGGCAGGCTTCAGTATATATTAAGGTCCAAAGCCTCACGTTCTTGTAGATCACAACTTGGTGTGGGTGATCAGGGGGCGGTGTGCTTGCCCATACGTGCTCCTCACAAGGCAGAATTCCAATGATAGACCTATGGATGCAATATTTCTATTGACGACATAGGTGGCAGTGCTTCTAATTGATCCATATGAATATATGTCAATTTCAATTACACTGAGATATTTTTCTGGACTGGAATACCTTAATTACTTTCTTTTAGCAAATCTTTTGTAACACGTAAGGGGCCATGGATCCCGGTACCGCCCTAGGTGTGGTATCTCTGGCATTCCAGGTCTTTTCTGGATGTATAAAAGGATGTCAACTGTTATTGGATGCGAAGAATCTACCAAAGAAGTACGGCTATCTTCGGCATCGTCTCCGTTTGGAGCAGCTTAAGTTGTTGGATTGGTGGGATGCGTCTGGTTTCGTGACGGAGGCTGCGTTCCAGGACAGTCCATTGGATGAGAGAAAGCAAGCTATGGTGGAATCTTTGCTCCAGATCAAGTCTATAACATTTGATATCGGTCGGATTAAAGAACGCTATGACCTCTCGCTGAAAGTTTCGGATGAAAGCCTGGGTAACGAAGCCCCAACTTCAGGAAATTTCCTCGAGCTTGACGTATGTTGACCTCATGGGAGTTTGGATATATGATAGGACTAACTCCTCAGTCTTCGGGAACTTCAGACAATAGAGAGACACTACGCCAGAAAGCTCTTAAATATGCTGATACTGTTCTGAAATGCCCGATAGGACTTCGATGGGCGGTGTTCGACGCCGCCAAGTTCGAACAACTCCTAGCCCGGTTTTCTGAACTAAATAATTCCATGCATTTTTCTTTGGAGTTGGGTCAAAGACTACATCATATAGAACTTCAAGAGAGGTCTCATATGCAGATTTTACAAGTACACGAAAAGTTAGACCAAGTTGTTGAACTCGTTCGGTCACTTCACCTACTCCCACATTGTAATTCAGGGGCTTCGTCGCAGGGCTCAGATGAAGGCGTGCATAGCACTTTAGAACGACTCGCTCGGTTCAAGGCCCTCAGTATGACGGTTGGTCTTCAGGACCTTCCCTGTGAGGAGGATACCATAGTGCAGATTGGACTTGAAGTCCCATCACCAGGAGACCTGGAGCTCCTCCTTTCACAAGTAGAGTTATACGAAGATCAAAAACAACTTGGTATCCATCGGGTCATGGGGAAATACGGCGGGACTCCTATCTGGGTTGAATGGAAGGGATACGACAAAAGTAGCACTACCTTAGCGTACCGCTGCGTCGAAACCCGAATCATACGCCTTGCTGCATTACTCCTAAAGAATCCAGACACGCCCCGAAAGCTTAGGCTCCCAACATCTCTCGGCTATATTCACGATCCTTCTTCGGCTAGATTTGGAATTGTGTTCGAGTTGCCCGCCTTGACTAGCACGTCAATCCCACTGTCCCTATATGATAGGTTCCAGATCTCCCTGAAGCCCTCGTTAACTGTGAGATTGGACATGGCGCGGAAGCTCACAGTAAGTTTGGAGTATATCCATGCAATGAAATGGCTTCACAAAGGTTTACGAAGCGATGATATCCTGTTCCTCCAATCATCTGGTTTTGATTGGTTGTCTTTCTGTATCTGTGGGTTCGAATACTCGCGGCCAGCAAATCCGAACGAAGTGACGGAGCTTCCAAGCGACAATAGAGAGCATGATTTATACCGACATCCTGATGTCCAGTTCGACGTTCCTAGAGATGGAGAATATGGATATAAAGAGAAACATGACATCTATAGTCTAGGGGTTATATTGACGGAGATTGGTCTATGGCAGCCGATCCATCAAGTGCTTGGGATTTCTCTAAATCGATTCATTCGACGCCCAATTATCAGAGAAGCCCGCAGCAACCTCCTAAAACCGGAATCAATCGCAATTCTGGAGTCAGAGACTGGGGAAAGATACACAGACGCGGTCATACTTTGTTTGACAGGCAGCCCGAGAGACCCGTTTGAAAAACAGAAAGGATTCGCATTCTCGGAGGAAAAACTGAAGGAGAACTCGACAGGGTGTCTGAAGAGGACTCGAGAAATATTGCAAAACATCAAGTTATAGAAAACAGAAACATGCTAAACACGGCAAAAAGAACCTTTACCAGCGCCGGCCAACTTGAAAACTGAGACTCCGCGGGGAGAGGCGCAATGCTATATCGCTTGGAACCATCAAACAGTATCTAGGTAGTTCGTGACGGTTAGCAAGCTGTCCAACACCTAACAATGTATTACGAATCAACACTGGGACTGACCTAGAAGACAAATGCATTATGGGAGGAAGGGAATAATGATTATCTTTTCATCTCCCACCAAATATGGCTCACCAGCCATCGACGTTTGACCTCCTCCCAGAGGTCCTGCGTCTTAGACGAGATGTTGTCCTTCAGTGGGATGTACGTGCTTCCATCTGGTTCTTCTCTGAAGACAGAATGGAGTGGGAAGTTGTGTAATGGTACATGTGATGTCCTCTTACACTCATCGCAGGCTGCCTGGCCTAAGGAGTGGAAATGATTCGATCCTAGTTTATTCAACAGATCGACTAATTGTCGCACGTTGATTCTTGTGTTGGGGTTAGGATCAAGCATAAGGAATGCGAGCTGTAGCATCTTCTGAATAGGGCGTCTACAGAATTCATCCTTCCCAGAACATACTAGGTGAAGCCAAATCCAATCGAATACGAGGTAGGGAGATCGACAGAATGGTGTCGGTCGACTGCTTGGGCCTTGATGAAGGTGTTCATTCAAGTCCTCGATAGAATTCTCCCCTAAAGCGACGGTACAAATTTCTAGTACAGTGCAACCTAGTGCCCACACGTCTGATGCCCTTCCACGAGCCAACTCATTATCGATCTCAGGGGCAATATAACGCTCAGTGATTGCGCCGGCTGGACCTTTGGTCTTTGAAGTGTTTGAATCTCGAAAGTTGCTCGAGATTCCAAAGTCAGCGAGATATACTTGACCATCCTTTATAAGGATATTGCTAGGCTTTATGTCTTTGTGACGGAAACCTGCATCGTGCAAATAATCCAAGACCTGGAAGAGACACGGTGGCCATTGGCACATGTTCCTACGAGCCTTTTGCTGTTCAAACTCATTAACATGGTTTCGACCCCAGACTTCAAGGTACTCGGCAAGGTTCATTTCAGCAACCGGAAGTATGAGAAGACCAATAGTTTGAGAACTCTCGATATAATGACTTCCGCAGAGCTTGACAATATGGTGATGTTTAGCTGTAGTCATGATAAATATTTCCTTCTTAATCTTCTCGTTCATCTCCTTGTTGTCTCGCCTTGGTGCCGGAAACTCTTTGCGAGCGTAGACCTTCCCATCGGACTTTCGCGCAACTTTCCAGACTTCCGAGTTAGACTTTCCCAAGGGCTCTTTTCCGTGGCGCATGAACGGGTCATCTTTGAACGATTCATCAACTATCTCCATTATGACGAATACCTGTTTAATACGTAATCTGCAAGTCGGTTCTTGTTATATTGCTTTAAGGGGTAGATTTTGGGCTGACTAACCTCTCTCTCCTCCCCACGAGGAATCCTTGTTTTAGCGTCTTATAGAGCCATTACTGGTGGTTGAAAATCAGGGGTCTTCAGGGACGATGTTCTAGCTTGTGGAGTATTCTAGCTGGTGATCGGGATTAGGTAATTACGTGTGAGACACAGCTGTTCTAGAGCTGGAGATAAGAGAGTACCTGTCAACCTAAGTAAAGGGAAGAGTGGGAACTAGTAGTATCGTGGCAGGGGTTTGTGAGGCTCTTTACAATAATAGCTACCCGCTTAGGATTAATTATATTTATAAAGCATGCCTAACCCGGGAGGGTAGGGTGGCATGGAGGCTGAACGGGTACTTACTAGCACCTCCGCCTCTCCCTCTCTTTTGCTTTTCCCATATGGCGTCATGGCGTAAGTGTAAAATCGAGAAGACATACACGTGTTACCTTGCTCATATATCATAATACTACATTTAGCCCTATGCATAAGTACCTACCAGGTCCTACTTAGGCATCTCTTATTGGAGTAGGGGGTGTAGCTTTAGATAGGTATTTATTGCACTCCCAAATAAGCATTCATATAAGCAGCCCTACTCTCAGGCACATACGAATACATTCCATAGAACCCTGGAGAATCCAGGGCTAGATCCGCCCCTGGGTACCTATACTTAATTTTGAGAGACCGGATTTTCCAATCGAACTTACCAATCTAGGTAGTTACATGTAGATACCTACAGGCTTTATTTCGCGCACCATAAATCAATTCTTTTTATTGTCAAGCCCTGAAAATCTAGATCTTTGTATTTTTACCAAAAGGACATAGATACCTAATGATGTAACGGCACTGCCTACCTATAATAATAGGGAGGCAGGGCCACATGTCACTCAGCCTTAACTGTTACGTACCTGGCATGACCGGTATGGAGGATCACATGGCTAGGTAACCGTGAGTTGGACCTCATTACTACGGTGTCTAGACAGGCACATGACGTATGCATCGAGCACAACTGACATGGCTCCAGGAACCAGGCCCAGGTGAAGCTATATCCTGATTTTGATCTTTCCTGACAATACCGTGCCCTGCGCCAAACCTGTTCAAGATGTGACAACTTGACAAGACACATGTACATGTCATCCAGATATACACGACGTGGCTCATACGTCTTTATTGGTCTCTTCTGACCCTAGAACAGTCAAAACGACCTCATGTATGGTTTATAAAATATTATTTACAGCATCATGCGCTCAAAAATACCTTCTTTGTAGTCTAGTTCGAGTATGCCCAACCTCAGCTACCTAGGCTACGACTCGCATATATTTCAAAAACTCCAAAGAGGAGGCCATGCTGACTGGTACCTGGAAACACGATCATCTTCTTTTTCTATTTGACGAATCCCTTCAAGTTGTGATTTGCGACATAGCCGCCACCGAATCAATGTCCGGGAAAATATCTGTTTGGATGCGACAGCATTACTCTCCGAAGAGTAGTTTTATCTTTGCCCCACCGGCCGCGGATGAGGGAGCCAACCAGTCAGCACACGATCCAGGGGCAAGACTAGAAAAGACTAACGTGCTTAAGAATATGCCTGAAGATATAACCATCATCGCGGTCATGGGAAAGACGGGATGCGGGAAATCTAGTTTCATATCAAAACTCGCCGTTACAGATTACACTGGCGCAGTTGGACATAATCTTAAGTCTGGTTGGTTATCCACCTTGCTATACACGAATTGATGCTTAGGTACCTACCTAGTACCTAGGTAGTATATAGGAGCTAACTTGTCGGAACTAAAGAAACCCACCTCATCCATGAGATAGAATGCAGAGTCGGGGGTCGCAGGGTACTGTTGATTGACACACCAGGCTTCGACGATACCGCAGGCGAGGATGTCATTGTTCTTGAAAGTATTGCAAAATGGTTGCATACTTCGTATAATGACAAGAAGTTCCTATCCGCCCTCATATATATGCACGATATAGGAGAAACTCGAGTCGGACGCTCTTCTGTAAAATCCTTCAAGTTGTTCAGAAAGATCACCGGCCAGGAGAACATGAAAAACGTCGTCTTACTGACGACAAAATGGGATGACCTCGGAAGCGATCAGCTTAGAGGCGCAGAACGGGAATCTCAACTCAAGATGAACTCGGACTTTTGGAAAGGCATGATAGCCGACGGTGCTTCGTTCATGAGGCACGACGGCACGACTAAGTCAGCCGAGAATGTCGCGGTCGGCCTCTTGGATAAAACGCTTGTCATCCTCAACATGCAGAAGCAGATGGCTGGTGGAAGTTCCCTAGCCAAGACAGATGCTGGCGCTTACGTTAACGAGGAGTTGATCAGATTCCAGCGAGAAGCAGAAGAGAATATCCTCCAACTAAGACAAGAATTCGAGCGAGCCTCGCGCCAAAGTTAGTCTCGTTCGGTAAATATGGTCCCCCGCCTAACCACTGACTCTTCGATGTTTTTTAGAGAATACGGTACTGGAAACCCAACTTCGAGAGCACTACGACAGAAAGATCGGCGAGTTGGAAGAAAACCGGAAGCAGCAGCAGAGGCTATTGGAAGTCAAGCTCCAGGAACAGGAAAACAGGATGGAGGCTGCGGCAAAGAAAAAGGAGGACGATGAAAAGGAACAACAAAACAGGGATATCAGAGATGAGCTGAGGCTATATGAGCTGATATATCGACAACACTGTAACGTTGCAACTATTGCTATAGTTGCAATATTTATACAAGTTGTTGAGGCTGTAACAACCACAGCTATTGCAAGGGCCATACTATTTACAATCGCTGCGGCAATCATGCCAGGTGTAGTTGTGAAGATGGTCGCAAACAACATAGCACATATACGATACGCAAGGGCAGCAGCGGAGCCCCCCAAAAATAAAGCAGTGATACTATCCGACATCACGATACAGGCCTAACAGGAAGAGACTACTTTGAATCTAACTACGATCAGACCTCCAGCAAAGCAGGCATTGAGCGCTCATTGAGCGCTCATTGAACGATTAAAATCATGAATGATACGTTGATTTTTGTGGACGTTAAGGCGACAACAGTTGTTTTCATTGGATATAAACCTTGGAATTTGTGTTAGAAAAGTCTTCGCCAACTCTGTTTATTTCAAGATCATATGAGTATTCATTTTCAGTCAAGCCTCATAGATGTTAGACAACTTCTCAGTGGTCGCGCACAAAAAAGGGGTAGAGTAACACAACCTTGGAATTCTATTTCTTCCGGTCTATATCAAATACAAATCCCTACTTATATCCCTCTAACACCAGTAACCCAGCCCATTTCAATGCATATATTATCATATCTCATCACGTGCCGTCCCCTATTTGTGTACCCCTTTTCCCTTCGCTTCCCCACAATTACTCCGTCATAGCATTCCTCTTAGCGCTCGCCTCGGCCGTCAACATTAAGCTCTTGGGCGCATCCTCGCGGGGCATGTATAGCTCCACGAACCTCAAGCCCTTGCGTTCGTTGAAGTCTTTCTCGGTAAGTAGGGCCTCGAGCTCCCCGCGCGTCTTGACGACGTACGACTTGGCCGTCTCCTCCGTGGCACCGAACGCGGCAGGAACGTCCTTGTACCGCCAGGTGGCGACGTCGTTGTATTCCTCGTTCATGCCGTGGATGTACCGCTCGATTGTGTACCCGTCGTTGCAGATGACGAATAGAATAACGTCCAGCTTGTGTCGGATCATAGTGCTGACTTCCTGGGCTGTCAATTGGAAACTACCATCACCCTCGAATAATATTGTCCGTCGTGCATTCTCTACGCCGCTTTCGTCTTGGGCAGCTAGTGCGGCGCCTTGGCATGCGCCGACAGCCCATCCGATGCTACCCCACAGTGTCTGGTTCAGCGCCGTGACGCCGGCCGGGAACCGGGTTTCCCAGATGCCGAAGTTAGCTGTGCCGGTCTCGGTCACTACAATATCGTTGGGGCGGAGGAATCGGTCCACACGTCCCCAGAGCCATTCTTGGGTGATGACGGCTGCGGCGTCTGTCTGTGTCTCGGGCTCTATGAATTTGGGTGGGGGTAGGACTTTGATTTGCGACAGGTCGAGTCTATCGACGACCTTACGTAGCACGCCCTTCATGCGGATGCCGGGGTATTCTGAGTATCTCACGATACAGTGATCGCTGTGAAGGTCGATTGACTGAAGTTGAGAGAGTCGGTAAGAGAAACCAGCTGTGTTGAAATCGCTCTTCATGGAACCGATGGAAATAACTAGATCTGACCCTTCTACCATATCCTTGACGGCAGGACTAGAAGCAGTGCCAGCGTACACACCGCCGAAGCTGGGATGTGTCTCGTTGATCGCACCCTTGCCCATGGGCGTGACGAAGACAGGTAATTGAGTCTTTTCGATCAAATCGTGTACCTCTGGTAACACACGATGTCGGATAGCACAAGCGTCGACGAGAACGACAGGTCGCTTCGCGGCGTGTAGGTACTTAAGCACTACATCAACCACGTAATCCTCCCGGTCGACATGGTTACAGGGTTCGTTAAGGTCAATCTCGGTCTCGAGGCGTTCTCCTTCGATCTTCTTCTCAACCATATCGGTGGGGAACATGATGTAAACAGGCCTGCTCTTGGAATAACACTCGCGCAGAACGTGGTCGATTTGAGTTGCGATTTCGGCCGGATCGTTGAGCTTGACGACGGCACACGAGATACCGGCACTCATGTTGGCGAAAGCATTGAAATCGCCATTTCCTAGGGTGTGATGCAATAACAAGCCGCTGCGCTGAGAAATGGTAGATGGGCAGCCCACAATGTGCACGATGGGGACGTGCTCACTGTAGGCTCCCGCAAGACCGTTGATGGCGGATAACTCGCCTACACCAAAAGTGGTGATGATAGCGCCGATACCGTTCACCCGGGCATAGCCATCTGCGGCATAAGCGGCATTCAGCTCATTACAGTTTCCGACCCATTTTAAGCCGGCCTTGGGTAAGTAATCGAGAGCGACAAGGTTAAAATCGCCGGGAAGACCGTGGACAGAGCGAATACCAATCTGGCGGAGCCTCGTAAAGAGATACTCGGCTACGTCGACCGGCTTTTTGAGATTTTTCGTCCGGATATCCACAGTAGTGGGCATTGTGGATTTCTGAGGTTTAGTAAGGTGAGGAGATGTGGAGATATCTATCGTATAAAGTGAGGGATAATTAGATTCAGGTAGATAGAACGAATCTATTGATAGTGTAAGTGGCGGCTTCCAAAACTCAAAGCTTGGTTACACAACACTAGATTGTGGTGAATGACGTTGATTGAAGTCTGATTGACTACTAGATAAGTAGAATAGAACGCTAGACAAAGAAGTGTCTAATGGGGGAGTAGGTTCAGCTAATAAATATATCTCTGTAGTCGCCGGCTTCGCACCCCAACACGTGGGATACGAAGCCCAGGAAGCAGTGCATTCTCAAAATCGTAAGGTCGATATTCCCATCGCCTGTTACAGTGGACCGTGGCGCATTTTCGGCGTCTCGCGATGATCAGGCGATGATGTAATAGATTTGAAGGTATTCTTTCCTTTAGAATATGCATCGAACCCGGTAGACTAGTTGTCACTCTAAATTGACTTTCGCTTAAGATCTTAAGATACAATAAGTCATAACTCAATTCAGTCATCATACAATTCACTTCACATCTTCATGAATATTACTCGAATCTTACCTACCTAGCTGCCTAGTACCTAACAATTCAAGCCCTCCAGAGCTGAGAAGTCTCCATTATACAGCACGCCAATCGGCCGCCCCCGAGTTACTTTGACTAGCCGGCTAGCTCTGGACCGCCGGTCTGGAACGACCCAGTATAATGCTGCGCATTAAGATTTGACCAAGATACCCAGACTGCCAGATCATTCGGGTCAACCGGTCATAACAACCCAGATGTCAAATCTCATGATTCCAATACATATTTATGAGCGGTGAAGCTATCTCTAATATCTAATTCTGAAACATCATTTATGCGGTCGTTAGTCATCTCTCGTGACAAAGATACTATAGTACATTAGATAAGTAGTACAGGACTAACTTCATCCATCGCGAATCAGCCGCAATTTCTGAAGTTGCACAATCGTCATCCGTTTGCGGAGAGGAAGGGGGGGAGAGTTGCGAGGAGTCGGCGTCAGCAGGCAGATCAGATTCCTGGACCCGAATCGAAATCGTTCTCTCGCTCGTTTATCTCAGCCACAACGTCCATCTTTCCAGCCAGTCCGCCATCTCTCTTCCCACTTAGAGCAGTCGAACTTATCTTTACCCAACTTCACGTTGACCGCATTATGCGCCTCGCACAACCACTTGCCGAAATCGTCGCGACTGCCAACCTGGATTTGCTCTTTCTGCATGTAGTTCTGAAAATCCTCGGCGCATACCCAGCATGGATACAGTCTTGAGAAGATTCCCATGAAGGTCTTGAGGTCAGATTGCTGGGTAACGCTAGGTTGTTTAGGGTATGTTGCCGCGATGGAATGTAACAGTGTCCATGTACTTCGACCTAATGTCTCGACGTCGGCGGGGCAGTCGTCCGGAGTAGCGGGCGTTGCAAACGTAGAGGCAGCGAGGGCGCCAGCCCCAACACCGGCAGCAGCGCTTGTTGCGGCGCTACTGCCTGACTTGAGCGAGGATTTTGTCATTTGTGCCCACGATGCGAAGTCTTTCTTTGATGTGCATGATCGACAACTGTGTGAAACTTGGGTTACTAAGAGCCCGCATAATGCAATCCTCCAGTTAGGTGCAGGACAAAGATACTACTCACGGCTTACCATCCTTTCCTATTACGACACCTTTAGGTAGCTGGTTGGGCTGCGATTCTCCCGTATCCACGGCCATTCTGGCGTTATGACCGGTGGAGAATGGTAGCAAAGAAAAAAAAATCAACGCGAAAAGCTCACGATAGCTTGCGACAGATCGAAAGGTGCTAGGTAAGAGAATAAAATTAGCAAGAAGCGGATTTGTCAGTTGCGGCGGAAAGCGAGTCCCGGCGCCGGCCGGTAACGCCACCACGCTAAACACGGCCCGAAAGAGAGCCACATTTTATATGCTTAGGTAGGTACCTAGGTACGCATACTTACTAGGAGGTACAGTATTCAAAGATGTAATAATTCAATATTTTTGAATATGAATCAACTTAGAACAGACTCATTCACTATTAGAAGGTATTTTGGAGTTTATGTATTTCTATCAGAAAAAGCACTAGGTAACTAATCTATGTAGGCATCATACCCGATACAAGATAATACAAGGTGTAGCTCATAGCGTTGGTCAGAAAAAAAAACTGTAATTCATGCGCCCAGCACGTCGGAACCGTTATCGATAAAGCTTGGAAATCTTGGCGCCCCTCGATACTTGTCATAGCTCCAATTATTACAATCGCTATCATCTCACTCAGCACGAAGAACTGATGTTCTCTCGATATTGAGTGGGAACAGTATCAATCGATGTTATCTCGATTGGTACCGCCTGGTTAAGATGACTTCAGGTTCGGAAAGAGTTCCAGTATTTCTCCTCAAAACGAAATCAACACCTACAGATGGATACGAGGATATTTTCACTACCCCGCGACACAATTTCAACTTCGAACCCACCTTCGTTCCCGTGCTACAGCATAGATTCGAAGATGATGGGATGCAACAATGTGAGAAATTACTACGAGACAAGCGGATTAATAAAAACTTGGATGGCGCTTATGGTGGCCTCATCTTCACATCACAGAGGGCCGTAGAGGCATTCGCCAAGTTAGTCGATGAATACAAAGGTTCGAGGTCACCGGATGTCCGGGGATAGCCCAATCTCTAACTTGTAAGCAACCCAGGCGATGAAAGTTGGCCTCACCTCCAAGATATACCTATCTATAGCGTCGGCCCTGCTACGACTCGAGCACTTAAAGCCATTCCGCAGACCCCGCCACTCCAGATATTTGGAGAGCACACCGGAAACGGCGATGCGCTTGCGCAATTCATTCTCGAACACTATGGCGAATGGTATAAAGACCGGTCGACCAAACCTTCACTACTCTTCTTAGTTGGTGAGCAGAGACGAGACATCATACCAAACACACTGATGGACGAGAACCTACCGAATAATCAGCGAATCCCAGTAACAGAGATCGTGGTGTACGGTACGGGTGTCATGGAATCTTTCTCTAAAGACTTCGACGACGTGCTACAGAAGACAATAACCCGCCAATCGAGATGGGTAGTAGTCTTCTCGCCAACAGGCTGCGATAGCCTACTCAAGGGATTAGGCATGTTGAACGACGAGACCGGCAAAGTTGCCAAGAGAGCCCAAGGAGAACCGGCGACGTATATTGCTACGATTGGACCTACAACGCGGAACTATCTCAAACGGACGTTCGACTACGAACCAGATGTGTGTTCCGGAAAGCCGAGCCCCGAAGGAGTGTGGCAAGGTATAACCGACTTTATAAAAGGTTTAACATAGTCGATTCAGCGTTCGTCTTATAATATATTTTCAGATGTATTTTACATATAGGCATTGGCCTTGTAGTTTATATACGATGTATAAAGATGAATGTGTAGGAATTGCATGGGATATCCTTGACCTTGACTTTCGAGTTGTACCTATCTACATCCTGTGTATCCTCAAAATGTCCGGGAACACCCGTCTTACTCATTCAGATTTCACCTGTAGAGAAAAATAGCTAATAGAGTCTACCGTGAAAGTATAAATGAAACTCTGTGAGCTAAAGGTTAGGTAATAAGGCTAAGGAAAGGGCTATAGCCATAACTGAACCTTGGACCTTGGAAGCTCTGGTGGGGAACAACTATATCGATCAGGTAACGAATTGGATTCCAAGGTTCAGTGGCATGAGTTTACCTAATGCCCAGGTAATTCTTCAGTCCTTGTCCTTTCCTAACTCTTTTTCTCTATCTATTCACATACTTATTTGCCTGCCTACTTATACATTATTAATCCCAATCACCTTTTTTCGTCGTCACATCGCATAAAAAGAAATCGTCGTCGAAACCCTCATTCTTTTATTATTATTTTGATGACACATAACATACCTACATATGGATACCCTGCAACTTGCAACCTTCAACCCCACCACCGCCTAATTGATACACCATTCACCAAGACTATCGTCAGACTACGTCACATTCATGTTTTCACCTTACAACACACCCTCCTAGGCACCTTAGCTTACCTACCTTTCTAGAAGAAGTGGTAGGTAGGTTAATCTAGATTTAAATCCACTTCTCCAATTCCGAGTTACTATCTAGTAGTCTAGGTACTGCTAGCTAGCACTGCACCTGGCTGTAGCAATCATCTACTTCTATACCGCTAGATCGACGCACACGACCACGATCACGCGCGCCACCCCACGATACCTAGCTCCATTCTATTCATCCCAACTACTACCGACCATGAGTAGTACCCGACAGGAAAATAACTTAATAGACTTCTCGCCGCCCTCCTCCGGCACCTCTACTCCCGTCAACCGTCTTTCTCAATCCTATCCTCAATCACATCCACAGCCGCGATCCCCTCCATATAGCTCGAGTACCGGCGGTGGGAGTGGCGGGAGCTATATCGGATCTGCCGTCCTCGGTCTCTGGCGTCGCTTCTCCGCGGCCGAAACGCCCGGCTCGCCACCGCCCCACGGCTCCTCACAGTTCTATCACGCGACCTCAGAACCAGCTTCCATATCGGGCGATGGGATTAACGGTCCATTCATCCCTCCCTCCAGACCTCCAGGCCGATCAGCATCGCCGCGTGGGCTCCCATCCCTTGAGCCATTGAACCTGCGCGGATACCGGGTCGACACTGAGGCGGACGAGCGGCTCCTGGCGCGTGGCGTGGCAGAGGAAATCCGGACATTTCTACCAGAGCGACTGAAGATCGCCGAGGATTGGAGGCTTGTCTATAGCTTATACCAGGATGGAAGTTCGCTGGCGACACTGTATAAGCTTTGCGATGAGTATCGCGGGCGGCGGGTCGGGTTTGTGCTTGTTGTACGAGATGGAAAGGATGGGGTGAGTATCTACTATCTATTTAATTTTAACTATCTATCGACATGTTTGGAGGATATTTAAAGGCCAGATATACGAATTGGGTTGCTAATTATATTTATCGCAGACTTTCGGCGCATACCTAACAGAAGCACCACATCCAGCACCCTCTTACTACGGCACAGGGGAATGCTTTCTCTGGCGAGCCAGTCTCCACGCGCCTCTCCCGCCTCCCCCCTCCGCCGATACCAGCAACATAAACTTCCGAACCACGACGATAGCATCGCCTACATCTTCCATCCCTTCTAACGATACCCAATCCGCAAGCCAACAACAGAAAACTCTAGCTCCTGGCTTAACCGATCCAGCCACTAATAAACTAGCACAACCAGCCACTCAGAGCATCAGATTCCAAAACTTCGCGTACACGGGCGCCAACGATTACTGCATCTTCTGCGAGACCAAATTCCTCTCCGTCGGAGGAGGCGGCGGAGGGACCTACGGTTTATGGTTGAACGATGGGCTAAGCAGGGGCCACAGCGCCCCGTGCGATACTTTCTCCAACCAACCCCTCAGCGATGAGGGGGAGAAGTTCGATGTATTGGGAGTAGAACTATGGGTTGTAGGGAGCGGGTAAGAGCCGTCTATTACAACATGCTCTTATGTCGGTTTTGGTTAGGATTTGACTTAGGGATGAGCAGGTATGTACTGACTGACTGACGATTTGTAAGAATGAGAGGCACGTGTCTATATGGAGATCATGGTGTTTCGTCAAGTCAGACGGACTGCTTCTCCTGCTAATCTGATACATGGATGAGAATCTCATAGCAGCTTGGGTGAATCCAAATCAATTGTTTTGTATGGCCTGAGAAGAATGACTTATACGAGGTGGTCAATCATACTTCGTGGAAGGGGCAGAGGGGGTAATTTGGTTTGGTTGGGTAATCAATCATCCGTATCTCAGCTTCGATGAGCTGGCGCTCATGGAGTAGGATGGTAAGGGTGGGATACAAATGCTTAATATTCATAGCAACGCCACTCTGAAGCCTCCCGGTTAAAGGCAAAGAGGCAAGAGTGAAAGGGGAATATATAGTATATACACCCGCAAAGCTAGCCCATTCTCCTAACTCAATTCTAAGACTCATAAGTAAAGCTTTTCGTTCCGACGATTTCCTAGGTATTTTCAGTAAAATCGCTGTATCATCTGAAAAGATGGCTGGAAGAGATTGAATGATGTGTTTAGAGATGAATATTCACTATCAAGTTTCAGTCTGACAGTATCATAAGTTCATGATATATACAACCAGCAATACGTTCAAGTGATCCGTATTCTCTATCATAAAACAGACTCATTATTACTGTGACTTAATCATCAACATTCACCCACGTCGAACCACATCACGTAAGCACCATGGACTAAAAGACAGGAGAAAAAAGTTCGTGTTTACTACCAGCAAGCGTAGAGAACAAAATGAAAAGGCTGGGAGAGAAGACAAGATAGATATCCATATCCATCCAAGCTCTCCCGAGTAAAGTCAAATCATGCCATGATGCCATCAATGTCAAATCCTGTGCGCAACAGCGTGGGTCAGGGCCCATCAAGATCTCTCGTCCCCTCAAGATTCCACCTCCCCGAGTAAACTAAACTACTCCCTCGTATGAATCCTCCAAAGGATGATCTCATACCTCCATTCGTATGATTTGGTCGAGGATCTTCAAGACCATTGCCTAGCATCACCTGATATATTAAATCCAGGGACCAACTCTAGCCTTGCGAACGTCGTGCATTACTGCTAACTGTGGTCGTCACTGACTCCGTGGCGTTAGATCGGTGTGTGAGGGACTGCATGAGATGCGTCAAGTTGGCCCAGATTCCCGGTTTCTGAGAAAATCCTCGGTTCTACCGCATGATCTCCTGATAGATGAGCTGCTTCAGTTGTTCTTTGCTAAGGTTGTCCTTATGCTTATCGAAGTCGAAGAACTCTTCGGGAATCGGAGGTGCCGTGGGCTCGTCCTCCGGGTCGTGGTAAGGTTCAAGATAGGGGTGCTTCAAAGCTTCCTCCACAGTTATACGCTTCACGGGGTTAAAGGCCAGTAGTTTCTCAAGCAGATCGAGGGCGAGGTCGGAAGTCTTAGGGAAGAGAGTTCGGAATGGAACCTTCTTCTTGAAGGGCAAGGAGCGGATATACTCGCGAGCTCGGCGAGATTTGATTCCGTAGTAATCCTCCATCGTAGGCGTTCCCAAGACATCCAAAATCAATGTTAACTGGTGGTGATCTAAATCTTCGTTAGCAACTGGATTGCCTCACGGGTCACAATGGTAAATCACGTACAGTCCTTTCCGGGGAACAGTGGCTTGCCGCTTAACATCTCAGCGAGAATGCAGCCAACGGACCAGACGTCAATTGCCTTTGTGTATTCCTTAAATGTCAACATAATCTCGGGGGCACGATACCAACGAGTGGCAACATATTCAGTCATGAATCCTGAGTTATCTTCTTGAGACGCGGCCGATCGTGCAAGACCAAAATCACACACTTTCAGATCGCAGTTGGCGTTCAACAGAAGATTGCTGGGCTTTAGATCTCGGTGGAGCACATTCGCAGAGTGCATCGCCTTCAAAGCTCGCAGCGTCTGGTAGATGAAGTACTGGCAGTGGTCGTCAGATAAGTCCTGGGTGCGGATGACTCTGTGCATATCCGTCTCCATGAGCTCCTGTAGGATAATAATATTAGCAATTGGCCCAATCTGCAAACACCAATCTTCATTCATACCTGAATTAGGTACACTTCATTAAATGTCTCGTAGTTACGCGGCTTCTGGATGTCGAGGATGGAGATAATGTTCTCGTGGTTGAAATATCGGAGAAGCTTCATCTCTCGGAGGGTTCTCAGACAGAACATGGAATGATCGAACGGGGTGATTTTCTTGATAGCGACCTTCTGGCCCGACGGCTTGTGTATCGCCGAGCTGAACATGGTCAATTAGCAACCCGACTCAAAACGAAGTATGAAGCTGCACGGAAACTTACCAGACAACACCATAAGCACCTTCTCCAACAACATCCTGGATATCGTACTGCTCACTAACATTGAACGAGATCTTTCGGGATCCGGCCGGATTAGGGGGGTTTGATCGCGACATGGTGTGTTATGTCGACCAAGGATAGGAGACAAATTGAGTTCAAATCAAGACCAAGAACAGAACGAAGCCCAAGAATCTACAGATTCTAACTCCTAAGGTCTCCGGAACGGGTATAATAAAGTCCCGTCAGGGCAATAAGAGAGTCGATATAGGTAATCTCGGCTCGCCAAGGAAACCAAACCCGTGTGCGCTCCACACAGCGGAGTGCAACACGAAAATATTGAATGCGGCGACTACTGTTCTCAGGTATCGAAATTAGAGTCGGACTTGTCCGGAGCGCGAAGTTATCAAGTCCGACTTGTCAGATTGTATGTTGGCAAAGTAGACAAGATCGTCGCAAAAAAAAGGATTTGGGCGCGCTTTATTGAGATTTCGCGACTTTCGTTCTTTGAGGTTGGCGAGCCGAAGACCACAACTTCTTTATGCTCGTCGAACCCAGCTTAGTGCGTCCAAGTTGCGGGTATCTAGTCGAAGCTATTAGGATTTAGTATATTAGCTAAGAGTTCTGTGTAAGAACAAAGATGACGACGACGATGACAACGACGACAATAACAACAGCCAATGACACTGTGGTAGAGGAAGAGAACGACAGCTGATCTTTCCGAGGTGTAGATCGTATAACGCCGAAGGGGATATGTGATATGATTCCCAGGTCCGTGCAAGCTTGGGCTACAGGAACGCTCTCTCGCCTGAAGTTGCTGAAGTTGCTGTTTAAGTCGGCCGATGTAGCTGTTGTAAAGGGGACAAAATACCGGATACGAAGAAGCTCGCGTAGGATTGATAATCATTAAGAAAAATGAGGCGAAGTGCACTACAAGCTCTAGAATGCTCGAGTCCCCATATCCCCAGCTCGAACAGGCGTGAGGTCAAAGAGTGCATGTAGCTGTAACGCTGTGTTACAAAACTTCAGACGCTCCGTAGATTCTCTCGGCCCGGCGAGGGTGGAGGACAGGGTATTGAAGATGTGCGCCAACACGAATAACGGGGCTCTTAACCACAGCCAGATGGCGCACGACAGACTCAAGACCGAATAACGCAGCAGACTTGGATGATTTTGGTACAGTGGCAAAAAGAAAAAAAAGAAAAGAAAAAATAATAATAAACAGGACTCTTCTCTTACCTTTGGACTACCAAATAGTCGACACAACCAGCGGAAGGTAGAAATAGTATGATTAGGTGCGAATTTGAATTATTGAGGTCGAGACAAGAACAAGTTGAGCCCCGCCTTCAGATGGAGGTACCGAGGGACTTGAGATATTCGCGATTTATTGGCGGGAGGGTCGTGCTCAGGTACCAAGCATGGAAAAAAGAAATCCGTTCCGTTCACCTCAGCAATATCTTATATACCCAAGTACAATGTAGGTATGATATGACGAGCTGAACCGGAGTCGAGTCGGTTTAGTTGAAAATGAAATAATAAGACGAAACAAGGACCAAATGCTGTGGAGGTAAATTTTGAAAAGGATGTATGTGCGATGGGGAGGGGGAGGAAGATGTCAAAGAGCTCGACGGGCTCGAACCGAAAAAAAAGAGTAGAGCTCTCTGTTTCTGTTGCAACGACAGTGGATAAAACCCCCCTCAGGCCCCTATGTATGGGTCAAGTCTGTTAAATCGAATCGAATCGAGTAGGGAGTAGGGAGTAGGAGTCCGCCTTGTGTGGAACCGTCAATAATGCGACGGCGACAAGACGCTAGAACTTTTTAAACATGCACCGGGTAGCCGGGTACAAACCGAAGACTAGATCGAACGGGGAACGGGGAATGGGGAATTGGAAATGGATAATAGAAATGGAAATGGAAAATGGATAGTAAATCCGTAGTAACAAGTGGGAATAGTCAAATAGTCGAATAGGTAGTAGAAATAGGAAAACGAAGACGAAGAAGAAGGGATCAAACTATTAAACGACTTAGAAAAGGAACGGTTAGGTATTAAAATGTGTGAAACAAGGGTCGTGCAAATTCACAAGATCAATTGGACAGTCATGGTCCTTCTCTTTTTTTTTTCTTCTTCCTCTTAATATTCTAACTCTCATCTAACCTAATTAACTCACTAAAAAACCACTCTTTCAGATACTAGCTCCGGGTATTTCTCCACGTGGGATCTAAAATCAGTTGGCTCGTTATAAGATTGGGCAAGTGAAATCGATTTTATGAGAAAAAAGGGAAGGGAGTTGCCGCCTTTCAGATTGACAGTATGGGTACGGCAAAGGTCAGGCAGTGTGTTTTAAGTTTGACTCGAGATGGGACGGTGAAGTGTGATGGAATTGGAAAGGGGAGGGGAGGGGTAAGAGCTAGGAGAATTGATAGGAGAGACGGTGGGGTCGGAGGGGTAAAGGGATCAACCTTGGATGTACCCATGTATGGGTATACATAGTACAAAACCAATACTTCTCAAATACTTTTCGTGGGGTCTCTTGTCTATCTGAGGAACTTTTTCTTTGCATTGCATTAGGCGCCTCATCCAAGTATTGCTGTTACCATTTCCGTTCCTGTCACCTGCATACAAGTACCAAATCATATACGTTAGATTGAAGCTTACCTACATGTAGAACCGAACCGATGAAACGGCACCGATCTAACTTCTCAAACTCTAACTAACTTCAATTGTTCAATGTTATACATACTTTCGTACATAGTGCACAGTAAAGAAACCCCTTATCTCTATCACGGGCGCTTCCATTTTGCTTCTTAGTTTCTAACATTCATTTACTAGAACAGGTTGAGTCAAATTCAAATCAACCGCAAGGTTCTCGTCTATCTGTAACCGCCCGAGCAACGCAACCAGAAATACAAGAATACCCTCGTGCTCTGATAGACTGCGAGATACGTCTGGTGGTCCAATCATACCCCGGCCTAAGCGCCGCACACCGCAGGTGGGCGCGTGTGTTTTGAAATCTTCCGGCACTCTCCCCTGGTTCGTTTCATGACTGGTCGATCCAGATGTGACCAGGGATTCGACCAGGGATTCAAGGAGCTCTCGGCACTGGATGCCTCTCGGCCACTTACTTAAGAATATGAATATGAATATCAACACGCAGTATCCCACAGCATCCTTCCCGTCATATGAAGGATCAATAGAGTCTGCCGTGATCTTATGAATGGCTTAGATATAGTTTCGGCTTTGCTAAAGGCGCCGAGGCGCCTAGAATGTGGCTATGATGGTCATATATCCGCTACGTCATCCAATACCCAGATTATCGGGACAGGTTAAAATATTTGAGTGGTTGACATCGCTTTGAAGGAATCATAATCGCTGCATGTCTCAGCTTTACCTGCCATGCTAGGCCTATCTGGTTGGTTCTACCGTTGAACATACGGCCGACAAAGGAGACCAAAATAATACACTACCGAGCCGAGAGGAAAGCAGGCAGGTAGGTAAACCAAGTTATCATCATAAATAACGACCGGTAACCGCAGCTTGTATTCTCTTCTTCGATACCATATGACCTTGGCTGATGAATAGAACACGCCACACATGCGGAGAGAATCGATTGGTTGTTACTAGAGTCTATGGCATAAACTATTGGTAATCGAATCTGATATCTGACCTTGTTTATATTTCATTACTAATGAAATGTTCGGTCCATACTTTTATGTGATATATTAACAATACACACCTTCTTTCATTCAGATATCTGCGTTGGTGCTAGAAGAAGGTAATAACAATTCAGTTATGAGAATTAAGTTTACATGTGATTTGTGATATTAGCTTTCCTCCTAGAAGAAACATGTGCAATCTTATAGTTGACACATCAACTCCGGCTCAAGATCCTCTTGGCTAGGTGCTTCTAGGGTGATACTCAAAACTTGCAGAGGCATCTCCAAGCAAATAGTCGAGTGATCATAAATGATGCTGGAGTTCTCGTATAGGTAGAACCGTGGCCAATTCATAGCTATGGCATTAAAGAGTCCACTAGCAATCAGCCTAATGATTTGAAGTCTAACGTTGCCAATAGTTACCTACCTACCTAGGTAAGACTCTCCTGGAAAAGACCGATAACTCATTTATCCAGGTCTCCCCTAGGATAGCGATGGGTAGGCTATGTTGTATAGATGTAATATATCACATGAGTGTAGGTAGATGAGCAACCATTTTAAGCAAGGTAAGAATATCAATACTGGGTTTCAGAGGATATGTCTTTCATACTCACCCCCTTTTGCACACCTCTCCCCCTTTACCCCCTTCTTTCCCGCCTCCCGTAGTCTAGTTTACTTCACTCCACTGGAACTCGATCACCCAAGCGCTCAAGTATGTGTAATTGAATTTTGCCCACGAAATAAGACTAAGAATATTCCTATCTCGTATTCTGGCTATGATCATCGAGGCCAAAGACTAGACAGGCATAAAAGTGTATACATAACATAACCATATTCTCCAGCCTATTCATTCATATATTCAAATGCTGGCTATACAGTCTTCCGAGCGAGAGCAAGAACATCAATCGTTTTCGCCAGCATAAAACTATTTTTCGGCCTTATTAATAAATACTTGCTTACAGGCCTCCATATTCCCTACCTTCCTATAGGCAGCAGACTACACCGTTCAGCGCTAGCTAGCTAGTTTTGTCATAACATAGCATATTTCAGTTTCGGGTTCATTCCAAGTTTCAAGACTGGATAGGGGTTCGCTCATTTTACTTTAACATTTCCTTGTTTTTGGTTCTGGTAGCAAATATCTATCCCTCTATACAAGTGTCGCTCCGGCCTCCACCTACTGCACAACCTGCGAATGACGAAAGATGAGCATGAAGTTGACTAGGGTTGAGCTAGGTTAATCAGAGGCTCCTTTAACTTACCTTTTCTCTCATATTCCCCATCCACTGACCGAAGCTCATTCCTTGGTCAGCCCGGTCTTCGACGAGCAGAGTCTGAGCCCAGAGTTTCAAGCTTGGCTCGCCATCTTCCCGCACGATGTATAGATGCGGCACAACAATGCTGCCAACCCCACGTGATAGGTGGTCCCGGCTCTTCTGAATAATGGCCCGTATCCGTTCATTGAAGTCGTTGTCTAACTCCGGAATCGACCCCTTGCCAACGCGTAACTGCGTGCGATCTCCTACACCGAAAACGTCCATCAAGAGTTGCGGCACGGCGTCCCTGCCAATCCACAAAAATTGCGTCGTACCATCGTCGATTAAGTATAGACCGTATGAGACGAATCTCTCCGATGATAAGTTTAGTGGCGGCGGAAGAACAATTTGGCTCGTCTCTGGATCGGGGACTCCGGCGTTGTCGGGCATGTCGTGAAGCGAGTATAGGTGAGGGTAAATATACTGCATCAGAAGCGGTAGAGGTAACGTAGAAAGCTGGCATAGTGCTGCGGACCTGAGATCGGACGGGATCTGTGCGGATTTCCGAAGACCGACATGCTTGATCAAGCCCAGGAAGAGTACGGGGAGGCCGCGTAAGTTCGCAGGGAATTGTAGCCCGCCACCTCCCATGCTTCCTCCACCGAGCTCCTTCTTGAAAGTCTGGAGTAGCTCTATAAGCTTGCTCTGAAGAGCGTCACGGGCAGCATCTAAACCGCTGCTTAGTGCTCTTTCAACAGCCTTGTGAGTGAAGTAAGTCGTAATAGCGCACTGGTCCGCTGAGGCGTACACGTCTGCAAGATTAGTTGTGGTGGGAATGGCGAGCGTCATGACGCGGATGCGTCGTTCACCGTTACAGGTGGTGTACAAGACACCAGCTTGCAGGCAAACATAGTTCTTCTGTAAAGTCTCGTCAATAGCCACCTCGACCACGTAGCACTGGTCGCGGGGAAATGCTGGGAAGGCACATAGATCCGAAGATCTATTAAAGAAGTTTCCGTAGAATGTGCTCATACGCAAGCCGGTTGTAGCTCGTACCCTGAGCACTGCTTCCAGACCAATCTCCGAAGATAGGAAATCGCTAAACTCCGAAGCAAACTTGACAGCATCCTCGGCACGACCAGCATTCCATCCAGGGTAGAACCAAGTCTGACCACCGGTGTATCGAGGAAGGTTACTCAGCGAGGCTACATCCTGGTATTGCGAAGAAAAGAGGAACATGTCGATAGAGACCTGATTTTTGGAGCACTCGACGGCAAATGATTTGTAGAAACTGTTGGCAGTTTGAAGAAGACCACTCTCTTTGGACGTCCCAAGAAGCTTTTTATCCTCGCGCATCTCCAACTTTCCAACTCCCAAGTTCGGCAGTGAAGCACTAAGAACCACAATCTTACCGCCCAATGGCGAGATAAGTTTGTGGCCGGCTCTCAAGGCTGATCCCATACACGAGCCATTGCTCTGGTTGTTTTGGAACATATCAGGTAGCTTCGCCAAGAAGTTTTCGATGCTGTTTCGACTTTCTATCAGGGGGACTAGAAGGTCTTGGGGGACGGGCAGGAACGGCTCATCCAGATCACTTATCACCAGCATAGTCGTCTCTGCATTTTCTTCGTCGTCTTTAGGAATGGAAAAATAGTGCAAACTCGAGTCGACCGCGATAAATCCTAATCGAGTCCGCCGATCGGCATTAGGTATCCGGTTAAGACTATCTAGAATGGTTCGCGCGCTCGTGGCAAGGAGTCCGGTAGAGACGGCAGCATAGCTGACGTCGAAAAGGAACAGATACACGAGCGGCTGCGGAGGACGGACCATATACTCCTGAGGCGCGACGAACTCGACCACGGCGTGGTTCAACTCGTGTCTATCCCACCTGTTCACGCTCTTCTGGGCAGCAGCATCCCAATCGAAAGCTTGCGGCACATCGTTCGTAAGATTACACATATTACACCTCCACCTGTGACCTTGATCAAGGAAGATCACGTAAGGGTTGATATATGTCCTACATCGTCGGCATCGGGCAATAACCTGATCTTGCACAACTGGAACGGGATCATCGATGTCGTGAAGGGCGGCATACGGCTGGATGATGAGAGCAAATGGTAACTTGGACTTCTTCAGCAGAGAATGCGTAGTCGGAACCGCATTCAAAGTGGATCGGATATATTTAGGAGGGCAGTTTGCATCGGGTGACTGAGTAACGCTAGCCTACGATATAAATTAGTATGAACCGTTAGATATGAAGTACACATCCGTGACACTCACATTTGGAGGTAAGATGCAAGGAGGGGGTGGTAAATCGAGCTCCGAGACGTTGAAAGGCTGGTTTAGGAGGTCGGTAGGATACAGTTGATTCAAGGTGAGCCGAGCTTGCTGGCCAGGTTGTTGAACGCCGGGCTGAGGTGCTGCCCCCATGTTCATACCAGCCATTCCTTGGGTTATACCAGCGACACCTGGGGCTGGATATCCAGTTGCCGGCTGATGGTAAGGATCGGGGGCTTGATAACCCACTCCCGGCTGGGCAGGAGTGCCTGGTTGCTGGGGAGCACCGTACGGCGACGGCACCCCGGGGGAGGGATATCCGCCCTGCTGATATTCTTGACCAGGATAGGCGCCGTAGCCCGGTGAAGGCTGCGGTGCTTGACCGGGAGCTCCAAAGGTGGGCGGCGGCATACCGCCAGGGGTTGGGCCGGTAGCGCCGGCATTTGCGCCGGCTCCAAACTCAAATGCTTGAGTGGCATAGCCTCTCTTCTTCTTGTGGTGTGCTGCGGCTTGTTGGGGAGGAGGCGATGTGGTCTGTCCTTCGTAGGCGGCACCTTGTGGTTCATCGGTGTATGGCGCCTCCTGACCATACTGCTGGGGAGGATATTGGCCATAGCCATCGTTGGGAGCAGCCATCTTGGCGCAAGCGGTCAATTATATTATCCTGACCTACTATGTGGCCTATGTTGAATCTCTCGCCTTGTCTTTCGTATGTCTTTTATGTACTAATCAATTCTTTTCTTTCGGTCGTAGTAATTCGGTGCGCACTAGATCTGACGTGATATGGTCGAAGAGAAGATTGTAAAGCTGCAAGTCTAGTTGGTTAAGGAGGTGGAACGTGGTGGTGGTGGTTGCCGGTTGCTAGGTTACCGACTGTAGGGCTTGTGGCCACGATTCGATAGGAGGGCTGGTGGGCTGGAGGGATGATGGATTTTGGCGGAGGCCACGTTTTTGAGTGCTAACAGATTAACAGTTGAGAACTCCAGCTAGTAGCTTAAGAATGGAGAATGGAGAAACCCTGCTACTAGGTAATCGTCCCGTACAATTCAACAATTCAATGTTGTCAATATAAAAGGGAACGAAGATGAAAAGGTTGACAATGTAAAAACAACAAATGAGCATGAAATATGATTTTATAAAATCGTCATCTTGAGTTGCTCTTTTTTAAAACGATCTTGATGTTGCCGGAATTTAGCAACTTGTTCAATTTCACAAGCCAAATGACGCTGTGATTCGACAGAGAGTTGTAACAAAAACGGTGGGCGACCTTCTGAAGAGGCGGGCGGGCAACTGGTAGGCTGCGCTGGGATGTGAATTGGTCCAAGCTTTTTTTGTTCTTTCCTTACCGGTAGGTACCTTACCATTTTACCAGCCAGATGCCAGCTTGACCTCATTTAGATCGGAGCTAGAATCAAAGAGTGGGTTAGGTAATCACCATATCCACTAAGCTGAAAGTCACGTGAGTTAATTGTAGATATCCGTTATGTAAGCAGAAACAAGTAGGTACCAGGTACCTGATACTTATCGATCGTACTTCGTAGGTCCTTCAATTATAACCCCACCTGCCTACTTCTCCACTGCCATACAGCCATAGCCATATTTCCCCTAATATTTAAACTACGTAAGCACCAAACCAGATCCGATCATGCTGCCATGTACAAAGATACCCTACATTATTAAAGTAGGTACATATTAACATACGTACATCCATGATGTACTTGTATGTGAGTTGCCGAACTTCCTGCTTGAATTGATTGAATCCTGTGTAGCAAGGCCTCAATTAGGAAGGCCAGACGGGTAGAAGGCTTAGATGGGTTCCAAGGTTTCCCCTTGTTTCCCCTTGTCCTACATATTTAGCGGTTTAGCGGCGTGTCCGCCTAATTTTAGTATTGCCTATTGCCTATTAGCAGGTGTTTGTTACGATTCATCGGGGGATGGCAGCACATGTTATAATCATGCTTGAGGAAGTCGCTCCCTTTCGGCTGAGACCATCACTTGAGCAACATTTTTCTTCTGCGCGCGACTGCATGCAAACACGAGAGTCTAGACTCGACCTTTCCCTTCTTGCCTTGTAGATCATTATTATAGGTCCAACTCCAAATTCGACAAAATCAAGACTTGAAACCCTGGAACTTCTTTCTTACCTAGAACATTTATAATAATCCTTATCCCAGATTAATCGGTTCTATTACTCTACCTCTCATTTCATTGTTCTCGTGAAGATTGAATATTGCGATCCAACATACTCGTACTTAAACGCTCACTCTATACCTTATACCAATCAAGAACCAAGATTCAAGATCGCAGCATAATTCAGATCGACAACGATGGTTTGGAAAAGCAAATCACCTCGGATTGAGGCTAAGCCGTCAACTTTCAGGTACATCTTATCTATTATCTACCACTATCGCCACTATCACTAGTACTACCTAGACACGCGACGCGATCCTTCATCTGATGTCGTTCGCTAACATAAGCGCAATCGCTTACTTCTCATATTATAGACAGCTTCTACCTCTCCTGATCCTCCTCATTGTCGTTGGCGGCGCCGGGTTCGTTGGTTACCAGATCTACCTTAGCGTCGCCAAGATTCGGGAAAGTACCGAGAAGCGCATGGCCAAGAAGAACGTAATCTTCACGAAGGATGGACTCAAAGTTGGCGTTAAGCACGTCGAGCAAGAGCGCTACGTCGACGCGACACAGAGTTGGGTTGTTAAGGCCTGGAATATGAGCACTCCCAATCCACCTGCAGTTAAGAGAAGATAAGTAGAGGGGAATTGAGGGACGTTCCGGACCGTTGTGGGCTTGTCTGGTCTAGATTCTGCTTGTGAGACATGCGGTTTTTCTTTTCGCAAACAGTTGGAGGCCTCCGCCAGGACTACCGGGTACGCGACATAGGTGGACCTAGGTACTCACTCAAATGTCCTACCCATGTCAAATCACCAGCGATCACAAACTCGCAAGGCGCGGGGCCCTATAGAGTACATCAACGACTCAACGAGAGATCACGACCGGTTCAAATCTACGCACGGTTACTGGAGGAATGAATGCGCAAGGAGACTTTATACGATATACGATGATACCCTGGCTGAAGGTTAGATGGGCCTTGTACAATGAACAACAACACGAGAGAGGATTTCGGTGTTTGCAGTCTATTTCTTGTACCAACAGCAATGAAACACTTGCGAATTTATTTATTCCCACGACCATTGTCGAGGTCGCCATGTCCAACTACTTCAGGTCACATTGGATAAACAAACCTAAGAATATGTCTCGTGCTACTAATGTACCATCTCAATCGAGAAACGAGTAATTTAGGGACGTATCACAAGTGTAGGAAGACCGTCAAAAAGAGGTTGATAAGTTTCGTTGATCAACATATTGTATTCCCTGCAGTATCGTGCATACTGTGGTGTTCACAGAAGATGCGGAGATTTTACCTATTTCCTCCTGATTTAAAACTCACATTCTCACCTTGTAGGTAGGTAGGTACATATAACAACGCCCATTGCAAGAGCAATATGAACCATATCCTCCCCAAGTGCCGACTCCTAAAATTATATCCTATGCACACTTTCAGCCTTCCTCAGTACCAAACAAGCTCCTTCAGCCAAATGTCTCAGAAGAGATCGAAAGATGAGCGTAGAATGTCCTCGCGGACAAATGATATAAGCTCTAGTAAGCCTCTGCGACTCATTGCTTTTCGAAGACAACAAGAAAACTCCGAACTCCCCTAATCCAAGAGACAGAATGTGTCATAAACAGCCGCCATAATCGAAGCCCCCAAACCCCTTAATGCCAAAGTCGGTAATACCTAATCTTTTGACGATCCTCTTACACACCTCCCCCCTAAGCCTACTTACTTAGGTAGGTATGTCTCTCGGTTGACGAGACGGGGGAAAAGTCCTGCGTATCCTTTTCAGCCCAAGCCATCCCACACCATCACACGGTAAGCCACTTCTTCGCAACCCACTTGGCGCCCTCTCCGGCATCCTGTCCTCCTGCAGCCCTCGCAAGCAGCTCCGCACGATGTACCTCGAACCTCTCCTTCTGCAGCGCCTCCACGTGTTCGAGGGGGCTCGTACTCCCGCTGCTGCTACTCGCCGGTGACAGCAACTGCGCCCCCACGCCCCCGTCCGCGCCATCGGCTTTGTACCCATACCCGTACCCATACTCCTGCTGTTGCTGTTGCTGTTGCTGTTGTTGCTGCGCCCCTAGCCGCGCACCCATCCCCATCCCCATATTATGCACCTGCGCCTGCACCTGCTGCTGTGCTCTCCGACTCTCACTAACCATCTTCAAATAATCGTGCGCAGCCCCGTACGGACTCGCCATCAGCCCGTCCCGTCGGATCAGCATGGACGGGATGCGGATCTGCAGCTGCTTGAGGATGTGCGCGTACCTGACGCCGAGCTCATTGCTGATGAACCCCAGCCGCCCGTGGATCCACGCCCGCTGCGCGTCCGTCGTGTAGTCCTGGCTGTTGAGACAGGTGAGCGGCCACGTGAGGAAGTAGCCTGCTAGCGCTTTGACGTGGTTTGCTTCTCCGCAGGCGAATTCGCCGTCGTTGAGACCGAGGTTGTCTGAGCTGTCTTCGTCTTGGGTGCTGGTGTATGTGTTGAACCCGGTCGTAGTGGTGTCGTCGTGTTGTTGATGTCGCAAGAACTGGCGAATCCGTCTTCGATTCCCTTCTTTTAAGTGCCAGCCTAGATGATACGGCACGCTTGCGATGATGTCCGTGATGGTGTCGACACATGTCCTAGCTGCAGTCGCATACTCCCTCGTCGTCCGATAGTCCACGGGACTGCACACCCAAGCCGCGCATCTGACGACCAAACTCATAAGTACCAGTCTTGCCGTCCGAATCGTATTCCACACGCTCGCGATGTAGAAGTCGCGGTACATGTCGATTCTCCCGGGAAACACCTCCGCGCGTCCGTAGTCTCCGCCTGGCACGCTGTCTTCCCAGGCTACGGTGCGGTACCGCCATGAGGACGGCACCCCGCGCATCCACGCTACTACTTCCTGGTCGACGGCTTGTAGGCGGCGGATCATTTCGAGCATCACGTCGATGTTTGACGGGGTGCGCGCCATGCTGTTCATCAACCGCGTTACTTCGGCGCGCAGCTCGCCGGTTTTGATCATGAGGCGGTGGCATTTCGCTGCGGCGCGGTCGCGTACGGCGTCGTTGATCCACCATTCTTCACCCATGATCGGGGTTGTGCCAGATGTGAGACTGTGGATTATCTAGGTTGAGTGTTAATATGTATGTAGAAAGTGTTTGGGAAAAGGGGTTAGGTTGGTTAACAGACCATCTGAGTTCTCACGGCGATGAACAGCGTCAATCCGACTTTCGTCTTGAGCTGCTTCTTCCCCCGGGCTTTTACGAGCTGTATAGCGCCCTCGGTATGCGAGCCCCAGTTCAACATGCCGATTTGCTTGGCCGTGATACTCTACAGGGGAAATACGTTAGCACACACAAATTGATCTCGAATCCTTCCTGAGGGATCGACATACCTCGAATAAACCTAGCAACAACACCGCCGCTAACGTCGAATCCGCCAACTGCATCTCGGGATTCCTTAGAGCGGCGTTGGTCCCGTTGAGTGCCTTCGTATACTCATGCAGAGCCCGATCCGATAACCTAGACTCTGAGCCCCCTCGATTATTCAGGAAAGCCATAGAGCAGGCATTGAAGGCGTGCTGCAATTGCCCGTGCGGATCGGACTTCAGCAGCGGGATGATGAAGTCCATGAACCCACGTGTATTTCCTTCGCCTTCCGGGGGCACCAGGATGAAGTTGGAGACGAAGTGGCAGCTTGCTTGGTGCTCGACGGGGATGTTGAGCGAGGGGATGATGGCTTGGGCAAGTTGTGATTTGATGCTATTGGCGAAGACTGGAGACACATTTAGATCTCCCGAAGGAGAGTCCGGGTCTGGTTTGACAGTCTTCTGTGCCAGTACTTTCTTACTGGCTTTCCGTGCTCTGCGTTCCGTTGCCTGAGTTTCGTTCCTGAAGACGAGGTCAAACTCGTCCTTGTACCCGGGACATTGTCTTCGTGATTTGGCACATTGGTTGCATGTTGGCTTTGTCTCGTCACACTGTTGCGTTGCGAGAAACAATGGTTAGTTTGTTTGGACATATTTGATCCAATTGGTAACCTACCTTGATTCTTCTCGTCCTGCACATCTGACAGCCCTTTGAGGGTTTCCCGCAGTACACCATCTTGAAAGTCGAAGGATGATGATCCTTGAGGTAACTCTTAGGATTCTCCCTCCGTCAACAAAATTCTAGAATTATCGAAATTTATGCAATTTGATAGAGATTCCAAGTTCTCTTTAAATCATATGTCAGGATTAGGTATTCGCTAGATTTGGATGTCTTAGAGGTCTTAGAGGTCTTAGAGTAGTTGTAAACTTCAGTTCGTCGCGATGTTCCAGGTCGCAGAAGTAGAATATGCCAAGCCCCAGCCCTGGATGTAACTCGATGTAACCCTTCCGTTCGAAAAGAAAAAGCGAGGCCGTAAAAGAGGGCAACTCGAGGAGATTAAAAATGAGTAGTCCCTGATATAGGTAGGTGACAATAATGACAAGTTAAACAGACGAGGCCTCGGATCGTCAGCCCTAACTTCTAGGTTTTCAATATTATTAAAGGTCTTCTAGGAACGGGCCGTACCTGTTTAAAGCCTGGTCATCCAAGGTGACAAACCAGGAAGGAGATGGAACTGGAAACACTTCATAGGGCGGCGCACGGTACCTAAAAACGACGTCAGGAAACGGCAGGTCATTGGACAGGCTGTATGCAGACTCTATGCAGACTCTATGCAGGCTCTGTGCAGGTTGCGTATCAAACTGACCGTCGGGATCTGGTTATTGCCGTTGTCTCTTGTTTCAGGAGCGTCTGTGCCGCAGCCCGGATACCGAACGCAAACTACGCGCGTGATGCCTGATTGAAGGATACGAAGTGTGGTAGGATCTTGTTAATCCGGGGTAGAGACACTCCTGCTTCGATCGAGCTCTGTGATTGGGGAGGATGGGAACCGGACACCTGCAATCGGCAACTTCGTCCTTTATCATACGATCCATTCAGGTTTTCCGCTTTGCATACAACCGCAGAAAAGTGTATAAGATGAGGAGGAGCGCATATATACCTACATACATACCTAGGTATGAAAGGTCATGACAAGACCATCAGTTAGTTACTGTTGGTTATTGACCCCACGAGCCAAGCATGAGCTAAGTGGAGATGACATGGCTTCAACAGCATTTAGAGGCTTTGAAGGCGTTCAAGACGTTCAAGGGGAGGGAGGTGGCTAACCTCGTGAGGTATAGGAAACTACTCTAACGGCCCGTTACCAAGATGTCGATACTAGTCAGTCGGGACAATTCGTTGGTGCGGATATTTACTATCTACCTAGGTAGTAGTTATTTTTCTACAGGGTTATTAAGTATGTAGATCTCTTCGTCACTTTGAAAGATAGGTAAGATCTATACTTACCTTAGTAGGTATGTTGCTAAATAGTAGATATAGTTATGCTATAAGGTATAAGGAGTTTGTATTAATTCATGCCATTTCTCCATAAACTGAGTCGGTTCATATGATTATTTCTAGGAAATAATACGGAAATACTACAAAGGCTACCCCTAAGTTCTTCATGAAGAACAATTCTCCCAGAAGTAAACTAGCTGCGTGGGGATTCTGTAGATCCCATCCCGCGTGGGCAGAAGTCTAACTATTATAGCTGCTAGCCGTCGGAAGTGCTGACATCTAAATTTTAGCGAGTCTTAGGGGCAAAAGGGGACTCAATATATATGATTCGTATGTTTAGTCTTTGCTCATGATGAAAAGTAAGGCTTCGACAGACACCGTTCCGTAGATCATTCAGACCTTCAAAACTCTGACTACCGAATCATATCATATCATGAATCCATACTGTATAAACACAAGATCGACGGAACATCTCATCGTATCGCGATCGTACGGGATCGGCGGAATGTGACGCATCCTGGCTGCCTGATGGCATATACAGTAGAACGCGGATAGCAATTCCACATGCTTCGTGATCAGGCTGTCATGGATGTCAGGGAAAGTGACAGAGTGATGCTGTCAAATCCCAGATCTGTTCACCGAGATAGGCGACCAGTCAGCCAGTGTCATTTCTTATTCTGTCTCACTTCTAATGCGCCAATCAACATGAATATCTTCAGGGGCTTGCAGTGTAACACAACCTACCTACCTAGGTATGTACCTATCCATGGACAGTCCATCATTATTCCATACTCAAGTCTACTCATAATTATGCCTTAAATACCTCCTAGTAAAAGAGGGGACCGGTCTTAAGGCCAATCTGCTATACACCCAGCATAATTAACCCACCTACCACCGATATTCATCGCATAACCCCAAGGTCCGATCATCTACTCGTGAGCTTACAAGAGAAAAAAGATGTATTCGGATTGCATTTGCTTACTGCCGCAATCCGTCAGCGGTGAAAGCTGGTTATCCTACCAAAACGCCATGCTCATGCAATGCCCGAGAGCCAACACGTAGCTCGTCCATCCCCATCCTCCGCCGTTCTACATTAGGGCCCCTACATGCGTTCTCGTGGACCGCTTCATTCCCGTGCGTCTGTGTCCAATTTTTTATTATTCGTACGCCAACTTAATAGCGGCCAAGTCCACATCCACGCCAACACCAAAGTAGGAATCCCCCTTAGTACTTTAGAGACTTCTGCCCCTTGTCCCTTCCCTCCGGACCTATCGTCGAAAAGGCACAGTGCTGGTCTTTGATCGCCACGACCTCGTACGTGCCTTCTAGGCTCGCTGTAATCACCTTGCTATGCTCGTAGCTGATGTCGTGACGTGTCTCTAGAATTTGGCTCTTCTGCCCCTTCCGCGCGTTGGTACTGCGCGTGTACGTGAATTCGAAGGGCGGCGTACCCCAGAACTCGAATAGGATTTCGACCTCGCTTCCTTCGTGAATGTCGACCTGGATGACACGCCCCTTGCTAATTCTAACACTCGGCATCGGATGAATGGACTTAGCTAGATTAACTGCAGCGCGGCATTCACTACCTTTGTCGCTGATGCTAGTAATCGTAAAGTCACCGGGAGATTCGGCAATACGGCGAAAGTTAGTCGTCTGCGATTTAGCCTTCATTTGCTTTCCGGCGAAATCATAGTGCACCTCGAAAGGCGGCGTGCCCGATAGGGTGTAGGCAATACGCTCGCCAACGCAGTAGTCAGTTCGTTGTTCGAGAGGGTAGATAGACGGCGCTTCGTAAAGTTGGATATGAACCACACCGCCGCCGGTCTCCGTCTTCTGCTGACAACCGCGATCATCGCGTACCTTGCGGATTCTAATCTGCTGGCCTCCGAGCTTCAGATACTGTCTGGGAATTTGAATTCCGTAATTGTTGGTCTGGATGTTGGGAATCCTGAAAACTTCCGGTAGATTTCCAGAATGCTGCTTGATTTCGACCTCGACATAGAAGGGCGCCTTGCCTTCTAACCTGATAGGAATCGTCTCGTTCGGTCCATCGTCAGACATACACATCTTGAACGTCTGGCCCGGTTTAACAAAGGAAGCAGACGGCTTGGCGTTGACGGTTTGCTCCAGCGTTAGTGGCGCAGATTGTCGTTTATCGTTATAGAGATTATCCGATAGACCGGAGAAGGTGTAGGTGTATAGTCCAGCCTTAGCTGTGTCTAGTGAAATGCCTGCTTTCCCAAGAGCAGCATCAAATTCTTTTCGGGTAATAGAGACTCCACCCGACTTGGGTTTATGTCTGACTTCGTACTCGACATGATACGGAGGAGACCCTGAAAAGGTTTTGTTAGTACAATGAACTGTGGAAAATGTAAGTGCAGAATAAATTTACCTTTAAGGGAGACTTCAAATCCATCGACATCGCCTTCGCAGACGTCTTTCTTGACGAACTTATTGTCCTTTTCGATTGACTCAATGGCATCGCTCGGCATAAATGACAATTCGGGGCGCGGGAACCATTTGACTTCAAACGTCTTAGCTTTGGGGTTAATAGTGCCAGGACACTGATCATCCATCACATCCAGAATCTCATATATGCCTAGCTCCTTTGCTTCGATATAGTCGTTGCCGGTCCGCGCGACACGAATAAGCCGGTCGCCAGAACTGCTGTTCAAGTTCCGGTATCCCACTCTCCAGGGCCCATCGCCAGAGAGTTTAAGAGGAAGGTTGACAGAGGCAGCTTCAACAACTGTAGTCGTTGTCTTGCCCTCGAGAAGACCAAACGCAGCACGTGGCCGTTGGCGTCGCACAGAGATCTTATTCTCTTCTTTGAGAAAGATACGACATCCGGTCTTATCCTGGATACTCTTCAAGGCTAGAGTATACTCTCCACCAGTAGACAAGGGTGCGGTTTCGATAGTGAATGTCTCCGTGGTGATGCCGGTCGCTTTCTCTGACTTTCTCTTGCCTTCATGAATCAATTCCCACTCTAGCGTAAAGGGACCATCTCCGAGAAGATTCACATCCAACTTGACTGGCTGGTCAAGACAAGCGTTGATAGTGCGTGGTCCTTGTCTGAAGTACGCTGTCGCTGGCGGCTTGACATTCTGTTCCAGATAGTACTCGTCCGATAGAGGTAGAGGGACGCTATAAATAGCATCTTCGAGTCTTCTAAACCGATATTGGTAGCGCCCGGCATTCCTTGGGAGTAGGTCAATCTGTTGCCGAAGACCCTTAATCTCGACCGTCTCTCTCCTATTCTGCTCGGTATCGCTGCTAACCGTGTATGCGATTCTGAATGGAGGCGTTCCGATCATATCCAGATTAACACGAAGTCCAATGGAGTTGCCGGCACACTTATCCGGAATCTCCTCGGATGAAATTGTCAATGTAGGCTCAAGAGGGTTAAGTAGTAGGCAAGATGAAGGCTCTTCGATCTCTCCTTCGCAAGAGCCGCAAGATACGGACTTGAGGGTGTACAATCCCGGCGCAGAAATTGTAGGCTGGTCACTTGCGCTCTTAGCGGTGAAAGAACCCACCTCAACGACATCTCCATGGTCACCACTTTTCGTAAGTGTGTTGATCGGAGAGAAATTCCAGGTTAAAATATGGGAGGCGCTTGGCGGGGTCTGACCTGGACGTCCAATCTCGATAGGAAGCTTTGCCGTTTTTCCCTTTGCAACTTTGAGCGGATGGCGGAGATCACAACCCACAATAGTGGCTCTGGGGCGTTCCCTAACTTCGAAGTTCTGGTACAGGTGCTTAGGCTTAGGCTTTGCGTCAGGATCCTCAGGTTGGGGATACTGGATGACATTGCCAAAAACGTCATGAACCTCGTCGATGGAGTATTGCCATTCTCCCTGGGTAGTCATCGATTCATTCAGGCCGACCTCAACCGTCCGGGGCCTAGCCCAGCTATAGTCCTCTTCGCCTAAAGGCATGATGCCGGATGATCGTTGGGGACCAATTAGGGGTGACGTGAATCCATCAGGTTGCAGGCTCTGGAAATGGAAACTGTGGTCTTTGCCATTGATTGTCCGACTGTAAACGATCTTCATAGGTGGTGTCCCATAAACGTCAAGAGACAAGTTAGATAGTTCACCGAGACACTTCGTTGACGACTGTGCCGTTCGGACCTTGGCTCTAGGACAAGGGACGATGTATGTAGGCTCTGTGATTCTTTGAACCTCGAGCTTGTACTCATCGAGAACCCTATTGAGCTGATAGACACCGGGCTTCTTCAGGGTAATATCGTATCTGTATATACCCAGCGATCCATCTTCAATTGACCTCGCAGATTGCCTGCCAATCTCCTTGATTTCTTTGCGACTCAGTTTTACTACTTCTTGGTTGTCCGATTCCAAATCGAAGCGAATAAGTTCGACGTCGACGGGCACTGTAGCATTGAAATAAATAGGCACACTTGCGATGTTTTGTCCTTGGCCTAGGCAGTAGGGTTGCTTTTCAGGGTTGAGCAGAGCAGAGCTAGTAATAAGGCATTAGCGACGTTTGATTCAACATAAGGTAATTCCAAGGACACTCACCCTTCGGGAAGGATATTGATGATCTGCTTGCCCATGATAAGAGACGAGTTGTGCAAAATGCTTGAGACCTTGACATTATGCTCTGATATGGCAAGCTCTTTGTCGTAGAAGATTTTGACGAGTCCTAGAAGCCATCCATGCCAAGGTACGGGAATATTAAACATCAAGAGCCAGTTGAATACCATATGCGCGAAGAATATCATAGAGGTTGATGGCGCAGAGAGTTCTAGCCATGGTATCCGTAGCGAAGGTAGGGAAAAGAAGAAGATAAAGTCGAATAGGATCCATTTGCAGAAGAAATAAAAAGATCCGCCATTATCCTCTAGCATCTGTACCCAGTCGTAGAACCGCCATGCTAGTAAGACAACATAGACGGCGCAGGCATAGAAGCGTTGAGATGGTGCATCGATGAGAGTCAGAGGTATAACCGGTTGAGTAGTCGGTGCGAGATTCGGATGGTTCTCTGGGGCAACAGGTAGCGGTGGCCTAGGTCTGGCATCTTGAGCTTGACGCTGGTTGTGAAGTGCTTTAGCAGCGGCTGGTGTCTGTGGGTAACCCCCAGCACCCACGAGCGGCGTGCCAATATTATTCATCGCATTCCGTGAAGGCAACGCCAAACCATCAGGAAGCAGTAATCAAAATCGCAGATTACAGGATCGACCGGTCGATCGATCGCAGGAAGGGAGCCTTATGGCAGTTGGCGATTTGAATGGGGGCGATTAGTCGAATTGACTATGAGAGGAAAAAAGGATTGACTTGATGTCAGTTCAGTTTGTTTAAACAAACGTAGAAGATATGTATGGAGATGTAAATACCTGTCCTGTCAAAGCTTGCATGAGCTTGCAGGGTGGGCGGAAATTTTTAGGTGATCCGTAAATACCAGCTCAGCAAAGATTGGATCACGACGCGCCGCGTCAAGAACTTCCAAATTTCTGAATGCCGAATGGTGCCAAGGTAGAAGCTATCACATTCAGCTGCTAACAGCTGTCGGCTTTTTAGGTATTCTTTTTCTCGGTACGTAGCTGCGTAGGTAGGTACGTATCTGCGGGGCAGCTAAGACGAGACGGGAGCTTGAGCTTCATATAAGTGGGGAACTCAAGCCAAGCTTATATGCAGGTTCCAACGCTTCATCTTCACATAGAAAATGGCAGGTACGTACCGAATAGCTATAGAAACCGGGAAGCTACACCTGCATGAGCTTCCTCCTCCTTCCAACCTTTGGCTATTATTCCATATTTCATAATATATTTTACTTCGTATCCCCATACGTATAAACTTAAACTTATCCTTGAGTACCTACGTCAGAGAATCATAGGCGATACCTAACCCATATTTCAAGATTTCCAAAGATCTACCTACATTCTAGGTACATATATCTATCCAGTCGTTTGAAGAGAGAACAATATCACATCGTTCAAACGGTGAAATTACTGTGTTACATCAGCCTCGTTACTTCGATTCGATCACATCACATGTAACATCCTAGTCTTGGCCTCACAACGTGGAAGAAGACATTCCCGTTCCCGAATCCCCGGTACAAAGAAAAGGGTAGACATCACTGATTTTGAGTGAGGGGTGTATAATATCAAGATCAGAACCAATATCAAAATCAAGACCGGAACCAAGGCGCCTGAACAGCAAATTCTGTTTTCTTATTAAATAGGAATAAAACAAGAGGGAAAAGAAAGATGCATTCATAGAGGTATGAGGTTTCAAATTACTCATCTCTGTGCTTCCCAAACATCAAAGCCTTGCTGGGTCAGGTTTAATGCACCAAGCAAACAACATAATCCTAACAGTCTAAAAGCTCAGCAAAATGGACAAAACAATCCCCAATAGAAATTATTGTCGCTTGATTTGGCGGTTTCGTCGTATTTAAGTTACCCCTATTTTACAGAGTACTAGGACCTAGGTACTTAACTTAACCCCTTATCCGAAAACACTATTTCCAACCTCAACTCACTACACACTTTTAAAAACTAGTCGTGTGTAAGTCAAAAGCTGGCATTTTTTATCAAAGCGAGGAAACCAAATCCTAGAAGCTGACTGCCTGAAGATTTGTATGAGTCAAGACCTGTGTTTTATAGTCTTGAATTTGGGAAGAACCGCTCTTTCCATCTTCAGGCGTCCTGCGAGTTTGGTTAGAGATCTATTTCCAACTCCAAACTTCCTTTTGACCTCGCACCTTTACTTTGGTTCATAACAGATACAAATCTTTCAATCTTCAATATACACTCACGCCAATCACCTCACCCCCACTAAGGTAGACTTTTTTTTTTATCTTTTTTTTTTACTCGCTCACTTCCCGTGAACTCCTACCTTTACGCCAGTATCACATGATACCTAATTGAGACCATTCCTAATGGCTACACATGAGCCCAAGAGTGAACCCCCGGTGGGCCATACCGAAAGAATGGATAGATCATCCCCCCTCAAATGCGACGAAGGCGATACCGATGTCCTGTCCCAGACACACATTCAGCCAGCGGATCAAGTTCCTGACGGAAATACCGGTTTCCGACGTACAACAAGATTGAAAAAGCCACCTACCAGATATGATGAAGAATATGTCAATCTTGCCCCTGAATCACCTGCACGGCCAGCTGTAAAGCAACCTCGCCCAAAACGGAAGGCTGCTCAGGTTGCTACGGATAACATCGTCCCTGAAGATGCCGCCCCTATTCTCGAGGATGTCCTAACTCGAATGTTTCCGGACGAGCGTAAGGAATATGAAGGTTGGGTCGAACTTGAATCCGAACCAGTCAGTTACTTATATAGGCTTCTACGTATAAATATCTGACTAACTCATATTTAGGGCTTCTTCAATGCGATGTTACAAGAGTTAGAGGCGAAAGACTTCAAAGTCCAAGAAGTCTACGGCCTCGACGCGGATATACTAGGATTCCTACCGTATGTCTACAAATCGGTATCCTTATTGTCGTAAGCTAATCACCCATAGGAAACCGGTGCATGGGCTCATATTCTTGTTCGAATATGAAGGTGATAATGAACCAAACGACGACAGCCGTGGGGACTGCCCCGATGATCTTTGGTTTGCGAACCAGGTACATACCATGCTGAATTTTTTAACTATATATAAGTTAACAGATATACAGACGACCGCTAATGCCTGTGCTACTGTTGCACTCATGAACATCATCATGAATGCTGAAGACACCAGTCTCGGTACCCAACTCCAGGATTTCAAGGACTGTACCAAGGCGCTGCCACCACCTCACCGAGGAAACGACCTCGATAAGAATGACTTCATTCGAAGCATTCACAATTCAGTCGCGAGGTACGCTTTTGATTCATCCATATATATATAACTATAATATGTCATTGAATTAACTTGAAGTGATAGACGTATCGATCTCATTGCCGAGGACTTGGCTCTCGATAATAAGTACGAAGAATCATTAAAGAAGAGGATGCAGAAGTCATCTCGTGCCAAGCGCTCAAAGGCAAATGTTGAAACTAACTATCACTACATTGCCTACGTACCCAGGAACGGTCAAATATGGGAACTCGACGGGTTGAAATCAAAGCCTTTATGCCTTGGTAAGTCTAACCCTCACCTCTACCCAAAGATAAGATGCCTAATCTATGCTTAATTTAGGTAATGTTGAAGGCTCGTGGCTTGACACAGCGAGCGCAGCTATCCAGGAACGCATGATGCGCAATTCAGAGTACTCATCATACAGCCTCCTAGCGATCTGCCAGTCGCCGCTTAAGACACTATGTACGGAGCTCGCAACAAGCCTCGCCTGTTCCCGCACCTTACACGAACGCTTCAGCAAAGATTCCACTTGGGTCGTCCCGGATCCGTCGGAGATATTTACCAACATGCGCCCAGAGCAACGGAATATGACGTCCGAGAGCCTTGACAAGGCCGAACTCACAGAATCCTTCGTGGCTAAGACAAGCCGTCTTGACTTCGACGCTGCGGCGGCATTAGAGTTGGCACAGGAACTAAAGACGGAGCAGGACTCCCTAAACGCACAATACATCGCTGAACTGGCAGCTGTCGACGAGGCCGTAGAGACGGTGCGCGGACGACAGCGCGATTACACGCCGGCTATACATCAGTGGGTGAAGGCACTTGCCGAGAAGGGGGTTCTAAGGGAGTTTATCCAAGAGATGGGATAGAATATCTGGGTAGTGAAACTTCTGGGTATGGTGAGGATTATTTCTAGAAAAGCAACTTGATTAGACGAGCTGGTGAGTTAGTGAGTTAGTTAGTACTACTTATAATTAGAAAGTCTCACGCCGCGTTGGGTTTCATAGACCTGGCGTGAAGGCAGGCTATTTCTACCGACTATGCTTCGTCATTCGCAATGATAGTATAGACCTAATCCGATGAAAAAACATTGGTTTATCTAGATGGTGGAATATGAGTGCTCACCCGCCTCCCCTATACAAGACGTCAATAATGAATATATCTCATATCACTTGGAGATAAACCAGACCATTTGGAGTGGAATAAATCAGAAAGCACCGCTCTATGAGTGTTATCATTCCAATCTATACCTAACCGCTTGCCATGCGTATGCTACATCAACGTCAACATCCACACCCCTTCTCCCTTGCTCTCCTTTTTTTTCTTGTCCCTCCTCCCCTTTTCTCATTCTTCTCTTCATTTCCTTCTTGTCTCAGCTTTCTCTCTCTTTTTCTTTAACCTCCCAATTAGCCTAGCCACCCAAACGTAAAAACACCGGAAGGGAAAAAACAACAGACGCTGCGCATGCATGCAAAGCCCTCTCCCATACATATTCCTTAATCATTACTTTAAGTAGAAGTAGGTATCAAGCCGCCGACCCTGCAACACCCCCTGCCTCCGCTCCCGCCCCGAGACCGAAAAGAAAACGCGGACGCAAAAACAACCTTATTATCAACGAAGACGAGAGGTAAAAATCTAGGTGGCCGTACATGTACATAACGGATATCTCGCTCCCCAATCCCTGGCGTAAATTCCCGTAGGGCCAGAGGTAGTCAGGGTGGGTAGTTAGATGAATAACCCAAAGTCTAAGGCTTCGGCACATGTAGCGTCTTACTACACATTAAGCACCCGTGGATTAGGAACATCGCAACGACGGGATGGAATTCGAGCGCCGAGCCTTCGAACCAAACACCTCCCGGTATTTGGTCCATAACCCAGCCCTCGCTAACCCACCAAGCCATAAGCGCGTCGAGCCCGAGCGTCGTCGGGATGGGCGTACCCTCGAAGTAGCTGGCCTTGCCTGATGCGTCCTTGGGGATATTACCGCTAGAAGCGGTGACATTGAAACGTGCGAGTCGCGTTAATCCGCAGAGCACGAAGACGGTAAGTAGAACGTGGTCGAGGGGCGTGCGAAGTCCGATGCTGAACGCGACGCAGGCAGGGGCTAGGCCGAAGGATATCTATATGAATTTGGGTTAGTTAGGTGGTCAAGTTGGCCAAGAATTATTCCCCTGGAATATGAAGAGGGGTAATATAAACGAGGCATACCAAATCAGCCAGCGAATCCAGCTCTTGACCCATCATACTGCTCTTCTTCCGCCACCGTGCAACTCGGCCGTCCATGAAGTCAAAGAATAGCCCAAAGGGTAGGAAGATGAGCGCGAGGTATAGGTTCGTCTTGTCCACGGGGTCGCCAAGGCAGTAGCGTAGGGAGGAGAAGACGGATGATATACCGCAGAATCCTGTACACAGAAGAAACCAGATTTTGTTAGCCATGGAGAATTTAAAATTTATGATATAATAATAGGCATAGGAAATATCTGGAAAGCTAATAATCAAATCATAAGAGTAGATGTGATGTTGGGTAATGTATACCATTTAGTTCTGTAATGTAGTCTGCCATATGAAGGGCTTTCAATAGCGAAAAATGACCGCCCGTAGCTGAAGATAGGAGATCCTTCTGTTTATTGTATGCTACACATAAGGACGACATCGTCAGTATACTGTATCCATGAAGCTAGCTCGCCGCGAATAGACAAGCTCGTATACTTAGCATTGTTAAGATATACTACGTACAAGGTTCTTCTGTAGCACTGGTCTTGGATGCAACGCCATTGCTGCCACTGCTGGTTCGTTTCGACATTCTCTCTGTGTCGATTTTTCTTGCTACACCGCTCGATCGACCAAGGAAGATATCTTGTTCTTTTTCAATATCCTCGAAGGAATTTGACGATATATCTTTCTTCTTATATCTGCTTAGATCACCAAACACGATATATTTGTCGTCTTAAGCTTATTTTGTTCGCGGATCTTCCTTTTCGTCTTTCGCGTAGGTAGTAAAAGGAAGTCGGTTGTCGTCGCCGAATACCAACAAATGCCTTTTTGTAAGAAAGTATGTCAAATTGTTCCTTAGCTTGTTATTAAGGTAGTGGTGATTCCATGAATTTAGTATTTTCTGACACCGGCGAAATTGACTGTCGGGAGTTGAATCAAGAAGGAGCTTGGTAGCAAATGGAGATCGCGAAAAAATAAACCCTAGAAGCAGAAATGGACAACTTTTTGAACCTATTTTGGCATCGGGTAGGCGCAGCATCATTGATGCCGTCATTTGGACACGTCCAGGGCCCGCTTGCCCAAATTAGGACAAGCGCGGGGGAGGCTTAGTTAGAACCGTGACCGGCAAGTTTCTTTGTCAACCAGATCCATGGATGGATGTATTTCGTACATTTTTATAGGTAACTTCAAGTACGTACCTCAACTCTACACCTTCTAAGTCGTCATATTCAATGCCGATAGATAAATTGTGCTAGGTATAGGTGCTCGTACAATCCAACTCCTCTAAATGGCACCGTCATGTCAACCATTCACAAACTAACACGACGCATTTCGAAGTGGCTCCTTTTGGCACAGAGACACACTATTAGTTCCTGGATGCTGCTCACTCTCTATGTACAAAGATTTGGGTAGCAACACCACCATCTCTATCATCATCTCCCCGACTAGCTCGACTGATGAAAAAGAGCCAGCACGAATAATTAGGGTATTCTCTTTCGAAAGACAACGTCACTTACGTTATCTCGGACGTGTATATCTCCAATGATTTAGCTTAATGAAGCCAACCCCTGAGCCCTACTACCAACCGTTTTCCACCTATCAGAATGGTACCGGATTGCCTGCCCGTCTTGCTATGCTTGCCAGATCAAAACCTGACCCTTTCCCTGGACACTCCAATGGTCCGACGCGAATATGATGCGGTAATTATGTATGCTAGATGCGAAGCGAATAAGACAAGAGAAAACCCAAGTAGCGAATCCTGTGTATGCCGGGGATATTATGCCGTCCGTAACAAAATGAATATGCAGATGCGAAAACCCATCAAATCCCTCGAGGATGCAACTAGTAATCCGCCATTAGGGCGAGGCGAGTGCAGTTTCCTGTATTCACCACCCTTATCACTCATTCGGAGTTTATACCGAATGTCTTATTCATCGCGCGATGATGACGCCAAAACCGTCAATCCAAGCTGCACAGGATCCTGACACTCCACAGACAGTGTAGCCGCGCGGTGGAAGTAGTGTGTGACTAAGTAGTCTTATTAGCAACCTCGATCAAAACGTGATATAGAAATAGTCAAGACGTACGGAGATCCACCATGCGCATTGCCGTAGATGGGTGACTTTCTTCCCAGGCTCGTCAGGACCTGGATGCCGTCTATCCATAGACCTGACCTCACAAAGAAACCAGTGATGTATTCGCCTCGTCGAATATCTAAAGCTGTTAGGAATAAATGTTGCCCACAAAAGATCGGTGATAACTAACCCATCTCAAACGTATCGCCGCCAGGCTTGCCCCCACGCTTTCCAAACAACTGGCTGGAACCGTCATCGTAGGAAAACTCGAGTCCGTCCAAAGCAAATCCATGATAAACTATCACACGAGAGAGAACTCGAGTTTTTTGCGTGACACTTGTGAAAAGGAACTCTTGCGGCTCACTTCCCTCCATTTGCGAGAAGCCAAGCTTATCACTGCGATACGCTGATTTACCAAAAGATATCTTCAGGGAAGATGACTTGGAGCATAAGTCATGGAAGTCATTTATGTCAAGATTCCCACCGCCGTGTGATTTAATGCAGACCTTTATCTTCGATTTTCGCTTTTTCTCTGGGAGTCTGTCGCGAAGTTCTTGTTCTGTAAGGGTTAGGTTTCGCTGCACTGGACCACTCTCCATCGGGTATTCGATCCAAGTGTGGCAGAGATCGTCACCTTCAGGATAGATTTCTATAAACGACACACCCGTAGCTGCTGTTATCTGAACATGTCCATTCTCGACCGGCCAAGCTTGGACACTTCCGTCTGGGTTTAAAATCGGATCGTTCGGGAGCCTAAAACAAGGGTGGCTGCGGAATCGTAGGCAATCAAGGCGGTGCCAGGTACACTCGTCGGCTTGAGACACCGGCCCTCCTTTCGACTTAGTTCGTGTGGCGTAAGCCTCGTGGGCCACGAATGTACGATTCAATGTGACATAGTCTCTTAACATAACTCCATTTTCCTGATGCGGACATCCGAAAAGATGACCGGTTTCGTGAAGATGGGCGCCAATCCCGATATTGGCGGCTTCCCAAGAGCTTCCAGATTCATTGCAGTCATTGGCGACGAAGTTAGTGTCGGTGGGGGTACAGTCAGTAAATGCAGGGACAACCTCTTCAAAACTCGTAGGATAGCTTTGTAGACAATGGGACCCGAAAATTGCCATGTGTAGATCTCCGGAATTGCCGCCCAAGGCTGCATGTCCGGTGACGATCTTTGATTGCGTATCCCAGTGCGAGTCTAGGATCAACACTGAAACATACTGCGTCTGCCCTGGAAGTGGCTTAAAATAGTTTTTCAGCGCATCTGTAGCAATACCATAAAGATCACCCTTCTTCGTCGCGTTGGGATTTTGCTGCGCGATATCCAGGTCTCTAATTTCGGCCATCGTCTTGTCTGATCGGATAACGTGAATGCGTGCCTCTGATCGCATCATGCCCATCTCCCTATCCCGATAATTGCAAGTGCCTGTAGTCCACTCTTCTTCAAATCTAAACACTCGTCGTCCGAGCTTATTTCTCCACATCTGTTCGGCGGTAAAAGCTTGCCATAGGTAAGCGGCCATTCGGAATTTGCGAATAGCTGTATCGAGGTCATTGCCTTCCCTCTCCACTCGGGCAGGAACAGCATCGAAGGTGCCCGGAGAGTCCTTGGCAAGGAGAATGGCAAGTTGCAGCGGCGGTGAGTTCATCGGGGGGACCATGTGCACTGTGAGATATGACGAATGTATCGGGTTTGAAGAACCACTGTTGGCGAGCTTCGGGCTCGAGAAATCGAAACGAAGTCTATTTGCGCCAGGCACAAGGTATACCATAGCTTTGAACTGCGACTCGCAGACTGGCCAGTACGTTGGTGGGAATCCATCATCTAGCTTGCAAACTGTAACAGATCCCTCGAGCGATCGCTGTCCTGGCTCCCCTACCATACCATTGATGAGGAGAATCTTTTGCGAGACCTACCAAGGAATCAGTATATATTAACAATAGCATCCACAGATAGATTCTGGCCATATTTATTTTCTCCCAACAGTTTAGTCAAGACTAGTACCGTTGAAGGCTCTAAACAAAGGGAAGGTTTTTTTTATCGTACCCATGTATTTTCTCCAAGGTTAGTAATTCGAGGAGAGTATTGAGATACAGGCAGTGAGGATTTGCCGTTCAGCGCAGGAGACCCCAGCCCAGCCATCCCGGATACACCATATCTATTGTTAGAGTTTGGTTGAGGTGGCGGCCTGTTGGCGGGAACTGGAGGAGGTTGAGGTAGGTCTTTTAATTGGGCATTAAGAGCCGGGTCCGAATTGGCCGTTATGGAAGGTGGCGTAATTGACCCGTTGGTAGGAGTTGTGTTCTGGCTCTGGTGGTCATCGTAACTCGAAGTGTCAGTAGAACGATCAGTGCGGATGCTAGCTCGCGACCGTCGTCGAAAGTCTTTGAAATTTAAGAACGAAGGCGCCATGGTGATTCTCGACTTCGGTGAGAATTATGCAGTCGATTCTTCAAAGGTAAGCTGAGAAATACAATCGTTATAAAGTAAATCAAATCTCGAAGGATAGAAAGTTGGGTTTGTTTTGTTTTCTTTCGTAATATCGAGTAGCCAGTCTAGTTTAGTAGCTAATCTTCCCAGAGCTATTTTAAGAAAAGGGAAGCAAACGGCTACTGTTAGTCCGACTAACACAGCTGGTAAGCTTCCCTAACGAACGTAACTGATTACCTAGGTAATCAAGTAGGTTAAGGAGGGAAAAGAGAGAAAGCGGTAGGATGATTCACTTTATGAAGTAAGAAGTGAGTGTTGCGTGGTTGGGAGAGCACCGGGAGACCAGATAGGACGAAGTGGAGTGTAGGTAGATAGATCTTCAACGATCGACTAGTGCGTATGAACCTTGGAAACATGTAGCTTCGGCTATTGGTATCCGTTCTGCTGCTATCGTAAAGGTTGCATCAACCTTAGAACCTGTTACGGGGTACCAGAATTACCTCAGCAAAGTCAGGTTGATAGGTGTTATCGAAAACAATAAAACGAAACGAGAGTAAGGTAGCCTCTCCTCTTGAGAGAAGACTTCTGACAACTCTAAGAAAGAAGATAAAACAAATGTTGGTTCTAGTTAAAGGACCGATTCATCGATCAAGCCGTATTCCGTAACGTATTCCGTAATCCTAAAGTACAACGAGTACTACAGCGAATACAGCGAATACAGGTCTGTCTGTACGGGCTGTGGTACAATTGAATGTGGTCAGCTAGATTGGACAGACGATCAGAGCGATCAGAGCTCTAGAATGTAGATTGACACCGGATTGACATGTGTCTACGGGCGGGATGTTGACGAATTGACGAATGATGATGACGTCGCGGCTGATAAGTGGGTAACTGGATGTAGCCAGATACTGCTTAAAGTGGGCTATGAAACTAGTGGGATTCTTTTGGCTCGCTGAAATTAGGTCCAACCAAGTTCAACCAAGCCTTCCAAGGAAGGACGCTTGTCCTATTTGGAAGTTGAAAATTTGGATACGAGAAGTCGCTACGCAAGGGCCGCGAGGCTCCGGGATACGTACCTACTTAGGTACGGGTACATGTACGGATCCGTGATATATCCTATTAATGGATTGTAGGTATTTCCGAAACTGAGATTTACACTTGAATGGGAATTAAAAAAAGACTTAAAAATGTAGGCCTTACTTACATGCTAGGTACCTATTAGTAGGTACACTTGCAAAGCAAGAAAAGTTCGGATGCTGTCGGATAGCGTTACCGGCAGATACCGTACTGACAGGTAATACAGTAATATGTTAGGGACAAAGCGTCTAAAAGGTTGACCTGGCAGCCTGGCAGACCTGCACTTGGAGTGCCGTGACAAGGTCGCAATGTTGTGACTAGGTCATGCAAGAATCTCGATATGTTTATATTGTTTATTATTGGGCGTTGGGAGGTGGTGGTACTGGTACATGCAGAACTAAGTGGGTGTGATTGCGCAGGCGTTGTTGTTCAAGATATCAACGAGGGTTGAAGAACAGGGCATGCAAACTAACTACACTAGTATTTTAATAGAGAATCTTGGTGTTGAATGAAGATGAATTCGATTAAGTAGTTGCTGAGTTAGGTTATTGACATCGACAATGTATCGGAGTACGGCAGAATGTATGTGTTTCGTGCGCAAAATGATGTTTAGGTGTCCCTCGAGGTTGTGCAGTGTATCTCTGGCACTGTCAAGCCATGTAACCGCCCGATGATAGATCATAAATGCAGCGAAGGTGTGAGCGTATCTGATTTGTCTATCGGTAACTCGCCGTTGACTTGATTTACAATGATTCAAGTATACCCCCGCAAGTTCTTATTCGAAACGCCGAAAAAGAAATTTAACACGTCCTATCCGTAACACAAATAACGGGATGATGTTGAATGTTGATGGGTACTGCGAAGTTCAACTTAAATATCATGTATATGACAAGGTGAAAGTCCAATGGCGTTGTTGGGTTTACCTTCGGAAAGGAAAATGTATTCATTGGAGGAAATACTTGTATGCAATAATCAATATCTTACCTTGATAAGCAGCATAAACAGGTTTGGTATCCGGGTTTTGTAGGTACCTACCTCTTAGATACCATAGATGGATATTTGCGCCTTCCTACTCAGCAGTTCCTATTACTAACCTTGAAATTACCAAACGCAGGTGCATTGGAATAAGAACAGCTGGAATTCCAAACGGACGTTTAAGGTTCTCCCACAGATGTTAACCGGTCCGACCCGAAAGATACCCAGAGTCCTCTTTAACTCTATTCCACAAAGTTACACGTACATAGTAAGTCTACCTAGGTAGGTAGTCTTACATTCCTTACTTGCTTGACCTTGCGCATTTGTAAAACTGTGACAGGTTCGCACAAAATATTAGGTGTTCCCCTGATCCTGTCAGGTCATAAATGCAGATGCAGAGACGCAGTGGCAGGTTTAATCTGGGCGGAGTATACTGTGTGTTCTCCATGATCAACATTGGCGCATATCCGTGCGGCATGTGCATGTCGGCCTTACGTCCTTACGATATAGTAGGCGGGAATTCGTCGTCCAGCAAAATCTCGTATCCTCACTTCTCTATCCTCAAAAAGCTACGTATAATCTGGACTATCTTATAGTGTGTCGATTATGTTGTGAATACGCAATACGAGGTTCGGCATTAGTTAAGACTTATGGGTTTCTTTGAAACCTTTACTAGTACAAGTTGCCGATAAGAGATAGAAACAGTAGGTAGGTACTTACCTACCTACCTATGCAATGTAACTGCTGTACGACCCGTATCCGATTGGGTTCCTGATATTAATATACAATATCATGGAGCATCATCGCCCATAAGGCTGGCAAGTCAGATGAGTAGTTGTACAGCCAAGCCGAACTCTTTTACTGGAAAGATATAATTACTAAGTATGTAATAGCATGAATGGTACTTGGTAAGTAGACAAAGAGCAAGCTTTCATGCTTTAAAGTGTTTGCAGTAAATGCGGGTATAGCACGTTTTCGCGGCGTTTTAGCCCTGCTTTCGTTTAACAGGGGTTTAAATTGGCTTCCATTTTCGGATGAGAGGTCGCATGCCACGAATCTCGCTATATCATGTATCAAATGGAAGAATGATAAAAGGCTATCCTAGCCCTCCTTAGAATCCCCTTTAATACACGACAATTCTTATGATTCTAGTATGCGAAGAAACCTGAGGTCAACCACTAGTGGAGACAGATGAGATCCCCAGCTACAAATGTTCCCTCCTTTGCCCCTTAACCACTGATACAATCCACTCAGTTAAAATTCAAGCTAGTCTGGCCTCTTCAGTTTTATGTCTTCAAAATATGTTATATAACCGGTGGAAAGAAGCTTACCTGGGTATCTGGTAGTTATCTGCTAAGACAACATTGTAGATCGCACCGTAATAAGCTCATTCATATCTTGTTGCTAGTTTCTACATAGTAGAGCAACGTATGTAAATAGGGATGCTGATAAGCAATGTTATGTCTAGAAATGTTGCTGTATTAGTCCTCACCCTGGCCTATAAGAATTTCTTATTCCGTCGTGCTATAATAACAATTGTATTGCTATGTTAGTGAAAAAGACCATTCCCCTTCTTTCCCTTTTCCCCTTTCTCATGTCCCATTTTTCCTATCCCCTAATTTTTAGCATGTCTTATTAGTAAAGAATTAGGCTTCACTTCGAAGAAAATAGGAATAAATGTTCTCTATCATCCCCTTTCCAGTCAAGTTTTGTTGGGTTTGGGCCAAGCCTTCCCAATGTCCCGCAGTATGGATAATAAGTATCCATAAAATGATCATGGTCATGTCAGCTGGGAAAAGAAGAGGGAACAAACACCAGTAAGCTTCAGTCATAGCCTTCAGCGTAGACGCTGACCTATGAAAACATGGCATTGTAAATATATGATGATTGTTCGCAGGCAGTCCTGCAGTTGACCAGCCCGTCCAAGAAACGATTGGGTGAATAAAAATATCCTAGTCCTTTGGGAGCGACCTTATTGGTTCCCAGTATGTAGCTGGTAAATTAGTGGATATGACGAACTCCCTAAAGATGCTTGTGTATCGTGCTATGGGCGCTGAATTTCTGGCCCTATGAGATCTAGGCAGGTGCTGAGGGTTAGCGGTTTCCCAAAGACCCAGGTGAAGACCCAAGGGAAGCTGAGCTCGGGCTTAAAACATCAATTTTATTGCATCACCCGGTTTCCATGGAGAGAGGAATGTAAAGTGTTAACCCTTACTGGGTTAGCCTAGCAAGGTCAATTAGGTGCAAGTACCGTAGAATGGAACTAGACCATGGGCTAGGACCATTCTTATTAGTAAAACTTTTAGTTCAGCACTATTTTCCTTTGCGGGATCAAAGATCCTTGGTTTGTATCTCCGCCAACTGAATTGACTTTTTTTCCTTCCCTAACGCACTCCATCCTCACCCATCGTCGTTCATTACCAAAGTTTTACAGTTACAGTATACATCTATACACTTTGTTTTTTTCTTCTTCTATCCACTCACTCTAAAAAAGTCTTCATACCGATCAACTTCGAGATTCATTTTAATATACCTGAGACTTAGAAAAATCGGTATTCCTGATACCTAATTCCATCCTACCATCCATACCTATCAATAATATCCTCGATCCTCCTGAGTAACCATCAACCCCCCTTCGCTTACACCAGCAAGCGCCCGGCCAACAACTCGACCCAATCATCCTCCCTCCCCGCAATATTTTTTCTGATAACCACTCGACGAACGTCACTTAGAACTTAGGGGGAGAAACTAAGAAGAATCTCTGGCCTCTGGTCTCAGCAAGGGAACATGTCGTCGCCGTTAAAGAAGCAGCCAGAGGCTGTCGCAGATAAGGTCCTTAAACGAGTGGAAGTTAGCAAGGTATGTTGAAAAATCTAGTCTACCTACCAGACGACCAAGACGATATCAGGACCTAACATTCTTTTTTTCACGATGACAGATCGCCCGAAGGTTACAAGGTCGACTGGCTCTGGCACAATTCAAGACTAAGCATGGATGGGAGGACTTGTCACTCGATAACATCGAGCCCAAGATCGAAGAGGAGATCCGACGAAAACGTCTCATCGACGGCGATGTCCAATCCGACTCTTCGTCCAGCACATCAGAGCTACCGTATCCCAGTAGTAGAACGCTCATGAGCTCCCCGCTCAAAGCCCCCCTCTTTTCGGATGCCATCGGGTCGAGCAATGGCAGCACCGGTCATCGCAAGCGCACATATCACATGGCATCATTCGATATGGATATGGCCATGTCAAGTCCGACTAAGCGATTCCGTACCTCGCCCACCGCCTACAAGTCTTTCAATGCTTCATATGGACATGGGTCTTGGAGGACACACCGCCAACTAACCCAATCCTCTCCTATCAAGCCACGAAGGCAACAACACTTCACGACGTCTACCGGACCAGATATTTCTTTCTTCCAAAGCGCACGTCGCCCCTCTGTGGATCTTACACCGAATTTTGCGGCAATTTCGGATGATGATGACGACCTCTTACCAGCGCATTCTTTTGCGGTCAACCACCACCAATCACCTCCACGAACACCTCCTATGCGCAGCAGGGCGCTCAATCGCCGGGGCAGGGACAGGAACGCAGCAAACGGTCAGAAATCTGAAGAGGGCGCAGATTTGTTACTCTATCTAGCGGCATCTCCCTCACCCGCAACACATTCGACCAAAACTCGTATGGATCCCCCTTCCACACCCCCTCCTAAGAAAGACCTTGCACTTCCCTCGTCTATGATGACGACACCGGGAGGTGGTAACCTTTTCCCGACCACCCCTGGTCAGCCTTTCGATATTTCAGACTTCGTCAATATCACGCCCAGCCCGGCACAAAAACCATGGAAGACACCGCTGTCGCTTAGGACGCCTACAGCGAAGACGCCCTTGAGCGGGGCGAGACGACGGTTAACGTTTGACGATCCTGTGCTTGGTCTACCTTAAACCTTGCAGGTGTTCTCTTATTCTACTAGTATTTAATGTTGGGATAATTACGGATTGCCTTCTCTTCCCTTCCCTTCCCTTCGATATCTACTTCGATGCCCCCTTTTTACTTAGTGTGCACATACCACACATACGCAAACAAACGGACGACAATACCCGGCTTTGGCCATGACCACTTAGTATGGATGTTTCTACGGGATGGATGGATGGATGGATAGACCACAATGGTCGATACGCTTGTACAACACAGGATACGGACTTTTTCTATTTTCTCTCGGTCAGCAACGCGGGATGCGCGGAGTCTATTGGTCACGGTATCAAGTCATCAACCCTCGATTATCATCAATTTGATTTTTTTTTCTTCTTCTACTAAACCTGTAAGATTCGGTAACCCTCTACCTACACCTGCATTTTAGTATTCTTGTTTCTTTGTTTTTGCGAGACGGGGAAACCTGTTGCATAGCCTTGCGATAATGACCACCTGGTAGGAGTCAGGATGGCCTGATAGGACGGAATAGGGTGGAGGCACCACGCATATCGGGGGAGAGGACGTGTAGTTCTAGCTCACTCACACATCACATCAACATCACACTCTGACAACGCGAGTCTGTTTGCTTTTCCTCGCAACACCCGACGAGTCCCGACGATGACAATTGCATGGTTTCGTAATGCTTGTCATACTCAATCGAGGATAGAGAAGATGCGGAGATAGATAATTGAACGAATTGGACAATGAGAAGTAATTGTTGTCGTAATGTGAGAATAAAGTGCATGTGATATTGCTCCTTTCGTATGGTTGCAAGAGAGAAAAACATGCGAGATGTGACGCTAAAACGCGTCATTAAACTCGCGACGGGAATTTTCGCGTTCCGCGTAGAGTTATTAGCCAATGAGGAGGCGCTGGACTTCAGGGGGTAGCGGGGTTTGTCAGGGGTACCCCTCTACTCTTCCCAGCTTTGGTGTCGCGTTTGTCGACGCTTAAAGGGAGATATGGTCGGCGATTTACTTGCGTGATTGATACCTCTACTAGGTAGTTTAGATAGTTACATCGGTAGGTTTTCCAATGGATGAATCGTGTGATATTTGTTTATCTGTGTTTCAGTTTAGTCTTTACCATGTTGATTTTGCGATTGGGTATAACTTCAATCCCCTAGACACAAAAATTGTGTATGCTGAGAGACTTTAGCTGAGGATCAGCTAAGTATGAATATGCCTCCTAATTTCTATTCGCTAGAATGTAGGTATCAGTGTCATTTTCTGTATGTACGTAAGCTCACGTTGGATACCACTCAAGTAGCCGTCCTATGCACTACTATCAATGGATGATATAGAATGTTACAGTAGCCAAGATTCCAATCAACAGGCTCGCTAGGTACATCTACTACATGCACATGTGTGTATTACGTTGCGCTACGTATGTATGTAGGTAGATATCTAGGCAATGTACCTAGGTAGGTGGCAATGGCAATAGTCAAATCACAGCACACCTCGAGATAAACAACTAAACTTCAGAACTTTTGATTCAACTGATCTGACTCTCATCTGCGCGAACGTTTCCATTACACACATCCCACGTTATCAGCGCGGGTATATATATCTTCCATCTCTTCGTCTATCCATCCCTCGTCTCTCGTCCACGTCTTGATCAAACTTTCCAAGATCTCTCCTAAAGTTACACGTCTCGACTCTCATTTCCCTAGCTTGGGTATTGTATTCAGGAACAGGGTATATCACACCTTTCCCTCTTTTGTCTCGAACCATAAAAAAGAACACTGCTTCTGTTTGCTCAGGCGGGAGACGTCCTCGTTTTCTGTCCCCTTCCTTCGAAGTACTGGGTAGGTATCATAAGCGAGAGTGTGGTCGCCGGGTATCATCACCCAACACGAATATAAAATGTAAAAAATAGAAAAAAGAACAGCAATGCATCGCACCAGTAACTCCAAGCTACCCTTTTCGGTATAACTATGCGATAATCAAACAGGCGACGGCGTGCGCTTCATGCCTCATCACCATCGGTGATCTTTTCTTCCACCCATTATGCCCTAGACTGCCGTATATGTATATCCTCCCGTTCGTACCTGGAATTCAGGTACCGTACGGGAGCGACAACTATAACGCCTTGCCTACGCTCCCCTGACTACCGCCGCTCCGCCGCGTATCCGAGTCCCTACGCGCGATCCCGTTATCCGGCGTGGGCGTGTATCTTGCGGCCGCTGGGCCGACATCCGGGCCGGGATCGCTCCACTGGCTCATACTCATGCTCACACCACTCACGCCGCTCGAATATTTCGACGTGAAACTCTCGGTGCGCACGTGTGCCTGCCGTGGCGTATTGGGCACCGGTACCGGCGCCCCCTTGCTGCTGCGACTAGATTCCCTTACGGTGGCGTCAAAGCTGGAGTTGGCGCTTAGCAGATCCGGGCGATCTAGATCGAATGGGTCGGAGCGGAATTTGTTGCGTCGGGTGCCGACCGTAGATATGCTCGCATTAGACTCGCGATACATGCTGTTCATCGCGCTGTTCATGCGGGTACCTGCGTTACTCGGTTGCCGGCTGATACCGCCGCCATTTACGCTGTGTCCACGCGAGCGTCGAACATTTTGTACGTATGTTGCGAGACCGCCATTTGCCACAGCTGATGGTGCCGCGATGGCGTTCGCATCCGAAAATGGGTTGTTTGCTGCTGAAACAACTACAGGCTTCGCTTTAGCCGTGTTGTTGCCTATGGCATTGACATCAGAAAAGGGGTCGTCGAAGTTTAATCCAAGACCACCGAGGAAATGCTGTTCATTGCCCATAGATATCGATCGACGTTGGCTTCCTCTCACGCTATTTCGCACCCTTGCCGCTTGCTCGAGTTGCCTGTCGTCCATATTTAAAAGTGTGAGGAAGTCAGGCTGAGAGGGAACTCTCGGCGCATTGTTATTGCCTGTAGACTTCGGAACTGAGTACGACTCGTTATTTATCGCATCAGCCTTCGATTCGTGACGTAGTCGCCAGTTGAAATTTCCGTCTTCCGCCAACCGACCCCACCAGTCCACGAAGCGGCCCTTGGTAGTTGGCGGGCCTCCTATGATTCCGGCATTTGAATTATTTCGACTATGCGCTCCATCGAGTGGGCCAAATTGTGAGTTCCCACGGTCAAGGTTGACGCTTGGGCTTGGGCTGTTGCTACGGGCTACAATATCGTTGACCCTTCCGCGCAATCTCTTATACTTCATACCAACAACGGCCCAAAGCTTCTCGGACATTGGCGTCGGACCCAGGGATGACCGATCAATAAGATACGGGTCTTTCTCGCGGTCACGGAAAGTTGCATCTGGAGATAATGGTGTTAATAGTGTACTCCTCCGCCCATGCATCTTCCTCTTTCGCCATATCCAGATTAAGAATGCCAAAGAGGAAATGAATATGACTCCTCCAACTACACCACCAGCTATCGCTATCGTCTGCTGCGTTGTGATGGCATTGCCGGTGACTTGCTGTTGGGTCGTTGACAGACCTCCTCCGTTTGTCTCCGTTTCCACTGACGATGACCCTATAGATTGCGTTGCGCCTGCTGTTAGGGTCGCTGTGTTTCCGTCTAAACCAGTTACTATAGATGAATCCCCCGGTTGGCCAGTCAGCGACTGCGCCGGTGCTGCGCCGTCTGTAGTCGGTGCATTTGTACTTTGTGTCTGATCCCCTGGTTGAGACGGCGTAGGTCCAGCATCAGTAAGGACCCCAGAATCAGAAGGGAGAGAGGCGTCGTTAGCTGTGCTAACGATCGACGCCGGTAGCGCCGAGGTGGTCTGATCAGTTGACTGGTCAGTAGATGGTGACTGGTCAGCACTCTGACCTATCGCCGGTTGTATAAATACTGGAGGCGTATTAGCTATTGCTGCGGTACTTATTGTACTTGAAGCACTTGAAGATGTATCCGACGAAATTTGAGTGGCAGAGTCCGGTTGTGCTGGGTTGTCAACCGGAGTCGCCTGGGGATCGGTCGGGATCGATATAGATGTAGAAGATGAAGACGCGAATAATAAAGATGAGGTCGTACTTATACTCGAAGCCGAAGTAGAAGATACTGATGCTGATGTTAATGTTGATGTAGAGATAGAAGTTGAAGTTGAAGATGTCGAAGTCGATGTCGATGTTGACGAAGATGAAGACGATAACGAAGTCGAGGATGAATTTGATGCAAGTAGTATCTTTGCTACTTTCGGCACTGCCGTACACCTTTGACCGTTGCGAGTTGTGATCGATGCCATGATCGTAGACTATCAAGAGTAGGCGATACCTGTCGCAGAAGCTTAAGATGAAAGATGAGAGATAATTACCGCCACTCTGGGCAAATGAATTTTAAACAAATTGAAGTTATACGAAAGAGAAAAAAAAGGGAGGCGGCCGTGTCGGCCGGTCTACGATCATAAGATCATCAACGACGATTTGTGAAGAATATGATAATACTCGTTATTTTCCCCTGGAAAACAGAGGAGGAAGCGATTTAGCGCTCTACGCAAGAGAGGAGCAAAAATGAAGCTCAGAAAAGAAAATGAATTGTACTAGATGGAAAGAAGCGAATGGGAATAGAGATGGTGTTGTGGCTTCACACGAGCGAGACAAACAGACTAAGGCCTGTCAAGCAGCGAGGCCAGAGAGGTGTCAGTCAACCATAACGAGACTGAATTACCCGAGAATACTACGCTAGCAGCCCAGGAGAGAAGATTGCTACCAACTAAGTAGCCTGCACGGCCATTGCTCGCCGTCGCTAAGGACAAGACCCTGTATAGCATGTTTGAAGGTGAAGGAAAGGGACGACGGGATTGGTTGGTTGAGCGTTGGAAGAAACAAAGCGGCGGAGACATTCTAGACAGGGGAAAACCCCTGAGGAGAGTCGATAGCCTCAGGATTGCCTTTAAAGAGTGTGGGGTAAAACACTTTAACCCCTGACTTGCGACACACCTGAAGCAACGGCACCCCCTTCAGCCGCATGAAAACGCCACAGCATATTATTGCGATAGCCTTAACAAAACTCCAACATGCCGTTTTATAGCGACAGAAAGGTAGTAGTATAATAGTAGCATAATAGTAGCGTAGTAGTAATCATTCGAGATGACCTTCTCTTATCCTAGTTTAAAAATGGATTATCTCGACATCTGTTACTTGAACATTGTGGCTTGTTTCGTCGATAGTTACCTAAATAATAATAAGGTGATTACCGATTAAGTTGCTAAAGTTTCGGCCCGGGTGAGATGGTTTCTTGGCACACGTTGGGGGTGTCACGTAGAGAAAATAGGGAGTTTTACCATTAATAACTAGGCGACCTAGCGAGCTCCTAGGTAGTACCTGATCAATGATCAGGGCGTTTTATGTACGCGCATCGCTACTAAAACATCGTACTTAAGAGTAGGTATGTCTTTCTTAGCTTTAGTCCGGTCCGATCTGTATTGGAGAATCAAACTTGAATGAAAAGAAGAAAGAAGTCATCGAATGACTCCAAGTTTCAAGCAAAGGATAGATCTGTCATGGTGAAATTCCGACAAAACCTTTAAGGCGATCGGATCAGGTGCCTTTCCGAGTGCCGAAGCAGTATTATGCCACGATACGGTAGCAATGGCGGTGCTCTCGTCGTATTTGTATCCACTTGACATACTCGATCTACAGAGCATCAAACAGTAAGGATTAAATATTCGTTCAGATTGATGGGTTGTCTGAGTTGAAGCTTTTTTACTAAGACATTATAATGTCCGAAGAACATCAGCTAGTCTCTTTTCTCTTTAATTACCTCCAACAGGTCCAAGTAAAAATGTCGAATGCAAAGCAAGTGCAGGTGGAGGGTTTAGTCCGGAGTTATTAAAGATTCAAACGGGATTACCCTGGTACCTACATACATCATGGATGTCACTACCTACATGTATGTAGGTAGTATCAGCAAAGATAACATATCCGCGGTTCAACCATTTCTTTACATAATGCAAATATCGGCCGGCTTCGCAAATATCAATTCGAGAGATGCTCCAACAATCGATAATTGAGTAATACCACACCAACTCCAACGTCCACATTCCCAAATGCTAGGTACGTTAAGCGTGCTATCCAATAAATGTCAAGGAAATACTATGTACTCCGTACGTACCTTTTATATAATTATACCATTGGGTCTTCTTAATATATGTACATACATGCACTGTATTAGTAGATACTTGCATACATAGTAACGCACGGACCAGTACATAAACCATAAACCATAACCATAACCACATGTGCATACAGCGTACATAACCAGAGAACCCAGAAAGAAAAAAAAAGTCGCTTCGCTTCCCCAGTTCGGGTCAGTCCCGCCCTAAACTAAAACTAACTTAATCAACGCTTCGCTCTAATCCGTTCTAACCCGCTTCTAATCTTGACAGGGACTTCCCATGATGTCTTCTTCTAGATCTTCGAAAAAGTCATAATATTGAAGAGAGTTGCGACGTATTTTATTCCATTTTAGGAAGATACTGTTTCTTTTTCCAAGTCTGCGGGAATCTTCACGTACTTAGTATCTTCTCCTTTTCTAATTAATTGGGCCCAGCCACCGCCTCCAATACTCCGTTGGAGAGAAGTTGTGTGACCTACTACGAACCTTTCGTTGCACGTTTCGCTGCTTGCTTTGCTTGCACTGCTTATACGGCACTATCACTTACTATCCTCTAAACTATTATACAGTCTTTATGACCTATTATCCCTTAGATACATCTCGGTATATGTGTCCGTTTACAAGAGCCTACTGCTGTACCCGGAAATATGTTTGGGTCACTAGTCACTGTCGGTAAGTTGAGACACGATCCTACTTCTTCATTCTCATTACGCTTCGTGCGAGACAGAGCTAGTTAAGATATCATGTCATATCAAATCATATCAAACCTAATACCTGCTACTTCGTTACTTTCTATCCTAAAATCATAAATCTGAAATTAATTAGAGGACGTTGTATGAGTGTCACGTTCCCTCGTTAAGGCATTTAATACCTACCTATGTTAAGTCCGTGAAAAGAAAAGGAATACAAGTACATGATCCATTAGACCCATCTACATAATGTCCACGTTATTTTTATTACATTTTACATACATCAACTACCTTAACTACCTTAACTACCCACACTCGTCATTATTACCGGACGTCATCTCATCTATTCGCTATAGTCCAAACTGGGGAGCTCGGTCCTCCGCCTAAGGATGTACCGCCTCCCACGCCCATCAGATTGCCGCAATGCAATCCAGAACTGAGCAGAGATCCTCAGCCGTCTCTCGTCCGATTTTTGCAACAGTTGCAGCGCCCTGCCGAACTGTCTGAGGCTCACTTCGCCGCCCTTGGCGTTCACGTACATGCCGATGCCCCTGCCGAGGACGTCCTCCCGGACCCGTCTTACCTCCCCGTGTTCTCCGAATGGGAAGGCGTGAGCCTGGACGAGGCAGCGCGTAGGGATGAAACTTTCCGCCGACCGCTCTGTAACAAGGGCAAATCCCCCGACGCCCGGTTCTTCCTGGAGCGCCGCGATGAGCTTTCCCTACCCAACCAGGCTGCCTTCCGCACGGTTCGGCGCGTAAAACCACCGCAGGGGAAACAGCAGCCACGGCTCGGGAATTCTTATGAATTTTATAAGCAGATGGAGCTTATGGCATCTTATTGGGACGATACTTCGCTACCCCCACTCGTCCCCGAAGATGACGAAGAGGAACCTCCACCACTTCCACCGCGTCCCACAGACGCTAGTTCCGAGCAACCCGCTGCCGGTGCGGCCCCCGAGTCCAACGCCCGCTCCGAAGCGGATCCCGAAGCCAAACCAGAGAAGGAACCCCAGCGCACGACCTACCGCACCAGCGCCGGGTCCCAGATGCCGGCCGAGTTCCGCCACAACTTTGTATCAGCTTTCGTGAGGCTCATCGCCTACCCCTTCGGCTGTAACATCATCCCGCCCAGAGTCGAACCCCGCCTGCAGCTGCTCTCGCCGCCGTTCAGGAGAAGCTCCAACTCAAAGGGGCCTTTCTCGCAGACCGCCTCGTACTTCCCCTCCGGTTGCGTGTTCTTATGCAAGTCGCCACTGACGCGCGAGGCCGCGCGTTCGGGCATCGTGGAGGGACCTATCGCAGCCGTGTCGGCGCGCAATACGACGAACTTTAATAGCCCTGCCGACTCCAACATCGATTTCGGTAGGGAGTTGGTGGCCGCGCTGATCACGGCCCAGCATAGAGCGCGCGAGGGCCAGCCAGAAAAGCGCTTCGGCGAGGGTAAGTGGTGGGCGACAGAGAAGCGATGGGGTGGTGGCGAGGGCGGGCCCATAGGTCGCGAGGTCGACGGGGATTCCGTCGTAGGCGATAAAGACGCCGCGGCACCTGGAGAGTCCGAAAACACCGAAGCTAGCAAGCCAGTTTCCTCCTCCTCCTCCTCCTCTTCTTCTTCTCATCAGAAAGGCAAGCCATCATCACTACCCCTTATCCCCATGCGCGGACAACCCGTAAGCAAGAAGCCACGCAAGAATATGAGCATCTACGACAGCTATCGTATGGTCCGGCTACCGTCGTCGAACTGGGATAAGAAGACGGTGTACGCGCCGATCGGCAAGGTCAAGGGGGTGGAATACGACGACGTGTTTGTGCTGAGCAGTCTATTTCACCACTTTAGCGTTCTTAGAGTCCGCGTGCCGAGAAAGCTGCTCGACGTCCTCGGTGGAGAATGGGAGGGTATCGTGGAAGCGGGGATTGGGGCCGAAGGGGAGAAACTGAGGAGCTGGGGTAAGCTGGAGATGTGGCGGAGTAGGTGGTTCGACTTGTTCATCGTCGAAGAAAGGCTCGAGGCTATGCGCTTGCTTTGGGGTATGATGGCATGGGTTATGAGAGTGGATGAGGACGTCGTGATGAAGAATACTTAAGCCCAGAATGTGTCTGGCTGGCGGGTGTGTGGTGGAAAAGGCCGAGGCCGCTTTGGGTTCGGGTTAAGATGAAGAGGGCGGCTAAGAGCTCTCTGGATCTAGACTTGGTGTGCGCCTTTTTTGTGCTGGGCAGATTTGGGCATTGCCCATAGATGTGAATTAAGCATGTAATGAATGTCACGAAAAATTACTTTCCTTGATTTGTTTCTCCGCATGGCACGTAGTATCTTCCCCTGTTCGGCCATCTATACCTACATTGATCCCCTTGTTTTCAGGGTGTATGATACAAATCCTAAAATAAGAGGTCGATAGGCCTGAGACTAAAGAAAAATAAACATGGAGCGCCGAACATGATTCAGCCGTTGTTCAAATGATATATACAATTATACATTTATTGTAATTGTAATACATATGTACCTATGTAAGTATATTCCATCAATATGCGCCTTAACTAGTCATTTTATAGTGTCTTTATAGCCAATATGTTAAGATGTTTATCATCGCTAAGGTCACATGAAACTAGAACAGGCTAGAATCCATTTCATAATAAAAGTTTGACTACGGTTGGTAATTCATATTCATTGTTCTTGTAATTTTACTTAAGGCCGTATTTACTTCAGGTCATGTCGCCTTTGAACATAATGGTTGAACACGAAGAATAGGATTGGAATACAAGATAAGTATACAGTGGGATTTCAAAATCAATAAGATCAATACATGTCTTTTCTATAATAAAATACTATATTTACGTCAAGGTAATATAAGTAAATATATAAGATTACGGCAAAAAGGATATGAAGTTGCTTTGAGAGAAGTCGCATGGGGCATATTACATAGCTTAGGTAGGTAGGTTGGATGCATTCGGTGAAAGTCGCCATGGTAAGTATTTACGAAAACGTCTATAGATGCTACGCGTTTCTATCATGTGATTGGCAATATATGTATATAAACTTCTCACCTAATGTGTGTATGTGATACATATATATTATCAGCAGCATTGGGCACTCATGCTTTGCATATCGGGTCTCAACGTCGTCTTTTGTTAGAAACATCCCGCGTCCAAAGAGCGGTATAAGGCATATACAGATCCCGGATTCTCTAAAATTCTACAAGAGACCAATTCGCAAGGGGATTCGTGAGGACAATATGAAGATCTCGGGTCAGGTTGCCTCTTATGAAAGCTTCGGGATCACGAGAATGACGTAGCGAGATCAGATATCGCGAAATGGTATCACGCGAATCGAAATTTCTCCGTAGTCTAACGTAATATATGCGGCCCTTGGCGCAGATTAGTAGATTTGGTCTCAGATGAGCTCAACGTCGTCGTTGGTCCAACGTCAACGTCCGGAATGAAAGGCGGGAGGACCCGTCGCTCCACAATCTAGCGCTGACTAAGGTCAACACGCTCGAAGGGTCTTTCAAGAAAGACGGTGACTTAACCGCGTAAAGTCTTAGCTCTGCTCCCTTAAAGGGATCTAAGTATCCAAGTATTTCCTTAGGTCCGGATTTTCGCAATTAGTGTTGACTCAAGATGCGGCTCAAAGATGCGTGCTGCTGCTAAAGATAGAGAAAGGCAGCTGTATAGCCTCAACCGCCCTATTCGGGCAGCTGAGCCGTGGCGAGGTGTGATAGGTTCGAGGGGTTTGACGGGGTTCGACGGACGCGTAGGTGAAGAGACGGAAAAGGTATAGTGCGAGCTCTCCTTATGAGCTGAGACGGCTCTTGTGCGCCAGTGAAAGCAGCGAAGGCAGGAAGAGCGCCGTAACCCGGCGAGCAACTATCGATACTGCATAGCCCGGCAGAAGTTACATGCAGAACTCCCAGCGGTAAAACGAAGATAACGTTGCAGCGGTGGCTGGATGGTGGGCCTACACTGGCATCATTATAATATCGGACCGCTGACTTGCAGATGCAACTCTGGAGTAGCTTAACCGGCATCATATCTAGATAAGGCTGTTGACTTGTGGCCCATGCTGTCCCGAAAAAATTTTAACTTGCAGAAGACGCGGTACTGGCGCAAGGCTGTGCTCGTCGGCATCACCTCGATTGGCTCCTCCACATAATCTTCCTTCCCAAGCACCTGGGAGTGTCTAGGGACGATGCATGTGGCGCCTGTAGGGACTATGGGACGAGAGCACTGACACCCGTCCCTGATGATCTGCTCCTACTTGGGATAGACCGAGGATTCCATAGACTACACTTATTAGTACACTAGGTATGATAGTGTAAGTTGTTAATAGCGACTCCGTTCCTTAGCTCGTTGGTTACCTCTGATTGAGCCGAAGAACGCTTCATTCTCCGACTCCATCTGTGGAGATCCCGTCGCTAGGAACTACGTACAACTAAGACAGCCTCTAAAACGGGAATGATCTATATTGGTATGCGGACGACCTCCGAGTTTCCCGCGGAGGTTTGAATATCGATTTTCTTTTTTCCGTGAAGATATTCGGGATATGATGAAATAGACTTCACAGCCACAATGCGTTTGTCACTACGTATGGGAACTAACGCATGCGCGGCAGGAAGAGAGCCGGGTTAATTAGATAGCCGTCTAATAAGATCTTCCAGGTATTGCAGAATCTGAAGCGTTGACCATGCGGTACCTATGTATGCACTGCAGCCACAGTGGGAGGATACCGACGTATCAGAGACATTAGAGGTCGGGCGGAGACGCAAGTTCAGACGACTTACTGCAAGTCAGCCACCATTTTCGGGTATCCCGAACCATCCATAGTCGGATCGTAGGGCCGGATAATTCATTGTTCCCAGCCGTAGACGCATGAGATCCACGGGGTTCCATCTTCTCCAACGTGGACGTGGATCCTCGAAAGCATCCACCTGCATCATAGTGACTTATCTAGGTGACTAGCTCATGGCGTTTGAGGCTAGGACATCTCGGTTTGATGTCTTAGATAACTACCTGCAGCATGATGTGCCGGATATGCTACTTATCCCTTAGCACGTCGGACATAAGGACGAATATCGTAGGTACATATGCCGCAGAAGACGGATTCGCCGGTGGTAGCTTTGAGACGTTGGGCATCTTGGAGAAAAGACCCTGAATAAACAAATAACCAGCAGCTGGGATTTACAATTAGGATAAGAGAAATTTGCACAATTAATGAGTGCCTAGTCTTCGCTCTGATTAGGTCGCCGATCGGGCTTGTTGTTACAAGGCTGCCCAAGCTGCTCATTCGTCCGAAGCACACGCTGCAGAGAGATTGCGCTGCAACCGTACTGACGTGTTCTGGGTCTACGGTTTATAGTCGCATAGCGATAGTTAATGCTAGAAGTGCCAGGTAGTTCGGACGGTGGTGATAGAACCAGGAACTAGGGACTAGGAACTGTTGTAGATTTGCATGTACCATATCAGTACTATCCATATGGCATATGGTAGCTGATGAGGTTGCCGAAAGATCATTCAGCTCCGAGCTTGGATCTTGAGAATCCTTCTTGACCTGATGGTTATAATTGTCGATCATATAGTAAGAATCATTCAAATATTTCAGCGTAGGGTGAAGAAAAAGGGAAGTAGGAACTTTCTAAACGACTAGCACACGACGATGGGATTGCGACCCATTATCCCCATAGTCAGACTATTGGATTTTGTTGGTCATAGTTGAGAGCTCGGGTAGAGTACGAGTAAAATTGATGTTTCTTTAGAGGAGAGCCGCGGTTTCAATCGCCGACTGGAATTTCGATTTTGATTTGTTCATAAAATATTTGTTCAAGGGGACCCTTGTTTTCAAGCTGATTATAGTTTAGCTTTTCATTACTATGTAATTATGTATATGGATATCATTCCACGCGGCTAGGTCCCTCAGACCCCTCTAAAATATGGTCCTAGCTTCGATGACGATAGCTTATTACTCTTTAAGGTTAATACGAACTACGAAATGTCTATAGAACTGTTGATAGTAGGAAGTCACGAGTTACGAATTTTCCAAAGCTGTCATTGGGTGATTTGTACATGTCTCGCGCCTTACTGCGCTAGAATAGGTATGAACTTTCCTCCACATATCGGCGTCGGACTTGGAACAAGCACCATGCCGCATATCGCATTTTGAGTATAGTTACCTAGTAATAGGTATTCTACCATACTAAGTATGTACTTCCTCTACCTATCTTTACTTACTTTCCTACCTGCACAATCACAGTCACATACACAGCTACAATCACGACCATTATCACTTACGACATACGACATACGACATATACGCAAATACGTACATACACACATATACACATACATACATACACATACCTACATACAATTCTAGATCTCCAGCGTCGCTCTCATCCGCCCCTCCTTCTTCTTTCTCTCTCTCTGTCTCTTTCTCTCACCCCGGCTGTAACCTGCAACCTGCAACCATGACATCCATGACATTCATGACCCAACTTTCTTGATCTACATACAGTATTTGCTACATCTGCTACATTTTCCTCACGCCTCTCACCTCCCTTGCATACCTAGCAGTTACTAAAGAAAGAACCTTACACTTTGCAAGCTACAAGCAAATAAACTGCGGCTCGGTACCATCAGTACATCTCCGAGTCTCTTGAAAAAGTATCGACGTTTCCACACCGACCCCTGCTCTCTGCGCTTGTCTGGTAAGTACCTATGTATATAGTAAAGTGATGTGCGCCTGTCAACAAGGTTTCCCTGCGCCGCATCGCTTGACCGCATCGGCTGGGAATTTTCCTTGCTAGTGCGGATGGTTATACCTAACTAGGAAGTCCTTGGCATAGATTTTTCTTTATTTTTTTCTATTTGCCGTATTTTCTCTATTTTATTTTAGCTGTCGAGGCTCGTGGTCTTGGTTGTTCTTGGTACGTACATGGGGCTGCGCTTACCTTTGACACTAGCCGACTCGAGTTTGATACCTCCACCAGGAGCGACAGGGCTATCTACCTTGCCTACCTTACCTACCTTACCTACCTACCTTACATACTTAAACATCCATATTTACATATACTTAACTTACATCATACCTCAAGACAGATACATATACACATATACATATACCTACTATACAGACGTTGTCGAAATCATATTTGCTCCCTCCGCGCATCTACGCAGGTCGAGCCTTGTCTATAAGAACCTACTACCTGATCCCCCCCATTCCGACGGCAAAATATCCCCCGCCTTGTCTAACCCCCACGAGTTCATATCACGAACCTAACCCGAACCGGTTTTCGTCCTCTTCTCTTGTCGACCACCACCACCACCACCACCATTACCTCCACCTACGAACGACGAACATAATTTCAACTATAGTTGAAAGCATAGTATAAGGAATCAATCATTGATATGTCAGGTTACGGTTATCCTGGAGGATACGGTCCGCCGCAACAGCAATACCACGGCAATTACTACCAACCGTATAGTCGCCATCCCATCTTCATTGCCTTCCGGCCGTGGACACCAAGTAGACGCGGCTACTGACATTGTTCCAGTCCGCCTCAACAATACAACGGATATCCTCCTCCCCAGGGAGCGCCGCAGCCCCCGTACGGATTTAATCAACCACCGCCGCCTCAACCCTACGGATACAATCAGGTGAATACTATTGTAATGTGCCGGCTCGCGTCTAGAGCCCCACGCTGACATGCATCGCTAGGGGCCGTCCCCGCAACACGCTGGTTATCAACAACCTCCGAATCAATATGGAAGACCTGGTAAGAGACTAGCAGCATTTTGATGGCCTTCATGGAGCCGTGTGTTTAACAAAGAGAGGAATAGGGCTACCTACGGCGAACTCGAACTCGTACAACCACGGCAACTTTGGTGCCCCTCCGCCGCCGCCCTCTGGCCCCCAACATTTCGGCCATGGTGCTCCCCAAGGATACGCCTTCCAGTATAGTAACTGCACGGGTCGGAGAAAGGCTCTTCTTGTCGGCATAAACTACTTCGGCCAGCGAGGCCAGCTCCGAGGGTGTATCAACGATGTTAGGAACATGTCTTCGTATCTCGTCGAACATTTTGGCTATAAGCGAGAAGATATGGTCATCCTCACCGATGACCAGCAAAACCCTATGAGTCAGCCGACTAAACAGAACATATTGAGAGCAATGCATTGGCTCGTAAAAGACGCAAGGCCCAATGATTCCCTATTCTTTCACTATTCGGGTACGGCGACTCTTGATGTTGATGCGCATTTTGTAGGTTTCTAACAGTTTTATAGGACATGGCGGTCAAACCAAGGATCTAGATGGCGACGAGCCTGACGGCTACGACGAAGTGATATATCCTGTCGATTTCCGCCACACCGGTCATATTACCGACGACGAGATGCACCGTATCATGGTTCGGCCCCTGACATCTGGAGTCCGGTTGACGGCCATCTTCGACTCGTGCCATTCGGGCACTGCGTTGGACCTTCCATACATTTACTCCACCCAAGGTATTCTCAAGGAACCCAATCTGGCCAAGGAAGCTGGCCAGGGTCTTCTGGGTGTCATTTCCTCTTACAGCCAAGGCGATCTCGGCGGTGTTGCCAACAATATCATGGGCTTCTTCAAGAAGGCTACCATCGGCGAGGATGCACACCATAGGGCTATGGCTACAAAGACCTCGGCCGCGGATGTTATCATGCTTTCCGGAAGCAAAGATGACCAGACTTCGTTTGTCTACCCTTTCATTACATTCCCCTCATATTGATACCCTTTTTCATTTAGGTTGCATGACCGGTACATATTGGGTTCTTCTGGCTGCATGGGACTTGCATATATGAAATTTAATGGCCTAATGATAATTGTTTTGGGGGAAAGGTTGAGGATGAAATGTACGCGCGAAAGTTTTTGGTCGTAGAGGAGTAGTTATTTGTATATAGCATTTCCTTTTTTGGGCGCCCTAGATCAAAGTACAGCTATCAATGCTGTAGCTTTGCATCTAGGGCGGCGGGTTACGTTCGATCGGCCAAGCGGCTGACACAGCTTTTCTGCCCCTTTTGCTATTTCACCGTCCAAACCACACTATTTTGAATATGGCTTAGTTAGGTATTAACCATCTTGGCAGGGCCGACGCAACTATTGCCTCGCAAGCTACCGGAGCTATGTCGTGGGCTTTCATCACTGCTCTCAAGAAGAATCCTCAGCAAAGCTACGTGCAGCTACTCAACAGTATTCGGGATGAATTGGCTACGCGTTACTCCCAGAAACCTCAACTCTCGTGCAGTCACCCTCTCAGTCAGTCATCCACGCCTCCTATCTTTATGAGTTACCGGACCTTAGAACTAACATGCACGTCTTAGACACAAACCTACTATTTGTCATGTGAGACGATGTAGACTAACGTTGTCAGGTCATCATCTTGGCGGATACCGCAATGAATTATGTATGGCATTTCGACACATTACGACTGCGTTTGCGTTTGCGTTTGCGTTTTTTTGTTACGGTTCTGGTACAGCATTCGGGGGCTCTCGGGGGATAGGGTTGTTCGTTCGCCTTTTTTTTGTGTTGTTTATCTGATGAGGTTACAAAAAGAGGGAGGCCTAAGTAGGATCGCTCGGGTGTTCTTGGGTATCGTTTTTAATGAACGCTATTATTGATCCATTCGCTATCAGAGGTGTATTTCGTGATCGTGAGTGTTTGGTCCAACGTGAAATATGTCGCTTGATGGATATTCTCCTGTTTCAATATGTGCCTACCTAATGTTCTCATTGCCTTGTTTTTGACGACGGAGACTCATATCATATACTCGCTTGCTGGATAACTATCACTAATGAATGTTTAGTGTATGCATACCTGCATAAATGGAAGATCTAGTAAACAGGTTTCAGTAGTCGTCATGTTTATATTACCTCGTATACCTCATTACTAGATCAGACCATCCTATGTACGTAGAAGAATTGTTCAGCGCACTCATTTTGACAATTGCCTAATCTACTAGAAGGCTAGGGGGGGAGTGCTAGTCCCTTAGGGGAAGATAGGATACTAAGGACACTCTCATAAGTAGAACGATATCTTATATGATCAGAATTTGAATTTAATAGAAGTTTAGAAATAGTGAGAGCAAAGCCACACTCAGGGGGTATCGTAAAGCTTAAGTAATTGCCAGGGAATATACACGACACCCCCTACACCAAGATCAAAATGGCTAAATAATCTCATTCCAAAGCCTTGACAAACGCCTTCTTATACCTTTGAGACCCCACTGCGATTTGCCCTTTTTCTGCTGTGGCAGCGGTGACGGCGGTGTAGTATTATGATTATGAGGCACCGCCCTAACAATGGTATTTATAATCCTTTCATCGTTATACCGGTTTCCGTCGATCCACCATTCTTCATCGTACGAACCGGTAATCAGTAAATAAGTATCGTCGCGGTCGTAACCCTCGATGAAGGACACCATGCGGTGAAGAGCAACATGGAGGTCGTCGAAGTCCTCGTCCTTTGCGTGTTTAGGATAGAAATGGTCGAAGTCTTTGATGATGAGTAGCTGCCTTCGTCCTACTGTACCGACTCTGTTGCTCCTATATCGCCGGGTGCGGAGCCAACGGCAAGGAAACACACTTGTCAGTGCCCAGGAGAAAACGCTTGCGGAAACAATGTCCACCTTGTCGACGAATCCGGTCAAGACCCAAGTCTTCGCGAGATCGTGGACAGAGTCGCTGAGTTCTTTGGAATATTGGCTGCTCCATACATATAAAGCGCCCTGGTTGGCTTCGGACTTGAGGCGATCTTCGATAACTAGATGTTCTATATCGATCTCGAAATTTGGGTTGTAGGTGGAATTCTCGCTGTATTTCTCGTATGTGTGTTCCATCACTGGTGTAAGTTTTACCATCCAGTATTTTGTTAACATCCATATCATCATCGCGAAAACGGATGCAATGAGAAGTAAAATAGATATAGCTAGTAAGTTGAGCCAAAAGTATGTTATACAAGATGCAAAGAAAATTGATATAGAGACATATCGAGCCAAGCATAGAACCAACAGAAGCAATCGACTGGACTTCTCATGAGGCATTCGCCACCATTCGTTGCTAAAGCTTCTCGGGTAACGGTGGTAATTAGTGGGCAATACGGCGTGGCCATATGAATTGTTATTGGCGCGAAGAGCCTCGCGGCCGGATGCGGCAGCGACGTGGAATTCTTCACCCCGCAAGATGAGGGACTCATAAAATGCGGTATAGTATACCTCGGCCGTGCTCTCTAAGATCTGAAAGCTCATAGCTGACACGTGTGCTATGCCATAGCTGATGAAGGTATGACACATGTTCAAAAATATCTGGCTTTGCGCATATGAAGAGAGGCATGCGTTCAGTGTTACTTTTGAGATATTACATCTCTGGAGCTTCTCGGCGATCTCTTTAACGGGGACGTCGTGTAGAGAAGCATCATCGTGGAGAAGCATTTCGATCGCGTTGTCTCTGCGACCGAAACTAGCTAGTTTTGGGTCATAAGGTCTTGCGAAACGAAGATAAGATTGAAGCTCTGGAGCTGTATTCTCACCGGGCGCCGAAGCCTTTGAGCGTCCACCGACCCATGACCTGACAGGAGGTTTAACGGGACCGATTTTCCCATGCAAATCGAAGTGTACTATGTCGTATGGCTTGTCGCAACCAGGTTTTAGATACTCGTCAAGCTCATCGACAGTTCCAGGTCGCACGACATCGATATGTAGCTTAGGCGTGAGCCCTCGCTCTTTCGTTCGCCGGGCGATGTTGAGTAAGGGTCCTCTAATAACTATCGGTTAGGTACTTATTTGACCACACCATAAAAAAAGGGGAGTTGGCAACTGAGACTACTGACTGTATGAGGCTTGCTGGGTAATCAACATATCTCTGATCGATATTTTTCTTAAAAGAACGAGCTATTACAAGAAGTACGCGGTATTCGGCCTGGGTTGTCATGAGACGGGATGCTTGGCGATCTATAGCCGTGGCGGCTAGACCCTTGTTTAGGACGTTCAACGTCCGACTAAGTCGAACCCTCTTCACCGGTGTCTTGCCGGGATCACTGCATGGCCAAAAATCAGGATGTTCGAGAACCTCCCAAAGAAGGGAGTGAATGCTGGCGAAGTCACTCGTTTCGCTGATCTGGGTGAGATCTTCATGAACGGAGATACGACAATCTTTCTTTCGGCAACAGCTAAGGCCTAATTGGTCAAACAATCCATTGAAATACTTTTCGGTACGCTAGGAAGGGAATTGTCAATCAAATCGACCTTGGTGACGCGCTTCTTCGACCGATCCATGTGAGAGTTGACTTGGAAGTTGACTTGTAAATACTTACATCTTGGTCAAGTTCGAGGTTTCCCCGTTGTAGTCTGCTGTTATTATTTTTATGATATTCCTCTTCGGTAAAGGGGTCGACTAGGTTCGTAGTCCGTTCTGGTTGTCCATTAACAGCTATAGCTACTTTCCATTTCCGACGGTTTCCTCCGCTGATTAAACAGGGACCAATATATTCTTTACTGTGAATAGCGATCTTGTCTACCGGAGACACCTGTTTTGAAGTCGAGCTTGTGTTACCATTACCACTATATCCTAGGGTGCAGTTGGCAAAGGTGTTGACAGATGATGCCGTCGGTGCTCTATGTAAATCGACGAGGAGTGGCGTGGCTACCGTCGAGTCATATGAATTTGGTCGGTTCATTTCGGGCGTAACGCCGATGATGTAAACATATTAGAGAGGAATATCATGTATCTTTTAACCATTATTTTTGCGACCGTCTGAGAGAGAGCAGAAAAGCGTTGAGATGGGCCTGGGAAGCTCAAGGCTTTTTGGAGCTTTTTGGAACCTTTCGGAGCTTTTAGGGGCTGGGTTTAGTTTAGACCCCAAAGGCGGCGGATGGGCTGCGGCTGAAATTTAGAGCACCTCGCTACTACCACCTCTGTAGCGGACTGCCTACCTAGGTACCCCGTCTAGTCTGATCTGCTCCCTGTAAAATTGGAGACGTATCGTGGTGGCGAAGGCAGTATGAGCCGCTGTCCCTTACCGAAAACACTCTCATGACTTCTGTCATCATGGTTAGTAAATCAACGAATAGTTTGTGGAGAGTACCTAATTCAGACATACATACCTACTAGGTACCTAGTATACACACACATAGGTAGATAGGTTGTTTAAAGAAAGGGGCGCGAAGTTAAGGTAGTAAATTTATTTATAGTCATAGAAGTTCGATCGCCCATAGAGAACTTAAGGGTATGTATAGGGTAATAGGTGTAATAGATTACATAGTTGAGAGAGAGATAGGCGAGATAGGGGATGTAGGTAGGCGGGGTTACACTTAATTATGTGCATACATAGTACTTAGGCGTTACCTACTAGGTAGCGTATGCAAATAATCCATCCATTCTCTTGCCCGACCACTGCAATAAGATTGCGGGCGAGAGTGGAGTATAAACTTTGGGTTAGGGGGTCGGCCCGCTTGCGGATTGGTCACTTTCTATCTATCTACCTAGATATGTACCTAGATACCTATCCTACATCATCAACATTTCAATACTGGAACCGATTGAAATGATTCAATGTTAAGATAGGCACATCACGCTGCATGCCACATTTCGTCATCAGTTACGGCCACTGAAGGACTTTGCGAGCCCCCTATCGAATCTTTCTTATCTCTTAAGTTGATTGGTTCTTGGAGAAGTCTCTTTGGGGGCTGGATTCGTCGAGTCACAAGCGGCAAAACGAGGCGCAATGCACACACAATGCACGAAAATGGAATAAGTTCGTAGCTGGCAGACTGGCGCCTCGTAGCAATATGAGCAGCGTGCATTTGCAAGGGTGTATCAAATCAGATATATAATATGCGTAGCCTGAGACTACTAGGTACTATCGACCATCGCCAGTCAATAGCCAGCATCGTCAGGAGATAGAACCTTGGAAGCGTATTAAACATGACGCCAAAGCCGTATTTCATCCTCTCCGAGGTTGCTACTCAAGATAAGATCAACTCTCTTTTAGGTCGAGCCGTACCGTTCACGTCGGCCAAACCTGGCGACGTGGAGAACCCCTTAAAGCGCCCAGCAGAAGGTCATATTTACCCAACCCTTCCCCCCGAAGGCCCGGATCTCCGTGAACTTGAAAAGCACCTGTACCCGCATGGCGTCAAAGCAAAGGAGGCAAAGATCCTCCTCGAGAGTGTTCAGGGAACGGAAGCTGAAGTGGCCATTACGAAGGCGCTCGCGCTATTTCACTCTAGCTCCAAATCAAACAAGCGAACAGCATCGATCCCAGGCTTTCGCCGCTTGACTATCGACCAGGCACCTTACCGAATCGAACAATTGTTAAAACACGACCAATATTCCCGACCGATCTTTGATTATTTTACTAAATATCCTAATGGGAAACTTGGCATCATTGTTAGCATCATATGTGCGATGGACATGAGTCTCAACGTTCAGCAAGCCCAGTCGAGAGATAGTGGTGTGGAGGTAGAGGTTCCTAAGGAGACAGCGGTCGCACTTGGGGGCCCTCCCGTTGCGACGGATACGGGTGCTCGGATATCTTCTAGTAGCACAAAAGTTTCCGAGGCTGAGGGGACTTATGACGGCGAGGTTGTGGTAGCATGCGGGTACTTGCAGATGACTCGGAAGCCCCAGTCCTTGCTCAAAGCCTTCCTCCAGTCCGGTCCTAAGATTTTCTTTCAGTCTAGGAAGATCTCCTTAGACGACATCGTAATCACGAGCAAGGACGAGTTTGTCCAGCCAAGAACTATGACAGTTGCACTTCCGCCCACTAGACTTCCCGGCGACCACGAGGCCTATTTGGGAGCAAATGTCGATTTCAACGAGCATCATGTTGAAGCCCCTGTTAACGAGACTAATTATGATAGCGACGATGATATGATATTATATGCATAAATTTGGTACGGGTTTAGAATTGGGTAGCGCTGGGAACGTTGAATGATGTTCCTTTATTATTACTGGAGTAGTTATTACTATTACTACTACTCTCATAGAAACGACTACATTACTCATATGCCCTCAAAGCAGAGGGTGTAAAATACATACCTATATTCCTTCATCACCGTTGTATTTACCATATCCATTTCCGATCACAAGGCCAATGATTGTGCCTTGGGTCACGCACATCGGTTCCCTCGATTTTTGCTTTCGTCTTTTTTCAGCTCTTCCCAGCTAGGCATTTTCTAGTGGCGTTCTTCCAGGACTCCAGGCTGACCATTCACTGGTCACCGGTGACGACTTTGCCCCTCAGCACTGCCTACTCTGTTCCCTACCCCCTCCTCTTAGAGCCTACAACTTCTCTTAATCTCATTAACACTATCTATAGTAAGGCGACTTTGAAATGAACGGCGCGAAAAAAAAAAGATAGCTAGGACGCTTCACGAAATGAGAATCGATGGCGGAAACCTTCGGTATCCTCATGGGCTTTACTGCCCTTGTAACCCGTGTACTAAGACGAAGACAGCGCCAAGATCGACTACGAGATGATAATAGCGGCATCATTCAACTATACGGATCAAATAGCGCGAGTGTCGAGTAAGTTCTGTATAAACTTCTTGTCGTTCAATTTCCCGTTGACCAAAACAAATAGCATCTGCTTCGTGCATGGGTTGGCTGGAGACCGTATCCAGACTTGGAATTGGGTTGACGATGATTCCAAAGAAACGCATTTCTGGCCAGCAGACTTTCTACCCCAGGATGCTGAAGAGGACCATCTTAATGTTCGCATACTCTCTTATGGATACAAGTCCTTTGCCCCAACGCCGGAATACCTAACCCAGAGGACTCTCTATCGTCATTCTCAATCATTGTTGTCTGCTCTAGCAAGTGTACGTAAAGACTGTTCCGATCGACCGCTTATATTCGTTGGTCACAGTCTTGGCGGTATCGTCATCAAGAGCGCTCTCATTTTCTCCAGTCAGGATAAGAACCCTGACCTCCTGGCTCTCTCCCTTTCCACCACTGGAATCCTATTCCTAGGAACGCCCCACAATGAGACAATGTCATCTTTGGATCAGTCAAAATGGCCAAGAACTCTCGCGAGCATTGTCGAATTAACCAAGGTGGGCAATCCGAGTCTAGTGAAACACCTGGAGAAGCAGAGCCTGAGCTTGCAAAGTCGACTGCAGCCTTTCAAGGCTTTAAGCGACAATATCTCCATCGTCTCTTACTATGAAGAGATTCCCAATTCTATGTCGAGCATAGTACGTGAAATCAGCAGCTCTTAGATAAATCTACGGCTAACTACCTAGCATAAGGTCGTACCAAAACCTTCCACACGGTTACTGTATGGCGACAAGGTGGACATCATCCACGCGAGTCACAGAAATATGTGCAAATTTAGTAGTCGCGATAACCCGGATTACAAAAAAGTCTCTCATGAATTGATGCGCCAGTGTCACGAATCAAGAAAGAGATCGCAGGACAACTGGGAGAAGCACAAACGAAACAGAAGTAAAGTTTCCCCCGAATGTACCAAGCCCCTAGAAGTAACATATTCTCCAGGAGAAGAAGTCTCGGTGGACTATATAGAAAGAGTCCACGGCGCGGAGGGTATCAAGAGCATCCTCTGTCAATATCTTGTACGAAAATTGCTGATGACGACTCTTAGCTGAAGAACAAATGTCCACCATTGCGGGACCAGATAACTTTCGTGTCCATGATTCCTTCTTACCGCCGCGGAATAAAAGATTCGTGGGTCGAGTAAAGGATCTCGACTTCCTTCGCAAGATTCTTCTCGAGGAATACTCACCACCGCAACGTAACACTTGCGCCACCGTCAATCTCTTTGGGTCTGTTGGGATAGGAAAGACTGAGATTGCCCAAGAATTTGCACACCTATACCGAGATCACTTTACTTCCGTCTTCTGGATCCCTGCTACTAGCCAGCAATCCATCGAGCGAGGTCTTGTAAACATCGCAACTATTCTTCGCCAACAGATTCATGGGCCCAGTTCTACAACAGCCTTTCGAATCCTAGCTGACTCATTAGCCGGTGCGGAATTTGATGGTAACCAGCTAGATCAAACGATCAAGGCGGTAATGGAGTGGTTCCAGAGCACCGAGAACTCTAGATGGTTAGTGATAGTTGACGGCCTCGAACATGCGGACGATCATGATATCATGAAATTTATCCCCAGGACGACTTGTTCTCACGGGCACTGCATAATCACTTCACGGGAAGCGGTGGAGTGGAACTTTGTTGAGACTCATCAGGTGCATCCATTCAGCCCCGACGAATCCTTTTCACTCCTGAAGGCATCCACGGGCCTTTTAGACGCCAATGGTTCGTACCTAAATAACAATAATCGCTTCCGGGCTTAGAGCTAGCTAATGAGTTCAGAGCATGATTTGGACAAATTGTCCAGATCTCTCCAACATCTACCCCTGGCGCTTAGTGCTGCGGCTTCTTATATTTCTTCGACAAAGATAACCATACAAAAGTATATGCAGAGCTTCCGGGCCTCATCAAATCCCGGAAAGGTGAAACCGGTCACTTCGTTGGAGGATGAGCTAATTCGAGTTGAGAAATTATTGCTAAATACCATAAATAATGTCCCCGATACCCCGAGGCTTCTGAAGTCTCTGTCTCTCGGGATATTCCAGGTTTGCTGCGCTCTCTCGATGGAGTCGGTTTGCCTATCGATATTCCTCTCTAGTTCGTTCAAAAGGAAATACCGTAGGTACCTATGAACCAACCCAGCAATCCATATGATGCTAACTCGCTCCAGGGGGCAATACGATGGCTGCTATCAGGGAGCTTGAACACAATTCACTGATAGCTCTCACCGAGGACAAGAGATACCTCATCACCCAGAACACAGTTCTTGAGCATAGTTGTCGCCTTCTTCCAGATGACCAACGACAATCTGCTAACCAAATTGCTTGCGAATCCGCGTTATCTGCTGCCAAAGCGTTACAGCAGCTCGGTGACGAGGATAAGTCAGTCGATACCTCTTTCGCCGAATGTGATCTGGCGGCAGTGATATCCCGCTGTTATCAGATAATCGAAACCAATATTCACGCATCACATGAATGGGAGATTGACCTAGACTTCATGGGTCGTGTATGCGAAAGGCAGGGCCGAACTGAAGACGCGATTAAATTCTATAATATGCTAGTTAGCCAGAACGGTGGCAATGTCTCTGTAACCCGAAGAGCAAAAATGCGGCTCGCTATAACTCGTCGTGTATCTGGTGGTGATGTTCGAGCTGAGTGTGAAGAACTCGTTCAGTCGAAGGACGACATACTGTCGGAGTCGACAGCATCGATACAGGAAGGGCAACCGTTTGGTGATGAGGTGGACATCGAAGCCCTGAGGCTGCTGAGGAAAATGGCACACGACCGATCTACACCAGAGGAGGAACTAGCAATCTCGAGGCAGATCGCGGCAGTACAGGAATACCGCCTTGGGCACAAGCATCCGAGCACGCTCGACGCAGTCCAACAACTCGCAAAGGATCTAGTCGAAGTTGGATTCTACGACGAAGCAGAGGCTAACATGAGACGTGTCTTATTATCATACGAGAACATGGCTAGAGCCAACTACACAAAAACGACGGAGGCCTGCGAGACTCTAGCGTCGATACGGTTAAAGCAGGGTAAGTATGACGATGCCAAAGAGCTCTTCAACCGCGCCCTACACAACCATCTGGCACGTCTCGGCCGCGAACATCCCACCACACAGAAGTGTTGGTCACAGTTGGGCCAAGTCTATGATATGCAAAATCGCTTCGACATTGCTAGCCTAGTCTATGACAAGTGTATCGCTGTCCTCGACACGACACAGGGTACTGACCACCCAGACGTTCTACGAGTTCACAGCTACAAGGCCGAAAACTTGGCCAACCGGAACATGTACGATGAGGCGGAAAAGGAACTCAGAACTGTGCTTGAACTTATGAAGGCCGACAAGAACACCCACCACGAGAGTGATAGGCGCAGGACCGCCCTACAACTCGTCGAGATACTTAAGAAGAACCCCGAAGCCGATGACGCCGCTTGGATGGCGGCGAAGGTGCAAGATCTCGAGTTTCAATATGATCTCGATCTACACCGCCGAATTGGCTGGATGTATTGATCACGTCCTCCCCCCTGTCACATAAAGAGAAGGGTTCATGTGGATACACATCCATCTACTCGGTCTAACTAGTATTGTATATAGGTAATATTTCATGAACATTCTTCAAAACTCGGATGGTTACAATATCCGAATACTTGACTACCTAGTAGGTAAGTATCTACCTCATCTAATAGTAATGGGGAGTTCGAAACAGCCTCGACGATCATCTCAACAAATAGGTACCTATCTGCGCTATAGTCGCTTTCGTACATCACATTACACTAGTTTAAATGTTCTTTTTATCCATCTTCGTGCAGCTGGTCCTTAGCATTGCAATCTCCTCGATGACGAAGCAATCACACGTAACATAGCGTAGTCGTCTAGCTTGCTCGTCCCGATGTACTAGTGAGTTCTTGGAATCGCGTTGACTGCGGCAATAGACCAATCGTGAATACAGGAGACGATTCCGTGGGTTCCCGTGGTAGGCAATATGAGACGCAATAAATTTGAGCTGTCAGGGATATCGATTTCGTGCCAAGGCCCGAGTATGGGGTCGTATGTCACCACGGTTATGGAGCCGCTCCTAGATATACGTAAGGGTGAGAAATTCGATATCAATTACTTGAAAACTTTGACTATCGTCGTAATTTGATCAAGATGCATAGCCTACCTAGCTCACCGAATGCCGAACGGTTGTATGCTTCCCAGGACAAGAATACTAGAATACTAGACTACATAGTACGACCCCGAAACCCCTTAAATCTCCCAAGATCTTATAAGAAAAGCGGGTTCGAAGAGAACGCTAATAGGATAATAACGCACTAAAGCACATGCTTGCGTCAATCTTCGATGTTTTCTATAATGTCAATCTTTCGGACCGTACCTTGCTACCAAGTCTTTGGGATGCTACCCACTTTCGTGCGGCTTTGATGCCGCACGTGTCCCACTGAGCCCATAGATCAGCAACAATCTTTCACGAGCACGAGACGATATCGATGGCATACTTAACAAGGATCTCGTTGTAAATATCATCGATGCTTGCGATGGCGGCATTTAGACACGGTAGATATCTAAAGCTGGGTTAGTAGGTATTACCTAGGCATACACCTGGCCTCTCATGTCCGCTTCGAGTAAACTTCTAGAAGCCATATGATCAAGTGGGTATCCCCAAATTAACCCTTTTACGATCAGGGGTCCTTATTCCACACTCCCTACCTAGGTACCTACATAGGTGGTATAGGTATAAATATTCTTACAAAATTCAAAATTATCCTAAAAAAACTACGGCGAAAGAGGCAGCATGGAAACACACCAAAGATTATCTTATGGTCAGGTTTAATAATAGTCCACGTTTCCTGATAGCCTCTGTGTATTTTCTACGTCTTAAGCAGCGTAAAGGCTGTGCATTCACATGCCGTTTAACTAGGGGTACACTACGAAAATACTTGGTAGGTAAATGATTCATCCTACTTAGGTACCTAACTTCAAATAAGAGTAGTATCTTTCGAATCACTCTCTGTGAACCACCCCCACGAGCTAAGCTATGAGGTGAGCCTCATACAGCGAATATGAAACCCATGATAATTCAATAATAGAGGGATGGGGTGGGACTTAGTAGGTACCCTACGTTAGTATCTCACCGTCTCTTCATCTCTTAAGCATCACCTAAAAGAGCCAAGATTGGCGAGTACAGGAGTCTAGCGTCGACTAAAATAGTCATCTCATCCTAACATAGCCAAGAAGCGTCACGTCAGCTACATATGTAAGTAAAAACTAACCAAAGCTGTCGAGTTCCAGATCTAACTTCTTGACATGATGACAACGTACTGTATCTCCTGCCGAATCTGTGAATTTACTAACGTCCTAGATGCGGAGAAAGCGAAATACCCTAGTCGTGAGCAAGGTCCGATCGCTTATAATTACCTTTCGGTCCACGAATATTGGTGGATATGTGATCTGGGGAAAGTCGTATTGCGTCTTGGGGGGTCCGGGAGGATGTCATCCCAACGTAGTGATATCTTCAACAATGAAGCATGTAGCCATTCACGTCATCGTTCGCTTGTCAATAAGGTAGGGTTGGCTGATTCGTCGACGAGTTACAATTCGACATATTTGTAGATATGAGTCTTTCGTTCAGCATATGCAGACTTCGTCAACGGTGAGCACTATAATGACTGGCTCGGGTTTAAAGTAAGCATCAGGAATATACCTACCTAGGTACCTAAGTGGCTTACAATTCTCAAGTCAGGTTATGTAGATAGGTAGGTAGGTAGTAATACATACCTAGCTAATGCTCATATAGGCATTATTCTTGGCCGTGCGCTTGACAGCCACGTAACATGCCTCGCTTCCTCCTTAGTCGGGATTGGATGATTGTCAACGGCATGACTTCAAAGGCTTGATCCCACTGTCGCCTGCGGTAGGATTAATACCAGAGCACCGAAAAATACCACCTATCATAGAAATTTCAGTTATCGTAATATATCTAATAGGCACCATACCATACTATACCATACCTAGACACCATGTGCGGCGAAGTTAGAAGGAAAAGACTCGTACTTACATAAAACATCGAATAAGGAACAGGGGGAAAGCCACCGCTGATCCTACGTTTCGTCTATTGCAACGGTTCTAATATGGAGCTTGCATCTCGATCCGAAATAGAGCCGCGCTAAGCCCTGTTGTGATAAATTTGACGACATGCTACATAAGCTAGGTACCTATGCGAGGCTATCATAAGCCATTGTAAGCATCGCTACACATTGTCTATCATTGGTCTATTGGCGAGGGCTGTTGGGTACTATAAGAGATTATGGGAGAAGCCGGAAGGGCTCGCTTCATTAGAGTCATATAACATCGATACCTATTCTCGGGAGACTGAGGCCGAGCATCTTAATCTCCGACGACCGATCAACTAGAATAGCTAAATGCAGACTTGCAGACTGGCCACATACATACCTAGGTAGAAAGCAAAAAAAAAAAAAAAAAAAAAAAAAAAGAAAGAAACGATCGACATCACGTTGCTTTGTCCTGTCGTCGCCTCAAATCCTTTATATAAAACGGGCTTGGTAGGGTATAAGACATGGCACGGTTGTCCGGACCGGAGATCGGGGACCGGGGACCGGGGGTCGCGGTGAGAGCGATAGTTTAAAAGACAAACTCGTTGATTGACAATTGCTTATAGACGGGTCGTACAGAGTATAACGGCAAAAGGGGGGACGAGGGGAAGGGGTTAGGTAAGATGATATGACACTAACCTAGGACCTAAGTGTCTAGTTAAAGGATCCAGAACGAAGTTGGAAACTTCCAAAACGGATTGGTACAACTTTGGAAGGGTCTACATAAGTTAATAAGGTTATAACCTGTGCTACATATGATTAGTTAACATACGCAGTACCTAAGTATCTCTATGCGGTAGAGGTCAGGGATTATAAGAATTATACATAGGTCTTAGACGCTAAGGAAGCAATCGGGTCAAGATGGGTCAAGATGGGTCCACACCGAGGAAAAGCTTAAGGACCGTTGGGGTCAATTTGGGGGGTGGGAGCGAGGGGAGAGAGGAGCAAGGGAGGACGGGGACCCATAATCAAGGCTCGGGACCTTACTAAATCGGGAAGATTTCGCTTACTTCCAACCAATGAAAAATTCTCCGGCTCGCTTGCTAATGCAACTTTACCATAGTACATCATCCGTACCTAGCAGTTAATGGTTATTCTAGTCGGTTTAGAGTTCGGTTGCCAGCTCGCGACCACCTTGCGACCATCTCGCGACCATCTCGTGGATTTGAGTTTGAATCTCTAATTGGAGTTCTCAATTTTCATATGCCACTTTCATCTTTTTTTCATTTCATTTCCATGCATTTTCTCGATTTACCATTCGACCTAGCAGGCTAATCAAAGTCATCAATCCCCCCAAAATCTTGGAGTAGGGACCCACGTTGCCCGTTACATCCAAGTCATCCAAATCATCTAGTCATCTAAGCTCTACCGTCTATACACTAGGAAGACTAGGAAGACTACAGCGTGCTAAACACCAGGCACCTTCTATTCTCGCAATAGGCGCGTCGTAATGCCCCCCCATACGATACCCCCAAGTCTTCTTGGGCTGCTTAAACTGCTTCTTCTTTCGTGATACCTGCTCAGTCGTTACGCACACCGCTGCATTGGGACGCGAACACCGAGGATGAGACAGCATCGTGTCCATGCAACTTCGCTTGTCAAAACCCAATGGCCAATGCCATTTTTCTTCTTTTCTTCTCTTCTCTCTTACAGGTTCTCATGCTCTATCAAGATCTCGGTATCCTGATCGACCTAGCTAACCTAGCCAACCTGATCAACCTGATCAACCCTGATTTTTTTTCCCCTTAGTCCCCTCGGAACTTTGGTGTCATATAATGCGTGGGACTACGTTAAGATGAGTCCCACAGCATCTCGACCTTCTCTTTGGGATTTTCTCAGCCCGTCCACTTGCCGCACCTAGCCAGGGTCCCGGCCGTGGATATTCTTAATCTAGCCGGGATGGCCTTCTCGAATTCTGGGACCGTCTGGGACTGCTGGGAACTTTTGGACTTCTGGAATCGTTCGGTTGGCGCCTTGGCGTTCGGATACCCTTTGACCTGTGTGGAACAACTACTTGGGCTACTTTGAGCTACTTGAGAAGATACCTAAGCTACCTAAGCTACCTGAGCTACCTGAGCTACCTGAGCTACCTGGACCTGCTGCTTGGTACTATTCGTTTCACATCTAAAGGAAATTCCTCTCTCTCTCTCTCTCACTCCCCCACCCTCACTCTCTAGACGCACAATAAGCTGCAGCCACTCAACTTTCGTAGCTCCACTCCCTGTCACCTACATACGCCTCTTTTAGGCGAGTATTTCCTATTGCCCTCTTAGTCCGCATTGGAGCCGCGAGTCGGATGTCTCTCTTCGCCAGGCGAGAACGCCTCATTCGCTAGCAACCGACTACCTGTATCTCATAATTACCTACCTATGTAGCCTCACGAGAGCTACCTGTCGTCTCCTCAGACGCATCATACATACTAATGGTAATACCGCTCTTTTTCGCCCTTCTCGCCTTTGGTCCCCTTGGTCCCCTTGACCCCCCCTTGGACCCCCTTGGCCCCTTTCGTCTTCGTCTCTTTGATCTCGTTGGTCTCTTTGGACTCTTTGGTCCAATTCGTCCACTCGGATCCTAACGGCCGGCCTCGTCTGTTCTGCATTGCCAAGCTATGATCGTTGTCTAAACCTCCTCATCGGTTCTCACGAAGTCCTAGGTCCTATATATTTATTCTATTTCTTATTTCTCACGTATCTAATTTCTGTTTGTTTGTTTGCTTGCTTTCATACCTGTCTATCTGCCGATCTATCAACTGTCATCGTCTAGCGAGCTATCTATATGCTATAGGGACCAATATCCATCTACGGCTCTGTTAGACTAGCTTTCCGTTTAGTCATAGATTTTCAAATAAGGCTTCGTCGAGCTAAATCACAGACTCGGCCGTTTCTTGTTGAGTTTATTCGAGTAGGCTCTCGGCGTATTTGTCTAGATTGCGGATCCTTATCGCTTACCGGAGAGCAAGCACCCGTCTCAACCTTCTATTTTGAGAAATTATTTGGCTGTGTTATATCACTTCTCACCTATAGAACGTCAGATGCCGCAGACGCAAGTGATGCGGCGGACTTCAAGGGTGGATTTGGCGCTGCCAGCCGACCCTTGCTCCGTCGCCGCAGGCCCCGGTAACTCCTTTTTCTCTCTTCACATTCCCGACCCTTCCACTACCTCTACCCAGTCTCTCCCGTCAAAAGGGGACCTTGACGTACCCGGCCTATCTCGTTCCACAAGATGGCTGGCTTCACGTCGTCAAATATACTCTGTTGCACGAACCGACCGTTTGTCACCCATCAACTTCATGGATCGACTTAACCCCCTCGAGCCAATGCGCTCTGTAATTCAGAATGCTCTTCCACACACCACCGTCGAGTCTATTAACCAGTTGCCATCATGCCGCCTGCTGAGATTCTTCAGTGTCAAGATCTCAGATGGTAGGACCTTACTTCTCAGCATGCCGCCGCCCCCGATCATGAGGCTTCTTCGATCTGAGAGGGCTATGAATCTTTCCGAAACCCTCGCAACCAAGTGGATTCTTGAAGAAGTACTTCAATCCGCCACAGAGGTTGAAAATACCGGCCATGGAAGTATCGTCACCTACCAAAATATTGGAAGCCAATCTGGGAAGAGCGGTCCTGGTATTGGTCCTGAGGAAATTAGAGGTACGAAGGAGGATATGTTACGGTTTCTCCCAATCCTAGTCGCCCACTCCCCTTCGCCGGTAGAGCTGGGTTCCCCTTTTAACATCTTCGAACCGCCGAAAGGGATTTCCTTCTCCGGACTTCCAACACCTTTGAATGCATCAGAGAAAAAGGCAGTGGATTTCCAACGAGGTCAACTCGTACGACGACTCTCTAACTTCACATCACCGAATGGATTTTTCGGCCCAGCTATAGCGGTCATCGGATCACGGTTAGAATCTACGGACCCGCGCGGAGCGCAACTGGCTAGCTTTGGTATTCGTGGCGCTAGGACATGGAGGCAGGCATTCCATGCTCTGTTGGAAGGCGTCCTACGAGACGCGGAAGATATGGCCGTGACGTTCAGCTATGAACCAATCAGGGGTTATTTTAACAGATTAGGTTATCTACTAGATGGTGTCACAACATCTAGACTAGTAATACTAGATGCGAGCGACGAGTCCAACATCTTGGTATCAAGATCCACTAAATCCGCCGAAAGGGGGGAAGAATCTCACCCATACTCAACACCAACTCATGATCCGAACCGAACTGAAACTGAAGTCCCATCTGAAAAATCGACGATAGATCGAAGTGGAAAAGAAGGAAAGGGCATAGAGTCGTTAGAAACACTGCAACCGACCGTAACCATCACAGGCCTCCTCGATTGGAGCAATTGCATCTTCGGCGACCCGCTCTTTGCCGAAGTCTTCAGTCGTGACCCATCCTCCGAGTTCCTATGCGGCTTTCATGGAAACTCCCAGCATAACGACGGCGACTTTGTTGAGGACCGTGAAAGCGCGCAAGCCCGTCTGCTTTTATACGAGTGTTACCACGCCACTGTAGGCGTTGTGAAACAATTCTACAGGCCCGGGCCTAACAGTAGCGACCGCGAGATCACAGCGCGCAGACGATTGGTAGCTGCCCTGAAGAGGCTTCAGGAGGTTGATGAGGAGGCAGCCGGGAAGAGACCTAGACGACCCAGTGCTAATGTGGAGGTGTGGCCGGTGAAGAAGCCTAGAGGAGATCGGGACAGCCCCGGACCCAATATCGGAACACAAGGCTAAGGGGCGAGTATTGAAAGAAAAGTCAACAAAGTGTGGAATATCCAAGATGTATGTGCAAAGCGCTATCGAAGCAAGATGAAATAGGAGGGAGGGAGTAACATAACGGGATTTTTTTTGTATCTTTCAGGTGCTCCGCCCTACATATTTGCTAGCGATTCACATTTACACTCATATGTCTATGAAGAGAGGGAGGATGACCAGAATATATGATCTTAAAACTCTTCTGTTTGATTCTCCTTTCCGCCGTATTTTCCTTCATGTCGACGACAATAACGTTATCATATAATGCCTCAGTTGGTAGGTAGGTACTCATCATGACAATAGGACCCTAATCTCACCCGTTGTCCTAGGGAATAGTGCTCTTAGACTCGATGGCTCCCTTTCGTCCCCTCCTGTCCTGCCCTCCTCTTCAGCCAGTTCGTCCGCGGCGGCGAGCAGCTCCTCGACATGCTCGAAGTCGACGCAGAACCTCTCCGCAGCCTCCTCGGTGACCTCGCGCGCGAGGGCCGCGTCCTGTAGATGCTTGACGTTCTCCATGGCGTCCATGACGGCCGAAGGTAAGAAGTCGTCGAGGCCCTGGCCAGCCCTCACAAGGGACTCCGGCTGCAAAGCGTCGAGGCCGGCGACCTTGGCCACGTCCTCTTTGCTGCCGTCGTCGAGCGGGGCTAAGGCCGCGAAGAGCGGCTCGAGCGCGGATTCGGAGCGGAAGAAGGTGTACTGGCTCTCGATGAGCTTGGTGCCGTGTTCGTCGATCGCGGTTTGCAGGCGCTCGACGCGGGCGCGTGTGAAGGCTTGGAAGGGGTTGAGCGCGGATTGGGCCGCGAGTAGACAGTTGATGAGAAAGATGGATGTAGAGGGCGCGCGGATGTTCTTGGACATATTCTCGCAGCCCGATAGGAAAGGGTCGAAGGACTCGGCTAGTATAGGCTCGAAGTCTGCCTCGCGGTCCCCTTCTGAGGCGAGCGACGTTTCGTATGTTTTCATGATGGCGGTTAGTTGTTTGAGTGCGTCTTGGAGGAATTCTGGGGGGGCGAGGTCGGAGGGTGTGTGTTGGAATTCGCCTTCGAGAGCTGTGATGTGGTCTCGCATTAGGGAACGGAATTGTCGTAATGCTTCTGATTCTAGATTTCCCATAGCTTGTAGAAGACCCGACTCTTCGCCAAGGAGTTTGGAGAACGTGAATCTATAGAACCCGAGTAGGTTTGCTAATTTGTACGCAAGGATGGTCTCTTCATTGGTCTGGATCACCTGCTCAACTCTCTGTCTTAGTATACGCGCCGCACCAGAGACATCTCTGTCCACTAATTCATTCAAGGCTTTGACGGCGTCGAACTCTGGAGGTCCATCCGTCTCGTCAGCCATCAGCAGCCATAGCTCATTCTCTCGGCCCTCTTGGATCCCCTTAGCGATTTCATTCCCGTCGGATATAAATAGGATCTCGAGGGCTTCGCGCTCGCTAACCGCGGCTGAATGTATCCACGCCAGCATGTCTCCCGCGTATCTCAACGGATCGTGAGCGACTAATTCAATGGGTTTCACAGAGTTATCCTTTGCGCCAGACGCCGAGTCACCCGTGAGGGCCAAGTAGAATGCGTCGGACAAGATCTGCTCCCTAGCCTCGGCAAAGAAATCTAGACAATTCTGGAAAAGAGATGGGCGTTCAGCCAACACGCGGATGGCCCGGCGGACAGACGAGTTGATCTGGGGGTTTTCAAGATTGAGCGTCTTAAACTCCTTTTGAACCCAGCGATAAAGCTTCTGAAATGCCTGGTTCAAGTTTTTGGACGTCTGGTCCATAACCTCAAGGCCGAGGGTCTGATTTTCGAATCCGAGGAGGAATTCACAGTCCTTTCTGATGCGCTTCGCTTTTGCCAAGACGGCAAAGAAGCGGTCGTCAACAGGTTCGGCTACTAATGTCAAGGAGGCCACCTCATCTTCCGAAAGAACGAAGTGCTCGCGGAAAGCTTTTAATACCTGCTGCTTTGTCTCGATATTACGCCTCTGCGTCATAAGAGAAGATGCTTCCTCTAGGATAGAGGACGTAGATTTGTGAGCTGCAGTGACATGGCCTCTCATATCTTGGTAGCTCTTGTTGAGCTTATCGATGGTTGTGCCAATCCTCCTTAATTGATCGGCCACTCGCCCAAATTCTGTGATTATTTTGCCATTACTGTCGATGACCTCTCTCTGGACGTCTAGTCGTAGCTGTCTTCGGGTCTCGGCAGTATTGCTGATGCCGCGTTCGTCTAACAGAATAAGAGATTCTCGGAACTCGGAATCGGCATATGAGGTTGAAAGAACTGATGTCACTTTTGAAGATAAGGGGTTCGAAGATCGACCCCCTAAACTTGGACTAGAGGTGCCCGTAGGCGACAACGGTCCCGGCGATATGCCATCCCGTCCTGGTAGAGGGGGTGATCCAAGGCCATTCGAGGTCATGTTTCTAATGACTTGATGCAATCCTCAAGTCGGTTTAATCCATTTCATCTTCTTGAAATGGTAGCTTTTTATTACAATGAACCGCAGGGTCAAATAGGGGAGAATACAATATGTTAATAGCTGTAATTGTCAAATGTGTGTTGTCTAATTATGTAAAACGCCACCTGGAAAAAGCGTTTGACAGCTGGGGAAATGAGGCCAGTCTAGGTACCTAGGCTGCTAGGTACTAGGTACTTACTAGGTAGTTTATCCCTGTCAAATGACTTCACTCACGCGATAAGGATAAGGATAATGATAGCGATAAGGCAGCACCTATGAACGCGCATGGCTGCCTCGTTGGTGTGGAACTGAGGAGCCGAGTACGTCCATGTCATAAGGTCGACTCTACAACCCAGGGTTCAGATGACCGCTATCAATATTCTATTCATCATCAACGATATTCTTTGCAAAACACTCATTATCACAGGACCTTGTACTTTACTTGGTGTGTCATAACTTCTGGCATGTACTAGGTAGTAAGGGTTTAAGGTTTTGGGTACCCGCGTTTGTATGCATCTTACAAGGTTCTAATAGTTCCAAGGTTACCTAGCTTTAAGTTGGAAACTTAGAGCTTAAGCTTCTCCCGTCCCTTCATCATTGATCCCATTCATTCAAACACCCGAAACGGCTTCCTCTTCTCGCCTACTACATCAACTTTATTCCCTTCCTGTACCTATCTTGTCACCAGTTAAACTTGTCGAGACAAATATGATAAGACAGAAAATAGAACCTTACTTTCACTAAACTAGAGAGCCGAGAGCCTTACCAAAAAGAAAAACCGTTGTGATTTACCGATGAGTCAACACGATGCCACCGAATCTCTTTTCCCGCCTCGTCCAATCTAACGATAATCGGACTTTGTACGATCGACTAAGCGATGACCATGACGGCGATATCGAGGGCACAGCTGGCTTAGATCTAGATGAACAGAATCTAGCCCATAACTTTCACGATGAAGAGCTCGACAACGCAGATGGCTTGGGTCTTGATGATAGTCACGTCTCTGCCCCACGCAGCCCTGTCGCTACTCCAGGTGATGCACGTCGCGGTAATATGAGAATAGGCAGACAAGATGCGAGACCGCGGTGGCTTATGCACGAAGACGATGGAGATAATGATGTACCTGCATCTCTTCTGGTAGAAGGACCTGATGCTGCGACACCCAACCCACACCCTCAAAGAGCCAGCCCCCGACAAGCACGTAATACCACTAGATCAAATCGAAGAATACAAGCGCAGTGGGAAACTGCGCAGGCACATCAGAGATTACATCAAGACGATGAGTATGGTCCGTCTCCTGGTCAACGTCAGGCAGACGCAGCTACGAGGAGACCAGGCTTCGCTGGCAGTCCTAAAGACAAGGCTATGTTCAGATGGGCTAATGTCTCCAATCTGGACGTCTTCATTCGGGACGTCTATGACTACTATCTCGGAGCAGGAATGTGGTGTATCCTGCTCGAGAGATTCCTTCATTTACTGTAAGCCTCTCCTAACCCCTCGCCCTTGAATCTATTCGAGGTCCGCAGGCTCACATTTAGCAGGAAAGTTGTGTTCGTCGCAACCTTACTCACTCTGCTATCACAGTGTATAGACTACAGCAAGATTCGGGAGAGTAAGCATCTGTCGCAGATCATGATTCCACAGTGCACCAAGCACATGTGGGGGATCTGGAACTTGAGCCTGTGGATCTGCAGTTTCTACTTCATCTGGAAGACCATCCAGTGGATCCTCGACATACCACGGCTATTACATATCCGCGATTTCTTCGTCTATCTCCTGGAGATTCCTGAAGAAGATATGCAAACCGTATCATGGCAGGATGTCGTATCCAAGATTACAGCCTTGCGTGACGAGAATGTTAAGACAGCTACCAACATAACCCCGTCGCAGCGGCGTTTCCTGTCTAAGCAGCTAGGACAGCATATGGCTAGCCAATCGAAGGAACGGCTCGATGCCCATGATATTGCGAATAGGCTGATGAGACGAGAGAACTATATCATTGCTCTTTTCAATAAAGATATACTAGATCTGACAGCCCCCATTCCATTTCTGAGCAACAGACAACTATTTTCAAAATCTCTTGAGTGGACTGTTCAATTCGGAGTTCTGGACCTCGTCTTCAACGAAGGTGGTCAGGTTCATCAACGCGTCCTTAAATCTGACCACCGAGGACATCTCAGCAGGGAAATGAAGACAAGATTCGCTTTTGCTGCGGTCATGAATCTCCTCTTTGCCCCATTCGCTGCCTCCGCTCTCCTCGTCGACTTCATCTTCACATATTACAACGTAAGCATCTTTTGATAATCTGTTGATTATCCGGGCTAATATGCGCACCAGGAATTCAAAACCAACACTTCATCTTTAGGAGCAAGACAGTATACGCCACTTGCAAGATGGAAGTTTCGCGAGTTCAACGAACTCCCACATCTATTTGAAGAACGTCTCAATATGTCTTATCCTTTTGCAAAACATTACATAGACCAGTTTCCAAAGAAAAAGACCGAGTCGGCTGCTCGGACAGTCCAGTTCTTTTCCGGAGCTCTCATTGCTGTTATGGCCATCGTAGGATTTTCCGATCCGGAGATGTTTGTGGACTTCGAGCTGTTCCCAGGGATGAACGCATTTGCCTTTGTTGCGCTCCTGACGACCATATGGGCTGTTGCTCGTGGAATGATATCGGAGGAGAACGACGTTTTCGATCCCGAGTTTGCGATGCAGAACGTCATCGAATACACACATTTCCAGCCAGATCAGTGGAAAGGGAGACTTCACAGCTATGAGGTGAAGGCCGAATTCTCCGAACTCTATAAGGCAAGAATCGTCATCTTCTTAGAGGAGATCATCGGCGTCTTGGTAACACCACTGGTGCTTTTCTTTAGTTTACCAAAGTGCAGCGATCAGATCATCGACTTCTTCCGCGAATTCACGATTCATGTTGACGGGTTGGGTTACGTATGTTCGTTCGCCGTCTTCGATTTCCAAAAAGACAAACGAACAACTAGTGGGCAACAGCAACAACCACCACCACAAAATAACATAAACGATGCTCGCGAAGATTACTATGCTACCAAACACGGAAAGATGCAGGCTTCAGTACATGGCTTCCTTGATAACTACGTCTACCATCCCAGAACCGGTCTACCAGGTTCCCATGCATTAGGCCCAGCCGGCCGTCACCAATTCCACCCTCCGCCCACCTTCCCTGGCTTGATGTCACCGACACTCGCTGCGGATATGCACTCGTCACGCATCGGCCGCAGCGAGCGGCCGCGAAGCCGAGCACCGACCGGGGCTCAACGAACGCCGCGCTTCGGACCGGCCGTTGCTCCATCGCCAATGGCGTCTATGCTTCTCGATCCCCACCACCAACCCTCTGCTTCTTTCATAGCCACCGCGCCGACCAACCGCACTCCGCAGCGCATACGTCAACAACGGAGCGTGTACCATGGCGGTAGAGATATCATCGAGGAGTCACTCGAAGACGGCGCCTCGCGCAGCGTCATCCGCCGCCAGGACACGGGTTACACGGACGACGGCGACGTTGAGGAAAGTGTGGCAAGGCTAGGCGAGTCCACGTGGGAGGGTTCACCTAGGCACGGGCTAAGTCGCGAAGAGAGCACCGCTACGGACGATGGCGACGGGCCCGGGGTGGTCACCATGCTGAAGCAGTTCCAGCAGGTACATATGGATAGGCGTGGAGTTATGTGAGTGAAGCACTTATCCATGCCTACCTACCCGACCTTCTTTACACGGTAGGTTAGGTTAGGCTAGGCTAGGCTCCTACATGCGAGCCGGGATAAAGGGAAGGGAAGGAGTTCAGGCGGCTGGACTGGCTACACTAGGTCTGTTTAATTTGTGTTTTTTGGGAGGGGTTGGCGATTCAGAGCGTGCATGCATACAATACCTAGAATACTCTCTACTAGGGATAGACAATTACCAATTTGATTTTATTACCATAGATCCCCATTGAATGAACTCCCTGTAGGTAACACAGCAGCCTACTTCTTTCCTAGAGGACGTATAATATTACCATGATATTTTCGGCTTAAAATAGGCTACCCAGGAACATCCTTGCTCAGCTCATTTATCTTAGAACTCTTGGGATTCTCGGGAAGATCCCTAGGTAGGTAGCCTCGCGATTGCTCGAGCCTCCGCCTCTTTTCATTCATAGTCCAGCAAAGTTAAACTCGGCATGTAATTTTTCAAGCATACCCTACGCTGCTTGTTTGTACGCCCAAATATAGGTAGTTCACACGACAATAAGACAGAACATCTAAATATTTAGGTTATTTTTTATAAACCTAAGACTACGAGGATTTCATCACAGAACGAAAGAATCCAAATATACATTTGGAAATTCGTAGAAAACAGTAAAAATTCATGTATGCTCCCAACTACCCTAAAGTTATGGAGGCTATATGGCTCTAAATTGGCCATGCCTCGCATGTAACGAACTTTTTCCCTAACCGAAGCTATGCACACCCGAACTTTTATCCTTTTGTCCGTTTTCATGGTGCCCCTTTTATATGGTGGATATGGTGGGAAAAAGCAAAAAAGCAAAGAGCAAAAAAGAAGAAAAAAAAAGTCTGTCATATCTGGTACAGAATACAAGAAAATCCCTAATTCCCATTTTGGCCCTGTTGTAGATTCAGATGGAAACTCCTGATGATTGAATCGGCATCATCGATACTAGGTTGCCGTACATCAGCCAGCATCTTAATCTTGGCAGTGCTACGAGAAATACGTTAGTTGCTATCATCCACAAATATAATTCTCCGTTGAAACGTACCACTCCTTGATTTGATCGTCCGTCATAGTTAAGCCAAGCTGAGTTACCCGAGACTTGACCGAGTTCCAGCCAGTCAGCCGAGAGGCGAAATGCACATAGCGAGTCAACCCGAAATCGGCTGGGTTCAGAATTTCGTATGTCGAGGGGTTGTTGAGGATGGCCTTGGCACTGTGACGTTGAGCGTTAGTTACGAATTCAGAGACGTTTGCGAGGTTGGTTCTGAGTAATGACAAGAAAGACGAGCATGGAATGAATGGGAGTAAAGTTAACTTACTGGATACCAGCTTTGTGTGTAAAGGCGCAGAAGCCAGTAATGGGGTTGTTAAAAGGGGTGTTGATTTCCACCGCCTCTGCAACCAAATCCTCAATCTATAATCTTGTCAGGTCCTGCCGAATCTCTTTACATAAATACATATCAAGCATACCTCCTTGATCATCTTGAGCTTATACTTGCTCTTGACGTAATCGGGAGCAGCAACCACCATCTTGGCCAGAAAGCCACCGAGGGGAGTTATTCCGTTGCGCTCACCAACTACAACATGTTAGTGACTAGCATTGCCTTAGAATAATGGTATGAATGCACTTACTTCCGAGCACACTGGTGTCGACGTGGGTTGCGCCAGCCTCGAGAGCACAGAAGCTACAGCCATATTAGTAATGCAAGAGTGAGGCTCGTCGTGAAGTGAAAGCTTACGCATTAGCAATTGCACAACCAGTATCGTTATGAAAGTGCGTCTCAATGTCACAAGCTTGCAAACGGGTCAGCAAATATAGTTTTCGAAAGGCATTAAGCCGACTCACACACGACGCCTCTCAATGTCCGAACCAGCTATATCCATGATTAGTATAGCCATGATTATGAGATCAACCAGGCCACATACCTCGTAGACCTGGCGCGGACTGGCGCAGCCAACCGTGTCAGCAATGCCGACACGGTTGACACCTATCTTATCGACCGCATTATATAACGATAGAAGATCCACGAGGTCGGAACGGAAGGAATCTTCACTCGAGACTTGTCGGTGTTAGTAGAGAACCTCCATGGATAGAAGCGGTTTTCAACATACATCGAACCTCGATACCCTTCGACTTGACATACTGAACGACCTCTATGGCGGCCTTGGTAATGTAGGCCATATCCTTGCCGTGGCTATGCTCCCGGAGGAAATGCGAGGTGCCAATGACGATATCTAAGCCATCCACACCCGTGTCGATGGCCATTTGGACATCCCGCATATCACAACGGACATCTGTTGGCTATGGTAAGAAGATGAATGGTAAGTCGGGCTTAGTAGTAACTCACGAGTTAAGACCTTGGCCTATTGAGATTGTTAGTTGGGTTTATGTTCAAGGGAATATAAACAAGAAGAAAAGAAGAAGGGAAAAGAAGCACCGGTTTTCATACCTTAAGGCCAAGCTTGCATATCTCGATACAATCAAGTCGAGATTGCTCTGAAGCAGCGGGGGAAGTGAGTTCTATGTAGTCAACGCCAAAGGCGTCGAGAGCTGGGTATAGAGTTTAGTAGGAAGTTATGTAATATACTAGTTGATGAAGTCGACATACCCTTGGCGCTACAAGAAAAAATGTCAGTTAATTGCGGTGGATGGGATAGACGAGGACATACATCTTAATCTTAGTCTCTGTATCGAAATATGCATTTGCGAATTGCTCTCCTTCTGTATATATAGTTAGTATGAGTCGAAATATATTCGGGGAAACGAGTGAGGTTGACCTCGAAGCGTCGATTCAATAATCTTGAAACTGGCAACGTTGGAGAGGAGCTCGCCGGGGTTCGATTGGTAAGGATTGTTGCGACGAACGGGCGGTGCTGTGCCATTCGTGCCGTTAGTGCCGTTGGTGCCGTTGGTGGTGCCCTAGAAATGTGGTCAGTTAATTTTGCATCAAGTTCGAGGTGGAAGTAAAATGTACATTGCTGGCCGCGGGGCTGTCTGTACCGCACATGGTTGGTGTGAGTACTCTGCTGAGCTAGGCAGTTCGGAATATCTAGGAAATAGGAAAGTCAGATGGCAGGCGGTTAAGTAGTCGAGTGCGGTTGAGGATTTTAGTAATGGGAAGTCTGGTAATGGGAAGTAAATGGGAAGATTTGGGGAAAGTGTGTGTGTTGTCTCTAGTTTTATGTTAAAAGGTTAGAAGTGAAAATTCTTAACAGCATGCAATGAATCACAATTACTTGCACCTACCTACCGTACCCCACGTAACGCCGATCGTCGGTTCCCCAGTTCAGGGTGACACTAAGCTAAAAAATAATGAACAGCCTTGACCATCCGCGGGGCTGTCACATGACTACGTGCCATTTAAATCCCTGTATGCGGTTTAGCCTGGTGGGTAGTGACGTACTGAAAACTCGAATTGGCCAATCATCGATTGCACACTCAGCCCATCTCAGGTCCCGCCTGCAGAAAGTCCGGATTGATGTATACCTAGGTATACACACGGTACATACCCATAAACTATTACCCCACTATCCCGCTTTGGATATGAGAATACCGAGACATTGTCCGTGAGTCACATTCAAAATCTTTAAAGCTTGAAAACTTCAACGTAGCTTCAATGCAACCACCGATATCTGGTAGTTGCGTTGGAGTAGTAGATGGAAATTCCGGGTAGGAGCAATGAGCAACGCCGGATCTATTTCCGAGCACTGTGGCGCGTAAAGAGGTATTAGGTACCTAGGTATGCCGTGTAACTTAGGAAGGCAAGAGTGACCGACGCTGTTTTGTGCCTCTATAACTCGAGTGTTCTGATATTATTATCCTTATCATATTTGTAACTAAATTAAATGGATTAAGTGTTTTGCGTATCTGCCGATAACAGTTAATACTTATTTTTCAATAGCTCATCGACCGGATATTTTCTTCGTACATATATTCGTAAACTTGAACGTTTGATATCGAATTATCCTTACGTTGGTGTTTGAAATAAAACCAATGCCAGCTCTAGTTGGGATGATTATTAGACTCCGCTAAACGAGAGGACCTATAAGATTATTTCTATGATGAACATAAGTTGAAGATATATCTAGAAGTATATTCTCGCAATAATTTATTCCTAATATAAAGGAGACCTTATTAAAACACCATGCTTAAGTCTTTGAAAGTAGCGCGAGATCGTGGGAGATAAGTGAGATTATATAGAAAGAAATATGATTTCTTATATGCCCGCATGAATCAATACATATTCAAGATACATAACTATTAGGTATGATAGTAGGTACTATATCCCTTGCTGCAATAGAGCATTCAGTTGATTCCAACCTAGGCTATCTCTTCACTCAGACCCGCTAACATGAATGGCTGTTAGATATAATCCCTGAGGCTAGCTTTTAAGAGACGAGAGGAAAAGATGCATACGATTTCTGGGCAGTTTCGTGTCTATTCAAGTTATATACCTACACAATAGTAAAGTTTGATGTATCGTAATGCTCATCGTGATGGTTTCCCCTCAAGTTTGCCATATGAACCCTCGCACAGTCAAACTTTCTCACAACGATGTAAATGACTGGCCTGTCCCCAAAGATGGCTAATCGTTCTATTGATGATGCTCTGGAGACACTATAAGAGAAGAACCTAGGCCGAGTATTCAGCTTCCCATACTGCGCGATATTGCGTAGAGCTCGCCTTGGACAGTAGCTGGTAGTTTAGTAGGGTCGGCGCTCTGTTGATAGAAGCCCGAGAGCTTGAGACATAGGTATATTGGTTGGTAGCATAGAGCTCCTTGCGCAGCAATGTCGTTGTCTCCGTCCTCTTTGGTCCCGTTTCGTGATACCGGGGTCGATTATCTTCTTAAAAATCCTCAGGTGTTACATATTACAAGGATATAAAAGAAAATGGTTGATATAATGAAGCGAAGAGTAAAGACATGATATTTGATTATACTTGCGGTGTTGACAGCATTAACCATATTCTTCTAATGATTTTGAGAAATCATTGCTGGAGGGGAGCGAAAAGAAAAGCCTAGCTAGCTAGTATTCTGGCCCCATAAGAGAATATTGGATAATTAGCATGACGTGAAACAGACATGTTTGGATGCTAGTTAAAGTCTTCAAGATGATGAAGTACGGGGATGGCAAACATGACGGTTTTTAATAGGTGCCAAGGAGCAAAATCGGATATTCCGAATATCATCCACCATCATACGATGATTGTCTGATCGAACGGGGATGTAACCACATTTACCCCAGATACAGGGCTGCAGTGTGCAGAGCTATAAAGATCTTGAGATCAGATCTAGATAAAAGATTAACGAGGATTGTCGAGATAGAAGGATTCTAGAACTAGATAATCCATGTGAAGGTAACCTCTTGCGAAGCTGTCAATGTTTGCTAGGTTTAGGTAGGAAGTATTCCCACCTTGCCTACCTAGGTACTACCTATCAACGTTCCGAAAAGGTGGAGTAGGTAGACATTCGTTTGGCATACCTACCTCTTAGGTAGATACTCTAGGTACTAGGTATTTACCGTGGACCTACATAAGCAGGCATTGTGCGCACTGGAAAGGTTACAGTTGTATGTAGGTAGGTAAACATACTATGGTACAATTGCTAGCAATCAGATAGCAATCATGTAATAGTATGGCCAAACGAAAGACAACCCTGTTGAAGAGGCTGGGATATGAAGGGCTTGTTTTCTTTTTACCTAAACTAACTTCCTTAGGTATCTAACAAGGGAGGTAAGTATGTATAACATTTTGTTGTCGGGATATTTATTATAATTGAAAATATAATGGAAGGGTGACTGTACTTTCAATTGAAAGTTTTCGAATTTTTCATTACATACATGTACATATATAAAATCTAGATACCTACTTAAGAGTAAGGCGCAAGCCACATAAGACAGAATATAACCCCCCGACCCAATGAGGCTTATTCCTACCGCTTACAAAGTATTGTACAATGTAGGTACTATTTACTAGGTAGGTAGCTATAATAGGTACGCTAGAGGTACTAATATACGCTAGTCCTAATCTAGGCGAGAGAGTATTCCCAGAGGTGGGGAACGGCCCCGACATACCCCTGCAAAGCCGGCCTCCGAATTGCGCTGAGGATGGATGAATTTTGAAAAAGTCGTCCATGCACATGCAGCTGCGACCTACGCCTAGCGACCTAGCGACCTACGGTAATCTGTACCACATTCACATCCAATACGTAGTAGGTATTTGAGTCGGGGGACCATTTTCTAAATTCGCAACTTCGCACTTTTTTTTCGCCCTCATCCTCATCCTCACAACCGCGCGCCATTCCACCATTACCATTCTTTTTCCCGACCTTCCCACTTTTCCCTTAACAACTTCGAGCGCATCCGTTTGAAAGCTCTTTGTTCCTTTACATCCGTCCTTTTCGCCGGGTCTCTGGCAAAAACATAATATCTCGCATTCGTCCAACACCTCATAATCTCTTGGGTCGGCCAACACTTATACTCAATTTTATATCCACCCCGAACCTCTGCGACCTCCCCTCCCTAATTCCCTCTAGACGCAATCCTGGCTCTTCAACCAAAGGCCTTCGGCGAAGGCCCAACCGCTGTGGCCAAGATGGCCCAGCCAACGGCAGAGCCCGTTGAGGATTACGAGTATGTTGTCTTGCCTTTCCCTACCGACGACATCGTTGTACACATGCTGATATTACTTACCTCACCAGCTACGAGTCGCTCCCGCCTAACTTCTCATTAACACAGAACATGGTCGCCGGTGCCTTCGCGGGCATAGCTGTACGTCTCCATGGCCCTGGCTCCCTTGGCTCCCCTGGCTCGTATAGAGTCAGTTAATGAATGCTAACGCTGCCATGGCAGGAACATACGGTCATGTACCCGATTGACGCGATCAAGGTGCGCAACGATATTTGTTTCCCTAACCGGATATCCGGCTTGGCGCCAACTGCTAACTGCTACCCTTGGTGCAATGTAGACACGAATGCAAATCATCAACCCCTCCGCGAACGCCGTATACAAGGGCATGATACAGAGTACTATGCGCATAGCGAGCGGGGAAGGTGTTCTTAAGCTATGGCGAGGAATGTCGAGCGTGGTCGTTGGAGCAGGTATGTTTAATACCATATATCTCAAAGAGCTAGATATAGTTCGTCATCTTACCTTGTTGATTGTTAGGACCTGCACATGCGGTTTACTTCGCGACGTATGAGGCTGTCAAGCATCTGATGGGTGGTAATAGGGTCGGTGTCCACCATCCCCTCGCAGCTGGTAAGGCTCATATGCTTCGATTTCGACCTGATATATCAGCAATATCTTTCTAACTTGGCATTCCTTTTTCCCCCTAGCTACGAGTGGAGCCTGTGCGACCATTGCCAGCGATGCGCTGATGAATCCCTTTGACGGTATGTTGGGTACTAAAGCACGGAGCCTAAGATATTGAAGGAGACCATTATCTAACAGCTAGTTCTAGTGATCAAACAACGCATGCAAATCCAGCACTCCAGCAAGATGTACCGATCGATGACCGATTGCGCACGATACGTCTACAAGACGGAGGGGATCTCCGCATTTTACGTCTCTTATCCTACCACATTATCCATGACAGTACCATTCACAGCCCTCCAGTTCCTCGCCTACGAGTCTATTTCTACTGCCATGAACCCTTCGAAGACCTACGACCCTTTTACCCACTGTATGGCCGGTGCTGTAGCTGGTGGCTTTGCCGCGGCTCTAACGACCCCAATGGACGTAATCAAGACGATGCTCCAGACCCGCGGCACTGCCACTGATCCGGAACTTAGATCGGTGAATGGATTCGTGGCGGGCTGCAGACTCATGTACCGACGAGAGGGCATGCGTGGATTCTTTAAAGGGGTTCGGCCGAGAGTTGTCACTACTATGCCGAGCACGGCTATTTGCTGGTCGGCTTACGAGGCCTCTAAGTATGTTCTCTCTTTTTTTTTTTTTCTTCTCTCTCCCTCCCCCCCTTTTAACCTCTTATTTTGAGGACTCTCTAAGCTAATGGTCCAATTCTAGAGCTTACTTCATCCGCACTAACACTACATCGTCGTCGTCGTCGTCGTCGTCGTGATGGCAGGGTCTGAATAAGTGCAACGTAAGTCTAGTGTCGTTTTTTCGAGGTATGGTATCCATCGAAAATTCACAAATCCACAAATCGGCCACCTTTCTTGCCGACCCTTCCGACGTCAGCATATCTCCGAGGCATAGGACCGAGCCCGACACTGTGAACATCTGAGCATCTCAGCATCTCAGCATCTAAGCATCGACACCCGACATCCATCCCGCATTTAACTAGCTTGGGCTTATTGGTCTCCTCTCCTCTCGTCATACACGAGAGTTTGGTACTGCAGTCCACACGTACACCAACCCTTTCCGCGAATGCCGTATGGGTTTCTCTAGAGACCCCTTTCTGGCTACTTGCCTGCACTATTGGTAGTCGCGTGGGGTTTCCTTGGACCTACGAATTTCAACATTCTCCAGATCTAAAGATTTGCGCGAGCAATCAGGAAGAAAGGGTGGGGGAGACGGGTGGACGAAATGACAAAAAGCCGGGAGGCGTCTGGCTAGACGATTGTACATACAGTTTGCTTTTTTTGCTTTTTCTCTTTTCTTTTTTTATCCCGTGCTCATATATCTCTAACCCTGCCAATTTGGCTACTGATGGGTGGGAGACGGATCCGACGATAATGATCATGGACTTTTCCGAAAGAAAGAGATGGCGTTTGAATTTTTCTACCTTTTTTTCCACAAAAAAAAACACCCCTTTCGCTCAAGATGGCGGTAGACGTACAGATGGTGGGCGGGAATTACATGGAACCTATGATGAATAGGGGCGGGATCTATTCAAGTTAAACCCACAATGTACAGTTATAGATGCTAGGTACTACGGCATGATATCAAATCAGGATAGGTAGAGCGATCGCCGATGATTTACGTTCACCATATTAACACGATATTCAACTCCGCTCTGTCGTTTTGTACGTTCGGTTATAATATGTGTTTGTGGTAACGATTTGAGTCTTAAATTCTATGACCACCCTTAAGGGTTTGACTACGTACATGTTCAGATTAGATTATTACCTATGTAGCTGCTACATGTTAGGTACCTATACACCTACCTCTGTTAAATATTACGTTAAATAAACAGTTACACGATTTTCCAGATTTCGTTTTTTTTCTTGTCTCAAAGTCTTTGCGTATAAGTAGGTACCTAGTGATCTTCAAATTGGGGCATCATTTGTACCTATTTGGGTAGGTTAAAAAAAAAAAACATGAAGATTTACTATCATGCACTACGCACTAGGTATATGCACCCTCAAAAACTCCATGAACTCCTGAAATCAATCAACTGCTGTTGTACAAAGTATATTGTTCTTTTCGCTATGTGGATATATCTTAACCGAAAGGGAACCCTCCCGGGAAGCCGCCGCCTCCGGATCCGAACTTGAACTGGAACTGCTGACCGCCGCCTTGCTGGAACATGAACGGCCCGCCCCCGCCGCCAAACGGACTTCCCTGTTGGAACGGATTTTGCTGCTCGTTGGAATTAGGGTCGTCGCCTCTGTCGAACCTTGCCCGCAGCTCGGCATCGCTCAATACCTCGTACGCTTCGTTGATGCTTTGCATCTTCTTCTCCGCTTCCTCCTTGCTTAAGCCCTGCTTCGCCGCCTTGTCGGGGTGGTGTATCTTCGTTAACTTTCGATAAGCCGCCTTAATTTGCCGTTCGTCGGCGTCATGGGCAACGCCTAGGACCTTGTAATAATCCTTTGTCTTGCTACGCTTGAGGGCCACTTGGGCCTTCTGCATCAGAGGATTGACGACATTGTTCTTGTCTGGCCTGATCTCTGCAGCCTTCTTGAGCGATGCGATGGAAGTTTCGTATTCCTCGGCTTCGAGTTGCGTCTTGGCCTTGTACAATAGCCCGTAAAATGAATTCTCGTCTAACTCTATAGCTTTTAGGCAGTATGTACTAGCCTTCTTACCGTTTGCCTATATACTAGTTAGTACCTTGCTAGAAGTCGCACGGGAAGAATCGCAATAATACCTCATAGTAAGCTTGGCAAGCGGTCTCGACTAATCTGGCTAGCAATACGTTGGGTGCGCGTTCCGGAATGATGCCATTTTTCTTAAGCTCTTTGATTTGTTCCTCGACCTCGTTGATCAGACCCTGTTCGTCACTGGAAGGCACTAACAATTTGACACCAGACATGGGCTGGTTTCTCTCCAGGGCCTTGTTAACCTTGGCCAAAGTCTTGTCGACATTCTTCTCTTGCTTCAACAGCTTCTTGCAGGCCTTAGACTCGGGATCGGAGTGCATGCACTTCTTGATCTGGCTCATGCCTTGGTCCATGTCCCCCAAAGCGTAGAACGTGGTTGCGGAGATTTGCAGGTGCGGAGTGGTATCACCAGCCTTCATCTGTAGGATGTGCTGTAGATCGCTCATTCCCTCCTCTACTTCTCCTTTCTCAAATCGACATTTTACGCGCAGTTCACGTAGGTTAGGCGCTCGGTTTGCGACAAGTATGGCCTCCCCCGACTGGCTTATGCATTCGTCCCAATTTCCCTTTTTCGAAGCCTCTTCTGCTAGCTTTGCAGCACCTTCTGCCTCTACGAGTTGGTTGTACCCGGCAGAGCCTGGTTTTTGCTTGGCTAAGACATAATGTTCTTTAGCTCCATTCCAATCGGCACCCTTGGCCTTCAGTTTGCCAAGTTGAAGATGTGCGCCTTCGAAGTCAGGCCTTAGTTTCAGGACTCGATTGAAATCGGAAGTAGCTTGCGATGTGCGGCCGAGTGAGAGGTAGGTAGTCGCTCGCTTGAAGAATGTCAGGGCGTCGGTAGGATCTCGGGCGATGGCAGCATCGTAATATACTAATGCCTCACTTGTTTCGCCTTTAGTCAAGTGTGATTGCGCAGAAGATAGGAGTGCGTTGATAGGTGTGTCGGCAGGTATATCTGAGGCAGAGAGGGCTTGTACGAGCCCGGTAGAGGATAACGCAGTGGCTGCGAGAGCCAGCGCTGATAGAGGGACAATCATGGTCACGCGATAGAAGACGACACAGAAGCTGAACGAAGTTGCCCGTAGGCGCGTGCGCCGTCAGGGAGTAGGTATATTAACAACAAATAGTATTACAGTATGACAGAATAGGAAGTTGAGAGGTTGAGAGGATGTGAGAATATGAAGATGTGAGGATGTGAAGATGCGAGGATGATAAGAAGGCCAGGCACCCAAGAGACAAACTAAAGTAAAGTTGAGATTGATCAACTAAAAAATAAAATAAAATAATAGAAAGTTGGCCGACTTATAAAACTGAGGTTAACAACAAGTGGCTCTTTCTGTCAACTACCACGCGTATCTAGCAGTCTCTGCTAGTAAAGTACATCTAAATAAGCATTCAAAATCGTGTGTTGAAAAGTATATACTAAACATATTAAACCCTGCCTTTGACAGCCTGGCCACTTCCAAAGATAACGCGCCACAGATGACCATTGCTCAAAAAAGGCAAGAGGGGTGAATCGCCGACGGACGGTTACACCCGTTAGGTAAGATGCACCCCACCATTCCCCAATCCCCCAATGACACCACACGTACATATGTACTGCGCACAACGTACATAAGAATACATAAATACGGTTATATCCCTGTTAGTCGCGTATACTCGACGGTCGTGTATTATACATAGTAGGTAGGTATAATTTATACTCAAATCATGCTAATCGGTACTTTTAAGACTTAACTAAGTCCTATTAGTACTATTGACGAATTCAAAGCTCTTCCCCTTTCCAATTCAAGGAGGCCTTGTAATACACACACAATGGCACACCTAGCGCCCTCCTCGCAGGCGGCCATCTTCTCACCTTCCGTCGCCCGCGCCGCCGCCTCCACCGCCAAAGACTGGTCGTACGTTGACAGCTGGCTACGGAACAAGTACGCCAGCTCCTCCACCAACCGCGGGCGGCCCCCGTCATTTGAACGGAACCCAGAAACCCTCAAAGTCTTGCTCGCGCTAGCCGCCGCGAACGAGGCCGCCGATGAAGACCGCGAGCAGTTAGCCCGTCTCGAGGAGGCCGCCTTAGCCGAAGTCGAGGCTAGCGAGCGGGAACTAGAGGTTCGGCGGCAAAAGTCGGACCAGCACCCAAGCGACACCATCGATGGCGAACTATTCGCCGCGGACCTTCTAGAAGCCATCGAATCCAACCTCGGCAGGGAAGGTACCGTAGCTCTCGATGCTATGTCTAACATGGCCGTTGACCTAGGCGTCGCGTACCCGACACCCGAGATGTTGGGGGCCAAATACGTCGAGCTACAAGGACGTGCGCTAGAGCTAGAAGACAGTCTCGAGCGCGTGAACCTACTGCAGCGGTATCTAGACCACGAGGCCGCGCAGACGGATTCCTTCCTCGAGGAGCTACGGCGCGGGAACGCCTATCAGCCCGCGCCAGATCTCGCCAAGCAGAACCTCGAGCTCCAGCGCAAGATAAAAAATATCACCGGTAAACTGCCTGAGCTGAAGCAGCAGGTCGTTGCCCTCGAGAAGTCAGTCGGGCTGCCGAGCCTTACAGTTGAGAATGTGAAGGGGGACGAAGGGGCCTATCTCGAATTGCTAGCTAGGAAGAAGGATCTCGATGTCCAGGTCAAGGCTTTCGCTGGCTTGCCTCCTGATATCGAAGCAGCCCGGATGGAGCTAGAGGCTCTTCGTGCCGAACTTCGTGATGTAACTGACCAGAGAGACACGAATTTCGAGAAGTTAGTAGAACGCGAGAGCCCTGTTAAGACCAGGAGGAGACTCTAGTGAAGCTCATATCATAGACGCCATTAATGAAGTTTTATTTACATTACAGATGTTGCCGCTATGCGAATTAACAATATTCGTACAGAACTAAATCTAACCGCTCAGACCCCCTTTATGGTGTAATATCTTTTTACCCACGAACGCTTCTAATTAGTGTAGGAAAACGGCGATGGAGCCCTTTTCTTCAATCCGGAGTCTTATGGCGAACTGCTACAAAGTTACTGTTGTTGAGACCGCTTCCCTCTGCCTGAAACCGACGCACCGAGTCTACCGAATTGCCTGGTCAGTCCCGAGCGCTTCGGCGGTGCAGCAGCAGGGGTCGAGTCCTTCGGTGGTACGGCCGGTCCAGCCGCGGGTCGTGGCGGCTCCTTCTCCGTAATGCGTATCCCACCAAAACCAGGTCCATCGTCGAGACCACCGCCTTCCATCAACCTCTGCGCCCGTCTTGCTCTATCTTGCACGGTCCTAAACTTTTCGAGAAGCTGCTCCCATCGAATTATGTTGTCTTCACGGCCCTTGCCTAGTCTATTTGGCCGATCGTAATTTGACGCGCTGGGTGCAGTGGCAGAACTAACAGGAGATGAAGCATAAGTGTCATGACCGCTTTTGGAACGAGTGTGGTTTTGGAAAGAGGAAACAGCCTCGGCTACTGAGCCTTGCCAAGTATGCGAGGGGGGACCAATAGAAGGCAGTACATACGGTCGAGGCCCGATTTGCAAGTAGCCTATCGAGCTTACACTATTTAATCTGTTCTTGAGGGCGGCGAAAGCAGAGGATTGCGGTAATAGCATTAGAAGTCCGTACAGACACTTGTAGAGATACGGATACTTCTCGGGCTCAAGAAGTTGAAGACGGAGATCTAGTAGAACGATTGTTAACGTATGAGTTAGTAGTAGCCATATAGTCGCTGGTTGACTTACATGTAAAGACAGGCGACTCAATCAGCTGGACAAGCTTGTCGATCTGTATGAGAATGTTGACTGTCATCTCAAGCTCCGCGCTAGCATTCGTCAGCAAGGTGTCGACTTCACTACGTGGAGGAAGCACTTACAAGATCTGTAGAAGATTATATGCCGCTTCGTATGCCTGCGCGAGTAGACACAAGGAGAAAGTTGCAACAGCATTGTAACACCAGGATCGGAACAGAGCAACGAAAAACGCCTGGCCATCCTAATCGAAGTGTGAGTAAACAGATATACCGGAGTATCAGGTGACGTAAATACGTTACCTTTGTCTCTAAGTTCCGTAACCGTTTCCTCAGGTCGGCCAACTCCGGGGCGGTGATGAGGTTATTGTTGAGATTTTGCACCATTATGCTTGCGAATTCAACATCTTCCTCTTTTTCGATAGTCTCAGCTAACGTCCGATATATCCTCTCAGGGCTCAATGTCATGCATAGTTGGCGAATAATCAGATTGCCTCGCGTCTCTAATAGCTTTCTGTCTGTAGAGAAAAGTTGTAGAAGGCTAACCATGAAGTTGGAAAAGTAGTCATCCTCGCTGTTTCTGGAAATTTGTGATAGTAACTGTAGGTCTTTAGTGACTACGGCTTCTGCCGGGTCCGAGAGTGTTTTTAGGAGAGCAGGGAATGTTCCGTCGTTGAACGCAACTATCTTCCTCGGCGCTTTGCGGTGCAACATGATAAGCCATGTCAGGGAAGCGACGCGAGTGGCTTCGTGGTCGTTCAGGAATAGCAGAGTAAGAGAAGTGACTGCGGCGGCATAGTCTAGATCTGACTGAGGTTGGACCGATTGTGCCGGGGTGGGTACTCTACGATTTTGAGCTGGCGTAGGACTACGCAGATCTATCTCCCGGCTACTCGAGAGGGAAGCGCGTGTACTGGACGCGCCCTCGGGGCGGTCGGCTGTAGACGCTGGAGGTCGTGTCGATAGCTGTCCAGATGGAGCTTCAGATTCGTCCGTGAGAGAAACGACATAGTCCATCAGCGAAGTATTCACTCGTGCCGCGGCTTGGCGAATCGGTTCGACTCCGCTTGCCATGGCTGGCAGGAGGTGGGCTAGGATTTTAGGCGTGAACGGTAAGACTTCTTCGGGGCAGATGTCTAGAAACGATACTATCCAACGCAAACTCTCCAGAAGGCTATCCTCCTCTACGTGCGTAGTAGCATTAGAAGCTGTATCGTCGCCATCTTGATAAGAGCACTCACCCAGGGGAGAATCGAGTGTTGCGGTCAGAATCTCAAGGATTGCCTTGTAGTTAATCTGAACATCCTGCCCTGGAATCCAGTCATCTTCACTGCTAACCTCGTCTTCGTCTTCATTAGCTGTTGTGGATCCTGCTTCCTCGGCATCATCCGGCGCCAGGCGCATACTACCACTGTCGACCGAGTCCTCCCGCTTCCTCTTACCGTCCCCCTTCGACTTCTTACTCTCGGTGATTCCCTTTTTCACCCTGGCAATCCGCTTAATCTCGTTCAGGAATTTGTCTAAACAGGCAGAAGTGGCAGAATGGACATCAGCATTATTACCACTAAGGAACTTGAGCAAACCTCCTAGAAATTCAGGGAGGTACGTGACTAGTTCGAGATCTGGGATCGAATCCAGTAGCGTGATCCATCCGACAAGAAAAGTCCTGGTAAACGGGTTCATAACCCATATCCGCTCCTTTAGAAGGGGGATGAAGTCCGGCAGAGAAAATGCGGTGGGGGGACTCGGGTTTGGATTCTGATTTTGGGAAGAGTCTTGATCGGAGTCTTTCACCTCATAAGGCGGGGGCGGATCGGTCTCTAAAACGGATACATAAGTGGCCGCAGATTCGGATACAATATCCTTGATCAGACGATCGAGAAGTTCAGCACCATTCTTGACGGAAAGCTCCGAGTCTGCGCCCAGCTGTGATAGAAGATAAATGTCAGAAGTGTTAGGCAAACCGGAGGCAAGCATCGGCAATACCTTGCAAAGAGCATCGAATATGTGGTTAAAATATTTCAGGATTTCTCCCTTAGCAACCTTGGCAATATTATACATAGACTCGCAAGCGTAATATCTGACGCGTGCGTCTTGGTCCGTGAAGCATGCCAGAACAGGGGGTACTATGACCTCGAGATATCTTGGCAGTTCCTTTGGATTAGGGTCAGCCTAGGCGACAAAATGAAAGATAGGTGAACCGGTTTCCAAGATGGGAGACCTACAGAACCAAGGGCAATAGCCGCAGCAGCTAGACCTATCAGCCCTCCATTACGTGCATGGGGTTGATGAACAGCGTAGGCGTAATCATTGCATAGTTGATCGAGGATGTCCGAGACTCTCTTGTAGTCCTTGACAGCTACTAGCTCTCGAATAGAGCGTTCTAGCCTAGACGAGTTGACCGGGTTAATAGACAAGCGGAATAAGGGGTAAAGGGTAAAGAAATCATACTCAAGAGCGCCGGTCTTCCTCTTATCATATAGCTTATCATTGAGAAGGCGTTGAATGTTAGGTTCCATGATTACGCCTTCGTAGTAGAGTAGCAATTTATGTTATCATAGTGTGTGGCCGATCCCCTCCAGACGAAGTGAAGCAATCCACGGCGATTATTATCCGACTCCGGGCGCTCAAGTGACTGGGTGGATAAATCAAGATAAGGAGTGGAAGTGATGTTGCAATAATGCTTTTGTATGTTCATAAATAGTACCTAGCACCTAGGTGATCCTAGAATTGAAGTGAAGGGTTAAAGTTGACAATGATGAAATGGTATGTGAGACAGGAAGCAAGGCTGAAGAGGATGAGTTGAAGATTGTCCAGGTGAAGCATCGATGATGTACTTGCAGGGATTATAGTTGGCGGGGCAGAACAAGCAGCTGACCGATGGAGGCTGACGAGGCTGAACTTAACGTTTAGAGAGATCTGGTAATACTTCAAATTCATTGTACTAGGTATTTATGTACCAAGCCACTAGGTACCTACATCTTGTAGTGTACTTACCCAGGTACTTCCAAGTTACTTACATGTATCCATGGATGCTTATCGGAGGCGAACTGAACGCCACAGTTTCAAGTTCCAGGGTACATGACGTACCCATATGTACACGGTTAGGTAGGTACCTCATTACCATGATTTTATGCGCTAAACACGCTAAGAAATGAATTGGCAACATTCAAATGTTCAAGCTCCTGCACTTTACGCTCTTACATTTATTATTGTTTCCTAAATCAAACATCACCGCAAATTGCACGAACAAGATATACATCAATAGACATAATATCAAACATGAAATAATTTCACTTTCACTCAGTGTTTATAGTCGTCTACATAAAAAAGGGAGAAAAAAAGAAGAAAAAAAAACTCTGCGGCTGTTTAAAGGACACCAGAACTGTCGACAAATCCCGATTTTTCCTTGAGACACCTAATAAATATTAGGCTGTGGGATCTACGGATGTGCTGCTTGCACGAGGCACATTAACCTAACCTTGCAGCCTTGGAAGACATTGAAACATACCAAGTACGCAGTGACGTAATCCTATGTCTCCCAACAGCGCCAGTCCTCCCCGATATTCCTTGGTTGCAATATCGAAGTATTGAAATCTCTGGAATCTTAGAAGTTAGAATGTACCTGAGCAGCCGAGGTGGAGGAAGAGAAGGAGGTGGGAAACAAGATGATCCCTGAATATCTGGGCACTGCAACGAAATGCCCAAAGGAACGCACCGGTTGGAGGTCGGAAAAGCAACCCAGTGCATCGGCCTAACTTCGACAGTCACTTTCGTTGTTCGCCACCCCACGGGGGAAGGACTAGGCTGCTAGGATGATGGGGGTCAAGGTCTGTTTCGACTCTTTGACCGCATTGGCCCCCTTTTCTCTCCCTTATCCGCGTCAGCCACACCGGTCGGAAGTCTCCGCATCAGTATGCATATTATATGCGCAGTTCCTGGCCGGTGAGCGCTGCTGATCAGGGTTCTCGGACATTTTCCGCGTGCGAGGGGATCTACAATACCTTCCTTGTTGAGAAACGTTCACAGGGAAAGTCCAGGACAGCCCTAGGCATATTACAATACTAGGTAGGTATTACATGTCCTAGCTACTCCGTCATATCATGGCATGTCGAGATCTATCCAGATACTAGGCACGTTACACGCCACGGCACAGCGTGATAATAGGCTGCAGTATACTTGATACTAGGGTCAATCCAGGAAGTCTAGCCTAGGATGGGAACTCCTCTTCCTATCTTACTCGCTATCAAAAACCTAGTAACTATTTCTCTTGTTTTACTTTACCCCTATTCCCATTCCTTCCGCTTCCGGGTCTGTCATATTGCTTCCTGCTTCTAGAGGGGCGTGAAGAATCCCTTTGATCCCCTTTAACGACATTTGAAAATATCATAAATATATATAATTATCCCCATTAAGTCTATTTTTAACACACTATTTCTTCTATAGATGCTCACAAAGTCACCTAACCCACCTGGCAGGATAGACCGACAATAACCAGTTAGGGTAGCGATTGTTTCTGTTTCTACGTCATCTCGGGTTGGGGGAAATAGCCCAGAACCGGTCAGCTGGTACGGAAGTATGTCATGTTTGACACCAGCATATACAGAATACGACCCTGCCAGGGTGCTTTGTAACTAACCGTTACGTCAATGCAGGTATACATTGATATTCAAGTCGGTAACGATAATGAGAACTTTGCAATCCTTTCTAACTTCGAGCTTCTTTCCGGGGGGCCATTTATGGACACGCGCCAACGCTACACTCGCCCATCGTGCTGCCTACGTGGTCTACATCCAGGTCCAAAGCGAAGATTGCTCGTCCCGAGAAGTTCCGTGTCTCGTGGAGAATCATTGCAAATACAGGAGTGACGTCGGTATAACCACATAATTACTCACTCAACAGTTCCTCCATCCGTATACCTAAGCCAACGCATAGCAACTTTACACAAACCCGAAAGACAGCTTCAGCCAAACCGAGATATCCCCTTGTGATCTGTCACAAAAGACCTGTTCTAGATCTTTAGTTCCTCGAACCTATCGTGGACCATGTCAATATGTGATGTACGAACCCGATGGTTGGCCAGAGAGAGCTCCGACAACACCCCTCACTTCTCCTGCTGACCGTCATCTTTCTTCTGGCTCGAGTCTCCCTTTTGTCCAGCGCCATCCGAGCTCTCACCTTTCTGCTCCTTGTTGTTTCGGGCAGCCATATCTGCTCGCTTCGCAAAGCCGTCCTGTTCCACTGTAAGTGCCCAAGAAATGCTCAGGATCATGTATGTGTAATATACGTTCTTTCCGCGAGACCTCGCGATCCGCGCCGCCGACTTATCATCCATTTTACTCGGCCCCATTTAACTTAGGTATAAGAAGATTGGACAAGAGACTTCTTATTGGAAAAGAGTTGACTAACTGGATAGCAATGATATTGAGGGGGCGAGGGCAATGGCTTCGAAGAGCTGGTAATCGTGGGTGAGTCTCGCCGGAGTTTGAAATGACGGAACTTGACTGATATATACAGCCTGCACTTGGTGTTACGACTTAGCCCCATGGTCAAATGCCGGCCGGCCGGAGTGGAATCGATTTTTCCTCTTTCTGTTGAAGATTTTATTATTACGCACATGAGGCAATGCCCATCTCCGGTCCCAGCACCTCACCGGCAGCGGGTCCATCGCTTTCAACGCATGCAAGGAAGGGAGGCTGCAGGAATTGTGCCGGGGTTTAGATTGGTTCTGTCTAGATTGAGAAACACTAGGCACACGATGTCATCTATGCTAACCAATATTGGTTGTGTCTAAGTAGATACCCGCGTGCTTTCGTGTGGCATGTAGGTGTAGCAAGATACCAACTAAGATCCAGGCCCCTAAGGAGTAATATTAACGACGTGGTGGAGGATTTCGTTTCCGAGCACAACACATATTGGCAAGAGCAAGGATAACGAGTACTGTGTAATGGGTAACGGGTAACGGGTCACGGGTCACGGGTAATAGATAATATATAACAGAGAAAAAGGAGTTGGCGAGGAACCTCTGCCAATCTCATCCTGAGGCATAAGTAAGAAGTGGTTCGAGGCAGACCAAGTTCCCGATGGCCCATATTAGTCGGTGAAGAAATACCTCCGCAATGCTTTGCTCTTGTGATCTGCGCAGACACCGAGTATGGGAACATTCCCGTCCTGCTAAGCCAAGACCGAAGCGGATGTAAGAAAGGGGCTAAATAAACACGAATTAACTTCGGATATAATATATATATATATGTATGTATCATCGCGTCCTGGTGGGAAATATATCTCCTACGGCTTCACTAGATTTACTCGGCCGTCGATCAACATGTCTCCACCCGTCAAAGGTCATCCGTCACGAGACGAATACCGTAGTTAACGTAATCAATGGAAGAGGTCGTTAAAAAGAAAGGTACCATCCAGCTTTCTATAAACGTAAGCTGGCTCTGGATACTTGGTAGCTCAGGCTAGGATGTAAAGGATCGATTAGTGTTGCATAACGGGATTAATCCAATGTCTGTGATTATTGCCAAAATCTTCCCTTGGCTACTAGGTAGACAAGCTCAGGCAGGTATGTGTCCTCTCGTCCGGTAGGGCAGCAACGAGGTCAACCGCTTTCGCCGTGGGTCATGGGAACCTAATTCTGACGAAAAGTCCGAGGCCTCGGGGTGAGATGCAGGTTTGGCCCACCACACTCAATTCCAGCAAGGCGGTTGATAAGTTGCAGATCAAGTACTTAAGAGCCAGTCCTGATTTTTCCCTGGTCTATCGTAGCATTGGCTCGCTACGAAAACACATTCCTCTCGAAGCATAAAACATACCAATTCTCATCCGTCCAGAATGGTTAGACGGTCCGACTATAATAGGGCCGCTAAGTTTCAGAACATTGGCCTATAAGCGTCCTAACGAGGTTGCATTAGGTCTTTACCAAGTCGTAAGAGGGGGCATCCAAGAGGGGCCTGTCATGAAATAGAAGAAATTTCTACCTATTTACAACGCCATTCAAGGCTATGGTAATGTAGGATGTATCATACTAAATATTAGTGGTGATGCCCATGAATAGGGTCATCACTATCCGAAATAACTTTCTGGCACTTGGCAAGTATAGCTGCCTGTCTCGAAACCTCTGCCAACGTGCCAACCACCTGCCTATTCCCATCCACAAACCCGTATAACGCGTATGGAATGCCTACGTCGTTACAAAAGTCTTGAACTAGTTTCTGTGTCCGACGGAGATTATGACGCGGGATCCGGGGGAATAGATGGTGTATGACCTGAAATTGCAGGCCACCATGGAAGAAATCTAGCCATTGGGGGCAGTCGACATCCATGGTTGTGCGGAGCATCTTCTGAGGAAATGATTCGTGGGGACCAAGGTCCGACGTGCTCATTGCGAAATGGGAAAGGCAGATCTGCGCGTGCACTGGCATAGGGACCATGTGGCTAACTAGGAAGAAGACGAATCGATCCCAGTTGTTCGGGATCGATTTATACACGATGCCGTAGAAGTACCATGTCCAGAAGAAAATCTGCCCGGTTATCTCAAGCCACCTGTGCCACCATGCCGGACCCTTGCGAGGTCCTCTCCCCACAATTAGGTAGTCCCACGAGAGGCGGTATAGATTCAAGCGTCCGAAGAGCAGCAGGATGTAGTATGTGTAGGGTTGGATCCTGAGCATAAACTTCGCCACTGCATCATATTCCATTATGCGATCGTAATAGGTGGACCGCATAGACTGAAAAAACCGATGAGATACGGCCAAGAACGGCATATGCTCGATATCTGGGTCGTGCTCAGGCGCATTCGTCACAATATGATGTACGTTATGGTTCCTCTTCCACCAGCCTAGAGATAATCCTCCGAGGAAATCTGCAATAATAATGCCAATGACGGTATCCGTATGAAACCCATGGGTGATGCCCATGTGGCCAGCGTCGTGGGCGGTGAAGACGAGTTGATGCCAAAACGCACCCAAGCATACCGCACTCGGGACATACCAGCTCCAGTGCAGGAAGAGAAAGGCGAGACCGAAGAGGATAGAATAGCGGGTGACCTCGATCGCATATGCTCCATAATTACACTTATACAAGTCCTCAGCCCTGATTCGTTGGTCCAAGTCGCGATACTTGGCGACAATGGAATCCTGCGTGGCAAAATCCAGAGAGGGATATTTCTCCAAATCTAGAGTCGTCTTCTGCTTGGTGATAGTATCGAGGTATGTCATACCATCGTCATCAGGCTCCGCTGACGATACCGACGATGTAGATGCCGGGCCGCGTAATCCATCACCGACATATCGCTTTCGCACGGGTTCAGCTTTGTCGAAGACCGGAGAAGCATCACGGGAACTTGAAAGGCTCGACGATTCAGTGGAATTTTGGTCGCATTCCTCGTTTCCATTGTCATCTTTGGCGTCGTCGTTCTCCGACAATGGTCTAAACTTCCCACCCTGGATAGGTGGGAGAAAGTTGGTCCATCTTCCTTCGATCCTCCCAATTCGATACTTGTTCATCTGTTGCCTTGCTTCGGGGGAGTGGAGACTAGGTCACAGACAAATATGTTAGGGAGTTCAAGCTCTAATATGGTCGGTCATGTGTGACATGTAACATAAATGGAGGTGAAGGTAGCACTAACGCAGTGACTTCGTCAGTAGCATCTCGACCAACCATGTGTAAGATGGCCTTGTCGCCACCAGGGTGATATTGAAGCCAAGGATCCGCCTTGAACACAAATTGGTCAAGAATGAATATACTTCGTCCGTCGGCAATCAGACCTTCAATCTGTCTCCTCGACAGTACCGGATACGTTCTCGCAGCCATTGTCGTCGTATGTAAACTATAGTAAGGAGAAGGAATTGCCCAATTGCCTAAATTTAAATTTAACACGGTGAACAATTTACGCCGTCATTTCAGTCTATCGCGTAAAGCAGTCTCGTGTTAAGCTAGAAGGTAAAAGATTCGTAATTGGAAATTGATGTAAAATGGGTAAATAGTTGATGAAGTTGGAGTAGGAAGAGCTAGAGACCAATTGACTTTGTCAAAAACTAAATGTGTAAGCTCTTTACCAGACTCTGACCAGCCTGCCACCTCAACTTGATCAGGGGTTTCTTTACACTTTTTAAAAAAGAATTAGTGGACCACTCATATAAGTGGATAGTCTAGGCAGGGACCTACCTAGGTACTTATGTACCTATCAACGCCAAATCTTCCAAGTATTCGGTGACGGTTTTATTTATTCTAATTCATTTTTATCGATTTAAACGTGTGTAATTATTAATTAAATATAATTCTTCTTATGTGTTTTATACTTAAAAAAAAAAGTACAGTTAATAAAATTGAATTCTTTACTTGAGAAGAGCGGTGGGGGTGGAAAAAAGTGGGAGTTGCCTAATACATTAGTCCCTACCTAGTACTCACTCACCGTTACTTCGCAGCTTGACAGGCACCCACGGCACGGGTCACTTTTTGGTTGAACCCATTGAAAGACGGTATCCAATAAGTTTACGCTGTAAGATCCACCTCCACCACTCCCGAGCTTTAAGGTTCTCCAAATACCCCTCATGAGCCGCACAGGTACGGAGGTTACCTTATAATTGAATGTACAAAACAACAGAACTTGAAGCTAATAACTCATCGAGTTTCTTTAATAAATGCTTAATACATTTAAGTGAATAACTACCTACTTATATAGTGTAAATAGTTGCGTGGGATTAAGTAACTATATGCACGTGGTGGTTATATGTATGTACTAGGTGCTATCTAAGGTTGATTCAAATGTTACTAGGTAATAAACTGACCTGCATTGGACCAATATGCTAACTAAATGAATATTTTCATAAGCAACTCATAGAAACTACATGTATGTAGTAGATATAGGTACATAAACAAAGCTTGTGTCAATTACCTAAGTCTTGGAGTCGTCAGCCTCTCGGATTGCGTGGAATGATTCATCTATCAGTTTAACCCTTGACATCGTATGACCAATCATGCAAACATTAGCTGTTAGTGCAACGTAAGTCTCCGTAAAAATACACCTGGGATGAGTTCAACCAAGAGCCTACGGTCTTGCCGGATCTCGGAGAGTGTTATGAACCCGTGTATGCCCGTTTTCTCATCAAGGTTCTAGGGGACCTACTGATCATACTTAAATCGGGAGAATATGTACGATGGCATGGGGGAGGAAAGGAGTTCGCCCAGTTCATCCTTCTGGGAGGCAGAGACTAAGCAACAACAACCATCACGTACCGGGTATGAACAAAGAAAGTTGACAAGACGCATTGTTTAACTTGGATCGGGAAGAGGCCTTGAAACAAAACAATTGTTCTCAGGCTACAACTGATATGTGTTGCCTCCCTAGGCAGCTCTTAGGTATATAGCATCAAGGTTAAAATATCACGATTATATGATCCTCATCCACTTAAATCCCCCTTTTAATTATTCTGGGATACGTTTTAAGAAGTTCGTTGAGTAAACATATTTGTCAATCCTTGACGAACCCAGATAACCCTTAAAAATCATAAATACCTAAACATCTTGCTCATAATGCCATATCAAATCAATAAGGGCAGGTCGGGTTGCGCGACGTGGTCGGCACAGGAGATCTATTCAAACGCCGCCGACATCAACTTCCGCAACCCGGAAAATCCAAGATGGTGGTTCTACAACGACAAAGCAGAGGATTTTCTCACGGGCCCTAATTCAGCCATCAGCGCCGTCCATGATCGAAAAGCTCGTGAAAAGGGGCGTAATATAGCCATAGACTCTATCCGTTTCTTTAGAGACGAAATAAAAAAATACCGAAGCCTGACGTGGCAGGATGTACGAGATACAAGACCTGTAATATTCGTCGCATCGGATTCTAACCATCATCGCTACAGATGCATATCCCGAACAGCTCCTTTCAACATAGAAATAGATCCCCAGAAAAGAATTCTACATTGCATGATATGCCAATTCTTCTTTGAGATGCGCCCTCTCATTCCGCGGAACTGGCAGCCCTGGTTTGCCCGTTTCGATAGGCTCTCGATAGGCGATCAACTTGACGTGCTTGCGTCTATCCCATACCCAATATCCCCCATGGCGTCGCCGGTGGATCAGAGGCTCTGTATCATCGTTGGTCTGGATGATGCCTACAGTCAGTATACGCATGGCGAAGTAACGCGTTTTCTTCGTATAATCGAACAGTTTTTTATTGCTGGCGGAAGAGGAAAGATATTGCTCATGCATTATGCTCCATTCGATATGACCGGCATGTTGAAAGGTGAGAGTAATGTGACGAATCTTAAGAAGGGATACTGCACGTAGGTATGTAGGTATGTGCTGTAGATATGTGCTGTAGGTACATATTATTAGATTTAACTATCGACTTTATGATATATGTATTAGGTAATATCCCGAAATACCGTCCAATGTAAATGCATAACCCAGCTTCCTTTTCTTCGAAAACAGTTTTCAAATTGGTGGGTCCTTTAAGCCAAAAGAGCGAGATGAAATGAAACTTAAAAAATCGTATACCCCCGTGTTACCCATAAAATATCCTTTTCACATCATCTCATTACTAAGTACCCCAGTCCCGAGTCCAATGATGCATATTACTCTGCAAAATGTCTGTCCCGACAGAAACTTTGCGAAGAACCGCGCAACCTATGCACGCTGTGATCGTCTGGCGTGGCGGTGGCCGACGTTGCTAATGCTTTCGCTAGGAGCAATGCTACTCAAATCGTCATCCCAGCCATTATGACAGCTTCCGACGTAACTCTCCTGGAGTGGGATGCTCCTAGCCGAGGCATAGCTATGAGCGCGACCGGGACCGCTGGGTCTCACAGTGGCGGCGGAATACCGGCTGCCAGCCTGAGATTGTGCTCGCGACGGCGGTGCGGTTTCAACCGAGGCTGGCGGACGGGCTTGTCGGATCGTAGCAGCTGATCTCTCGCTCCGAGCAGATATATATGTCTCGGCATCGGTTTCACGGTGTCGTGGTGACGCATGTTTTGAGCTAAAGTAGCTGCGCTGATCAGACTCGGGCGAATATCTGGGCGAATGCTTGGGTGAAGTTGCGCTGTGTCTCGATCCCGCATGACTGCGGCTGTCCGAATTGTGCTTGGAGCTCGAGTGACCACGGTGTTCTGTATCCATCAGGAGTCTTGGCGAATCATTATGTTTCGAGCCCGCATTGCTCCTATGCTCGACGTCGGCAATCATCAAGGGACGTCTTGTAGAGCCTGCCTCACTGCGACCCCGCGACCGGCTGCCGGTAGTGTAATGACTGGAATGTCGGCTGGCACGGTCGTCAAGTTCTTCCGCCGCTCTGCTTCTCGGACCGCCGGCCTGAGAATGTCCACCGGAATAACTGGATGGTGGATAATATCGGGGCCGGTTGTCTGAGTAGTTGTCCGGGTATGTTGTGCGTCGCGACAGCGGTGGCGCGGCCTCCCGATAAGCCATTCGCTCGCGCTCACCTCCCTTCATCATAGAATAGGTCAGCGCGCCACCAGCAGCCACGCCAGCAGCCACACTAAGGATGGTGCCAACTACGGCGCCAGCACTAAACCCCCTTGATTCCTCGCGCGGCGAAGCCTCGACAGTCGAAGTTGTAACGCTTTTCCGCATCAAGGTATAGGGCTCGCCGTCGGACGTGCGGCTCACGGCAGTCGAGCTAGGCGCAACTGAGCTAGCGACGGACCTCGACGGGGCCGAGGTAGTACCAACATCTAGATTCCAATCAAGGACGCGACTGACTTCATGGGATGACGAATGAGTACGACGCACGGCCGAGCCTGCATGGCTTCCAGTGTAGTCGGGATGGGGGGCGTGAACGACTTCCATTATGTTGCCGTCGAAATCTGCGGCCCTTGAGCAGCTTTCGCCCGTGAAATCTGAAGTATTGTATAGACGAAGATAGTTGACGTTGGCACCGGCACCTTCCAGGTCAGGATTGGCTCGTAGGGCAGCTGTGTGGAAGGCAGAAATAATCGAAGGTGAGCTCGCCGAGAGGACTAGACGGCAGCGTTTTGGTGATCTGGAGCTGGGGTCGATGCTTTGCTTCACCTCGAAGACCGGTTCAGGAGTAGGTGAGTTCACGTCACCAAAGATTATCGACGAGGGACTGGCAGATATATACCGCAGGCCGAGTGGCTGGACGATAGCCGCGTAGAAGGAGGCCGATGGAGCAAGGTCTCGAACTTGAATAAACGGTGTGACCTGCATGTGGGGCTGCTGATGCGTGACAAGCTGCCAGACACGATAAAATTAAAAGTTAAGATGGCTAGTTGAATCGCGTTGGACTAGATGTAGCCAACCCACGAACAGCCGTATGCAGATCGAGGGATGATAACGAAGGAAGGCTCGCAAGGTAGGGATGCAGAGACGCAACTAGTCAGGTGGCCAACAGGACTGTGGGGTACCTGTGAAGGTATAAGTAACGAATTATAAGATGAAGTCTGAGATATCCCGGCGTGAAAAAAACCGAGGGTAGTATACTAGGTGGGACAAGGTGGAACGAAGGATGTTATAGATATCCAAATGCAGACAGACGTACAGTTGTCTCAACAAGCTAGGATGAATCACACTTCTCGTTCTATTTTGGAGGGAAATTTCACCTTGAGCGAGAGGATAGCGTAAATAGGAATTAAGCTCTCTGTAGATAGAGCAACTTTGGCTTGATAAAGCTGATACGGACGACGAGGAAAGTAATAACGAAAGTGGCTTTGAGTTGCGTAACAGACCAAGTAAATGTTCTGAGAGTCAAAATATACTAACGGCCGTGCCAGTTCAGTATCTTAAAAAGAGAACTGAGGACTTCCTACATGTGGGACGCCAAATGTGTAGACCTGTCCCACAAGAGACTAAAATTAGGTACTAATGCAGGAGGCATCGTCTTTGACATGTTCTGAGAATTTTCCGGCAGATCCCGCCGCATGAATCGGATACAACTGGATACCCGACTTGGTCTAGTTGCGTCTATCTGGTTCACTCATACACGTGTAGTGTAATATATTGAACGATTGGCAACCTGGTGGGGTTTCCTGATGGTGAACGAACATCCACAATGTTTGCGTGTGCGCGATGGTCCATGGTTATTGATATCGTTACCAGGTAACCAATTCAACCATATTGAATACGAGCAAGCTCGACCTCAGATAGTATATGCGCAGCCCTCGCCACGATTGCTACGACGAAGCGCACGGTATAGTGGTTACTTCAAGTGTCCATTGTTCTCGGCGTGAAGATGACGTTGGCTCCAGATATCTCTACGTTGGTAGTGGTGGATGGACTGCCACGTCGAATCCGTGTCCTATGCCCTATGCTGAATAGCGCGTACCTGGAAACGTTTCCTACACAAACAGCGCGAATTTGAAGTTTAAGAGGAATAACGCTCGGGATATAATTGGAACCTCTGCATGCAAAAGCAGCGAGCAGATTGATTGGTCTCATAATCTTGGTCGGGTCTGTGTCAAAGAGTGGAAAAGAATAGAGATTAATGTTTTAAGAGAAAACGAAGAGAAAAATAATACTAGGTAGTCACTACATAGAATTATCGATCCCGATATTCTTATATGGGGACTTTCTCCGCATCCCACTTTTTAATACCTACCCTAGACAATTCAAATAGTTACACGTCGTTCTAGTCATAAAAGAACTTATGTAAGCACATACGTAGTTCAAAGTTAAACCGACCATTCCATGTTCCATGTTCGTTCTTTCTTGAATTATATGGACCCGAATACTTATGCAGCTATGTACATGACCAATACCTAGAGCAAGAGAGGTACGACTATATCGGCAATCCATCCTCCCCTTTCCTGCCTGAGCCTTGGAATTCTGATGGAGACCTCAGCAGTTCCGGTGACTGAACGCACACCACGCAGTTCCTACGCAAAGGATGTCTTTTTTTCATCCTCTGTCCCAACATGTGTCTAGTTCCCAATTAGGACATCGTAAGGCCGTGTATTAAATTCCCTACCTGACGACAGATTGGGGGTGATGTGATTTAAACCGGGCGAAACTAGTAATAATATGCTAAGAGTTCCGCCCTACCTGTTACCAATAGCAATCGGCAAAGTCAGTTCGTCCAAGAGTTGTCCATATATGCAGCTCTTTCTCCACACCATAATCTGCTCGAACCCCCTATTAGGTATGTTGCAGACCGAGGCAATGCCGTCTAGCATAGGACTGGTACATTCTCCTGTCATACACGGTAGAGAATATCCGCTTGTCGACCCAAGCCGTGGGGCCGTTTGATAGGCCGGCAGTCACGTCTCACGACCTCGGCCTCAACCGAGCCTAGACGTCGAGCCACGGGTGATATGAATCTAAGCATTAGAGGGGGGGAAGGGTAGAGCGTGACTGGAGACGGAAGGATTTCAGAAGGAGAAAGATAACAAAAGAAAGAGGGTTGTGGGCCAAGTTGAAGTGGCCCACATAAGACGGTGAAAACGTCTTGGATCTCATGTTGAACGCCTGATGTTTTGGTTGTAAAAACAGAGACAGAACAAAAACCCCAAGACCCAAGTTCCGGGGATGACTGTGTCGACCGCGATGTTGTATAGCGGTTTCCGCAAGTCAACTCCCATTTATTATTCATACCTAACACGTTCCACTACCTACCCTCCTCTTGCATCCCTCTTCCAAAGAAAGGGTTTAGCCTGGGAGGCCAACCTACAGGATATCCCAAGCATCCTCGGCAGCATGGCAAAATTTGCTGCAGGCGACGCTAGCTGAGAGGCTGTATTGGCTAATCGAGATCTTCTCATCCACGTACTCGTCGGCAAAATTGTCGGCACCCTTAGCCATTGCACCGACGAATACACATATACTCTCCTTCGGGCCAAGACCTTGGATATAGTCTCGTACACGCACTGTGCTCTCGTCATAGCTCAATGTGACCTTGCGGCAATTTGGGGGGAGGTGATCGGTGATCGGATTCTGAATAACTCGCAGAAGCTTCTCCTGAGAATTGGTCGAGCGAATAGATAGGCGATGGAGTAATTGAACCATCAAGCCAGCAAAGCGCTTGAAAGTTCGAGGGATACGGACAGTTGGCGATACCTCGATCAGAACGCCCTTAGCTGTCTGGATGTAGATCTGTAGTTTGCCTGCCTTGTTGATGGGCGAATCAAGGAGAGTGAGGAGACACTACGTCAGTGGGGTAGATAGTTAGCATGTTGAATGCCAACTCGAGAAGAACAGGACTTGTTGAGAAGCGAGTAAATCACGACTTTCACAGCATACCTGGTGCGTGATATCTGGTCTGGCGTCACTGATATCGCGATTCATCTTGCGCATTACTCCGATATGCTCGTCGCTATTGAGGAGCGAATACTTGTCGTCACGCTGCATGCCGGCGCGGCCAACACCACCGCCATGTGATGCCTTGTATGTCTCGAGGCTGGCATTAGATAGGACGACAATGAGCCTCTGGCTGTCCTTATCGTTGGAGGGTATGGGCACTTGTTGTTCGGCAACAAGCTGAGGAAGGGCTGGAGGGGGTAATGACTGAGTACCTATATGAGGAGCCATTGGTATTAGATACGCCAATTTTAGTTATTGATGTCACTAAGACAGAGCAGAGTAGGGCAGAGGAAAACGGCTCGCAGGGGCTGCAGGTTCTAGATCTAGGATCTTAATAGCTCAGAAGGTTTCTTTGAACAAATACCGTTCTGAAGCGGTGTGGGTAGGTATTAAAGAGCAAGGCGTTGCGGCTGAGGAAAACAGCTCGGAGCTACCTATAGGCGATAGGTGGAATGGCCAAAGGTGTCTTGTTTCTTGTCCCTCCTTGCATCAGGCAGTATTAAAAAAAGCAACTATCGAACTTACGAGGACGTTTTCCAGTACGGTATTCTGCTGTTGTAGGCATTTTGTTTAATTTAATAAAAGTAAAATGACGGAGACAAACGGGAATCAATCCTCAACAAAGTCTGTTAGCGGGCAAACGGCAGACCGTAAACAATTGGTAGTAAGTAGTACTGGACGGCTAAGGAATATAATATGAGAATATGATGCCTAAATCTGACTATTGTTGGGTGGGGGACGGGGACGGGACGGGGACGGAAGATTAAGTGAAAGATAATTGTTAATAAAAAAAAAAAAAGGAAATCTGAGATGCGTTGTGTCGATATAGTGGAGAAGCCTTTTGTCTCCGACAACTCCGGTCAAGCATTGTATCCACTTTCTCCACTGATAAATATGATTGGTTTGAACAAGGTTTTACTTCGCCGATGGATGCTAAGTTTTTACTGCATATAATATTACATAACCTGCATATTTGACGCTTACCCCTCATTCATAGCTCCATTGTAATTCGAAGTTCGATTTACACTAGGAACATAAAACTAGAAAGTGGGAAAGTGGGACTGTCCGCACCGAGTCTGCGAGTCCGATTCTATTAACCTGAACATTTCCTTTTTAAGAGAAGAGTTCACCGAAAACATAAGGAAAGAAGCGTAGGACCATTTCCTAACCTCCGAAGCAGGCCATTAAAGTTAAGATACTTTAGTAATTACCTACCTATATAGCGTAGAAGGGGTTATCAGTCTTACTCAGCCTCCTGTTTTATTACCTGATTTCTTATAACGAAGGATTTCGGAGAAACTCGACGGACCAACATAATCTGCAGTCATCCGATAGTGATGCGAACTCCGCCATAACAAAGCATTTTGATTACTCGGTGTAGGTAAATGGTACATACGTGCTGACAGTTTATCGTTCCATATACGAATCCAAGTTTTAATCTTCCCGAATATTTTTATTTAGTTAGCCCTATTACTATCAAAGGTTTTAAGTAAGACAGGACTTCAAAAATTCAACTTTACATAATACATATAATCAGGTTAATAAGTGATCTAGTCCTCCCTGTCACACTCGACTCCATAATTATTAAGTACCGACTACTTAAATAAGTATCAAGACAGTGGTTCGGCGTTACTACTTTCAGGAGTATCTATAAATATAATTACAGACCATAAATATTATTAATTATACCCGAAAGTTAAAGAATAGGTATTAGATTTTATATTATTTTATTTAACGGGGACCATAACGAAGCTAAGTTCCAGGTACCTAGGTAGCTTTTAAGAGTGTTTAGTCTGATCAAATCGGGGTCGGCAAATGGTATTTTTGGTATGTGTATTACATTTCTACTTCGCGTAGGAACACCGTTAATTTCCCGCTGGTCAAGTCGGTATCGTAACAAGATGGATATGACAGTTTCATAGTCGACAGGAGTTATACCCCGAGAAAAAAAAAAAGAGAGAGAAAGAAAGAAAAGGGGCGCCTAGGGGGTTCGAACCCCTGACCTCTCCCAATATGCATAAGCCCAAAGGGAGTGAGTTAACCACTTCTCCAAGACGCCGTCTTGTACATGCAGAGCGCCAGTGACAGTTTGGATATATAAATGGCCTGCCCGATTATCCTATGAGTCATTAAGGATATGGTATCCCGAGGATAAGGCGTAGATATGTCGAATTATGACTGTAGCTTTGAAACATATTGTGACAAACGACATCACCAGAGCTTTCTGCTACCTTTAATATATCTAATTCACATAAGAAATCCTCATACACCATGAATATAGAATGTCTCTAGAAAAAAAACCGTCAATGGAGATATTCACTTAGATTTGGGTCGTTCAGGTACCTTCAACTCTATTTAACACAACTACTTACAAATTTACATCTTTGTGAGTTGCATTTCATGGACATCGTGAAAATCACATGTTGATTAGGTATTTATTTCCGCAAAAAGCAAGCTGTCCAGGAGATCTAGCTGGCCATACAACAAAGGTACCTAATATCTACGGGTGTCATTTACAAGCAGAGCATTCATCGTAGATGCTAGCTGATAGTATATCAAGGGTGTGGATACAATAGTAAGTATCTACGCTTTTATTGCCCCTACTGCTAATTATATATCATGAAGCAGTCCTAGAGGCAGCATAATATGAATGCTTCCATCTATCAACCCTATTCAATATAGCCTTGGAGCTTGGGAATATACGTGGCTAGAAATACATGGCAAGCTTCTTATTTTCTTATTATTAATATATATAGGACCTTATTAAGAAGTATAGGTAATGAGCTAGAATAATTTCGAAACCTGGATTCCATTTATAACAGTGACCATGTTCCCCGCTGAAACAATCTGAGTTGCCCCCATACTGACACTCGTCGTTAAATCACCACACCGGATGGCATGGCTAACCAGCCAACCGTTGGGGGGTGTGCCGGTACTGTTACTATATCGAGCGAGAATAAAGGGTTTTATATTGACGAAAGCATCAGAGTCATCCGTGTAGCTGTTCCGCGACATCAGATCTGTGTATAAAAGGGGAAAGCGTCCCGCCTTGCCGTGAGGAGTGTTGTTCAAGTCCTAGGTCTACGGAACTGTGACGCTTGTTGGGAGACCTGCGCAGTCGCCTTCCAAGCCAAACATACACGGGAGGATATTCCCGTCTCCGGGCTAGTCTCCTCCATGCGCTAAGAAACAATCGTCCTATGCCGCTCCAGAGGAAGGGGCGAGAACCGCGAAACGGTAGTCACCTTGGATGAGCCCAGCGCCAGTAACACTGATACTAGGTATAATGAGTACGTACTAACTTTTATGTCTTTATGTAGGAGGTACCCTGCGTAGCCTGTTTTTAACTGATCAGCCCCGCTGCTAAATTGCTAAGTCTTAGTGTTCCGGTGTTATATATTTCGAGATGTCGTTGACCCCCGGCTCAAAATTTCCGTGAGATTGAATAATGCTCTAGATCTGTTAAGCGTAAGAATGAAAAGGCAACATGCTACCATGTAGATAATTTTAGTATGTTCAAACGAACGTCGATATGTATCACGTAGGTAGTGTATGTTGATAATATTCTGTATAATATCATTGGCTGACCGAGTGTATACCTAGGTAGCAGGTGTCAGCTGAAAACTTGAATATGCATAATTATGGGTTCTGTATCAAATGTTGAACATTCTTGCCATTAGAGGGTATTACGAAATAACCTTCAATTGAGGTCTTACACCTAGCATGGATACTACGAAGTACATAGGTATGTATCTAAGTACAATACAAGGTAGGTGTGGGGGCAGGGGGTTCGCAAAACTCTATCGATAGTACCGGCAAAAATATTTTCCCCGTTGGCACGACACCTAATTGGACCATGAACAATTATAGCTCTTGCCTCAAAAACTTTTGGTCTATTCGACGAACAGCACTGCTTCATACCGAAGAATAACGAGGCTAGGAAGTCAAGGAGGGTACAACTGGAAAGAGAACAATAATGGCAACGGAAGTCGCGGCAGCTGCCGCTAATACCACGCGACACTTAGCTAAGGAGATGCTTGGTGTCGTGGTATCAGCTGGCCTGATGGACAAGACTGTGAAGGTTAAGCTTGGTGGATTTCGATGGGAGCCGAGAGTCCAGAAGGTTAGTCTACTAGCATGCTAGGGAAAATTTCCAATGAGCCATAGCTAATATTCAACTCTTTCTTCCTCACTATAGTACTTCAAAGAACCACGATTTAAGCTGGTCCACGACCCGCGTAACTCCGTTCGACAAGGCGATATAGTAGCCATAACACCAACCTGGAGGGTATCGCAACACGTGCGCCACGTCGTTAAGCACATTATAGCACCATACGGCGATCCTATTGACGAGCGGCCGCCCATCCCCAGCTTGGAAGACAGGATAGCCGAGGCAGCTGCTAAGAGGGCTGCTAAAGACGAACGGAGAGCTTTTCTGAAGCAGATGCATACTGCGATCAAGGATGCGGAAAAAATTGCGGCCCAGGTGAAGAAGGCAATACGAATGTGTCGCAAGCTTGGCATAATTCCTGCACAATCTGCTGACGCTACCACAATAGACGAAGTTGATTGAGGCCGCAAATCTAACGATAAAAAAATATTTTAAAAAAAATGTGCCTACAAACAAGAGTCAGGATGCCGGACTCGTTATGCCATCCCTACCAGCGAAGGCGGTAGAGCGGTAGAGCGTGAGAGCGTAAGAGCATGAGAGCGTGAATGCAGTTACACGCGGTAATCTGTATATACCTAATCACCCGCATGTATCACATACATAGGTACATGATGTATTATGTACAATTATCTATCTCGACGACCCTAGCTATTTGGAGGGCGATACGTCGACATAATTCATGTTGAACGGGATATCTGATCCTAGTCATCGCATGTCAACCCGTCACCCCGTCACCCCGTCACCCCGAATTCCTCGAACGCCGCCAACGTTCGATATCTAAATTTATCACTGGGCAAAACCCCAATTCTGCCGGGCTTGTTCAGCCGCGGAATGGTTTTAACCGCCACGCTCCCCATATCTTCTTGCCCAGTCCTCGTATTCCTTCAACCCTTCCTTGCTGACGGAAGGTCGGATTGTCTTAAGACTAGCCTTGAAGTCTACGAGTTCGATGGGCCGAATTTGATCCATTGTCATATGGAGAAGAGCCTCACCTAATGCACGGAGAGGCCCCATCGCTGCGTCCTTGGCTAATGCTGTTATGTCCGAGCCTGAGAAGCCTAGATAGAAATAGTTGATTAGCACTATTTTATTATATACTGATATGATATTCAGCTTCAGATCATGCTTACCATCTGTGAGGTCCACCAGCTCTGTGATATCGGTGTCCGTGAGACTATGCTTCTGTTGGCCGAGCAGTGTCTTCAGCTGAGCAGCTCTGGTCTCCGCCTCGGGTAAGGGGATATACTGCCGCCTCACAAATCTACGTCTTGCTGCCTCGTCAATTGCCCACGGCAAATTGGTAGCTGCTAGCACAAGCACCCGGTTCGGATCGCCTCGCTCTTTATTCGAACCATAATTACCCTCGCGGCCTGCCGCAGCCCGTTGCAGGTCGCCCCATTGAATGAGAAATTCAGTCTTGATTCTCCTAGTAGCCTCATGCTCCCCAGATCCAGAACGTTGAGAGAGGAGCGAGTCTATCTCGTCGACGAATATGATGCTGGGTGCCATCACCTTTGCCAAAGCAAATAATGCACGCACCAGCTTCTCAGATTCACCAAGGTATTTACTGGTTAGGCTGCTCGCTGATATGGAAAAGAATGTGGATTTCGATTCTGTCGCGACAGCACGGGCTAGCATCGTCTTCCCTGTCCCGGGAGGACCAAACAGCAGCATGCCCCTAGCCGGTTCACGTAGACCCATGAATAAGTCCGGTCGTAGGAAAGGATATACCACCGCCTCCCTTAACGCGTTTTTCGCAATCTCCAGACCAGCGACATCGCTCCAATGGACCTCATCGCCGTGCACTACGATTTCGTTAAATATTGCTTTTGCAGCACCCTCGTCGATGCCCGGCGGTAAATTCTTCATTGTTGCCTTTTTTCTACTTTCCCATTCGTTTTTTGCCTTTTTCCCCTCCTCCGTCATCGAGTCTGCTGAGGATCGGCCCTCCGAGTCAGAGGCCGCGAGTGTCTCCTTCTGTTTGCCTTTAGGCTTTCGGCTAGAAGCGCCGCCCCCGAACTGCTCGTCGCTAGATGATGGTTCTTCTCTCTCGTCGTGATCAGATGTCTGCTGGCCCACTCGCTTCCTAGCGCTGTTAGGCTCGAATACTCCGCTACGATCGACGGGTTTCCTCCTGACTGAACCTTCCTTAGAACTTGTCCTAAGGGCGGCCTCGAGAGATACTGGGCCTCGGACAGCTGTACCATTCGGTTCATCAAAAATCGAAACAGCTCCTTTCCTAGGCGTTGACCTTCGTTCTATTCGAATTGCTGCGGGACTAGGTTCGTCCCGTTCTTGAATAGCCAGCGCGCCCAAGGCACTCGATGCAGCGCCAAGAGCGAGGGATGATGGGGTAGGAGACGAACAATCGGCCGAGTTTCGCATGGAGGACTCAGGGCTTGGGCGGACAGCCGAAGCAGAGGTGTCCGAAGGGACTACTAATCGTCTCGTGTGACTATCCCAGTGCCTAGGGGTCGAAGAGGAATTCTTTCGCACCTGCTCGTAGGACCGCCGCGGTTCAGGGTATCTAGACGGCGAGTTAGTTACCTCTGCAGAAGCTCCCCTTTCGAGGCTACTCCAAGCCAACGTCGCAGCCTTGCTGGCCCCCGGGCCTTTGCTTATCTTGGCTGGTGTGTGCCGGTGCGTCTTCGAGGATTTATCTTGTTTACCTGACCGTAGCGTCGTTCTCATCGTGTGCTTCTCTGGACTGGGCGACCTTGAAGACCTTCTTCTCGGCATGGATGCGCCGTATGGGGGAAGCGACGGCGGCTTGGGTGCCGATGATGACGAATCCTGATCCATCATGGCACTGCGGAGACCCGATATTGCCTGCTCCGACGAGCTTCTAGAGGGGAACGATGGCCGTTTAGGGAGTGGTGGTTTTGATAACTCTGTATATGTTATGGCAGGTATTGTTCCATCGCCAATCCAACCTCTTTCCGGTGTGTTTGGGATTGAGCGGCCATCCGCATTGGCTTCGGCCCCGACGTTCGGCTGGGTAAACTGAAAGGACGGGTCCTCCTCTCGAGATATTCTAAGGGCTTCTAGGAGATCAATCCTCTCCTTGCACTGTACTTCTAACTCTCTCAAACTCTCGAGTAAGGCACGTTCGGTCTCGGATTTGGGTGAATATGTGCCCTGTCTCTTGTTTGTCGGGTTCTGGCGGATCTGGTCGAGGGCGTTCTTCCAACATAGCATCGCCTCTTTCTCATCTCCCTAGACATGCGATCAAAGAGTTAGTTTGATCAAGGTTTGTGATTTACAATTTGTCGACGGGAACATATACGGACCTGGCTCTCATAATAAACGGCGGTCGAACATTTGAGATAAGCCTCGTCGTATGTTTTTTGGAGGCTAGAAGCATTGCTGCTGGGCCACATGCTCGTCTTACGTAGGCGTGATTGTGTGTTCTTGTCTCTATCACTGCCTCAACAATGGCAACGGGATCTTTTGAACAACGTCGGGAGCGCGAGGAACGCCTAGGTTAGGAATTGATCTGATGTTTCTTATTTTAATGCATCAGAATTGTAGCCTCCTAATCCATACGACAAAACGCGTATGAAGTGTGATGCTACCAAAAAAAAAAAAGGTGAAAGTAGCTAAAGACTAGATCCAGGAACAACTTTGAAGATCTCACGTCTCCAGCTACAGTCTGCCACAGTGACGTCGCGTCGGTATTGCGTAGTGGGGTTTGAAAGAACCCGAAACGATGTGGCTTAGAAGGTCAGAACTTGGAAGTTAGGTACTTAGGTGGAGAGTGGGGTACCACTCTAAGGTTCCGTGTATGTACAATACCTAGATACCTCGTACCTACCTAGTACTAGTATAGGTAAGTACCTACCCTGCTACCTGGTACCTAGGTACTAGGTCACTACTAGATAGATAGATACATATGTACCTATATACAGTATTATACGCACGCTTAAGTACATACCTACTATGGTATTAAGTATTTACTATGTATGTACATATGTATCCATAGATATATGTAGGTATGTGCAAAATGTTGACATTTATGCCTACATATGTTACCTAGAACGCCGTTTTCATTTTGTAAGTAATTTATGATTGCACTATTACACACCTAGCGTTTTCAATTATCATCCTCTTCATCTTCATCTCTAGGTAGTTGTAGACCCATCATCCCTAGGATATTACCTGCAGGTCCTGCCATTCCAGCTTGGCTCTTGAAGCTTTCAAGCAAATTCTTAGCGAGGTTGTAATCGACATCAACTTCTTCTCCACTACTTTCTTCTCCGCCATCTACCTCCCGAAGCAGATCATCCTTCGTTTTGCTCTTAAGATCGGTATCATCTCCTGATTCTATCGCATTCCGTCGCTCAGGCTCTGGGTCAAGCTTCAGAGCACCATGCTCTTTTAATTCGGCTTCCATCTGTGCAGCTATCTGCCTGATATCCTCGTCCTCATTATCTATAGTATTTCGGGCATTGGCGTTATTTGGGTATTTGGCGCCATTCTTCGAATCTTCGTACTGCGCCGCTGGAAGTCCCATCATTTCTCTCATCAAGCTTGAGAATTGCTCTTCATCGAAGCTGACAGCCTTATCCTCGTCATCACTATATTCTTCACTGTCATCCGAAATATCGTCATCGTCATCCATACCCCCCCCTTCAGCACCGTCCACGCCGGCTTTTTCATCATTCAAGAAGGCCTCAAATCGAGACACGATCTTTTGTAAATTCGCCTGTGCCGAAGAATCACCGAATCCATTTCTAGGTCGTTCCTGGGGGCCTTTACTTCCCTCGAGCTCGTTTTCGAATTGCTCGAAGTTGATATCTAACCATGATTCATCGTCATCCCTGTACGCATCCTCCCACTTCCTTATATCTTCATTAGTTGGGAGTGCTTGAACACCATCCTCCTCCACGTCCTCGAGAACCACGGAAAATTCGCGTGCTAGGCGACTGTCTTTATTGGCCGCATCAGCAGCAAGCATCTCAAAACCGCTTGTCACTTTCATACCCATTTCCAAGCGAGCCAATCTCTTTCGAGCGTCATCTTCACCGGCTGCCCGATTTTCAGCAGCTTCCAGGGTAGCACTCCAAATCGGAGGGGCTGGAAACCTTTGAGACTTGAGCTGCGCAAATAATACTTTTGTAAATTTCACACTAACGGCCACTAGATCCTCAGGAGGGAAGTGTACATTCCCAGATGGCGAAGAGATGGACTTTATTGCGACCGGATGTCGTAAATAGAACGACTCGACAGCAGGTGCCATGGTAGAAGGTTTCTCATGTAGGATATATGCCAGTTTCCTAGGTATGGTGACTATTGAATGGTGTATCGTGTCCGTAATGTGTTTAGGATATTTTTCTAGTCTATAGAAGGCCTCGGCCTCGACAAAAGTAGAATGTATTAGGATGTTTGGGCTTGTTTTGATGAGTCCAACGGCCTCGGGCAAGGATAACGGTCGTTTTGTATCTGAACTGGCCGCTAGAGGTATCATGTAAAACTTTCCATCGTGGATCCACGCTCGATTGCTATCTATTTCCGGGCTCAGCCACTTCGGCAACACACTAGCTGCCTCGACAAATAGAAATTCGCCGTCGCCATCAAAGATTCTCACCCAAAGAGTAGGGAAGGATTTAGTCAACTCTCGGAGCAGGTAGACTATAAGCCATTCATCCTCGACCGAGTCGCCGTAGTCGGTAGTCCCATGCAAATAGACTAGGTCCTGGTTTCTTTCAAGGCGTAATTGGAACGAATCCCGTTGCCATATGTATCCTTTCGTCATTTTATCACATAGCTGGATGGCCGCTTTTCGGACATCTTCAAGGTAGGGGAGCGGGCTTCGGGCTTCGTTCTTATTATCTACTACAAAAAGTAGATATTCAACACAGTTCTCAGGTAGGCTTCTGGGAAGTTCACCGAAGCCATCCTTCGAGAACTCGATATTGCCTGCAGAGTCCATTGTTGAACATAACGAGCTCGAAATGCAATTGGGATAGTGGTGCAGTATCTGGATTTAGATGCGCTCAGCCTCGTGCGTTTTGTATACCGTGTAGTGGTAATTGAATAGATTCCAAGTTGTATGTGCAAAGCTTAATAAAAGAGTACATGTACTGATATTATGCACTAAATCAATTAGGCACTTATAGTTAATTGATCTCCATAAGATCCATCATGGATGGTTCCATCGCATTGTACATATGCCAGACATTGCTAATAGTCTAGTACCGAGGTAGACAGAATTCGTACTTACATATGTACACAGCATAGCGGCAAAATGTGTTTCCAAAAGGTCAACTTAGGTAGTTATTTTAATAGGCTCCTGTTTAATCATGTGCTTCCGTATCCCTGTCTGTTTCTATGTTAGAAAGATCGGAAATGCATCAATTGCCTGTAATAATTGCTGTGTACTTCGCACAACCTTAGAAGCAAAAATCTTAAGACAACTTATTTTTAAAGTCTTTTTTTTCATTAGGTACGTACCTAGGTACTTAGCCAGGCAACCAGGACCCCTCCCTCAAACGGGCTGTCCCGAGATCGCCCTGGCAGCCTGGTCACGGTAGCGTATGTAAACGGTACATAGTTCCTTACATAATACTGTAAGACCATTAAAGTTGGAAGGGGTTACACGTCCAACCCCTGCAGCCGCGTCTTCAGTCGCGTCTTTTCCTTCAAATCCTATTACAAACCCCCAGTACATCATCATTCAGCTATTACAGGCTACCTAATCCTTTCTAGGGAACTATTCTAAATATTATTGTCTGGCATCGGAGAATTCTATCCCTCTATTCTCCTATGTAACATCTAAGACAGACTAAGGTTCAGGCAAACACAACTCTGCGCCGTGGCCATGCCTGCCGCAACAAGCAAGCGCTCTCGTCGCGCTGCATTTGATGATGACGAAGAAGGCAACGATGAAGTCGCCGTCGTCCAAGCTACCTCCAGTCTAAGAAATGAATCTGTTAGTAATTATTTCCTCCTAGGGTCGCCAATGCGCTGTAATCTAACTTTATGGGCATAGCAACGGAAGAAGGCGCGTATCTCGAATGCTGGCCCTAGTAAAAACTCAGCTTGGGCATCTCGTCAAGAGAGCGCCGCTAGCTCCGATAACGATGAGGATATGCAGGAGCCGGAGGAGCCGGAGGAGCCTGCTGGGCCTGCTGCGACGCAATACGAGATGATGCGTGACGCCGGATTTAGACATCTTGAGAACACGGACTTAGATGACCAACGAGCGACACAACGCCTGAAGAGCCGACCACACATGCTCGGCGAAAATCAGGTGGCCCTGAATGCCATCATTGAAAGCATAACCTGCTACAATTTCATGTGCCACACAAGACTACATGTTCCCCTTGGACCCCTACTCAACTTCATCGTTGGAGAGAATGGAAGTGGCAAGAGCGCTATCCTGACTGCCATTACGCTATGTCTGGGCGGAAAGGCTAGCGCGACAAATCGTGGCGGAAGCCTGCGAAGTTTCGTTAAGGAAGGCGAAGATCATGCTAGCCTGGTTGTCCAGATCAAGAACCAGGGTACCGATGCATACAAGCCTGATCTATACGGAGAATCGATTACCGTAGAGCGGCATTTCAGCAAATCCGGCTCTAGCGGTTTCAAACTGAAGGCCTCGGGCGGCAGGATTATCTCCACCAAGAAGGGCGATGTTGACGACATCGTCGAATATTACTGCCTTCAAGTCGACAACCCTCTCAACGTGCTCTCTCAGGACAACGCGCGGCAATTCTTAAATGCAGCCACCCCTGTCTCCAAGTATAAATACTTCGTCCAAGGTACTCAGCTGGAACAGCTTGATCAGGACTACCAACTTCTCCAGGAAACCCTCGAGGCCAATGAAACGAGACTGCTTGCGTTCCAGGAGAACATCACATACCTGAAAGAGAAGAGCGAAAAGGCCGTGAAGCTAAGAGATACGCTCACCAAGAACGCAGAGATGCGAAGACAATCAAAAGTATACTCGAACCAGCTAGCATGGGCCCAAGTCATGGAGCAGGAGGGCCTTCTGCAACAGAAAGAAAATGCCATACTCGCAGCCCAAGAAGATATCAATAGAATGGAGGTGGCTATTGTAGAGAAGACAGAATTCCTCGAGACCATTGACAATAAGGTTCAAGAAGCCGAGGAGTCCTTTAACAACCTTAGCCAAGAGGAAGACCAGTTTAAGGAGCAAGAAGAGGAAGCGAAGACCAAATTCAACGATGCCAGAGCATCGATAGAGAAGACCCACACCCAAGAACGAGACATCCATCAACGGCTCACTAATGCTTCGCAAAAGGTCAAGGATTACGAGAAGAAAATACACGAAGAGGAGCGACGCCTAGAGGAAGTCAACGGCGGAGCTCTTGCCGAGAAGCAGAAAGAACTAGAAGAGGCCAAACGCGCTATAGATGACATCAGGGAGTCCCAGAAGTCCCATGCCGAACATAGTTCTCATATTACTAACGAACTAAACGAAGCTCAGAAAAAGGTACAGGGCTCGGAAGAGCTCGCCAGTCAGAAGCGACAAGAAGTTTCAGCAGCCGAACTCCGGTTGCGAACTTTGTCACAAAATCGTAGTGATCCACTCGCCGGGTTCGAACCTCGAGTCCCTCAGCTTTTGCGCCTCATTGACAGTGACAGCGGATTTTCACAGAAACCAATCGGCCCCATCGGCACACTTATTCAGTTGACTAAGCCTAAGTGGTCCGCGATTCTAGAGAAGATTTTCGGATCGGTTTTGAGTGGGTTTATCGTCGCTAGTCGACCCGACCAAGTACGGTTATCCTCCCACATGGATAGACAAGGAATTCGAAACTGTCCCATCTTCATAGGCTCGAGGTCCGCTCTCAACAATCTGAGGGAGCCGGATGAAAAATTTGATACAATACTAAGAGTATTGAGAATTGATGACCCGCGAGTGAGAGATCAACTAGTTATCACTCAGAATATTGAGCAAACCATTCTGATTGAAGATCGAGAAGAGGCACAACGCGTTATGTTTGACGGACAGCAGCCGGAGAATGTCACCGCTTGTCTGTCCTTTCACGACAAGAAGAGGGGTCATGGTCTACGGCTCACTCGACGTGGTGCAAACATGAGCACCAGCCCTATTGGTCCCAATTTTGACCAGAAGTCTCGCATGAAGTCCGACGACGTAGATTCGCAGATCGATTTCTTTAAAGAGAATTTGGAACAGCTGCGGACAGAGTTCCGGGACCTAGATATGTCAAGAAGAACTCTTCAGCAGGCGGCTCAACGCTGTACCCAAGCTATCAATCAACACAAGAAGCAGGGAGCGAACTTCGAGAAAGAGTTACGCAATGCACAAGCTCGTGTTACTCACATAGAAGAAGAACTTGACAAGTTTGAAGGGGCTGATAATAAATTACAAGGATACAAGAATGACCTACAGGAAGCTCAGATTCAAAAAGACCACTATGGCAACCAGTTTGGTGAATTGGCCATGCAAAAACAAGAAATGAACAAGGAGGCCGAGAGTCTTAATGAGGTATTCAAAAAGGCTAAGCTAGCTTCCCAGGACCACAAAGCAAAAATCAGCAAGGCCGAAGACAGGGTTAAGAGATTTAAAGCAACCCGTCAAGTTGCCCTAGTTGAGAAGAATCAAGCGTACGAGAATCTCGCTCTGGCGAAGGCTGGAAAAGACGATGCGGAGAGGTCTAAGGAGAGGCAAGCGGAAGTTGTTGCCGATTATACTCGGCAAGCAAGTGCTGTCGCGCCTGAACGGGCTTATATACCTGAAGGAGAATCCGTTCGAAGCATCGAACGCAAATTCGAATCCATCAGGGAGCAACTAAGGAAAATCCGCAACCAGCTCGGTGCGTCGGACGAAGACATTCAGAATCGTGCGACGCAGGCAATTCAGGAATATCGGGAGGCTAAGAAAAGCCATAAGAATCTAACCTCGCTCGTAGACGAGTTGAAGAAGGCTTTGATGGATCGACTACGTAAATGGAGAACATTCCAACGACTGATATCTGCGCATGCTCGCTGCAACTTCAACTATCTCCTAAGCGAGCGTGGTTTCAGGGGTGAGCTTTTCCTTGACCATAAAGCCAAGAGACTTCAAGTCCAAGTCGAACCGGACGAGACAAGAAAGACTAGCTCAGGGCGAAACACTAAGACATTGTCCGGCGGGGAAAAGTCTTTTTCGTCTATTTGTCTTCTTCTTGCTATATGGGACGCGATGGGGTCTCCCTTGCGATGCCTCGACGAATTTGATGTTTTCATGGATAACGTCAACCGTGCGATTAGCACTAATATGCTAGTAGGTTCTCATGCTATCATCAAGCCCCTACATATCGCTAACCATATTCGCAGATTACCACAGCCCGTCGTTCCGTAGGCAAGCAGTTCATTCTTATCACTCCCAATGCCATCGAGGGCCGAGCAAAGATCGACAAAGATGTCAAGATAATTAGGTAAGCTCCTGTCATTGAATCATGGTGTACAGACCAGACGACATCAGAACTAACATTATGGCAGACTCACGGATCCTCGACAGAGACTCATCACAGATCACTAGTGCAGTTCAGTTTACTATCATGATACCACATAGAATTAATTGCTGGAGCACCCATTCTACCAGGGGCGTTTCGAGGTAATGTCCTAAGGAGTTCGAGGCACTTAGGTAGTCTTTCTAGAAGTTGAGGGGGGGGAGGGGGGGGGTCATGTTGATGTGGTATTGAGGGATTGCCCAGGCAGGCTTTAGCCATAAACTGCTAATGGCTTCATTGTAGTTGTGTGAGGTAATATACAAATAGTGAGTTGTAAAATGCTAACTGCCAGAGCCTTGTATCGTTGTTTTTTTTTTTTGGCTTGCGCAATCCGAACCCACATATTCCGCAAACATCAAGTCTAGTAGCTCTATACAAGGGATTATCTAGTCAATTAACACATTTCCCCACATGTCGGCGACTTGAAGTTTCTACAGTGTATTTTCAATCTATATCCTAAAACCCTTGCTTCGGAGCACGTTCACTCCAGCTGATGCCGTGAAGCTTACCCATTGAGCAAAACTACCCCAAGCACCTCCCACATTGTTCGTCTCATCGAGGCGACGCTGCAGGAAGGCCCGGGTCTCGCCAAAGCCGGCAGACCGGTCATTCGTCATGAAGAGCTCGGACGAGGCATAGATCATGGAAAGCGACCCGCGCTTCGTGTACCACGACGAGTCGACGGAAGTGTCACCGGCTAGATAATAAATATCATCGGCAAGAAGAGCTAGTTCACGCAGCGATGCAGGGACGTGAGGGGGTTGAGCCATAATAGCTAGGGCCTGTAGGGAGACAGGATCAGCTAAACAACAACCGAAGCCGAATGAGATGAGATGCAACGAAACAAGACGAAGCGAAACGGGAACGGCGATTAAACATAAAATCAAGGCAAGGGCGGGCAGGGAATGGGCGTGAGGACTGAGGACTAACTTCTTGCCATCGGTGGTTTACTTCTTGGTTTCCCAGTAGCCTCTCCCATGTTAGTCGCTCAACCTTATCTAGAACTTGCTGTGGTAGATAAGTTTTTTCTTCTCCCCGAGAATGAAATATGAGCTCGCTCTGTGGCGTTAGAGCTTCCCGTTGGGTAACTAAATGGTATCTTATTAGGCTGAAGGGCCCCTCGGGAAGTAGGTTGGTACTGATATCGAGGTAGCCGGCGTCGCGGGCACCGAGAGATAGGGCATGTTGGGTGAAGCCGTGCTCGGGAACGTGGCGGTACGCAGCAGATAGGATAGCCTGTTCGGCGGCGCCGAAGACACCTGGGGCTGGTGGGTGGTCATAGGACTGATACGATCGACGTAGAATCGGACAGCAGAGCGATTGAAGGTGTGGATGTTGTTTCTGGTGTTGGATTGTCCGTCGTAAGAGAGTTGTCAACCCGGTTGGGACCCGCGATGGGGCCATGTTGGGTTTATGAAGACTATGTACCTCTACAATTGATCAGATCATCAGATTGACCAGATTGATCGGGAGAGATGGTATTATTAGCCAACGAGGCTCGGATCGTATTCTGGTTGAAGGTGAAATGACGATCTTCCGATCTTTCGATCTTTCGGATCTTTTGAGAAACTACCTAATTAGTCTACAGTCGGCTGCAGCTACCGTGAGCAGCTAACGGTCTAAGTAGGTCGTAGCTTAGACCGGAGATCTCCCGGCTTTCCGATGATTCAAAGTTCCAAGGTTATATTAAGCCCCACATCTCCACGGCGCACTTATGTAGGTACATACTCTGGACCAGTCCCGACTACCTTGAGGGCATCCATAGGTTTAAAGTTGTAGCATATTAGCCCATACAGCCCATACAGCCCTATTCAATGTTGGTTTTACTCTAAGTTTCCTATCATAGTGAATGTATACCTACTAGGTACCCAAGTATCATACTTAGGTACAACTTTCATCATTTAGGTATTTTTCATTAATAGTAAAGTCACAATATAGCTAGATTGCGCCTACTCCAGGTAGTCTAAAGGCATTTAAGCTATTGAAACATCCTATAATTCGAAATTCCACCTACTAAATGTATACATTAATATATTAAATAAACCATGTCTGATCTCGTAGGGATAACTCAGCGGTGGTTTTAGGCAAGTGTCAAATAACCACCCAGTACCAGTACCTACGTAGGTACATACACACTAGGTAAGTAACCACATCGAAAAGGGGTAAACGATTGCCAAGTAGTTGTAGAGAAATCATACCTATTAAGAGTAGGCAAGCTTAATTGTTGAATGGTAATTGATGAGGATCTGGCCTCTTTATTGGAAGAAATATACCGCCGTTCCAAGCCTTTAATGTATATGTTTGAAGAGGCATATATACCTAGTAGATAGGTACCTACGTATCGTTGGTGATTCTAAGAAAAATTCAGGATTACATATGGTATTAAAGAAGACTCAAGGAATCGCAGTTTTCTTTATCAATAGTTCCAGATAGTGATCTCATCGCATGTCGTTTCCTCTTTTATTTCTCCTTTCTATTTCTTCACCCGCGAATGTGGCTTTCCCCTCATCCCGAGACTCAATTCCGTACATCCAAAATCCTTAGTTTCTCAACATGACGCTGTAAGCAGCCCTACTGGATTCCGGTAGAGGACGGCCCGGTTTCCTATTGGACTCTGTATTTGCGGAGGGGCAGCAATGTGACGATAGGTATTACGAGTGGGTAGGAGAGCAGGGGGATAAATGTGACTCAGCTTTTCCACCTTTGCAAGGTACCTAGTTAATAGTTTACATGCACTATACGATATTCTATCGGGCTAGTAGCTGTGCCCGCGTTTTACAGATTGTGATCGTATATACCAACTCGACTAGAGAACTTCTGTTTCTCTGGTTGTTTCACACTTTGGAGGGCAACTAGTTATTAGATACATCTGAAGCATCATCTAGATAAAATAAAAGGGCCAAAGCCCTCCCAGTATATAGATTGCTATCCACACTAGCCGCTGCTTCGATGTAAGACGAATATCAAGGTTTACTATTGGGTAGGTTCATAAGTCAAATGTGCTGTCCTTGCCTTTCAGCTGTGTAGACACAAGCTAACCATTACGATCGATCGTGCTTCGTGTTTCTCCTGTTATATCACTTATCTCTGCCTGTTTCAATTGAGTTAACCACCTGAAAGCCTATAAACTAGGTGCCTACTATCCAAAAAAGGGGAAGGCCAGTAATTAGAGTATCTATTTACATAGTAGGAAATATACCTAGGTATCTAGTCCCAACTCTCATTTTTATGAAGCTTGTATACATATATGGCCGTAATACTGTCAGTCATGGATTCGATATACAGCATATAAGAAGTTTGATAAGATAGGCTTGTAAGCTCATTCTAGTAAGAGAATCTCAGCCAGCATAATGTTACAAAGCTACTATGTTCCTTTTTAGTGGCACTACATCTGCCGTGTCACCACAAATGGCGGCTGAGAACGAATATTGGTTCTTAGTCCTAGAGAGGCGGCACTTCGTGAGCAGACAAATCACCAATCAATAGATAGGTTACTCGGGTGGGTGTGAGAATAGGGGGACGCTTCTTATAGTTTAGTAGGTAAGTCAAGATTTCGATAACGATAATGCCACCGTTGATGTCCTGATCTAGTTCAGCCATCAGTGGAAGGAAAGCCTTAGTCTCATCGCACAATTTGTCTCGAGTGTGAATACTAACAGCGGAGGAACAGGGGTGTTGCCGCTAGGATGCAACTTACTCGAAGCAGTATTATCTTTCTCTGGCGGTGAGCTTGGTGAGATATATCGGCAGTAAAGCACCACAAATCTTTCCTTAAACTAAATTTATACTACTAGGTACATAGTTGGCATATCTATCAAGTACTGCTTCTGTTAGGATCTGAGGTTTCCATATGAATGTTTAACTATGTGACACACCTGAGAAATTTTCAACTTATTCCAATGATAGAAATAATACCCTTACTCATAAAAGTAAACCTTTAAAATTTCTAGATGTCCTGTTATAATATCTTAGTAGTAAAGTAATGTATTATATGATCGATATCCTTTCAACGGACAAGGGGGGCTAACATAATGCATGGTTTGTGGAATAGGGGTTGGATCGTAATTCGTACAGATGAAATATGTAGGTACCTTCCTGGGTACGGTACCAACTCGCTACCCCCGTGGCTTCTTTCCCATTTAGAATAATCGAGCAACTACCTAATGAACTCGCTAAATTTACATTTGAGACGGTATTGTACGCGCTAACACTTGTTAAGTTTTAAGGATTTAGAGGCTCTTTCCCGATAGACGAGTTTTTGAGGCATCTGCTGCCACGCACATAGGAACAACTTTCCGTACCTACATACCTACATGTAAGAATGAAATTACTAGCAGGCATTATGCGGCAGGCTCGGAGCCGAGGACCACAAAGACTTGGTTCGCGCTGCAGGCGGCCATTTAAGGACCAACCCTACCTTTTACAAAAATGATAAGTCAGAAATGAAAAAGAAAAAAAAAAGAAAAAGGAAAGGAAAAAGACATTTTCATGAGAGAGAAAAAGAAAAGAAAAGAAGAAGAAAACCGAACCTTGGCTTTTACTTACCATTACTAATAATTAATTATTAGGAGGTATGTACTTGGTATTTACTGGGCATTAGGTATGTACGCTTGAAATCGCGATAACCTTCGATGCTTAACGAACACTTCATGGATACTGCGTAAATAAATAGAAGTGCAAAGCCTTGCTCTTATCTAGTACTTAGGTAGGCATTAAACATACCGGGCTGCATTCTGCGTGCTGCAAGCCTTGCGTGCTCATGCTTGGGAACCTAGAATTCCAATGTGACTGTGACAATGATCCTGGACATTGGTAAGGAAGACTTTGGTTCTGAGACATAGCTGGCGTGGCGGGGCGACCTTTCCAATACGGTGGCTACGCAGCTACGGTACTAAGCACCGTTGAAGCTTATGAATCATTACCACGAGCGCCAAGGTCCGCATTCCCTAAGGATTGGAAACGGGAACTATTTTACTGAAATATCCACCATTTAACTGGTGCTATTCATGTATGCGAAGGTGATGGATCGGGTTGCCTTATGCACGTCCTAAACAAGGCAAATGGACAAGGCCACCTATGATATTACGAGGCGGCTAAAGATCGACCAAGCTCAGGTGGATACGGGTATACTATGCGTAATACCCAGTAGACATACATAAGTAGATGTCAGATCGAAGTTCGCGGAATAGTTTGGTTCGTAAGTTTTAAAGTAACTTGATTCGCCGAATGCTTATAAACCGTATGACATGCATAGGTGGACATTGAAGGCATTAAAGCAATAATGATTTCTGGTTTTATAATGGTAACGGCAGTAAGGATAGCCCATTCTGCCTGTCAGTACCCGTAGGACTGAGAAGACGCTTCCGAGGTAAGTATACGATGATGAATGCTTACAGGGAGGTACTTCATGATCGACATATTTCCAAGCATACAATCCGATCCGGTCAAGGCAGCCTTAAGCCATGTTCCTCCCCAGAGCCGCCTTTATGATGGTTGAAAATGCTTGTCTCGAGTTCAATAAGCAACGCATGTATATTGGACCGGTGTTCTTTCTTTAGCAAGTATCAATGTGACATCGCATTCCTCGGAACATGTCGGGTTACGGCTTTTAACATGTCTTACGGAACTAATATTAAAAAAGCCACGGGGGCCATGGAAAAAAAAACATATAAGAATTAAACAGGTTATGGTTATTATGCGGGTTACTTAAATTAAACCGAATAAGTAAATATTATTATTATTAATATTATTATTTTTACAGAAGGCGCATTCAAAACATTTTGCCATAGGTAGATCGCCGACAGCTGGCAGTGAAGTGGGCCACACCTGTGAGCCAACTGTTGGCATGAGCGTTTGCAGCTGCCATGCGGATGGCGTGCAGCAGTCAACAGCTGTGTGGCAGCTGTGAGTGGATCCACTCCCAGCTGGTGGTGATCGGCCTATGGCAAAATGTTTTGAATGCGCCTTCTGTAAAAACGGTATCATTCTAACCAATTAGAAAAAAGTACTTTAGTTGATTTGAACGCGGTAATTTTTTAAGGGCCACTTCTCAATCGCGTCCACGCTTTCAGCCCAATTCCTAAATCTTATCCGTTCATACATCCGTCCACAACCGTCCACCCGTCCACAACCAGCATCCATCGAACGCATCTCCCCAGATTTTATTCTTTCCCTTTCCCATTCTCGTCGATATTGACACTTGGGACTGGTACCTTCTCCTGCAGCAAGCATATTCAAGGTTTAACTTCAGGTCTAGGTACGTACGTATGAAAGCCGCCGGCCGTCTGGTCGCATATGCACACCCTCCCACGCCCCCAGCTTTATTTTCTTGCTTGTATTGTATTGCCATTTTGTTTTTATTTTTATTTTTTAATGAAATTTTTTTATTCCCCCAACCCTTTTTTTTTTTTTTTTTTTTTTTTTTTTTGCGCAACCAGCCACTCACCGGTACACTTTCGCGCGACACCAGCAAACAGGAACGGGCGTCTCGTCACCGTCTCGCCTTACCTCACCTACATTATAATCACATTTACACTACATATACCATATACATCGAGAAACATCCATACACCCGTACACTCGTACACCAAAATACGTCGCGTTTCTAGCTATCTACGCGCGCGTTTCAATTGCTGATACTGCTGATTCTACTTGTCGCTTGCCTCTCTAGGTACCTGCTGATATTACTGCTGGTGCCTACCTAGTACTGCTGACAGTGGTGTCTTGGTACTGGTAATCGGCGTTGGTGTTGCCGACTTTTGTGTCGTTTTTCTCCTGCATACATACATACATACATACATACCATATACCTTTTTACCTATCCCGTATACGAGACCAGCCTAGGCCCTCTGTCAGCGTAGCCGGTCATTGTGCAATGCGAATGCAGAGGCGCTGAATCACACCCGTTACAAGCACTCTTGTACCTCTCGACTTCCATTCTCCCCAAGCCTTAGTACTGCGTTTTAGTCCCCCCCCTCTCCTTTTTTTTTATTCCCTCTCAGCTAGCGAGGGTCCCCGAAAAGATTCGACGCACTCCTTGTCACTTCGAAGACTCACCCCTCCAATACATACAGGTTTACTTACTTCCCCCGGCTTACCAGCGCTTTCGTTGGTACATTGTTGTCGGCGGAGAAAAAAAAAACTTCTCAGACAAGGCGGCTAAGCTCGACAAAGTCGTTTCTGAACGTATTTAGCTATGGGTAAGTCCACACCACCATTTGATATCTTTGAGAAACACAACCATCTATACACCATCGTCCAATTCTCTTTCTTAATTACTCCCTTCTTTTCCTTACTCGCTACTCGCTACTCGCGAGAACTCGCCTATCTTTCCAATCTTCTTGTCTGGTAACCCCTTTACATACCTTCACACATCCCTCTAATATTTCATATCCATATCTATCTTCATCATATCCACATCCCACACTACCTATCCTACTTAGTACACACGTACATCTGTATATACTACCTACTCCTGCACTCGCACACGCTCTTTCTGCCGAATTAGATCATCCCCTTGGTACCTCTCAAAGGTATTCCTTCCACCAATCCGTCTAGAGGCATAAAACAAATGCCTCTTGCGACGTGTTACCACCGCCTACATAACATTTACGTCTACCTAGGTAGCTTGTAACAGCCTACACCCATTACCCGCTTCTCTGTTCCTACCTTCTTTCCACCACCCCCCTCTCTCCACCCAATCATACTATTCCCTGGTCCCTTTCCTCGACTCACTCCACCAGTCATTCTATCCTCACTTAACCTGCCCTTTGTGCCGCTTCATACAAGCCGCAACTCGCCCCCGAAGCCTTTAATACGGCGCGCTTCCCCCCACCCCCGTCCTAGACGCTTTCCCTTCCCGATCCACTAACGGTCTGGCCTCTTGAACAACCCCCGTATGCAACCACGGCCCGCCAGATTGTCACTGTTAACTATCCAAATCAAATTGTCTTGGGGGTTTTGTTTTTTTTGCTTGTCACTAAATTTCTACTCCTTTCTATCTCTGTTCTACTTTGAGACTCCAGCTTCTAACTCACGATATTTTCGATAGCTGATTCAGGAGATACATATCGTCCCGTAAAGGTAAGCCAAGTTAACACGGAGTTTTTTTTTCGTTTTTGTTTTTCCTTTTTTTCTGATCTGAATCTCGGTGGTATCATCTTTATGTATCCCAACCTGTCATTGAGTTGTTCAATTTGCCTTATACCGGCACTAGCTTGTTGGCTACTTCGAACGGCGGCAAAAGTTAAAAGACGGCGCGGAGAGTGCGGAATATTCGAGTCCTGTACCTGAGAGCGTCTCCCCACGTCATTCTTTCGCCCGAGCTAGAGGGGCACCAGGACAAATCTAGCTGGACCCAAAAAAAAGATATATAAAGTTTGCTATCACCCCGAAGTAATCGTGTACAAGTCTTGACTGTTGTTCTCTCTACCGCCTTGAAGACACTTTCTTGACTTGCCCGAGCAAACTCAGCTGGGGAGAAAGTCTGAAACAGCAAATTTGTTTTCTTCGAAACTAGCTGGCGAGACCTGACGTGACCTTACGGGGCGCTATTTTCTGCCTCTCAATGTCATTCTTACCCCGCCCAGATGCTGACGACTCACAGCGCGAGAGATCTCGCTCGCCACGCCGTGGTCGATCAAGGAGCCCAGGTCGCTCGGGTCGCCGCCGATCATATTCCCCACGTAGCCGGTCTCGAAGCCGGGACGACTACCGTAGATCGGACAGACGGTCGCGATCTCCCATGACTGGAGCTGGGGCCCCAGTTGGAGGATCAGGTTCGGGCTACGGTGGACCACCCCAACGGACGTACGAGGAACGTGCTGCTGCACGGGAACAGATGATGAATAACATTCGCGAGACCTCGCAGCAGGACCGACGTGTCTACGTCGGCAACCTCTCTTATGATGTAAAGTGGCATCATCTTAAAGATTTCATGCGACAGGGTGAGTCATGGCTTGCTCAGCGCCGAGTTGATCTTTATTTGGCGAATTGCACTAATGGTAGCATGGTAGCTGGTGAGGTTCTGTTCGCCGATGTTTTATTGCTTCCGAATGGCATGTCTAAGGTGGGCTTCTACACGTGATTCATGGCCGGTTTTCTCTTTGGCTCCTTCTCCTCTGGTCTTTTGTTGGAATTGATGGATTGACGGGTTGGGACATCGTCCGCGGGTTTTTGTAGGGATGCGGGTAAGCCAATCCTCTCCATGCAAGCTACGAACGTCAAAAATACTTGTGTATTAATATCGAGGCAGAATTGTGGAATATGCTACAAGGGAGCAAGCGCAGACAGCAGTCCAGACTCTCAGCAATCAGAATTTGATGGGCAGGCTCGTATACGTTCGCGAAGTAAGGATACCCTCTGATTGTTGATAACTCGATGACAAATACTGAAGTTGATAATAGGATCGAGAAGCCGAACCACGATTCATCGGCGCAACCGGAGGCCGCGGCGGCTACGGTGGCGGAATGCAAGGCGGATACGGAGGTGGTAGCGGCGGCGGCGGCGGCGGCAGTGGTGGTGGTGGATACGGTGGCGGCGGCATGACTGGCGGCAATCGCCAGATTTACGTGTCTAACGTTTGTTTATTCCCCGCCCCTCTCCCTCTCCACGCCAACGTGGGCTCCCAGTTCCTGGCATTGACTTCATTTTTTAGCTTCCATATACCGTAGGCTGGCAAGATCTCAAAGACTTGTTTCGCCAGGCAGGTCAGTCTCGCTGTTTGGCTGCTACCACTTAGAGTTATTGGAAACATGTTACTGACATTACACTGCGACAGCTCGCAATGGCCAGGTAATCCGAGCCGATGTTCATCTGGGTCCAGATGGTAGGCCCAAGGGCTCTGGTATCGTTATGTTCGAACATCCCGAAGATACGCGCAATGCTATACAGCAATTTAATGGATTCGAATGGCAAGGACGTCTCCTCGAGGTTCGCGAGGATCGCTTTGCTCACCAAGGAGCCGGAAGCTATGGTCGAGGCGGCTTCGGTGGCCGCGGAGGCTTTGGTGGCTCCTACGGTGGTCGCGGGGGTTTCGGTGGTGGCCGTGGCGGCTTCGGCGGCTATGGTGGTGGCGGCGGCGCCAGCGGCGGTGGCAATCGCGGAGGCTTCGGCGGACCCACTGGCGGTGGATACGATGCCAACAATTCTGCCCCCACCGCAGCCCCGAACCCGTTCACTGATTTCGCTACTGCGGGTACCGATCCGAGCGAGATTATATACGTCCGAAATGTAAGGCATTTGCAAAGTTCTGTTGAATGTTTCAAAATGTAGTTGCTAACAAATTATTACTCATCAGCTTCCATGGTCTACCAGCAACGAGGATCTGGTTGAGCTTTTTACCACGATTGGCAAGGTGGAGCAAGCCGAAATTCAATATGAACCCAGCGGGCGATCTCGAGGAACCGGCGTTGTCCGCTTTGATAGCACTGGCAATGCAGAAACAGCTATCTCAAAGTTCCAGGGTTACCACTATGGCGGGCGGCCCCTCGGGCTCAGCTTCGTCAAATACGTCACCCCAGGCGGGGCCGATAGCATGGAGACAGATGCACATGGCGGTTTAACACAAGACCAAATCATGTAGAATACAGCATCTGGCGTATTCGCTTTCGATTTGCCAGTCTGGCTTATGGCAAGGCCATCCAACATCTCCCGTTTCTCGACGACGATAGTGAACTTTCGTGAAGCATAAATGGTCATATAATGGAGGTTGGGGCGGATGGAACAGACAGGCTTGTCTGCTCTTGCATATCTGTACTATTTACTTCCTTTTCCATCCTCATCACGATTCACCTCGCACTCGTTTTCCTTATCGTCCATGTTTTTCCATTTTCTTTATTTTTGAACGTGTATCCCCTTCCGGCGGAGGCGACGATTCATAATTCAGATGAAGAGTCATCTGTAGGTAATTCTGATGGCACCCATGACAAGGAACTGCTGGGGATCAAGTCCATCAGTATCGGCAACGAGCCCCACTATAAGCAATAATTCTGGAGGGGGTGGGAGTGGGGGCGGTCGACTTCTACTGTACTGTTTTGCGGTGAGAGCAACCAATTGCTCCGGCTTAGGCAGGACAACGTCGAAAAGGTTTCTCTTTCTCTATATGTTTAGCGTTATTAAAAAGGCGGTTGCTGAGATCATGATGCCCTACAAGGAAATGAGAAAGCTTGAGAAGACGCTCCAAAGTTAGATTGTATTGCGCGAATAGCATTCGGATTTCCCTGATCTTGGTGGCGGTCGACCTGATTCCCTGCACCTCGAGCTTGGGGATAGGCAAGACGTTCTAGTGAAGGGTGTAGGATTCAGTGTGCCTTATTTACGGTGTGTTACGGTTGTCAAAAGCTAGGCTTGGTATGTGCAGATCATTGAGAGTTGGCTTGGTTTATGTGTTGTGATACTTGTGACTAAAGGGTAAGAGACGGGTCGATAAGTCTCAAAATGCGAATACATCTTTCATCACCTGTTCCTACGAAGCAGACAACAGATACGATTGCGATTATGTGTCATGTACACGCAGCATGATATTTATTTTTATCTTTTGTGGGATATCGCAGCGTGCAAGGAAATATGCCATACGGTACCTGGTAGTCCAGGCGAGTTCCATTATTACCGGCTACTGTACTACTCGTAAGCAGCCACAGTTAAATCATCAAAGTCCGCCAATTGCGATGATTTAAATTTTAAAGGAAGGACGTTAAAGGGTCTTGTGTATGGATATCCGCAAGTAATCCCAATGAACCTGCAAAGGTTGGTATCAGAGTTCCAAAAAGGCGAGGGGGCGATAGAGCTGTTTTGATTAGGACAACAAGGATGCTAGTACATCGTACAGATTAGCAGTATATTGTATCGAAGATGAACAACTAGATGCGGAGTCTTCTTCAACTTTAGAACCTACAGATTGCAAGCTAATTCGGTGAAGATTGAGGATTATAGGGTGTTTGTATTTAGGGTATTCAGTGCTAAATTAAACAATACACCGTTCTTGGTGAAAGCATATGCTTCGGCTCATTGCTCATAGCCGGCAGCCTCATGACTGCCCAAGCTAAGAAGACATTTGTAGAGCTCTAGTTTCCCATATACGTAGCCTAGGAGAGATATCCCAGTAGCGACATCCATTCTGAGCCTATACGTGGAGGTCTAAGGATAAACCCTTTCTTTTGCATTGGGAGCAGCAGATAGGACTCGACGTCGATATAAACCAAATCCCAAGTCAATGCTCAGTGCGGGAAGTGATAGCTGATAGCATGCACGGAATCTAAACTGTAGATCAAGGAGCGGATGTTACGACGGTTCCCTTCTTCTTCCTTGCCTTTCCCTTTCTCTTGCTGCGATCTCTCGGCTTCAGTGAAGTCATGCCGGATTTGCATACCTCAGCGTACTTGTCAAAGAAGGCGGAAAGTGAATCAGGTTCGACTACGGTCGATATCTTGATCTTATCTTGACGACGTTCTTTTCCTTTCGCATTTGTCGCTCTGACGAGTACGGGCATAGGCTTTGGAGGATGTAGATCGGGAAATATCGTATCGCTCGTTGACTCTGGTAGGTGCTGGTCGTAGGACACTAAATGATGCATATAGAGTTAGCGGTGAAAGCAATCCAATGTATATATATGAATACATCGCATACGTCTCTTCTGCACCAAGACTATAGAGCCATGGTCTGCGCCTTTCCTCTTATCGAAGAGCTCGGTGAGCTTGGTAAAGAACTATAGTATTAGGTAGTTGATTAGTTAAAAGTGTGGGTGTCGACTTTGCACTATGATCTAGGGATGCGAACCTCATCATTTGTCAAGTATCCCATTGCAACGATGACGGAACCGCATCCGACGATTGTTGTGATAATGGAAATAAATAAGATATTGGAGTTGAAGCAGGACCCAAAAAGAAATCATACTAGATGTGAATCCCGCAGTGGGGCAATACGTTGGTACATGCACAATATAACTTTAAAACTTTACTTAGCACGTTTGAAGCCCCACCAACCAATACTTTAAGGTTTAGTACCTAGGTATCTTAAAACATTGAACTTTTCTTAAATCAAGGAAGGCTTCGATTTTCCGTGGATTCAAATATCTTTTTCTAACCTCCTCCCCCCTTCCCCCCAAAACCCCCCCAAAAAAACTTAACATGGGGCCAGGACTTAGCAGAAAACTTTCTCTCCCTTCATCCATTTTGAAGGAGTTGGATGGGCATCAACATTCTCTTACAAAAGGAAAAGGAAGGCCGAAAAGGCAACTTTCGAGAAGGCAACAACGTAAAGCTCAGAGGGTGCAGAAAAGGCAGTCTCGTCGTCCACAGACACATCATATCACTGAACCGCGGAAACCTAGGCAAGCTTCGACTTCAGCCGGCAATGTTTCCGATAGTGATGCTCTAGATCTAGATGATGAACGTGAGAATGAGGAAGAACTCAGTACAGGATTCTATTCTGAAGAGGATGATAGTGAGAGCACCAGGGGACAGGAGTCAAGTCAGCCTCAACACTCAAATTCGGCACTTGCGAAGCTTTCCCAGGACGATGCGGAGATTGCAGACCTGGAAAGAAAATTGGGGTTGAAAGGGAGAAAATATCTACCTAAATCTTTCGAGGATGACGGTCTCGGCGACCTACTGGGCGGTCTAGACGAGGACGAGGAAGAAGGGATAGAGAAAGCTTCCATAAATAAGCGCAAGGCAGAGGCAGATGAATGGCTGGCCCAGAAGAGAAGGAAATCCCAATTTGCTGCTCGTGCAATTGTTAGCGACGATGGGCATAGAGAGGGCGAGAGTCGTTCTGACCTGGACAACGAATTTGGACTTGATGATGTGGATGGCGGCGAAGAGGGTTTTGGTAGCGATATATTTGAAGGCTGTTCGGACGAAGACCAATACAAACCTTCTGGGGTCCAGAAAGAAAACCCATATGTTGCTCCCACAATCGGAGTAGCGAAATATATTCCCCCTTCCCTCCGGAAACAGTCAGGGTCAAGCAACGAAGCGGAAACACAACTTCGGAGGCGTGTTCAGGGGTTGATCAACCGTCTAACGAACGATAATCTGATCAGCATAACCAAGGATTTCATGGCTCTATACGATGCAAACCCTCGGCAGACAGTCACCTCGACTATCGTGGATCTCGTATTAGCCCTTGTCTGTTCACCCGAGAAGCGACCAGACTCTTTTTTCGCAATGATAGCAGGTTTTGTTGCAGCGATGTATAAAGCTATAGGGATAGCTATCAGCGCCTACTTCATACAGCAGCTCGTGGAAATCCTCGGCCAGCGCTATAAGAATGCATCTGGTGACCAGTCGGATTCCGGGTCAAAACATCTCATCTCCCTCCTTGCTGAGCTTTACAATATGCAAGTTGTCGGCTTCAATTTGATATTTGATTATATTCACATATTTCTAGACAGACTTTCAGAGCTCGATACGGAGCTGTTGTTGAGGATCATCCAACTCTGCGGGCCATCGCTTAGGCGTGATGACCCTCACGCATTAGAGGACATTGTCAACAGCATCAAGCCAGTCAGCTTACAGAGCATGTCAGTCAGGACAAGCTTTATGATTGACGAGATGAAAAAGTTGCAGAGCAACAAGACAAAAGCCATAAATCGAAACAGGGATCTTGCAGATCAGCGAACTCAAATAAGGAAGCGGATCAATACTTTGGGTGGCTCTCAAGATACTCAACCTCTCCGTGTAAGCCTCAATGACATACAAGATGCCGATAGGCACGGTAAATGGTGGCTTGTTGGGGCCAGCTGGTCTGGTGGCCACAACAATGTCGATAATCGAGAAGGAGGTCCGAATCCAAAGTCAGACGGGGATGCGGATGCGACCGATGCCGACGATACAATGAACTATGCAGACGACGACCTTGGTATTCCAGACCTTTGGCAGTTAGCTAGAGAGCAGGGTTTCAACACCGAAGTAAGGCAGCGCATCTTCGTTGCTTTACACGCGGCCACGGACTACGAGAATGCTGAGCTTCTCATCCGAAAATTAAGACTTAATAAGCATCAGCGGAAAGAGATCCCTGAAGTAATCATACGAAGCAGTGAACGGCAATCCCAGTACAATCACTATTATACTCTGGTTGCCACCAGATTTACCGGCGACCGGGAGTTTTTATTCCAATTTCGGCGTTGTTTGACGACACGGCTTGGCAAGATGGGAGAGGATATTGGCATCGGGGATGGAGACGAGGTTGATACGGAAGATGGGACCGAATACGACATGCGATGGGTATATAACGCAGCCAGAATTTACGGATCACTGGTAGCTAGTCGGACACTGCGACTAATAGATATAATTAAGCACCGCAACCTTGCGGCCCTGCAGGAGAAGGCACACATGTTCTTCGAGGTGATGTTCATCACAGTGCTCCAAGAGTGTAAGCACGATGGGATGAAGGAGGTTTTCAGTGGCCTAGATACAGATCACGCACGAGGGGTGCAGTATTTTCTGAAGAATAATGTACGTCGGACGGACCTCCTGAAGGATAGGAAAGGAAAGAAGGTGGTCAAGAAGAACTGCGAGGCGGCAAATCAGGTGCTCAAGGCCTTGGTGATAACAGACTAGGTAGCTACTAGGATAGGATCATGATATGCAAGCTAACTCTAGGCTTATTAACCCCATATTATTTATTGAATTAAGGGAAAATAAGTAGAAAAGGTACTACTATCAAATGTAAATATGCCTCATCTATCTACAGTTACGTAGGTATGCTTTACATTTACTCCGACCATGAGACTGGTACTAGGTATAATATGAGTTCTCAACATATGCATACTACCTAGGTACATAAGTAGATGCCAGGTATGTATATCTATATAGGTGCAGTACGGTAGTGAATATGTTCCTTCCTAGTACTTATTAGTCGTGGTCGGGAGTGCGCGGTTATTTTCGGAACAGCGGGTTAAGTAGGTACCTACCTGTAATGTGTATGTACATATGTAGAATATTACCGAACTTGATTGTTGGGTCGATGGGACGTAGCTAACCTAGGTACCCAGTACTACTGGATAGGTACTTAGGTACATTTTAGACGGAAGGTCAATTCCAACGCCCGGACCTCCCAAAATTTCCGGAAACTACCTATTATATACTATCTAAACTAAATCTTTACCGATTTTATCAAACCTATCTACACTTCAACCACACACCCGCGTTCTTCCAATTCCCGATTGACATATACCGTCCCCTTTTTGCGTTTGTTCGTTATAGAAGGGCAGACTAAGCGAGGAGTCAGTAAAGTACGCTATGCTGACCAGTCGTTTAATACCGCGGACCGTTGTCCGATCTGCTTTCCGCTCTCCCTCATCGTAAGTGATAGCCGAGCTTCAGCTTCCAGAGAAAGAAGCTTTTTTTTAGAGAGAAAAAAAAAAAGAAATAAACAAATAATTCGCTTTCCCGCTAACCCGAATCTTAACTCCAGTCTACCTTCAGTCATCACCCCGTCGTCGCGATGGAGAAGAGGATATGCTACTGAAGCCGGTCAATAGCCCTTTTATTGCGCTTCGTCGCTACTTCTTCCTATGCGTATATGCGTAACTAACTCGGCGCAGATGAGAAAGATCTCGTCATCATCGGCGGTGGCGTAGCCGGATACGTCGCAGCTATCAAGGCTGGGCAGGAAGGGCTAAAGGTGTGCTATTTCAACTCCGATACGGCCGTCACTATTGTCATATGGTGATATAGCGCACAAGAAGGGGAATCTAACAAGCTGCCTTTTTCTTTCCGCGAATAGGTCACCTGCATTGAGAAGCGAGGCGTGCTCGGCGGCACTTGTCTCAACGTTGGCTGTATCCCTTCGAAATCCCTCCTTAACAACTCCCACCTATACCATCAGATCCTCCACGACAGCAAGCCTCGCGGTATCGAAGTCGGCAATGTCCAGCTCAACCTGGCAGCTATGATGAAGGCAAAGGATAGCTCCGTCACCAGTTTAACTAAGGGTATCGAATATCTTTTCAAGAAGAATGGTGTCGAGTACATCAAGGGAACCGGCTCTTTCGCCAGCGAACATGAAGTCAAGGTCCAACTAAACGATGGTGGCGAGACAAGCGTGGTCGGCAAGAACATCCTCATCGCCACTGGCAGTGAATCCACACCCTTCCCCGGGCTCGAGTTCGATGAGAAGCGCGTTGTCACAAGCACCGGTGCCTTGTCCCTCGAGAAGGTTCCTGAAAAGATGATCGTCATCGGTGGTGGCATCATTGGTCTTGAAATGGGTTCTGTATGGTCGAGGTTGGGTGCCCAAGTTACAGTCGTGGAATTCCTGGGTCAGATTGGTGGCCCCGGTATGGACGCCCAGATTGCCAAGGAGGCGCAAAAGGTTCTAAAGAAGCAGGGAATGGAATTCAAGCTTGGTACCAAGGTCGTCAGTGGCGACCCCAGTGGTGAGAAGGTCAAGTTGGACGTGGACTCTGCTAAAGGTGGCAAGCCCGAAACTGTCAGTGCCCCTATGCATAGATCGCATGCGCGCCAAATTTATTTCTGATCTAACTTATAAAACAGCTCGAGGCGGATGTCGTCCTTGTTGCCATCGGCCGCCGCCCATACACCGCCGGGCTCGGTCTGGAGAACATCGGCCTAGAGATCGACGAGCGAGGCCGCGTTGTAATCGACTCCGAGTATCGCACCAAGGCCTCGCATATCCGCTGCATTGGCGACGTTACATTCGGACCAATGCTTGCGCACAAAGCTGAGGAAGAGGCCGTTGCTGCTGTCGAATACATTAAGAAGGGTTACGGTCACGTCAACTACGGTGTCATCCCGTCCGTCATGTACACGTACCCCGAAGTCGCATGGGTGGGCCAGAATGAGCAGGAACTCAAGCAACAGAACATCCCATACAAGATCGGAACATTCCCCTTCAGCGCCAATTCGCGTGCCAAGACTAACCTGGACACCGAAGGCTTGGTCAAGATGATTGCGGATCCCGAGACAGACAGACTCTTGGGCTGCCACATTATCGGACCCAACGCTGGCGAGATGATTGCCGAAGCCACCCTCGCCTTGGAATACGGCGCGTCAACAGAAGATATCGCGCGCACGTGTCACGCCCACCCGACGCTAGCGGAGGCGTTCAAGGAGGCGGCTATGGCAACCTACTCGAAGGCTATCCACTTCTAAGCTGTGTAAATATAGAGTGGGTAGAAGGGAAACAAAACATTCGGAGGGTTAGCATCGGTGTAATGGTGTACATTAATACAGCATGAGGACAGAGTGAGGTATCTAGTGAAGAGTTTTGATCGACCTGACAATTGATAGAAAAGGTATGTACCTATACCATGATGTCTTTCATTTATCAGTAGCGATTCACTGTCGAGCTTGAATGTCTTTTCTCGTGCTAGTAGTGTCCATATTAGCCGACCCTTTAGCATTCGCATCTACCATGTGGCTGAAGCCCGGATGGCTTTTTTCCCTTGGGTCGGCAGACGTGTACCTATATAAACATCTAAATTACACGCGAGTCAAAGTAGGTGATCATTGTAAAGGAGACCAGAGCAGTCTTCCTTTTCGCTGGCATGCATGTTTAGGTGCACGTGATTACAGACAGAAACGCCAGGGTTAGGGACGATATAATGAACCTAATGGCAAATTCTCATATTATCCTTATATCGTCATCATATCCTTGGCACTACTCAGCAACCCTTCCACGTCGTTTACCCACCTACTTACTTACTCACTAGCCTGGCATGTTTCAGCCACCTTGAGAGCATTTGCAAAGACAGATGTTAGGTCGTCTTCCAATCCAACGCTGACCCGAAGCAGGTCAGGGCTCACCCCGTATCCAGCGGCCCATTCCAACTCCTGGTAGTGGGCCAGAACAACATAGGGCGAGGTTAACGTAAAGTTGGTGCCTAAGCTTGGTCCCTTGGCTGTTTCAAGGGCATCGAAGAAGGCCATAGCATGAGCCTTGGTCATGAGTGTACACGAAAGGAGCCCGCCGTAGCCTCCGCTCGGCAATTTGCAAACCTCGTAGTTAGGCCTAGATTCATTGTACTTGGGGTAATAAACATTGGTGACTAAGGGATGTGCGTTTAAGACGTCGCAGATGGCCTCGGCATTGGTGTTGACTCTGTCAATCCGGGACTTAAAGTCACGGCTGTTCCTCTCCATGAAGATTACGTCCTCGGCCCAATAAGTGTCTTCGAACTCGTTCGTCATAACAGATTTTAATGAGTCATAATACCGGCTATTCGGGTTTAGGATGATGCTGCCGCCCATAACATTGCAATCCCCGGAGAAAATTTTGGTCAGGCTGCTGACGACGACGTCGGCAAAGGGAAGTACGTTGACGTTGACAAACGTGCCCACCGTCTCGTCGACTACCACAGCAAAGTCGTACGAATCAGCTAGCCGCCGGATGCGTGCGAGGTCGGGGCAAGTCAATAAGGGGTTGCCCGGAAATTCGCAGAAAAGTCCTAGAAACTTCTCTCCGCCTCGCAGGCGCCTCTCGAGGTCGTCGAGGTCAGAAGAAGAGCCATGGCCATAGAAGATAGCACCAGGGCCGAACTTTTGCAAGATTTTGAGGGTGTCCACATACGGAAAGCCGAAGTTTATACTTTTCCGAGGCTCTCGGGCTTTGAGGAGGGTCTGGTGGGTTGTGAAGATTGCGTTCATGCCACAGGGAACTAGATATATATCATCCTCTTTGAAGTTTGATATCCCACGAGCGTTAGAGTCCATGGTTGGAAAGGCGGTGGCGCTATCTAAGTCTACATCCGTGGTCAGGACGCCGGCGATCCGTCGTCTAATGGCCGACTTAGCATTTGGGACTAGGGAGAGGTCAAGGTTCCTCCCATAACGCTCTTCTAGAAACCTTGAAGTTTCAAGCGAATCCGTCGTACCGTTATCTACAGCAGCCTCCAGGGTTACCGGAAACTGACGGCTAGTTCCATTGGACCCGGTTGTATTATGATCGATGGAGGCTGTTCTTCGATATCTCTTTGGTCCACGACATAGCTTCTGCTGTGCTGCGCGAGGCGAAGATACCTGCTCCTCCGGAACTAGTATGTTTTCGTTAAACAGCCCGTGACAGAATTCCGCACGTCGGCTCGAGACACCGTCGCCGGAATGCTGCCAATACTGCTTAGCAAAGGGGAACGCCTCTGCGGAGCATAAGACGGCAGAGATAGACGGCGTGGCGGATAACAATGACTCCGGGGGCTTCTTGGCCGGGTCTAGGACCAAATGGATGACGCATAGGTTGGCGAGAGTAGACTGCGGGGCCTTGTCTCGGATGAAGTCAAGACATCGATTCGCCGTCTTCTTAGTAGGGAACAATATAGCCTGCAGTTCGCTGGCCCCATACCTGACGGCAATGTCACGACCGAAGGCCTGTATGCTCTTATGGATGAAAAACCTCGGGTAGCCCGTCACCATAGTGCCGAGGACCCATTGCTCGCCTTCCTCATACCCCACGTTAGATTTCCAGGTGGGGAGCGAGACGCTCACAGCCTACGAAGGAGGTTAGCATTTCTCCTTATTTCTCTTGAGAAGTAGACGTAGATAGAAACGCACGTGAGCAGTATTCGGGGGTATTGAATCACCTAATTCGATTGAAGGCATATTGATGATAATTGGTGTTACATCTATGGATAGTGATACAGTCTAGAGCGATGATGGAGTATAGGTTAGTTATTAATCTCAGCAGGCACGGACTGTATAGGTAGTACTAAGTCTAAGTATATAGGTAGGACTTAGGTACGGAGCTAATTATTCTTCTATCTACCTAGTATTTAACAGGGCAGATGCCGAGGATCGGAGGTAGAGTTTTTGAAGTGACTCGGGACCTTTATTGACCTTTTAATTTCACCAAGTCGGATTTGTGGCTCTTTTGATTGGTTGTCAGTCAATATTACACTGTGTAAGGTTTGTACATGCGCATGTGCATACTAGGTACATCCATGATATCATATCATTGATACCTACATATGTATGATTGAACTAGGTACCTATGTATGTCACACATATTTATGCAAATATAGTGTATTGAATTACCCAGTATATCCATCCACGAATCATTACCTTAAAAAAATATTTTATAAAAAAAAACGTTAAAAAAAGTATGGATGCTAATTAATCTACACGACCGGAAACTGTAGACTAGGTGTATTTTATAGAGGAACTTTTCGACAGAATGCAGATCAACAATGTGATTTTGCCATGTCAGAGCTCTGCAACCGACGTGGACATATGGGATATCGTTATTACGGATGGCAAGGTCTCTCAGATACGCCCCTCGAATAATATAGCCGGCGAACCTCCTAAACTACTCCTACCAGCTCTTTGCCACCCACACATACACCTCGACAAACCTTTCATCCTTACCTCCGGACGACCATCCTCCAACACTCAACCTGACTACTCCGACCTGTTGCCCAGGACCGGCTCTTTTGAGGAGGCCCTCACAAATACCTCCAATGCAAAAGAGCGCTATACTGAAGATGATCTTTATCTTCGAGGCGCACAGCTTCTGGCGACAAGCTACGAACAGGGTGTGACCTCCCTCCGTGCTTTCGTAGAAATAGACCATGCCACTGGACCATTGCCCCTAACGATAGCCATTCGACTCAAATCCGAGTTCTCCCATTTGCTGTGTGTTCAGATATGCGCATTCGCACAGGATCCTATTTTCTCCACAGTTCATGGAGAGGCGAATCGATCTATTATCACCTCTGCCTTAGGAGAGTATGCTTCATCCATCCAGGCTTTAGGCACTACTCCTTACGTAGAAGCGACACGGGAAGCATCATTGCAGAATATCGAGTGGGCCATCGCTACCGCCCTCCAATATGATTTGCACCTAGATTTCCACTTGGACTACAACTTAGCCCTGCCTTCCCCTTCTAGCCCGCCTTTGACCTTTTCGGTTCTCGAGTTGCTTAAGAAGCATAGATGGCTTGACATCGCCAAAGCCTCCAAGACTATAGTTCTTGGGCACTGTACGCAACTCACCCTCCTCTGCGATTCGGACCTTCAGACTCTCGCCAAAACTGTCATCCAGAGTGGACTTCCACTTCATTTCGTTGGCCTGCCTAATAGTGACATGTTCATGATGGGCCGCCCAAGTTCAGCAGTAGAAATGATACATTCCCGACCGCGTGGAACATTGCACGTTCCTTCTATGATTAAGGACTTGGGCCTGTCCGCAGTATGTAGCATGGAGACCCCCCCCTTTTCTCTTTTGTGACCTATCCCGTGCGAGAAGTGCTCGCTGGGGACTTACTACCTAGCCTATCCATAAATGTTGATTTTTTTCAAGTCCCCGAAGCTCTTCGTCAAATAAGAAGTCGCTAACTCTCGTTATCGAAGTGTATCGGCGTAAATAACGTTGGGAATGCCTTTACTCCTTTCGGATCCGGAGATCCCCTGCAAGCAGCATCATGGGGCGTCGGCATTTACCAGGCCGGGACCGTAGCCGATGCTATGATGTTGTATGGCTGTGTAAGTTGGCTAGCTAAGAGGGCTATTGGTCTGGAGGGGAGCGCCGAGGATAACGATGTGATCGAAGGTAAATCCTTGCAGGGCATGCTCTTGATTAAAAACAAGGAGTATATCAAAATGCCGAGCACGTCTGATAGGTCCGAATTGAAGATACTAGCAAGAAAAAGGATGAGCATCAAGGATATCGTCTGGGATCCACCTGAGACTACGATGAGATCAATCATCGAATAAACAAAACTAAAAACACCCAAGCAGGACGAATTTAGGAAGAGGTGAATGAGCGGGTTATTTGGCCACCACCTCTTGAATTGCCCCGAGAAGCTGTTAATTTTCTTAAAAATAGGCGGTCGGTCGCTTCAACCTTTACATCACAGAGCAAGGTGAATCCGAGTAGTCGGGTCCAAATATCTCCCTATTCCTTTCACGCTCGTTGGCTCGAATCTTTTCCTTAACCTCCTTTGGGAAATATTCGCGAAGGAATGCGGCGCGTGTGCTGTCGAAGTTTTCCAAACTAGCTCGCATGATCACATCGGCTCGACAGAGGGGACAGAACCTCTCTCCTTTTCGAGACATCTTAACGAGACACCGACTGCAGAATATATGCTGGCATTCCAGCCGAACAGGCCAGTACGCCACTGCAAAACAGATGGGGCAAAGATAATCGTCAAGCTGCGGAACGACAGAGATGAGTTCCGTCGACATTTGCGCACATAAATCCTTGGCCACACTTCCTGCTAAGAGATGATTGGATCGTACGGTAACGGGAAATGCCCGGGAAACGCTTAGCGAGGTCCTCTTATCGAATTCTGTTATTGTTAACGATAGGTGTTAGGGTAAATGGGTTATATGCTAGATGACAAACTTTTAAGTATCTTGGTTACCGCCAAGTTATTAATCTCCTGAAATTTGAGAATTTGTACGAGCAGCGCATTCATGCTGAGAAACCTAGTGTAGGCTTGCCGACTGTTATCCAACTTTAGGCTATGGACTAGCTTTCTCGATAACACCTGGGTTTGAAACCATCGAAGCTGTTCAACGGCTTGGGAGCTTGTCCTGGCCCCATGATCACTTTCTAAAGTGGAAAAGAAGACCCGGGCATCCAGGTACAATTCAAAGATTTCGCGCCAAGTCTCCAGGTCTACCCTTGCTTTCCGGCCTTTCGATGGTTTCGTAGCCATATTAATATCCCGGCCCAGGAGCACTATCTCTTTCCCCAGTTTATCTTGTTCTTCTTCTTGCAGCGCGTCTAGGTTCGAAACATCAGTCTGTAAGATATCGAAGAACTCGCCATCGAAGACCAGAGGTACTTCGATCTTTTGAATTAACGAGGATTCCTCTTCAGATAGAAGAGGCTTTTCCAGGTTATAAGAGGCAGGAACCGAGTTCTCATTGCCGAGTTCATCTGCTAATGAACCCGATATATCCTCTGTCCTAGAAACAATCTTCTTCAGGAAATCTCGCGTAGTGGGGGTCAACTTTGCGTCTACAGCCACGCCGTCCTTTAAGTGTATGAAGAAGGTTAACCTTGGCCGAAAGTGTTTTGAATCCGTGGTCTTGCCGTCTAGATGATAGTGAAAGGCCACAGTAGATGGGTCTTTTGGAGTAGTGGCTAACTGAGACAAAGTGTCTTTATCTAGGCCAAGCTCTTGGAGCTCATTGGTAACCTTTTTAAGACACTTTTTGAGTTGGCCGTAAGGAACGGCAGAGTTTACCCATTTTTGGGGGAAGCCTACGAGAGAAAAAAAAATGGTAAGCGACTGAGTAGCTGTTAGTAAGGCGTGTAAATGAATCATTTACCTTCTTGTTGTAGAGACTTTCTAAATTCTTGAGCAAACTTCATGAGAACTAGTATAAATGAGAGATGTTATAAGATAGATTGGCTTAGTTGGAGGTGAGTAAGTCAATCCGAGCCGTCTTATTCCGCCGGGTGATATCCGCACGTGATAATAATAAAATGAGGATGATGGAATCCTATATTTATACCTAGGGAAGAAACTCTGGTGGGTAGTCAACTGGTGATAAGCATGTATAGGTAAGTGTAAGGTTTAAGGATTAAAGATACATAATAAGTAGGTATGTATAGGTAAATCCTCTTTCAATTATGTTGGTTCTTGCTTAGGTAGTTTTTTAGTTTTTTTTTTTCCCAATAAAAAAGGCCTAGTTTTATATTACATGGTATAGAACACAGTAAGTATTATATAAGTATTATTCCAAGGCTATGCCGGCATCTTAACGCTAGTACTTGGAGGGTAGTAGCTTCTTAGGTACCTACATACAACACTACTAGGTGGTAAGTCGAGACTGAATAGTAGGTACCTGGGTATGTATGCACTGTATCGTACTTGAACTATTATGTTGAATGATTTTTTCGATGTGATAATCCTCCGGGGTCCGGAGTCATCTGCAGCCTTAGCAGATCCGTGCTTACCCCTGCATAGGTACATACAGCGTAGTACTTAGGTCTTAGATAGATACATCCATGATTTATGCATTTATTATCCAAGTTGCGGGGTATAACAGCACTATTACATTATTTGAATTTATTTCATGAGAAAGAAATACAAAATCGCATTTTCGTGGCACATCAACACTGAACGCACTATTGTCGATCAGACTAAATTCAGACGATGGGCGCCCAGCAGTCGTCCTACGCCGACACTGCGACAAGACACGATTCGCCAAAGAAAGCAGATTACTATCAACTACTTGGAGTCGACCGCCAAGCTAGCGATGACGAGTAAGCAGACAATTCCTGCACCGATACAATTCACAATCCTGATCCTGATCCTGATATTTTACTCCTTCAGAATCAAGAAGGCATATAGGAAAAAAGCTCTAGAACTACATCCGGATCGAAACTACGGCGATGTCGAAAACGCCACACAGAGATTTGCTGAAGTTCAAGCCGCCTACGAAGTCCTTTCCGATCCACAGGAGCGTGCTTGGTACGATTCTCACCGTGATGCCATTCTCCGTGGCGAGGACCCAGCTGACGTTGGGGCAACTCCTGAATATAACGACGTCCGTCTAACTACTGCCGACGAAATATATGCGTTGATTGGTCGTTTTAATAAAAGAGTTCCCTTTGACGATTCCCCGCAGAGCTTCTTTATTATCTTACAGCACATGTTCGATAAAATAGCCCAGGGAGAGAATGCAGTTGGCGAATGGGATGGCCTACTTCCCATCCAGTACCCTCCCTTTGGCACATCCAAGGCCGACGATGTAGTTGTGAAGGCCTTCTACAGCGAGTGGTCCAACTTTTCAACTAAGCTTGTGTTTGCCTGGAAAGATAGATGGCGGCTTTCAGACGCGCCGGATCGGAGGATACGCCGCCTCATGGAGAAAGAGAACAAGAAATTACGAGAGGATGGCATACGCGAATTCAACGACGCCGTGCGTTCCTTGGTTGCTTTCACTCGCAAACGCGACCCCCGTTGCACTTCTAACGCCCAATCGGAGGCCGATAGACAGAAAATACTGCGCGACTCGGTTGCAGCACAAGCTGCCAGGTCGAGAGCTGCAAATCAACAGAAGATGAACGATCCTCTAGCCATCCCCGAGTGGGCGCAGTCACAGGGCAATGAATTGCACCAGGGGGAATTTTCCGAGACTGACGAAGAATCCGAAGTCGAACACATAGAATGCGTGGTGTGCAATAAGATATTCAAGAGCGAAAAACAGTACGAGGCCCATGAGAAGAGCAAGAAGCACTTGAAGGCCGTTCAGCAGTTGCAGAGGCAGATGAAAAAGGAGAACGCAAGTCTTGATTTGAATGCGGAGGCTACCTCAACGTCGACATCTGAGATGCCAGGCATGGATGATTACTACGTAGACGACGAGATTGCCGCCGCTGAGAGTAGTGCGCTCGGTAGCAAGCTTGGCATCACGCAGACGGACAGGTCTCGCGGGACTGAAGTAATTGCTGGAACTGATACAGAACCTACAAGCCCCCACGTTACAACAGTCGACTCGGAGAATGAGAGTGAGGATGATAACTATGCCTCGAGAGATGCTGTCGAGGCACGGCTCGTCTCGGGGAAGCAAAAGAAAGACGATCATTCGCAGGGCAATGGAGAAAGTTCTATCGATAATATTACCAGCGAATTAGAAGGTATCTTGCTGACAGGCGGCGAACCTACCAAGAAGGTAGGCAAGGCAAAAGCCAAGAGGGAGAAAAGAGCCGCTCGCCAAGCCACTTCAGAGCAAGACGACACGGTAAGCTGTCGCATAGATTTATCTGGCCAGCTGTTCTGCTCCAGTGGCAGTTGCTAACCTCTACGGCAGAAGTGCACAGCCTGCAACAACACGTTCGAGTCCAGGACACAGCTATTCAAACACTTGAAGAAAACTGGCCATGCGGCCACAAAGATCGTTACATCGTCTAAGCCCAACAAGAAAAAGCGGTAGATGATTGTTATCAAATGACCTAGAAGTTTGTATCGATATGCCGTCTAACAATCCAGTACGTTGCGAACGTTGCGACAAGGAAACGTCACCCGTTCGTCTCTGTCCCTTAACGACCACCAAGCCAAAGCGGAGCCTGAGCAGTAACCTGCCATTGCTTGCCAAAATTCCTTTAGTAAGGATTCATGATATTTACATCACCAATGTTAGTTCATAATCCACCGTGGTCCACACTTAACGCCGGACTATTACCTAGTGGTATTTCCCCGATACACCAAACCGAGAAACATTGCGCCTGATACCGATTTATTCTTCCGCTCTGTCCATCTCCTCGTCTTCATCGCTCAAAGTCTGAACTTCGTCAATTGGCCCCCCCGATTCATGCATATGCGCAGTAGGGTCGTGGTCTGACACGTGAATGATGGCTTTACCCTGGACGTGTTTGACACTCCTCCGCCAGTCTCTCCAGTCTTCCTCATCACGGATAAGAAAGCCGATGAGCATGCTAGGATCCATTTCCTTGACATGGAGTCGTCGAAGTTTTCGCGTGTGGCAAGTATCAAGCTCTTCTTCGGTATATTCCTCGGGTTCTTCGTGATAGGGTAATGCAGGTCGCGTGTAATGAGGATCTAAGTAGAAGAAGTGGAGACCCTGGACTCCGATGAAGTAATGTGAGGAAGACGGACGTCCACTGTGCTCTCTGGTTAGCCTCTAGCGCCATGATGAAGAACCCCGGGGAAGGGGGGAGAGGGGAGGGGGGGTCGCGGCTACCCAGCAATGCCAATCGATTGCGGCATCTGCAAAGATGCCGTGAGGGCTTCCCAATATACTGGAGTGATCTTGTCAATACCCAATCGTGTACCAACTAGTATAACCGTCGGATGAAACGTATTGTCATCAGGCTTCGCGATTTTCATGAAGTTGTCTTCGTAGACATCTGGGCCATCCCCGGTAGAGTAGACACGCAACGTAGCTTCGGTTGAATTCGTCAAGGCTCTATTATCACCGATTAATTACCGCAACTAGCTCCAAAATTGCAGCAAAGTAACTCACTGGATACACCTTGCTGTTGCCGAAGGACCAAACCATTCACCGGGGTATTTCCCGCACGCGGAGGCGCCGTGGCGTACAAAGTTATGTATGGAGTATGGAGCTCGTGGGTCATCCGCAAATAGCGATACGATCTTCTTCTCCTCCCGGTCTGGTATACTTCTTCGCCACCCTACAAACGATTTAGTAACGACATCGGAAGGCATCGACTTTTCTTCTTTGCTAGGCCAACATACCTCGGCCAAGACGATGTACAAGCATGGCATTGGCCAAGAGGCTCTGACCAGATCTAATCATGCATCCCCATCCGCTATCCGAGGCAAAGCCGGTTTGGTCGCTCAATTGGCTCTTGAGACGCATGGAAAAGGATAGGGCAGATAATGCCTTGGGGTCATGCGACTTGGTTATGGGATCGAATTCCGATCGATAAGTCATCCATATCCTGGATTCGAAGTCATCAAGAAAAGCAGGAGGCCAGCCCCCATCTAGGGGTGCTTCGTCGTAGGCTAAGGACGAATCAAAGCTGCTAGAGGTTGAATCGGGAGGAGTTTCTGGTAGCCTGGAGGGAGCTTGGATGGGATCTTTAGGAGACGGTTCGGACGCGGAAGCGGTGGCGGGAGCGGGAGCTGAACTTGGATTCGGGGCTGGAGCGGAGGTGGAAGAAGGGTCGGATTTGGGGCTTGAGCTGCTGTTGAGTTTGTAGGAAGACCCAAGGCACCAGACCGGTTGATCACGGATAACATCGTTGGTTGGCTCGGGATCCCAGAACATCTGGACAATGCGTCTACCAAGATCGACTGTGGTATCCATATTGAGAAGTCGTGGTGGTATAAGTTGAAATTAGTATAGGAGCTCTTAGTAATTTTCAAAGCCCTAGGATTATGTGACCAAGACACGGTGGTAGTGACAGCAACAGCAGCAATCACAGCAACCAGAGCGAATCTAGATGCACCAAGGAAATTAAACAGGATAATAATAAAGAATATGTCTATTGTAAATAGAGGGATGAAACGATGCTGTTAGCCTCTCACGACGCAGAGGCGAAATGATGGATTTTGACAACGGGGAAGGTAAGTTGATAACTAGAGCGGTAGAAGACGACGTTTCGAGGAAGATGGTCGATGAATGATGACGGAGATGTACCGAATCAGTCTTTAGAATGCTAGGTACAAGACGCTACCAGCGTCTACAAACCAAGCGGAATATACGATATCAGAAGCTCAGTGATCGGTGATGAATGATAGACCCGACGTTTAGTGATCGAAGCGACAAAAGTCGAGAACCTTAGAACCTTTCAAACCTTGCAACATTTGAGGTCGATGGTCATCCGGCGCCACCCCAGGACTTTCAATGTTCTTTGACCTCGAGAGTTAGTGGACTTTGCTGGCTAGGTGGAAGCTAACTGAGGTACCTTAGCTGCTTAGGTAGGTATTGCACATTGGATAACTAGCGGATAAGCAGGAGAGGGAGGGGGGAATGAATGAACATTGTTGGTGCCTTGTGACAAGATCATTTGGGGGTGGTGGGAAGTGATCTTATCGATAATAGAATACCCGCTGTGCCATGTGCCATGTACATCGTACAATACATACAATACGATACGTACTTGTACTGCCTAGTACCTACCTACAAATGTACCTAGGTAGGTATATACAGAATACAACTGGCATAAAGACATGAAAACATAAGGCAAGTGCTACCTAATACCTGCACTGTATTTGAAACTTAGGACTGTTAAGATAGGACTCGGGATCAGATGTTGAAAGCTTTAGAATTCAAACCCAGGTACCTACCCAATCTACTTGGTAGATATGTAGGTACTGACTTCCATTTAATTTAATCATAATATTTGAACATCCTATTCTAACCTTGAATTCTAAGCCAGTACTCACTACCTGGATGCTGGAGTGGTTTCTAGTTTCAGTTATGCTCTGATCCACATTATCGTCATCCAAAAATTGTCTATTTTCTCTCATCTCAACTGACTCAACTGACTCAACTGGTTCAACAATCTCAACCACCTAAACTCTCCAGCTTCTCCTCCTCTATCTCATTACATCTCGTAATACCTATTAGATTTCAGGCTTCGTTTTTGGGCTCTATAACCATACCATGGCTAAGAATAAAAAACGAGGTGGCGGCCCTAAATTGAAGAGCCAAAGATTTCCTCGTCGCAATCACTCTGGAGAATATGGTGGCACCAACTTGCCATCAACCTCCCAAGGATTCGTGCGAGCTCACGGTATTGGCCCCTTTGTCCATCCATTTCCCATCTTATCATCTTACCATACGCCAAATCTAACCTAGTTTTAGGTTATACCCTTGCGGATGAGGCTAGGAACACCGCATCCAATCGCCGTGGAGCCTTTGGTCGTGACGCGAAATTGAGATACAAGCCCGTCACCTTTATCAGCGCTGGCCTCATGGACCCGTTGAAAGAATTGAATGTTCAGTTAGCTGCCACAGACGAAGCACAAAAAGACACAAGCGACACGGGGGGGTCTCTCGGTACCGACGTAGTTCTCACCGTGGATTCTCACATCTTCAAGGGCCATGTTCCGTCTTCATCTCCCGATGAAGAGCCAAGTCCTCACAACCAGTTTTCTAATGATACCGGGCTTTCTTTAGATCCCGAATCTGATATTAGTTGTGATTCTAGTGAGGAGATTATACTATTTAGGGGAAGGGATCATAATCGCAACCGTCAAAATGGCGCCGCTGCCAACTCTTTGGAACTCCGTGATTTAAACCTTGAACTACAAGCAGTCGAAGAGACTCTCCATGAAGATACCACTCAATCGCCAAATACCAAGAGAGTGATTACCAAGGCAGAGGATTTCATTCCCCTAAGGTCGAAACCTAAAAGACGAGACAGACGACGCGAAAAGGATCCGGACGCCTCGTCGGATGACGTAGCCGCTATACTTGCGGATTACATGTCTAACGTCGAGGGTTGGGGAGGAAGGAGTGACAATGAAGACGTCGGACACCGGGGAATTGGTTCCCATAGCTTTAGTGTACTAAGAGAACTTGGCGGTACCGATAGCGACGCAGTTCCCGACGAAGTCTCCAGCAAAGACGGCGTACCCCACAGCTCGGAAGACGAAATTGATGTTGAGAACCAGCAAATTTGTCTTGAAACGGAGGACGAACGGATAGCCCGCCTCCTTTCCAAACAAGAGGAATTGGGCCTTGGCGGCAACGACGTTCTGCTCTTCGATGGGGAAGCCTCCGACGATGAGTGGCTTGCACCTACCAAGGCCAACCTACGCCGCAAGAAGAAAGGTGACACCAAGAGTGCTAAGATATTCCATAAGAAAGGCCAATATCCAAGCGCAACGCAGATGGCGGAAGCATTTGATGAATTAGATCTCATGGATTGGCATCGACCCAGTCTTAAGAATTTCGAGAAAGGCTCGCCAACGTTTGATGTATCCGACTCCGAGCTTAATGAGGCTATGAAAGCAACCTGGCAAAAAGACCGTCTAAAGAAGGCAGAGAAAAAGAAGGCCCGCGAAGAGTTGCGATCACAGGGACTACTCGGTAAAAACACCAATCCCGACGATCTCCGCGTTAAATATGTCGGGGGCATGTCCCTTGATGATCTTGCTGATGAGCTTGAAAGCTTTCTCCTTGGCTCACAAGAACAGTAAGCTAATTTGTTGTTCATTTCTGCGCTATATGCTGAGATGTATTGACGTTTCCTAGACTCATTCTACCTCCATTCGAGAAGACCACCCGCAAAACTATTCACACCGTGGCCAACAAATTCAAAATCAAGTCGCAATCTGCGGGCAAGGGCAATGATAGGTGTCCGGTCCTGTACCGCTCAAAAGCTACGCTTCCATTTGATCAAGATACTTTCGACAAAACATTTGGCCGCATCAAGCAGACCTGGTTTCCTCGCGTTGACGCTGACGAGAAGCTAGTGAACGAAAGCAGACTTCTCAAGCGATCCGAAGTTCGAAACGGCAAGACTCGTTTCAAGAATTCCCTGACTTATCGTGACGGCGACATCGTTGGCCAACACGCCGTAGAGCTTGGAGTAGAGAATAGGGGAAGAGCAATGCTGGAAAAAATGGGATGGTCAAAGGGAATGGCTTTGGGAACTGGAGAGAATAAGGGCATTATGGTACCCATCACTCATGTGGTGAAGAAAACCAAGGCTGGACTCGGTGACACTTGACGGCGGATTCATTCAATGCTGATTCGTCGAAATCAAATACCTGCTACGAATCCTCTGGAGTTGCTTAGAATTAGAGCCGGGAGGCGTACTGTGCGAGTGGCGTTGATGCGTCCTATCATTTTATCGCAACAAACGAAATTAGAGCTTAAACCGTCACTGGCCTTCTTCTAGAAATTTGTTAGACCACGAACCTAGTTCAAATAAGATATTTCATAAGTTCACTCGTATGGGAGTAGTGAATATGGGTGTCTTCCCGGGGAAAACTTTCATGCCATCGTTACAAATGAACGACACAAAAATAGTGGCGAAATGGCTCGTTAGAATTCAAACTGAACACACCGACTAGATTTGACACATAATTCCTACACCGACCGCTACATCAGCTTCATTCTAAGACTAACCGTATAACTTTTCGTAAATGGATATTAGTTCAAGATTGCAGGAACCAGATTATTTCACTTTCACATCATTTCTCGTTTGAGAATTATGGTTTGTTTGTTTGTTCATATGCAGATTCATTCCGTAGCCCTATCGGGAAAATGTAGTGTACAACCGCAAACCCCATACCGTGTTGTGCGAGAACATTGACCCCTTAAAAAAGCAAACCATCCGTAACGCATTATGAGACTCCCGTATCAGGACTTGCATACCATGCTTTGGCAGAGTCTCGTCATCATGCCAAAGCGAAAAAAAGAAGTCCCATGCCCAAAAGAGAAACCAGACGCAGAAAAACCAAGCACTTATTTAGTCGATGACGAGTACTTGGTGACTGCCTTGGTGCCTTCAGACACGGCGTGCTTCGCAAGCTCACCAGGCAGAATCAGGCGGACTGATGTCTGGATCTCTCGGGACGAGATGGTGGACTTCTTGTTGTACGCAGCCAGCTTAGATGCCTCGGTGGCGACTCGCTCGAAGATGTCTAGAGACCCCATATTAGCAACGGAATTTGCAGGGCGCATGATCATGCGCTGACGAGGTGGCTTACCATTGACGAACGAGTTCAGGATTGACATGGCACGGTTGGAGATACCGGTGTCAGGGTGGACTTGCTTCAGGACTACAGTGAAATTAGCATAATCAAAAATCAATTGAACCGCGACGCGTAAATAATCAAACACGTTCAAAAAAAATTGAAGAGGCTGGTATGCAACTCACCCTTGTAGATGTAGGAGGAATAGGTCTCCTTGCGCGCCTTGGTACGCTTCTTCTTGTCGCCGGTCGCCGCAGTCTTCTTGCCAGCATCCTTCTTCTCAGGAGCCTTCTGCGCGGTTGCGGGAGCCTTAGAGGCGGCGGGCTTCTTGTCAGCAGCTTTGGGAGGCATGTTGAATATTTTGGGTGAATGACAAGTGTTTCTAAGATGTGGAGTGGAAGATGCAAGAATTGGAAGTTCCAAATGCTGGTTGCGTTGATAAATGTTTGTGGATGAGAGATGAAGAGAGAAGTCAAAGATGATTGACTTTGAAAAGGTGGTGGGTGGAAGGGCCTTTTGTATTGGCCCCGGGAACTTAGCGTGATTACTGATTTGGTCCTCGTAAGGTTTGACTGATTGACCTTGCCTTGTGTTGCGCGGTTGCACGTTAAAAAAATAAAATGGAGTACAAAATCCAATGTACCTACCTCCCTGATAAGCTGCCAATGCCCCGCCTTCCGGCAGCGCAACACCAGTAGACGCGCTAGAAGCAGTTACGCGTTTGTCGCACAGACCTTATTCACGACATGAAATAACCAAAATTTACTATAAGCTTTAACCAATTAAATATTTTATAAATCATTATTAATTTTATATTTTATGTAACTACCTATTATAGTTTAACTTCATACAGTTTATATAACCACCTTGAATTTCAAGCTTCTAAATACTAGTCTCCACAGTCCCGTACCAGTAATCATTAACGACGTAATATCAAACCAGCAGCTATACCGGCAAGCTTGACCTCAACGGTTACCGGCGCCGCTCAATCGTGGAGGGACCCGGGTGATCCATACTTTCCGAAAGAATTAAACGAGAAACCATCGCCACTTCCGAGTTTCCCACAGCTCGTAGGTTCCGTATATTTCTGTAAGTAGTTAGGTAACTTTCGTTTCGGTTTCGAATGAACCTGTTTCCATATATCATCGATAATTACTTAACAATACATACTAAAACAAGTTGCAACTTTTTAACAATTAAGTACTAGGTAGTTACAATTAGCTTCGAACTTTTAAACAAAATCTTTCGAATGCGTTATCCCATGAATAGAAACAATAGCCGTAAATGGCATTAACATCATTTCAATGACTGTGTAAGTTGTAATTGAATGGAGAATGTCTGTATTCAAGGATGGAAAGTCATGGTCTATGCTTCTTAGTACCTAAGTAGATTGTTAATTCCTTGCAAGTTGCTACCTATCTAAGTAGGTACTTACTGTTATTATTTTTCTAAAGAACCCATAGCTCCCCCGAAATTTGGCCTAAAGCGGACTAGGCTGACAATCCACCTAATTTTTAGTGATCTGTAATTCTGATTTCAGGACGCGCCCGACAATACTTAAAGATCACATCCCCCACCAACCTTGAACTTCTTTCTCCCATTTACATCTTCTCGTATCAGCTTCATCAACCATCAACAACCAGTCATCACCGTACTTTCAAACCGCTTTTTCGCAGCATCAGTCAATTCCGATATTATTTACGATTCACTTAACCTTTCATAAACCATCAAGATGACTGGAGGCGGCAAATCTGGCGGGAAGGCTAGCGGTTCTAAGAACGCGCAATCGTAAGTTATCTTCATTATATCTTGTTTTCCTATATATTGCCTTTGGCCCTTGGCCTTGAGGTTGAACGTGACGCGTCCACAAGTCCATGTTTATTTACTACTTAAGTTTCGGTTACCTAACTCGTGTTACTTTAGGCGATCTTCCAAGGCCGGTCTAGCATTCCCTGTCGGTCGTGTTCACCGACTTCTCCGCAAGGGTAACTATGCCCAGCGCGTAGGTGCTGGTAAGTTGCGTCGGTTTCTAAACAATTTTGGCTCAATCTAACATGTATCTAGGTGCGCCTGTTTACCTCGCCGCTGTCCTCGAGTATCTTGCTGCCGAAATTCTCGAGTTGGCTGGCAACGCTGCACGTGATAACAAGAAGACCCGTATCATTCCCCGCCATCTTCAATTGGCCATCCGAAACGATGAGGAGTTGAACAAGCTCCTTGGCCATGTCACCATTGCCCAGGGTGGTGTTCTACCCAACATTCATCAGAGTAAGTGTGCTTGGAATTCCATTGTCACTAGGTGTTATCTAACATCAATTCAGACCTACTTCCCAAGAAGACCGGAAAGCCCGGCAAGAACGCCAGCCAAGAGCTGTAAATGGGGTAACTTTCTGTTTTCTGGTTGGTCGTTTGGGACGTTTCATGAACCACGGGGTCACGGCTGGGCAAGGTTTGCTTTTTTCCACGCGTTTAGGGTTGTACATTAAAGGCATAATCCATTGAGCACTGCTCTGAATGAGCAATGGGCATGAATGATAACACTTTCTAAATATTTATGCCTTGAAATTTGTGAAATGTTGCGCAACTGCGTCTAGATGTTGAGTTGTTTATGACACTTTAATCGTCGACTTATATATTATCTTTAGGTCAACCTTGGAATTCCCTAGCGACGGCATAGTTTCGTGTTTAATCTACAGGTAGTCTGATATATGTAAGTGCATATTTTGGTGGGCGTCAATTTGATACGGGTCAGTAGTTCGTTAGTTTCTTTTATTTTTGTTTAATACATAGGCGCAGTTTTTCCATCCTATATACAGATTGGCACCATCCGTTTTCCTTCGTGTAATATCTGGGTGGTTTTTAAAATTTGAGCGGCGGTGGAGCTAAAAAGTATATCAGTATCGATCGAGGAGAGATCTAAGAACGGAGACCGATACTTACGGTTAGTATTAGGTACCGATAAGTTCCTTTCAAATTTAGATCCTATTATGACTTATTAGCATATCGCATACTGTATACGCAACATATTTGCGACTGGTGACATACCTCCCGGAGCTGTCGGGTAACAAAAAGGGTCGGGGTGTTTCCACGTCTCTAGCAGCTTTTCTGTTTCGCTAAGTAATATCTGTGAAGAAGCTTATATTAATATCCACCAAGTTTATCATCGGGGACGGCGTGGGGAGACATTACCCTTTGTTTTCTAGCATCTGTAATGTTACGGTTCGCTTCAAAGAGGGATCGGATGTAGAGAGCTTGACCACGCCATAGACTTCGATGAACAGCCCAGTCGAGAGCTAGCTTAAGAGAACGTCGATAGAGAGATCTGTATTTCAACCCGATTAGCAGTTGTGGAATCAATGTATGTTCGATTGGTCTTACAGTGCTGCTTGTCGGTTCGACATGGTGAGGTCTTTTACTTCTTGTCGTGTATTTAAGTCGCAACGCCCACGACCTAAATCACCAACAGGCCGTAATCAGGGATGCCAGCAACGCTTGGAGATGCTTATGCGAAATATGGGCGGGGGGGGGTGTGGTGTAGTAGAAAGCTCTATGCGTAGCCGTTAAACTTGAGAGTTGTGCTCGTAAGGATTATGAAAGTGTTGGAAATCCCACGCAATCAATTGGAACTCGTTAACTTGCCAGGTCAAGAGATGATCCACAGGTACGTCCGGACTACTAGGTACTTTCAAGTCGGTGGGGAATATTATTTATTCCGAATTACCAGAGTGACATATTTAGGTACATTTATGTATATAGATACCTAGTACTACTTATTAAGTAGGTTAATGACTTGCATGTACTTAGTAAATACCTAGTACCTCCCTTTGTTGTAATAACTCGTCTGCTCAGCAAGGGGGGTTTTTTTTTAAAAAAAAAAAAGAGATAAGTATAACCTCGGTATAAAACTACGTATACAAAGGTACAAATAGCATATGTACATAATTAATAGTCTGCAAATGATTGACAAGACGGCTACAGGTTAATAGTATAATCGGTAATTTCGTTTTCAGTGTGAAATACTTGTATCTGCGTATGTAAAGTGTCCGGTGCAATTGCTAGAAGGGAGCTGCGATCGGGACAAATTTTTTTAAAAAAAAAACCTGGAACCACTGCTTCTGCCGGAGACATGGGAGTAGTGGATTGTTCCTGACTTACTAGGTACCTACTTTAATATTTTTCCCCTTCAGACTTTCTTCCCCGGTACAGAACAACACTTCATCGACTTCTTGCTATTGTATGGTTTGGTATTCGTCCTCCCATTTCCTATTTCACATTTCTTCCTCTGCATACATAATTCGGCTACAAACTCCTCTTTTTCTCTTTTTTCTTTTTATTTATCTTTCTAAGACTAGTTCAATATTTCCCTCTCCCTTGCCACCGACGTCTCTGCCGAACCTTGCCGGTCATTCTGCCACGACACCTATAATCATCCTTCACAATGATGTCAAGACGGCTTCTCACAGCCGCGCGAGTTTTGCGCCGGCCCATGCAGCAGCAACCATTGCGCGGCAGCATCCCAATGCCACTACTTATGACGCAAGTTCGAACTTATGCGCATAGCATTGTCAAAGTCCCGCAGATGGCCGAATCTATCACGGAAGGTACCTTAAAACAGTGGAATAAGAAAGTTGGCGATTACGTAGAGCTAGATGAGGAGATTGCAACAATTGAGACCGACAAGGTAATCAGGATCTCCTCGTTCCATGACCGTTTTTTCGTGTCATCTGGTGATTCTGACGTTTGTCTTTGCAGATTGATGTCGCCGTCAATGCTCCTGAAGCTGGAGTAATAAAAGAGCTACTTGCCAACGAGGAAGATACCGTCACGGTGGACCAAGAAATTGCTAAGATTGAAGTTGGCGCAGCGCCCGAAGGTGGTGAAAAGTCTGCAACATCTAAGGAGTCACCCAGCAAGCAAGAGGCTTCTGCTGAATCCGGTCTAACATCTGCGGAGACAGAAAACAAGCCAGAACCAACAAAATCCGGAACGAAGCTAGAATCGCCTAAACCCGAACCACCGTCACTAGAACCCAAGAAGGAGTCTGCCCAGAAACCATCTCAGCCGTCGAAAGATACCTCGACCAACACTGGACCCGTCTTGGGAAGCCGGGAAGAAAGGCGAGTCAAGATGAACCGTATGCGTTTGCGGATTGCCGAACGCTTGAAGCAATCACAGAACACGGCAGCTTCGTTGACAACCTTCAATGAGGTTGACATGTCGTCCCTCATGGAGTTCCGCAAGCTTTATAAAGATGAAGTACTCAAGAAGACTGGGGTTAAGCTTGGCTTCATGAGCGCGTTCTCGCGGGCAAGTGTTCTGGCGATGCGGGATATCCCGGCCGTCAATGCATCAATCGAGGGAGAGAATGGTGGAGACACCATTGTATATCGAGACTACGTTGATATTAGTGTGGCTGTAGCTACAGAAAAGGGACTGGTCACTCCAGTGGTCCGAAACGCAGAATCCATGGACATGGTTGGGATTGAAAAGGCCATCGCGGACATGGGTAGAAAGGCTCGAGATGGGAAACTTACCATTGAGGACATGGCTGGTGGTACTTTCACCATAAGCAACGGCGGAGTGTTCGGTTCTCTTATGGGTACGCCCATCATTAACCTACCCCAGAGTGCTGTATTAGGTCTACATGCCATAAAGGATAGAGCCGTTGCTATAAATGGCAAGGTAGAGGTTCGGCCCATGATGTATCTTGCATTAACCTACGACCACCGCCTTCTCGACGGTAGGGAAGCGGTTCAGTTCTTGGTTAAGGTCAAGGAATATATCGAAGACCCTCGGAAGATGTTGCTAGGCTGATTCATTTTACATGGCATGTTTACGAGTCACTTAATGGGAATAAGTAAAACTTTAAAGTGTATAATATAGCGGTTGTTTAATAAGCATGAATGAATAAGTTATAAGCAGTTTAATGGGTTCCGCCCATTAGGATGTGTCTTTGGTTCTTTTCTTCTGGTCTTATGGAACGTGCTTTCGTTGTGAGAAGGCTTCGAGCCTTTTAGCTTGGGAAGATTTAACATGTAATGTTTAACGTGTATTTATATATATTTCGTAATTTAGAAAAGATTTTTTTCTTTTTTTTTTTTTTAATTAACATTATTAATTATTAAATCCGAGCTTATTAAATATTATTAATATTAACGTTAAACGTTAAATATTAAAATAATTATTATAATATATTCGAAATTAATATTACGTTTAATAATTATAAAATTTATAAAATTAATTTTATTATAAATAAAATTTTTTATTATATATAATTTAATTAATATTTTATTTTTATAAAAAAAATTACATAAATTAAACGCATTTTATAAAATAAAATTATAAAAAATTAATAAAAAATTAAATTAATATAATCGTTTTAAAAATTTTAAAAAAAATTTTAAAATTAAATATTAATAAATTTACGAAATTATTAAAAAAATAAAACTTTAAAAAAATTAAATTTTTAATTTAAAACGAAAATATTAATTATAAAATTAAATATATATTTAATAATTTATAAAAATTTATTAAAAAAATTTTTTAATATTATAATTTAATTATAAATAATTTAATAAAAAATAATTAAATATATTTTTTAAATTAAAATTATATATACGAAAACGATAAAAAAAATAAACCGAATTAATTTAATTTAAATTAACGTTAAATTTTATCGATATAAAAATTATAAAATTTTATTTATATTATTATTATAAATTTTTTTTTTAATTTAATTAATATATATAATTTCGATTAATAATTTAATTTTCGTGTTAAATATTAATTTAATTTCATTTTTTATAACATTTAATAAAATTTTTTTATATTTATTTTATAAAATAATAAAAAATAAATTAATTATAATAATAAATATTTTAATTAATATAAAAATAAATATATATTTTTTAATTTATTCGAAAAATATTTTTATATTAAAATTTTAAAAATTATTATAAAAAATTAATAAAAAAATTAATAAAAAATTTTACGCATTTAATTAATTTAAAATTTTTAACGAATTATTAAATTTTAATAAAATTTTAATTTTATTCGCGTTTTTAATTAAATATATTTTTTTAAATAATTATTTAAATTTCGATTTAATTAATTTTTCGATTAAATTAATTTATTTATTTACGAATTTATTTATTTTTATTAAAATAATTAATATATAATTAATAACGTTAAAATTAAAATAATACTGGCCGCGCAGTACGAAAACCGGATTTTTCCCGCGCAGTACCCCGCTAGAATCAAAGGTACTTCTCCCCGCATACAAATCGCGTACAAAATACTTGTACTCGCGATGACTCAATTGACACAAGACAGAAACCTTATTTGACCTGTATACCCTTGACTTTGACCTGTTCTCTCGCAATCAATTAATAGGAAGAAATTATCAACCTGATATCAATCGAAAGAGCGTTCAAAGGAGATTCGATCAATACAAGGCGCAGCTGTTGCAATGGGATATTGATAGAGATATGAGTAGTTGAAGTGAAAGGCATACTTCGGCAATAGGGCCAGCATTTCCCTTAGAACTCCTAGTATTAAGTAAGCTATCAGATCCACCACTGAAGTATACATTTCAGTTCAACCTATTATTTCGTAATTAGTTCGAATCGCAAATCTTTGCAACCAGGTTTATATAAAAGCCCGTTCAGAGCTGGATCGATTAATATAGGTTGCACGTAGCTGGCAGTTCTATTCAACTGGATAATCGGGCGAAAGGTGGCTGATGTACTTGATATATGAGATCAGGACTTTCGATACCAAATAGTCTATGTATGGTCTCGGCTTTAACCACTTCTAGCTCGATCAATTGTTGATCCCAACTGCTACAACCTATATCAATCGAATCTCTTTTGAAGGCCCTTTCGATTGAAGTCAAGTTTGTATTTCTGTTGATTTATTTCATCAAAAGACAACAGGTTGAAGTTAGGTGTGTACAAGTGTAGTGGGGTATAATTAAAGTTTCGAAAATTGACAATTGAGTCATCACTAGTACATGTATTTATACGGCGATTTGTATGCGGGGAAAGGTATACTTGATACTGGCGGGGTACTGCGCGGAAAAATCCGGTATTTATACTGCGCGGTTAATATTACTTTAAAATTATTAATTATATAATTTATTAAAATTATATTTTTATATATATATAATTTTAAATTTCCGTTTTTATTTTAAAAATATAAAACGTAATTTTAATATAATTTTTTTTATTAATCGTTTTATTTTAAATTAATCGCGGTTTATATTAATATTTAATTTTATTAATATTAATTAATAATTAAATTTTTAATTATAATTAATTAAATAATAAAAAATAATTAACGAAAAAAATATATCGTTAAATAATTATATTAATTAATTTATATAAAATTAAAATATTTTTTTAATTAAAAAAATAAATAATAACGAAATTATATTAATTCGCGATATATACGTTAAAATTATTTTATATTAATTTAAAAATTATAATAACGTTTTTAAAAACGTTAATTAATTCGTATTTATTATATAAAATTAAATTAAAAATTATTAAAAAATTTTAAAATTTCGGAAATTTAATAAATTTAAATTTAATAATTAATAATATTAATTAAAAAAAAATTTCTTTAAATTATAAAATATATATATACGTTAAATTATTATATATTAAGTTTTTTTAAATTAAAAAGTTTAAAGTTTTTTTATAACGAAAATACGTTTTATAAAATTAAAAAAAAATATTTTAATAAATAAAATTTATTAATTATTAATTATATTATAAAGGATAAAATTAAATTAACGTTTAACACGAAGGTTAAATTATTAATCGAGGTTACATGTATTAATTAAATTAAAGAAAAAAAGAAAAAGAAAAGATTTATAATAACGATATAAGTAAGGTTTTATAATTTTTACATCGGTAAAATTTAACGTTAATTTAAGTTAAGTTAATTCGGTTTATCTTTTTCACCGCTTTCGTACACGTGGTTTTAATTTAAAAAATGTGTTTAATTATTTTTTATTAAACCACTCATGGTTAAGCCATAATAAACCGTAAAAAAAAAATATTAACGTTTTTATTAATAATAAAATAATAAAAATAATTTCATTTAAATGTTTAATGTAAAAACGACGGTTACGATATTCGTAAACGTATTATTATTAAAAACGAAAATTAAAACGATAAAAATAAAAATAACGATAAAAACGGTTAATATAATGTTTAAAATTATAATTAAAATTATTTTAAAAATAAAAAAAAAACTAATAAATTTAAATAAAAAAATAAACGGTAATTTAAGTTTTAAGTTTTTTAACGAAATAAAATATTAATTATCGTAATTATTTATTAATTCGGCCGTATTTTAAAAAAATAACTTTTAAATATATTATTTATTATAAATTACGAAATATTTTTTTCATTTTATAAAATATTTTAATATTAATATATTTCTTTTTTTATTAACATAATAATTTAATAATTTTTTAATTTTTAAAAAAACTTAATATTTATTATTTTTTTATATAATTATATAATTAAATTACGGCTTTTTTCATTATAAAAATCGACATTTTTAAATAATTTATATAAGTAAATTATTAATATAATTTTATAAATTTTTTAAAAATTCGAAATATTTAATTTATACGTAATATTATTAATTTAATAAATAATAAATAAAAAGTTTATTTATTAAGTTAAAATTTTTTTTTTAATTTTTTTTAAATAAAGTATATTTTTTATGTAAATATAAATAAATATATTTTTTAATTTTAAAATATATTTATTAATATTTCGAATTAAAACGTAATTTTAAATCGATAATAACGAAGTTTATAATTATTTTAATTTTTTTTAATATATTTATTTTAAAGTTTTAAAATTTAAAATTAATATAAAAACGTTAATAAAAAATAAAACGAAATAAAAACGAAAACCGAAAATAACTTCGTTTAAAAAACGATTAAATATAAATAAATATATATTATTAATATTATATTAAAAAACGAGAAAAATATTTAATTAAAAAATATCGAATAATAAATAAAATTAAAAAAAAATATTAATAATTTTTAATTTTTTTTAATTATTAATTAACTAATTAAGCTTACGTAAAAAAATTAATTAATTAAATTAATTTTAATCAAGCTTATAATTAATTAAAAACTAAGTTTAATTAATTAATTAATAATTAAAAAAATATAAAAATTAAATTTTTTAAATTTTATTTTTTCGAAAATTTTTAAATTTATAAATATTTAACTTATTAATTTAAAAAAATAATATCTAATTATTTTAAATAAAAGTTAAGTAGAAACTTAAAATAAATTAATTTTATATATTTATTTCGATTTATAAAAAAAATTTAAGAATTTTAACTTTTTCGAAAAAAACTTAAAAATATTTTATTTTCGAACAATTTTCCAAGTAAAAATATCGTTACTTTAAACTTACAATAAATCCTTAATAATTAATTAAATAAAATAATTATAAATATAAAAAATATATTATTAAAGTTTTAAAATAATGCTTTATTACGTAATATATGTTACGTAATTATAATTAATTTCTTAATTTAATAATACGTTATGAAAATTTCGTATAAAGTAAAATTTTTAAAATCGATATTATAATTTATATAAAATATATAATAATGAATATAATATATCATTAAATAAAATTTAATTTCCTAATTTTAAAACTATTTTTTTATTTAAAAATATTTAATAATAAGTGAAAAATTAATTTTTAAAATAAAAATAAAATAAAAGTTTAATTTTTAATATTTTTTTAATTATTAATTAATTAAGTTTAATTAATTTTAATTAAAGTTAAAATTAATTAAATTAATTTTAATTATAATTAATATTAATTATTAATAATTAAATTTTAATTTTATTAATTATAATATTTTTTTATTAATATAATAAA